CGAATTTTTCGAAATCTCCCTTTTTGTAAAATTTTGGCTCATGAAACAAAAAAACTGCGACTCTTCATAGTCTATTCCGCGCCAGCTTGGCATGATCTTAATCATTTTCTCACCTTATTTCTTGACCTCATTCACGAGGAAGTCTTGAGAACTTCTTTGACAGATGCCGCGGGTGTGGGCTGTCGTCGTGGCGTTGCTCCTGGGATTCGGAGCTCTAGCTCAGGCTCAGCAGTGCAGCTTCAGATCGGGAGATCTCAGCGCTCGCTGGTAGAGACGAAGGTCTTTGAATAAAATTATGAAGACCTTCAGGCAAGTGGTCGACGGCGACCTGACCGTCGAGTTCACAAACAAAAATATAGGAAACAATCAATGGACAGGAATCGGATTCGGATCAGATATGGTCAGTTAGAATGTTTCTTGAGAACTCCACAGTGGTCCGTATTAGGGCGAAAAGCAGCTCCTTTAGGGGTCGAAAAAGTGATCCCCATAGGGGTAAATTCGAGGTTGCCTCTATACGGGTCTGACTCCCCCCATCACTCCGAAAACAGATCGCCACATTTTTCTGATGACTAAATATCTCTAGAGCAACTTGGAAGTGGTCGTGGTGACTATCGAAGACAACCACGCCAAGCTCGTCACAGGCTTCACCCGCGGCTACGGCGCCCCCACTCTCGACTCCTCGTCTTCGGTCGCCGCCCAAAGTATCAACTACAACAGTGAGTTGCTCTTGAACTAACTCCTATTAACGCACCACGGAAAAAAGTCATCAAGTTAATTTAATTTACTAGAGAATGATCTCACCTGACATCAGGCTGAGGATTGAAAATTTGTAGGATGCTGGGCCTAGGTAGGGACTTTCGCAATTGAAAATTAAATTTTCTCTCACTTAGGCTTACCATCAACTCTCAACTCGATATTCAGGTAAGATAATTTTCTAGGCAGAACTTCATTAAAAAGCAACATATGAATGACCTGGTATGACGTTCATATGTTTCTCAAGCTACTAGGAACTGAAAGACTCAACCTTTTTAGTAGCTCCAGAGTGGTTCCTATAGGGGCAAACTTAGGAGCCTTTGGAAAGTCCCCTCTAAGCACCACTTTACCTACCCCTATAGAGGCCACTAAAGCTTGCAAAAGTAGTCCCTATAGGGTTTCAGTTGATGGCCTTTATAGGAGACATTTTTTTGAAATTGAGAGACCCCTATAGGGTCCACTTGAGCTATATGGGCTAAGGAGTCAGACGCTAAACCCCTATAGGGACCACTCTGAAATTCTTGAGATTCTTAGTTTAAAAAGTTCTGACCGATTGTCAATAGGTTCTAAAGTTCCGATCTAAGAAAAAAATTTCCTTGGCGATATCAAATAATCTCCAGGTAACACACTGGTCGTACGTTTCTCGCGCCCCATTGGAAGTGTAGGAGATCGCCTCTTTTCTTTGGAGGACTGTACCACCTGGAACGTGAGTTTCATCGCGGGACTTCTTATTTTTTCTTCCGGAAATCTTTTGGGACTTAATTAACAATTTCACCACCCATTTTTTTAATTTACCATATCTTAACATGTCAAATTGCACGCCCCCCTCAAAACATGTTTCAGTTCGTGACTGACGGGGACTTCCAAGGCGGCGAAATCGGCTACCACAATACTCCGCCGACCTCCGTCGACGTCTGCGCCAATAAGTGCAGCAGGAAAATTTTCTGATCGAGACTATTTCACTTTGCTTTGCTGCTTGCCATTTCTTCCCAATACGGCGTCTATTTTCCGATTTCTTTTTCAATCAATCCGTTCCAGTTCTTCGGTTCCAGTTCTTTGCAAAATGGTCAGATTCCTTCGATAGGAGCCGCCACACTGAGACTTGATGTGAGTTCAATGAAAGTAGTTTTTTTTGTTGGTGAAATGAAAACCTTTTTGTCTTTTTAACAACTGTCATTTAACTGTTCAAACTTCTGTTCAAGTTGAAAAAGTGTTATTAAATTAGAGCGGGATCAATAGGAGAGCGATTTTGACCGTAAAACTTTTTACCCATTTTTGAAAATGGGAATGTATGTCAAAAAAGCTGTGAAAAACTAGCTAGGAAAAAAGTTTTTGATGGAAAATCAACGGAAAATGACTAGACGCAAAAATTTCATCGCTTGTTAGAAGTCAACAGAGATGGGCGGAACAGTTTTGCAAAATAAAAAATATATACATAGTCTGTTTTTCGCGACGCGGTCCCTAGAGGGCCCTGAGGTTGCCCCAATAAGGACCACTTCCTAAATTTCTTGAGCCTTAAAATCATAGAAAAAAATGGAAGGCTCTATAAAGGGACCCTTTTCGCTGCCTTTTTGCAGCCTTTTTTGAGCCTCTCCCTTTTTGCGGCCATTATCCACCATTCCGACTTTACCCGAGTATGTAGTCTAATTAAAAATATTTCTTTATTTAAAAAAAAGCCCTCTTTTTTTTGGTTTTAAATTTTTATAAGATATTGCTTTTCCGCGCTGTTTTGCCGAACTGTTCAGCCATCTCTTGTAATGAGACACAATTTTTTCGGTTATGTTCTAACGAAAATCTTTATATTTTTTGACTATTTGAATATGAAGAATTGATTCGAGTTCAGGACGTGTGTGCGACCTCGTGTCCCAGAGTCTTCGACACACGCGATCCCATCTCCAACGCCGTCCCTCTCGCATCCATCTACAACAACCGACAATCGAGCAGATTCGACACTCTTCGTGGCGGCCAGAAATAAAAATTTCATGACTTTGCGTTCATCCAGAAAGAAACACAACTCAAATGAGTTTATCATCATCTACAGTGTCATCCACGATCTGATAGCCTTGGCCGCGAACCGTCTTCGCTGTGACCCGGACCGCTCGGGTCGTCGTTCCAGGCAGTTCGTACTTGGCTTCGATTAGGGTCTTCTCTACGATTGACCTGCAATCGCAATAGTTGGAGCCTTTATAAGGGAAATTACTTGAGAGCTCGAGCCCCTGTTTTTCTCTGCGCAGCTATCTTCGCTATTTCTTGTAGGGCACATTTCGAGAATCTGAAAAATATTTTTATTCAAAAACATGATTTCGTTATCGCTCGAATCAACTAGCTTGTCACAAAACATTTTCGAATTACTGTAGACAAAGAAACGTACTCAGGAGCTCCAGAGTGGTTCCTATAGGGGTTAGGAAGAAAAGAACCCTTATAGGAGTCGAAAAAGTGGCCCCTATAGGGGTTAAGGATCTGACCCCTTAGCCTCTAAAGCTCAAGTGGACCCTATAGGGAACTTCGAATTTATTTTAAAACGCTTATTCATTCAATTTTTCGAATGCAAAGGCTTCTTCTTGAAGTTCATAAAAGTTTTCGACTAGCGTGTCCCCTTTAGAGACCACTTTTGCAAGTTTTAGTGGCCCCTATAGGGGTTGGAAAAGTGGTTCCTAGAAAGGACCACTCTGGGGTTTCAAACAATGAACATATATCGTTAGGAAAATTTCAAAAGCGACGCAGATTTTTGAAAAAGCATATAAACAAGAATTCTGACGTGAGCTCGATGTCGTCGAGCTGAAAATAGCGCTGAGCCTGGGAAACAAGGTTGCCGCGTGGTTCGCTCAGCACGTTCATGAGGTGCGACTCATCAAGAGAGTGGAAGGGAACGATCACGGGGAAACGGCCGACAAGCTCCGGGATCATGCCGAATCTGCAAGTGAGTCATGATGTTCGAAAAGAAGAGAGCTGACCCACCGGATCATATCTCCTTGGTCGCACTGCCGAAGTAGTTCGTCCTTGACTTTCGAGGAGATTCGTTCATCGTCGCCGTCAAGCTTCTCGATGCTTTCCGTCGACATTCCTCCAAAGCCGAGGGTCCTAGAGACGGTTTTTAGAGAGCTCATCCATTAAGCTGATTCACGGCCAGACGCTAAGGGGGCGTGGCCTGTCTGCGCTCTCCACGAGTCAGGAAGTGTCTCGTGCATTATCTTTTCGGGACCCTTTTTTCGATAGCTCAAGCCAGCCGTGAATCAGCCATAAATACACTCATACTATGCACCTTTTCTCTATACGTCTTGCAACAACTCTTTCGATATTAGAGAAGGCTCCGGATGCGATGAAAAGAATGTTAGTTGTGTCGATTTCCACCTGTAATTTCAAACTGAACAATCCTACGAAGACTTATCTAGCCTTGCGCTTGGATTGTAGTGGATCTTTTATCCTGAGGCTAGTACCCTCAACGAGTTTTAATAAAGCTTGCTGAACACCTTTGCCTCCGACGTCTGCAAGTGTGCCGGGCTTTAAAAAAATTTTTAAAAAAATTGGGCAAAGTGGGACTTTTATTGAGCCTCTTATATGACTTTGAGGCTCAAGAAATTTAGGAAGTGGTCCTTATTGGGGCAACCTTAGGGCCCTCTAGGGACCGCTTTATCAACCTCTATGCGGGCCACTAAGCTCGCGAAAGTGGTCCCTAAAGGGGTTTTAGTTAGTGGCCCCTATAGGGAACATTCTAGTCAATAAATGTGATGAGCTCTTAGCGAAGAAGCATTTCCATGGGAAAAACTGAATAACTGAGCGTAGTTGAATGAAATTGAGAGACCCCTATAGGATCCACTTAAGCTTCAGAGGCTAAGGGGTCAGACCCTAAACCCCTAAAGGGACCACTTTTTTGATCCTTAACCCTTATAGGGTCGAAAATAAAGGTGAACCTCTATTGCCGGCCGTGTGCATCGGATCGGCTGACGTGTACAGTTTGTCAAACTCGTCGAGAAAAACAATGCCGCGCTGAAAAAAGAACAAAAAACATGAATAAAAGAACAAAAGTTCGGACTTGACATCGGTCGACGTCGTAGTCAGCAGCTTCGAAGAGCTTCTGGATGACCGTGTCGACGTCATCTCCGACGTAGCCGGCTTGGGTGAGGGTCGTGCAGTCGCACACAACTGGAACAAATTATCGGACTATTCTAATAGTCAGTGTTAAAACACTTATTAGCTGGATTGGAAAGTAATTGGAAATCATTTGGGAATTTGTTTTATTCTAGCCAGTCAGTGTTGGATTTAGCACATATATGAACCAAAGGCCGTTAAGGAAAATGCGAAAAGAACCACTTTTAAAAATTCATTAAACTTTGATGAAAGATTTTTCGGAGAAACTTGATTGCGATATGAAATTTCACGCCTTTACTTGTTAGCCAAGTTTGGACGAAAGTATACCTAGGAATTCCAGAGTGGTCCCTATAGGGGCAACGTTTTGAAGGGTCCTCTCAAGGGGCCACTTTACCGATCCCTGTAAAGGTCACTAAAGCTCGCAAAAGTGGTTTCTATAAGGATTTTAGATAGTGACCCCTATAGGGGACATGTCAGTCGTGAATTCCTATGAACTGCAAAGAAATTTCCATGAGAAAAACCAAAAAATAGGCGTTTTTTGAATGAGATCCCTATAGGGGCCCCTTAAGCTTTAGGGGCTAAGGGGTCAGACCATAAACCCCTATAAAAACCACTTCGAATTACACCTATAGGGACAACTTTTTCGCTCTTTGTTGGTGGTGTTTTTCAAAGTTCTCATGGTAGATTTTGTGACGAAATTCAAAAAGAGCCGTCGGTTACGATAGATTTTGATAAACTATTGAAAATACTTTTTATATTCGAAGCCAGAAAAAAAGAACCTAAAGGAACATCGAGTATTTCTGCAAGTTTCTGAGTTATGTAAGTCTTTCCGGTTCCTGAAGGTCCCATAAGTACGATATTCGCCTTCTCCAATAGTATATCCTGAAGAATAATAATGCTCAAAGGTTTGAAGATTCCAGCAACTTCTCTTTTTTGAATTTCTTTTAAAATTTGTCGTTGGGACTTCTTTTGTGGCGGAGTCCTCCTGGAAGATATTATGATGAGTATTCATCAGAAAATGGAGAAATTGAGTAGAAAAAAAAACAGACTCTTCGTCTTCTGCTGCGGGTCCACGAAGACGGAGTTCAGCAAAGGCCCATTTCTGTGAGAGAAGGTCTCGATTTCAATGTCCCAAGACACCCACAGTCAAAGCTTTTTCGTTGTTTTCGAGACGTCGGAAATGTTGGTACACGCCGACGGCCAGGCTCCTTTTTGCATCGCTTTGACCTACTACCAGTTTATCGAGGTGAGCCACGATTTCCCTTCAAATATTGTTTTTATTTCTGAAAATTCTGTTTCATTGATCTTTTTTGAGGTTCTTTCAAGTTTAAAAACATTTCGTTTTCGAAAAGTTTTTTTTTTCAAAGCTCGAGGTTGTACAGACTGTAAAACTTCATACCATCTCAGGAATTCTAGAGTGGTCCCTATAGAGGTCAGGGAAGAAAAGAGCCGCTACAGCAGCCGAAAAAGTGGTCCTTGTGGGGGTAAATTCAAGGTGGTTCCTATAGAAGTTTCTCTGATCTGGAGCGCATGAAGGCGCGCCCGAAAATTTCTCTGCCGCATGCTGTTTCGTCGTTTTCTCGCAGTCAGAGAGTGAAGAAATAGCATGCGGCAGAGAAAAACTCGGGCGCGTCTTTAGCCGCTCCAGTTCAGAATTAGGGTCTGACACCTTAGCCCCTTAAGCTTAAGTTGTCCCTATAGGGTCCCTAATTTTCATTCAAAAAGTTTTTAAGGAATTAATAAGTGGTCCATAGAGGGTACCCTTCAAGGGCCCAGGATTGCCCCTATAGGGGCCACTCTGGAGCTCCTAAGATTTTGTACGCAGGGGCCAAAAAACATTTCGAAAATTTCCAGCCGTTCTCATATTTTTCAGAAAGTAACTGGAACGAATGCAAAAAAAAAAAACGTTATCAGAAAGAGTGGAACAATTAGTGGTATACAGGTTTTGACTTGTAAACTTGAAATCGGGTCAAAGTTTGTCGAAGACTCGCCCTTCCGCTAATTACAAAAAAAAAACACTTTTGACTTCCATAAAAGTTGATGACGCAGTTCCTAAGGAAAACGTTTGAGTGTTACTTGGGAAAGAGAATAGATGAAGACTCGGCATTGTTCGACTGTTGGAAGGGTTGGAGAAAACTTGGAGGAGCGTGAGTTAACGAGTATTGAACACCCTGAAAACGTTTTGAACTTCCTATTCAAGAAAAAAAAAATAAATAACACTGTGTTTTAAGCGAATTGCCCTACGAGATTTTCTACTCGTTCCTCTCGGAGTCCTGAAATTCTCTTGAGTTACGGAACTATTTTTCTGCAACCTATATGGTAGGCAGATTTGAGACGTCGTCGAGAATGACCTCGGTGTTGATCCGGCTGAAATATGAGGATAGTTTACTTCGGAGCTCCAGAGTGGTCCCTAGAGGGGCCCTTGAAGGATCCCTCACTTTACCAACCCCTGTAGGGGCCACTAAAGCTTGCAAAAGTTATCCCTATAGGGAACATGCTCTTCGCTAGTTGTTCTGAACTCTAAGCGAAGAAGCATTTTCATGTGAAAAACGCAATAAATAAGCGTTCTTGAATGAAATTGAAAGACCCCTATAGGATTCACTTGTGATTTAGGGGCCAAGGGGTCAGACCCTAAACTTTTACAGGGACCACCTTAATTTTACCCCATAGGGACCACATTTTCGGACCCTATAAGGGTTCTTTTCCGCCCTAACACCTCCAGGAACCACTCTGGAATCTCAGTACGTGTGACTTATTTGATTCGCAACAGACTGTAGTTTTTGAACTATTTATCAGAGAAAAAGCTATTGAGCAGGAATTTTCGTCATATTCTCAAATGAGAGATCTTCTGAACTGAACAGAGACTGAGGACGAGAAATGGGCGGGCGAGTCGCATAGCTGTGCTGGCAAGAAATGATTGCCTTCCGTCATCGCCGACGTCATTCTCGAGGTCAACCTTCACGTCGACCAACTTTTTCTGCTATTTTTTCATCCGCTTGTCTCCTGAAAAATGAAGCAGTTGTTGAATTTTGTTTGACCCTGTTTTTCCAGTCAGTTTCCTTTTTTTCTCAACTTGTTTAAGAATACCTATTTTCAAAAAAACGGTCCAACTCAGTTCGAAATATTTCGATCGTTTTCAAGGTAATGACCGGAAACTTCCCAAAAAACCTGAAAAGAAATGTCGTCACAAACTATTTTCATTCGGGAGAAAGTTGCCCACCACACTGTTACAACAACAAACTGCCCTTTTGTGTTGCTTTTTTGCCGCGTTCTGTCGCCTGGCGCTTCACCTCTTTTTCTCGTTTACCGCACTTCGACCACGTCACAGCTTCAGTTGCCGTGTTCGACCTCTTCACCCACTTATTCCTCTTCGTCTTCTTCTGCTTTTTTTCTTTATCGCAGACGCCGAGATGACCGGCGTCCGCCCCGTTGATGCGAAAAACCTTTCTACACAAGGTAATTTCTAGTCAATTTGTAAACAAGTGAAAAAAGTGATGTATATTTACGCTCCATCAACGTAGACTTATCGAGAAAAGGAATGAATTATACTGAGGATTTACCTGAAAATGAATCAGGGTTGTATGATAACATAGACAAAGTCGGAAAGGGTGGAAAAATGTTCCTTTTTGCTACCTTTTGCGCCATTTCAGCGACCCTTATGCACCATTTTTGTTGCCTCTACCTACTTCCCCCATTTCTTGAGCCTTTAAAATCCCGGAAAAATGGAAGAAACCTTTTCTGCTGCCTTTTTGAGGCCTTTTTTGAGCCTCTCCCTTTTAGCGGCCATTATCCACCATTCCGATTTTGCCCGAGGTTTACAGAAAATTCATTGAGATCTGTGATCCAAATCTAATTCATTATACTATTTTACTGTTGTTTCAGGTACTGATAATACTTTCCGGCCGTGCCTGTCATTCCACAAAAAAAAATAATAAAGAATCTTTAACGTCAATAATCAATAACTGGGAAAACTTTTAGTGACCACTATAGGGTTTTTACGTTTTAGTGGCTACTGTAGTAGTCAAATCAATGGCCATATAGAGGTCTAAGTGCTCCTAAAAGACCACTAAAAGTTTTAATGGCCACTTTAGGGGTCAATGGGTCAACATAACTGGCCCAATCTGTTCGTTTTAAAATTGTCAGAGTTACTAGAAGTAATACTGGATGAAAAACTACTGAAGTGGCCACTAAATAAAGAACCTTCATGGTGGCCACTAAAACGGAAAATAGTGGCCACTGTAAAGGTGGGATTAGTGGCCACTTTAGTGTCCTCTCCAAGTAGTCCTTGGCGAGCCTCTATAGTGGCCACTAAAATTTTTCCCAGAATAGACTTGAAAAGTTCAACTCACCGGATCGACACGACGAAGTTTTTCAGAAACAGAGCAGAATACTCGTTTGGTTCGAGCGATTACGAGTTTCTTCGGCATTTGGTCGCGATTTGTCGCCGATCACGCCGTAGTACTCATCATCGTGTGCAACGTCATCACCCTCATCGGCACCTTCAAGGTCGCGACAACTCCGTGAGTTCTGCCTATGACTTGCATTTCCCGTATAGGCGAATCAAGAAAGGGTATCTTTAGAAACTCCAGAGTGGCCCCTAGAGAGACATCCTTAGAGACCCTTGGAGGGTTTTGAGTGGTATCTTCGTGGGCATATTAGGGTACCCTCCCGATTCGCCTGTGGGTCTCCCATAAAAACGACGTGTTTACAGAAATGAGAACGACATCACGGGTTATACACCATATGGAGCCAGAGCTCGAGATGAGTTCGATGTGAGATTTACTCCCATTTTTCAATCAGAAACCGAAAAAGCCCAGGTCATGACCGACTTCTTTTCTCGAAACGGCAACGGCGTTGCCGAGTTCCTCCTTGTTCTACCGAAACAAGGAGAAAACGTTCTGGAGCCTGAAATTTTGAAGGAGATCTTACGGGTTTTTCAAACCAGTCTAATTTTGATCTAATGATTTTAAAGGTAGAGAAAATTTTAACCACGCAGTTTACTATGGAAAACTCATCGGGAGCCAACGAAACGTACAGGGAGTTCTGCAACAGTTTTTGTCAGATTAACGACCCTTTCGTGCAATTTGCTGTGAGAGGCCAGTTCTTTTGAGTTGTATAATTGGCCTGTTCAGAAAACTTTTATTGCAAGTCAGAAAATGCAGGCGAGTGGCCAGAAGAAACTAGATCGAGTTCAATTGGACTACCCTATCTCAACATTGTTTTCCAGAAAAATGAACATCCAGGTTGAAGAAAAATAATTACTTTTTTTTCATATTTTGTGTTTCAGTCAAACTTCTTCGGTGTGGAGCTTCATGAGGATGAAGCCAATACAACTCGCCGGATATCAAATATGAAAAGCTCAAAATTGGTTGCTTTGCAATTGAGAGCCGAGCGGAAGGCCGGCTGGACTACCAACCAGGTCAAGCAGTTCGAGACTCAAGTCACGGAGTACTTCAAGAAGTGAGAATTCATCGAGTGCTATCTATAGTTTTGATTTAGCAACTTCACGTCGTCTAAAGTCAGAGTGCTAACCTTATCGACGACATTCGTCGAATCAGAAGTGGGTCAGGCTTAGGAATCCCAGAGTGGTCTCTATAGGGGGCAGGGAGAAAATAGCCTCTGTAGAGGCCGAAAAGTGGTCCCTATAGGGGTAAAAACAAACTGATCCTTATTCGGGGGCTAACACCTTAGCCCCTAAAGCTTGAGTGGTCCTTATATGGGGTATTTTGATTTCGTTTAAAAAACGCCTAGAGCCCGAAAAAGTGATCCCTATAGGGGCAAAATCAAGATGTTCCATATAGAGGTTTGGAGGCTGACTCCTTAGCCCCCAAAGCTTAATTAGTCTCTTTAGGGAGTTAGTGTCGGACCAATTAGCTCCTAAAGCTTGAATGGTCCCTATAGGGGTCTTTCAATTCCTTCAAAAACGCTTAAAGGTCAAAAACATAGTCCCTAAATGGGTAAAATCAAGGTGGTCCCTTTAGAAGTTAACGGTCGGACCCCTTAGCCCCTAAAGCTCAAGTGGACCCTATAGGGATCTTCCAATTTCATTTAAAAACGCTAATTTGTTTGGTTATTCAAATCAGAGGTGGAGGATGGCTGCCCACTGGCCGCCCTGCCTGCCAAGCCATAAACGCCCAAAAGCAGAAATGACTTTTTCAATAGTAAGTCAATGAATCATTTCTATCGCTTGGCCCAATGGCTTGGCTTGGCCGCCAAGCCAAGGGCTGCCTTCCCAATCCTCCACCTCTGATTCAAATGACAACGCTTCTGTGAAAAATTCATGAAAGTCATTCGACTACAATGTCCCCTATAGGGGCCACTTTTGCAAGCTTTAGTGGTCTCTAGATGGGAGCCTTTCAAGAGCCCTAAGGTTGCCCCTATATTGACCACTCTGGAGCTCCTAAGTACACGGATAGTAGGTTGTTCGAGCCGGAATGTCGCTTCTGCCATTTCTCGTCGTTGGATTCGTCATAATGGCCATCGTTTCCACCATAACCACGATGCTATCGGCTCTCTACATGCAACAAGTCTCTATTCACAAGGTTCGAGTTTTTGGCCTGTGAACAAGGTTCCTAACTTGACAACGAGGAGCTTTTCACTAGACCCAACATTGATCTTCACCATAGACGTCTGATTTCAGTTTTCATTGGCGATTTGCGCATGCATCTGCCCGTTTATGGCCTGTGGGACGGCTCTGGGAGCCATGTTTTTCTGTGGCTTCAGATTCGGTTCGATCCTCTGTGTGACGCCATTTTTAGTACTAGCAATCGGTTCCTCAACTGTCCATCGCTTCACGAGAATATCACTTTCAAGGAGTTGATGATGCCTACTTGATGATCCACGCCTGGCAAAGAGTCACGGCGAAAAGACGCCATTTTCCAGTTCCCGGGGATTCTCCGGCTTCTCGACTTGCGGAGGTAGAATCTCAAACGATTTTCAGCATTTCTAACTGCTCAGGTACTTGCTGATACTGGACCGGCCATTCTCATTTCGGCGTTGACCAACATTTTGGCCGACACGGCCGGGACCTTCACTTCCTCACCGGAAGTCTCTCTCTTGGCCTATGGTAACATGGCGTGCATCGCTGTGGATTTCGTCTATCAGGTACTCAAAGAATCAAAGGTTCAAACGCTCTCTAGATAACTTTCTACGCCGCGATCATGACGTTGGCGGGTCATTTCGAGATGAAATCGGAAAAGGAAAGAGATCAGACGAGTCCAGCGAAGGCTGAAGAACCTCAAGGGGTAACCAAGGGATTCTCAATTTCAAGTCAAATTATTTTATAGAAAAGTTTCAACGTTGTCGTGAAACGAACCTTTGAAGAATTCCTCAACGGCTACATTTCTTTCGTTACAAACACAGTCTTCGGAACCTTGGTCGTCCTGGCGTGGGCAGCTTTTCTGGCCACGTCGATATATGTACAACAAAAAACCGAGATGTTATCCGTTGTTCGAAATTCAGGGAATAACGATAATGGAGGTCAATCTGTCGCCCAAAAAACTGTTCAAGGCCGACTCTGCACTGCAAGAGGTGCAGAGACATTTATGACTGCAGTTAAAAAAAAAATTAATGTGAGATGTTGGTTAGGGAGTCCATCGAGTGATATCAGGAACTCAGAAAATGGGGTCTATGTTTAATGAGTAGGGGGTGCCTAAAAATTTAATAAAAAAACTTTGGATAATAGTCGAAAAAAACGTTCCAGTCAAAGTTCATGTAGGTCTGTTTTCAACTGTTTATTGCATCTTCAATGTAAGAGTACATGTGCAATCGACTTTCATTGATTTGACTGTGTTTAAACGGCGGCAGAAGCTGTGGCTTAGGCAGAGAAGTTGTGAAATCCGCGCGTAGAACATCAGGTATAAGAGAGGTCGTAGGAAGAAGTACGGTGCCGGCTTTCCAAAGGCCGATGGCAGAGATTGAGCCTTTCGCTGCATGCAGCTTCCAATATTATCTACCCCGGAGGGATGAAAGGCTTGGTCGACCTCGGGGGGACTCGAACCTACGACCTTGCGGACGTTAGAAATGAGTTATGCCAGCTGAGCTATGCCGCCCCGATGTAGTTCATGAAGGAGTAAATTTTTATTTTTCGCTTGTATTGCATCAATTTTTAAATTTTTTCTATAGTCCGTTTTTCGCGAATTGAAAAGACGGGACGTCTCTGCGCCCTCCTTATCTCTCGACGCCTCTCTCATGTTTACGTTCTATTTCCATGTTTCTCTGACCTCGCCGGGGAGGGAACAGAGAGACGCAGACACGCTAAAACTGTCAAGTCATGGCTTATCCTGATCATTTTTCTTCTTCGCGCTCAGTTTTAACCTTTGCTAAAATCCAGATGGACGACCTTCGAGTGCAGTACGTCATTCCGCACTACTCGTTGGCGACCGTTTTCATCTCAAAGCCCGGAAATCTTTCCGATGAGAAGCGAGTCGCACTCCTCGACAACATGGTTTCGGAAATGGAAAGTCTGAGTGGCAGTTGGGGAGCTCCCAGCACCAACTATTTCCTCAGGTTAGTTTTTTTTTCTTCTCAGCGTCCTGAATGTCAAAAGTGTTCCAGAGACTTCAAAGACTTTGACGACAGCATGAAGGAGTTCGAGGGGAAAACCGAGTCGACGGGAGCTGTCTCGATGGACAACATGCCTGCGTTTCTGCAATGGCCAGAGTACTCGTTTTGGAAAGGCTTCGTTCGGTATCACGAGACCGGGTAACTGTAACTGGCACGAGAAATGAAAGACGAAAATTAAGAGGGAAGATTATTCTTGACAAGTTCTTCATCACTTTCGCTTTCCATGGAGAGCAGCTACGTGTGTGGCTGGCTCGCGGAGAAATGCTCAAGTCTTGGAGGAACGTCATCGACAAATATAGGTAACATTGCACCTGATAATTAGTTATCTTGAGTTTGACACTTTTTATTAATTTTTTTATCTTTGAGAATTTTTTTTCTTGATGATGATAAACAAGCTTTCGAATGAACCCCATATATTATCATTGCGAGGAAAATCATGTAATTTTCGCTTGTCAAAAGTTTTCTTTTAAAACTCCACTGCGTTTTTTTTTTTTGACGACGCCCCGCCCATATTTTTTTCCGTAAAGTCTAGTGTGTCGTGTGCATGCACTGCGGCGCTCTGGCACATGTCGCGTTCTAGTAATTTTCGCGAAATTCAAAAATGAAAATGTTTCAGCTATGTTATAAATGAGCAAATATTTACTCTTTTTCTATTGTTAGCTTCACAAATTTTTTTGCCCATCTAAAAATTAGAAAAACTTCGGCAGTATGCAAATATTCGCCAGCGGTAAATGCACAAGAAACATCTTATTTGACGAGTTTTTTGTAGCTCTGGAAGCACCGTGTTTATCGAAGATAACAAAAGCTTCGAGAGAACGGCAATAACTGTAATAAAAACTTTCAAGCCGAAATTTTCCAATAAATAATCAACTTCTTGTGAATTCAGAACCGAGTTCAATGCTTCCGCCTACTCGGACGACGGAATTTACTTGGATCTCATTGATAACATGCCTACTGACTCTTGGCAGGTCGGAAAACACTTCTGAAAGCTTTAATGGTTCTTCTTCGAGACCAAAATGAACGACTTCAAGCGAAAATTTTCAGAGAAATATATTTATTTTGAGAAAAATTTAGAAAAGATTTGAATTTGGAACGAGTAATAAATAAATAAACGTTTTTCGAAAGCCGGTTTCAGTCGGCTGCTGCGACGTTGGCATGCATGGCGTTGATCTGCTTCGTCTTTATGTTTGACCTCTTCACGGTGTTCGTCGCCACTGGGATCATCGCCAGCATCATGACCGGTTCGTCCTGAGTTTCTCTTGAAAACGAGAGCTCATTGCAGGAATCCTTGGGATGTTGTCGTTGACGGGCACAGATCTGGACCCTATCGTTATGTCGGCGCTGATAATCTCTATCGGGTTCTCCGTCGACATCCCTGCTCACGTCGCCTACCACTATCACAGCGCCGGTTGGTCACCAGTGCAAAAAGCAATGAAACAAAGTTGAAAGCTTTTAGGGAGTGGAAATCCGGAAAAAGATAAATTTTCATAATTAGAGTTGTGCTCTGGGCCGGGGCTGGCCAAAATTCGCCATTTTTCGTACCTTTTGTCACAAAATTTTCACAGAATGTGTAAATGGGGGATCGGAAATGCATGATTTAGAAAAAAATTATGGAATGAGATGAAAAATTTCGCAATTGCGACTCATTGGTCCGACTCGGCCCAGCGCACAGCTCTGCTCATAATGGAGAAATTGATGGACAAAAAAAAATGAATTTTGAGAAAAAAAAAACACATTGAAACTTTAGAAATCGTGGTGGGAGTCGCAAAGACAATGTTTATAAATTGAAAAATGTATTACTTGTGCTCCTCATTCAGGAAGGGACCTAGCTCCTAGTGGGCGTCTTCACCAGACACTGTCTTCAGTCGGCTTTCCGGCCATTCAAGCCTCTATTTCCACTTCCTTATGTGTCCTCTCGCTCAAACTCACCGACGTCTACATGTCAAACGTGGGTTTTTATTGTCACATCACAGCTTAGAGAAGTTCTGCTACATTTGTTGATTCCAGGTTTTCGTAAAGACGATGATCATCTGTATGGGACTCTGTGTGGTGCACGCTCTTCTTCTGTTGCCATGCCTTGTCTCTCTCTGCCATACTTTATTCCTGAAATTAGGCCGATCTCGAAGCTCTTGATTGAGATTTATTCTATTCTCAATTCGGAGGCTTACTAATTTTATATTCACTTGAAGCGTTTTTCTAGCAATGATCTCGAAATCTTCATACTGCCAATATAAACATCTTCAACGTGTTGTATAAATATATTAATAAATTTTTATAATGCACAACAACTCATCATTGTTATTATTGGAAATAAATAACAACTACACCAAAAAGAGCTGTTTCACCTTCATAATATTTTTTTTTTTTATTATGTAATCAGTAATTTGGAGTTCACCTCTCAAAATGGTTCCTGAATTATTTTTTTACCGTATGTGAATTTTTTTTCACAACATATTCTTCGAGCTGACGAGATTTCGAACATTTCAGGAACTATTATCACGGCGTTCCCAAACGGGGTGGCAAGACGTCAAAAAAATTTTGGCGCGAAATTTGAAATCTACAGTACTTAAGCTGAAGGCGATCGGACAAACAAGTTATTAACGTTGATGCCGTGTTCAAAGTAATTTCGGGGAATCGAAAAATAAAAAAAAGTAACGATTTTCTCGTTTAATTTGAAAACCCGAAATCCTGAAAATTGGCATTTCGAGGGGCCGCGACGCGCCTGCTACGCGGGTGCTGCAGCATTGGGTCTCGCAACGATCAAACGCGGAAAAAAAGGAAATTTTCAAAATTTTTCGCAATTAATTTTTTTGTTTTTTTGTTGATTTGATTATTGTTTTCATTATGGCGCGTTCAGGAGCAAAACGCGAAATTTTTTTCGAAATTCAAAAGAGCGTTCACGGCGATACTTCGCAATTAGCGAATTTCGATTTTTTTGAGATAATTTCGAGATGATTTTTTTCTTCTTTTTTTCTTTTTTTAGATAATTTTTTTCTTTTTATTTTTTTCAATTTTTCAACCCGTTCAAATTTATTGATTTTAGAAATAGTACGAATGAAAGCCTTAAGTTAATTTTTTTCGACTGTCTGAACTTAAAAAAAGTTCAATTTTTTTCTCAAATTTCGAATTTATCGTGTTTATTTTTCCAACGGATGTATCAGAGTGTTTGAAGTTGCAGGTCTCTAAACTATGGCGGGTATTGGATTACCGAAAGTGCTAAAGTTGAAAAAAGGTAATTTTCATTCAAAAAACTTTTTCGCAGTTATTTTTTACAAATTTTGATTCTTTTCACAAAAAAAAAATCTTAGACTCGTTAGGGATGCACGAGCGGCTCGTGTGAAGGTAACGCAAAATTTTCGTCTCTACAGTCAAGCATAAATTCGTGAGTTCTCTTATTCTTCGATGTTATTTTCTTTCATTTTCAATATGTCTTGTCAATATGTCTTGTTCATTTGTAAACGAAAAATGAATACCACGGTTCAACCGATGGTATGAAAAAAAGAACAGCAAAAGTTCGAACGACCACTTCTCCGATTATTTCATATCGCTAGGGAACTTTCCGACTAATCTTTTATCGAATTTTCTTCTCAATAAACTTTTCGTTTTAAATATCCCTATATAAAGTAGGCAAGTTATTCATGTTTAAAACACAAAAAAATAGGAAAAAATATGTTGATAGATGTTTTATAAACCGAAAAAAATATAAGGGAAAAAAAGTCGGAAAAAGGGATCCGTCGGAGAGGTGGCCGTCGGAAAGTTCCCTAGCGATATGAAAAAAATTCGGAAAAAGGGCGAATTTTGTTTGAATTTCTGCTTGTGTTTTTTTCATACCACCGTTCAACCAGCTTTTTCCTTTCTGGAAAAAAATTTCTTCTGCTTACAGACCTAGACGAACGGTTTACGAAGGACTCGCCGAAAGACTACACGTGAAACTTGGATCTTTCCTTATGGAACTTTTTCTAATAAAAAAATTTCATTGTTTTTCTTCTGCCTTTCAGAAACATCTCATCACAAAAACAGTTTCTGTTGTTAGGTTTTTTTAATTTGATTAACTAAGCAGCTTGTTTTTTTTACATTAATTTTTTTCAAGAAGGTAATGCTCATCATCTTTATTCAAACAAATGATAGAGAAAAATAAACGCGTAATAAAAACAAAAACAAAAATCATTGAAAGAGAAGTTAAAAAGCTGTGTATTTGACAAAAATCGAGACATGGTAAATTCCAAATTTATCCGGCTGGCCACAAACAACAATGTCTTGTTCGAATGAGCTGAAAAAAATTCAATACTTTTCTTTTTAATGAAATGAACCAGTTATTGAAAAATTGTATAGATAAAAAAACCTTCCATTTTCTTCTTGACCGTTGCGTCGAAATTCACGAATTTATGCTTGACTGTAGAGACGAAAAATTTTTGCGTTACCTTCACACGAGCCGCTCGTGCCTCCCTAACGAGTCTAAAAATTTTTTTTGTGAAAAAGAATCAAAAAAATTGTAAAAAAATAACTGCGAAAAAAAGTTTTTTTGAATGAAAAATTAACCTTTTTTTCAACTTTAGCACTTTCGGTAATCCAATACCCGCCATAGTTTAGAGACCTGCAACTCCAAACACTCTGATACATCCGTTGGAAAAATAAACACGATAAATTCGAAATTTGAGAAAAAAATTGAAATTTTTTTAAGTTCAGACAGTCGAAAAAAATTAACTTAAGGCTTTCATTCGTACTATTTCTAAAAATCAATAACTTTGAACGGGTTGAAAAATTGAAAAAAATAAAAAGAAAAAAATCATCTAAAAACAGAAAAAAAGAAGAAAAAAATTATCTCGAAATTATCTCAAAAAAATCGAAATTCGCTAATTTCGAAGTATCGCCGTGAACGCTCTTTTTGAATTTCGAAAAAAATTTCGCGTTTTGCTCCTGAACGCGCCATAATGAAAAACAATAATCAAATCAACAAAAAAACAAAAAAATTAATTGCGAAAAATTTTTGAAAAATTTCCTTTTTTTCCGCGTTTGATCGTTGCGAGACCCAATGCTGCAGCACCCGCGTAGCAGGCGCGTCGCGGCCCCTCGAAATGCCAATTTTCAGGATTTCGGGTTTTCAAATTAAACGAGAAAATCGTTACTTTTTTTTATTTTTCGATTCCCCGAAATTACTTTGAACACGGCATGAATATTCAGTGTAATTGTGACGTAATTTTATCCGTAGCGCGCACTAAATTTTTTCTGTAAATTCAGAAACTTTGACGCCTCGCTCACCTTCCCTCACCCCTCATTAGGAATGCCGTGTTATCCTAAAATTGCAAATTCAAAAATTGAAAAAAATTTTTGAGTATGCGACAGTGCGTCTCGGTGTGTTTACACCCAAAGCATCATAATTCACGAGACGTCTTGACTTGCGTATTAAAAAAAAAACGCCGTGAACCAATTTTGAATTATATAATTCTTTATGGCGTGTTCATCGGAGAAAAAGAACATGCTTCAAAACGAAAAATCGTGTTCATCGGCGCGCCAAAGTTGCTTCAAAACAGTACTAATTTTTGTTTTGGAGCGTTTTGTCCAATGAACACGCCATTAATTTTTCAGTACATGACATCTATTTTTTTTTTCTGTGTTTCGATTTTTTTTAGTTTTGGCTGGGAAACTTGTGTTCTCAGCTTTTGTATGTGACGAATTAATGCTTTTTTTTAAATGATAAATCATTTTTTGATAGCTCGTTATCAAAGTTGAAGTCTATTGTCTTTTATCTAACTAAAGCTCCCTTATTCTATGTTGTATCGTTTCAGCTGTTTCTTGGAAGTTTCTGAAAATAATGCGCCAAGCGCTCACAATTCACCACGGTTTCATTGAAACAGTGGGTCGAAGAACGCATTGTTGTTGTGCCGTGTTAGGTCGTTTCTTTCGCTGGTCTCCCCCGCTGTTTTATTGATTGCGATCAAACTGATACCATCGGCCTTTGCGATAAGTTTCTCTCATACTTGGTTCCGGTTAAAGCTATTGCCGTGCATCTTGAGATCGAGTTCTTATTTATTTTTTCTTTTATCTTGTTTTTGATTTTCAAACTGTTCGCCGTCGTGTTGGTGTCCACTATTGATTTAATTCTGCGTTGTTGACTTTTTGTGATCACTCGTCTAATGGTTAAGGTGAGATGTCCGGTGAACAGGCGAGCAGCCAATATGGCATCGAGACGGACTCGATGACGTTGCAGCGCTTCGTACTGCAGGTTTCAGTGTTCAATAGGTGTTCAGAAGCATTCAAATGATCGCAGGAACAAAAGTTCTACCCAGAAGCGAGCGGAGAACTTACCAGTCTTCTCACTTCGATGCTCGTCGCAGTGAAGGCGATCGCGTCAGCCACACAAAAGGCTGGACTCGCTAAACTGTTTGAAACCATTTGAAAAATCGTGACTACAATCTGAAGTCAGGTACGGAATCGCGGGACAAACGAACGTTCAAGGGGAAGAGGTGAAGAAGTTGGACGTGTTGAGCAACGAGTTGATGATCAACATGCTAAAGAGCAGCTACACGACCTGTCTGCTCGTTTCCGAAGAGAACGACGAGCTCATTGAGGTCTTTTCTTTACTACTTTCCTCTCTCTTCAACTGATTTTCAGGTAGAAGAGAAAAAGCGCGGTAGCTACATTGTGACTTTTGATCCCCTCGACGGCTCTTCCAACATCGATTGCCTAGTCTCTATCGGAACTATTTTTGGCATCTACAAAAAGGTATGTTTTTTCATTAGTTTTTTTTTTGAGCCGTATTACTGTGAAACATGAAAATCTATATGACACCTCAAAACCTGTAAATCGATCCTCTTTTTCAACTCATCGAAATTTTTTTCTGAAATAGCTGAATTTCTCATTGTGATTCAATGTCATTTAGTTTATAGATTTAAACTGTTTCACATGAAAAATAGGTCAAGTTGAGAAGATACGTAGCAAAATTCGCATCGCTTTGATTTTTTATTTTCTGGTTTGAATAACTTTCAAATTCACGGTTGCGAGTGGTTGGTCTATTTCTTACCTAGTCGAAAGCAGAAAAAAAAATTTTTTATAAGATTGCAAAATTTTCCAAGCATTGACGCGAAGCTCGGCGAAAGTTGCAAGCGACACCTCTTAAGAAAAATTAAACTTTAAAAAAAAGACCTCATCTTCAAAAATCAGTTGAATAGAGTGTAGTCGAATCACCGCTAACTTGAGACGTAAATGGGCGTGGCCTGTCTGCACCCTCCACCGACCAGGCACTGCCTCTTTTCTTATCGTGTCAGGACCCTTTTTTCGATGGCTCAAGCCAAATGTGGATCACATATAAAAACTACAATTTAAAAAAATACAGGCTTTTTTTAGTGGCAAAGTAGAGAGGTATGTAGAAGCAAGCTAGAGGACAGGGAAAAAAGTAAACTATAAATAGGCTTACTTGTTAAAACATTCAGAAAGCAAGGCTCATCATACATGAATTTCGTTTTTGAATCTTCACTGAAATGTTCATAAAAATGGTCTATGAAAACGTGTCTCTCTTCGTCAGAGATCGGAAGGCGAGCCCAATGAGTCGGACGTCCTCCGTCCTGGCAAAGAGATGGTGGCGGCTGGATACGCGCTCTACGGATCGGCCACCATGGTGGTGCTCTCGACGGGTAACGGCGTCAACGGCTTCACTCTGGACCCAGTGAGTTGGGCGGAGAGTTTGGGACAGAATACGTCAGTTCTAGTCGATCGGCGAGTTCATTCTCACCCATCCGAACATGAAGTGCAAGTCGAAGGGCTCCATCTACTCTTTGAACGAAGGTTACGCGAAAACCTGGAGCAAGGGAATTACAGAGTACATCCGGACCAGGAAGGATCCTGAGCCTGGCAAGAAGGTTTTTATCTTGATTTTTTTTTTCGTGTGATTAAGTGTAGTATTGCCTTCAAAACCTAAATTCTCGGTTTTTTTTTCCCGACAGATCCTACGGCATATCTTAGATGGTTTCGCGATATCTTTTCTCGAGTTCCATGTTTTCTTGTTCAATAATTTTTTAGTCGATGGGCCAAAGATACGTAGGCTCGATGGTGGCCGACGTGCACCGGACGCTGCTCAACGGCGGCATCTTCCTCTACCCTCCGACGTCCGCAGCCCCCAACGGCAAGGTTCGGGATTCCGCAAGCCCTTGCACAGCCGAAATTGCAGCTCCGGCTTCTCTACGAGTGCAATCCGATGGCCTTCATCATGGAGCAGGCTGGCGGCTTGGCCACAACCGGAACCCACCGTATTCTCGACATTCAGCCTACCAGCGTACGCTTTTCGTTTTCTCTTTTGATTGCAAGCAACGATACTAGAAGGAGTTTTGGTCCGCGAATATTCGTGAGCGTGAATTGCATACACCAATCAGAAGGAATAAAAATAAGATAGAAGTTCTGCAGCGAATCTTTGACTATGTTTATGCGAGAAAGACGCAGTATTTGATAAAGTTAATTGAAAAAAATCACAGAGTTCATTTTTGGTCGAAAAAGATCCTCACAATAAAACGACAAAGGAGATTTGAGCCTCAAGATTGGTGTATACACAATTCACGCTCACGAATATTTGCGGACCCAAAATCTCTTCCTACTATCCAAGTAACGCGGTCGATTTTCTCACTGCAGATTCACCAACGGGCGCCGATCATTCTCGGCTCCAAAGAAGACGTGGATGAAGCCGTTGAGTTCATCCGCAAATACGACTCATGAACTGACATCTTCACCTTTTCATGTAGATAGGATATTTGGTATTTTTCGTTTTATTATTGACAGGAATTTTAATGAAACAATTTTAAATTGAACTTTGCAAACGGATTTTTGAAAATTTTCCGGGGTTTTGGAATAAAAATGCCACGTCTTCAGTGAGAAAAGTATAAAGTTTTTAATTAGCGGAAATTATAGGCTGGATTGAGCCATCTAAAAAGGGTCCTGACACGATTAGAAGAGACAGTAATTGGTTAGTGGAGAGCGCAGACAGTCCACGTCCTCTAATCCAGGCGTGAATCGGGTATATTAAATTTCATGAAGAAATGATTAAAAGCGTTATTTTTTTGAGAAGGAAAAATGCAAATATGAATATCAGTAGGTACAGCGATTTTTTTTTGGAATTTTGTGTATTTTGAGCCAAGTTTTTTGCCCCGAAATTCAAAAAATATCCCGGTTTTTTTTGGGCTTTTTTTTCTCTGAATTTCCCTCCATTTTCAAACATTTTTCAAAAAATAATTTTCTGCTCTGGTGATCAGTAGAAATAAGATGAATATTGACTTTTTTGGAATTGCAAGGCTTCTCGGACTCGGTAACGAAAATCTGAGCAATTCTATGGATCACTTAAGAGGGATGACACTGATAAAGTGGTCACTAAAAATGCCTAAAGAGGTCACTAGAATTGCCTAAAGTGGTCACTAGGAATGCCTAAAGTGATCACTACAAATGCTTAAAGTGGTCACTAGAACTAAAGTGGTCACTAGAAATGCCTAAAGTGGTCACTAGAAACACGTCCGGTTCGCATTAGCAAGACCCCAGTTTTTTTTCCGAAAATTTTTGATCTATTATTGCTCCAATGATTTCAAGAGCAAAAGAACAAAAGATGTGTGCGGTTTGCCAACTTCACCTCACTTGCCAATTGTACACTTACCGATCAAATAGTCTCAATCAAAAGAAAAGAAGAAAGAAAAATCTGACGCGCAAAGTGCAAAGTACTCTGATAAGATTTGTCAGTGGCGGATAATTGGAGCCGGCGAGGAGACTTATTGCATCAGGACGCGGCGTTGTGATCGCAATGTTTGCGAAATAGCAGCAAACAGCCAGAAGCTGGAAGCCGCTTCGGCGGCGATCCACGCAGCCGAGGCGGACGACGGGAAATCGATGCTCCAGGGCGAGGCTGCCCTTCGTTTTATTCTTCTCAATCGTCTTTTCGTCATCCGACTCCTTGGATGACCGACGATGACGTCGGCTCCGCCCTCCCTTTTCCCTTTTTTTTCTGTCCAAAAAAGGCTATTTACTTTGGCTTCCGTCCAGCCGTGACATTACATGAAGCACCATGAGAATTGACGTTGTTTTCGTCTTTGTCTCCATGGGAGAGAGATGAGTTGTTTTGTTAAAATTGAAGGGAGAGATTGAAGTGTGTGTATTTGCGTAGACCTACAGAAAGCGTGAGAATTTTTGTTTAGGCTTTGGAACGAATTTATTTTGGGATCTCAGCAGTATTTTTATTTATTTTAATCGAATGGTTCTAACTAGGAAACGGTTGAACTATTGATGGTACTTTGCTGAATTGTACTTTAAGGCCTCCTGATTCCAGGATAAGTAAACATTTCCTCCCAATACCCCTTGATTCCGAATTATGGAGCTTCAAAGTCTGCAAAATACGCAAATTATGACAAAAATGCGCTATTTTAAGCTTTCAAAGCATCCTAAATTCCTCGTGAACTTAGCTTTTTACCAATTTCTGAAAACTTTGTAAAAAACCACCTTGATTCCTTGAACCTTTTGGAAGCTTGGAGCATCTGAAATTTGAAGGAGAGCTGACCCCACTCGGGTTCAAATACACTTGAGACAAAGATAATACGGAAATGAAGAAATTGTACAAACAGAAAGGTGAGAAAACGGCTGCGGGTTATTTGAGCGCACACAAAACACGCGGCAAAGACTACCGTACGGCTACGTGTGGATCAGAAAATTACGTGCGGAGCTGCCTCCAAACTTTTTTTGAACTCGCTTTGCAACTTCTCATTGCGATATTTCGTGCTGATCTGCGAGTAGTTCTTTTGTAAGACCTTGAATTTTTTTTTTCACGCTGATTTTTTTATACCCCTTTCTCTTGAAAAATGAAAACGGATACGCCAAAGAATGAAGCGCGGTACCAAGGTAAATTCATCAGACAAAAAAAAAACTCAAGTTCCTGGACCCAAGAGATTATCGAGCGGCGGCTCATTCCTACACATTACAAAAAAGCTCGGCTGCCGCGAAATCGCGCCCGTCTTTTCTTTTCTTCGCTGTTGCTCTTTGCCGTGTCTCGAGAGAATCGATCATAACCAATAATTCAGCTCTTGTTGCATCATTCAGGAACTTCTGAATGGGGCAACTACTCTTTCGAGAAAACATCAACTTTTCAAAGTTTTTTTCCGAGTTCATTTGCGAAGAGAGCACCCGACAGACATTTCTCACTGGAAAAATTGTGACCACATTTCGTATTTCTTCCTTGCAACGTGTTAGCGTCAGCTTAGACTCACACCCGGAAATGATATTCCCAGCCAGACGGTTGATGTCAACTCGATACTTTCAAATATCACTCTATACATAGACAAAGTCGGAAAGGGTGGAAAAAGGCTTCATAGAAATGCTCCTTTTTGCTGCCTTTTTGCGCCATTTTCTTAGCCCTTATGCACCATTTTTTCTCCCCTTTTCACACCATTTTTTGAGCCATTTTTAGAAAAATTGGAAGGCTCGATGAAGGGACTCTTTTCGCAGCCTTTCTGGAGCCTTTTAGGGGATATTATCCATCATTCCTACTTTACCCGAGTAGTCTGATCTTAACGGGTCTCTTCCAAAAAAGTAATTTTGAAAAAAGTGACGATTTCTTTTGATTTCCGCTCTCCAAGCGAATTCCTGATAAGATTATTCCCAGAAAGGATATCTCTATTCCAAAGCTTCTCATCTTCTACTCTCGTGTCCCTTTCATATAATTCCTTTTCGCGATTTTTGCGAGCAAGGATAAAAAGCATATTTTGAAAGGATGGAGGAGTCCCATAAAATGGGTCTCTTTGGAGCCGCCTCCTACGTCATCGGCAACATAATCGGCTCTGGAATTTTCATCACACCTGCCTCGATTCTCAGGTTTTTCTTTCAATATCCTCCTTTTTTTCAATAGATGTATTTTTGAGAGTTCTTGGTACGAGTACAATTTAACCGCCACTGACCATTTGAAAAAACTCGTTCTCCGCTCTTTTTGTACCTATTATATAGTCTGAGTTCTACTACTTGAAATTTCACCGAACGACATTCCGCCGTTCCGCTGCGTGCATTTGCGAAGCGTTTTTCGAATCTATCACGCTTTCAATTGATTGTTATTGCTGTGGGAGCACATGAAATTCGAGTACCTTGATAAAAAAAAAATTAAAAGCACGGCCAAGGTTCGCAAAGGCGCGCAGCGGCACAGCGGAATGTCGTTTGGTGAAATTCCAAGGTTTGGTGGAGTTCCAAGTCGTGGTATACAAGCTATAACATTTTTAATGCACAAAAAATCAACAACGAATAACGAAAGTCCCGCCCCTAGCCCCGCCTCCTTCGCCTTTTAAGTCAGGAAATTTGCATGAAGATCAAATGATATCTGGATCTCAACGAGAATCAAAAATAGGAATTTACAGAAGTACGGACAGCGTTGGCCTGAGTCTGGTGATCTGGGTAGCCTGCGCCCTCATCGCAATACTAGGCATGTCCTCCCTAGAAACCCCAGTATACCACTTGTTTCAGGAGCCCTATGCTACATCGAGTTGGGTACTTCGATTCGCGAAGCAGGCTGCGACTTTGCCTACATTTGCTACGTGAAATGGTGAGTGACGTCTTCAACAACCAAAATGAACGGGTCTGCAGGTACTCGATCGCGTTCGCCTTCATGTGGGTGTCCGTCCTGATGACGTACCCGGCGACGATCGCCATCTGCGCGGAGACCTTCGGCCAGTACCTCATCGAAGGGCTCCGACAGGTTTTTTTTCAACTCTCCTTTCGATAAGTCATTTGCAGTACTACGAGATCGATGACGACTGGGCACCGGCTTGCCAAAAACTCTTCGCCTTTTCTTTGCTTTGTGAGTTTTTAGCAAACGACGGTTTCCTTTTTACTGTCTTTTTCCGTCCTTTCATCGGCCTTTATCCACCCTTTTTGGACCCTTTTGAGAAACACAAATTTTTTTGAATTTTACCAATGACTGTATGGACCAAAATGTGCTACAGTAATAAAATCGGAAATCATCAATGGTTGAGACTTTCAGCACCCTTTTTTCACACTTTTTGAGGGGGGTCAATAAAGGTCGCAAAACGGAACCCTTTTAGCGGCCATTTTGCATCCATTTTCCGCACTTCCGACTTCGCTTGACCTTAGATTTTATGCCTCGAATGTCTTTCGGGAAATTAATTTTTTACAAAAAAATCCAACTGAATCTAGCTGTGACCGGAAGCAGAAATAAATCATCAAAAAAAGACCACGTGTTCCAGGGCTCGTGACATGGATGAACTTCTTCTCACTGAGCAAATTCGCGGCTCGCTTTCAAATCGTGGCTACGGTGGCCAAGCTTCTTTCTTGTTTCCTCATCATTGTCACTGGCTTTTACTATTACTACTTCAAAGGTTTCCTTGGAGTGAAACATGATTACGAAACATTATTCCAGGCTGGCACAGTAACTTGAAAGAGCCAATGAAGGGCTCGAACTACAACACGGGAAACCTGATTCTCGGCTTCTATGGGGGTCTCTGGGCCTACTCGGGCTGGGACGTCCTCAACTACAGCACCGGCGAGATTTCTAAGCCCAAGAGGTTTGTCATTTCCCTTGCGTCGTCCTAGCCTCGATTTCTAGGAACGTTCCGCTGGCTCTTCTCTTCGGCATCGGCGTCGTCACTGCCGTCTACGTCTCCATCAACGTCGCCTATTTCGTTGTTTTAGACGTCGAGACGGTCAAATCGTCGAATGCTGTGGCGGCGGTTTTCCCACTCAAATCCTATATTCTGAATCTTGCCGTTTCAGCTCTTCAGTCAGGCAACCTTAGGCTCTTTGGCCAATATCATCCCATTCCTGATCGGAATTCTGTTGATCGGCTCTTTGAACAGCAACTTGTTCTCCGGCAGCAGGTGTCCTATTCCTCCAGGAGAACATGAACAAAGAGTTTGAAGGTACATGTTCGCTGCAGCTCGACAAGGACATCTGCCGGCGTGTTTCGCCTGCGTCAACAAGGAAACCGAGTCCCCACGGGTGGCTGTCTTCGCACAGGTTCTGCTCCTCTGTCAGAGGTCCTGACTACCTTTTTGAAGAGTCTGCTGGCGATGCTCATAACCTTCGTCGGCGATCTGGACAAGCTCATCGGATACGTCATGTTCGGCTTCTGGGCCCAGCGGATCTTCACCCTCGTCGCTCTTCTTATGATCCGTCATCAGCGTATTCCAGTGCATCCAGAAGCCGTTCGAGTGCCGCTCTCCTGGTTTCTCATGTCGAATATCATAATCTGACTTCCATTTTTATAGCATATACTTGTTTTTGGCCATCACCATCGCTCTTGTCGTCATTCCGATTTTCACAGACTTCGAAGTATGTTTTGAGCTTTGGAAGATGGTTGTCATTACATGAGGGAAAATTGCTCACTTTATAAAAAAAAATTACAGGTGACGGCATTGGCAATCGCCATTTTGCTTGGAGGATTCGCCCTGTACTTCGTATTTGTCTATAACCACAATTTGCCGCGATGGATGACGCGACTCAACGGTTAGATTTACAGGGAAGGTGCAAAAGTTGGAGGGTTGAGAATTTTGATAGAACTTTATAGAGAGCAGCTTCTTGATAATACTGAGGGTGACCCAGCCGGGCTAACACGAGCTTTGACCGATACAAGCTGGTAGAGCTTTTGGCAGTTTCCCCAGCTAAGGCCCGGTTTTAGCCCAGTTGGATCACAGATTTTCGAAATAATTACGGCTGGGTCACCTATCTTTGCTTACACCCGTTGTCCGACCGTTTTAGCACAACTGAGACTCAAATTAGCCGGGTTTAATACGGGTAGACCCGCTGAGGCACCTGGCCAGCATGAAACCTTGTCTTAGTTATGGATAAGCAAACTTCTCGCATCTCAAAAACAAGGCGATTTTCACATTCATGTTGAATTTTGTTTACCCAGGTCCTGAATACCTCTTATCCTCGAATTTTCAACCCTGCACCTTTCGCAGTTTCCTCATTACTCTTCATCGTATTCACCGCTGTTCAGAAAGAACGACCTTCCTGTGCTGCGTGGTGTTCGACTGCCTGCCCGACCTGAAGGCCGTCGGCGTTTCGCTCCTGGGCTCAGACTCCTCTCAGGCGCTGCTCGCCAAGCGGTACTCCTTCTGCTTGTCTTTTCCGAGTTTTTCTTTTCAGGTCCTCTTCTACGCGTCTTTCTGAAGACTCTCTGCCGGATCTTCACTCGGACGAGAAGAACATTTTGCGGCGAAATGGCAGCACTGCAGGCCTTAAGATGTTGTTAGTTGATAGACGCGATATTTCATGCACAAGCAAAGTTCAAACGGCCTGAAAAAGAAAAGTCTGATCACGTGAAACTCATTTTTGAGTTCCTAAAAGGGGCCAAAAGTTACTCTTTCCGCCTCTTTCCTAAAAGGTCAAGAAAAATAGGCGCCTTTGAGGCCTTTTTCCAAAAGTTCTTCTTGAGTAAGAAACATTGAAAAATTAAAATTAACCATTAAGGTCTAAATGTGAAAATTGTTGCAAGCTTTTTCCATCGTTCCGTTTTTCTTATTTTCGAACAAAAAATATTTTTCCGTGTTCCGACGTCGCTTGTTGACCTGATTGCCGACGTGCAGTAGCCGCTCGATTCACCGGTTTCCTCGGGGTTCAGTTTAAACGGGCAAACATATCACACTGTTTTTTTTTCTCCTTCAAATTGTGTCCGCTTTCGAAGCTGTTTCTAGTTTTTTTTTAATTTAGCTTTTTTTCTAGATTGTTTCTTACATTTAGCTTTTTTTAGGCTTTGCGAAAAAATATACCGTATATTATATAAGTTTTCAACATTTTCTCGAGCAAAACACGGCGACACCAAATATACGCCGCTACGGCGGAAAATAAAATGCGTCGTACGCAGTACACGCGATGCATGAAAAAGCGACGCGCAAAAAAAGCGAGATTGAATGTTTATTATTAATAAAATTAATTTTTCTGGCTGTTATTTATCCAAGGATCGCCAAGAGAAAAATTCTTCTCTGAAAATCTCGCACGTACAATAGAAACAAGGCCTTGTTTTTTTACATAAGTTTGCTTACATGGTGTCGCCGTGCAAAAAGTTTTTTTTTTGTTTTCTCTGATATTGTGTGAATCAAATTGTTTTTAACTTTTCAAAAAGTGCGCTCATAAGCAAATAATGAAACACTGTAACTTTTCAAACAAGAACTTTTTACTTTTCCGTTTTATGCATTTATCTCTTTTTTTTCAATTTCTAAGAGTATTTCAGAAAACGGCTTTTTTTCTTTCACGGTTACTTTGCCTTACTTACTGAGGCAAATCTCACATTACATCGTTTTTGTTTTGTTTAAACTTCATATGGGTACTAAACTTGATTCTTTTTCGATTACTGTGACATAATTTGCCTTTCTTTTTGCATTCGTCGTTGTTTTCGCGAAAGTTGTCATTAAGATTCATTTTTGTGAACAGTAAAGATAAATTTCCAGTTGAAAGAGGAAAAAATTCATGTTTTTCGAAACTTTTTTTCAATAAAAAAATTGGTTTTTGAGTGTTTCCCGTTTTGATATTGAATATAAATCAGCAATCTACAACTGTTTCACTATTTTAGCTTTTTAAATTAGTTTTTTGTTCATCAAAAAAGTTTTTAAAAAAATTTCGGAAGTATGTTGGATTTGGTGTGAGGTGCATGCACAACAAACATCATATCTGACGGGCGGACGTAGCTCTGGAAACGCCGTTAAAGTTGAACACTTTATTAAAAAAAAAAAGGGAGAAGTGAAATAAAAGAGTTCAAAACATTGCGTTTACTCACCGTTTTCCATTTAAGCTCTGGTAATTGAAAAAACAATCAAAAGGCACTTTCTCAGTCTTGACACATTCGAATAAAATAAAATTAGCAGAAGAAAGTAAATGATTTTCCGACAAAAATGTTCAAATTTACTCGGAAGCTTTCGAAATGAAAGAATGTATGGCGGAGAAAATGTACAAATGTTGGGTTTTTCTAAAGTTAGGTCATTTGTCGATGGACGCCAGCGGAGAGCGGACGCAAGCCGATTCTTCGTGTTTGGACAGGTAGCTCTTGAGGGCGAATCTCTTGCCGCATTTCAGGCAGACGTGCGGCTTCTGGCCTGAACATTCTCCTGGTTTCTATGGCTAGCTATACAAAAATCTGGTGAGACTCGTCCAAGATAAATCTTCCTTCAGCCAAAATGTCTGTTTTTTTATTATTACAAGCCTGTGTGATTCTCGTTCGTCCCGACTTGGAAGATTCTCTCTGGGAGGTCATTTTTGCGTAGGGTTTGGATTTTTGTATAAATTTCCTCAAAAAATCATGGATGGACTCGGAGTCGATCCTCCATGGTCACCATCCGCGCAAATTTCTATTTTTGGAGTTAAGATTTTTTAAAGTTTTAGTCCTTAAACACGTGACGCCGTTTGGAAGGAATGTCTCCGCGTCACCAACCTTTGCATAACAGCTAGGAGCATGGTGCAGTGGCTAGCGCGATAACCTGTGGAGTCCATGATGAAGGTTCGAATCTTTCTGCCGCTACCGTTTTTTTCCATTATTTTTTTGACGGATTCGGATGACTCCCAGTGATTTCATGAACAAACTTATCGAAAATCCCAAACCCTACGCAAAAAATACCTTGATACAGAACAGGCAATTTTCTATTATTTCATCGTTTTCGAAAGAAAGAAAAGAAAACCGACCGCTGTGGGTCTGGACGTGGGCCCGGAGGTTGCTTTTGTCGGCGAACGCCTTGCCGCAGACGTCGCATTTGAACGGCTTCTCTCCGGCTAAATATCTTTTTTCAGTTTGATAGAAGGTTCAGGACAAACTGTGGGTCCGGAGATGACCTTGCAGGAGCCAGTGGCGTGTGAACCGTTTCCCGCAAATTCCGCACTGACATGTCTGAAGAAAAAATCCTTTTTCTAATGAGCAAGTCTTAAGGAACTTACATGAGCATTCGTAGGGGAATCCGGCTTTTTTTCCTTTTTCGAAGGAGGAGATGGGCTGTCTGTAGTAAGTTTTTTTTCTTTCATTGGAAGTCAATTTTCAAATCAATCAAGGAAAGGTGAAAAATAAAGTTTGTGGAAATTAATTAATTTTGTAAATAGTAAATGTGAGCGAAAATACATCGCACGGCGTTTGAATTGGTGCCAAAAACGCAAAAAAAAGCCCCAAAATCTTAAGTGGTCCCTATAGTCTATATAGGCTATAGAGGTCTTTCGACTTCATTCGAAAACGCTTGTTTATTTAATTTTTCGCATAGTACATAAAATCTGTCGGTTAGTATGTTCCCTATAGGGACCACTTTTGCGCCCCTATAGGGTTGGTGACGTGATCATTAGAGGGGACTCTCCAAGAGTCCCTATGAGGACCACTCTGAAACCGACGCATTCAAGAAAAAAAAAACCACAAAATAAAATTTCTGACTATGAAAGAAAACTCGATAAATACAAAGATATCGTCCAAAATTCTACTTTCCGTTTCATTGAACCTGCATCAGAAAACTTATTTCGCGAAGATAATGAAACAGCAGATCAATTTATCAACGAAGGTAATGCGTTCCGCGCGAGACCGTCATTTTTTAAAACTAGAAACTACCGTAAACCCAAACTTTTGCTCTGCAAAACTGCTAAATAGACATTCGACAGCAAAGGTCTTGAAGCGAAGATGCTCAATTTCGCTCTAATTTTTCAGTATACGGTCTTTTTGGCGGAAAGAGACAAGCAAGCGCGGAATGTTCTATATGAAGAGTATGGTAGTCTTACTGTGCGCGGTCTGGGAGGAGGAAGGGGAGCTGGAGGAGGTCGTCTCCGTGCACATCACAGGCGAGAACGTCACCATTTCCGCGTTCACTTGGTACTTTTTCTGAAAATTTTTTATAACTTTCCTTTTTGTCATTTGATTCGTTCTTCATAAAAAAAAAGAAGATATAAAGTTTTGAACTTACAAAATTTGGCAAGAAATCAAAAACTATTCTCTAGGTAATATCCGGTTCAGAAAAAGAGGTTATCAGAGAGTGAGACCGAACTTAGGAATTATAGAGTGATCCCTATATGGGGTAAAAATCAAGTTGGCTTATATTTATTTATTTTTCCGAGTTTTCGCATAGAGTTCGTAGAAATTGCCAACTAGCTTGTCTCCTATAGGGACCACTTTTGCAAGCCTTTGTGACCCCTAAAGGGGACTCTCCAAAGCCCCTCAGGCTTCCCCTATAGGGACCGCTCTGGAGTTCCTAAGGAAAGAACGAACCTGGAGCTGGGCAAAAAGCTCGACGGCATACTGTAGTAAGACGGGATGGCAAACCACTGGAAAAGGTGGCACCTCGAACGAATCCATGCCTCTGTTTGGACCAAGTCCCGAGCACTGGGCAGATTTACGAGTACCGTCGTCTGGACACGGAGCGAGGTCTGCAAGCAGTAAATTCTCGTCGTTGAGTGCGCATGTGGGCTGCGGGTGATAAACTACCGTAGTCCAGCTCTTGGAGGTGTAAGGCTAATTGGAAATTTTGAAAACGAGAAATCCAGGAGTTCGGAACGGAGGTGTAAGAGAGAGGGTTAATATCATAAGAGTTTTTTTTCCGGAAGGACGTCGCTGGCGACAAAACTCGTAGAGCGGCGCCACAGAATGAGCTCGACGGCATCGCGGCGTCGGAAAGTCGCCGAGAGCCGCCAGCTGAGCTTTCGCACAGGAGTCGAAGTACTTGCCTACAGCCGGCTGTTCCAAAAACACATACTTCGATAAAATGTCCGAGGAAGGAATCAATAAATCATCTTATTGGATTCTTCACTTTAAAGATAATCTCCGATCATATCTTTACAGCTTATCCATAGGTAAAACAGAAAAGTTTCTCAGAGGAACCTCGTAGAATCCTGAGAAGGAGCTAAAAAGGTCCCTTTAAAACTCCTAAGATGATGTGAAAAAGATTTTGGGCTCCTTTTTCACAGCCTGAGGCAATCCTCTTTGAATCCGCTCTAGTCTTTTGTTGCTTTCCAGTATTATTTTTGTTGAAGGACGATAAAATGGTGCAAAATGAAAAAAAAAGATCTGCTGCGGACTTTTACAAGGTCTTTTTTTTGAGGAAAAATTTGAGGAGCTTTTCAGATTTGCTTGAGTCAGTTCAAATCATTATGGCATGCCTATGGAGTCCAGAGCTAAATTTACACGCTTGAAATGTTTTGAAAAGATTTTTTCGGAAAATCTCAAAAAACATGATAAACACTATGTCACACGGTTCAACGAAAAGAAAAAAAATTGGAAAACCAAAAGTTTGTAAGGATAACAAAATTTAGTTAGAGATATAAAAAGGTGTAACACTTTCAGGATGAATTATTACTGAAACAAAAAACGGGAGCATGGAAGAATTGTTAAAAAAATCGGTTAGAAACTTCTGAAAAATACAAAAGTGGAGAAGTTGCGAGATACGGAAAATAAATCAGTTTTTAAGCAGAATTATATGATACATGATACATTGAGACATAGTTTGAAACACTGAGGAATGTAAACTCGATTTCTCTGAAGAAATTACTTAGCCGAATATTCGGGAGAAGCTATCTGTAAGGACCGTAACGAAAATTTGAAAAAAAAAACTTTCGAGTCCTTAAATCACTTTGGTTGGGTAGCTGCTTCAATTTCCTACTCAATACAGTTTAGTTTTCTGAAAAAGTGAGAATTGAGAAAGTTAGGGACAAGTGGGAAAAGAAGCAAAAATTGATACTGAAATTTTGGATTTTCCACTATAGCTTATCGGGAAATGGTGTAAATTTTTCCGAAATTTGGTAGAAACAAAAGTTTGTAGAATTACTTCAGGATTGATCTACAAGAAAACTATAATGCAACTGAGCGGAAAGGTCCACGCAAAAGCTGACCGACAATCCAGCCGAGGGACAAGACAAAGAGGCGGAAAAAAAGAGCCAAGATTAATGTGGAACAACACTCGGCGGTCAGTTAGGCGTGGCCTGCTCACACCGTTCGAACCAGCGGATTTCCGATCCAACAAGAATGAGGGTGTACTCCTTGATGTTTTCGGGGGACCCCGCGTTGGATGGCGTGCACCCCTGGGGCAACAAAAAAAAGAAGTTTTTTTGAGCTACCGTTGAAACTGTAGAAAATGATGATATTGGGAAACAAAACACTTTGAAATCGTGAATGGAATAAGTACCTTAATAGGCATTTAAAGCTAAACGTGGTACACTACGGGGTGCACCGAGAGTTCGACGCGGGGTGCACTCTTGAGAAGGGAAAGAAGAAATGAGGTTGAGGTGAACAGGAAGGCGGATGATACAAGTTGGCGGCTCAAGAGGATCACTCGAAATGTTATGACTTCTGATGAGGGCGGCGGGAGCAAAAGAAGTCGTAAAGTCGGAAACGCGGCTCGTGGCTCAAGAGAAGTCCGTCGACGCCTCAGGGACGTGGCGACTACGGTAGCTCGCGAGAGATGATTTACAAACAAGCGCTGTTTCTTTTGATAATTTGAGTCTCCTTCAAAAAAAGGGCATGCTGAAATAGTCGCAGTGGCCATTTTTTAAAAATTTCAAAGGTTTTCAGTTCTAGTATCCGAAATGCGTAGAATCCTCGATTTTGGTTAAGTTTTAGGTTAAGAAAAACCAAATATTGGAGGCTCAAAATAGGAGACTTTTTATTGTTTTCGATAAATTTCATGTCGACCCCGTTTGATGGTTTAGTGACCACTATAGTAGCCGAATTAGTGGCCTCTTTAAAATCCAAGAGGTATTATTAGGATACTCAAACTACTTTAGTGACCACTAAGACGCCGAATATGGGCTTCCATAGAAGTAGTTTTAGTGGCCACTTCAGGGTTTTGACGTTTTAGTGACCATTAAGACGCAGAATAGGGGCTTCTGTAGAGCTAGTGGCCACTTTAGTGTCCTCTCCAAGTAAGTGTCCACTTACGTGGCCACTAAAGTTTTCCCCAAGTTTTTCAAGAAAAGAGCTGGATCTTTCAAAGGCACACGGAAAAGTTGAAAAGTACGATTTTCCTTAGAAACCAAGTTAGTGGCCACTTTAGTGTCGAGGCAAAAAAAAAAAAACACAAAATTCCTTAAATCAAGTTCTAACGTCAAAACCTTAAAGTGGCCACTAAAAATAACGACCTTTTTCTCGCTACTGATGATTTTATTTCGAAAAATAAGAGTTCATTCTTGTCAGGAAATTGCTTTATAATCTAAGGTTCAAAAGTGGCAAAATGAATAAAGGGAGATTTTCTCCTGGGCGGGACTTTCTGACCGCCGCGGCACCGCTGTTTTTTTCGTCCAAACTGTCAGGCAAGTGGCTGCGAACTTCTCGAAGCAGCCAAGCTTCACGAGACACGCGGAAACCGTCCAAAAAAAGGCCAAGCGGGTTTCGGCGCCCGTTTTTCTCCTTTTTTGCACCCCCATGTAATATGTAATTCTCTCTCTTTCTCTCTATTCATATGCAATTCGATCCAATCAAAAACAAACGAAAATGTTTTTTACGAGATTTGCTGACCTAGAACCTCAAACAGTACAAAACACGAATAGAATAGGAAATCTATTTATATTTCTTTCGAGTGTCGTATTTGAAGCATTCGATTGAACCTAAAAAAATTTAAAAAATATTTGGAACTTTTTTTTTAGAGAATTGACCCCTCTCAACTCACATTCTTGACAGGGAGGTCATTTAACTTTGTGGCTTGGAATTTTCTATAAATTTGCTTAAACGCCTTCTGAACGTCTAGATGCAGATCCTATATGGTTTAAAAGTTAATATCTCAAAAACTAGATTTTCGCAGGTTGAGACTCTGAGGGATCTTCATCTAGGTATTTAGAAAGTTTTTGAGCGAGTTTATAGAAAATTCCAAGTCGATGTGCCACGACTTGAAATTTCATGGAACGACACTCCGCTGTCCTTGTGGTTCTTGTGCGCGCTGTCGCGAAGCATTTCGCTTTTGCGAAACTCGGTCGCTTTTTAATTTTTTCTTTTATTCTAGATTTTCATCATAATAATAATTTTTTTTATTATTTTTTTGTTTGGCGCGAAAAAACTAAAAATATAATTGAAATAGTGAAAAATAGGATATTAAAAAAATTTGAAAGCACGACCGAGATTCGCAAAGGCGAAGACGCTTTCACGGCCACAAGGCCACGCAGCGGAGTGTCGTTCCATGAAATTTCAAGTCGTGGCACACAGACTATAAAATTACCTCCTTGTAGGATGAAAAAGGCTAATAATTTCAGAGCTCAAAAAAGGACCGATTCCTTTCTGTAAACAACTTGTTTGCAACTCGAAAAAGGTCGAACGAGTCGTTTTCAAGTCCCTTGCAACTAGTTTGCAGCTCAAGGATGGCTTGAAAATTACTTGCAAGTCTGGTTTAGCCAAAAATTGCAGCCTAGCTGCAAATCAGCCTGTTTCTGGTTGCAAACTGCAAAGTTCCTGCAGTTTTTAAGAAAACTAGTCTGTACCGGGTTGCACAGATCTTGCAACTCACGGCGTTTTTTTGGCGACGGCATATTTTTTCCGTAAATTGTAGTGTGTCGTGTGCATGCATCGCGGCGCCCTGGCATACGCCGTGTTCAACGTAATTTTCGCAAACTGAAATTCAGTCATATTTTTCACTCTCTGGTGGCTAATTTGAGTTTCGCGGAAACACTTTCAACATGTGTTTTAGAACAAAAAAAAATCAGAAAAATCGCGTTTTTTTTTTAATGAGAAATAGATTAGTCTCGGGACCCATTGACACGTCTTTAATATTTTCTGTTTTTTACGCTTTTTTTTCTCATGACGTCACTTGGGAACGGCGGAAATTTTTACCAGGCCCCCTTGATTTTTGGTTTTGCGTTTTTTTTCCACTATCAAAAACGCCGTCAACTGGTTACCCGAGTAACTTTGATTTCAAAATATAGTCTGTTCAGATTTTGAATGTCAAGTGCAAAGACGTCATTCAAAAACACTCTGGGGGTGGCTCGCTCTTTATTGGTTTATCGCGCCATTAGAGGGCGGAGCTTGAGCGGATGACTTGACCTTCAAAATCTGAACAGACTTTAGAGGAAGGCCTTTGAAAATAATCTGCCCTGCTTTTGAGGCGAGATTAAAACAATACTGGGGGCCACCCTCCTAATCCGTCCACCGTAACACCTTTTTACACTGTTCTGCGGGGTCTGCGAGCCCCGTGTGCCGCTCCATGACGCAACTAATACTCTGTGTGGATCCAACATGATAGAGAAACATTCATAGGAAGGTAATAACAACAACGGTATGTGCAGAAAAGGGCTAAATTCTGGTAGATCACTGGGTTCCTCGGATCATTCGACGCAGACTTCGTTTGGGTCGAAACCGGCGGAGTTCCTCAAACTTCTCGTAGACGTCGGTCGCGTCGTCGGCCAGGTCGCAGATGATCGGCACGAAGTGGTCGAGCATCTCCTCGGGGAGCGCGCTCTGCGAAAAAATCTCTTTTCTGTTGCCCGCGTCTGCGACTTACGAGTCTCGAGAAAATAGTTTCCAGCGCGTCTCGCACTTGCTCCAGCGGCTGCTTCTGTCCTTTACCGTTTGTAGCCGTCGCTTTTTTGATCGGATTCTTCCTGGAAACTATTTCCTTCCTGTAGATCAAAAATTATCAAAGTGAACGTTTTCAAGAAGGTTCCATGGTGTTTTGGAATTTTACAACGAGGTAACTTCTCGAAATTGGTTTTTTTTTTCACTTCGACTTCACAGGCAAAGTCTAAACGACCTCGAAAAGGCCTTAAAAAAAGTCTAAAGCTCCTTTTTGAGCTATAAAATAGTTTCAAAAGTTCCATAAAATCTTCTCATCTTTTTTCCGTCTCATTATTTTATTCCTCCGCAAAAGGTTTTTTTTTCCGAAAAAGGTCAAAAAAAAAGCGCCTTTGTGGCTTTCTAAAGGCCTTTTTTCCAAAAAGTCCTTTTTGAGACCTTTTGGACTTTTCCCGTGTTATAAAGTTCTACCGATGAAGCCAAAAAAAACTTTTTTGCGGAGCTCTGAAAACGCTCCTTTTGGCCCTAATTTGAATAATTTTTGAATATTGAACTATTTTTTTATTATTTTATATTTTCTACGAATTAATTGTTCGAAAAAACTTTTCTCTCTCTTATGCCGTTTTCAATTTGATTCCGCGAAATGCAAAATGATCTTTGATTCTCCAAAAATAAGTGATCTTTTTCTTTCTCTAACGGGTATTTCAAAAATTATCAAAATTTGCATTTCGCCGAATCAAATTGAACACAGCATTACAGAAATGAAGCTGACTGGTGAGAATTTATATTTTTCTTAACAAACTTGAAAATATTTCGTTAAATATATGAAGTCCAAGAAACGGATATGACATTTTGAGAAGAGGTCAAAGCGATTTTTCCGTAAAGCTGATTCCCGGCTGGCTTTAGCCATCGAAAAAAGGATCATGACACGACTATACACGAGACAGCGTCTGGCTCGTGGAGAGCGCAGACAGGACACGAATGAGCTATACCAGATGAATATTCGGGAAATATTATTTTTCAAAAACGGACACTTCAAATCTCTTTCACTTTGATATATGTTACAGGCTGGATCTTCGAGGTATCAGGTCTTGGAAAATAGCGAGTTTAGCAGCTTTCTTATGCTTATTTAGTACCTCAAAGGATGGTTTCGTTACATTTCAGAAAATCCCGAATTTCCCGGTGAAAAGACTCGAAAAAACTTCCTCTGTTTCGAGACAACCTGACGTCGCCTCCTTTCTGATTTACAAAGTCCTAACCATAGTATGGACTATAACTATTTTAATGAACCCCCTTGATTTCTTAGCCTTTGACCTTAACTAAATATTACCTTAAGACATGATCCACTTTCCTGGAAGATACCGGAACATGATCATTCTCCCCATCCAGGTCTTCCTCGTCAAGATTTATATCCGACACTGCAAAGAGCATACGGTATAAAAAAGGAAGCCTGTGATCTACCAGACTCGTCGTAGTCCATGGGCTCAGACTTGACGGTGACTCGGCGCTTGGGCCTCGGAGTTCCCAAGTTTTCGCCGCTCCTTTTGTTTTTATTACCACGAGCGACAACTTTCGACTGAAAACCAAAAATCCCAAGGGCGGGGCAAAAGGACGCAAACATTTGCAACGGTGATCTTGTTGGACATCTGCGAGTCGTACTCGTCGATCAGGTCGCCCACTGGCGGATCTTCTCGTGGCGGAGAACAAGGCCGATGTCCAGTCAGGAATGGAACCGAGGTACCTGCAGACATTCGAATATCAGAATATCTTCGAAACCACTAACAGGGAAGGTCATTTCACTTTGCGGAAATCAAAATCGACCAGAACACTCCTTGATGTATCAGAAAAATATTCTGAAAGTCTAAACCTGCACAACTCCTTAGTTTTCGAGAAATAAGGGCCTAAAGCCCCAAAATAGCTCATTTTAATGGGTTTGGAGGGTTTTCTTTGACTTTGAGGCGTCTTTTCTCAAAATGTAGAAAGTTGTGCAGGTTTAGGCTTTCAAAAATTTCTTCTGGCAGTAAAAGTCCAGCCGAAAAGAAAAATGACCTCCCTTGTAAATGAAAATTTTCCCTAATTACGCTGTCGCAAAAAATTGAAAGAATAAAGAAATAGTGGATCTGGATGAGCTCAAAATAATGAAAAAGCCCGAATTTTGTACATTTTTGTCAATAATTTTGCCTCTTGCTTCATTTTTATGAATTATCTACGCACCTTCCTGTTCAAAGAGAAGAAAAATCGTTACCTGGCAATTTATATAAAGATTTGGGTTCTTCAATGAATCCATGAGAATGCACGGTACAGTACTCAACGACGACAGTTCTAAATTGGCTTTGATCACTTCTTGGCGCTTTAAAAACGAACCCATCGTCTTGCGGAATCGTCCTGGCGTATGCCGTGCAACTGAGAAGCGACTTCAAAGAGGCTCTTCTCGAATTCTCCCGTATGTCCCTTCAAAAGCCTTTTTATAGCTGTTGGACCACCCGAAAAGACTTCAAACTGAATATTCGAAAAAATAAGCTTCAGATGTCCAAGTCGGAAAAATGGATAATGGCCGCTAAAAGGGAGAGGCTCAGAATAGGCCGCAGAAAAGCAAAAAAGGCTTTTCATTTTTCTAGAATTTGAGAGCGTGGAAATAGGGAGAGGCAGCAAAAATGGTGCAGAAAAGTCGATGAAATGGCGCAAAAAGGAACCAAAAAAGGAGTCTTTGACAGCCTTGAACGAAAATTTCTATGGAGCCTTTTTCACCCTGCACAGGCAAAGTCGGAAGGACCCTTTGAGCGCCCCTTATGGGTGCAAAGGTTTCCATTAACTGTTCCTAAATGGGTGGCAACGTATTCCTTTTCCCTGCCTTTTTCCGTCCTTTCATCGGCCTTCATCCACCCTTTTTGGACCCTTTCGAGAAACACAACGTTCTTTAATTGAAATTAATTATTACCAGTGACTGTGTATGAACTAAAATGGGATACAGTAATAAAATCGGAAATCATTAGAATTTCAGCACCCTTCTTTCCCCCTTTTTAAGGCTTTACAGCGCACCAAGAAAGAAAGGCTCAATAAAGGCCGCCAAACGGAACCCTTTTAGCGGCTATTTTGCAGTCACTTCCTTTTTGCATCCACTGCCAAAGTCGGAAGTGCGGAAAACGGGTGCAAAAAGGGAATGACTGCAAAATGGCCGCTAAAAGGGTCCCTTTTTACGGCCTTTATTGAGCCTTTCATTCTTGGTGGGCTAAAAAGGGTCATAAAAGGGCGAAAAAAGGCAGAGGCCGCAAAAAGGGTGGAGAAAGAGTGAGGGTGCAAAAGGGTTCTGAAAGTCTCTGCTATTGATGACTTCCGATTTCATCACTGTAGCTTATGTTGGTTCATACACAGTCACTTGTAAAGATTACTCATAATTTTTAAAAAAAATTGTATTTCTCAAAAGCGTCCAAAAAGGGTGGATGAAGGCCGATGAAAGGACGCAAAAAGGCAGTAAAAAGGAAACCTCTGCCACCCGTTTAGGAACAATTAATGGAAACAGACGGATCCGTAACGGACGCTCAGAGGGCCCGTGAAGGGTCTTTCCGACTTTGCATATGTCAATTTTCCACATTTCCGACTTTGGCAGTGTTCCGACTCTGTCTATGGGTCTCTACATCTGACAAAAAGAACAGAAAACAGACTTAGGTTTGGCCACAAGACAGCAACCGAAGAATCTGTAGGTCCGTGTTCGGTCTCTCGACAGCCGTTGCTTCATATTCACTATTTTGATGCCTCCTTGCTGCTGCATCCAGTTCATGAACTCCTGTGGGGGATTTCAAGTTTTCGGGGATCTTGAGCAGTTGCCAACTTCGAAATCGCGGTCGTCCCGAATATGGACCTCTTTGACGGGGGCCACCAGGTTGTGTGCTTCTTCGAAATGCCGCGCCAGCATCCGAAGAGTCGGCACGAACGCCAGACATTCTGCGCAGAAGGTGCCGTTGTGTCGCTTCGGAAGGTCCGAGAAGGATATATTCTGCTGCAAAGGGGCTTTTATGAGTTTCATCTTTATATCATCTTTTTTGTTAGGTTAACAGGAAAGGTAATTTTACTTTGCGCTTGAAGAGATGGCCAGAATTATCCTTGTTGTACCAGATGAAGATCCTGAAAGTCTCAACCTGCACAACGTTCTACTTTACAAGAAATAATGACCTAAAGCCCCAAAATAGCCAATTTTAATGGGTTTGGAAGGTTTTCTCTGACTTTGAGATGTCTTTTCTCAAAAACGAGGAAGTAATGCAGGTTGAAACTTTCAGAATCGTCTTCTGGTACATCAAGGAGCGTTCTGACCAATTTTCAGGAAAATCCCAACCGCAAAGTAAAATGACCTTCCTTATAAGGCTCACCCCTTGAATTGGCTCAATTCAGCCGAGGATCGGCTATAACTCAAGCCACCTAATTGTAAATAAAAATTGATCTTTCCATTTCTACCGATAGAGATTCCCTATTCAAAAATCGTAAAATTTACTGGGGAATAAGCTCGATTGAATTTGGAATTGATAAGTATATGAAGAATCTGTAAATTTCCTCCATAAAATGACTAAATTCGTTGGGGGGATTTTTTTCAGTTTCTATACTTTTTACAGAGTATGTTTTCGATATAGATTCTCTGAAAACAAAATTTCCCGGGTAATACAAATTTTGATTGAATTTTAATCATATGGGAACACGTAGAGAAAATGAAAAAAATCTATAATTTTCCTCCATAAAAGGACTAAATTCGTTAGGGTGACATTTTTATTTTGTTTCTACACTTTTTATAGAAATTAAGTTATTAGTGAGTCTGAAAATCGGGAAACCGGGTCTTTGTCCTTGTCGCAGCCGCGGTTTTTGTGTTCCCGGTGTTCGTCGGGCGCAAGTAGCCGGGCACAGCCCAAGCAAGCGTACAGCTCCGCACACTGTTGAGCTCCTTTCCGGAAGAAGTACCTGGAACAGTACTTGGCTTTGAAGGAGGGACTTCCTAGGACGAACTTGGGTCTCGGGTTACCGATGAGCTTGGAATGTCCCTGCGAGAGATCAGCCTCTTCTGCCGAGTTCTCGGCTCTTTCTGTCGATTCTTGCTCATTTTCATCTTCCTCTGCCTCTTCCCCATCCTCCTTAACCAAACACTTGGCGACGGTCAGTGAAACGGGAAAACTGTTTACTGAGAAAATTTGTAGGGGTCCCTATAGGGGCCCCCCGCCCTAAAATAGTTTTTGGCATTTTCTCCCCTATAGGGATCCCAAAAGCAACAAACCCCTACAGACACCCCTGTAAAACATGAAAAATTCCGCATGTTTCCGCAGTATCTCGCGGGCCTTCTCTTTTATCCAACTAGACTTAGGGCAACCAGAGTCGTCCCTATAGGGGTTAGGGAGAAACCCGGTTATATCGAGATGAATTTCCAGTGGTCTCTATAGGGTTTTAGAGTCTGAGCCCTGAGTAATCCCTATAGCGACTATTGATTTTTCGTTCAGATCTGCAATTAAAAAGACAAGCTTTATCAAATCTTCCTCTGTTGATACTTTTCAGCCAATTAAAGCCAGTTTTTCGCATGCTTCATCCTATAGAATTCATGTTCCTTAAAGTGACCGCTACCTCAAACCCCTATAAGGGCCACTTTTTCGACTTTTATTGGGGCCTGAGGGGAGGTGTAAACTGGTCATTCGAGGGAAACCTTCGAGGTCCCTTTAAAGACCACTCGAAAGCTCCTTGTAGGATATCTCCGAATTGTCAGATCTCTTTGAAAAAAAATAAATCAAGATCAAAAGATACCTTAATCAGCTGATTGAGCCTGTCGTTGTACGATGGTTCATGAATATGATCATCCATTTTCTGAAAAACGTTGTCCGCCTTGATATATGGTTTTTTTAAGTAAATCGTGAGGAGTGATAGAAAACCATATTGAAAAATTGTTTATATGAAAACAGGGTCCGAGAAATTTTATTAATTATATTAACAATGGAAAAAACCGATATAGATCTGAGCAAAATAACAAATTTACAAGGTGCATTGAAAGAGAAAAGGGTTGAGAAATACGCGGGTATGTGCGGCGAGGCCTGCGTCTCTGCCCGCGGAAAAGACGCAGACGTGCAGGTCCGCCGCAGACCTCGACACCCGCGAGACCATCGGCAAAACACGAAAAAAAGTAACACTTTGCGCGATTGTAAACACTGTCTTGGGACACAAGTTTCAATGCAGTATATGACAGGACTTGACGGTTAAAGCTAGAAGTTTGAAATCAGGGTGAAAAGTATGAGTCAAAAGATAAGAAAGCTGTTCTAGCCGAATGAGAAGAACCTCAGAGGAAAGCCATCCAGCCACAGAACATCGCAGAAAGGTTTTCCACGTTTGTCGCTTCGAGGAAAAGTCGCCGCACCTGGAAACATTCGTTTTTCCAAAATGAAGTCTTCTTAAGGGAGAGACCTGAACGGAAGAGAGCTGTGGCATGTTCCCATCGTCGGTGCCGACGAGTTTGTCTCTCAGACGACCGATCGCCATCTCCGAGATGTAGGAAGGGCGGCCCACGACGTCTTCAGCTTCGCGGAAGTTGGTCATTGTCTCGCGAAGCAGCGCCGACGCCAGTCCCAGGATAACCTGCACATCAACTCGGATTGGTAAGAATACAAAACGAGGATCAAGCTTTAAAACAAGCCCCAAACGCAAAGCTTCAAATATTACATGATTTCAAGAAAATTTTCGGGTCCGTCAGCAAAAAATTCAAACTCTAAATATTTTTTCACTTCTTTCACTTCGATATGAAAACCTTTCCTAGGGAATGTTTTCACCTCACAGTTTCCGAATGATAATAAACTCACTAGATGTAATCTTTCACTTTGATGCCGAATCTGAGTTCAAAAATTGCCCAGGAAGTCTGTGAAAAAAAGTTAGGGACTCTCAAAGTCGAAAAATTCGATGTCTTCGAGCTCCATTTTGGAGGGTCTATAGGTCCTGCCCCACTGGTACCAGAAATACAGTTATTTTTCCTAAAAAAAAACTGCTTGAGCATTTATATGATTTTTCAAAGCTCAACTTTTGAACACATATTCGGAATCAGCATGAAAAACTACATCAAGTGACCCTAGTCTCATTCAGAAGTCCCACTGTGAGCTGGAAACATTCCCTGGTTAGATATAACCTTTAGAAGTTTGACCAATCAACCTGGAATTGTTGACACACCCTATATCCCTTTGCCAGTCGAAAAACCCGACTCACTTTGCTATTACTCTTCAGAAGGTCCATCTTCTCGGTGGCTATTCGGACGAGGGGCCCACTGCCGGCGCCTTCGATGAGCAGCGGATCGATCATGTCTCGCGTGAGACGGAACGGTACTTGCTCAGGAATCGGCAGCGTCCGCTTACTGTACTCAAAGATCATTCCTGAACGAGAGAGTTTTCCCATTATTTCGAAACACGTTCCGATACCCAGATCAATGTGGATGAAACTAGCCGAGGTTCTATCGAAGAGAATGTTGGAAGCGTGGCGATCACCCAGTCCCACAACATAGCATACTGAAAAGAAGTCACTTTTTACCTTTTTTTTGAATTATTTTACCGATGCTCCAAACGGCCAAGCTCTCACGATAATCGTTCAGACGACGCCGCCAAGTGCAGACATCTGTGAAATGTGAGTAGAAAAAGTGTCTGAAAAAGAGTATCATAAATTTGTCGGATGAATGAAAACGGACCGAAAAACAGGGGAGAATTCCTGACAAACTTCGAGGAAAGTCTGTTTCTTCTCGTCGGAGGTTAACTTTTGCGCGGCCTTCATCTTCGAAGATTGGACTGCGGCGGACGGTTCTTCTGGCCGCAAAGCCGCATGGATTCCACTGGCTCTGTTCGTTCCGCACAACAGCTCTTCTGAATAAAGGACATGAATAGCCAGAAACAGAAATAAAAAAAATGGAGTCAGTGGAAAAAGCTCTAAAACACCTTCCCTAACGAAAATGAGGGTTTAATCTGCTGTAACCCCAAAAAAAGTAAACGTTGAAGTTTTCGGTGCACCCCGCGTTAAACCTGGATGGGGCGCACCCCTGCGGCAACCGGTCGAAAATAAAGTTTTTCGAGCTGGCGTAACAGCCTAGGATGAAACTGTAGTGAATGGTGATATTATGGAAAAAACCCTTTTCGAAATCGTGTATGAAATAAGTACCTTAATAGGCATTCAAGCTTAACGTGGTAAACCGCTGGTTACACCACGGGGTGCACCGCAACTTTTGTTAGAGTTGAAAAGAGAAGAAACGAACTGAAGCTGACGGTGCCGCCGCAGAACTCGATCATCCCACTCTCAGTGTCGAGAGGCAGAACGTTGTAGGTGCGCAAGTAGGAAGCAGGCGAGTCTCCGGTCAGCAGAGCGTCCATCACTCCGAACATGTTTTGGACGAGGAAGTCTTGCCGCACGTCGTCTTTCTTCCAGACGACCTTGTACCACCGCCCGTCACTTCCCTCGACGTCCAAGATTTTCGGAGCCGAGAGCCCATCCGCTTGAATGCAGTACTGTTTGAAGCTCTTCCAAGTGATCATTCCAGTAGTTGTGTAGTCTCCAGGTTCGCCAATCTAAAACTCGTTTTTCCTCACGAAGCTCTCAAGTTAAGTTCAACTACCGGCTGGCTGAGGACAGGAATAGGAACACTTTTCAGATCACAAGAATACATCAACAGAGTGCGTGGGAAGAAAAAGAAAGCTAAAAGAGGAAATTTTTTTAAAAAAGGGAACGAAGCCTGCCTTTATTGTTGACGAACCGCTTTTCAACAGTCGGACTTGTGAGATCAAATCTGACAAATTCCCTGAATATTCGATGATTGAGCCAAAAAGTCTCAATCTGTACGACCTGTAGGCGCTCTGCGCGTTGCGAATTTGCTGGATGACTTTGGACAGTTTTTGGAAGTCGCCGTGTTCTTCACGACATCTGTCAATGGACTCTTGGAGCAACTGATGAACGGGATCTCCCTGAACAAAGTTGGGTAGTCAATCGATTCGAAATAACTTAGGAGTGGTCGGTCAGTGGTCCCTATACGGGCAACCTTAGGAGCCCTTGGAGGGTCCCCTCTAGGGACCTCTTTACCAGCCCCTATAGGCCACTAATGCTTGCAGAAGTGGTTTCTATAGAGTTTTAGTTAGTGCAACCCCTACAGGGACCACTCTGAAATCTCCATTTGGAACGTACGCCTCCAAACTGATTTGCGGCCTGTCTTTCGTAGATGAGCAGCACATGAACGACATGGTATGGATAGTCGATGACGAGACGTTGAAGGGCCTGGAAAAAGCTTGCTCAGACCTAATTTCCTCGATTTAAGACCCACCACAGATAAAACATTGAGAATTTGTGAGCTTTCCACGTTTCCCAAAAAGAACCTAGAAGCCAGATGGCTAACAGCTGTGAGCCAAAACCGGCTATCCATCCCGTTTCTGACATAATCCTAGAAAACTATTTGAAAAAAAGACATCCGGCCTCAGATCAAAACTTCAAAGGAGGCGAGAACGCGAGGATGATTTTCGTACTTGAACAAGACGTCGATCAGCTGAAAGACCAAAGGCGAACTGCGACGGTCGTCAGCCTCATCAGAGACGTTGAGGATTCCTGAGGCAAAGAAAAAATGGAAGTATTATCGTAAAATCCTCTCTTATGGTAAATGATTAGATAGTGAAAAAATAAAAAGGTAGTAAAATAAAAGCCCGTTCATACAGACCGACAGTTTTCGAGTGTCTGCGTCTCTATGTTCCCTCACCGGAGAAAGCAAAGATACCCAAAAACAGTTCCTCAACAAGAGAGGTTCGTCAAGAGACGAGGAGGGCGCAGAGAAGTCCCATCCTTCCAAGTCGCGAAAAACGGACTAAAACGAACTCAGGGCGTCGAGAGCCGACCGAACACATCGGGTGGCGGCCTGCACAAGTTGCGTGTCGGTCTTCTCGACGTCGTCGCGTTCGCACTGCGCTTCCTTCGTCACTCGCTGCACCGCCTTCCGCGATTCTTCGACTCCCATACTCGTGACTTTCACACTCCGGTCACTTAAGCACAATTCAACCAGATGACCAACGTGGGAGTTAACAAACTTGCTATTCGAAACCTGTCTGCTGAACGCCCGGATGGCTTCTTGTTTCATTCGGAAACTTCTAGATTCCTTGTACTCCTAGAGCGTCAATTTTTTCGTTCGTTGAACAAAAGAGGAGCTACCTCGAGTTTGGTGAGTTGTTTCAAAGATATGCTATGCAGAGTCGTTTTTATTCGCAATCTCAACTCGGCAGAAGTATTGGGAAGCAGCGATTGATAGTTCTGTCAATTTGCTTTTGATTCTCTTTCAACGAGCTGTGAATCTTTGGGATCAGCTGATCCGGACAAGGCTTGCAATGCTCATTCCGAATTTGGGAGGGGTGGATTTTTTTTTGCCTAGACATTTTAGAATCGTCCCTCACTCACCACTGTGTAGGGGCGATTATTAAATAAGATGTAGCCTCCCCCTCATCGAAATTTGCCTTGGTGCGGGGAAGGGGGGAGACGATTCTGGAATATCCCCGAAACCTTTTCGAGAATGGCAAGTGCCAGAGGCAAGTTGTTGCGGCAGTCACAAGCGATCTTGGAGAGGGCCAACGCCAGTTCGACTCTGCTCGTTTCCGACAACTCTTTGAACCTTAAAGTGAGTCAGCTACTTTAAATGCTCCACAGAACTAACCTTCTTTTGATATCCAGCAGTTTGTTCTCGGCGAAAACAATATCTCCAATCTTCAAAAAAAGCTTGAATGAAAGGATATTATCAAAACCTCAATCTTGATGTTGCAAGCGGAAATGGAGGCAGCGTAAACGTCAGAGTTTGGATCGAGAGCTCCCCACCGCTCGCACACTTTTTCCCACCTGGACAGAAGCTCTAGAGCCGCCTGGACAAATGTCAGTTAAAGGAAAAAGGAAAAAAATCGAGACCGAGTGTCCACGAAGAGCTGTTAGTTTTTTGGCTGTAGAGATGACATCCTGCGTCGTCAAGTTCAATTCGTAACCATTCTTTTTGGTTTGACGTTGGTTGGCGACGCTGCTGAACTCGTTCACGGCGCTCATCAACAGCAAAATCTCTTCTTCGAGGCTTCTAGTCTACATAGAAAAATTGGTTTTGATCAGCTACCATACTAAAAAGGCTCTCGTTTTTTTTCCTTCAAAAATTGAAAGATACAACACATTTCAACTATGAAATGTTGGCTAATCGGACCTAGAGAAATAGAAACTTAACAGTTATGAATTCTACAAGAGACTCAACAAATGAGTTTTATAATCCAGTTAACAGGCTATTTTTAAGCCTACTAAAAATTTTTTTCGTTCAACTGTTGTACTATCAAAAAGGTCTTTCAATACTCAAAACCCTTGAAAATTAAAATCTGCCTCGAACTTACCATAAATAAACAAGTACAGAGCTTGTTCGGGAGGAGGGGTTTTCTTATAGAAATTTCGGAAAACAAGGAATAAAATCCAGTTACCTCAGGGAGGTACTTTTGGCTACCATAGTACAAGTTTTATCCTCAGGGAGGCAGTTTTAACTTCACATCAAGGAAACTTGGGAGGCTTTAAAATGGTCTGCCCATGTATGGAACAAACCGAGTTGGCCAAAAAAGCCCTCTGTCCTCGTCCCACAGCTAGAAGACGAAACTTTTCAACAGCCTGACCAATATCCACAGACGTATGGAGTTCTTTTTCAATATCCTTCCTCAAGTCAACGCAATTCACAAATCTACCTTCTTGGAAAGTTACCTGCACCATTCGCCCACAGCTGCCAACTCGTCTTCATCTGCTCCTTTTTCGATATGATAGAGAATTGCATAGACCATCTTGTAAATATGATCAAGCCTGAAGCTTCACTATACACAACTACAAAATAAATAGCATCAACACTTTTGAATTGAGTGAAACATTCATTTTAGATATACATTCTTATAAGGAGAAAAAATTCACGAAAGCTCTCAACTTTTTTTCTGCCAAAAAGGCCGAAAAAATGGTCTCTTTAGGACTAATATTAAAGTGGTCCCAATAGAAGTTTAGGGTATGAACTCTTAGCCGTTTAAGCTTGAGTGGTCCCTATAGGGTCTTTCAATTTCATCCAAAACGCATATTTTTTCAGTTTTTCCCATGAAAATGCTTCTTCGCTTAGATTTCATAAAAAAAAACGACTAGCATGTCCCCTATAGGGGCCACTAACTAAAACCATTAAAGGGACCCCTTTTGCAAGCCTTAGTGACCCCTATAGGGGTTGCTTAAGAGATTTCTAGAGGGAACTCTACAAGTGCCCCTACAAGGGCCACTCTGGAGTTCCTAAGTGTACCGAAATAAGAAATAAACCAACTTTTTAGGATACAGCTTGGAGAAATCTCCACGAAGACACGAGTCGTAGTAGATCTGATTTTCGGACGTTCTCGTTGAAGGCAATCCACTGAAAAACAGGCCAAAGTTTCAAAAAATCGTCTTTCGAACCAACCACATCCAACGAGCGAAAGAGCTTTCGTATTCGGTAGCGATGGCACATTTCGAGACTCGCAAATGTTCGTTGGCTTTGATCCAACACACTTTTTGCACGACTTCCTCCATCTGAAGATATTCTTCATTAGATGAGAAAAACCTTGAACTTTACCTGAAAACTTAGTGGCAGGGTCAACATCGCGTCTGCGTTTTTTTCTCTGAGATAAATGTTCTTCAGGAGCGTGCTGAGTCTTTCGCAACTCGGAGTGTCAGTAAGACTGGTACGTTCGAACATAACAATCGCTCGTTTCGAATAAACCATTCTGAAAAATTCCTGATTGGAAAAAAGAGAATATCTCAGCTCTAAAATTATTTGAAAAAAATTAGATGGTTTTTCGTGACAAGAGGAACAAAATCTATATGCCAACCAAAATGAGCTCAATCTAAAGTACTGAGATTTCCGACATTTGAAGGTCTATAACTTTTTTCAAAGACTTGTTGAGCAATTTTTGAGACCGGATTTGGATCAGCGTGAAAAACTACATCTAGAAAAGTTTCAATGGGAGCTGAGACCATTTGGTAAGCGCCATAGGGTGAGGCTGTCAAAAATGTGCAGGAAAAAATCAAAAACGAAGTCTTTTTGGATTTTTTGCGGAAGAAGTTTCTTTCTCATGTTTCTTATGATATAGTGAATAACAGCAGACATTTTAGAAGTCTAAAAACCGAAGAAAAACAGTTTTTAAGCGTATTCCGTACATTTTTGACAGGCTATTTCTCAGTACCCTATGGCGCTTAACTGAAAAATCTTCTGTTTACGAGTTATCTCATCTAGGACTACCTACCATAGAAGTTAGGACCAGATCTGCGATTTTCACCTCACACACTTTCCATGTTAAGTTGAACTACCAGTTTATTGCATTTCTGAGTAAAAGATCCAAAAATGTTCCACCTTTCTGAAAAAAGTACTACTCAAGTTCCTTCTCTCCTTTCATTTCACCTAACACTGGATAACACGTATTTTGTTTCCCACACTGATGAGAAATAAAAGAGACTTGTCGAAACAGAGATTGGCGACGGCGGAAGCATGCCAGGTGTGGCCAGCGGCGAGGAGAGTCTCTCCGAGGAGGCAAATTTCGTCCAACGACTTCTGGTCATCCCGCACCTCATCTACCGCCCATTTGTTCAGGCCGATGGCGTCGAAGCAGCTCGTCAGACACGTCTTCTCCTCGTCCGAGCCTGCATTTGAAACAGTGAAACAACTTGAGAGGGGCTAATGTTGCCTTTGTCTTTCAGATTCTCGCAGTAATTCAAAACGCTACGAATCGCTTCCAAGTGATGTCCCGCTTCTGTCGCGAAATAGCACAACGCAGGGGCGATAAAAAACGCCAATTGATCCTATAATAATTAAGAATTGGATTGTGAATATCCGGAAAATGTGCTCCAAGGATCTCTGTGTACCACTGTGGAAGTTCCAGTTTTCGAGATATGCTTTTAAAAGTTATCACATAAGGCCTACGACCGATACGCCGTAACTTCGAAAACGCATAAAGCCCGTTCCGATTTTGAATGACAAGTCTTTGCTCAAGCTCCGCCTCTAATGGCGCGATAAACCAATCTGAGAGCGAGCCAACCACAGAGCGTTTTCAAATGACGTCATTCTACTTGAAGTTTAAAATCTGAACTGACTCCAAAACTAAAATTTCGCACAGATATAAGCAATTTTAATCTGAACCTTCAGTGTTTGGACAAACTCATGAAAAATCTAAACTCTAGAATAAAATCTCTAAGCAAGGAATTTATTACATTTATTTCCATCATGTTGAGTGCCAACGTTAGGAGGACGAACTCATGGGCGGAAGGTCGATAATCAGCGAGTTCTTGACATAACTTGTAGGCTCCGTTGTGTTCGCGATTCGGGTCGCAAAAACTTGTTAGTTGGTCGAAAAGTTTCTGAGAAAGATAAGCTCAAGGAGGACAATTCATAGAAGCCCAACTTGGTCATCAAGATGAAGGTCATCCTTGCAGTTGAAGAGAAAAAGGAAGACACAAGTGGTCGTCATTGTTTCATCGGGCCTAGGGAACTGCTCAGAAGAATTACGCATGGAAGCTCACTCGTGCCGTAAGATGAGCAAGGGCAAGACGTGTTGCCAGCGATTCTGGATGAATTCTGGAGTGATTTTCGAGTGGGTGGCATAGGGATAGGGAGCCCCGGGCAGAGTACTATTCGCCGCCAAAAGGGGAAGGACGAACGGACGCATCATCGGCAAAAGGTTCCAGACGTCTCCCAGGAAGTCTTCAACGTGAAAGTCTGAAGACTTCGTATCTAGGAAAATGATTTTATTTTTCGGCGTACCTTCTTCAGGCGAGCTTATGGGTAATTCTGCCTTCAAAGAAGTGTAAAAACTGGCGTACCCAAATACGCGTGGGTTCAACTGGAAAACTTCTTCTCTGAAACTCGAACACCGTTCTCACCTCTCTCCGTGCCAAAAAGTTTTCAACTTCTTCCGCGAGAAACTGGTCAAAATTGACATCTTCCTTAGATTCTCCTTGGAGCTCGGGGAGGTCATGTCGTAGAATGTCCTCTCTTAGGAATTCATCGCAACACAGACTCAATATCACCTTCACATCGATCGTTGGAAACCTGAAACGGCAAAAAATTATATCCTAATTTTGAGTTTCAACCTTGCACAATACTTCAGAGCGCTCCGGAAAATTTTGTTGTAGACTAACAGAAAGGCGTTCTGGAGATCATTCGTCAGGAGCTTTTCAGCACTTTCGCTCTTGAAGATCGCCTTGAGCATCCACAAGGCTCGTTCGACCAGCCCAGCCGAGAACCATTCCTCCGCCTTGATTAAAAAATTATTTCTCGAGATCAAGGAATAATCTCACAAAGGACACAAGAAGTCCGAGTGCAAAGTGGGGATCTTTCCTCAAGGTTTCCATGAATCTTCTCGAAAACTTGCTCCAGTGCCTGAAAGATCTAGGAATCCAAGAGATATATGAGATGATTCGCAGACTTGACTTGAGATCCAAACATCAAAATGAAATCATCGACCATGACGTTTTGTTTGTTGGCTGACCATGTTCTGTAGACTTTCAAAAACTTATTGACCGTCAGTCCAACACTAAAATGAATATTAGTTATTTTAATTGGAATCTGGTCACCTGGGAATTTTTTTCAATGTTCTTTTCTTCAATGAAATGGCGTTGAAAATCAGAAAGGACACGAATTTGGGAACAGTACGGGTACAAACCTAGAATAGGAAGAATTGGCGAAGAAAAAAACCGGTAGAAGACTGAAAAATAAATGAGCCAAGATTATCAGACTTCAAAAACGATTTTTATATGAATGAATTAATGAAAAGACCTTAGAACCGGTAGAAAAAAATTTGGTTATTACAATAACTAGAATTCTTTAAGGGTTCTTTTTTTAAAACTATAATTTTCATAGAAGTACTTTCTCAATAAGAAGTTTGATTTTTAGATTTCAACCCAACTTATAAAGATAAATGAAACTTAGTGTTCAACCATGAAAAGACACGTTTCAACTTGATTATTTAGAAAACAAAATAATGCTTTACTCAGTAGGTAAAAACTGAGATTTTTCATTTTCTCATTCTAGATTTGTCCCTACAGCCTGAAATAATAGAAAAAGGCAACTACCTCGTAGAGATCATCGTTTGCGACGACGAGGTCGAGGGTGTGGGAATGGATTCGCCACAGAGAAGGGTTGCACATGACGTAGTTGACCACTTTTTGAGCGGCGAGCGGCGCACTTTTCAGGGATTTCAGAAGACGTCGCACCACGTAGCGATCCACCTTGAGCGACTCGAGATATTGCGTCGCTTGATGAGCACTGATTCTGCGATCATCGTGCAGCGACGCCGGCGTCGCCTCCCGCAGAACACACATCAGCGACTTTTTCGCCAGCAGCTCGTAGTCGCTCTTGTTCATACATTCGCTTTTAATGTTTCTACGCGTTTCTTTCCTGAAACAAAGAAAATGTTTTAATGAATAGATTTCGAAGCATGAACGAAGCCAGAAAATATAAAAATATTTTCATTTTGCCTTTGAAATCTTTCTAGTATCTGCTCGATTTTCTACAATCTAGTCTACCTCTTTGGAAATCGTGAAATTTTTTGAAGCTTTATGATGTCTAGCATTTTGACTTCGAGGTCCTGTCAATTAGATTGTTTCGCTTGGAAAAACGAAATAACATCAAAAATAAAAAAGGAATAAAAGTCTCTCTAACATTTTCCAAATTCCTTCTTCCGAGAAGTCTCTGTGGCTTATGGATGGGCAAGTACAGAACTCATACAGCCCGGGAGAAGGGATGGAATTAAAAATTTTTGGGCAATTAGGAAAAATTTCAAGCTTCGAACTCAGGGAGATGTTTTCAGTCACAATAAACAAGCTTTAGTCTTCGGGAGGTAGTATTAACTTCAATTTAGGAAAACTTGGGAGCAGGGGTCGGCGGCCTTAAAAATGGGTTGTGGCTCCTTAGTGAGCATTGAAAATAGTAGTACTCACAGAAGAGCAGAACGGATCTTCGACAAGCAATCACTCGATAGCATTCTGCCAAAACGTTCCATGTTCTCTACCATAGAGTAGACGTCGTTCGACTAAAAGTTTTGAAAATTTCATTGCCTACATGATATGCGCAAACGTTCACAATAAGCTTTTGCATGCACTCATTGAACTCGGGCCATTCCTTGAAGCGCTTTGGATCTATTGACTCTTCTCTGGCAAAGTTAGCGATATGTTCAACGACATCCATCTTAAAATCCAAAGTCCTACTCTTACCAGGACCTCGCTCTTACCGATTCTTGGAAAGGCCTCGGGACAATTGACTCCCCACAAGCACGTAAAGTATGCAAGACCGATTTCAACTTGGGAGAACAGACCGAAAGATCTACAGGCGGAACGTTCGAAGTGAAATACTTGATCTGGTCGAGAAATGATTCTTCCGGAATCACTGTGAGCGCTTCATTCAAACGAGTCTTCCATTCTTCCTTGAAATAAGTAAGAATATTTTTTTGAGTGGTTTGTGAGATTACTTCGAGAAGATTCTCACTCATCCCCGATGCTTTGCAAAGCTCTTTCATCATCAGCCAAAGCGACAAGAATGAATTCGGATCCTCTTCTAAAATTTCCTTACTGCCTTCTAGGAGAAGGTGAAAAAACCTTGAATGAGCTTTTCTTTCAAAGAACCGGCTACGTACTCCACTAATTCTTCAATGAGCTGGGTTCTAGGGAAACGGTTCTGAACACCCGGAGAAACAAAGTTTTTAGGAGAACTTTCTCGAAAAAGTCCATAACGATTCATTATGACCAGAAGTTCATCTTCTGTAAAAACAGATTTAGTCGAAAAAAAGTAAAAAAAAAAACCTTCGTGGTTATTCTCCTTGATTGGTAGTGGTTGGGGACAGTATCGACAAACTTCAATGAGAGTCGCCGCAGAAAAAGCGAAAGGCCGAAGAAGAATCCAGCTGATAATTTCTTTCCGGAATCTGAGATCAGCTTGTAACAGCATTTGAAATGAGCAAAAACCTCCATCCGGGAGGAATCGCCTTAGGAGGTCCTGCAGAGAAGAACTTTCCATCCTCTTCAAACTCACAAAATGCGAGAAAAGAAGACAATAAGTGAAGCGCCTCGGGACGCGAAGGAGGCGTTCTGGAAAGCACTTCGCTCACCAGCTCGGAAACAGGAAGATTTGAGCTTGGCATCTGAAATGAGAATGTAAGCAGGAAGGTGGTTAAGAACAGACTTTGGTCTGCAGAACGATCCTCAGGAGATTCAACGAAGGAACATATGAAGAAGCGGCATGAGAAGAGGAAATTCCAAAGCGGAAAATATCGTCGGCTGACGGGAGCTGCAATTGAAAAATCCAAGTGGAGCAGCGCCAAGAGCAGACTTACCATGGGATCTGAAAAGCCTGCGAACCAACTGTTTGAGAGGAAACTGGACAAGGCCTTGCAGAAAGAAGCGCGCAACAGGTCACTGAAAAGATTTTGAAAGATTTTGGGGTTCTTAGAGAGGAGGTCATTTTACTTTGGGGTCGGGATTTTTTTGAAAATTGGGCCAGGACCCTTTTTATGTACCAGAAGAAGATACTAGAAGTCTCAACCTGCACAACTTCGAGAAAAGACGCCTCAAAGTCGAAGAAAACCCTCAAATCCCATAGAAATGGGCTACTTTGATACTTTAGGCCCTTATTTATCGAAGACTAGGAAGTTGGGAAGGTTGAGACTTTCAGGATTTTCACCTTTTCTTTTTTTTCTGGTACAGAACCAGGAAAAAAAAAGAAAAGCAACGATAAAATTGAGATAAGTTAAGAAGGAGAAAACAAACAAAATGAGGATAAAAAGTTCACCTCGTAACCAACGATTTTACAGACCACAATGACACGAAACTCTGCAAGAAATCGGCTTCAGTCAGTCGCTTGCTGCAATTTTCTTAGGATTTATGAACTTCCACAAAAACTCACCTCCTTGCAACATTTTCTAGAACATCTAGTGCACACCCAAACGCCAAATTTTTCTGGCTGTCGTGATGGAATTTTTCTCCGATTTTCAGTGAGGCAAACTCCTAATGTTTTATACACAATAAGAACGATTATAACGACAATAACTCACATTCAGCCTGTAAGAAAACTCGACTTCCACACTCGTTTCCGAGTCGATTTTATCACTAACTAGAAAGAAGTTTTCGAGCGTCAGGAGCCATCTAAAATCAATCTCTTCACAAATTTTTGAGCTCGTTTATTGGATTCAAAAGTTAAGGATAAAAAAGACGTGATGATTCTGGTAAAAAGAAGTGAGAAAATTTTGATACAATTTTATAGTCAGTTTACCGCGACTTGACAGTTTTCGCGTGTCTGCATCTCTCTGTTACCTTACCGGCAAGGTCAGAGAAATATGGAAATAGCACGCAAATATGAGAGAGACGTCGAGAGAAAAGGAGGGCACAGAGAAAACACGAAAAACGGATTATAGAACTTGCGAAGTTTCGTAGTAGAAAAATATTTTCTGATTTCAGAGTGCACAAAATAAATTGAAAATATACAAAAATTTATATTGGGTCTATAAGAAGTTCCCTATTTTTTAAAGTTTCTTCCAGTGGAAGGAAAAAAAAACAGACATTTTTTGGACTCTCATACAGCTTTGAACGAATAAAAACCCCGCAAAATATCAAAAAACCAACCTGGAAATAATCTTCGCATACCGTTGTTCGAGAACAAAAACATTTCTGTGGGTACACATCATTACCAAACTTCTGAAAAGGTTCTCAAAAATAAATCACATAAGAATAAAGAAACTAACTTGAAGGCGTTTGAAAGAGCGGTTCTCACAAATTGAAAGCTCTCGGGATCAAGGACACAAGATGGCTGCTGTCCTTCTTCTCTCAACAATTCCGGGTCGAATGGAAAGCAGAGCTTCACGAGGTTGTCGATCAGTTTCCACAAAACCTCCTGGAAACATTTCCTTCTTGAAAAGAGCTACGTTCGATAGCGAAGGTCTATAGTTCCAAACAATGTTTCAAATTGTTTTCTATTCGGATTCAGAGTCGTTCATTCTTCGGTGTTTTTTCGTCAAGATTACTTGATAAAGTTGAAAAAACAAGCGATATTAATTTTACGCAAGCATCAGACTCTTAGAGCTTTGCATAATTTGCATAAAACTAAAAATTTCAAAAATATCCGTTTTCTTCCAAATTTTTTCCTTCAAAAAATACAACATGTAGATCGAACTAACTGCGAGGAAAAGATCTCAAAATAGAGCGGCCTCTACTTTCTGAAATACACTACCGGCTCATTGATCAAAGAGTTTTCAATCATTAGAATCACATGGATAGAAACATAGCATTTGAGTCTGAGAAAAATAAAATCAGGTCTAAACTTGAAAAATGGTTTGATGATAATTTTACAGAACTAAAAACTCTTGATCCAAGAAAAAGTATGATTGCTACAAAAATAGAAAAACTAAAAAGTATAATTTTAACGTAACTCTAAATTTTACTCAAATGGAGGGGGATTGTTCTTCTAAAATGTCAAGCAGCAAACTCCGCCCCCAACAACGCTCCGAGGATAGCTCGCTCTCTGATTGGTAAGATCTATGCATAAGGGGCGGAGTTTGAGCGATGAAATGACATTTTTAAATCTGAACAGACTATAACACGACGGCAAGCCCTCTTCCCTCCATCCCCACAAGTTCCGACCACGTATTTTCCTGCATTTTCCTTAGATTTACTCCGTAAACATTAAGGCCTGTGTGTGAGAACTAATTTAATTGATTTGACTGAACTAATTGAATGAGTTCAACACGAAACGTGACCTACCTGAGATTCAGTGTTGTTGCTCGAGTCAACAGAGAGATTAGAGCACATGTCGCGAGCGAATGGCATCACAGTTTGCATAATCGTAGATCTCGATTCGACACCCCACTTCGCGGTCAGAAGCTCGTACAAGGTGATGTAGCCGTGTTTGACGAAATTAGACCATCTGAATCGAAATTGACGACGCAGATCGACGGAAACTGACAAAGGAGGCGACAACTGTGGGGCAGCCGTCTGCATCCGCTCGGCCACTTTCTGCACCAAAAAGGTCGGCGACACTTCGAAAACTGAGTAGTCGACGGAGCGCAAAAGTGAGACTATTGTTGAGATGTAGTGGCCAATCAGGCTCTGATCCATTGGAGCTGATCTGTCTTCGAATCTTTGCCATATCCGCTGCCACAGGTCTGTAATTTTGTTTTTCAATTTTGTCGACAAGCTCTCCAAATTCGTTGTTTTGTAGATGGTAGGAAGGAATTTCGGGTCCGCAAATATTCGTGAGCGTGAAATTTTCATACAAGTAGTATACAAATGGTTGACGCTGGACGGTCATTTTGCCCAAATGACGTTTTTTGCACTTTTTGACTATTTTAACGCTTATTTTCATCAAAAAAGTGTCTATGCTCATCGAAAATCAGTCATTTTTGAAAAATGTCACTTTTTGGGCTGGGCGTAGAAGTGACTATTTTGCCCATCTGCCCCATCGAGACTTTTCAATGTTTTTATTGTTATTAAATGATGAAAATAACATTCAATAAAAATTTAAAGGCCTTTGCTCTAAAAACTCAGGTGGAGACACCATTGGTATAACTATCACCAATTCAGGTAAAACCTTTTACTCTCTAACTCAATCGAAAATATATAAACAGTCAATAACATTTTGTAAATCCAAAATTATGGAATTATTATCATACATCCTAGATAACAGTTTCGTTACTTTCGCTGGACTAATTTTTAAACAAGTTAATGGCATTCCGCAAGGCAATAACGCATCTCCTTTTATAGCAGATTTAACCCTCTCAATTATGGAATACGATTATGTCCTTAAAAACAAAACCCAATTTACTAAAAACCGTTAAGGCCCCAGGAGACCCATCAAGGAGAGACTATCATCGTGCTCACACTGAGCTAGTTCAGGAGGCAACTACAACAAAGAAGTTAAAGGTTGAGGTTTAGAGGCTGAGCTATCAGTCGAAGGCGTCGCCAGATGGATATTCACCTCTTCTTTAATTTTTTTTTATTCGTCCAACCTTTTTTCTTTGTTGTTTTACTGTGGGGATGTCGTGTTTGGACCTATGGACACTGTAAAAATTTTTAAACTCACATTTCATCAAATAATGCGTCTCTCTCGCTTACACATAGTAAAATACTTGCTTTAGAGCTTTTATCTCATTTTTATCTTCTTTATGCATTCTCCATCAGCTCCCGTTTTTTTTTGGAAAATTTATAAAAAACCAAAAAAAGTGAATATTTCCAAGATTTGTGTATGCACAGTTCACGCTCACGAATATTCGCGGACCCTAATTTCCTTCCTACCATCGCTTCGTAGTTACGAATCTTTCGTTAGCCATTCAATCTTTTTTAATCGCTAATTGGTTTTTGAAAGTTTATAGAAAAAAATAATACTGTGCTCCTAACGCTAATAGTTACCCAACCGAGAGTTTCGACCAAGAAATTTTCTTTTTTTTTCAGTTGAAAAGAAATGAAACTTTTGACAGTTGCATGCTCGATCCAAACCAGACGCCCATGAGAACAGCAAGAATCGAGGGCGTTGGCCAGCTGCATCTCATAATGAACGTTCGACTTCAGCCAAGTCGCTTGAAGCATTTTGATGCAGAAAGAAGTCCAAGGAACAACAGAGTTATCGATACCTAAAAATGAGAGATTTAGTAGTTTTAATGAATAAAAGACTTGACCTCCGAGATTTGTACAGGCTTGCCTCACGTAAATTTACAAGAGATTAATCAATGGGGCGCGTTTTTCACACCCCTTTAATTAATTTTGTTTTCTTCTACCTCCCATTGAATAAGCATTCAAAAAAATATGAAAAAAATCCATAAATAGAAAGCAGAAATTTAAAAAAATCCTTGTATGGCGGATTGTTTAACTAAGTTCGAAAAAAACCAACAAAAAAACTATAAAAAGTGATGTAAATTTTAATTTTTTTCTGATTCAACTTGGCTTTAATTACGCGAATTATGTTTCTCCAAGAGGACAAAACTGATACAAAAACCGCGGGTAAAAAGAAACTAGAGAGACAAAAATTGAAAAACTTTAAACTTTGAAAAAGTTTTTTTCTGTGTCTCCACTTTCGCGTCATATGACCCAGAATATTATTCAGAATAAAAAAATTTCATTATCTGCAACAAAAAAACGTGAACTCCGTGGCAAGTTCATTTTTCCTGATATCGAAAAAAATAACACGTAAAAATACAACGTGACAACGTGTCATTTCTTTTTTTATGGCCGGGTTTCAAATATCATTTTTGCTTCCCTCCCGAGCCGTCTCACTTCTGCATTCAACGTCAAGATGAGTTTTAAACCTTCATAAAACTTTTAACTTCCAAAATAAGTTTCTGAGTTATAAGCGCTAGTAGATTAGGCCCGCGGGACTCCCGGAGTGCCGATCCTTTTTGCTTGCAAATTGGATACGCAAAGTCACGCCGAAGCCCATTCCGGTGGCCGAAGCACAAACTGTTGGCAGCGCGATGCTGACAAAGCGATGATGGGACCCCCGCGGAAAATGCCGTCACGGCCTTCGGCGTCTAGGATTCTTAGTTCTGACAAGGCCGAGCGGAGCTCTAGCGCACCGCCTAGTTAGTTCTTCTGACTGGATAAAACTTCCCTAACTTACTTACTACTTTACATAGCTAATCAGTCAAAACATCGCAATTCGAATAATGAAATTGACTTGCTTTTTTCACTGTTAAAATAATTGCAGGAAGCTTTCAACGAACTCATTCTCGTCAGTCGATGGAATTTCGACAACAACTTCAAATAAAGCAGTTTGATATCAAAAAAATTCTTTTTTATTCAATTTTCTTTCAGTAAGAACGCCTGGAGAATGGAGACGAAAAAGTGTGTTGGAAAAATCACCTATCGACTACTACTGGAACAATTTTGAGGTTTTGAAGTTTTTAGTTTCGAAGAATTTTAAAATGAGGAAAAAAACGGCATGATCTTATTAACACTGAATTGAAGCCAGAATCACCTTGATCTGATATTATAGGCAAAGTCGGAAAGGGTGGAAAAAGGCTTCATAGAAATATTCCTTTTAGGGTGACAGAGGCTCCTTTTTGCGCCATTTCGTCGGCACTTATGCACCATTTTTGCTGTCTCTCCCTTTTTCCACCATTTCTTGAGGAAAACGGGTGCAAAAAAGGAGAGACTGCAAAATGGCCACTAAAAGGGTTCCGTTTTACACCCTTTATTGAGCCTTTGTGCTGAGTCTCGGCCATTGATGATTTCCGATTTTATCACTGTAGCACATTTGGTTCATACACAGTCATTTGTAAAGGTTATTTAAAAAAATTGTATCTCTCAAAAGGGTCCAAAAAGGGTGGATGAAGGCCAATGAAAGGACGGAAAAAGACAGTAAAAAGGAAACCGTAGCCGCCCGTTTAGGAACAATTAATGGGAACTTTTTGACCCATAACGGACGCTCAAAGGGCCCGTAAAGGGTTCTTCCGTCTATGCTCATGAAGACATAAATTAATAAAATAATTTAACTCTACGAGCAGCTCTTTTTAATTCAACTTTTGTATTTATATCCTATTTTTTCCGCATTTGAAAGTCTTTTATCTTAGAAAATTCAGTTAATCGCGTTGACAAAAAATCGTGGCGAAGACTTTTTCAAAATGATTCCATGGCGGACAAGTTCTATCAACAGCGAAGCCGGCTAAACAGTACCAGGTACCAGCCCAATGCTCTTAAAAGCAGCTGAGGGCTTTTTGTGCTGTGTTAAATTGCAAAGGAGGAATGAAATAGCAGTTAACTTACAAAGGCTGAAATCGCTTCTCACTGTCTGACAGCTTTTTTGAATTTCGCGGAATCCCTTCGGAATGGGCATGAAAAACTTGAACATTGGTAACGCGAAACGGACGTGTTCGGGCATTTCTAGTGACCACTCTAGTAGCGTCAGCATTCTTAAGTGATCCCTAGAATTGTTCTCAAACATCCCGAGCACGTCTTCTCAGCGGCGACAGTTCTCGCCATTTTCTACCCACTGAATCGGGCCGCAACCTTAGATGTGGTACCAATGTGCGAGAAGATAAAAGAAAAAAAAATTTAATCAAAGGGGTGTGAAAAACGCGCCCCAATGATAATCTCTTGTCAATTTACGTGAGGGAAGCTTAAAAGACTTACTTTTGTGAGAACAATCTGTGAGCAACTTGGTGGCAAGTTCAAAGCAGCGATTCCGTAATTTCAACTTTTTTGGCGCAGTCGAAGTTTTCTTCATTTTGGCCTCATTTTCAACAGATTCCTAAGTGAAATTCAAATTGAAAAACTCAGAATTAAACTAACCGAAAAAGCAGCTGTGAAAATGTCAGTTGATAAATCGAATAATGTGTAAACGTCCTCCAGCTTAGCTTGATATATACTCGGGAAGCATTCTTTGTAGAGAGTTTCGACCGTTGAGAGTGCAGACTGATCTTCATTTGATAGAGAGACTTTCTGGCATAACCTACATCTCTTTCAACAACTTTAGTCGCTCCATTCAGCAGCTTGGATATGTTCAACTTGAGACTCCTTGCACTGGTTGCAAGATCACTCATAGTTCTGCAGAGTATAAAAATTAAAATCGACTTTCAGCAAACCTTTTTGTGCAAATTATTTCATTCAAACTAGCGGCCTGATGCCTAAGAAAGTCTAGCCTGAAAAAAGGAAATAATATGCCAAACCAAATTTAGTTAAAAAACAAAAACCGAACTATCTTAATACAAGAAGAGCAATAAATGAATAAGAGTTCGAGAGATGCAAAAGTTGAAAAAAGCACCAGACCAATTTAAAATTCCTTTTGTTTCCATACAATAGCCAGAAAAAAATTCAACAGTCTTACATCGAAAGTTCGACTTTGAAACAGATTATAAAAGATCAGGTAATCAGGTAAGTTGGGTTATTCCTCGAACTTTGGAAGCGAAAAATAAAAAAATTAGACTTCCTGAAGCGAAACGCCGTTATTGAAAATCGCAAAATTCAATCCTAGTCTACCTACAATTTATTAGCTATACATAAATAGCATAAACATGAAACGCTACTCAAAAGCTTTCAGAAAGAGAAAAAAAAACGTTAAAAAATATTCGGAACGCCGCGCGAGGCCGGTATCGCGAGCGCGTGTGACTTCGGCAGAGCGCATTATCTCTAAAACTTTCAAAAAAAAAAAAGTCGAGAACTCGGCGGACAATTTTTTTTTTCTTTTTTCTTTTCTTACTTTCATCTTTCAAGTTAATTTTCCGCATTAACTTCAAGTAACTTCAAAAATATTTTTAAAAAATAATGGAAAAAATTGTAGAAAATGTAGAAAAATACGCTTGCGCAAACGGTAGCACGACCTGGATCTTCCGTCTGAGAAATTTTTCGATAAACTCTGATGCCGTGTTCAAAGTAATTTCCGCGAAATGCAAAATGGTCTCTGACCCTCCAAAATTTAGTTATCTTTCTCTTTCTCTGACGGCTATTTTGAATTTCGCGGAATCACTTTGAACACGGCATGAAAGAAAATAATCTATATACGTGAGAACCGACTTTTTTTAGAGAAAAAATTTTGTGCAGTAATTTTTCTTTTTCGTTTGCATTGAAATACCTTGAATAGCGCGCTTCGAAAACTCCTTTTTTTTCGGAAAACATCCGGAAAACTCATCAATAAAGTTTTCATTATAACTTGTTTGTTTTCGATTAACCTATAGCTATCAATATAAGAATTGATAACTTTTTGAAATGAATCATCAATTTGAATGAAAAATATCTTAATTTTAACTTTAGGTGCTATTTTCTAACTAGATTTCAAAAAAATTTTTCACTAAGTTCATAGTTTTTCTCTTTTTTTATAGAAAAAAAAAGAATTACAATAGACCGGCGCGAACTTTTAAATAGGAAAGGAGAATTCGCTCCACTGTATATTCATTACTGACTTTTGCTAGAAACGTTCTTTCAAACAATATCAGGTTGTCAATTTTAATTATTTCATATTAACACCTTTTTTGAGCTTATTTCTCATTCGATTGCTTTAATCAAAGATTTTTCTTCGAATTAAAAATAGTTTTCGCTGCGGCTCTCGCTTGTTTTGCAAAGATTTTCAAGATCTTTTCTATTTCAGTCTCGTATGCTCCGTTGTTTCTGTACTATTCGGTCGTTTTCCTGTTCAATATCAAGATTTTCAAATGAAAAAAGTTGTTTGCCTTCTCCTGTTCTTGTGAATAAGTTTTCGAAAAAGAGATGGCAGAGAGAAAAACTGGCTCAAGTAACCTCAGAAGTTAAGGTATACTTTGATTTTTTTTTTAAATCAATGGCGTACTGTTTACAGTTATATGCGGATGTTTTTGGAAGGGAAGAAATCGAAAACATATCGGACGCTCTGTACAAGGAGATGATGTCGATCGCCGACTGGAGACAGCGGCGGCAATGCTTACTCGATCATCAACGCTTGAAAAGATCTTTCAAACTAAAGACTCAAGACTCTCAGCTTGTATGATCCTTCCATGTTTTCATTGATTAACATAACTTTTCAAGGTGTCAGAGGTCAACCAGCGCAAGCACGTCGAGGGAGAGATGACGTACGCCAGACATTTTCACTCTCTTCTCGATATTTATGGAGCTGAGTTCCGCAGTACGTTTCAGATTTCAATCATACTTTAACCCGCAATAAAGTGAACTTTTTCGGTGCATTCCGCGTTGGAACTGGCGGGGGGCGGGGGGTGCACTTCTGGGGAAACCGGTCGAAAATAAAAAGCTTTGAGCTACCTTAACAGCCTAGGATGAAACTGTAGGAAATGATGAAATTGGGGAACAAAATACTTCGAAATCGTGTACGGATTAAGTGCCTTTATAGGAATTTAAAGGTGTCCATCCCTGGCTACACTGCGGGGTGCACCGAGAGTTCGACCCGGGGTGCACCGTAAATTATGTTAGACTATTTAATTTGTTCAGAGCAAATTGACAAAATGTACGGAGCTCGGCTCCTGAGAGAAGACGTCCCGTCGTTACTTATCGACTGCCGTTTTCTTCGCGATTTCTCGAGACCAACTCAACAGTTTTACTTGCAGTACGCTTTTTTCTTTTTCTTTAATGAAAAAACAGGAATTTACAGGCAAATGCAGGCTTTACACGAGTGGAACTGGTTCTCTAGAAGACCTTTCGAACTTCATTTCGTGAACTTTCGTCCTGATCCCGAGATGGCAGAAATGTCCCAGAGGTATTTTTTTTTCCTAACAAGGAAGGCCATTCAACTCTGAAATTTGGCCATGTTACTGTTTGTCGTAACAAAAGAAGATCCTGAAAGTCTCAACCTGTATAAAGTCCTAGTTTATGAGGAAGAACACCTCAAAGTCGAACAAATTTAAAATCTGTCCAATTAGGTAAATTTGGGGCTTTGGTCCCTATTTCTCAAAAACCAGGCAGTTATGTAGTTTTCTGGTACATCAAATAGTGTTTGGGCCAATTTTCAAGAAAATCTCTCTTTCCTATTTTTTGAGAAAGAACACGTAGAAGTTAAAGAAAATCCTTAAACTCTGTTGAAATAGGTCATTTTGGGGCTTTGGGTCCTCAGAACCCGGGAGTTATGTAGACTAGAACTTTCAGAATAGTTTTCTAGGTGTTTGGGCCAATTTTCAAGAAAATCCCAACCGCAAAGTGAAATGACCTCCCTTGTAAGCTTCCCCGATTTTTATGAAGCCTCTGACAGATTTTTTTCAAATTTTGAATAGTCGAAATAGGCAGGAGAATTTTCTCTGTTGATATGGGACATAGAAATTGATAGTTCTATAAATTGATTTTTTTTTACTATTTGAAGAAGAATTTTTTCAATCCTTTCATTTTCAGGGTTCTCAAGTTCTTCTACGGCCATCTGAATCCGGCAACAAATGAGTTTCTCCCAACACACCCACTGACTCCGACCCTCACTACGCGCAGAATAAAAGAAGTCGTTCAGGAGAAAGGTCAGCCGGAGTCGTTTCCTTTCAAGGAAGGACCTTTAAGATGACATCATGTACATTTCCCCGCGTGCAAGACGTTCCTTACCAGACGTCGTGCCTCCGAACGTCAGAAACTTCGTCTTGTGTCTCACCAACGACTTCAGTCCCGTGACGAGCAGCTGCACCGCGGCCCTGGCCGAGTCTCTTCCGACTTATCGCATCCCGATTCATCGCTTCACGAGGTCTGTTTTTTCTTTGAAAGACTCTGAGAAAGTGTGCGGTGCACCCCGCACTGTACCCCGTTTAGCTTTGAATGCCTATTAAGGTACTTATTCCGTACATTTTTTTGAAGTGGTTTGTTTCCCAATATCACCATTTTCTACAGTATCACCTGAGGCTGCTACAATAGCTCAAAAAAACTTTTAATTTCCGACGGGTTTCCCCAGGGGTTCACCCCATCCAGTTCCGGGGTGCACCGAAAAAATCAACGAAAAGTTCGCTTTTTTCGAGGTTACACTCTCATTTTTGTCAGGGGAGATGCGTCAAGGCTCTTCTGTTATTTTGTCTTTTAGGAGGGGAAAATAAATTTCAACATTTAGCGGAAAGAATCTTGTAATTAACCGCTTTCTCAAATTTTCAATCATGTTATTTCGGTACGTTTCAGGTCTTCGACTATAAATCCAAAAATCAATTATTCCATTCTCAATGAATATGCAAATGGATCCAACATCGAAAAATGCGTGAAGAATAATGTAAGTTTTCGTCTCAAATCCGTATTCCACATATTCATTCAGCTTATAACCATGGAGAAATTTTCGGGAGGAACAGTTCCTTTTCGTAAAAAACAAGAGGTTCCTAATTTCAATGATTTCTGTTTCACCAGCATTTTTTGAGGATTTTTCGCAAATGATGGAGAAGCTGAACAGTTGAAAGAGGTCTCCGGAGGACAAGGTGGGTGAAAATTTAAAAAGATGCTCTAGACTTCAAAAACTAAGCCTTTCGAATGTTTGATCTCTGTAGGACGGCATGCTGGTAAACTCGATCACTTTTTTTAGGACGCCTGTTTTTTCAAGTTTTCGAAATTGAAAAGTTTTCTGGGTTTTATAAAGGTTTTAAAGACTTTGAAGTACCTATTTGTACATTATATGACGAGTTTCGAAGTTAGTTTTTCGAAAATTCTGGCCATTATATTTACAAAAATTCACTTTTTCTGATTTTTTTTTTCATTTTCTCCAAAAATGTTCCTAAATCTTAATGTTTTCGCACCCAATATATTTCGATTTCAGGTCAAGTTGGAAAGGTTCAAAATGAAATTTATTTTAAAAAAACACATAATTTTCCTTTTTAGCCGCTAATATTCGGTTATTCGAAACATAACCAAAATCGAGAGTTCTACGCATTTTGGAAGCTTAAAATATTTTGAACTGAAAAAAAGTTCAAAATTTTCAAAAAATGCCCACTTGGAAAAGTGACCGAACTTTTCCAGCACGCCCTGTAGGACATTATTATCGGGGATTTTTCTGCTGGCAGCAATAATAGGACAATCTAAATGTATGGAGATTTTACACTCGAAATCACTTGAATATAACTCTGGCCTACGCTTTCTGAAAAGGTTCATTAGAGTGGGCCGGAAGCCGCGAAAAGCCTCCACAGCCTCACTCCGTTCTGATTTTCTCTTTTCCCTTCTGTCTGTCCTTGATTTTAATTTTATGATTTTTCGTATTTCTTTAAAAGTTGAGTTTGAAATGGACAAGAGCATATCCCCTTTTCGCCAAGTTTTCCTAAATTAAAGTTATTTTTATCTTCCTAAAGCTGAAACTTTTATTATTGTGGCCAAAATTACCTCCCTGAGATTGAAGCTTGATTTTATTCCTGATTTTCTAAATTTTCGTAAGCCAACCCCTCCTTCCGGGTTAAAGGTTCTGCACTCGACCTTTTATGCTTTTAATAAAAAAGAAAAAAAAACAGAAGAAGGTTTTTTGTGATATTTTCCATGGGAAATCAACAAAAACGTCACTTTAAACTTGTTGACAGGAGAAATTAGACTCAGTTTTATTGATGGATAGCACGGGAAGAAGAAATCAACTCAATCATTCAGAGCTCCCAGAAATTAGTTGCCTTCCGTTCCGCAAGCTGTGTCATAAATTAAACCGTTAATTATATGTTTTTTGCGAGTTTCTCTCTTTCTCTCCATAATTTATCTTCGAATCAATTTTTTTTTTTGGATGCTGCGGGAAATTTCTCCAAATACATGTTTGTTTTATTAATATCCTGGGATCAGATTAAATTATCTTGGAAAAAGGGGCAAAATAAAGCTGCGAAAAGGCCAGGTGAAGGAATGCCTCGTGTGATTTACACTGCGTAATTTGGATTCCATTTAGCCGCCTTCCTTCCGCTTCCCTCTTTTTTTTCCGCCTGAACTTTTATCGTTCTCCTCGCAGCAGTTGGTGTGCGACTCTCGAGATTCCTACGAACCGCCAAGTAGGGTTCAGAGCGGGTGTGAATTGAGCCGTGTCCTGGCAACTCGTCATTTTTTCTCTTTGAGAGCTTTCGGCGGCCAGACAGCGCAGCGATCCTTTTGCCGTCCGCTTGATTAATCTCCGAACTTTTGGTTGAGCGCCACTCTTCTAATGCATTATTCAACAGTTTAATTATATCATCTTCAACCATGTTGTTCAATTCCAGCTTGAAAGCAAAAGGTTTTCCAGGATGTGGTGGTTTTTTTATTCTGAAAAATCGCTCGATAGCTATTCGTCATAATCTTCAAATACCATTAGTAAACGGAAAATAAGACCATTTTTCAGCCCTATTGTTTTCTTTAACACGTAATTTCACTTTGAAAGGCAAGGTTATAGTTTTGCACCATATTTTGGGCTTTTTCTGACGCTCTGTTTACTCTACGCTTTTTTTTTCTCGTTAGTCGTCTTGTCATGTCTCCATACCCCACAAAAAGGATTTTTCCTTGAATAATTTGTGGACCACCAGAAATAAATTTATGTTATGTCTGTCATTTTCTTTTCGGGCCAATTTTTCCCCAAGCGTTCTGTTTTGAGAACCGAGGTTGAAGCTGCGGTGGTGCGGAAAGCGAATGCTGCTTGGAGGATGAATGGCTGAGGAGCTGAGTAGGCCGTCGTCCTTGGACTTTGCTTCCGTCTGGACCCGCGAGCAAATTGTCACCTATGTCAGGTACATTCATTTTGCTTCACCTGTGATTATTCGCCCTCAAGAGAGAAAAAAAAAACTTGGTGCTAACTTTTTCGGTTTTTGATCTAATTTCCTCACCAATGAAGAAATTTTCAAAATTCTGGAAAACCCCTCCGATAAACGTAACAACGAATGCTGGCTTTTTCAAAATATCAGCTCGCGATTAAATAGAAAAACTCAAGAAGTGACCTTCATGTTATTGACAGTCCTGCTGTTTCAGTAGGAAGAATAGAAAAAAAAATTAGATTATTATACCCATAACTTTGAAATTTTTCGATAAGTTCTCTAAGAGACGAATAGGTGAATATCCTGTTCAGTTCAAAGAATCTCATCTAGTGCTTTGAAGGGTTAGTTTTAGTTCAATTTCTAATAATTCTATTTGAAAGCCTTATGAATACACATCAGTTCAGCTCTTCCGGTTTGACACACTGTTGGTTTAAATTGTGCACATCGCGGTTTTTGGCCGATATCTTTATTAATAAGGAGTATTTTGTACGAAAAAGTAGGCAAATTTGGAGAAAAACAAAATTAGAACATTTAGAGATTCGAATTCAGTTTCACCGATCAATTTTTTACAAACGCCAGCAAGTCTTAAATAATGGCCTAACTTCAAAAATCCGTCTTTAGTAAGTGAAAAAATCGTATTTTCTGTAATTTTTTTTATGTATCAATGTCAAAATAGCCTTGCTGATTTTATTAACTAAGAAAAAATTATCGAAAATTATCAGTATGGTCAGCGGAGTGAAAACCGGGCGGGTCCTTGGAGGTCTGAACTGATGTGAATAACTAATTATTTTGAGAATTCATATAGTCTGTTTAGATTTTGAATGTCAAGTAGCTAACCCCCAAGGCTACAATATCTCTCGCGTCAAAGTTTAATCTCCAGATCTCCAGGTGACGATGAACCTTTAATATGGTTGCATTTTTTGACTTTTTTTTCTATCTTATTGAACAAAAAATATCAAAAATAATCCCCATCGAAGGTACTGTGCCAGAAGGGGCGGAGTTAGCTGGTTGACATTTCAAATGTGAACAGACTATAAAAAAAAATTTTATCGCATGTCTCAGTTCATCGTCCTTTCAAAATCTTGAGTTTGTGATTTGACGTTTTTTTTGAACCAAAACTATTTTTAGTTTCGCGTACGTGGTGATCTCGATTCTGATGGTTCTACTGTGGTCCATGTACCTGTGTCTGGACGGACGTCGTTCCCCGAAACGCGACACCCGCGTCATTCACATGCTGGCCGAGACAACCTTCTTCAGAGCTGCGCCATGATTCTGGCGGCAACATTCTTTTTTCGCGGGTTTTTTCGTCGCTGATTTTCTTTTTCACATTTCTCAAACATTCCTTTGAAATTTCCTAGGCGAGCTCTTTTTTTATTTCACTTGACGCATCCTCGTTGCTTTCATAACCCTGATCAAAGGTATTCCTCGAAATTCAAAATACCCCTCAGAGAGTGAAAAGGATAACTAAAATTTGGAGAGACAAAAATAATTCTCCATTTCGCGGAATTCCTTTGAACACGGCGTTACTTCTATTTTTTTGGCATTTTCTTTTTTTTTGTTGAATCCCCGTGTCTTTGAATCTGTCTTTTTTTTTTTTTTCTTTTGTAACTGGAACTTCCATTTTCAGTACAAAAACTTGGAAAGCGAAATCATTCTGTTTTCATTTCTGTTTTGAGCTGTTGAAAAATTGAAAATCAATCTATTTCATAAATTTTTTATATTTCTGCCGCATTCTAAGAAAATCGTCTCGAGAATTCGTTAATTAGATATATATTTTTTTTTTCTAAAGTATTAATTTAAAGGTTAATCGGTGTGATAATTAATTGTCAATAGATTCCGGAGTGCACTCGAAAATATGAGTAGCATTGCGGTAGTATCCGATTTCATACGAATAGTATGAAAATAGCAGAATTTTAGAATCTCTGAGCTTTGTTCTTTAATAAAGGGCATCCGCCGATTCAAAAAGTAAATTTCTCTGATTTTTGATGTGCTCTCTCCGGTTGGCCAGTGCTTTGCGGGTAATAAAAATCTCGTCAAAGACTCCTTCCGGGAATAAGTGTTGTAAGTTGAAAAAAAAAAAATTAAAATTCAAGTCATATTATAATAAACAAAGAAAACGTGTATCGAAATGCACATAATTCATTTTCACCAATCGGTTCTCCGAGAAATGGCGTGTCCAACTCCCTATAATTCCATCTACTCAACGGTTCTTTATTTTTTCTCAACCGGAGCAGCATTTTTCTTTAAAAAACCAGTATTTTTAGGTACTTCAGAGTGATCCCTTTGAGGATCCCCTCTAGGGACCACTTTACCAACATCATATAGGGTCCACTGAAGCTTGCAAAGATGGTCCCTATAGGGGTTTCAGTTAGTGGACCCTATACGGGACCTGCGTCGATGATTTTCATGAACTCTGTGTGAAGAAGCATTTCCATGCAAAAATTTTTTTGAATAAATTGAAAGACCTCTATAAGGACCACTTAAGCTTTAGGGGCTCAGGGATCAGACCTTAATCCCCTATAGGAACCACTTTTCGGTTCTTATAAGGGTAAAATGTTTTTCAACCCTACCCTCTATAGGGAGCACACTAAAATTCCTAGTTCAGACAAAACGAGTGGTTTGTTGCAAACACGGAGCCAAATGCAAGAGTTTCGCGAAGAAAGCGAAAGAGGGTTATTATTTTTCCCTTTTTCAAAACTCGAAAAAGAAAGATGATCTAAAAGTACTACAGAAATCGGAAATGAGAAGGAGAAGAAGGTTGAGCAGCCGACGATAAATGAAGGTCTCTTTTTTTTTTCGATTGGTTGGAGAAGTTTGTTCAATAGTGCAGGAGATGAGCAATACGTGAATCTATACGCGAAGAAAAACCAAGAGGAACTGAAGAAAGAGACGGAGGAAAAGGTCCCGAGCGGCGGCGAAAGCTTCTCTTCGGCCCCGGACACATCCTTTGTCCTGCTAGACGGGTTCTTTTTTTTTTTCAAACTTTAGAGTGTTCCCTATGGGGTCCTTAGGGCCTCTTGGAGGGTGAGGTAACTCCTATAGGGTCCACTGAAGCTTGCAAAAGTGGTCCCTATAGGGGACATGCTAGTCGATAATCTTTATGGACTCTGAGCGAAGAAGAATATCCATGGGATGAAATTGGAAGGCCCCTTCAGGGTCCACTTGAGCTTCAGGGGTGAAGAAGTCGGCCCTAATACCCTATAGGGACCGCCTTGATTTCCCTCCTATAGGGGCCACTTTTCCGGACCCCATAAGGGTTTTTTCCCCTCTTAAGCCCTATAGGGACCTCTCTGGATTTCCTAAGTAATTTCCCGCTCTTTGATTGGTTTTTATTGAAGAAATTTGCATACAAAAACTTGAATTCACCAATTTCATTCCAGCAAAAAGGTCGAAAAGCGCAAGAAGAAGAAACGATCTCGTAATGCGACTTTTGCAAAGTCTGCAACATCCACCGAGAAATCGGAACCGGCTCCCGTGCAGCCAAAGTGAGAATTTTGACTATACCGCCAAAAGCAATTTTTTTCCTAGCGACTTCTACATCGGCGCTTGTACGCGAGAAGACGCCGAGAGGTCGACCAGAAGCCGAGGACCGCTGCGAATTTATCACCAGGCAGCTATAGTTTCTGATCAAACTATAAACACCTAGAACAGATCGCTTCGTCTCCGGTCCTCGAAAACCTACAGCAGGAGGTCTCTCTGTACATCGTCTACCGCACAAAGGACACACGTTTCCGGTGATTCCTCTCAGTAATTACGATATGATTTCCATCAGTTTCAGACATTACCCAATTCGCTCGCAAACGATCGACTCAGTCGAAAAGTTCTACGTTGATTGCGGAGAGACCGGCGCTCCAATGCACTCCTCTCTTCACAAACTGGTCAACTTTTACAAAGTCGCTTACTGAAAATCGGCTCATTTCTGAGCTGCACCAAAAGCGGATATAAACAGGAGCAACCAAATAAAATTCTTTATTTTTTATTTCTCACTCACCAAAGACTGTTTTAAACGATAAAGTGTACATTTATTACCGACATAAACATACATACATACACGGGTTCTATGTGCAATATCCAAGTTTGCCGACCAAAATAATAGTGAAATTTAATAATTTTCGAGAGGTGATAGTCATATCTAGATGGAATTAAGCTGCACCGAGGAAATGAAAGGTTTTTTTGTACTTTAAAAAGAAACGATATAAAAATTACTTTTTTTAAAAAAACTAATTAAAAAAACCCCGTAGTAAACTAGAAAGATTTCACGAGAGAGCTGGTACGACCAATGAAAATACAGACAAAAATGAAAAATATAATGAAAATAGTCTGCTTCGATTCGAAGCGCGCAAAAAATTGTAGTCTTTTGTATATTATTTTACTTCATTATTTAAAATTTCTGCCGAATAATATTTTTTTCTTCCTTATTTAAAAATTTCTACTGCTCTCATAACTTTCATCAGTATACCTCGACAACCCTCAGTTAATAATTAATGACGGTTCAGTAAATCTTGGATAATGCATTTCTATGGCAATTTTGAGCAAATCTGACAAAATTTTAATTTTTGTAAAGATATTCAATCAGGCAAACGACCTTTAACTTCTGCGCTGATTTTTCCCTGCAAAAAGATAGAGGTCTTTTGGCGGAGGAAAATGTCTCACTTGAAAGACGGGCAGAAACTGCGAGTCGTCAGAAACGAGTAGAAGTTGGTAGGGCGCAGAACCGTCTTCGCACTCGGCTTTGAAGAAAAACCTGCACAGTTTCATTTTAGATCCAAAAAAATATTCTGTGAATCTAAACTTTATGAAGGATTACAAAACTGTTCGTTTCCAAAAAAGACACTTTTTCTCAATCCTTTTTTTTTTTTGATGTTAAACGCAATTCCTGTCAGCGAAAAAAAACTAACGGTGCGCTTCCATTGCTTGAGATGGAGAAATACCGCCGGAAATCGCGCAACGTCATAGGGCCGTCGTGAGAGACGTGAGCCACAATTGGAACACCATCAGATCCTTAAAAAAGGTTTTAAAAGCCGAACTATTCCTATGAAACCTTTATAGGAGATGGTTATTAGTGGGGCGGAACTGTTGGATGATAGCTTTTTGGGCTTCCGCGCAGAATAGGCGCCGGGAGACGGACGGTGGCGCAGGGCCGAGGAGGAGCCGGTCGATTTGCGGCTCAGAGGCTCCGAAAGCTCAGAAAACGTCGAAGGCGCCATCGAACCGATTCCCGAGGAGTCGTACATATGGCTTCGATTGCGATCCCTTTGTAAAGGAAGACTTTTCAAGGAGAAAAAAGATGTTGAAACTAATCATTTTCTCAAAAGGACGAAGAAGCAGGTATTTTTAATAAAAGCGAACAATCAATCAATGAACATCAAATTTAAAAAAAAAACTACTCCACGTAGGAATTTCAGAGTGATCCTTTTAGGGGTTAGGATGAAAAAAAAAGCCCCTGTAGGGGCCGAAAAAGCGGTCCTTATAGGGGTGAACTTGAGGTAGTCCCTATAGGGATTTAAAGTCTGACCCCTTAGCCCCTAATGATCAGGTCGACCCTATAAAGGTCTTTTAATTTCATTTAAAAAACGCTCAAGTACAACCCCTATAGCAACCACTATTACATGCCTAAGTTGCCTCAAGAGAGATCGATAAAGTGTTTCTTAGAGGGGACCTTCCAAGGGCCCTAAAGTTGCCCCTATACGGAACACTCTGGAGTTCCTAAGTGATTTGCTTCTCAAAATTTTTATCGAGAAAAAAAAGTTGCGAAAGCTTTTATATTAAATGAGTATATTCCATTCACCTATACACCCGTTGAATTACAGACAAAAAATGGAAACTTTTGAATTTTTTTTGTGGGATTTGTTTCAAAAAAATTACCACACCTAAATTTTATATTTCTCCTCATAAGCCGTATGCTCAGGGAAAAAAAAAGGAGTTTTCTGTCTCGATAAAGTGATAAAACATTAACAAAAACAGAAAAAATTCAGAAGAGCTCCCACTAAAGGGACTGCGATCCTCGTGGATTAATATTCTTTTTTTCTATCGTGAGAACGAAATAAAGATAATATTACAAATGAAGCTGTTCATCAAAAACTCATAGTTGAAAAACCAAAAAAAGTTCACAAACTTGTTTTTGGAGTAGGAGTGGTCGAACTTTAGAAGGTTCTGAGGCGGAGGCGCAAACGCGCTACTTTTCTTGGCAGATCTCGCCGTGCCGTAGGAGCTGGTGGTCATTTGAATGGCGCTGGGAAGGTCTTTGGTAGGCGAGAAGGTCCCTGAAAAGCCCGGATGTCCATTTAAGGAAAATGAAAGTATTACTGGAGGCGACGACGACCGCGGGCGGCGATCGGTTGGCGCTGGCTCTGAGAGAATCGTCGCGCATCCTCCGAACGTAGTCGTCCAAGTCTTCGTCCTCGTCGAAATCTATTCGAGCGGCGTCGGTTGTGGAAACCACATCCAACATCTGAACTTTATTGAACCTTTCAAGGAGTGTCGAAAATTGGGAGATTTATCCAGTTTATCGAAACTTTTTCGTAAAGTTTTGCAATACCGTGTTGCATTGAAGGCGAAATAAAACAGCGAAAAGAGAAAAACTTTGAAAAAAATGATTAGAGAAATTAGCGAAAAAGGAGAGATGTAATTTTAGAATTTAGAATTTTTTTCAAAAGTAAGTGTCGAGTTTTGAGATAGCCAGGAAAGTTATATTCGCCTTCTATTCGAAAAAGTTCCATTTTATGTATGATTGGATAAAAAAATATATAAAAATTTCAGTTCTGAACGAGAATTTACTTAATAATATTTGAAGCTTTTTGTATTAGAAACCAAAAAAATTTTTTTTCATTCTTAAAAAAATCATAACTTTGTTTAGGCCGTCCCAGTACTCATATCATACACTCGTTGCGTTAGAAAACTAATTTCTTCTTGAAAAATCTATCTTTTCATTCACCAGTGGATCGACGTTTCGAACGTTCAAAACTTTTATCGTTATCAGAACGCGAGTGCTGACCCAAAAACGTACGAATGAAAATTATAAAAAAAGAGAGAAACGAAGAAAAAGAAAATTCTATCTCAGCGAGTTTTCGTCGAATCCAGATTTTTGACAAACTTAAAATTCCCTTACTGTGAAAATTTTTTTACATCTGATTTCGTAAAGAGAAAGTTCAAAATGAGAAGATTGTGTGTAATTAATTTCAAAAAAATTCTTCCAAGAAATGAAAAATGTCAAACAAACCGTGTAGCGGCACTGCTCGATGTCGTTGATTTGACGTTCGGTCTCGTCGTTTCTCTCTATCGTTTCAATTAGACGTGAGAGCTTCTTCGAGAGAACGTATGCGAATTGTCTTCTACCTGAAACAAGGGACTAAGACAACGTTTCCCAGAGAACCAAAACCCACCATCTTCTGTAGAATGGTCGAACTGTTTGCTCTCGTTCTTGCTACTATTTTCAACTCTCTAGAAAACTGATGCTTTTTAAATTAAAGGGGGAAGAAACTCACAGGGACCACTAGAGAGATCGGATTCCCACGGAGCTGTTCTTCCTTCACATGCCGTAGCCTAATTCAAAGGACTTTTTATGGAACGAAAAGGGACGCTCACCTGGAAGATTTCTTGCCGGTGTCGCTGGAAAAAGATGACGAAACGGCGGAATCGTTTTGACTCGTCGTTGCGTTGCAAACGTACGGCTGTCGGACCACGTTCGGGAACATCTTCTCGAGCTTTCTGAGCTGAGTGAGTAGAAAAGTGAGGCTGAGGTCCTTCTCACGATTCTCCGAGAGTGGTCTGCCTGTTGTGTCTCGAACGCATCAATGCCTCCGCCGTCAGCGTCGTACTTTGCGCCGAACTTCTCCGCCATGTGTTGCTGTGTCGTTTGTCTATTGTATTACTGTTGCTGCTCGGATTCTCCATAATAAACATCTGAAAAACGAAGTTGAAAAGGCTGGGGACTGGCGCGGAAAACATGGTTGAAGGCGTCGATGAACTCGTCGGAGCACACAAATTGCTGGTGATGACGTCGCAGGATGTCTTCGGCGAAGGAGGAGCATTGCGAAAAAAGAGTTGGCTCGCATTCAGTCGCTGTCGTCATCATCTTGACACGTTCTCCTACCTGTCAAATTGAAGATTCCATCCAGAACTCTGCAGAAAAGAGAAAACTTACATGGCTTCGGAGTTTGCTGGGTAGACGATCACAAAGCCCTGTGCGCATCGATATATACATAGAATAAATGGATCGAGCCAGTTCGAGCGTCTTAAAATACAGTCAACAGACGGAAAAGCGGTACATAATGGAACCTTGGGATTGAACTCTAGAGCCATTCGTTCGTATGCCCTCGCGGCAAAATACAAATCGAGATACTAAAAGAGACAAATATCCTAACAAAACACTCAGCGGAAGTCACCTGAGTAGCAGAGGAATCCACAAGCCAGTCTCGGAACGCATCTAAAGCCGGTCTATCCGACAAAACATATTCGAGACCGCGAGCCCAGCTCAGATGAGACGCCTCTGCATCCATCTGAAACTTTGAAAAAAATTAATCAATGAGGCGCATCAGATAATGCACTGCGCGGTTATTAAATGAATCACGAGAAAACCAAAGATTTCAATCTTATAACTGATGGTGATTAGAATAATGAACAAAAAAGTTGTTATAAGCTTTAAAAGTGTATTTTATTTTCACGAATCAACATTTTCAAAGTAAAAGAGAGATGACACCTGAAATGGGGCGTTGAGAGAGAAGTATCCGACAAGAATAACGAAGAAAAAAGCAAAGAGAAAGACCGACGGATAAATTCCTAACAAAAAAAGGCGATTCTTCGGACACCGCGTTTCTTCAAAAAACCTTTGATGTAGCCGCCGAACGCGCGCCGCGACCGCCTCGCAGCACATAAAGATCAGCCATAAAATTTCATGTTTAGAAAATGCAGAATACAAAATCTCAGTGATAAGTCGTTATGATATTTCTCTCCTTTTCAGGGGGTTTCAATATTTCATAGTTTTAATGGAACAAGAGTATCAAAACATTGAAAAAAACCATTTTTCGTTCGAAGCAGTTTCAAAGAAAATGAAAATATCATAGATAAATACAGATTATTTTTTTAATTTTTTTATAGTAACAATACGTACTATCATTAATAAATTACATTCAAGTTAAAATACGAATAACCCGATACTAACCGAACTCTTTAAATTTTTCGAAAAAAAACAAGCACCGATCAGTAGGAAGAAAGGCTTTCTTTTTGCTCTCTTGACGTAATTTCAGGAGCTTGAAATGATCTCTGAAATCCCAAAATGTTCTTTTTTTTTTTCATTTTCTGCCGATCATTACGGGTATCCGGAAATTGTTTTGAATGGGGCGCCCTCATGCTATTTTTAAAGTAATTGCGCGAAATGAAAAATTATCTTTGATTTTCAAAACGCTATCTTTTTCACTCTCTGACAGTTCATTGAAGTTCGCGAAAGATTTGACGCGCTTGGTAAAACAGTTTCTCTCGTTCGAGAGCACGAGCCGAAACGCAAGGATACGCGAGATATCGTTTTAAAAAAGGTGGACGTGATGAAAAAACTTGCGTGTGAGAAAATGTGCCCAGATGAAAATTTTCTATCCCCTTTTTGAAGTTCGAAAAGACTTCAGAGAGTGAAAAAGAAAACTAAATTTTGGAGAATATAATTTGATTTTCTTTCTCCGTATTCAAAGCGATTTCCGCAAAATGCGAAACTATCTCTGACTCTCCAACATTTAATTATCTTTTTTTTCTCTGACGGCTACTTTGGTTTCGCGGAATCACTTTGCAAAGTCAAATTTGAAAACGGCGTTGGAAATTACTTTGAACAGGGCATAACGGCGGAGTGTCGTAAGAGGACGCAAGTTTGCGCCAGCGCACACTTCTTATCAGAATTTTTAAATTTTTTTACTCACTCGGACCTCGGTAACGGAAACCGGACGCGCTCCGGACGTTTCTGCGCAAATCTGGGGAGCACTAAAGAGTGCTGACGCTACTAAAGTGGTTACTTATGAATTTTAGTGAGATAAATCCGATTCGTGTCTGGTACGCATTACGCGTAAAAATCTCGGACCTTGGTAATTACCAAGGTCCGAGATTTTTTTCCTTTTTTTTTAAAATTTGTCTTGTTGTTCTTTGAATTTCCTTTCCCATATTTCATTAAACGGAGCGAAATTTTCTCAATAAACATGAGTTCTCCTGGTTCTGTTCCGCGAAGTTTTTTTAATTTCCGTAAATCGCCTTAAAATTTAGCTTTTCCTTGAAACTATTTTTGTGGTTTTATTTTATTTTCAATTTTTTAATGGTAGGGCTTGGTTGAAACAATTTTCACAGCAAAGCTAATTTCACAAATTTTATGGTGAAAAACAGGTTTTTCGACAGTTTTACCTTTGAAGTTCTTCTCGGAAATTTACTGCGATTACAACAATAAAAAGGTTTTGATGAGTATACCGTCGAATTGATCAAAAACTCTTCTCGCCATACCGCTCTCGTTTTCTTATCTAACAGCATTCGTGCCTTTTCCGCCGTCAACAGGCAGTCGATTATTGTTCTAGAAATGAGCGTCTTGTTTCGCGCGCCGTCTCTTTGCCTCCGTTTTCAAACTTCTTTTGCAGCGGCATCTCGTCTTTCTTCCTCTCAGTCTGGTTTTTTTTTACAATTTTTTTTCTTTTCAAAAATTTGAACTCGTATAGGCAAAAAGTTCACCAAAAAGCACGAGTGGATTTCGGTCGAAAATGGCGTCGGCACAGTGGGAATCACTGATTTTGCTGCAGTTTGCTTTATTTTTTAGACTTCAAGGATTTTTGTCTCCTAGGAACAATTAGGAGATGTCGTTTTTGTCGAATTGCCCGACGAAGGCACGGAGGTCAGCAAGGGCGAGTCCACTGGTGCTGTAGAAAGTGTCAAGGTATCCATTCCATCTTTTATTGTTTGAATATAGAAAACTTTAACGTCAAAGTTCAACTTGTTTTTTTGAAAAGTCTCCTCATTGGAGCCTCACGCACTGTCGCTCCAAAATATAGCCGATTCACGGCTTACTTGAAAGGACGTGGCGTGTCTGACCTCTCCACCAACCAGCCACTATCTCTTTTATTATCGTGTCAGGACCCTTTTTTGACGGCTCAAACCAGCCGTGAATCAGCTATATTTGAATTTTTCCTGACTTTCTATTATAGAAATTAGCCTCATCTCGTTTTTGTCAGAAATACTTCAAAAGTTATTTTTTGCTAAAATTATCTGTTTTCACTCAAAGAATCAGAAAATAGAAAATCTCATTTTGAACGGTGGTAGAAATTTTTTAATTTAGCAGACACTCTCTTTTGAAAAAAATATCAAAAAGTATTTTCAAGGCGGCTTCTGATATCTACGCCCCTGTCTCGGGAACGGTCACCAAGAAAAACGTTGCCCTAGAAGAGGAACCGGGACAAATCAACAAAAGCCCATTCGACAAAGGTTTTTTTCTTGTTTCCTTAACTTTCCTTGCATTCCGAGTTTAAAGGATGGATGTACAAGCTGAAAGTGAAAGACGAGAAGGAGCTGAAGGACTTGTTAGACGCCTCGCAGTACGAAGAGTTCAAGAAGGAAAACCAGGGACACTGAACATTTCGCGAAACTTTTCCAACCCTCTAGTTACACCTACCTAATTTCAGTATGTTTGATTTTGTTCCAAAACTTTTGTTAAAGTTTATTCTTCCTGAGGTAAAGGCTTTCAATATAATTCAATAAGCATACAAGAAAATAAAATTTTTAAAAAGCAATAGAGGTTTAAGATAGTGAGATTTAATTAAGTGGGAGATCACAGACAAAATGAGGCTTTCGGAGAGTTTTCCAGAAGTTTGAACTCAGACGAGCGGCGGAAATCTGTTGATGCCTTGTAGGCCATCTAGGTACCCAGCGCGCATGTGTACCACCGTGTAGAGAGCCAAAGTTCGCCAAACCTGCAAGTTTCGAAGTTGACCTCATCGGCTAAAAGGGACAGTTGTGAAAAATTGTGGAACAAAACAGCGGTTCGCTTTTGAGATCCGAAAAAAACAACGCCAAAATATTTTTTCATCGGTGACATCCTTAGAAACTCCAGAGTGGTCTCTATAGGGACAACCTTGAAAACCCTTAGAATGCCCCTCCAGGGACCACTTTACCAACCCCTATAGGGGTTTTTGTGCTAATCGATAACTGTTATGAACTTCAGGCGAAGAAGCATTTCCATGCGAAAAATCAAATGGATCAGCGTTTTTTGAATGAAGTTGAAATACCCTTATAGGGTCTACTTAAGCTTCAGAGACTAAAGGGTCAGACCCTGAACCCCTATAGGGACCACCTCGATTTTATCGCTCTAGGGTCCACTTTTTCGACCCATGGGCTGTTTTTCCTCCTAACCCATATAGAACCTACTCTGGAATTCCTAAGGTATGTATCTCTTTTTAAAACTCCGATTCTTCTCCTTGTTACTTTTTATCAGTAATTGTTTCTAATCGTCTGAAAAATACTTTCCGCAAAATTGATGCAATAACTGACGACTAATTGTTAAAAGTTCGCCTTTTGTTATTCGTTTTTCTATTCACTTGCCTTCACTGCTTCCTCTTTCTCTGTGATGTCCAAGCTGGTCAGAGACTTCATGCGTGCTTCAAGAGCGTGTTCCATTGCATCCTGAACAAATGATTATCTACAGTTTATCATGATGAAAGCTCAGTTAGTGAACGAACTTGGAAAATGTCCCAGTACTCGTGCTTGAAGCCTCGCTCCGCGAATCGGCAGTGCCTCTGTCCGATGGCGTAAAGGTACGGCTCAACTCGATCCATGTGATAAATGTTCTTCACTACGTGGGCTAGCGTCTGATATTACAATTTTTGATTGTAATCGTGATGGACTTACTTGAACGAATTTGAGAGCTTGTGTCCGGAACTCCTTCGAATGTTTCCATGCGTCGCCTTCGTAGTTGGCAATGAAAGGGAAAAGTTGTTTACAGTGAGGATTGTGATCGAAAATGTAGCAGTATATCGCGCTGCCCAGATCGTACAAAAAGTCGAACTCATCGCTCCATGTTCGCCGCAGTAGTTCCTGATCAGTGATGTTTTGCTTTGCGAGAAAAGCTCGCTCTATATGTTTTTTTCCTTTACATTAGCTCTAACTCCAGAAAAAAAAAAGCTAAATGCATTTTATAGTCCGTCATCCACGACTCGCAAAACTTCTCTGCGCCCTCCTTGTCTCTCGGCGACCCTCTCATGTTTATGTGCTATTTCCATGTTTCTCTGACCTCGCCGGTGAGGGAACAGAGAGACGCAGACACTCGAAAACTGTCAAGTCGCGACGGACGAACTATATTATTCGCCACAGTCTTTGATTATAAGACTTCATTCAAGCGGAGCGAATTGTTTAACGACCAAATTAATTCTATCTTCAAAGTCATAAACAGCAGTTGACTGAGAAATTAATGGGAAGAAAGCAAGGAGTTCGTGTCAAAGGACGGCGTTTATAATTGATAGTTTTTCCTAGTGAAAAAAAACTTTCAAATCATTAACCCAACCTTTTCACGAACATTTGGCTCCCACTTCTCGATGGACTTGGTGTGGATTTGCTGAAAAACTAGGTGTTTGAAGCCTACATCATTCGACTCACCACAATTACGTTTGAACCCGAGTTCTCGCTCATTCTTCGATCTTCGACCTAAACACAGACTTTTTTGCAAAGAAATACAAATTAAAAAATGTCTGCGCCAAGCAGAAAGAACAGAGTGCAATGCACTTTGTTTTGTTGACTCTATTTCTACTCTCCCATATCCATCACTGTTCATTGTTCCAAATTGGAGCAAGCAATGAGGTAAATGCAGTCGTGCCTTGTGGACAAAAGAGCACACGAAACTGCTGAGAGCCCGTTTCATTCCCCAGATTGAGCTGCACCAGGAAGACGGCATCGCACTATCGGAACCTCAGTTGCTTATTCCGGGACTTCAAAAAATAATTTAGACGATCAGACAACAAAAACCGATATCAGTTATTTCGAAATAATACCGTGTTTGAATAAGAAGCTGGATGTTAGAGGTTCTTCACAAATAGTCATAGACAAATTTTAAAAAAACGCTATAAAAAAGGAAGACGCTTTGAACATCTCTAAAAAGCCTCAAGTAGAAGAAGCAAATTTCTTGAAACGTGTCTAAAAACATGCGAAAAGCTCCTTTCTAGCTCTTTTTCCACCTATTCTCGCTAATGGATCTTTTTATTGGCTCTTCAGTCTTTCGTTTTGAAGCTTTTTTCTTTTCTTTTTTTTCCTCCTTATATTAGGTCGGCTTTTTAAGAATGAATGTGTCGATTCGTTCTTACTGGGAAACTTTTTCGATGAAACTTCGTTGAAGTGTACTTTAGGACCTCCTGATAGCAGAAAAAGAAAAAAGTTCTCGCAATAGATCTTGTTTTCGAGTTGAGACGCTTGGAAAGCTTGAAGTTGTCATAATATGCGTATTTTGCGGACTTTGAAGCTTTATAAATCGAAAACCAGATCTATTACGGAAATTATTTTTGCTTATTCTGCAATCAAGAGGTCCTAAAGTACACTTCAGAAAGTTTCATCAGAATTCACCCAGGGTAAAAAACGTTCCCTAGTCAGTTCACAATTTCAAAAGGACATTCATTCTTGAGCGTTGTCTTCAGATCATATTTGCTATAAAAAATACATTTTGGATCCATAAATTTTTCGAATAAAAGCTTTGAAATGGTCTGAAGCCTTTTTCTCGATCAATCTTTGGGAGCCAGCTCATGAATATAAAATAAAAAATAATAATAAAATCTTCGATATAACCGAATGCGAGAATCGAATAATTTGGTCAACGAAAAAGATTATGAGCCGGTCGGCGAAAGCAATTTCAAAATAAAGCTTGTTAAAAATGCAGTCGGGCAGAATTATGAACCAATCATGAGACCAAACCACCAGTCACCTTCAAAACACTACTTTTTGTTTGCATCTCAACTTGTCAATCTGAAATCACGTCTCCTTTAGAGGGAAGGCGTGTAGTTCATTAACCAGAGGCAGTATGTATGAAATTTTATGGATTTCTAACCTGCAAACGTGGATAAGATTCTGAATGAAATATATTATTTCTGCTTTTCCTATAATTGCATTTTTCAAAAAGGAACTTCTCAACTGATTTTTATAAGTTTAGACATTTTCAAGTTGGCCGCGTTCTCCGAGATGGAGGTCAACTATATCAGCCGGATACAGAGTTCCTAGACATTTTTTCTCTTCTTACAAGACCCTAATGCGTCGATTAAAAAAAAATGAAAATCCAGGCGTTCGGGAGTTCCAGAACTAGTTATGGCTCAAAAACTGCGAAAACCGTCCATTTTTCTTCTGAAAGAACATTTTTCCGGGTCAGTTCCAATACTGGAAATGTTCATATTTTGCTTTAAAGTTGGTTTGAACCATATTGCTCCACTAAGAAAAAAAGTTTCTTTTTTACAGTATTTTTTCAACACTAAGTCTGAAAGTGGGCGGGACCTATTAAAATCTGGTTCTAAATATTCAAAAGATTGTTCAATATCTACTATATCAAGGAGGACTTTAAGGAACAACTAGGAAATTTTTGTACCAACTGTTATTTGAAATTATCGTATAACGTGTGTTAAAATATGAGAAAGAAAAACTTGAAAATTATCTAATTTCATTTTTTTTTAATAAAAAAAAAAGCTTTTCTAAGCTCATTGGTAAAGTGAGTAAGCCTATAATTTCGTGTACGGAGAATAGGATCGCGTTTTTGTTTTTGTTCTGCAGTTATTATAATTAGGCGCGTGACTTTTCGTTAAAGCAATTTGAAAATTACGCGCTTTCTGTATCAAAAATAATTGACGCATTTATACTCGCTTAAAATTTTTGAAAAAGTGTAGTGGTGAAAAAAAAAGTCGGAAGAGTTTGGTAGAAAATTATCGTATTTAAAGGGGCTTGAGAAAATTTGAGCTTTTTCCATTTTTGATACCGTTTTCAATTCATCCTTATCGAAAAGTTTGAGTTAAACTATCAAATAATGGATTTTAATGGGAAAAATTCGAATAAAAACAACCTTTTTGTATTTATAGACGAAATTTAGCCCTTTAAAGAGGCGTTTTTACTTATTGAGAGGCTATAAAATTCCGTAAGTTTGTCAAAAATTGATTTTCAAGCTTTTTTATCGCAGTCTTTTATGCATTAAGCCACTATAGTTTTTACAATGGTTTGTTGTAAGAACTAATGAGAATTCAAAGTTATGATATTATAGAAAAAGCGATGGTTTATAAAATAGAATTTTAGCTGGGAGCTGCAAATTGCAATTTGGGAGGGGTTCAGAAAAAAAAAATTGTGCTGAGAAGCGTGCATTTGAAAACAATGTCTCTCCACGTGAAGGCGAAAAAATCACCTTTGAAATGAGGAAAAAAAAGAGCTAACCTTGTTACGGCGGTTGGCTTGCGGTGTGCTGAAATTGGCGCGCTTCTCGTTCGAACTGCAATTTGGCTATCGGAATCGAGTTTTATTCTCATTTTTATCAGGGAAAACTGCAGAAGAAGACAATGTGAGATATAGAAAAAGAAATTTTGGAGTTCCAGTTTGCAGATATTTCGAGCCGCTTCCCATAGGCAAAGTCAAAAGGGGTGGGAAAGGTTTCCATAGAAATGTTCCTTGTAGGGTGACAATGGTCCCTTTTTTCTTCCTTTTTGCGCCTTTTATCGGCTCTTTTGCACCGGTTTTCCGCCATTTCTTGAGCTTTAAAAGGTCTAGAAAAAAGGAAAGGCTCAACAAAGGGACTCTTTTTGCTGCCTTTCTGCGGCTTTTTTTGAGCCTTTCCCTTTTAGTGGCCATAATCCACCAGTACGACGTTGCCTGAGTAATGACACTTTCGTTCCAAAATATTTATTGAGAGCTTGAAGTTTTTTTTCTCGAAGCAACCTGGTGTTCAAAGCTAACTAGAGAACCTTTTTTTATCTTTTTTTCGATTTATAAAGCTTCAAAGTCCGCCAAATACGCAAATTAGGCCAAAAATTAGCTACTTCAAGCTTTAGAAGCGTCCTAACTCGATAACCAGATCTATTGCGGAAACCTTTTTCTTGTTTTGCATTCCGGAGGTCCTAAAGTTCACTTCAGCAAAATTTCATCAAAAGTTCAACTGGGGGGTAAAAAACGTTCCCTAGTAAGCAATCTAGTGAGCAAAATGTAACCTTTAAATTTGAATTTTGCGAGAAACAAACTCACTTTACAACCAACTCAGAGGTTCGCTCTGACGAAAATGAAGGAAAAAAAAATTTTATTCAGCTGAGCTAGTCTATTGCGTTCGAAATTGCTGCATAGCCTTATATTCATCTATATCCAGTCTTCGTTCATATTGCTTATTGGCAAGAAAAAAAAACTTGTAGAGAATTTCTATAAAACGACTATAGTACGAGAAAAAACGGGATTTATCTGATGAAATGAGTCCAAGAAGAGAAAAAGGATCGAATGTCGCTGCTTTTCGTTGTTCTTTGCGTCTCATTCGATTCGCCGACAAGAACCCCAAACAAAGCAAAACGAGCAGATTTGTTAGGCTCAATCCTCATTGGACATTATTTTTGTTTTCCGGGTTTCAGAGCAAAAACCTGAGATCGATATTCTCCTCAAATATTATTTCATCGAGTATTTTTCAAGTCTATTTTTATACGCCAACTCTTGTGGACAATTAACGGGTTTTTCCAAAGTCAAAAGTGCGGAAAACGGGTGCTAAAAGGGTTCCGTTTTGCGGCCTTTATTCAGCCTGTATTCACTTTTTAGCCCACCCCCCTCATTGGTGAGCTAAAAAGTCTCAAAAAAGGGTGAAAAAAGTGGTGAAAGTCTCGGCCATTGATTACTTCCGATTGTATTACTGTAGCACATTTTGGTTCATACACAGTCACCGGCAAGGAGAATTCTCAATTAAAAAAAATTTGGTTTTGCAAAAGGGTCAAAAAAGGGTGGATAAAGGCCGATTAAAGGACGGAAAAAGGCAACAAAAAAATGAATTTTAAAATAGATTTGAAAGTTTCTTACAAAAAAAAAGTCAATGAGTTTGTTCGAAAACGGATATCTCAGTATACAAAAAAAAAACTCATAGGTTCAATTTTTTCATTTTTTGATAACAATTGTGTTTGATTCGAAATGACGTTCAACAATATGTACTTTTTTAGAAGAGTTTTGATAAAAAAATAATATTTCTAAAAAACTAAAGTGCGGAGATTTGCGAGAAAAAGGAAGAGTTGCAAGAGAACGGAAAGAGCATCGGAAATGGGTCTCTCGAGACTTTTTGGTTTGTGCGGGACAGGGATATACGCCAATCTAAAGATACAACGGACTTCAAGATTTTTATTCAAATCATTATTGACAAATTTCCTTGAGGAAAAATTGTAAATATTCCGATTTCCTCACAAGAACTTCGTTGCGATTCCATCTCTGGTTTTTCTTCGATTCCTTATTTGTTTACTGTCAAATTCATGAGGAACACTCAAAAAAGGACTCGATATTTTTCTTTCCAAGAAGCTTTCACACCTGACACGCTAGCGGAAAATAATATGCATATGCAAATTCCGAAAAGTTGAAAAAAGGCTTTAGAAATGTTCCTTTTAGGGTGACAAAGGTCCCTTTTTTCCTGTCTTTTTGCGCCATTTCATCGGCTCTTATGCACCATTTTTGCTGCTTCTTCCTTTTTCAATCATTTATTGAGCCTTTAAAATCCCAGAAAAAAACGGAAGGCTCGATAATGGGACTCTTTTTCTGCCTTTCTGCGGCCTTTTTTGGACCTATCTCACTTTTAGCGGCCATTATCCACCATTCCGACTTGGCCCGAGTGTAAAAATTGGCATTAATCCAATATTTTGGAGTTTTTCTAATGCTGTGTAAGAAGGAAGAGGCTGCAAAAATGGTTCACAAGAGCCGATTAAATGGCGCAAAACGGCAGTAAAAGGCACCTTTGTCACCCTAAAAGGAAAATTTCTATGGAGCCTTTTTCCACCCTTTCCGACTTTGCCTATGTCATGACAGACAGAAAAATTGGTTAGTAGTCGCCATTTTCCCATTCTTAACACGGACCTGGACGTCGTCTGCGAGGACGAGAGAAGCGAGAAGACGTGGGAGACAAACTGACGCGCCGCCGCCGGCAGCTTCGACAGCGACGCCGACGGCATCCTCCTGCAAGTTCAACTTTCAGTTTGACAGTTTACAAGGAATGGCGACGACTGGAAGAAACAAAATCTCATGGTTTGAAAATAGGGACAGGAAAAGTGGTCTCTATAGGGGTTTCGCGTCTGACCCCTTGGCTTCTAAAGCTTAAGTGGTCCCTCTAGGGGTCTTTCAATTTTATTAAAAAAGTTTCTCGCATATATCTCATAAAAACTATCGACTAGGATGTCCCCTATAGAAACCACTAAATAAAACCCCTATAGGGACCGCAAGCAGGCAAGCTTTAGGAGCTTCTATAGAAGTTGGTAAAGTGATCCTAGAAGGGACCTTTCAAAGCCCCTATAGGGACTACTCTGGAATTCCGAAGCTCATTCAGCTTTATTCCGAGACTGACAATTAGTACTATCAGGAACTTCAGAGAGACTGACATATCTGAGCTTAGTCTTTAGCAAAAAGGCTCAATTCGTAGGATCTCTGCAAGCAAGTTTATTCCCAGAGCTATTTATAGACATCCGAGCAACAAAGGAAATGTCTCCAGCAGCGAAACAGAAGACATTCATAAACATAACAAAAGCTTCACATTCCGCCGAATATCTTGCTCTCGCTCAGAAATTCCAAAAAAAAAGATCTCAGCGTCAAAATTTTAGAACATCTGTGACGTCGGATAATGCTTCAATTAGGAACGTAGATTTTTTAAAAGTTATTTTTCAGTTAAGATTTTTTGAATTTGTATTCAAAATTTTTAAAAACTAGACTAATTTTCTGGATCTAAAAAAGGAAAATTGCGCGATGAAAACGAAAAAATTCCGGTAAACTTCATTCTCACGCAAATGAAACATTCCGAAGGACATGGGAACCAAGGACGAACCGATCCGTTGAGAAAACCCGCACAGAAATTAGAGAAGCTGAATATTTTCGAAACTACTCGAAAGACTGGGAACTTAAAGGCACAGAGGCAGTAAAAAACGGGATTTGAGGTGAAAGTAGTATCTAGTTAAGCTTTTCCTTGCGAATCGAACGGTTTACTCAAAAAATCACAAATATGAGTACTTTTGAAAAAAAACGTGATTTTATTTTCCCGCCATTTAATTTTGAAATTTGGATCGGTGTAAGGAAAACTGTTTACAGTAACCGTGCACGCGATGTTGCGGACGGGTCGTATTTTATGAGAAATAACTGGATACCTGCTTTAAATCAAAGCTTCTTTCTTTAGAAAAACATTTAGTCAAACAAAAAACACACAGAGGAAACCAAAATATCGCTATCCCAACCGAATTCTGTGTAAAATCGTCATTTTTCACCCGTGAAGAATTTTTCGATCAAATTTTGCAAATTATAGTGGAAAAGAAACATTTTATGACAAACTGGTGGCAAGAGAAAAAATTTGAATTAAAAAGAAACGATGAAAAAGACAAAAATTCGAAAAATGGTGAAGGGTTATCCATAGAGCAACTTTACTGCAAAACGCTCTTTTGGCGGGAACTCAAAGTTATTTTCTTTCCGATTTTGAAAAAATTTTTTTTTCAAACTAAGAACTTCTCTTAATTTTCAAGTATACCGCTCGACAGGCAATAAAGAGCTTTAAAAAATGCACTTTTTTTTCAAACACCATTTTTTTACTGCCTCTTTGAACTGGGAGGTTGTGAAACCAGAGTGAAATTAGGCAATGGAAACGATTAGATATAATATAATATTTCTCTCATTAGCTTAATTCTCCTTCACTTATATTAATTCCATGGGCTCTTTTATGAAGAATGAATATCCCGAGAACAATCACATTTCAATTAGAAGAGGATTAATTTAATGTAAGATTATAAATAACTATAATGGAATATTAATCTCAATTTTCAAGCCAAAATTACACGAAAACTAAAAGATTTGGATCAAAGTGAGTCGAGGAGAAGTGAGAACGCATTTGTGGGAGAAGGTTCCCTAGAGTACCCGAATTCCTCAAAGTATTTTCGCCAGAAGAGATTTCGTATTTCATATGCATTGCTGCAGAGCTTGTTGACGTTCACTTCTCTTCCTAGGAAAAACAAAACTGTAAGATATGGGCAAATGGCCAAAACCGCATGACAATCTCGTCTGGGCAGGCAAAGAACTAGCGCAAAAATTTTGATTAAATTTAGATTTTGCGGCTTCTCAAAGCAGGCGCCTTTCACCCAGTTTCGACTAAACCATTTGAAAATTGAAAAACATACAAGGAAAATTCATGAATTAAAATCCATGCGATAAAGTTCGTCCGCTTTACAGTTTTCGCGTGTCTGCGTCTCTCTGTTCCCTCACCGGTGAGGTCACAGAAACGTAAAAATAGCGCGTCAACAAGAGAGGGTCGTCGAGAGACGAGGAGGGCGCAGAGAAGTTCCACCCTGTCGCGAAAAACGGACTATACTCCAGATCTTACTCGGGCATTGGTAATGCGAAACGGACGTGCTCCGGACGTTTCTGAGTGATTCTAGGGATCACTTAAGAGTTCTGAGGCTACTAAAGTGGTCACTAGAAATGCCCCGACACGTCCGATACGCGTCCCGTTCGCGTTACCAAGGTCTTAGTATTTGGATTCTCTAACAAAATTGAGGGTCTACGCCCAAAAAAAAAAAATGAACTTTTCGTTCATTTTTCCGGTGCACCCCGCGTTGGGCCTGGATGGCGTGCACCCCTGGAACAACTGGTCGGAAATAAAAAGTTGCACCGAGAGTTGGATGCGGGGTGCACCGCAACTTTCGTTAGAGAAAACATCAACTGAATTTCCAAAAGTAAAAATTTTTGAATCAGGGCGAAGGCCAAATGTTATATCATCCGAGTTAGAAAGGGCAGCTCCTGGGCTCTTGAGGTTCGTTTTCGAAATGGCACGTTTCATGCCCCCAAGCGTTCTTTTTCTTAATGAAAGTTATCCAAAGAAGTTGTAAGCGGTTTGCAAAATGGGAAGTTTCATGAAATCGGAAAATAAAAATGTCTTCCAGAACCTTCTATTCTATTTCCTCGCGACTAGGTTTGATTTTTGGTTCCCGTGAGCCAATTTGAACTTCAAAAGGGGACCACAGAGTAAGAAAAAAAAATTGGAAAATAATGGGGCTGAGCTGGACAAATATGTTCAAACTAAAATAAGTCGGCAGAAAATGGCCGTTTTCATCAACTGGACGAACAAATTGAATTGTGAAGCTGCGCCCAGATCTTGCGCCTCTTCTCCTCAAGATTCTCAGTTTGGTTTTTAGGTGAGTCTCGAAAAGAGAGCGACGAGTAAACACTCAGAGAGAGAAAAAGACAAGAAATAAACGAAAAGTTCTTTTACCAAAAAAAAAATGTCGTAGTAAATTTTTTTTTTCGAGTTAAGACGCTTCAAAAAGCTTACAGTGTTAGGGAGGGGGTAAAAAAACGTTTCCTAGTACGCTATGAGGATCAAAAGTCGCCGATCTGTAGAGAAAATGATTACAAAAAAACCTAAACCTTAGTAGGTAAAATTAAGACTCCGCCCAGTTATTTTGAAAAGAAGGATATGAAATCTGGTCTGCAGTAGAAGAAAAGACGAAAAAAGAAGCCTTATAAAAAGAATTTCGTAGGGGTTTCACAATTAAGTACGTAACGAACTTTTTCTTTGAAGCCAAAAATTGGCAAGAGTGATTTCTAGCCGTTCCAAAACTTTAAACGACTAGGATTTGAAAAATACCAGGTCAAAAATCTTGACAAGATAGTCACTTCACTTTTTGGTTGGGATTCTCATGAAAGTTGGCCAGAACACTCTTTGATGTACCAGAAAAGTATTCTGAAAGCTTCAACCTGCACAAATTCCTATTTTGAGAAATAAGCCCCAGAAGAGCGTTTGGGGGGATTTTTTGACGTTTTATTGGATTTTCTTAAAAATTGGGAAGTTTTGCAAGTTGAGACTTTCAGGACTTTCTGGTACATCATAGAGCATTCTGGCCAATTTTCGAGAAATTCCCAACCGCAAACTAAAACGACCTCTCATGAACACACGGAAACTCACACGCAGCATCTGAAGACGTCGTAAACGGCGTTACTCATATACATAGGTCGCCACTAGAACCGGTACGATAGTTCTGGAACTTTCCTTTTCTTGAGGGGGGGGGGGGTATCCCGGTGGATCGTGACGGAGACGCTCTGTGCAAATCGAAGCCGACGTCTCGTCAATTAAGCCACTTTGTTAGTCTTTTCCACGTCCAGTTGTGGGAGCGAGAAAAACACCTAATTACATTTCGCATGAAAAAAAAAATTATGGGTCAGAATACCAAACCTAGAAAACCTACGTAGGCAAAGTCGGTAAGGGTAGAAAAATGAAAAGTTCCTTTTAGGGTCACAAAGGTTCCTTTTTGCTGCCTTTTTGCGCCATTTTATCGGCTCTTATGCACTATTTTTGCTGCCTCTCCCTTTTTCTACCAGTTCTTGAGGCTTCAAAATACCAGAAAAAATGGAAGGCTCGATGAAGAATTTCTCTTTGCTCCCTCTTTTCTGCCTTTTTGCGGCCTTTCTGCGGCCTTTTCTGAGCCTCTCCCTTTTAGTGGGCATTATCCATCATTCCGACTTTGCCCGAGTACCTAGAAAACCTATCAACAATTTTTAGTATTTTTTAGAAAGTCCTCCTCGGACAAACTCGGAATGGTGAAGAAAGGCCTCTAAAAGGAAGAGACTCAAAAAAGGTCGCAGAAAGACATCAAAAAGGCATCAAAGTGAATCCTTAATAGAGCCTTCCACTTTTTCTGGGATTAAAAAGGCTCAAGAAATGATGGAAAAAGGGAGAGGCAGCAAAAATGGTGCATAAGAGCCGATCAAATGGTGCAAAAAGGTATCAAAAAAGAAACACTTCTATGGATCCTTTTCCAGCTTTTCCGACTTTTCCCGAGTATGTTAAACTTCTCCAGAAAGTTTTGACCGATATTTCGTTCTACAGAACATTTCATTGACCCCAATAGTTCTAAATTGTCTGGAAAATGAGTGTGTCGAAATCAAAGTCTCCTTTCGAAGACGAAAACAGTTTGGTTGTTTGCCCTCGAGTGGACAGGCCGCGCATGACACGGTCGATGGCACGACCGGCCACTGATAACCCCGGCAGTCTCCTCTGCAAGATGGCTCGTGTCTGGTTGCTGCTGGCAGCGCTCGTCGTCCTGCTCGAAGCACGGAAAGCGCGTTTCTCCGAGAAGAACAGGTACTCATGTTTTTTTTCAATATAACTGATTTCTCCTTTCTGCAGATACAATCTGAAAGGATGCTACAAGAAGACTGGAATTGTTCACGAGCACAAGTTTGTCGTCCTGAAAAGCTTCTCAGAAAATTTTGCAGACATACTGACCGCATTTACGAAGACGAGGACTACGACTTCGGAGATTTGCCACTCGCGTGGGACTGGAGGAACGCCGACGGCGTCAACTACGCCTCACCTGACAGGAACCAGCACATTCCACAGTGTTAGTGCTCTGCGAGACTGTTGAAACTAGAAACAATTTTCAGATTGCGGCTCCTGCTGGGCTTTTGGTAGGTTCTGATCTGATATTGATATTATTTTTTTTACCAAAATGACTCAAAAATGAAAAACTAGCTGACTTCCTTATTCCTAAATAAAAATGGGTATTTTTTAAAAACAGTCTCGCCAGAATGACGGCAATCTCGGTGCTATGACGAGAGCGATTTTTGAATTTTTGAAGAGTACTGTATGCGCATTGGTGTGCATGCACTTTTTGTGTATACACTCTCGTTGCGTGACGTCACCGCGTCCTACTTCTCCGGGTATTTTATTTCCGAGTTTTTTTCAAGTTTTGCATTTTTCTCGATAATATTTGCAAGATAGAAAACAGTATCGAGAAAAAAATGCAAAAATATTATTTAAAAAAACACGAAAGTGTAAACGCACAAAGTGCATTCATGCAATGCGCATATTCCCCATACAGTACTCTCCGAAAATGGAAAACTCGCTCTTCTCGTAGCACCCATTTCATATCTAAAAATGAAGATATGACATGAAAATTTTTTCGAATAAATACTTAGGTATTAAAAAGAGAAAAAAATTATACTACGTACAGGAGCGACCTCGGCTCTCGCCGATCGCATCAATATCAAGCGGAAGAACGCCTGGCCGACCGCCTACCTGTCTGTGCAGGTAAGCCGGAAGAGTGAGAAGACGTGCAGAAGTCGCTTCAGGAAGTGATCGACTGCTCAGGAGCTGGCACCTGCGTTCAAGGCGGCGAGCCTGGCGGCGTCTACAAGTACGCGCATAAGCACGGCATCCCCCACGAAACCTGCAACAACTATCAAGCTCGAGACGGAAGTTTGTTCTTTCCCAACCAAGATTATATTTTCGTTTACTCATGAAAAAATCGAAAAAAAAAACCCCGCTCATCGGAAACCATCTCAGAGTGCGACCCATACAACCGCTGTGGCTCATGTTGGCCTGGAGAATGCTTCTCCATCAAAAACTATACTCTCTACAGAGTCGGCGAATACGGTAATAATTTTGACAGGAAAAAAAAAAGACTTTGGAGTATTAGGTTCTGTCCGAGGGTACGACAAAATGAAAGCCGAAATCTACCACAAAGGACCCATTGCCTGCGGCATTGCCGCCACTAAGGCCTTCGAGTCTTATGGAGGCGGGATTTACAAGGTTTGAGTGAACCCAAAATCGAGATTTACAGTTCATTAAACCTGATGTGAGTAAATAAGGGGGGTCAAAAAACATCCCAAATTACGAAGATCAGTGAAATGATTTGAGGAGGTGACGGACGAGTCAATCGATCACATCATCTCGGTGCACGGCTGGGGAGTGGACCATGACTCTGGAGTGGAGTACTGGATCGGCCGCAACTCCTGGGGAGAGCCGTGGGGAGAGCATGGCTGGTTCAAAGTCGTCACTTCTCAGTACAAGAACGCCGGCAGCAAGTACAACCTCAAGATCGAGGAGGACTGCGTTTGGGCTGATCCTATCGTCTAAAATTTTCCCCCATGTACAGGCTTTACATACAACTAATAAAATATTTATCCATTTAACATTGGTTTCTGTAAGGGTTGCGGATCTTATCCTGGGGGCCAGCCGAGCTGACGGCCGCCAAGAACATGAATGTGCAGATGGAAAACAGACTGGCAGCCGTTCTTTCCGTTGTTGACCACGAGGCGGTAGCCTTCCGCGAGGTTCTCCTGTTTCGCGACCTTCGCAGCCACCATCATCAGCTTGCCCAAAAGAGCGCTGTCCTGAAAAATACCTTTCTCCACATCTCACAAAGCATCAGAGTCGAGTTTCTTAACAGGCGGAACTCGGTCGAAAATAGCTTTTCAAATCCGATTATGTGCGGCAATCTACTGTCTCGCTACGTTCTAAAACTACCAAATACGATCTGAAATCTTCTTAATCTGCGTTTTCAAAGTCCTATAATCACGTGTTCAATGTAGATTTTGCAAAAAGGCTATCAGAAAGCGAAAAACATATCCAGAGATTTCTTAGAAACCATTTCCAAAATAGCTTCGAGCACGGTTAATTTTTTTTTTAATATTAAACTACACAAAACTCTTCCCTAAGTAACAACCTCACGCTTCCAAAAAGCTAAGTGGCTTTATTTTTTACGATATTAAACCCTATTTGCACGAATGTTTCTCTTGGCACCAGTTGAATTGCACTGAGATCGTCAGAATTCACATCGATCTGTTGATGCATTAACGACATATTGGGAGATAATTCTTTCTGCGATAGCTATTTCATCTCTTTTTCTCATTTAAATAGAGTTTTTATCATTTAATACGCATTAAAATCTAGAAAAAAAAAAAATCAATAAATGGTCTTTTTCCAACCTTTAAATCTACAAAACTCGATTTTTCCACCCCGCGCCCCTATTGCAATAAACCGTACCTCCGTTGCATTCAGCCACGCCTACTGACCACAGCTGCCGCCCTCATGGTGTTATAAAAAAGGTCATTTAATTTTGAAAGTATAGTCTTTTCAGATTTTGAATGTCAAGTGCAATGACGTCATTCAAAAACACTCTGTGGATGGCTCGCTTTCTGATGGGTTTATCGCACCATTAGGGGCGGAGCTTGAGCGACGACTTGACATTCAAAATCTGAACAGACTATAGGACGTTTCGAAATTTGTCTCAGTTTTTTTTTCACTTTTTTCCTTTTTGACGAGAAACTTTTTGCTTCTCATTCTATGAAACCAAAAAGCAATTCAAAAATGGCATGAATAGAATTCAGCGATATTCGAAATCGATTGAAGACAGAAATATCAATCCAAAAATATCAACGATTGATAGCTCTCATTTTCGTTCATGTCATTCATGTGGGTCTATCAAAAACTGCTGATAAAGGACAAACATCGTCGGTGGCGTTCTCGAGCATGTCGATCCGTCGCTTGGGAATCACGAGAAAGTGAACCGGCGCCTGTGGTGTGACGTCGTGAAAAGCGATGGCCTATACAATAAAGCTCATTCCAGGACTCATGTTGTTAAATACGTCTTCATCCTCGTAAATGATTTTGGCCGGAATCTCTTTGCGGATGATTTTGCCGAAAATCGTGTCGTTGGCCTGCTGTTCTTTTTGCTGCGCCGCTTCTTTCGCTTTGTCTACTTCGGACATTTTGAAACAAAAAGAGGAGGTCGCAATGGATTGTTTTCTGCAACAATGAAAAATTTAATCGCAAGCCGGGTTAGCAGGATATAAGCGGGCAAAACTCCAAAAAAAAAAACGGCCTGATTGAAAAAATGCTCCAAGCTCCCTTTTTTTGACCTTTGGCGGCTCATAACTCTCTTCGATGCACGGATAGACACTGTTTTACCAGCTTTAAATTAATCAGAATTAAATTCTCTACAACATATGTCAAAACTAAAAAAAGTTACACACGCGCGTCCGCATCGACTTCTGAGATCCTGTTCCAGGACTGGTGGAAAGCGGGAATAAATATATTCAAAGAGAAAATGTTTGATTAATTTCTGTTTATAAGATACATTTTGAAACTGAATTTTTGCTCTTCTACCGACTTTGTATATAGTCTCTTTTAAAATGTATTGAATACCGTCTCTGGACCGGCAAAATATCTATACGAAAAATCAACTCCAATAATTACTTAGTTCAAGAAAAAAACTAAACACAAACCTAATTAAATGATGGAAAGAAAAAAATGGGGACCTAACATCTTGTAGGTGATAAAAGGCACAATACGTTGCATTTCTGTGTGCACGATAACTTCTTCATCTAGACGGGGATCCAGAAATGAAAAATCGCTGATTATCGAATAAATTTATATGAAATCTTTCGTACAAAAACTTTTATTCACAGATAAACGCTACAAGATGAGCATCGGACAAAATTTACAAAAAAATATTATAAAAAACTACAAGAAAAAATTCTTGAAAAAAAGGTGCTAACTTGAAAAAAAAAACAAAAAAAACGTATAAACTTGAATATTTTGGGTCCTTGAACCGGTATCACAACATATAATCAACTTTGCTCAAGAAGTTTTTGAAAAAAAAGTAAGTCCGTACAAAATGAAAAATAGAAAAGTATATAACAAGACATATCATACATGGTTTTACAATAACATAGCTCAATCTGAAATCAATTTAAACCGCCATTATCAGGAATCGGTTGGGGAGAAGGAGGTTTTTGAACGGCGTTAGCATACCTGAATATGAAGGATAATGAAAAGTTCACAAATTTGTAGGTCTATTACCATTTAACATCGCCGATTTTCTGAATACACGTCCTTGTACCGTCTCTGTTAACTTTTATGCATGGCTCAACATTTCCAACGTGTAGAGATATTGACTTTAGTGCTTTTTTCCGCATAGCCCACATTCTGAAAACGAAATGTATATTTGAAATTTGAATGGTTTTTTTTTTTGGAAAAAAAGACATTTCAAAAATTTATATTCATAACCAACGTCGGAAAGGGCTTCCTTTTAGGGTGACAAACTGCTTCTTTTTTTAGACCTTTCTGCACCAATTCATCGCCTCTTATGCACCATTTTTGCTGCCTCTTCCTTTTCCACCATTTTTTGAGCCATAAAAATTCTAGAAAGAATGATAGGCTCGATAAAAGGGCTCTTTTTGATGCCTTTCTGCGACCTTTTTTGAGCTTTTTTTGAGCATTTTAGCGGCCATTATCCACCATTCCGACTTTGCCTGAGTAAAACCTCAACTGCAATGAAATGTTCACTTACTCAAGTTTGCAATTTGCCGTACTGTTCGAGTCAAATAAGTCAGCGATTCTTTCATACTTCACTAGAACCTGTAAAATAAAACAAATGAAAATCGAGAGAGGCATTTGGAATGAAAGTTTAGAAAAAAACTAGGCATATCAGGACAAATTTGTGCAACGATTGTCTAAAAACATACATGAAAAAAATTGAACGCCCCCTTTTTGTGAAACACGAAAATGGAAATTTCATCTTTCAGCTACATTTTTTGTTTTTTCCCACACTTACTCACATAAATTCCGTTTCTACAGCGCAACTTGTAGAATTTCTCCTCATTTTGCGGTAATGTGACGACTTGGACGTTTTCTTCTTTCGAAAGGTCCGCTATCACAAAAACCTGAAAACATACCGGAATCGAGAGAAAAAAAAAATAGAGCTCATAGATGTTTTCATAACATTCCAGGCGAGATGGGTGGAGTTCAGCAATACTCGAAAAATATTTTAAGCGCCCATATCTGATTCTAGAGTCTTTAAGAAAGACAGATTGAAAGGTATGAATAAAAATCTTCTCTTTGATTATTCATTTATAACTTTGTCTTGTAAGATTCGTCAACTACTTTCATTCTGTAAGTTAAGGAAACTCATTGAGAAAAAAAGCGATTAGTGTGAAATTTTTTGTCTTGTCAAGATTAATTATTCTCCTTTTGGACAACTTATGATCCGTGGAGTAAAAATTGATAAACCTCTAAGACGTTTCGATATGAGCGGGTGACACCGTCAAGAAATCTCCGCTTACTTTCCTGGTTCGTTGTGCGTTCAACTGAAAAAAGCGGAAAAGTTCGTTGCGTGCCACTGGAGAATCACCCGCAATGTGCGAAAACGGAGTTCCTTGGGCGTAATCTCCGAAGCGCGGTCGACGGCTCTTCACAGCCACCTCGACCACTTCGCCAAGTACCGGCAACTCATTCCTTCAAGTCCATCAGAGAGGTTGCAGAAAAAAATGTGCTCTTTGATAATTTAGCAGAATGGCCTACCACTAATGTAGGAAAGGGCGATTGTTGAAGATATTTTCTAGGAATTCTAGAATCGCCCCCTACTTAGCACTGTGGGGGCGATTCTACGTGAGATATAGCCACCCCTTTTGGAAAAAAACAACGAGCTAAAATTCAAAAACCAAGCTTCAGTTTAAGAAAAGACCAGAACCCTCGGAAACTCAAACTTAGGTATCTTTTCAAAGGGGGGGGGGTGGGGGAATCGCGAAGCTCACCTGAAGATATAACTGCGCGCAAAAATTTTGTGGAAGACCATTGCTGGGGAGAAAATGAGAAAATCTCCATTGACGATTCGTACAACGACGCCTACCCTCTCCTCTCTCTGAAAAATATGGTTCTGATTTATATTGGTTGAATCATAACGCTCATATTAAGCTGGTTCTAGAATTTTCTATAGTATTCTATTTCTAGCCTCATTGCGTCATAGGGATCAGGTGTAAAGGTTTGCCTTCTAGAAATTTTCACTTCTCATTCATTCTATACTTTCTAGAAGGTTCCAAATTTTTCTCGAATGTTCTATTGCTTCTGGGAAGGATCTCACATGGGAAGTCATTATAGGGGGGTTCAGAATTTTTCATTAATTTGCTCAAACAATCTTTGATGGGCTGGGAATCAACCCCCCATAGTCGCTATCAGCACAAACTTTTTGTTTTGAAGATATCTTTTCAATGACTTTTCAAAGTTTTTATCCTTAACCATGTGACGCCGTTTGGAAGGAATGTGGTCGCGTCACCAACCAGTGCATGGCAGCTAGGAGCGTGGTGCCTTGGCTAGCGTGAGAGCCTATGTTGAAGGTTCGAATCCTTTTGCCGCTAACTTTTTTGCCATTATTTTTTTCAAGAATTCTGATGTGAATATTAAAATTTATGAGTGAAGATCTCCCATGTCAAAAATTTTGGAATGTTCCATCTTTAATTCTAATAATCTCAATACTCTCTGAACTCCACTTTTATTCTGGGAAATTCCACAATCTTCGGGATCTTTTCACACAGCACTATATGATCCCTTGTTTGTTATTTTAAAAAGTCTAGTTTCTTGTTAGTAATAAATCTTCCACTACTACAAAGTCTTCACTGACCACCTGGGGGCACAACAATACTGAAAAATAGGAGGAGAGAAATTCTACCAAACCTCAGATGAAACCAAGGGTTGTTCACAGGAACTCCATTCGAGATAATCGCTTCTCCCTTGCGAACCGAGGAATTGCCTATCTATCCAGCTATGGACACTCACAAACTTCGGCTGAAAATAACTTTTTTTTTAAAGATCAACCAGAAAGTTTTCACAATTCTGTTTTGTCGTGTGGCCGATTCCGACGACAACGACTCTTTTCTACTCGAATTTTTTTCATTGGAACATGCTTTCGCTTCTGACAAAACAGGATTTGGACATTTTGTTTGCAGGGAACTGGCTGAAGAACCTTAAAAACTAAACAATTCAGAAAATTATTTAGAAAGAAAACCCGAATTTCGAGCCGAGGGTCTTTCCAGACGTTGTGGTTGGGCGACTTCCTTTCGGACATGGCTGAGAAAATCAAGTTTTTTTGAATGTTCGTTTTAAACTACCTACGATCCCGGGAATTTTCAAGCCTCATTTCTTGAAACGCTTCTAAAGACGTTTGACTTCCTGATGAGGGATGCTGAATCATTAAAAGTTTCAAAAAACGAGCTTTTCAACAAGTTTTGAAATCTACAAATAAGTGCAAGCTAACTCCGGATTATGTCTTTCTCAATTTTCTTCATAAGAGCGCAAAAAACCTGGATTGAAGATTTCCGAGTGATGTGAGTTGCTGGCTTGAACACGTCGTTCTTGGAAAGATGCTTAAGTAAAAATTTCATTTTACAATCAAAAAATTTCAAGTTCAAAAATTTTTTCTCATTGCTCTAATGCTGGCCAGTAGCACCCGTTCGGCTAATACGTCATATATTTACGAAAGAGGTGCTCTACGGGTGCTAGTGCCGACCACCCGGTGTTTTTTGAAAAAACAAAAAAAAAAAAATTGGTCTTCGGGTGCACGGCTAGGGCTAAACGGGTGATCGGCATTAGCCCGTAGGCACCCGTAGGAATGTTCCTCAAAATTATGGCATATTAGCTCAAGGGGTGCTACTGACCAACATTAGAGTTTCACGAACCGTCCGATATATTGATATTACGAAATGAAAAAAAAAATTATGACACTTAGTCTAGAAAAAAGAATCCAACGGAAATTGAGAGCATAGCAATTTTTGAGTGAATAACCTGATCCAAACCGGTTTCTTCGAAGCAAGAAACGTCGTAGGGGACAACCGATTGGAGCTAGAATTCTGACTTTGAGCAACCATTCGGAAATCATATGGAAACTTGATCGCATGTGAGCGTTCCAGTAGGATCCTCGTGTTTACGAAGAATCAGCCAGCCACTTTTCGTGGCTTGCAGCTTGAATCGGAATGAAAAATCTGGCACTCTGATAAACCGTTACCTCAAGAATAAATGTGCTGTTGGGGCGGGGATTTCCTAGAAACTGAACGTTGACAAGATGGTCAGAATTCACGTGTTTGGAAAATAATTCTAAACGAGCCGTGTACTCGTTGTACGCGATCTGGAAACGAGCTGCAAGCTGAAACACTTCGTAGGTTCAAGGATAGCAAATAGTTTCTGACAAGCGCTTCTCCGAATGTAAGAACTCTCCAGAGGGGGAAAAAGCGAGCATACGCCTCGTGAACAGATGGAGTAGCGTCGAAGTCATCGAAGCCGCGAGTATTGTGCCGATTTAAGGTGGCACTAAGCAGAAATTCCTTGGGAATGTTTACCGAAAGGCTGAAAAAAAGGAGGTATGCGAGAAGTTTCACAAGCCGTAAATGAGCAGCACAGGCAAACTCGTAAGGGTGTATGAGGGCCGCTAAAGGGGAGAGGCTCTAAAAAAGCCGCAGAAAGGCAGCAAAAAAGGCCCCTTTATCTAGCCTTCCAATTTTTCTTGGATTTTGAAGGCGAGAGGCATAGTGGAAAAGGCGAGGGGCAGCAAAAATAATGCATAATAGCCGATGAAATGGCGCAAAAGGTAGCAAAAAAGAAATATTTGTTACCCTGAAAGGAACTTTCATGGGAAGCCTTTGACCTTTCCGACTTTGCCTATGAGTCATGAACGGTTTAAAAAACGGTAAATCATCTGAAATTCTGACGCCATATTGTAGAAAAATAGAAAACTTCAAGATTTGAAGTTCTTCGTTTTGTTACTTCGAAACAGTATTATTATATTTTTTTCGAAGTATTCTTTATCACTTTCTGGAGTGATTCTTTCTCATCACTAAAAAATCAATAAAGTCAAAACTCTACAAGATTTTTTTATCCATGAAAGAAAGCGAGTTGTGAAACTCTGAATGTATTTGAAGAATTTTAACAATTCTCCACATTATATTTTTCAAAAATCAGTTTTATGGCTTACTTGAGCCATCTCCCCACACTCAAAAGTTCTTCATTGAGATCCAATTTCACGAAGTTGTCCAAAACTGGAGTGTACATTAAATAGGCGTTATCCTCTTGCGACGCTTTCAATACGTATCCCGAGAAACGCTTAACTCGGACATATTTTTCCAGAAAATTAAAAAAAAAAACTCACAATCTCCTGCTGGCGAGGAGAATGATTGTGGGCTCTCCTGTACATGGAATATCTGGGAGGAAACTTGAAAATGTAATTTTCTTAAAAAGTCTTCCCGGTATGAGAAGTGAGAAATCACCTTTTGGGAACAAATGAGAAAAAAAATGGAGGGTAAGCAGAATTTATGAAAACTGAAAAGTTGAAACAAAGATTATAAGATGAGATTGAACTGGATTATTTTACTCTTTTTTGAATAGAGATCAATTTTTCTTTTTGCACTCGGATCTTTTCCGCGAAATCCTCCGAACTGTCGTCTACGCGTTTACTGCAAAATACTTCATTAATTTGGCAAATTTCAGAGTTCTTACATCTCATTCTCAATGAACTGAAGACGTTTGTCGACGGTGGACCTCGCTTCGACCAAATCTTGACGCACAAGAACGGCGCCAATCATTTTGTAGACCTTTGTGTCATCTTCCATCAAATCTAGTTCCTGTGAAAAAATGAAACATGTAGATCCGGTCTCATCGCACTACCTGCTTGACATTTTTGCTCTCTGCCAATTTAAGCTCCAATTGTTGCCGGTTTCCAACGTACTTTTCCCGATCTGAATAATTGAATACATACGAATTTCGAAAGTTCTCACCTTTTTCGTATTGTTGATACTTTTTCAATTCGCTTTCGAATTCGTCTTTCAGATCAGCCATACCTATTCTATTTTCGGTGTCGTTGGCAACCTGAAAATAATATTTTTTTTCTTAAACTTACAGATTCGTGATTCATCGTATAGAAAAAGAACTGGTTGCGACAAAAAAAGGCGTTATGTTTAAAATTACGAAAAAAATTTTTTTTTAATAAAAAAAGTGACAATTTTTCACATTTTAATAACGTATGGGGAGGAAAATTCATAAAAATTTCTATCAAAGTGAAAGGAAGGAGCAGGAAAAAACGAAAAAAAAATTGAAACTCAATTCCAAATAGAGCGCACTTTCATGGCAAAGTCGTCTTTATTTTTTGTTCGTTCAACTGATGCCGTGTTCAAAGTGATTCCGCGAAATTCAAAATAGCCGTCAGAGAAAGAGAAAGATAACTGAATTTTGGAGGGTCAGAGAACATTTCGCATTTCGCGGAAATTACTTTGAACACGGCATGAGAAACGGAGAATTTTTAAAAATTTTTTTAATGCGTTCCCGGAAATCGCCGTGTTCAATTCAGTTTAGCGAATTGAAAAAAATTAGAATAACTTTCCGAAGTCCAGTTTTTTTCACTTTCTGACCATTATTTTCGCGAAATTGGTTTGAAAAACGGAAAGTTTTAATTTTTTTTGTTCATTTTTTTAACTCGCATGCGTCTCGGAACTTAAAATCTCGCATAATTTTGGATATGAAAAAAAGCAGTCTTTTTTCCGGTTGATAAAAAAAGCACGACAAGATCAACATCTTTAAATTGATTCGAAGATTTTGAGAGCTTTCATTATTTTTGAACGAAATTATTTTCAACGGTTTCATTTTTTGTTCGGTTAAATATTTTTGTGCCAATGCAGTTATTTTCCAGCCGTGTCGATGACATCCGAAAAATATAAAGAACTTCTCGGAGTACTCCCGCAAAAAGACATTGAGTATGCCTTCGCGTACGGGTCGGGGGCTCTTCAGCAAAGGGATGAGAGCATCGAGGAGAAAATGGTGGACTTCGTTGTCGTGACGCGCAACCCCATCAGTTTCCACGAGGAGAACCTCATCAAAAATCCGTCCCACTACAGTTTTCTACGGTTATTAGTTATGAATCGGTTTTTAAAATATCAGCCTTTTTACAGGATTCTAGGTCCGAAGATGATCACGCGGTTCCAGTGCAATCTTGGCGCTCGTGTCTATTATAACACTCAGGTCCAGGCCCATGGTAGAAAGATCAAATATGGCGTAATCTCGTACGACAACATGAAGCAAGACTTACTCGACTGGCGGTGGATCTACGTGGCCGGGAGGCTTCATAAACCAGTCCTGGAAGTTGGTGCGAACTTATGATACTTTATTGATTTCTTTTTTAACTTCAAGTTGAACCATAGGCTTGACAAACATCTTGAACGCCGTAGAAAATTAAAATATAGACCGGAATTTTTTCAGGTAGTGCAACCTAGCGAAGACGTTGAAAACTTGGTTCTGGAGAATCGGAGGAGCGCCTTGCACGCAGCTCTGCTCCTCCTTCCTGACTCTTTCTCTTTGAAGGAACTTTTCAACAAAATAGTTTCGCTTTCCTATGTCGGAGACTTCCGGATGATTGTTGGAGAAGACAAAAACAAGGTATTCACATTTTCACTTCTTTTCTCATTTATTCTTTCCAGGTCGCCAAAATTGTAGACGGCAGCTTTCCGCAACTTTTTCAAACTTACGAACCATTGATGAACGACGATGCGCGTCTTTCTTTTTCGTCCGTCACTGAAAAGGTGCGATATTCATATCCTGAAAGTTTTTGCCGCCTAACAAAAAAGAGGTGTTTCTTTTTTGAAGATATTGTTTTTGGAATTTCATACTGGTTTTGGGCATTTGATGAAGCTTTTCAGAAGAGATAAGAGTCTGAGCGAAACATTCAGACCTGGTCAAAACTTCTTTGGTAGAATATTGTAGGTATCGAAAACAAAAATATTTATCTGATAAGAGCTTTAAGGTACGGATAAAATGCCAGTGTAAAATAGTCAGGTAATCTTTAGAACTGCTTTTTCAGAGTGTTTTCGATTGAGAAACGTTTTTTTTCTCGTCTTGCTTCTTAGAAAGCTGATTCAAGTCTAATATTTCTTTATTTTTGCTATCGATTATTTGTTTCAAGTTGGTTAATTTGTTTCATCACAATTTCATGCGTACTATGCGAGAAAAATTTTTTTTTCCATTTGAGAAAAAGTTGTTTGCCTATCAAACATTACAGTATTAATGTTTAAAAAAAGGTCTGAATTTCTGGTACCGAATGAAAAGTTGAAAAAGTTTTCAAAAAGCTTTTCGACAGGTGATGCAAGACGCCTCAACGGCGGCCGTCTATCATCGGCTGAATCTGTTGCCGTCGGAAGTGGTAAATCGTCTGCAGAAAAGCTGGAACAAGAAGCACAACCGACAGCGTGACACGGAGGAAGTATGAGAAAGAGAAAGGATTGAGCCTTCAGAACAAGGTCTTCAGGTTCTTTTCTCTTTATCCCACCGGCACGACGTCGGCGTCACGTTGGAAACTGCAATTTCCTCGATAATACGGCCCTCTTCCTTGTCACAAACGGCAAAGAACGCCGTTTCAGCTGGTCTCGTGAAAAGCATTATTTACAGTTCAGCGAAAATGCTCAAAATGTTCAAAAGCAAGTAATCATATCGTCAATATTTTATTTCCCAGAGTAGTTATTTTTTTGTTCAATTTGTATAAATCAGCAGTTGGTTATGAGAGGAAATCGTCTTGACTATGTTTTGCTGTCGGGTTGCGGTTTTGAAGCCGTAAAAGAAGAAACCAGTCGCCGACAAAAGCCAAAGTGACCAGTGCGCAGCTCACCTGTTCAAAGAGAATAAAAATGGCACTTGAAATGGTACTCACGAAAGAAAACCACCAGGCAGTGTGCTGCCAGCGAAGGCTGCTGTAGAACATAGTCGTCGTGTTGATTAGGAATAGAAAAGCCATCGCTCCGGTGTAGATTGACTCCTGAACTGTTTGATTCACAAAGCAGAGATGGATCAGCTTTCTGTCCATATTCAATTTTTCCCGACTTGAAAGACGGGATGCGTAGCGTGCGGTTCTTGGCACGATTCCAATCTAACCGTCAGCGATTATTTGGAGACTTCGTTTATCGCTCTTTTCATCTTTTTTAACTTGATTTTCTTCATTTTTTCATTCAAAAATAGTGGAATAGATACAAAAAAAGCGGTTGTTGAGCTTTTTAAATCGTCGGTGGCGCTTGAATTGAACCGCATACGCACACGCTACGCGTCCCGCCTCTCTCGCCTTACAAGTCTGGATGAATTGACTATACCAGGATTGTGTGGCAATCGATCCCATTCAGAGTTGGCAGTTCACTTTTTCAATCAAACCATAAGGAAAATACTTTTCACAGAAAAATATAACGCGCCAAAAGCTGAAACAGGATTGTCGCTCTGCGATTTATTCCTCCTTGGCTTCTAGAGTCTCGTAAGATATAGCAGACATCTCAGATTGCCTCAAATTCTGGCGAATGTGTTATAAAAAAAAGTTTGGACATTTCCATTTCTGTGCTTCTCGAGTTGTCTGAAAAGGGAGGTCATTTCACTTTGAGGTTGGGAACTTCTTGAAAATTGGCCAAAATACGCCCTGATGTACCAGAAGAAGATTCTGAAAGCCTCAACCTGCATTCTGTGAAAAGACGCTGCAAGTTCAAAGAAAACGTTCAAAATCCATTAAAATTAGCTATTTTGGGGCTTTAGACCCTTGTTTCTTGAGAACTGAGAAGTTTTGCAGATTGAGACTTTCAGAATCTTCTTCTGGTACATCAAAAAGTGTTCTGACCAATTTTCAAGAAGTTCCCAACCGTAAAGTAAAATGACTTTCCCTGTGAGATCTCGCCACAATTCCCGAAAAGATATTTTCCTGATTAATCTGAACTCAACGAAAATAAATGGGCTTCTTTGCTTTTGAATTTCCAAAATTCATATTGTTCATATTGTCCCACTCTTGAAAGTGGGTTTTTTTTTTTTACATCAATCAGCCAAATTTTTGCGAATATTTTCACCCAGAGAATCCACTGTATGCCGGGAGTGGAGTTGTGTAGGTTGAAAGCGAAAATGACGACGAAGACTGATGAAATGATTGTGCCGGCGGTGCAGGACACCAATGCCGCGTAGGTAGGAGAGAAATGAGAGCCGACAGCTCCGATGAGCCCAAGCGAAAATAGTGATCCAATCTGAAAATATTCTTTGTGACGCCGAAGACTAGTAGTAATGGACAGTCTCAAAGATTCGTAGTCCAGAAGATGCGCTTGCCAGATTCCACGCCGTGAACACCGGCTTCTCCCTTCAATGACTTTTATTCAAGAATACGTTGGGGAAAGTACCTGGATGAGGCGTTCATGGACGAGAGGAATAATGTCACGCGGACGCTCTGATAAGGCGAGCCGCCGTGACTGACTCATTTCTCTGTTTTGGCATCATGCACGCGCAGTTTGTCCACAGCGTTGATCTCGACGTCGAGAGATTCAAATTTCGCGCAGTTCATCCGTTTGCCACCGTCTACTTGCACTACAGCTTCTCTTGGTGAACTTCAAGCGTTTTTGAGCTTGAAAAAAAGCTAATATTTTTTTATTAGGGAAAAATATCGGAAGAATAAAGCGGTTATATGAAATACAAAAAAATAAAAAGAACAAATTGAATAATCTTCCGAATCAAGCTTTTTTTATGAAAAATATCCCTTCTCGCCTACTGTAAAAAAATTTCTTCTTACTTCCGGGTACCTGTCAACTCGTTGGGGTTGACTCCTTCCCGCGTATTGTTATTCTCCTGCCCGTCATATGTTGATCACTTATAATTTTTTTCTATACTACCCAATGTTTTTTTTATGGCAGTGAATAAACTATTATTATTATTGAAGTACAAACTTTACAGCTTTTTTGGATATTTGAAAATGATATAATAATAAATGAAGTTCTCACTCTTCTTCCTAAAAAGTTCTCACAAAAAGCGCATTTATCAAAACGTACTTTTTGCTTTCACTACTATCCAACTTAAGAATTCCAAAGTGGTTCCTCTAGGGGCAACCTTAGAGGTCCTTCTAGGGGCCATTTTACCAACCCCTATAGGGGCCACTAAAGCTTGCAAAAGTGGCCCCTATAGGGGGCATGCTAGTCGATACTTGTTATGAACTCTAAGCGAAGAAGCATTTCCATGCGAAAAATTGAATAAATGAGGTTTTTTGAATAAAATTGGAAAACCCCTATAAGGACCACTTAAACTTTAGGGGCTCGGGGTCACATCCTAAACCCCTATAGGGTCCACCTTGATTTTACCTCTATAGGAATCACTTTTCCGGTCCCTATAGGGGCTGTTTTCCCCCTAAAACCCTATAGGTACCTCCTTAAAATCCCGAAAAATGCCGAGGAGTCAAAAAAAATTTTTAACGGAATCAGAGTTTTCAGGAATTTGGAGTTCATGAAACGGACAATGAAACATGGACAAATGGTAACCAAATCGGAAAAGAAAGCCCTAAAAGTAATTCAGCTTTCCATCAGCTTGAGACCTTCGACGCGAGCTGTTACTCCACGACTGCCAATGTCGGCGACGGCCGTCTTTCATTTGCGAGTTCTGAACGAGGACAGAACACGTAGTTCTGCTTCCGCTGTCTTTCACCTTTCTTTTAAGTGTTCTCTTCTATGCGCTCTGCCGTCCTCCGTTTCGAGTTCTCCTCCGAATCAGAGTTCTACGGCTTCCGCGCCGACGGAGACGCCAAGTTTGTCGCCTTTGTCTCCAGCGCTCTTCTTTCGAATTACCGCAAAAGTACTGTAAGTTCCTGATTAGGGGTCAATTCACAGGGGGACTTTTGGAAGCTAGGTCATTGGTAACGCGGAACGGACGTTTCTGAGCAGTTCTAGGAGCCACTTAAGAGTGCTTATGATACTGAAGTAATCCCTAGAAATGCTCAGAAACGTCCGGAGCGTTTCGCGTGTCCGAGAATCGTTTCAGTAGATAAATTTTTCAAACAATGTTTTCTGTTCAAAATTTGTTAAGAAGGTCTGTAAGAGAAAAATTATATGGAACCGGTCGGAAATGAGAAGATCGAAAGAAAGGTTCTACCTGAAAAAATGGAAGTTCGATTCGGAAAAAATATACACCCGATTCGGAAAAGTATCGATTCGGGTTTCGATTCGGAAAATCCCGGTTCGGAAAAGTATCGGCCTTTTTTTGTGCTCAGACTGGAAATCAGAACAAAAACAAGATTTTTTATAACCCCTCTGTAAACTGCGACCATTCCCTGGGATCGATACGGATTCTGTCGTTATTGAATACGTAGGCTTAAGGATACACGTTCGAGTTTGTGTGCTCCGTGAAGATGCTGGTCAGCGAGTTCGGCGTCGTTGAAACGGCCGCCTCGCAACCTTCTGTCTGCCAGACTTCAGTCAAAAACTTCGTGGCAAAGGCGTATGCTCGTTCCTTTCAACCTTTCAGTCCCATTTCGAGACTACAGAGAGAATAATTTGGTCTTGCAATGCATTGACGGCAAGCTTTTGTCCAACCGCGAGCTACTTTTCGTGGCGTCCGTCTTCTTTCGGAACCTTTTCCTTTCCCGACCTCAACGTGAAGTTGTCTTCTTACACTTCAATGTAGCTTCCGTCGAGTTGGTTGAGTTTTGAAGAAATATTTTCAGAATAATTTGTTCTCTTTCGCATTCTTTAGGCCCTGAGCTTCTTGTTATACGGCTATCTGCCCCTTCAAACGGATCTCTCACCAAATATTGCGAACCAAATCGTGATTCTGAGCAAGCAGTGAGAAAGAATAGTTTGTATACTCTGAAATATTTCGTTTTAGGTTTGAATGTGTCAATTTTCCTCAGCTTGCGAGTTTGATACAAGATCACGGATGTAAGCAAGCCTCTCGGGTACTCAAATCTGCTTAGTGAATTGAAAATGAAAAACTCCATACTTTACAAAAAAAAACCCTTTCTCTAAAACTGTAGTGAGCTTTGTTTTGTTCCAGTTTGAAGCTGTGCCTGAACCAAATTTTAGAATTCCAGAGTTGTCCCTATAGAGGCTAGGGGGGAAAAACTCCTATAGGGGTTGAAAAAGTGACCCCTTAAGGAGTAAAATTAAAGCGGTCCCTATAGGGACCACTTTTCAAGCTTTAGTGGCCCCTACAGGGGTTGGTGAAGTGGTCCGCAGAGGGGAATAGCCCCTAAGGTTGCCCCTATAGGGACCCCTCTGCAGTTCATAAGATCTTCCTGTAGATCCCTATAGGGACCCCTCCGCAGTTCCCAAGAGCTTCCTAAAGATCCCTCTAGGGACCCCTCTGCAGTTCCTAAGATCACAGATGGTTTTCAAAAAAGCAGTACTCGATTCACTAGAATCACTCATCAATTCATTTTTTTCGTTCTGGTTGACTATTTAGGAGGTTTCTCGGGATTCCAGGACGCACCAGAAAACGATCTCCATACGGCGGTCGAGTGGCTACTCCTGAGCGCAGAACAGCAGCTCCACGAACTCTGGCTGGTGACGTCAGCGAAGCTGGTCACCGTCTTCTGGGACGACTACCTTGCCGACTACGCTGACAAAATGGTTTTTGTCGGCATCTGTCAGTATAACCAGAGCCTCAGACTGCGGCTTCCCACGGGCACGTCGAGCTCTTCGGTCGTCTTCACGAAAGTGTCTACTCACCTCACGTCTGTTTTTTTTCTATCTGACTTTCGGAAAAAGGCGTTGAACAAGAACTTGTTGAACTCGCCAGCTCTTTCAGCTGTTTTCTAGATAATTTCTTCCTTTTTCTGTTCCGACTTCTATAGTTTATGCTCCAATTTCTACATATAACTTTTTATTTTGGTTATTCGAAACAGATTGGAATAATGAGCAAGCATACTATATGGAATTCCAGAGTGGTCCCTATAGGGCTTACAGGGACAAACAGCCCTATAGGGCCCGAGAAAGTGGTCGCTTTAGAGGTAAAATTAAAGTGGTCCCTCTAGGGGTTTAGGGTCTGAGCGCTCAGCCCCTAAAGCTTGAGTGGTCCCTTTAGGGGCTCTTCAATTTCATTCAAAAAACGCTTATTGATTTATTTTTTGCTTGGAAATGCTTCTTCACATAGAGCTTATAACAATAATCGACTGGCATGTCCCCTATAGGGGCCACGAACTAAAATCCCTGCAGGGACCACTTTTTCTAGCTTCACTCGCCCATATAGAGGTTGGTAAAGTAGAGAGGACCCTTAAGATTGCCCCTATAGGGACCACTCTGAAGACGCTAAGTATTCTCTGAAAATTTGAGCAAATAGTTTCTTGACTACAATGGAAGAAGTGCTAAAAATAGTTGCGGCGAAAGAATTTTGCGCCAAGATCGGAGGCTCACATCGGCTGCAGAAGCTTCTGGATGCCGTCGACGGCAGGCGATTCGGCGACAGCGATTTCGCCTTCGCATTTCGCTTCAAAGTACTTTTTGGTGGCGTGGAAAACGGACAATCGCCAGAACAGGAATGCCCCAATCATTAGCACTATTGCCTAAAAAAGTTGATGTTTTTTGGGCCTACTTTCTTCTGAGCTAAGCGATGACAGACGTCTCTTGAAGCTCGGTGACTGGAATTGAGCTAAGATCTTACTAGAGAACGTTTTTTTTCCTCGTTTTTGAGTTAGGACACTTCAAAAGCTTGAAAAATAACGCTTTTTTGGCCTAATTTGCGTATTTTGCGGACTTTGAAGCTCCATAACTCAGATACAAGATCTATTGCGCGAAAAATGTTTTTTTTTTATCTGCAATCAGGGGGCCCTAAAGTACACTTCCAGCAATGGTTCAGCAAAAAAGTTCAACCGGGGGTTAAAAACGTTCCCTGGTTAGCTATGCAAAAAGTTTGGACGTAAAGGAGATTTTTTGTCTTCAGCCCTACCAAATTCTTCATTAACTCAAATATTAGTTCTGAATAGCTCTGGTAATACTAAACCGAACTCCCAATAAGATCTGAGATACAAAAACAGTTTGGGCAGTCAATTTTTGAAGTGCTTTGACCGTACTCATTTCTGAAGAAAACTCGAACATTTTTGGATTCGGTACGACACGGAAAAAATGGATTTGCTTGAAAGAACTGTTCGAGACAAATGCCCAATGAAGGTATGACGTCAAGCACACTTTGAGAATATTCAAACGAAGAGAACATCTTTTCTAACAAATGAAAAGAGACAAGCCTTGACGACGAGTATAACCGCAATCCTCGCGAAGCCCTCATGATGGCCTGAAACCCATTTCCTCTTCTGACTCTCCATCTACGACTGTACCCTGAGAATAAAATTTGAGGTAGGCGTCCGTGTCGAAAAGAGCGACAAAGAACATGAAGAAGGTGAGGCCGATCCAGACGAGAAATTGCAACGTCTCAAGTCGAAACTCATGTGTGTCGAGACTGAAAAACCTACCGCGCGAAAATAACCATCGGCCACATGAATCTGTGTTTCTGCTGCCGAAGCGCGTACATCGTCGTGAGGAGAAGGACCAAGTGGAGCCCTTCAACATGGTCAGAAAGTTCAGAGAAGCAAGAAAACCTATCCACAGGATCCACCATGGGAAGAGAAACAGTACGTAAGGGATGATGAGCAGGAATTCGAGTAGGAGCAGCACTTTCGAGGCGTTCTGAAACATCTTATTTGATGCTCACTAGGGAACGTTTTCTACGAGTTAGGACACTTCAAAAGCCCGAAATAGAGCTTTTTTGGCCTAATTTGCGTGTTTTGCACACTTTGAAGCTCCATAACTCGGAAACAAGATCTATTGCGAAAAATTTTATTCTTGATCTGAAATAAATTTTGCACACTTTTTTTTCACGCATTTTCGAAAATTTTCGTTATACTTTTGACTTTAAAAAAAGCATAAAAATAAGCTTATCAGTAAAATATTGGCTATAGTCATTCATGTCGGTTACTGGCTTTGTTGAATTTTTACTTGTTGATAATTTTTTGCGATTTTGATGAGCATTCAAAAAAAAACTTTTTTCGAAGTATTTTTTAGAAATCGGTTCAAACCATTGCTTCAAATTGTCAATAACATCATTTCCCTCATTTGAGTCAAATTTCACGTCAATATGATAACTTTTAATAAAGTTACGGGCGGAAAACCAAAAAATACTCATCCATTTTCCCTACTATATGTCTTTTTGGAATAAACGTGTCCTTAGAAAGCTATCAAAATCCAGCTGAATGGGCCATTTTTGAGACGTTTACTTTTTTTTTTCCTGAACCTTCATTGAAGTGCAGACTTTCAGGACATTTTTTGCCCATTAGCCGATTTTTTAAAGAAAAAACTGGGATACGAAGAGAAAAATGACCTCCCTGGTGACTCCTGTGGTAAATTGGGGAATTCCTTTTGTTTCTTCTTCTGATTTTCTCTCGAGAAACAGTTTCCGAAAAAAAACGAACCGTGACGTGAACTTTGGAGAAGAAGCAGCGGAACGAGGGATTGTCGGCCTGGAAATCGACATCGAAGTCGAAGAGCCGCGTGAAGTATTCATGAAGCGGAACCTTGTCGAACAGAAGCATTTTTTGCGAGTATCAGCGGGATTCCGCGGCTGCCAGGGAACAGGTTTCGGCGGGCACGTGCCAACCTTTGTCTCCCGTCTCAATTCCTCCCATATTTATTCGCATTAAAAACAACTAGAAAGTCTTTCTCTGTCTCAAATTTTCCTTCTTACGGTGCTTCATGCGGCACAAGGAACCAGTTTGCAAGCTTGAGTTCCTCCCATTTTACCTTCAACTCCAGTATTAAGCTCAGGCTCTTAAAAATCAGGTACTATGGTACCAAGAGTCCGTTCAGATTTTGAATGTCAACTAGAATGACGTCAAACGCTCTGTGGATGGCTCGCTCTCTGATTGGTTTATCGCGCTATTAGGGGGCAGAGCTTCAGCGACCGCTTGACATTCAAAATCTGAACAGACCCTCTGAGAAGCTTGAACAAAATGAGATAGGCTTGAGATATACCCTCAAGGACCTCCGATATGGCTCGGATAGAGCTAAAAGTATACTGAAGGGCTCTCGATGGACATATTATGGGGTACCTTTTTGAGAGGTATTTTTCTGGACAATTTATGGTAGCCTCCCGATTAGCCTGTGAACACTCATGCTTATAGCTTCTGAGCGGCTAAAATGAAATTTGACTTATCTCAATTAAAAAAAGCCTGATTCTGCGTCAACAACAGTACCACGCTTGAAACACTGAAAACTCATGACTATGACCTTTTGCAGAAACGCCTGAGCCATTTGTGGTCGCTGGTGAGGGGCGTCCGGTGCACCTTGATCGATTCGGAACCCGTCAAAACTCAATGAAAAATTCCATTTGGTCATTTATCAACAACTATCAAAACAAGAAACAAGTTAGACAGTACAAGTGAAGCGCCAGTTTCATGTCAATAGGAGTGTCCGTGCAAAATGAGAAGAGTAGAATTGGTGGTTATACCGTGTTCAAAGTAATTTCGCGGAATTTTGATATCTTTCCCACACTACGAGTCTTGCGAGATTACTTTGAACAAGGCAGTATGTACAAGTTTGTTCGAATGTAGAATATTGCGAGATGATGCAAAATAAAAGAGAGCCCCGAAAGTAGCGGAAAAAACAGCTGACACGTTAATTGATGTTAAAGAAAAACACGATTCTATAAATGGTGTGTGAAGGGCTCAGTGGCGTAGGAGGTTACTCAGGCATGGTCGCCGTTTTCGTCGAGAAACGCGCCCATCGCGCCGAGGTAGCCTTCGTGCTTCATGAACAGCGCCTCCGTCTCACCCTGCCCCATTTCCTTCAGTTACGTCTTATGAACAAGCTTTAGGTACGGTGCTACAACTGATTCACGGCTGGCTTGAGCCATCGAAAAAGGGTCCTGACACGACTATGCTCAAGATAGTTCCTAGCTCGTGGAGAGCGCAAACAGGCCACCTCCTCTTATAGTCCGAAGCTAGCCGTGAATCAGCTATACAACAAGAGCGAGCTTTGCTTTTTCGGAGATTACTGTAGAGTACTGTATGCGAATATGCGCATTGCGTGCATGCATCATTTTTATTATTTTTAGTTTTTCAATGATAAGTCAAAATGAATAGTTAATCCAATTCGACATAAGTGGAAATCCATTTCCATGAAATTTAGATCAAGAAAAAAAAAGCGGAGCCACGCGCAGTGTGCAAACACGCGAATTGCACGCCCAACTGCGGACTTCTACATACAGTATTCTTCGTAAAAAGAAATTCGCTTTTGTCCTAGAACCCTTAAGTAACTTCTTCGGAAGGGTCGTCCTACAAAGGAAGTTTGAATTGGAATGAAAAAACTAACTTTGCTCCAGAAGTTGATGGCATAGCTCAACGTGCGCATTGTGATGGGATGTTTCCGGATGAAAAAGCCGCCGAAGTAGACTCGTTTCATTCCGTAGCGGTGGCCGTAAAGCATAGCCATCTGCAAAGTGAAACTTCATATTCTGATGCGAACTTCTTAGAAGTTCCAAAGTGGTCCCTATTGGGGTTAGGGAAGAAAAAGCCCCTATCGGGCCGAAAAAGTGGTCTCTAAAGGGGTAAAATTAAGTTGGTCCCTATAAGGGCCTGACTCGCTGAACCTCAAGTGGACCCTAAATAGGCCTTTCATTTTCATTCAAAAACGCTTTTTATTCAGTTTTTCCATGGAAATGCTTCTTCGCTAAGAGTATCAATATCATCGACTGGGATGCCCCCTATAGGGACCCCTTTTGCAAGCTTTAGTGACCCCTATAGGGGATGATAAAGTGGTCGTAAATAGAGACCTTCCAATGGCCCCTAAGTATTTTACTATAGGGACCACTTTGGAGTTTCTAAGTTCTGCATTTTGATCGAAAAATCATTCTGACCTGTCCGATGTTGTTGCTGAGCATGAGGAGCAGACTTTTTGCTATATCTTCGGGCGAGGGCGGTGTCGAACTCGGGCGGTTGTCGTACTTGTTACACTGCAACATTTTTGAAAATTTCTCTCGAAAAATGGAGAAATATACTGATTTATTTAAAGTAGAAGTTTAAAAAGAACCTTTCCGAATGAGCCCGCGATCAGGTCGCCTGGGAGATTCAGATTCCCATAAGAGCCGCCATAAATGTCGCTGACCTAGAAATGAGAACATTTTGTTGATGAATCGATCCTATATTTCTCAGCCACCACTTCAAAAATTTTTTCCTGAGCACAATGAAGATTTAAAAAAAGCTTCCGTGCATACATAGGCAGACCATTTTCAAAGGTCGCCTCCTCCCAAGTTTTCCTAAATTAAAGTTAATATTACCTCCCTGAGGCTCGAAATTCTACTATTGTGGCCGAAAAAACCACCTGGAGATTGAAAATTGATTTTATTCCTAATTTTTAAAAAATTTTGTAAAAAAAAAAGCCAGCTTTAAATAGAAATGAAATAGGCGTCTTTTTGAAAATCTCTAAGCTCCCACTCGTATTTTGAATAGTTTGAAAAGACACTGTTAGTCTCAGATATAGCCGATTCACGACTAAATTGGGACGCTAATAGGGCGTAGCCTGTCTGCGCTCTCCACCAACCAGGCACTATCTCTTCACTTATCGTGTCGAGACCCATTTTTTGATGGCTCAAGCCAGCCTCGAACAAGCTATACAGCGACAATACGCTGTCAGAAATGAGATCGAAGTTGACAGTTTTCCACCCCCAACACTCACCAGTGTATCGACTTTGCGATGGTCGCCGCGATCCGCCATTTTCAACAAAGCATCGAAGTCTGAACTGGGAGTTCAAGCTATTGAATTGGAGAAGAGCTCTTCAGACTGACCGGTGGCAGAAGTCAGCAAATTTCCGAGGCCGATGAACGTGCCGCCGCCCATGGAGCTGCCGCCAACGCGTTGGAACTCCGTCGGCGAGTCTACCTGCATTTTTAGACGATCATTACAGATCAAAGAGGTTTTGAAACGATTTCAAGTACCGTGTTTCCATAAACATAATTCCACAAAGCTTTAGATTATTTACAAACCTTCAAAATGCTGATTCCAGTACCGATGTTGACGAGCAGAAAGGGATATATCGAATCAGCATTGATCGGTCGATACTGGAACCTGGAAAACAATTGGTTGAGTAACAAAGGGAAGATCGAAACTTTTCGAGTCTGAAAAGTAACGGCTTGTAGGGTTCGTCAAATTTTTTTCTCTTGGATATATTTAAAATAGTTTTTAGCAACAACCCCTAGGTGCCATTATTATACCCAAGAATTATAAATCACGAAAACGGGAAAAAAAAAGAGAACACTATCCATAATAGAAGGTTTAATGCAGAGGGGAAGGTCAAACAACAATCTTCTTTCAAATTTAACTAAGGATCATCAGAGTGGTCCCTATAGGGGACATGCCAGTCGATAATTATTATGAACTCTGAGCAGAGAAGTCTTTCCATGAAAAAAAAAAACTAAAAAAACCTTTATGAAAAAAATTGAACGACCCCTATAAGGACCACTTAAGCCTTATTTAATTGAAACTAAATCCTTCAAACGAGCAAAAAAATTAAGAAAAAAACAAAATGATCTAAACTTTCTTTCAAAGTTGTACAAGTGGAACTGTTTCTCATGAAATCGCAAAAAAACAAACTTCTCAAGGCCTTTCGCTTCGTGGTGATAGGTGAACGACTCGTCCTCGTTGTTCCGCAGAAGAAAGTCGCAACCGTAAATGAGCGAATTCATTTCGTCAGTCCGGCGAACTCTTCAAACATTTCATGAGGATAAACCGAAGGGATATGCCAAAAAAAGAACTTTGTGTATAATTAATGGAAGTGTTCATTCCAGTTCGAATAATGTAATTTCCGGAAATTCTTTTTGAATAGTATTGAAAGGTCTAGAATAACACAGGCAAAGTCCAAACGGTCTCAAAAAAGACCTTAAAAGGAAGAGTCTGAAACTACTTTTTGAGAAGGAGTCTGTGAGGTCATTTAAAGGCTTTTTTGAGACCTTCTGGGCTTTGCCCGTGAAGCTCCCGCATAGTGAATACCTGAGCAAACTTCCAATTTTGTAAATGCAAGCTTTTAAAGTCGGAAATCGTTTGAAACTACTCTTAAGTAGCGACTTTGAGGGAACCTTGACCTATGACGCGTTTGAAAGAACTAATTTTTACTAAATGACCGTCAGATTATTTTCTAGTAGTGAAAAAAGGCGTACTTGACGCCGAGCGCCTTTTGCAGAAGTTCCGCGTGTTTGTAGGAACCTCCGCCGGTGCAGTGGAGCACGTCGGTCTCCACACGATCCTTCCAGTTCTGAGAGTTGCAAAGCGAAAATTTGGCGAGAATACAGCTGTAGGCTGACTTTTTTGATGAACTCAATGCACGTCTCGATGGAGCCGAATTTGAGGAAGTTCACGTGGACTTCGGGATCTTCGCTGAGCTTCTTCTGCTTATTTCCATTATTCAACACGTGTTGAGGTTTGGAGCCCGGTTGACAAACAGAGGAGTATACCAGTTTCAAGAGAGTTCCTCCTGGAAAATGATTCAATTTGAGCATCTTTTTTTTCGATTAAAAATTTTTTTAATTAACTCAGGTCCGGAATCATATGTATTCGTGTATTTGCGCAACTTAAAATTAAAAAGGTTGAATTAAAGTAAGCAGTTTCATGAATTTGCAACTGAAAACGCACTAGTTTGCAGCTGCTGTAAATTACTACTTTGCAAGTTGCAAACCAGTTGCTTGCAGGAAGGTTGCAGTGGAAAAATCAGATGAAAATCACATGCGCACTTCTAATAATTTTCTTTAAGAATTCTACAGCTATCCCAGAATATAAAAATAACCGATGTCCAGCGCGAAACGGCTGCGCTCGAACATGGGCGAGAATCGGGACTCGACAGGGAGAACGATGAATGGAGTTTCTCCTGGAGGATTGGCATGCTGTCGCGGCGGATGGACGATGCCAGAGGCCGAGTCGACGCGTCTTAACCAATCTGATGGATATTTTAGCAGCGGAAAAACAAAATAGTCTCTGAAAACAGCTCAAAAATATGATCCAGGCCAAGCTCCCGATTGAAGTGAATTCAATGGCAACTCATCCAAGAAAACTTTAATTCGGTTTATTTTCTTGCCCTTCTGAAAGCTCTGAGAAGGATGACTTTTTGGGTGAAGCTATGGAAAATAGAATAGTTCACAAGTCAAGGCTTCCCGCGTACTCAGGCAAAGTAAAAACGGTCTTAAAAAGGCCTCAAAAAGTAGGGTCTAAAGCTTCTTTTTGGGTTTTTAAAAAAGGTCAATAGTATCTTGGAATCTCCCTTTTCTTCCTTGAAAGGTCCTTTTCTGGAAAAGATCTAAAAAAAAGGTGTCTTTAAGGCCTTTTTCCAAAGACCTTTTGGGCTTTGCCCGTACTGAAACGTTAGTCTGATGTTAAAAAAATTATCACAAAAATAAGAAAAATTGCAGAGCCTAAATAACGGAACCAAATTATCGAGAGATGTCATTCTATTCGAAACTTACAATATTAAAAAAAAACTTCTATGACGTACAATATTGAGATTTTGTAAGAACCAAACTACGCTGTACCTTAGTTTTTGAAAGCAGAAGCTCTAAGTTTCTAAATCATTGCATATCTTCCACTCTTCTCGAATACTAGTGGCGTGTTCGTCGGTTAATCGAAACATGCTTCAAAAAAAAAAATCGTGTTCATCGGCGCGCCAAAGTTGCTCCAAAACAGTAGTAAATTTTTGCGTTTCAAAGCATTTTTCGTTTTGCCCGATGAACACGCTAAAGTTGTGCAGTTTTATAATTCTGCGACTACTTCATTACTCATATCACGCACCTGAGGCTGGAATTGAGAAGAAGCTCGTCCATGACTTTCCGTTTTTTGGCGTTCTGAAAGAAGCCAAAGTTCAAAATAGACAGCTTCCCAGCAGACCTCAAAAAAGATGGCAGCGGAATGTCGCCGGACGCCGAGTTTGCTGGGACTGGAGCGGAGCTTTCTTGTGTGACCCATAGTTCTCAAAATATATGCATCACCGTTCTTACGATGAAAAGATAAAGCTTGAAACAGGCTTCGAAAAGACTTTATTTAGTAAGATTTAAAAAATAAGAGGAAACAGGAAAATAAATAATGATGGACGAAAAACTATCAGGTTGAAAAGCTAAGAACGCCAAAAATGAAAACATTCAAAACCGAACTGAAAGGCTTTTTATCGCACCGGCGCTGAGACAAAATGACAGTGCAAACGGCAAAAAAAAGTTGAAAGATTGGATGGTGTGAGTTGATCAGGCGAGTTCATCGAACACCCGCAAAGAGAACACGGAAAGACGCCTTGTAGCAAAAATTTTCGATAAAAAATCCTGATAAGGACAACGCCGAAAAAGAAGGTCCACGTGAAGTTCGCATGAAAGAACGTATTCAAAACAAGTTTTCAGGAAAACGCAGACATCCGTTCAGAAAAGGGCAACTCAACTGTTAAAATCGAAGGTTTTCCGATGTTTACCACGACAAAGTTTGAAGAAAAAAGAACATAGGGAAGAAAAATATGCCCTCATATTTCTTTACGAGCCCGCGCTTTTGATAAAAACTTTGAAAACCGGTTTAAAGGCACACTTTTGGTTCTCTGTAATAGTTTTCAACAGGCGAGCTAAGGCGAAAACAGCAAATAGCAAGAGCAATGATAAGGAAATGTTTGGATAGACACCCAAGGAAATTTACTGATTAAACGCGACTCCAGTGCGGACGCCCTACTCACCAGGCTCTGAAAAAAACATTGAAACTACACAAAGAACACTTGAGAGCTCACTTTTTGTGAATTGGGGAGCCAGAAAAGGCGGAGGTGGAGGAAAAGCTTCGAACCGGGGAGGCGGGCCGCGAATCGTCGTCGGTTTACTGCGCAAAACAGAATTTGACTTCGTCTTAGGTAGTAAGCACAGATTACAGTCCATTTCTAGTTGTACAGACACTTTTAGAGAAAAATTTTCCTTATCAGACGAGTTTGAATTTACGATAGAAAAAAAAAATACCCAAAAGCAAGATCTGCCGGAGAAAAAATGAAGGGATTGAAGACGACAGCGGGCGGCTGATGCAACGGCGGACGTGGAGGCGGTGGGAACCTCTGGAGTACAAAATTTGACATTGGAAAGAAGAAAGCAACCGTCATTACCATGAACGGAGGCGGCTGGAGATTCGGCGGTGGGATAGAGGTGTCGATGGGCAACGGCGGCGGAGGTCTGAGCATCTGATCGCACTTTCTGGAAACTTGTATCTTTGCGTAAAGAAAAATAATCGATATTTCTGTTTTTATTGGTTTTTTCCTCTGACGAAAAGTCTTTAAACTATAATTTTACATCATACCTCCATAGAATCTTGCGAAACGATATTTTTCATGTCCCTCCTGGTTTTTTTTTTGGAACTACAAGACCTTAAAATTTGGTCGGAATGCTCAAAAGTGTAGGCGTTTTGTGCTCCATTGTAAATTGATAAAACACGGGCGTTTTTTTGAATTTTTCAAGGAAAAAAATTCTTAATTTTTTTCTATTGTTTTCTAATCAATATCTGGATGCATCTTTTGTATTTTTTTGACAGTGTCATTTTTTTCAAACCATTTTCCAAGATTTATTTTATCCCATATTCAATTTTTTTAACCTGGGTTATGGTTTAATACAGATTCATGAATTGAAAAAAATTTTTTTAAAAAGCTCCTAATGAAAAAAATTTTTTTAGCAATTAAAAAAATTCATCGTAATAAATTCATTAATTTCGTCGTATTACTTTTTTTCAAAAGGAGAGATAGAAAAACTTGAAATAAAAAAAGTGAAGGAGTTATTAAACACCTGTATTTTATTAACTTTTGGTGAAGCACAAAAAAAGGTCGCATTTATAGCATTCCATTCTGGCCAGCTTAATTTGACGAAATTTGTGTAGAATTCAAAAAAAGCTACAATAGTAGACAGTTTAAGGAAGGCACACATGAAAGTGGTTGATTAACAAACGTTAAAAAAAAAATTCGATTTTAAATTTTTTAACGTTTAACATGATATCTTTGTTCTAAATTTCTGTGATTATGTTTAATTTCATCGATTTGTGAATGATGAGACTTCATAAGAAGTTTCCATGTTTCTCTTATAAAGATTTTCCTTCGGTTTCCACTCAACGGAAAGTTACAAACCTCAAGTCAACCTCATCAGTCCATTCTAAAGATTTTTGCTCGTGATCCACCAGTGGCGGGAAAAATTCTGTAAGAACAAAATGCATAGTCTTTTTTATCAATGGCCAGCGATAGCAAACAAAAAAGATACCTCGTGGAGGAGGAGAACGTGGCGTGACAATTCCTGGAGCTCTTTTATCCAAAACGTCGTTTTTTTCCTCTAATAACTGCTTGCAAATGTTGTTCTCATTGTTTCGGAACTCTTCCAGAATCCTGTTAGAGCGAAAAATTTATATACTTCCTCCAGTTTTCTAATACGCCATTAGTTTTCGTTTCGTTTCCAATAGTTGCACGGCTGCGTGATCCTGTGCAATAGCCGTTTTCAGCATTCTTGGTAGATCTCTATCGTCCAGAAAATTCTCCCGTTCCAAAATCTACAAAAAAGGAAACTTTTTTTTCGTTATTGAAACTCTGAAATACTTAGATTATTCAACTTTTCTCTTCAAAAAATCTAAGTCTCTTGAAACTGAAACATTTTTTAATCATTTTGATAAGAATTCATCGGCTATAAATCAAAACTTGGGCCTCTGAAAAAGTCGTACAAGAGTATTTATATTCCCAGTTTTTCATCATCTTTTCCTATGAATCAAAAATGCAATTCAACCTCTATGTAATTTTTTTCGATGAACGAAAAAAAAACCTCGCTGAAGTTAACAGTGTCTTGAATATCATTGATAAGCGTGGCATAGTCCAAATTTTTATTGAACGTCGGCTCGATAGAAGGCACACGTTCTTCTGTTGTCACCTAAAGAGGAAGGAGTGAGAAAAAATAAACACAAAAAACCATTTGTCTATACGAAGGGCCAGAAAAATCGGATCCCGCGAAAAGTCTCGTTCCTTCCCTTACTGGTCGCGCTTTAGGTCTGTAAGGTCTTCTCTTCCCAAAACTTCTTCGAGGTCTCGGTAGCATCTTGTTACTTTTACCTGGAACAGTTTATCCAACAAAAAAAAATAGAAAATCCTGTCACAAAAAGCCAAAAATTTTAGGATAAACTCGAGCAATCTTATGAAAAAAAAGTTTCGGAAAAAATTTAAAAAAAAACAACGGCTTTATACCCTAAGCCGCTTTTTTTTCCAATAATCTAATATACTGTTTGAAAAAAACAAAAAAACAAAGTAAACATTTTTTTGGCAGAACTTGATTTCGTGTATTGTAAAAATTTCCCTTAGGGGTCATTCTAGGCGACCCTTGCATTGCCAGGGAGCGAATGTGTCTTTCAAAGCGCTTAATAAAAAACACCGCGCTCAAATTTTGAATTTCGAAGCTTCGAAGCCGTCGAAAATTTTTGAATCGAAACAAAAAAGCTTGTATATAAAATGTTTCAAGGCGGTCCTCTTCAATCTTAATACCTATTTTCCCTAATTTAAAAAAAGAGAATAATCTGCTCGGGTTAAATAAATATTATGTTCGCCCTCTCAAGCTAGTTCATAATATCGCCGATTAATCAACCAGAGCAATATTTTCAAAAGAAAGATTAAAAAAATATTTCGTAATTTTTTGATTAAAACTAGACCATGTAGTTTTCAAGTTTCCGTTCATAAATTAACAGTATAAAAATAGAATTGAACAAGAAAGGACGTTCTTTACAGATCATAGATTCGACGAAATGAGTTCTGCCAGCATTTCCGAGGAGATTTCGCATACAATGGATGAGGAGTAAGGTGTAAGAATTAAAGATGAGTAAGTCTTCGAAGCGAGCAGAAACAAAGGACGCAGAGAAAAAGCGACTACAAGTTTGAAATGGGCAAAATGTCAACCGCAACCTACATCCCAACTCACTTCATGAAAGGAACACAAGTCAAGACTACCGACGGATTGTTGAAAAAGGTTTGAACAAGTTCAGGAAAAAAAGTGAACAGGTAAAACAAAAATGAAAAAAAAGTGAAAAAAAAAATTCAAAATATCAAAGACAAGTCAAATATTACGGTGATCAGTAAGAGAAAATCGGACATTTTTGAGCGATTCTAGTGATCACCTGAGGGTGTTGACGCTACTGAAATGGTCACTAGAAAAGCCCCGACATGTTCGATTCGGGTCCGGGTCGTGACACAAAAGTCCGAAGAGCAGGCTTGTGCCAGGGCCAGCCCGTCAGCCTATGGGCCATTTTCTGAGCCCGGCCCGGCCTTGATAAGGCTTTAAGCAAATATGACCGGCCCGAAAAGCTCATATTTCCTTCAAGTCGAAGATTACGATTTTTACGAGAAAAATTATGTTTTTGCTCATTTTTATCTCATAGAGTTGATGGAAACTATGATTCAACGAGTAAAATTAATTTAAAAATGAAATGAAACGCAGCATTAGTTGTGTCACTGAGTACAGTTTGCCGGATTTAAAACCTTTACTGATAAATTTTTGCAATAGATCAAGCTCCAATGAGCGAAAATTTCTTATTTTCTTTCAAAAGAAAAAATCGAGATCTTTCAGGTGGAAGAAGTGTGCACGGACGACTTTCTGAAAAGCGCAAGTGAGTCGTCGGAAGTTGCCGTTAACGCAAGTGTCATCCGAGAAGTCCAGAAGTCTCCATGTAATAACTCCGTCATCATAACTTTTCAAGTCGGAGTTCATCTGGAAGTGGTTCGTTCTTGAAAAATACATTCGCGATTTTTCACAAAAAAATTTTTCTGTATATTATTCTTTTGAGTTTTTTTTCCGAATCCTTATCGGAAAATTTCTAGCAGTACCGGAAGAAAATGCTCCATGAACTCCTATGTTTTTTAGATATCGCTGAAAGCCCAGTGTGAACACCCTTTCTACGTGCTGGGCAAGGGTTGGTGTAGCTGCGAGCCTACGAAAACGGCAGAGACCTATGGCCTTGAAACCATGCCTCTGGAGGTAAGATCATTGAAAAATTTAAAGCCTGGAAGTTTAAAAAAATTCTATTGCCTTTTTTTCACCCACTCTATCAAAAAAAAATACTTGTGGACAGATTCTGGTAACCTCCCGATTCGCCTTTTGAAAAATTTCCCCGCGAAAAATACGACTTGTTAGCAAAAAAAATGTAAATTAGAACAAGACGTAGGCAAAAACTTAATTTTTTTTGACTGTTTTCCTATTTTTTTTAACTTTCTTATTGTTATTTTATTCAAATTAGATACTTTTTCCTACAAAAAACGTGTTCATCAGAATTTTATCGACACGACGTTTATTTGGCGACGCCACGCCCATTTTTCCGTAAAGTGGAGTGTGTCGTGTGCATGCACCGCGGCGCTCTCGCGCATGCCAAGTTCAAAATAATTTTCGAGAATATCAAAATCATATCTGAATTTCTGAAGTTCAGCTATATTTTTCACTTTCTGGTGGCTATTTTGAATTTCGCGGAATTACTTTCAAAGCCCAAAACCGAATTAAGTGTATGCACAAGTTCAACCTACAGTATGGCAATGTGATAGAGAACTGCGAGAGGTCGTTGTTTCAAGTCGTATTGGAAGGCTTTCAAAAACTTTTTAAGGTGGGCGACGTCTGCATGGTGCTGACGAAAAAGTCGGCCACTCTGGAAGGCACCGTGAGTCTAGCGCTGGCGCAGCGCCAAATCGAGCTTTCCAGCAAAATGCCGTCAGTTGGGGAGCGATGTCGAGAGGAGGTCAGTTTCAGAACTCAATCAGAGAAGCATCCTCCTGTTCTACAGTCGTCGAATGAGTCGCGCAGGTCCGTTCCGCCTCGGTCCTCTTCTTTTCCACGCTACTCGTCACGAAAGCGAAAGTCACATTCAGGATGATATCACTTTTCTTCCGACAAAATCTTATTCTGTTTATTTGGAAGACAAGAAAAAAAAACTTCAGCACATTTGTATTACAAACTGAGAGGAATGAAGCAAACAAAATGGGAAAAATAACAACAGACAGCTCTTTAAGAACAAAGCATTCAATGTGATTGTGAGAAAAAGCTTATTATTAAATTATGTTGATATATGCTTAAAGCAAGACCGAGAAGTCAACAGTTTTGATAAATAGCTTTGCAGTGTGAGATGATAATGGAATGACGCTCTCTCTTAATATAAAAGTTCCGCACGCATGGGTGAAAAGAATATTGGAGACCGGAGGGATTCGAGAGTCTTAATTAGCGGCGACGGCAGAAGGAGCAGTAGTTTCCAACTGAAATTGATCATGTTTCGGGGCGAACGACGGGGCTTACTTTTATCTCTTCAACGGCGGCTGGTTCCTGGACTTCGGTCGTAGCGACAACTTCTGCTTCCTTGGGCTCCTCGACGACCGGAGGAACGCGAGCACGCTGCAAACCAATCCGTGGCGGGGGAACGAACAGAAAAACGTACGCGGAAGAAGCCGAGAATCGTTTGCAAAATATTGCTCTTGACAATTTGGCTCGCGGCGTTCACAATTGTCTCCACATCAATTCCCTCGGCGGCGAACTTTTCTTGCGTCTGCACGCCGAGTTGCCACAAAGTATTGAACACCGCTTCAAAGCCGCTCTTGCCCTTCTCCAGAAGGTCGCCGCTCGTCAGAACCTGCAAATAATCTCCTTTAATCGAACTAATTTAGGGAATTTGACAGATTGCTAAGAAAAAAAAGCAAAAAAAATACCTTATCATTGTCCATGTTCACGTTCTGCTGAGCCCATGTGGAAAAGCTGTCGATGTTCTTCTTGACGACTTCTTTCTGGGCGACAGCGTCAGCGTTTTCCTCAGCGACTGCCGGCTCGACAGATCCCGGCTGAAACATAATACCGTTCCGCAACAAGGAAAAACGTGTCTAGACTTTATTTTCTGACCTCTGCTCTATGCATAATTAAGTGAAGTCAACACTATAGGCCATACTTAATAATTTTAGAGTGGTCCTTATAGGGATTAGGGCGAAAAACAGCCTCTATAGGGGCCGAAAAAGATGTCTCTACAGGGGTAAAATCAAGGTGATCCCTATAGGGGCTGAGGGGTCCTAAAGCTGCGTAAAAACTGACTTTTTGCGTACGCGAAGCGGCTCTTCGGCGGAAAAACCGAGGTCGAAGACGAGCTACCCTTTTCCCCCTTTTTTTCAAATTTCGTTTGATTTCTTGGAAAAATTTCTATGGAGTCAATTAAATCTTATGAAAAACGTTTTTTAACATTTTTTCTTCTCATGTTCGTTTCATATATTTAAAATTTTTCGCTAAAAGCCCGTTACGAACGCAAAAAATTCATTCGTGCCAATATTTTTTTCGTGGAAAAACTCGTATTGAAATTTAGAGAACTGAGAAGAAAAATTGTCTAAGTTGACATACTTATGATACTAATAAACTCCACGGATTTTTTTCAAGCCTCTTCTAATAATTTTTTTATAAAACAAGACAACTCTGACATGGAGCGCCAAAAGGGCCTAGTTGCGAGAAAAACGACGAAACAGTGTATGTCAGAGAAAAAGTTGTGGCGCTCCATTTCAGAGAATCTTTGAATACTCAGACCTTGGTAACGCAAACGAGACGCGAATCGGACGTGTCGGGGCATTTCTAGTGACCACTTTAGTAGCCTCAGAACTCTTAAGAGATCCCTAGAATCGCCCAGAAACGTGTGGAGCACGTCCGTTTCGCGTTACCAATGTCCGAGTAAACAGTGTTCCCATTATTGCCCATGTTATAGTTTTGGATCCGAAGGAATACTCTGTCCGAAAAGGATCATCATTACAGTGACACACATGTTGCACATAAGTTTTGTCTTGCCTTCCTTCCGCTGACCTTTACCCGTAAACAAATGGGGAATATAAACAATCTTTTGGCTTTTAGGAAGCTGAGTAGCAGATTGTCCATTTCGCATAGTTTATGCAAATCAAAGGCTCGCCCAACCATTCGTCTCCCAAACATATGCTCAAAAAGAGGTCAGTCATCTCTCGGTGGAAAAAAGGCTTCGCTGGCAAAACGCCAATTAGCAAAGCGGGCCGAGATCGGGTGGATGGGGGGCATTTCAAAAGAGGGAGAGAGAGAGAAAGCCACCAGGTAATCATAATTGCCACCTATTATTTGCACGGCGCAGATGTTCCCTTGTGCCAGGCACATCGGCGCGCTGCCGCCAAAACCATAGAGAGAAGTACCGACGGACCTGGAGTTTGTTTGCGAGTTTGGTGAGCAAGTCACCGTCGCGCAGGAACGCGAGGAACTGGTTGCGTGTGACGAAACCGTCCTTGCCGGGAAGTGGCTTCCGGTCGGCTTCGTTTTCGACGGCCACGCGCTGGACCCATTCGAGGAGCAGGTAGTTGACCTGAATGCCTTTCTCAGTATTTCGCGTTTCTTTACTTTCGGCGTCTACCTTGTGAACAGCTTGAGGGGTTTGCTGGGAGATCCAGCCGAGGACGTCTTCCTTGGGATCCTTCGGCTGCTCCGGCTCCTTGGGAATCTGAGCCTCGTCACGGTGCTTTCCCCAGCGTTTGTTGAAAGTGAAGCGACGGGTCACTTTGGGCTTCTCTTTCTCGACAGCAGCCTCGTTCTCAGCAGCAGCGGCGGCAGTGGTCTCCTCGTTGTCTTCTGCTTTGATCTGAAAATCCTCTTCTAAATTGTCTTTTCTCAGAGTCAAAGAAATACCTCGCTTTTGACGATGACCACCTCGTCGATCGGAGGCAGCGTTGTCGGCACCTCGGGCACGACCTCCTTCACTTCGGTGCTCTCTTGTTGTTCAACCACGACAGACATGTTTAGTTAGTTCTTGCGAGCCCCCTGAAAATGGAACTTTTCAATGAGTCACTTAATCTATTCGTGGTCGGGGGTTGCGAAAGTGGTTGCGAAACGAGGGGCGGTGAATAATGGGAGTAAAACATGGGGGCGCATGTGAATTTCGAAGTGAAAAAGAACTGGCTCATCGATGCGCCAAGACGTAGTGACATAAGCAGAACAATGCCTATTCCAAATGGGTTATCGATCGAGGTTGAGGTCGGAAGAAGAAGAAGAAGAAGGCACCCAGCGAGACATTATATGCAAATTAGATTGACATGAGCCCTCGCGAAACGACCTCAGGCAAATGGTTACCTCATTGATGGGCGTTCCCCGACCTACATGTCTTGAATGGGCCAAGTGGCGACTTGTCACCTAATCTCCATCGCATCTCAGCAGGTGTTCTTGTCCACTACTGTCTATGAGCAAAGACCGAAAAATCGCTTTTAGGAAATGAATTTGGGGCTGACAATCCCTATGAGAAGAGTTGAAAGCTTTCTTTTTAAAGTTCTCTTGTTTTAAGATGTGGAAACTTTTAACATGTGGCCTTTTCTGGAAAGGGATTTAGAAACGGCGCTAGGAAGTCTTACGGATGCTTCGAAACTTTAAAGTTTTCAAAGGCTTTTTTCGAGAGAATCATTTTAGAAGTAGAGGAGAGACGAAGGGTCAATATCAAAGTTTATCTGCCACATAAAGAGAAAAGAAAACTCAGAGAACATTTTAAAAAGGTGAAATTACTTCCAAGACCTTTCGAGAGGTTTCTTTGCCGTTTGGAAAATGAGAGACGGCGAATGCATGTACTCCCACCCCGTGTGATTTGTAGCCCTATTTCAAAAAGGCCAGAAGCAACCTCATGCATACGGAAGCGTTCTTATTAATCTCCAACCGCACAGAAAGAGAACAACCGAGGCGAGGAACTCTACAGGAAATTCGAAAAAAAAAAAGAAAATGAAGAGTGCAGAGTGCAGAGAGAGAAAAACGACCGTGGCGGCTAGCTTCTTCCAATTCTAATTAAATAGGGGCGGACAGAAGAGCTTCGGAGGCCATCGAGAGAATGACAAAGAGAAAATAGTGGAGAATTGGCTGGAAAACACGCAATTGGCGCTGAGGGCGGAATGGGACGCGCTGTAGGGGACCAGCCAGTAAAATGGAATGTCAATGAGAGCGAGGTAGCAATAAGGCTCTGTGGTAGGATGAATGTGCGGAATGACCTCTACACATCATAAGAGGGGTCAAGACAGCGCGCGGAGAACCGTGGCGAGCAGTGGAGACGCAGGCGGCTCGAGGAGGGGTGGAACTGCGTCCCGCCTATACGAAACCGAGGCCGTATCCAACGAACATCTACTGGTAATCATGACTCATTTCTCGCTAAAAGTGAAAAACAAGCAAAGCAAACACTCGAATAATTATCTTATTATGTTTCGAAAACGATCTCTTTAAACAGATCGTTCGGAATCTCGATTTTTCTTTTTGAATATAATATTTATAAAGTAAATCAACCATTAGAACTTGAAAACTCTTCTCCACTCAAAAAAAAAAACGTTGTTGTAAACCGCGTTGAATGATAAAGTGGAACTACTATATAAAATTGTAATGAATTCCGGTCTGTTTGGAAATAAATCGAAATATTAAAAAAAGTATACGCAACCGAGGCCGTATCCAACGAACATCTACTGGTAATCATGACTCATTTCTCGCTAAAAGTGAAGAACGAGCAAAGAAAACATCCAAAGAAGTCTCGAAAATGGCAATTTCTCACCTTTTTGAAGAGATCGTTCCGAGAGATTTTCATTTTGAACATAATATAAAGTGAAATAATGAAATGGTCCAATTCTTAGAACTTAAAAAATCTTCTTTATATTTAAAAAAAAGGTATTGTAAATTACGTCGAATGATAAAGTGGAACTATTATATAAAAATTGTAATGAATTTCAGCCAGTTTAAAGTAAATCGAAAGATTAAAAAAATATATGAAAAACCCAAAAAGAATCATTTCAATGAAAGCTTGAAGAATCATATCTCACAAACTCTTTTTCATCATTGGGAATCTTCATCAAGACTTTCAGAGGGTTCAGAAAAAATAAAGAATTTTCAAGGCTTCATGCCAAAATCTTTCCTTTTAAGCAAGAATGCAAGCAAAATATTATTCGTCACTATATTAAGAACAACTTGTTGATGTTAAAAAAATATTGAGAAACCATTTCCTGACCGATTTCATTTATTTATTTTTTCAATTCAATGCGTTATTTATTCGTAACTTCATTCATATAAAGGTTTTTTTTTCCTTTCAAGCCATTTTTTTTAAGTAAAAACTTTCTTTTCCCAATCTTAAACATTTTCAAAAGAGAAATAAATCGGAAACCGGAGGGTGTCTGTACACCCAGAAATAAACTCTTTCGAGAAAATCGTCGTTTTTCTTCGCGTGGCATTTTTCTCCCATGACAACGACGATTACGCTATAATTGTGGTGATACTGTAAAAACAAAAAACAAGAAAAAAAAATTGCAGCCCCGCGATCTGCAAAGGTCTTTCCCTGAAAAGATCTTATCGCCTCTGGGTGACTCAGCAGCGACAAATTGCCCTGGTTCACCAACCAAATTTTGAAGAAACGATGAGCCAAGCCTTTTTAATGAAAAAGTGGCTAAACTTGAACTCTTGTTTCAAAAGTGCTTAAATCTTCGAAGCTACACCTATAGAGCTGAATTTCTGATCGTAAACAAAAAAAAAAAATGAAAACTTCTAAACATCATAGCTAGAATATAACAGCTGATGACTCAAATTCGTGGGAAATGCGAAATGACAAACTTGAAAATGATCATTCTTAATCCATTTAAAACATTTCCACATTGTTTGCTTCTCGTGTGTTCTTCGCAATCGTCAACATTTTTTTCCCAGTTTCTACGGTTTCGCGAAAAAAAAAAAAGAAAACAAATTTTTTTCACTACTGATCTTTCCATCATATAGTAAAAATTTACGGAATATTTTTGTAACTACTTAAGCAGTTACAAGAAATGTTCCTTTGAAGATGACAAAGGCTTCTTTTTTGCTGCCTTTTTGCGCCATTTCATCCGCTATTTTGCACCAGTTTTGCTGTCTCTCCCTTTTTTCACCATTTCTAGAGCCTTAATATTCTGGAGGGCTCGATAAAGGGACTCTTTTTGGTGCCTTTTTCGAGCCTCTCCCTTTTAGCGGCTATTATCCACCATTCCCACTTGGTAAGTTAATTTTGTGATTTTTTTTCCACTGTCGCTATTTCCCCTATCCAATTTGCCCACGCCGAACCATAGCAATTCACAAATAAAACTTCTTCTTCTTTAGTCTCTTTCTTATTGGGCTTTCTTTGCTTTCCAATATCCATGTCTCATTGTAGTCGATTTATTAAAGCAATACTCGGAACTGTAGTAAATTGAAGGAACATAACAAATAGAGTCGCATTTTAAATGCCGCATAAATACACGTCGAGATGAAAAAGGTATCCATACCAATATTGAGCAAATATAACATCTGGGACCAGCCATTTCGTTTAGGTTTTTTTGCTCTGGAAAATAATTTAAAGCTCTGAATGTCTGAAGAGATGAGCTCACCTTAGACGTGCGATGTTTCTCGATGACGGTCGTTATAGCTTCTTCTTTTTCTTTTTGTAGCTGCTCAACTTTTTCCCGATGTTTGCGTTCCATGCTACTTGCGGCAGCTTTCATCGATGCGATCTTAAAAAATGAAAAATTATCATTTTTCAATCTCGGGCAAAGTCAGAATGGTGGATAAGGGCCGCTAAAAGGGAGAGACTCAAAAAGGGTTGCAGAAAAGCAGAAAAAAGGCCGCGAAAAAGGTGCCTTTGTCTCCCTAAATGAAAATTTCTATGGAGCCTTTTTCCACCCTTTTTCATCCATATTTTTGCCTACTCGGGCAAAGTTGGAACGGTGGATAATGGCCGCTGAAAGGGTTCAAAAAAGGTCGCAGAAAGGCAGCAAAAAGAGTCCCTTTATCGAGCCTTCAAATTTTTTGAGATTTAAAAGGCTCAAGGGATGGTGGAAAAGGAGAGAGGCAGCAAACATGGTTCATAGAAGCCGAAGAAGAAATGGCGCAAAAAGGCAGCAAAAAAGAACCTTTGTCATCCTAAAAAAGAACAACTTACAGTTTTATCTCTTTGTAGGATCATTTCTTCTTTTTCTTTTATAGTCGAAGAGAGACGTGCGATCTTGTCCCGGAGTTGTTGCAAATGCATCAGATCGGTCTGCGCGAGGGCGTTCTCCGCACGGCCCATCTTCGCTGCGGATTCGTCGGACTGCTCGATTTCTCTCATCAAAAACTTTCCGGTGAGGATACACCTACCGATTTTTCATGCCGTTTCCTCTTTCCCGACGTTTTCGTGCTGCTTGAGTGCTTTTCGAGAGGCGGTACTGTAACTCCAGCGAGTGTTGACTGCTTCATCGACCGGGCCTGCATGATGCACATGCGACATAAAGTGGGTCCTGCCTGAAAAATGGATAAATTCGAACTTTACGAGGAAGGTCATTTTATTTTTCAGATTTCCTTGAAAATTGGGCAGAATACTCCTTGGTGTATAGCTGATTCACGGTTGGCTTTAACCATCTTGAAAAGGGTCCTGACACGAAAAGAGAAGAGACAGTGCCTGGTTGGTGGAGAGTGCAGACAGACTACGCCTTTTTACGTCCCAAGCTAGCCGTGAATCGTCTAAACCAAAAAAAGATTCTGGATGCCTCAACCTGCATAACTTCCTAGTTTTCGAGAAAGAACACCCCCAAAATCCTTTAAAATGCGCCGTTTTTGGGCTTTGAGCCCTTATTTCTCGAAAACTAGACACTTGTGCAGGTTGAGACTTTCCGAATCTTTCTCTGTGACACCAAGGAGCGTTCTGGCAAATTTTGAAGAGAGTCCGCAAATCAACAAGGCCTCCCTTGTTAAGTAAAATGAAGATGGGAAAAAAATTTTTCCAGAACTAAGGTTTTTTTTGAGTCAAGGTTTTACTTTGAAATAAAAAGTCATAGAGGCATTAACTTTTTCAAACGATGAAAATGTATAAATAACATATAGATTAAGCATTCTTTTTTTGATAAAAATAATGATCAAAAAAAGTGAAGCGACCCACTTTGGATAAAACTTTGCTCGAGAAACAAGAAATGATTCATTTTTTCCCCTTGATTTTCCCCATTTACTTCCCTTCCTAATTTTCGGACTTTCTTAAAGTTAAGATATATACTCAGTTAACCACTTGCTTGGAAGGAAAAAGACAGAAGTCTAAACAGCTTATTTTCACATTTCATGAACTATTTCAAGACCTCCAGTACATATTTTTCCCAACCTGCTTTGAATAAAGTGGAAAAAAAAAACAAATATTCAGAAACTTCTGTATAAAAGAAAGCTCAAAGTAATAAACTGTCCAAGTTTTCCTTGAATTTTCAATATTTTGGTGAGATTTAAATCGAATCTAACATGAAGCATACATCAATGAAACAATTTAACCTCTTAAAAAACCCCAGAAATCATCTCATAGAGCTCTATTTCTTTGAAGATTTAGAAATTTTTCAAGAAAGTTTGGGTAAAAGTTTTATTTTATAGCATTGGGAAAGAAGTTTGCAGAATTTGAATAATTTGAAAAGACGGTTACTAAGCCACAGAAAATTTTCGACTCTCCTTGGATTTTTTAAGATTTTCGCTTCAGTTAAATTTTAATTAGATGTATAAACTAAGAAAGAAACTGAAAAGATGAACGAAAATAAAAAACGAACAGCTCTGGGATGCTTCTGGAAGGCGCTGTTTAGTTTGCAGTTTGCACATGACACAGGAGGGCCGAACTTCCGTTCCGAATGTGAACAGTAGACACACTTCTGTTCGTGAAACGCGGCATTCAGTTGGCAGAACTTGCATGTCGTCGGCTGAAAGAAGTTTCGAAAATTTTCAACTGAAAATAATGATTCAAATCGTACCTTCCCGTATTTCTGCTCGTTTTTTTGACACTTTGCACATTGCGGTGCGCTTAAAAATTTGTTTCTTAAAGTTATATGAAAGCCTAATAAATACCTGCTGGATTCTGGAAGGTCAACGCGACAATTGCAGCACTTTTTCACCAATCCTGACATGATTGGAACCGGCTTAGAACACACAAGGATCCCGACGGCTTAAAAATTAAAATAGAACACATTTCGAGTAGGCGTTGGTATATACGAACAAAATGAAGGTGATATTTTCCATATTATAAACAATTCAGACTGTTTAGAACTAAATATTCAAAAGATAGCAATAAAGTTTTGTTGAAGATAACTTGTTTCGTAATATGATTCGCATAAACGTGAACAGCCATTTAATACCTTTCTTATAGATGCGAATCGAGCAAAGCGTTCAAAAAAGGAAATATGGGAAAGGATTTAGAATAGTGAAGAAGAAAACAAAATATGAGAGCACAAAAAACTGGAGCGAGTGCGCGCGCTCGCCATATCTGACTGAGCAGTGGATGCAGGACGTTCCCGCAATTAGCGCATCGTTCTCACCTGCCAAGTTGTATCCCAGATATCGCCAAAATTTTGATGATGTGTAAATTTGATGTGTAAATTTTTGGCGATACCCAACTATAAAGCCACAGTAATATTTGAAAGTTCCTTTGTAATACCGGTTTTTTGTTTGATTCAGATTCCGCGCAATGCTACTTGAATGCGATTTTGTAAGTTCGATAGCCAATTCTGAATCGTCGTTGCTCAATTTCCTAGAAGAAAAGCTTAAAATTTCAAAATTCTGAAAGCGAATCTTTTTCAATATGCGACCGAGTGTTCGAAATTTGAATGCCTATTTTGTTAATGAACCTTTAAAAACAAATCTTCTACTCTTTTTGAATAAGTCACGGAAACTGTTCATGTAGCTTCTCTTTGAATTCTGAATCAGAGATGCAAAGATTCCCATAAAAACCGTGTACTCCATAAACTGTTGAAGTAGTTTCTCATGTGTGGATAATGAAGCATAAAAGATTTTTTTTTTTAAATTTATATTTTGAAGAATATTATTTTCGTTGTTTACTACAAGACTCAAAAAAATTGAAACACAATAAAGAAATTTATAGGGTATCAAGCCTGCCAGGAAATCTTTACGGGAAGTGCCTTTTATATATTTCGAATTTTTTCTTCACAACACTCGCCCCGAAAATGGAGGTTTCAAAAATCGACTACATTTCCTTCTCAAAGTCAGGAAGTTTCAGTCTGTCTCCAAACTCGCTATACTAGTCTTCGTGATATTTTCCTACTTCGTGGTCACCTCAGGTGTTATATACGACATAATTAACGAACCTCCTAGCATAGGTAGTTGCCAATTTCTTCCCCTGGTCATCTGATCATTCAGGGTCGTCGTACGATGAAAAAGGTAACCAGAAGCCCGCTGCGATTCTCGTCGGACGTGTCAACGGACAGTATATTATGGAAGGACTCGCTGCTGCTTTCATGTTCATCCTGGGAGGTGATGTTTTTTTTTAGACATAATCGAATAAATAGTATGAATCTGAATAAAAAATAATTCAGGAGCTGGGCTGATCGCCTTGGAGAACTGCAATGACGCCAGCATCTCGAAGACTCGCCGAGTTTCCCTGATTGCTTTCGGATTCTCTTCAGTTCTCATCGCCTTTTTCGCCACGAGGATGTTCATGTCAATCAAGATACCGGGATACACTTCTTGAAAATTAATCTATTAATGTATTTTTCAAGATTTTGTTGGCTTTATGAAAAAAGTACGAAGTTCATTTCTAACGGTATCAAGACTCTGGGAAATAAAAAATTACACTCAATACACAAATTTGATTAACATAAAAAAAGAGATTGCTGAAAAAATCAAATTCCGAAGGCAGACGTTCGAGAAGTTTTGATATTTTTTCGTTTTTTTTCGGTTTTTATAGCCCGACTTGAAAGTTTTCGCGTGTCTGCGTCTCTCTGTTCCCTCACCGCGAGGTCATAGAAATATGGAAATAGCATGTAAAAATGAGAGAGACTTCGAGAGATTAGGAGGGCGCAGAGAAGTCCCGCCCTTTCAAGTCACGAAAAACGGACTCGAAGATTCAACTTTTGTTGAAACATCTTATGGAATTTAACGGAAAACGGAAAAAAAGCAGAGAAGAAAACTGGCTAACCCCACACTGGATAGTTCGCTTTTTTCCCCGAGCGCGAAGATAAAAGCTGCTGATCGCTTCCAGAGGTCCTTGGATTCTTGTCGCAGATTTTTCGAGCTCGAGGATGTGGGCGACCGGAGTCGTGTCCACGTTGGCGCTTCTATGTTGCGCCGGTACTGTTTTCTGGACGCTGAACTTGCTGCAGGAGATGGAGGAGTTCCAGAGCAACATGAAGTTGGAGCTTCAAAACTGGAAGGTTTCCTTTACTTCCAAGACGTCTTGTAACTGTTATTCCAGGAGATTAGCGACGATACTTGGGGTCAGATGAACGCTATTGAGAAAAGACCTACCAAACTCTGGGGAACTTTCCTGCGGAAAATGAAAAAGCGGTCTCCAGATCAATGCGGTTAGTTGTAGCCTTTATATGTTAACAACTCTCATTAACGAATTATTCTTTCAGATTGTGCTCCTCCAGTCAAGACTTGCCCACAAGGACCCCCAGGAAATAAGGGAGAAAGCGGACGACCTGGACTTCCAGGCCCTGATGGTCTGAATGGTGAGCCTGGACTGCCCGGAGAAGTCGTTCCGTGAGTTGAATCCGCAAAAAATCAAAACTTTCCACGTTTTCAGACTGAATATCGAAAAACCGGACGGATGCATCAAATGTCCGGCAGGCCCAAGAGGACCAGCCGGACCTCCTGGAGATCTTGGACCGGCTGGCAATCCTGGAGGCCCTGGCCATCGTGGTCCAGCAGGAGATCAAGGAGAGCCTGGAACTGCTGGAGAAATCGGAGATCAAGGACCGAAGGGAGAAAATGGAAAGCCTGGTCCGCGTGGATCTCCAGGAGAGCCAGGAACCGTGGCGAGACCTGGACTTCCAGGAAGACGAGGCTCTCCCGGACCGACTGGACTTGTCGGAGCTCAAGGTGAAGCCGGAAAGAACGGTGACGATGGCAAGGACGGTGCTCCTGGACACAAAGGAGAAGACGGACGACCTGGCAGACGCGGAAAGGACGGCGTTCCTGGCGCGCCCGGCAACCACGGAAAACAAGGCCCTGATGCCGAATATTGTCCTTGTCCAGAAAGAACTGTTTGAAGAATTCAACGTGATTCGAAATAAAGATCTTTTTTTGCATCTTCATTTCTATAAAATTTATGAGCGGAACCTGTTTGTAGTGAGACTTTTGTGTGTTGCGACTTTCTGTTATAAAAATGATTTGAAGCGGTTTCATCGAGGAATCAAAATCGGTACTGTGGATCGTTTTGATATTTTCGTGTTGTGCCGTGATAATCTTCCAGCTCGAAATATTATTGAATCGAAAAAGAGGTAATCTTTGATCATTATGAAAGCTTAATTCCAAACATTTTTAAGACGAAAAGCGTGAATGAAGTCGACTTTCCACGATATTTATTTCATCATAAAATCCGTGTTATCCCATTAAAAGTATGTAAGCGAAAGTGTTGTGGTCACAGGTCAGAACCGTAACAATGAGCAAAAGTGAGGAATGACGTCATCGCGAAGTGAAAAGCTGTCGGATGAGAAGGTCGGCCGGTGGCGGTGGGTCGACGACGCAGCAGCGCGGAAGCGGCCGCAGTCCTCTCGATTTGAGTTTTTTCGCAGCTGCGAGTTCTTCGCTCGCCTCCGCAACCACTAGCGTATACCTTAACATTACTGCTGCTTAAAAGCAAATTTTCAACTTCGGCAGGTTCTCAGAAAGAAAAATATGAGCTGTCTGGGCTAAATAAAAAAAAAATTTGAAAGTTATCCTTTCATAAACGAACAATCCTAGAAGTATCTTGGACATTGCTACGTTTTTTTTTCGTTTTACATAGGCTAAGTCGGAAACGGTCCAAAAAGGCTCCATAGAAAATTTCCTTTTTTGCCGCCTTTTTGCGCCATTTGATCGGCTTTTATGCACCATTTTTGCAGCCAAGGCTCGATAAAAGGACTCATTTTGCTGCCTTTCTGAGGCCGTTTTTTTGAGCCTTCTCCTTTCAGCGGCCATTATCCACCCTTCCGACTTCGCCGGAGTATGAAAATTCTCAAGCTTAAATGCTCCAAACCGAGAAAAAATTTCCATCGATGAATTTTAGGTTTCCTTGGGAGTTTGAAAAAGTAAGTTTTGCTAAACTTGAAACAGCCCTGCCACATTTTAGATCCTACTGTCAAAAAAAGACGGTTTCTTTTCTGTTGCTGAAAATGATCATTGGCTTTTTCTATCAATCACTTCTTCTTTCATGAGAAAAAAGTTCTCAAAAATGTGAAATTTATAGCCAACCCCTGGTGTTTGGTGTTTTCCGAGGCGACGGTGGCAATCCGTCGGAATTGAATCGTTTGGCGCATTATTCTGTCGCTGTCCGACATCAGTCTCTTGTCGATCAACTCTTGGTTATCTAAACATCGTTTTCTGTTTGATAATGATTTTCTATCAAACCTTTTGTCACTGCACCACGGAGCAACAAGTCGATTCTGTTGTCGACGTTGTTCTTCTTTGAAAATTTTGCCATTTTACCTCAATTATACTTTTTTTTTGTCCTCTATCTCATTCAATCTATAGTCAATAATTCCCGACTTGAAAGGCGAGGAATGCGGTGAAGTGGGCGGGACGCGTAGCGTGTGCGTACGCGGTTCTTGGCACGAGTTCAATTCCAGCGCCACCGACTTCAAAAAGTTTGTTCTATGCTTTTTTGTACCTATTATACTATTTTTCAATGCGCAACAAAAAAAAAATCTATAACGAATTGAAAAATAAATGAAAAGAGCGATAAACGAGCTCTCCAAATAGTCGCTGGCGGTTGGATTGGACTCGTGCCAAAAAAACCGCGTACGCACACGCTACGCGTCCCGCCCGATTCTCCACCTCCCTCGCCTTTCAAGTCAGGATGGATGGACTATAGCGCTGGCATCAGTAAGAGAAATTTTCAAACTCCTCGAAAAGCATGTATGAAAATACGGAACCTGCTCGCCAAAACCACTTTTTTGAAATTAGCGAAATAAGAAAAAAAAAAATGGCGTTTTTTGAAAATTAAAGTTTTGTTTAAACACGGGTTTTCCCTCAGAACCAAAATCGAATTTAAAAAATAGCTCAACAAAGTATTCAAGTATTTCTGAGAAAGAACGGTTGATAAAAAAGAAACAGAAAACTATAATAATGAAATATTTATCAAGTTCAGTTATGGAACAGTTTGAGAAGTTTGCTTCCAGTCTTGAGTTTACTTAGAGATGGCGTCTTTTGGAGCTGGACCAGTGGCTTAGAGGCTTTCGCCCTGACTTGACTCGAGCGGCTCGACGATCGGAGGGACGAAAATGCGCCTTTGCCTGCGAATTGGTGGGTCCATTATTGTCGAAATCGCGAAACTCACGAGGAGTGACGATTTCTGAATCCGAAGAACAAAGACGAGGAGAAGGACTGCGAGCTCCCGAAAGGTAGTTCTGTAAAGGTTCTGGGATTGAGATTGAGAATCCGGGAATAAATTAGCGAGACTGAATGGAGTTTTAATTTGAAACTTCTCTAAAAAAAAAGTTGAGGTGCCCCGCGTTGAACTCTCGGTGCACTCCGCAGTGTAACCGGGGGGTACCCCTTTAAATGCCTATTAAGTTACTTACTCCGTACACGATTTCAAAGTGGTTTGTTTCCCAATATCACCATTTCTACAGTTTCATCCTAGGCGGTTACGGTAGCTCGAAAAATTTTTATTTTCGACCGGTTGCCCCAGGGGTGCACGCCCTCCAGGTCCAACGCAGGGTGCACCGAAAACATCAACGAAAAGTTCACTTTTTTCTGGGTTACACCCTCATTTTTGTTAGAGTTATTTTTCATAATTTTTGTCGTTCTCCTCTTGAGAGTAAGTCCAAGATTTTTGGGAAGACTGACTCACCTGAATAGTGTTGTGGAGTATTTTCGTGAATTGTCGCAAGTCGCTGGCGGCCGAGCACTCGGCAAAGTAGGCCTTGTGCTGTGCGGCGAGCCTTTCTCCCTCGGACTCCGATACTTGTCTTCAATCATCAGTTCAATCTACTATATTCCGCTCATACGTCGGCTGGATCCCACCTCGGGGTGCGGCCTACCCCCCTCAAGCTGCGGCTTACCCCACGAAAAATGCCTACTTCAGTAAATTTTCAAATTTTTGTTTCGCGCGCAAAAGGCTGGGGTGGGATCCAGCCGGTGTATGATCCCGCTGATTATAGTGACACGGATTAAGCAAATCTCCCGAAAAACCCACCGATACCGTTCCAAATCGCTTTTGTTGCCTATAAGGAGAGGTTGGTGTTCGCGGGCACATAGGACGTGTTCATGGCGGGCGATTCTCTCGAGGAGTCCTTCCGCATATCTGCAACCTCTCTTCGTCGCTTTAGTCTTCCACGAGCTCTCACTGGAAGCTCAGCTGGCTCGTGACGTCATAAACGACGATGTAGACGTCAGCCCACGCGATCCAGCGCATTTCGTCTCTCGAAGCGTTTTCTACCGTATCCATCAGCCACACCATGACACATTGTCCTCCGACAGTTTCTTCACGGCAATACGTGTCTTCTGAAATCAGAGAAAAGATAGAGTTCAAGGACAGTTGGTAAAGCTTCAGACACTGCCAAAGTTGAAAGTGCGGAAAAAGTGCAAAAAAAGAGTGACTCCCAAATATCCGCAAAAAGGGCTCCGTTTTGCGGCCTTTATTGAGCCCTTCTTTCTTGGTGGGCTGAAAAGCCTCAAAAAAGGATGAAATAAGGGAGAGGCCGCAAAAAGGGTGACGAAAGTCTCAAAAACTGATGATTTCCGATTGTATTACTGTAGCAAATTTTCAAACAGTCACTGGCAAAGATTATTCTCAATTAAAAAATATTGTGTTCCTCAAAAGGGATCAAAAAGGGTGGATAAAGGCTGATCAAAGGGCGGAAAAAGGCAGTAAAAAGGAAACCGTTGCCACCCGTTTAGGAACAATTTATGGAAGTAAGAATAAGAGCCAACTTTTCAAATTTTTTTCAGGACTTACAAGAAAACTTTCAGGATCAAATATTGACCTTTATGGTGAGAAGTTCCATAAATATGTGAACATGTTTACAAAAATAAAACCTCTAAATAACTTGAAAGCTCAATTATAGCACTTCTAGGTTTTAGTTAGTTTTTTTTTTGGAAACTTAAAATTTTGGAATCATTTTGCCAGAATGAAAAAAGCAGACAAGAACCAATCCATGATAAAAATTTACATCTTTTGTATTTTTCCTGTGATTACTGTAATAAATCAATAAAAATGATTTTGCCAAACCCCGCTCAACACTTTTGTTAATCGAGAAGAGGGTCATTTTACCTTATAGTTGTGAATTTCCTGAAAATCGGAGCACTCCTCAGAATACTGAAAAAAAGATTCTAAAAGCCTCAAGCTGCACGACTCCCTAGTTTTTGAGAAAGGATTGCTCAAAGTTAAAGAAAACCTCGAAAAGGCCACTTTTAGAGCTTCGGAGCCTTATTTCTAGAAATCTAGGATGTTTGGGACTTTCAAGACTTTGGTTTCGTATTCCAAGGGTCCTTTTGACAAATTTCAATTCCCGTAAAATAACCTCCCTTGTGAGGATTCTCACCTAAAGTCGAATCGTATTCTCCAATGAACCTTTTCGTAATGTACTTGACAGCGATTGCTGAAATCATGGCATTTGGAGGGGGGAATCCACGAAATCGCACCTGACTTTCCCGAGCCAGACATGCCCACGAGAGCCACATGTAACTCCCGTAAAGGTGCATTGTTCCGCATTGTTCAAACGACACAATCTGTAAGTCGAAACGTTTATTGACAGCCCCGTATCAAAATTACACAGTTATTAAGTGAAGATGGTTAGATATGGAAGAGATCGAATTCAATAAGGTGTTAAAAGTCGTCGGAGGGCTCTTGCGGCAATTCGTCGTCCTGAAGTTTTTTTCATTGATAAAAAATGAGAGATCTTGGCAGCGTTCAAAGTGTTTCCGCGAAATCCAAAATAGCCGTCAGAGTAAGAAAAAGATAACTAAATTCTGGAGAGTCAAAGATATTAGTGAATTTCGCGGAAATCACTTTGAACACAGCTTAAAGATAGATGTAAAAAACGAACCGAACGAGGCATATACACAAAAATTTTGTTCTCAGGCTTCGACCTTTCGACACCGATGAAAAGCGGATCCGTTGGATGGTATAGGAGACAGATCGAAAAATGAAAAATGGGAAAAAGGCAACTTAGCAAGTTTACCTGTTTTCCGGAGCTTCTGGAAGGCAGTTGGAACGAGAAGAGCAAACGGCCCGTTCTGCGGCTGAAATACCTGAAGGCAGGCATCGATCCGCGGTGATTACAACAGCGCAACTGACTGGACGGGGTTCGCCGGCAGTTGGTTGCCTCCCGGCGCGTCGAGTCGCACTTGCACGCGACCGCCAAGTACGCTCCGGAAGAAGGACTCGTCGATGGAGAACAGGTAAGGGTCCAGAAACGGCGAAGCGACTGAGACCTGGAATCTTTTCCCTTCAAAAACATTCTGGTTACAGGAAAGTTCACAGATCTAGAGCTCAATATCATTAAAAATAACACTAGTCCGGAAAAGCAAGATAGGAGGCGGTGCCATACATAAGCTAACAGGGTACATTCGTACCCCTATTTATTCAGAAGGCTTCTTATGTAGCTTAAAATGAACTCAACTCATAATGTGAATTAACATTGAAATCAGATCGATTAACGCTTTTGGGGGGATACGGGGGCAAGCCGTAAAGTGATAGCTTTCAGTGGACTGACACGTAGCTACTTCCTGTAGCTCGCGAAAAAAATATCAGTCCCAATCAAATTTTAACGCAACTCTAAAAGTCACTTCACATGGAAATATTTCTGCGATGTTTTTTCATGGGGTGTTCGTGATGACGTCCCAAAAATTTGTTAGTTAGCTTATTTATGAGCGGTACATTGACAAAATCGCAAATGAACCGCTTCGACGCCGCGCCAGACGCATTTCCTTCGCACAGCACTCAAAAAAAAACATAAACTTGCAAAAATGCGATATCGCGGTTAACCAAAAGAAAAGATCAAAGCAAAACCGCCAGCGTGTTCTCTTTTCTCTAGATATTTTGAACTTTTTCACCTTTTTTCAGAACTTTGTACTTTAACAACTTTTTTTCACAACCCTTCGTTCAATGCAAAAAAATTTCAAATCTTCAAAAAAATACATGGAATATGATTGGTTTCTGCTCACTAAATATCAGAGATGCCCCAGCAGATAATCTTTCAATTTTTGAATTTCTAGTGGTTCAACGTTTCGTGAATACAACCAAGAGCAACTCGTCAAGGGACAGAAAATACTTTTCGAAAAACGCTTCAAAATCAAAAAATATCATTTCACCCCAATTTAACATCAGAATCAGAGGATATCACAAATAAAATTCCGACTCTGTAAGAAATAATCGAAACATTTGCTCGATAGGCTTCTTCAACCTTAACTTTGAGAGGAAACTCGTGAAAAGTACCTGTGTACAATAAAGAGGCAGAGGATTGAGCAATCGACGGCAAACTTCGCCCGAGACAACTTCTGAACAATCAAAAATTCATTGGGATTTATTTAGGAGATTTTCGAACCTGACTTGCTTTCTTTGGATTTACTCCGTTGATAATTGAGATGGGCGAAATAATTATGGCGGAAAGTGAGCGGCGCGTCAGTGAAATAGGTCTGCGACGGATGGACCATTTCGTCGATGGCGCCCTCGAAGAAGAGCAGAAGCCGTGCGTCGTACTGCAAGAAAGCGTTGCGCGACTGGCAGCGGAGGTGCAGAGACCTCCTCGAAGACGTCGATGATTTCGACGGTCCTCCAGTCGAAGAGAACGAAGAAGCAAGGCTGGGAGGAGTAGTCCACGTGTCCGTTGGGAGGCTCTCAACTCGATCATTTTATTTTTGCAATACCGGGATGCTATGGCGATGTTGCAAGAGGAAGGGGGGGGGGGGGTAAATTTCGAGAAAAAGAAAGCTAGTCTCATCAAAATGGACAACTCACTTGTTGCCATTCGAAGGAAAACATATCTTCCGCCGAGCAGTTGGGCACGCATCATACGCAGATTTTGCCTGTAATAATCATCACATTTTTCCTTTCTAACTTTCAGAGGTAGATGATTAGGAAGGCAGCCCTTGGCTTGGCGGCCAAGGCGGTTGTTCGTTATGGCTTCAAAAATTCTTGGTCCGGACTCTAACACTACTTTCACTACATTCTGAGCTCGTCAAGGCGCAACTGAATAAAATACGCGCAGAAGAACGGGGCGAAGGACCGTAAGACCATGATTTCAACTTTATCAACTACACGCTTTGACTTCCAGTTCGCCAAAGGCGGTTCTTTATAGCTTTGAAAGTTCTTGTTCACCGCCTAGCCGAATACATCTGGCAAACACAACGAAATAAACTATTTGACTTCATTTGAATAGTTGAGACTGCATTATATGTTTTACTTTATTCGATTACTCAAGTTTTTAATCGATAATGATCCCCCCCTGAAAAAAAGCAGATACTATCGCAATTTTCGAGCCTTCTAATTAACCTTTGTTTGTCTCAAATCAGTGCGAAACCAAAAAAAAACCCTTGCAAACCTGTAAATCATGCGCTGATGGAACTTGACCAAATCGCCCTGTTCCTTAGCCCTTTTGTACAAAAAAGTAGTGAGCCTTTGTTTGAAGCCGGTGTAGAACAAGGTACCAACATAAGTACCAGGGTCATGAGGCCTAAGAATCGTGAGATTGACTGAGAAGAGGAAGAAGAGACCCTACCATAGAAACAAACTATCGTCTTCGTGTATACTTGCACCGATTTCCCGCTCGACGAAAAGATCGCCCGCCTGAGAGAGCGAAAATACGGTCAGAACCTAGAAAAAACGCTTATGGAGTTTCCAAATGCGACAATTCTCATTATACTGAATATATTTTTCACGTTCATCGGTCAGTTTCTTAGTCTTTCTCAGCGTCTTGGTATGTCAAAATTTTTGAGTCTATTTTAATCATATGAAATATTCCGATTTTTTTCTATTTTATGTTATTCAAGAACCTGGTGATGCTGCGAAAGAATGAGAAGAGTCCGATCGTTCAGCGAAACTCCGCTCACCAACGAAATTTTGTCGGCGTTGAACCGGTGTTCGCCACAAACTTTACCCTCCTGAGAAACGAAGATGAGAAAAGTAGGAAAGAAAGGAAACCTCGATGTCAATAACATGGAAATAGTACATGTCTAGAGCGATATTGATCGGGAACGACTCGTTGCTCCGATAGGCGTGGTGGAAAGCGACAGGCTCGGTAGCCTCAAAGGGAAGTGGTTTTTTCGAAGGTTTACTCAAATATTCGAAACATGAGCTCTCATACTGATGAGGGTTGCCTAGCCGTGCTAAGGCGGGGTCTCATCGGGCGCGCCCGTATTAAACCCGTTTACATAGGCAAAGTCGGAGAGGGCGGGAAAGGGCTCCATAAAAATGTTCCTTTTAGGGTTTCTTGTGCCATTTCATCGGCTCTTATGAACCATTTTTTGTGCCTCTCCCTTTTTCCACCATTTCTTGAGCCTTTAAAATCTCAGAAAAAATGGAAGGCTCGATAAAGGGACTCTTTCTGCGGCCTTTTTTGAGCCTTTCCCTTTTAGCGGCCATTATCCACCATTCCGACTTTGCCCGAGAAGATTTTTACCCCAGCTGAGGCACGGTTTTAGCCCAGTTAATAATAATAACAATTTATTGACAGATCAGTTGGGTCACTGATTTCTGAAATAAGTACATCTGGGTCACCTATTCCTCCTTACACTCGTTGTTCCCCCGTTTTAGCACAGCTGAGACTCAAATAGCCTCAGAAACCCGGGTTTAATACGGGTACACCCGTAGAGGCACCCGATCAGCATGTAGTTTATAGATCATTACTAGGCTCCGTCTTCATTCCAGAAAAGGCTTACGTGTCCCATCGTGCAGATGAGCAAATGTTTCGAGTCATGGGTGAAGAGAGTCAGTTCGGAACGAATCGCGAAACCATTCTCAGCCGTCGACACGAGGTTCACATCGTGCTCTACGTCGAAAATTCCCTACAAAGTAGAGTTATGTATTTCCTTCTTTACAGTAGAAAAAAGTACTTCCAAAGGTTAATATTACATTTTTTTAAAGCCCATGTCTCACAAAACGCAACAAAAAAAAACATTACGACTTAGGAAAAAAATCTTAGAGGGGACCCTACAAGGGCCCCTAAGGTTACCCCCATAGGGACCCCTCATCCTAAGAAAGAATAGAAAAAACGAAAACCCTAGGTCAAAGACAACACTGGCGCACCAACGTTTTAGAAAAAAAAGAAAAAGAGAAATAAAAAAAAACCCCCCGAAGGGAAGTAGGCTGTAAAAGTCGGTCGGTTCGGTCGCTATTTAATTAAGCCTATTTTTTTCAAGTTTTCAAAATTTGAAAAGTTTTTTGAGCTTTTTGAAGGTGTTAATGGTTTTAAAGTACCTATTCCTTTATATTATGATCAGTTTCAACGTATCAGCAGCCAATATTTGGCTTTCTCGAAACTTTAAACCTCACCAAAATCGAGAATTCTACTTGTTTTGGACGCTCAAACAACTGGAAACTAAAAAAAATTTCAAAATGTTCAAAAATGACGATTTTTAAAACGCGACCGAACCGAAATTTCTTTAGCATGCCAGGAAAGTACCTTAACAAGAGCCTCGTCATTCTTTCCCATGCCTCCTTCGACGCCTTTGTACCGTAGTATACGAATGGTCTGAAGCACTGTGGAATTAGGAATAAAACGTCGGAGAGACGGCGAAACCTTGTGAAGATTGCATGTGGCGATCATTCTCTTCCCGTCAGGTGTCCATGCCAAAAACAAGCAGGCCATAGATGGTGTGGCCACGTCGAGATTTATCTCGAAAAACGAAGTTCGCCTTTTTTTAAAATAAAAAAGCTCCTACAGCTTCGCTTTTCTCCAATTTCAAAGTTGGGTAAAACTGCCGGGGCGAGTGGTAGCCGTGAAGGCGTTGACGACCTGCAAATCCAAGTTCATCCATCTACCAGATTCGGCAAAAGTCATTTCAAAATAACCATTTAAATTGCTCCGGTGCATAGTATCAATCATAGTAGAATTTCACAAAAAAGTCGATCAAAAAAATAAATAGCATGATGGTATTAAATAAAAACCAGAACTGAGACTTTTCCGATTTTTTTTATATCGTTAGCATAAGCAAAGTCGGATAGGGTGGAAAAGGGTTCTATATAAATGTTCCTTTTTGCTGCCTTTGAATTCATCTAAATAATTTCTGTAGAACTCCGGGCAAAGAAAAAATTATTGAGCTGTTTCTTGTTGAATAGGCAGAAGAAAAAAAGGAGTTTTCATAATTTTTGTAGTTTTGATCGACATGATCTCTGATCAGCAAGTTTCTCAAACTTTCGCCACGTCTTTTGTTTTTTTTTTCTGAAAATCCATCTAAGGAAACGTTTTCTAGAGGTCCTGAAAACAATATTCACATAACTTCCATAGTTTCATAAGGGTCCTACCAGAAGACTCTCTAGCCGAAATTACCATCCGCATATGTTGAAAACCAAAATGCTCAAAAAATACCTCGACGGTGGATTGTCCCAAGCTCGCGCCACGCCAGTAGCGTCACTTTGTTCTCGGTCCGAAGTTGCAAACTGTTCGCCCAACGTTCGCTCAGAATATCTACCGGTTGTTTTGCTGTAAAAGAACACGACTATTATTCCAGTTATTATATTTACCTATAACTTTGATCTGCACTACCATGCTGAAAACCAGAAAAATTAGAAAGGAAAGTTACAAATTCAACCATAAATAAACTCGATGCGATACGAAATTCTTTTCACTGTAAAGTAACCCAGAAAAGGACACTTTATTGTAACATACATGGCTACAGCTAAAATGATAAAATGAAATATCTAGTTGGATCGGTTCCATTGGAAGTAGTCCGGCTTGTGCTGTCCGGGTTCCGGATGATTCTCGACAAAAGGAGCGTCGATTTTGCCCTCCATATAAAGTTTGCGACGTTGACAGGCGATCGCGTCCGCGCGCTTAATAAAGAATAATAGTTGATGAACCAAAATAACTGATTTCTACAGTCGTATCTCTCTTTTCAGAAATGAACAAGGTTTTCTCATGTGAAGTGAAAAAAAAGTACTATCATAAAACTTTCGGGCGCTGTAGAGATTTTGCCGTTTTAGATTCGATTTCCTTTCTTTCCAGACATATATGAAGTCCCTCTTTTCATAAAATAAACTTTTGGGCTCCAAACGTCAAAAGGTGTTTGAAAATTTTAAACGCTGCTTGGTATCAAAATCAAAAGACATATACACGAGATATTAAAAGTTAATATGCAGAAAGCTTGAATGAACCCTTCAGTTTATCTGACCTTCTTCTGTTTGTCGCCAGTGAGACATTCTTGGTAGTCACGATGCTCCAGGTCGCAGTATTTGCGGCCCAGTTTTGCGCCGTATGCTTCCATGCAGCGGAAAAATTGAGATTCGAAAAATCCACATGGTCTTCCTGAAAAGAATCTTTTGTGAATATTATGGTGGATAACGGCCACTTAAAGGGAAAAGTCAAAAAAGGCCGCAGACAAGCAGCAAAAAGAGTCCCTTTATCGAGCCTTCCCTTTTTTCTGGGATTTTAAAGGCTCAAGAAATGGTGGAAAAAGGGAGAGGCAGCAGGTGCATAAGAGCAGATGAAATGGCGCAAAAAGGCAGCAAAAAGGAGCCTTTTTCACCCTAAAAGGAACATTTCAATGAAACCTTTTTCCACCCTTTCCGACTTTGCCTAGGTTCACATAGGGTCCGCATCAGGGATGCAGGAGACTCGATTTCGTCGCGGTCAAAAATTGACAGTCAGGTCTCGTTTCGAGAAATTTCGAGATAATAAAAGTTGAAATGTACGCAGAAAATATATGAATATGGCGTAATCTATGACGTTCCGGCCTGGTGTAAATGTCTTTTCTCAAGTATCTCGTGGGATTGGAAAACTTTTTTATGGAAATTTTTTTTCAAACTTTCAATATCGTACAAAAAAATCCAATTTATTATAAAGCTCATTTTTTTCATTGAATTTTTTTGCTCTGTTTCTCAAAAAAAGTTTGCCCTCAGTTTTTTTGCTTTTTGGTCTATTTAAAGTATCTGAAAAATCTTTATAAGAATGTCTGGAACTAGTTTCGAGATTTTCTGAAAAGTTTTTTCGTCTTGAGCTCAGAAAAATCCCGTCTCGGCTCGAGAAACGGTGGAAAAAGGGAGAGGCAGTAAAAAGGTGCACATGAGCCGATTTAATAGCGCAAAGAGGCAGGGAACATTCCTATGGAGCCTTTTCGACCCTTTCGGACTTAGCCTATTTTCAGGCTTCTGAAGTCTTTTTTCAGTAGCTCGTCCCACCTTGATGAGAGAGAGGCACCGAAAAAGTGTCGCCGATTGGAGTCTTCACCACTGGCGACAGCGTCACGTAATTTTCCGAAACTCGATTCCCCGTCGCCATTCTGCAAAAAGCTCATCAAGTTCTTCTGAAACTGAGAATTATGTTAAATTTATTAGGTTTTTTCTTCCTATATGCGTCATATTCTAGCGTCTCCTAAGCTTGACCTGACTCCCAATAAAAGGATAAGCAGTTGGGAAATAAATCGATAGCTCGCTGCTTTCGGCTTTTACGCATCCCTGTTTCGCCTATTCGCCCTATGGACGTCATCTACGACATCGTTGATAGTAATTTTTCTTTTTTTTCATGTTATAAAATGAACTTTTTTACAGAAATTTATCTTTTTATACCGCTCGTAGCCATTTTCGTATTGTTCTCTGTCGTTTACTTCAACTACCCCGCCGAGAATTCTACGATTTCGGTTGAAAAAGGTATGAAGACATTCAAAAATGCATAATTTCCATGACGGACAATTAACGGAAAGTAATTTCTTTTGAAAAGAACAAAAAAAAATCCTCGAGCCAATAAGGGATGTATCAAAAATATAATTTATTATTATTGGTGTTCGGCAAAATTGATAAATATGTAAAAATTACATCTATCTACAGTTTCAGGTAAATCAAGCGATGATCGGCGGAAAAAAATGATTAACGCCTGGGTGATTCACAAAAATGCAATAAAGTCTAATAGGATTCTATTATGATATAATGTATGATATCGAATAAAGAAATTCACAGGATGAAAGAAATGGTGAAAGCTTTATATTATTAAAGGATGATAGAACTCATGAAAAAACCTTCAATGAGACGATTTCAAAATGCCAACGTGATCAAAATAACAAGAATTGTGACGAAAAAGAAACGAAATACATGGGAAAAGTCCAAAAGGTCTCAGAAGGAAATTTTGGAAAAAGGGCTCTAAAATGTCTCAAAGGCACCTTTTTTGAAAAAGACCTTTCAAAGAGGAAAAAAGAATGAGGGCGAAAAAAGGAAATTCCGAGAAACTTTTGACACCTTTTTAGGAGCTTTAGACTCTTCTTTGTAAGGCCTTTTTGAGGTCGTTTGGACTTTGCCTGTGTAACTTTCGTAGTGGTTACATTTCTTCTGGAAAACAGTGCTTAACGACAAGTAGAAATTCACTTGAACTGATTTGAAAAAAATAATTTAACGGAAGGGGTGCAAAAGAAAGAGAATATTCACGCGGGAACTTTGGGAATGGTCTCGGTGACAAATTTGGCGAACTCGCCGCCGTCGTCCTTGTCGGCGTACATCTGGAAGAAATCGTCGGTGGACAGACTTTTGAGATTGGCTCGTTCGCTCGGCAGCTTTCGCAGGCATTTCGAGACAAAGTCGATAACTTCTTTGCTGAAATGAGGTAACACTTTATTTTCGACTTCATATCCAGATCCCACCTGAAAAGGTTCTTGGGGAGTGTTGGCGGAGGTTCGTTGACGATGTAGTCGAGCATTTCGAAAATGGCCATCGCTGCTGGATTGTTTGAGGCTTGATATGGGGGTACCTACAAGACGTTGAAATTATTGATCGATGTAATGCGGGAAACGTACGTCAGGCCGGCCATCAGCCAGCTCTATTTGACTTTCTGGGACGTTGAACATGACAGCAAAGTCGGTTTTGGTTAGTGCCGGCACAGGATATCTTCAAAAAGAGTTGGAAATTTCTGTGAGAATATCTAAAAAGGCTTCATGAGCGCCTTTTTTTAACGACCTTTATCTGAAAGGGACCTTTTGAGGAGAAAAAAAGAAGGAGGCGCAAAGAGGGAGATTCCGAGACTTTTGACATATTTTAGGAGCTCAAAAAGTAGCTTCAGACTCTTCTTTTTGTGGCCGTTTGGTTTCCCGTGGTTAGCAATCAATTGTCGGAAACTCGCATAAATTTTTTTAATCTCAAGCAAAGCTTAAACGACCTTTAAAAAGGCCTTAAAAAAGAGCCTAAAGCTCCTTTTTGAATTCCTAAAAAAAAAGTGTCGAAAGTTTCTCGAAATCTTTTTTTTTTCATTTTCTTTCAGCTCCTTAAAGGTTCTTTTCAGAAAAAGGTCGAGAAAGAGGTGCCTTTGAGGCCTTTTTCCAAAAGTTATTTTTGAGACCTTTTGGACTTTGCTCGTGGTTCATAAAAATAGCGTCATTGAGGCCCATAGTTTTGTCAGGCAACGTTTTCGATAAGAAAAAACTCATAGTTATCGAGAGTTTGCTCGTTGAAAGTTACAGTTTCAGAAACTAACAACTAACCTTCCGACGAGAAGTTCCACAAGAGACAGGCCGAAAGACCAAATGTCCGACTGAATCGAGTAGTGAGAGCCCGTCAATCGTTCTGGCTGAAAAAAGAAATAATCCAAGGTCAGAAAATCTTGAGACTGACCGCCATATAGGAGCGAGTCCCCACGAAGGAGTTGGCCATCGAGTCGATCAGCATTCCAGATACTCCGAAATCGCACAACTTGATTTCCCCATTGCTATTTACGAGCATGTTGGAAGGCTTCACATCTGAGAAGGAAATTTGAAAATGAAAAGATAACCATTGCGAACCTCGGTGGAGGATTTTGATTTCATCTTTCAAATAAGTCAGCCCGCGAACCACAGCAACGGATATCCGTCCAACATACTTCTCCGGTAGACGGCCTACCTTAAAACAAAGATTTCACCGCTGAACGTTGAACAGAAGCATGAGAAAGATTTTTTGGTTCTTGGGAACTCCAGAGTGGTCTCTGTAGGGGCTAACTTAGCAGCCCATAGAGGGCCTCCTCTAGGGGGCACTTATCATGCCCTGAAAAGATTCTTCGGGTTAAAAAGTCCTTTTTTTGTGCATTCTACAGCATAGGGTGACAGGAGGCAGTTATAGCCGATTCTCGGCTAGCTTGGGACGCAAAGTGTGGCTTGTCTGCTCTCTCCATCAACCAGGCACTGTCTTTTTTCTTATCGTGTCAGGACCCTTTTTTCGATGACTCAAGACAGCCGTGAACCAGCCAAACCTGAGGTAAAACTGTTTATAAGGGAGATGAAATTGCGGAAAATTCGCAAAAAGGTATGATTTTCCCACTAACAAACCGTTTCTCAAGATGGAAAAATGAAGAAACGAATTATAAAAATGAAAATTGGTCAGAACCGATATATCCTTAACTTTTTAAATAGTTCATAAAAATATACCTTTTTTTGGATAGCTTTGAATCAACTTTTAAATAATAGTATAGCCAAAGAAGATTTTTTTAAAAAAATAGTTTTAAAAAAGGCCGTTTCTCATTTCGGATCTTTCCTTACATTTTTCTTGCAAAAAAATAAAAACTTTTTTTACCTCCTGGTCAGGTTTAGTTTCAGCTTCCTAGCCTGTTTAACTTCTGTTTTACCAATTTAATCAGTAAAAAAATTTATTTTTTTCCTTCATAAATATCGTTTTTTTAAAGTTATTTTTATATACCCAAGACTATCGTGATAAAAAATATTATCATTTCCCGATAAAAGATTTTTGATTTCTACTGATAAAAAAATTTGTTAAACTATTGATAATTTTAAAACATTTTATCCTTTCATCTTCTCATCACTATTTTAATTTTCGTTTTCCATAATTATGTTGCCAAGTTATTCGATGAATCTGGAAATGATTGCTTCGGTTGTAACTTCGAGGGGCAACATAAAAAAAGGCAATTCGTCGACCTACGCGTACAGAGAAAATAGTTATGTAGGCACGCAGAAGTGGAAAAGCTGGGCGCGTGTGGATTCGAAAGAACGAGACGGCAACAGGCGACTGCGCAACCGTTTCGTTCCACCGTTGCGGCCGCATAAAAGCTAGGCATCTTCACCTCGCCTCCCATCTTTTCCGTTCATCCGCGCCGCTGCTGTGTTTTTCTATTTACTGATTTATTTTCATCAAACTAAAACAATTTTTAAAGGTTTTTTTTAGGTATGGGCGAAAAAATAACAAAAGGATCGCTGAGAGGCGTCGCATTTGCCGCTGTTGTCTTCTCTACAACTGCCATTACTGCCGTTTTGATATCTTTCCCACTCGTATTTCATTATGTACAAACGCTTCAAGCAACAGTGCAGGTGAATTTTCATTGCAGTTACTATTTATTAGAATTTTTAAGTAATGAATCCAGAATTTTTATACAGCAAGTTTCACCATGTAACTCCGTATTTAATGTCATGTTCAAAGTGATTTCGCAAGATTCGAAAAAGCCGTCTGAGAGTGAAATAATTTGAACGCGGCATAAATCTTTTAGCCACCAGTCTTATAAAAACTTAAAATATATAAAATCACTTTTGGAAAGGTAACGTACGTGCCAAGTTTTTTTCAATGAGAAGTGAACTATATTATCCAAATATTTTTATTAGACGTTTTGAAAAAAATGCTCATCATGTTTTCTATGAAGGAAAAAAACTAGGTGTCACTGCGAGTTTGACATGCTTTTGAGGTAATAGCAGGTGAAAAAATTCAATAGAATCAGTTAGAAAATTTCGCGCTTTCCCGTTACTAACCAGCATTCGTAACAAATAGAAAAAAAAAGTTTCAAAAAACCTAGAAAGTAATTTTCGAAAAAAAAAGAAAGAAATATTCTTTTAAAACTTCGTTGTGCGAAAATCTCAAGTTCTATATGATTTGAAAAGCTATGTACGGTAAAAATTTCCCTCGCAAGTCTAAATTTTGGTGGAGAAAAAAAATTATCCTATCATTTGGATAACACCATGAGAAAATTTAGGGAGAAGTCGAATATTGCAAATCGCGATCCCGTGACATGTGGAGAGAAATGGTAGAAGTAGCGCCAGAAGGACCAGATGATCCACTCGAGATTCTTCTCCGTGCGACTCGTCAAGCCGAAGCGCAGTGCTGCACATGTCAACAAGGACCTCCAGGACCAGATGGCGAACCTGGAGTCCCTGGTCAGGACGGCGCTCCTGGCGAAGGACCCGGAGAGCCAGGACCACCTGGTCCTGATGCGGAACTTCACGATCGGCAGCTTCCGGTCCCTCCACAATGCCCATGCCAAGCGGCCGCTGGTCTTCCAGGACCACCTGGTCCACCTGGACAGGACGGAACTCCAGGAAACCCAGGAAGAAACGGAGACGACGGAGCGCCCGGACCACAAGGACCGGCTGGACCTCCTGGACCTCCCGGACAACAAGGACAGCCTGGACAAAGAGGATCCCCAGGAGAATCTGGTCAGCTGGTGCCAGGAACCGACGCTCCTGCCGGTCCAGCTGGACCACCGGGACGACCAGGAGCTCCCGGACAGCCAGGCAAAGCAGGAACTCCAGGAAAAGACGGCGAGAACGGTGAAACCGGAGAGCCAGGAGAGCCAGGTCAGTTATCAGTTCTAGAGTGAAACACAACTTGCAAAAAAAAAAAACGAAAAAAGTAGCCATGAGGAGAGCACAACTTGAAATATATAACATAAGCGCGAACGTTTTTAAAAACGAGATTTTTTTATGCAATAAAGATTAGCAAAAAGAATGATGGAACATTTAAAAAGTACTTGGAAGCTTAAATTTATCGTGGGTAACAAAAAGAAAAAGAAACTCCAACGATACAAAACTTTGAATGAAAGCTTAAAAGATCTTGTTCAATTAAAAATACCCATAGAACAAGTTATTGACTAATTGAGAATAAGTTTGAGTTCGAATTATTAAAAGTTTTGGCTGAGAAATAAACGTACAATTTTCTTGTTAACTGACTGAAAAATTGCGAATATTATATATCAAAAACCTAGCCCACACTCTGAATATTTCTAAAGATTCTCAAAAAAAAAAGAATTAAGTATCTGCAAAGAGCTATAAGGTAACGAGAAGGAGCATGAAAAATCGTGCTGATAAAACTTTGAACCGTTTTTCTTCGATATTTTAGTAAAGAGAAATTTTTTTTAGCTCTACTCATATTCAGAGATCTTCCAGAACATTTGATCTGAATTTTTAAAATGGGATGAAAAAAAGCTTTTCACGGTATTCGATTCTATCCGTTGAAAAAAAAAACTACGAATTCGGTTCTACTATAAATTATCCCAAACCTTGCACTAAGTTGATAATTGCATACCAAGCCTTGAAAAAGTTTATTTTCCCAAGTCAGCTTGACCAAAATCTATTTTGGAACCCTTTCTTAATATTTTTTGTTTTCAGGCCAGAGAGGACCTCCAGGACCTCCCGGACAAGCAGGAGCGCCTGGAGCCTCAGGTGAGAATGGCTCTCCAGGAAGCTGTGAGCACTGCCCGCCAGCCCGACTTGCTCCCGGATATTAAAAACCGCCAAAAAAGCAGAAATAAAAAATTCTACGAACTGTACCTTTTTCATTACAATGTCGAGTGAGAGTCCGTCCATATACTCCATGCAAATCGAGATGTCGTTGTTGTCAATGAAAGCCCCGTAAAAGCCGACAATGTACGGGCTGTTGCATTTATGCAGAACGGAGAGTTCTTCAAAAAATGCATTAGAAAATGAACGAAGAAATGATGTCAGAACCTTTGACAATTTGCTGACGCACCGAGGGTTTCACCTCGAGGTGCACCAGTTTCCGAGCCATAACAACCCCATTGTTCTTATGCGAAACCTGAGGCCAAATAAAACAAGTTTATCACAGCAAACACTAACTTTATGAACAACTCCTCCGTTCCCATGACCCAACTCGCCTTGATTATCGAGAACGTCCTCAGTGAGCTCCTGAAAACAAATTTTCGTTCTTAATTTAATGCGTTGAACAATAAAATTAACCTGAAAATATAGAAAAATCTTCCGAAAATGTGTATCCAATAACTTCAATTACAGAAAAATTCTTTCAATTTTTTTCCCAAGTTAAATCTAGAGAGTTAAAACGCGTTTCTAGAAATTTTTTTTTCTATTCTTCATTAATATAATTTTTCAAATCTCCTTTTTTCATAGACTTACCTGTATTGCTTCTTTCACTTGAATCCACTCGTTAAGTCGTTGCTTTTGAGGTTCTGTGAGCCCTAGCTTTTTGAGTTGTTCATCGAGTGGTACAAGATTTGAGGGCTCTTCCTTCAAATGAGGTCGATCGAATAATATTTTTATAAAAAGTAAAAAACCACAGTGTTGTCTCCACTCTCGCTGTTCTCGTTAACTGTCGGCGGAAGAGATAATCCCAACGGATTTCTTCGTTTCCCACTGGACATTTAGAGGGACTGAGAAATCTCCAGTAGACCACCTTAAAAAAAAAAATTTAAAATCGCCCTGTCGTTTTGTCTTCAGTACAAAGAAACTTAGATAATTTTAAAAAATTATCGATTCAACGAAGAAAGTGAAATTTAGAAACAAACGTTCAGTTTAACGAGAGATGGTCATTTCCAGCAAACAAAGAAGAGAGAAAAAGTTGAATAAACGTATTTGCAACCACCTCAAAACCTTCGATAACTAGCGTTCTGTGAATTTTTCGTGGGGTCCATCAGACAAAAAAAAATTACTTCGAAACGCGAAAAAAAATGCTCCGAAACCAAAATTAGTACTGTTTTGGAGCAACTTTGGCGCATCCATAAACACGATTTTTCGCTTTGAAGCATGTTGCGTTTCTCCTAAGAACACACCATCAATAAATAAAAAAATTCACAATAAATTCCATTTTGATGAAAAATTTTTTTTGCAAAAATTTCTGGCTGCTCCTTTGATAATATTTTTTTTGAATTCTTTCCAATTAGAATAAAAAAATGAGATAGCCTAGTAAACAGCTAAACACAATAAATAATCCATTTTTTTGAAAAATTTTTAATAGATAAAAAAATTGTTTAAAAATGCCATTGAATTTGCGACGGGCAAAATGTGAGCGTAAACTGGAGTTTCGTCTTCATTTTTTTCCTGCTTTTTGATGTTTCGTAACTTTTATTTCTAGAACTTCCAATTTCCCCACTGGTTTTGAACGGCAACTTATTTTGTTTCTTATTTTCAAAGTGTTAAACAGAAGGTTGTCAGCTGTAAAATGCTCTCAGAAAATGAGAAGCCTGTGAAGCACCTGGTGCTGGATACAGGAGCGTTGATTGCCAACGTTAATCTTCATGTATGTTTTGATCTTTCATATGATTTATTTGTTATTTTCAATTTTTGCAGCACCTCTCAGAGAAATATTACGCCCCGCCTCAAGTCAAAGATGAACTCCATTCAGCTAAAGCCAGAAAAGTTTTTGAACTTTTGCCTTTCGAGGTTATTCTTCGCGAACCTTCGAGTAGTTCTCTGCGAAAAGGTTTTATGAGTTTGATTTTTTTTTTTTCAAACAGTTTTTCAGTCGTGGATGCTTCGAAAATTACTGGTGACTACCAATCATTGTCTGTTGTTGACATTAAAGTTATCGCTTTAACTTATGAACTGAACGAAGAATTTTGTAAAGAAAAAAGTGTCGAAGAGGTATAAAATTTTCAGAAAGTTTTGAAAACCCAGAATTTAAGGAAAATGAATCGAATGAAGATATTTTGGCCCAAATAGAAAAAGAAAAGGAATCAGCGAAAGCAGAAGTCGGGGAAACAGTTTCCGAACACGAAGAGGAAGAGTCTAGCAGCGGACAAAAAACGGTGAGCTAATTTCTTTTTTTTTTTCAAACTGAGCTTTCGAATTTATAGGAAGAAGACAGTGATGATGATTCTGGATGGATAACTCAAGATAATATTGACAATGCGCTGAAAAAGTTGGGCGGATTCGAGGTTTTTTTGATTTAATGATTGACCGAAGTTTTTTTTTTTGAAAGACATGGTTTTCAGGTAGAAGAAAAACTCACTGTTGGGTGTCTAACAACGGACTTCGCTTTACAAAACGTGCTTCTTTCAATGCACTTGGGGCTTATTTCTCTATCGGGCTACCGCATAAGGAAGATCAGGACATTTGTGCTTCGCTGCAGAGCTTGCTACAGCACAACACCCGTCATGACCAAAGTTTTCTGTCCTTCATGCGGGCACAAGATGCTTCACAAGGTTTGGTTTAGAAAAAAATTTTTAGAAAAATTATGGAAAATTTTTTCAGTGTGCAGTGTCTCTCGATGAGAATGGAGAACAGATTTTGCACATCAACTGGGAACGTCTTTCGAATAAACGTGGCCTTCAGTATTCACTGGCCGCACCAAAAGGTGGTAAACACGCGGTGAATCCTACTGGTATTCAAAATATTCACGAAGCTGGGTTCAGATCAATGAACAACTGTTCGAAGACCAGCCGATGCCGCACATGCAGATGGCCAAGTCGCGGAATGATCCTCTCGCCGACGGTCCCTTTTCTATGCACGACGTCAATTCAAGGTTTTTTAACGGCCAAATCAGTTCAATATCACGAAAAAAAGATTTTAGTAGTGAGCCGAAAAAAAGTAGATCATTTTTTTTTCCCTTAAATTTAGCGCAAAGTATTTCAATTTGAGCAACGAATGTTTTTATTTTTAGGAAAATTTCAAACTAGGAAGCTCAGTTTTTTAGCAGTAAAGATTATTTTTCTTCTAATTAACGTTCCTTTTTCATTTCCAAGAAGTGCTTTTTCAACTCACGCTTAAAAAAACAATGCAAGAACTGCCAATGTCGGAAGTGCGGAAAACGGGTGCAAAATGGTCGCTAAAAGGGTTCCGTTTTGCGGCCTTCATTGAGCCTTTCTTTCTTGGTGCGCTAAAATCAAGAAAGGGTGAAAAAAGGCTGCGAAAAGAAGAAAGAGAGCAAAAAGGTTCCTGAAAGTCTCAAAAATTGATGATTCGCGATTTTATCACTGTAGTACATTTTGGTTCATACTCAGTCACTGGTAAAGATTATTCTCAACGTGAAACTTTTTGTGCTTCTCAAAAGGGTCCAAAAAGGGTGGATAAAGGTCGATAAAAGGACTGAAAAAAGTGGCAGTAAAAAGTAAACCATTGCCACCCGTTTAGAACAGTTAATGGAAACCTTTTGATCCATAACGGACTCTCAAAGGGTCCTTCTGACTTTGCCTTAGCAAGATCAGTTTCTTTAGATCCGCGGTGCTCGGGATTCGTACTCTGAACAATCGCCAAAGAACGAGCAAAAACAGAAATGAATCAAAACGAGGCGGTCGAAGGAAGTAAAATTGAAGAAAGTCTCCGGATTTTTTCGTTTGTTATTCTGTTACTACATATTCTTTGTTACTCATCTGTTACCTGAAAAATCATTGTTATTGTTCGATTCTATTGTTTCTCATATTGGATGCCACTTTAAAAAAAAAAGTTGAAAGCTTCACTTTTTTTTTTCTTGTTACTAGTAGTTTGTACTACTGGAATATCTTTCTAACGCCAGAAACTTGGAAACGTATTTTTAAGATGGCCGACACATTTTTCTGTCATCAGTGCCGACGTCCCGTTACTTTGAGAAATACGGTTGGTCAGACTTTTTTTTCACTACATTTATATATTTTTAGGATCTCATATGTAGCTCTTGCGGCGGAGATTTTGTTGAAGAAATGCCTCCTGCGCTTCAGGTATGTTTTCTCTTTCTTTTTATTGTTTTCTTATTGAAAAAACTTGCTTTCCATGTCTATCACAAAACAAATTAGTTCTGACTACGATTGAGAAAAAAAAACTCTAAGTTTCTCACAAATGCACAAAGGTTGCGTGCTGGTGATGACTACAGGGAGTAAAAAAATAATGATTTCTGCTTAAATTCTCATCTTTGATGTCAAGAAGCATATTATCACAAATAATTTGTTAAGACTAAATAAAAGTCGAAAAAATTGGATTTCGCTTCCAAGGTTGGTTTGTTCGTTCCATCATATCGTTTTCAAACTGGTGTATTTTGGTTTTTTTATTGAAATATTTTCCCCTTCATAGGTTTTTTCTGAGTATTCATGATCATTTTGCAGCAAAATGCAGCAGAAACCCCCCAAAACCGCCTCCCAAATTCGAACTCTCCGACTTTGTTGAACCGACCCCAGAACCCCGTCGGCGTGCCCATGGCGGGGGTGAGGAATTGGGTGGCGAATCTGTTCGCTGCCATGCCTGAGAGCGCTGTTCGTTTTTTTCGTTCTAGGAAAAGAAAGACCTGATTAAAAATTTTAAGTTTTCTTCAAAATGTTATCGATGATAACATTTATGGTGATTTGATGAGAAATTGCCAAGTTCTTTAATGTGTAATGAAAAAAATAATCAATTTTGTTCGCATATCGCTTTTTTTCATAAAAAAACTCTTCTAAAAAAATCTGTTAACATAAACTTTATAACCTTGATTTTTAATCTTTCAATTCAGATGAAAAGAAAAAAATAACTTTTTCGAAGTGATTATAGAATCGAAAAAGTATAATCGTTATTTTCCGAAGTACCGCACGGGCAAAATCCAAAAAACCTCAAAAACAGACATTTTCTTTTCTAGACTTTTTTCTGAAAAGGACCTTTTAAAGAGGTAGAAAAAAGGAGGCGGAAAAAAGATGAAAAAAGGGGATTCCGAGAAGCTTCCGATACCTATTTAGGAGCTCAAAAAGGAGCTTTAGGTTTTTTGAGGCATTTTTTGAGGTCAATTGGAATTTGCCTGTGCATGTTCGAAGTTGTGATCTTACCTTTGAACTAAAAATTTTACATAGCTTCCAATTTATTTCCCACAATCGTTGGTATAAACCTGCCACATGTGCTCTTTGTCCAAACAAACAGAAATGAGGAAGTTTCAGCAGAACGCTGCTCGTCCTTCACAGGCTCGGGGGGTCAACAGAGACGAACCTTCTGTTATGGATCTGTTCCAGTCCATCATCAATGTCAGTTTCTGTTATTTTCAATATATCTCAATGTTATAAGAAAAATAAACCTCCTTTTTTTCAAAAATTCCCATTTGAAAGTTTGTTCAATTACAGTCGGCGTCGACCGGCAATGTTCAGCTTCATTTCGATTTCTCGACCGACCCGAATTTTCAAGGTCAAGGGTAAGAAAGTTTTTTTTTCGGAGTGTAGATCCCTCAAGTTTTAAATGATTAGATGTTTTTAGTCAGTCAAAAAAGAGAGCTATGCAATAAGAAGTGTCGAATTTGTCAAAAAAAAACGTTACTGTTGAGATGGGGGTACTGAATTTTTTTCGGCTTTTTCCGATTTTTTTTTTTCATATCGCTTGATAATTGAAGGATCCCTTTTACCTTTTTTTATCATTGTATTTGTAAAGAGGAAAGTTTTTCTGATACTTGGAAACCTTTTTAGAATACAGATACTAGGTAATAAAAAGAAAAAAATAAACTAGAAAAAAATAAGAAAAAAATTCATAAAAAAACCAACGTTTTTCGGATCTTTTTGGCCGTTTTTTTAAAAAGTTTACTTCTATCAGTAATGTCACATTGGATGATCAAAAATAAATTACAATTCTTGATCTTCAGAAGGAGATAAGAAAGTTGAAACGATCTCATAAGGTTTTTTCCACGAAAAATTGAAATCTTAACTTAAAATTGGTAAAAGATGTTGGTATCTGTTCAGATTTTCTTGTTTTGGCTTTACCGGAAAATCTACAGGTTTCAAATCAACTTTGGAGAACTTTTCGGCGACGGAACAAGGCCCAACCTGGAACAGCTTTTCGCACACGTCTTCGAGGAAGGTGGCCGCACGCCATCACATGGAATTTCCGAAGAAGTTCTCAACCAGTACTTGCCGATGACCAAGGTCGTCTTCGCTTTGTCAAACTTTAACAATTGGCTTTTCTTCAGGTCACTCAGAAGCATGTAGACGATGGGGTCCAGTGCACGACATGTTTTGACACCTTCAAGCTGGGTAAGCTGACATATTTGGCTAAAACCAAGAAAAAAAAAATCAAAATTCTTCAATTCATATTTGATTTTTTCAATTTGAACCTAAGCTAATGACATTTCCTTTCGTAAACCCTAATATCATATGTGCGAAAATCATATATTGAGCGACTGAGACTTTCTTTTTTTTGTGTGAGAAAATAATACAATTGTTTTCAGATGAGCCTGTTGCTTGCCTCGACTGCAACCACATCTTCCATCGTCCATGCATCGACCCATGGTTGAAACAGAAATCGAGTTGCCCGGTTTGCAGGCAACCCGTTGATGTCATCGCCTGGAGAAATAGGGTACGATCCCTCATTTTAAATTTAAACTCTATCAAAAAAGGCACAGGGAATTTTTACCCAAAAATTTTTCATTTGTAAAGTAACTAGTTCTTACTTATCAATTTTGGTTATACAAGCTTGAAAGTTTCATAAAATATTTCCAAAAATTTTTCATCTAGGAAAATTTGAACAAACATTACTATAACTCCACTATAGTAACATCCATTTTTTCAAAAAACGGTTTTTTCCGTTCCACAAAATTATAATTACACTCAAAATTTTGCCATTTTTTCGTTATCTTTTGGATTTTTTTAATTGAATAATCTGAAAAATATAGCTTTGCGACTAAAATTTGGGCTGGTCTTTCAAACTGAAGTTTTTCGAGACTAGGGTCTTAGTGGAGTTTTTTTTCAACTATTACGTCGAACCTTAATCTGAATATGGTACCACTGGACGGTTCTGACGTCTGTCTTGTCTCAGAAACCAGCAAAAATTGTGGATTTTTTGGAAAAAAAACATTCGTTGAAGACAATTTTCTAAAGGGAGGTCCAGGATTAATTGAAGTTTCTTTAAAAAAAAAATTACACGGGTTATATTCGAGATTTTTTGAAACCAAGGGACCTTTTGAACAACAGAAACTTTAATTTTCGAGCGAATTTTAGAATGGGTGACGTAGTGGTTTTAGCAGAAAGTTGAAATCTGATTTGAAAAAAGAAATTGTCTTTCTTTTCATTGTAATTTTTTTGTTGTTGTTCTTACAATGATATACTATTCTAAAAACCTATTTCGAGATGTTTTGTTTGTAAAAAAACTTTTTTTCAGAAACTTGAAAAAAATTTTTTTAAGTGAAATTATATTCATTTGGATATGTGTATGAATGTGCGGCAGTGAAGACATTTTGAATTTTTTGTCCATCTAAAAACTCGAAAAAGTAAATAGTTTGCAAAACAATATATTGCAGCCTCGCGTGCCGAACATGTCTGTTTTGGACGACCTGGACTGAATACTTCTTTCAAACGTGTAAACTGATTTTCATGTTCATATCAGTTTTTTTAACTATGTATTTTTGTTGTTGTGCGACTTTAAATTTGGACTTCCGTACGGTGTACTTTCATTTTAATTTCATCACAGGCGAATCGAGAATGTGTCCACAAAGATACCTCTCACAATAAATCGTTAAGACCCCCATAATAAGTCCATTTGGAGAACTCCAGCATACCTTTTAACTATTTCTGAGCCATTTCGGAGGTACTTCAGAGTCTCTCTCAAGTCGCTCTCAATTTGCTCTAACCCCTCAGAGGTATCCTCGAGGTACCATCGATAGACTTCAGAGCCTGCGATATACCTCAGAGGATCTCGCGATACCCTTTCTCGATTCGCCTATGATTTTTTTTTGTAAAGCAATGTACATTGGTGAACCCCGCGTGAGAAATTGCCTAAAATACCAACCGAGTGTTTATTTTCGTTTTATTTTTTGTAACCCAACCAATATTGAAAGTCAAATAAATACCGTGCGGTGAGAAATATTATTACGTTATAACCAAGCCAAAAAAAAAATCCGTATAACAATAAAGTTGAATAACCTTTGGAAAACATGATCATTTTTCCCTATGAAGAATAACAAAGGCGGCGAGAGAGGCGAGAACCGCATATTTGAATTTGGGGTAGTCATTCATGAGGATGGTCACCATTCCGACATAAGGCAGGATTCCCTTGGTTCGTCCGACGACGTCTTTCCGGTTCAACCAGTACTGTCCAGGCGCGTAGAGGCCTCTGTCATCTACCTGAAAAGACCATACTTTTCCTATTTTACTATCAAAAAGAATAACAAACCTGATTATTGTCTCCTTTCGTCAGGAACTTCGTATCAGACGGCGACTTTTCATGGACCTAAAAGCATTCTTTAGATTTTACGACTCAATTTAAAGTTTTCCATACTGATGATAGACAATTACAGAAATATATTTTCGAATTTTTCTGGAGGTGTTGGTTAGTGTTAATATCATTGACCGCTTTAAAAAAATAGAATTGAGCGTCGACCTCTTGAATTAACTCAAAAAAATCCACAAAAAAATGACAAAAAATCCACTTTATGCTAATTTTTGGACGTTTTTTTCCACTGGAAGAATTTTTTAGATTTTGTTCTGAATGAAAAAAATAATCTGAAAAAGCATCAAGGCTACCCCCTTCCTAGAAAAGTCACAGTCTAATATTTTTTTGCTTCCCTTATTACTGTAGTCAGAACTATAAAAAAGAGAAGATCCTAATCTTACCTTGATGGTTCTGTGGACGATAGGGATATCACGGCCCTCGATTTTGAAAACCGTGATGTCGCCGACTCGAATGGGATCCTCGTAATCGTTAGTGAGCAGCAACAGGTCTCCACGGTAAAAAGCTGGCTCCATCGATCCTGAAAACAGAGAACTGAGGTTGAGGTGGGATCGGATACCTGAAAGAACGACGACAACAGGACTTTCGGCCCCGGTCAACACCATCAGCCCTTTCCAGATCATCAACGCCGACGAGACGACCATCGCAAAGTTCAAAAACTATAAATCAGATAATGTTTAAATGTGATCATGACACTCCCACCTGGTAGACCACCTGCCGAATATCCATTTGCCGGATCTCCCGGAACATTGGCCAATGCGCGACGTTCATCTTTTCGAACTTATTAAATCTGGTTGCAAGGTACAAATTTTCAAATACTACACCCGGTGTAACAGGTCAATGAACTCAAACCAAAAAAAATATAAAATGAGATCTTGTTAGATATAAATACATAATCAACAAAAAACAACAACAAAAAGTTATTCAGCCGGACACAATCCCAAAAAGTCGTCCATCAGGGTTCCAATCGCGAAAATGTCGTTGGCATCGACACGCGTTCCAATCAACTTTACCTGAAACACAAAGAAAGGTAATAATGCGAGAATAATTTTCAAAAATGAACTTAGATATAGCTGATTCACGGCAGGCTTAAGCCATCGAAAAAGGGTCCTGACACGATAATGAAAAAAAGGGGTCTAACACGATAATGCACGAGAAAGTGCCTGGCTCGTGGAGAGCGCAGACAGGCTTCATTCTCCTAGCGTCCCAAGCTAGTCGTGAATCGGCTTTAAGCAGATGTATCAAAAAAAAAAAAAGGAGTCTGTTCCCAAGGCTTATGAACACACGTGGCGATTTCACCAAATTATTTTTTTAGAAATTCGCAGTCAAATCTATTCATTTTTCAGCCCTGAATCGGATATAGTTATCGAAAAATGATAACCACGAAAAAAGACAGAAAAAGATACATACTCGAACTTCGTCGTCATTGCGAATGACTTGTGAGTCATCGCTGTTTTTGTAACACGGCTTCTCGGCATTTGGATCGAACTCCATGTCTGGAGGAATGCAATGCCTTGAGATAAAGCAAGACAAAGGTCCGATGTCGCAGAAAATACCAACTTTGTTGACCTGTAAGTGAGAATAATGGAAAAGTTCGAGAGCAATAAAACGAATATAAACCTGAGTTACTACGCCGTCTACAACTTGGCCTTTGAAGGGTCGGAATACGATAGCTTTATAACGTACTGGATAAATCACAAATCCTCGTCCTGAAAAAAATCCATGAAGACCAAATACTTTATATTTTTTGAAATATAAGTGGAGCGGAAAAAAACCTGGTTGGATGATGCCGTGACCGATTGAATCAATAGTTGTGACAGCAATAACGAATCCATATTTTCCAGTGCACGTCCCTTCCACTTCATTGAAAAGTTTCATACGAATTGTGTCGTTCAAATTCGCTCCAAAGTATTTAGGATGTAGGCAAACTTCGTGATCGAGGGAAAGATGGAAAAAAACATGTCTGCAAATGTTCTTTATTATATAAAAAAATTGAGGTAATATAAATCAATTAAAAAAATAAATATATAATATTACCAAACATACATGTAGGTTACGAAATGTCTCTAGTAAAAAAATGAAAATAAAATTATTCGTGCCGTGTTCAAAAGTAATTCCGCGAAATGAAAACTATCTAGGACTTCAAAATTAAGTTATCCATTTCACTCTTTGGCGATCTTTATTTAAACTCTCGGAGTGACTTTGAACACGACATTTTATAAAAAGACGCCAGCAGAAAAATGAAAAAAGTTTATTTTTTACTTAAGGGACTCCTAACCAGCTCAGGCTTTTTGAAACAGGGCGCACTTGCTGGAAATGGTTTTTATTTCCAATCGAAAGAAATTCATATACTTTTTTTAAAAATAGAAAAACTGTTTGATTAAACGAAGTCGAAGTAATTTAATTTGGTTTCTGTTTCAATTCAACTTATGTATACGTTGTCTGCCGGGATATGGGAAACTTTTTTCAAAAAGAAGGATTATTTTATCGTTATTATTGGATTAGACAACGCTGGAAAAACGGTGAGCAAGTTTTTTATATCGTTCAAGAAATAGAAAGCCTTGAACGATGTACCGAGCTAAAATTAATGTGAATGACTGGATTTCAGACGTTTTTGGAACAGACAAAGTCACATTTCCTTAAAGATTATGGCATGCTTAACCCTGCAAAGATCACCACTACAGTGGGCCTCAACAGTAATTCTTACACATCAGGGATTCATCTAGGCTTGTTTTTGCAGTTGGAAAAGTGGTGCTGAACAACACATGTCTGAACTTTTGGGACCTGGGAGGACAAGAAAGTCTTCGTGAACTGTGGCCGACCTACTTCGAGGATGCCAACGCTCTCATTTTCGTTGTCGATGCGACAAGGAGGGATCTCTTCTCTTCGATATCTCACGTTTTTAGTAAGCTTCTTCCAATTACTCCCTCCCTCGGTAGAGAACTTTTGTTGCTTCAGAAGAAGTCATGTCCAACGAATTCGTGCAAGAGATTCCAGTGCTTGTAGCCGTGAATAAGAGCGAGATGGAAGGCGCTGCCGCAGCCGCAGAGGTATTTTTTTCAGAAAAAATATTATTTTACGTAATTTTAGTAGCTGAAACGCATTTTCATTCTGAAATAAGAATGTTCATTTTACTTTTCGGTTGAGAATTTTCTGAAAATTGGTCAAAACACTTCTTAATGTATCAGATGAAGATCCTGGAGGTCTATCTGCACAACTTTCTTAGTATTCGAGAAAGGACACTTTAAAGCCAAAGAAAACACCTAAAATGCCGTAAATAGCCCATTTATAGGCTTTGAGCCTTTATTTCTCGAAAACTAGAAAGTTGTGCAGGTTGAGACCTTCAGATTCTTTCTCTTGTACATTAAGGAGTTATTTTGCCATCTTTGAGGTAATTCCCAACCGCGAAGTGCTCCTTAAAATTGAATTAGGCTGATTTTTCAAACATTTTGAAATATTCAAGGCTTTTCAATTTAATCATTGGAGAAGTTCAGGTGAGGACAATCCTGCAGGACGAAGAGCACCGCGCAGATTTGGCCGTCCTCCCGGTGTCGGCTCTGGAAGGCACCAATATCGAAAGGTGTGTTCGTTGGATCATCCGTTCCCTCGGCAGCAAACCCCTTTACTTGTGATTACTTTTGAAGCCGGTTTTTTGAAACATTAGAGCGACGAGAAGTGAAATTCATTCCACGTCAAAATAGTTCGAATATTCGATATTTTCCATTCGTGGCTGATGCTGTCTTTAAACCATAGTCAGAAGCTCTGCGTTCCCAGATTTATCATTTTCTTTTCCGATATGAATCTCATTTTTATGGCCTCTTCTCATAATACAACTACTGATTTTTTATTGGGAATTTGTTTGTATTTAAGCCGAAACCAATACAAATCTAACTTATTTTGTTATAATCCCAGGGACTCCCCATTTTTCATAAGCCTTTTTTTCGGTGACACTAAGAATAACTGACGAGATAAACGCGAGCTCGGTGGCGGTACATTGACGAACTCGCAAAAATGTCGCTTTTTTCTAGGCGCAATCCCGCATTTCTCTCGGCGCGACCTCGCATTTTTCTCGGCGCCATCTCGCATTTATCTTGCATTTCGGAAATTTTCAAATTGCGAGAGAAATGCGAGCTCGCGCCTAGAAAAATGCGAGCTCGCGCCCAGACAAATGCGAAACCGGCGCGAGAAAAAAAGCGAGATGTTTGCGAGCTCGTCAATGTACCGCCAGTGCCTCGCGTTTATCTCGGCAGTTATTCTTAGTGGATCAGAACTCGTGGCTCTTAAAAAAATATTCTTTTTATAGTCCATCGGCGACTCTCCTATTTTGAAAAGCTATTTTCATATTTCTCTGAACTCGCCGGTGAGGGAACAGAGAGACGCAGACACGCGAAAACTTTCAAGTCGCGGCGGGCGGACTATACTTGTATATCATGCTGTTTCGAGAGGAGTTGATTTTTTTAATTGTAGATTCTTTCCATGAAATTATTAATTATGATTATTCAAAAATAAATTTATTCATATTAATTTTATCCCTCATTATCATGTCAATAATGTTGATGATACTTCAGCAACGTAGTGAAGAGAAAAATAAATAAGTTAAACATTTTCTAGAGCAGTAGGATCTGATATAAATTTAAGAAGGAAGTGAACAGGGCAAGAATTTTTTTGCCGACTTTTTCGTCTCCAACCCATTTCGCTACGCCGTGAAATCGATAGAAAACGAAAAGCCGATTGCAAGCCTTTTCTGTAATACAGTTATTATCCTGCTAGTTAAGCCGAAAACGTTAAACGGCTTTTATTCTCGAAATTCCGTTTCCTGCTATTTTTTTCGAACTCGCAAATTCATAGACGTCAACAATGCAAATACTAATTTTGAAGATCTAAAAAGAACGTGAGAAGGAATTTCAGAAGAGAATTCGCCATATCTCCAAAATTTTCCTTGCAAGTCATGGTAATGGATTCGAAATGTGCATAGAAAACTGAAAACAGTGATACATGAAAGAAAAAAAAATGGTCTTATTCGAAATAGGGGTTACTTGCTCTTTTGGGATTTTGTTATATCCAGCTTGAAAAAATTGAAAAATGTGGCATATCGGTTATGGATTTTAACCCTCCTTTCTCTATATAAAAAATAATTTTTGAAATCCTGTGACCACTGAGAGATCAAATATCAATCAGATACCGAAGGAGCAGTTCGGGTGGCGATTTCAGACTTGGGTCAGTGTGTGGACCGGGTCCAGCAAGGAACTGTCGATTATTTGGGTGGGATCTGCGACGAGTGACGTCACGGAGCCTCGTCTCTGCTGCGGCGTCGTCGCCCATCGCAGCCTCTGCAACAACCGGCGACCTTCTTAGGAAAAGAAGCTCTAACCTCCATCAAGGTGCCCTTTCCTTGAAACAATATGACGATAGCACATATCGGCACGCTCAAAACGGACAAAGAACGCAAGAACCATCCTGCAAAGGGTTTAGATGCGCTGAACACTCCGAGGACCAACCCAGCGCGACACTCCAAGTCGGATACGTGTACTCGGCGAGCTGCAGCGGTGCGAAAGACGTGTTGTAGACGGTCATTAGGAAGATTATCTGCAACTTTCCGAAATTTTCCCCCAATTCTTGAATTGATGGATCGTACGCTGATGAAAATGGGACAGCAGGTCCAGCACACACGCCAATAAATCCCCGGGTAGAAACCAAGCATTGCTCTGTAAATGAGTCGTGTCAGAGAAGGCTGAAAGAGAACCCACTTGATGTCGTTGCTAAAGGCCGAAATGCCGTAGAACCAGCAGACGGCGATCATCTCGCACGTGACAATGAACAGGACCGATAAAGAGACTCCGTAGTCATCCAGAAAAGGGATTATGTACTGACCGCCCTGCAAAATTATTTTCGTCGTTCCAACTCAATTTCGGGAACATTTCTAACAGCTTCTTATTTTTAGTTTCACTTCTGATGGAATTTTTTTCGCCAATCACTCTTCATCATAAACCAAGATCTCAGCTCAGAAAAGACTAATTTATCTGGATTTTTTTTTTACTAAATCCTTCTCGACTTGAAAGGGTTTAGTAGATTGGCAATGGTGACTTCTTGCATACGCGGCTTTTCTTAGGAATACCAGAGTGATCCCTACAGGGGTTAGGGGCCCAAAAAATGGTCCCTAATGAGTTGAAATTAAGGTGCTTCTTCGCTTAAAGTTCATAAAAATTATAGACTAGCAAGTCCCCTATAGGGGCCCCTAACTAAAATCCCTAAAAAAAATCGACTATATCCTGTGTGCGGTTTTCTAGAATTTTTCAAAAAAATTCCAAGCAAATATGCAGAATCTAGTAATTTATCGATTGTTTCAGACATCAAGATTCTAAAAAGTGCAATCGTACGTTTTCGTGGCGCTTTTTGTCCCAAGCGGGAGACTAATAAAGAAAAAATTATATGATTTCGTATACGATGGACCGGCATCAAGTGGAGAGGCAGGCAAGAAGATGAAAAGTCTTACGTAGCTGATTGCGGGGAAACTGCCGAAGTAGTAGACGATGCAGATGACCAGAACGAACCATTTGCGATGTTTCGTCAGAAGCCGTGACTCGTCACAGAAACCCGTGATTAGCGCTTCGATTCCGGCGAACTGAAAATCGCTATCATAAAAGAATGAAAAATTCAACTTCGATTTTCAATCACTGCCAAAGTCGGAAGTGAGGAAAACGGGTGCAAAATGGTCGCTAAAAGGGTTCCGCGTTTTTTTTTTGCGGCCTTTATTGAGCCTTTCATACTTTTTGGGATAGAAAGGCCTCAAAAAGGGAGGCTAAAAGTCTCAGCCATCGATGATTTCCGGTTTTCTTACTGTAACACATTTCGGTTCATACACAGTCACTGGTAGAGATTATTCTTAATTTGAAAATATTGTTTTTCTAAAAAGGCTCCAAAAAGGGTGGATAAAGGACGAAAAAAGGCAGTAAAAAGGAATCCGTTGCCACCCGTTTAGGAACAATTAATGAAAACCTTTCCGATTTTGCCTATGTGTAACGCTTTAAAATAAATTGATTCCGGTGGTATTTGCTCGATTGTAAAAAAAATGTGAAACCGTGCTGTCGATGCCGAGAGTGATGAGCATAACGAAGAAGATGAAGGACCAGACGCTGCTGTAGCTCATGCTGGCCAGCGCCTGTGGATAGACGATGAAGATGAGGGAGGCGTCGTGGTCTCCCACCACCTGAAGACGTCGAGTCTCACTGTCATAATCCAGACTCACCTCGTGGACCTCCTTGTTCGTCAACTGCGACATGTAGCCGAGTGTCGAGAAAATGACGAAACCGGAGAAAAACGACGTCAGACAGTTGATGGTGGTGGTCACAACGGCATCTCTGAGTTTTCCATTGTAAGACCTTTTTTTGATACTTTTAGGCTTCTGCTCCAAGATGTGCTTTTATTACAACTCCTAATTTGACTTCAAATTTCAGGTGGTATGAAAAAAAAAGCCAATGAATTTTCGAACGGCGACTTATCCAATTTTTTCATATCGCTAGGGAACTATCCGGTGGAGAAGTTTCCGACGAATCCCTATCCGACTTTTTTTTCCATATATTTTTCAGTTTATAAAACATTTTTTAGCATTTTTTTTTTCTACTTCTTTGTTTTTTTTAAATCATGAATCAACTACCTAATTCGTATAGGAGGATTCAAAACAAACTGTTTATCGAGGAAAGAGTCGGAAAAAGATTACTCGTAAACTTCTCCGACAGAAAGTTCCTTAGCGGTACACGGCGTTTTTTGACAACTCCCCGCTCATATTTTTTCCGTAAAGTGTAGTGTTTCGTGTGCATGCACTGCGGCGCACTACAAGAACCGCATACGCGCACGCTGCGCGTCTTACCCACTTCTCCGCAAGTCGGGAGGGATTGACTATATTTGAAAAGAAACTTTTTAATAACCAGTGAAATTTTTATTTGCGCTGGCTGCTGACAAAAAAGCGTATCAATGAGTATTGATTTTTCACGAATATTCTGACTAATTCCTTTTCAAAACGGTTTGATAGTTTTGATCATCTATTGTGCTTCGACAAGGCTGTGCTCTAAAACAAACCTGTAGCAATTGTTGTTGAAGTCGTTATAACTGCTCAACGCGAGAAGGACCCCGAAACCAGGTCCAAGTGAGAAGAAAATCTGAGTCGCCGCCGCCGACCAGACCTGTCAAAACAATAGGCATCGCTTGCTGCGAAGGTCTTACAGTCGGATCAGAAAGTTTGCTGAAATCGGGAGTCAAGTAGTAGTAGATGCCCTTTCCGGCTCCCGGAAGGGTTATTCCACGGATGAAGAGGCACGTGAGGACGAAGTACGGCGCTGTCGCAGTCACCCAGACCATCTGATTGGCTCTTTCTTTTTTTCTTTTGGGATATTCAGGACGCAGTTTTTAAAAATTAGCCTTTTAATGAATACAACAAATAAGGTTTTTAAACTTGATATTTGGGACATTCTGCACTTGCAAATCTGGATAACATAGTATCCGATTTAACACAAATAGTATGAAGATACTCCAAAATCTCGGCCTGAAAGAGTAGAAAAAGGTGCGAAAAGGCTACAAAAAAGCAGCAAAACGGCAGCAAAAAGGGTCATTTCTGCTGCCTTTTTCCAACCTTTCTTCTTTGGCTGGAATGTCGAAAGCGAGAGAAGGCTGAAAAAATGCAGCGGCAGCAAAAAGGGTAGAAAAATGGGCGAAAAATGGTCATATGAATTGACTTTGTGGACTTCTTTTCACTTCGTTGATCATGAAAGAAACCGATTTTTTAAAAATTTGGATCCAAAAGGCCATTTCATTGATCCTTTGTGTGTATTTGCCGAATTCATTCAATTTTTTAAATCTTACAAGCTTACTGAATTTCCTCATCTTTCAAAAATTCGAATCTTGCAGCTTGAAACTTTTTCATAATTCATGCTTAGTGAATATTCATGTGAACGTCATTTGGAAAACTGAGTTCGATGTTCGCATTTGAAGTCGATTATGTAACTTTTCAAAATTGAAGTCATTTTGGTTCAAGAAAAGCCTTACATACACTGCCAAAGTCGGAAGTGCGGAAAACGGGTGCAAAAAGGGAGTGACTGCAAAATGGCCGCTAAAAGGGTCCCTTTTTACGGCCTTTATTGAGCCTTTCATTTTTGGTGGGTTAAAAAGGGTCATAAAAGGGCGAAAAAAGGGAGAGGCCGCGAAAAGGGTGAAGAAAGAGTGGGGGTTCAAAAAGGTTCTGAAAGTCTCTGTTATTGATGATTCCCGATGTTATTACTGTAGCTTATTTCGGTTCATACGCGGTCACTTGTAAAGATTATTCTCAATTTAAAAAAAATTGTATTTCTCAAAAGGGTCCAAAAAGGGTGGATGAAGGCCGATGAAAGGACGCAAAAAGGCAGTAAAAAGGAAACCGTTTAGGAACAATTTCCGGAAACAGACGGATCCGTAACGGACGCTCAAAGGGCCCGTGAAGGGTCATTCCGACTTTGCCTATGATAGGCAAAGCCGAAAAGGGTTGAAAAAGGCTCTATAAAAATGTTCCTTTTTTGCTGCCTTTTTGCGCCATTTTATCGGCCTTTATGCACCCTTTTTGCAACCTCTCCTTTTTGCACCCTTTCTTGAGCCTTTAAAATCCCAGAAAAAAGGCTCGGAAAAGGAAATCTTTTTGCTGCCTTTCTGCACCCTTTTAGCGGCCATTATCCACCATTCCGACGTTGCCCGGGTAGGTAAAAGTCACCTTTCCTGAGCTTTGTGGCCCTTTCCATAAGGCAAAGTAAACGAGAGTGAAGACCAGAGCCAGACACAGCGCCATCGACGGTTTCACACCGCCCAAGTCATCGAACCCCGTCGACTTCTGGCTTTCGAGAACGTTGTATCTGAAGACGTCGAGTGGCTCTTAGTCTCGGGAGACTCCTACAGGTAGTATTCCTCACTGGGAGAGCTCAGCCTCTGACCCGTTTTGCTCATCGAGACGTTGACGTCATCGGAACATAGCGGCGTGTTCCAGGAATTATTACAACTTTTCCACGGCACTTCTAACTGCAACACTTTGTATCGTCAACCTGTGAGAGACTTTTTACCGCTATTGAACTGAAAACAAAATAAACAGCGTGTGCGATGATGGCGTTGTAAAAGCAGGCGATGAAAGTACAGATAAAGCAAATACCGTAACCGATTCCTGAACATTAAAGTTTTTGTTATCGGCCCAAGAAGAAAAACTGCATTTTGACCTTATTTGCGTTGTCTTTTCAAAGATCCCATAGAAGTTTTGGTCTTTACTGGAAAAATTTTTAGTGGCCACTATAGATTTTTGAGGTTTTGTGGTCTCTATAGCAGTCCAATTAGTAGCCAATTAAGGGGTTAAAAGCTAGTGGCCACTATAGAGGTCTAAGTGCTAAGACTAGACCACTAAAAATTTTAGTGGCCACTTTAGGGTTCAATGGATCATCATAACTGGTCCAATCTGTTTGTTTTAAAGTTATCAGAGTTACTGGACGGAATACTGGATGAAAAAACTCTAAAAGTTTTCCCAGTAAGGTTGGTTTACCTTTGAACAAAGGGCAAATCTTGCGCCATATGCTAATGCAGCCCGCTCTGTGAAACTGTCCCATCACCAGCTCCATGTAGAACATAGGAAGGCCGCCCACGAGGAGCATCACGAGGTACGGAATCAGGAAGGCGCCTGAACAGCACGACTTTTTCTATTCGGATTTTTAACCTATTTCCGATTAAAAACATGATCTAGAATGTTCCGATGTAAAAATGACAAAGATTAGTTTTAGTAGTAAAACATAGAAGACCTCCGCCGTGTTTGTAGCATACGGAAGGGAAGCGCCAGATATTGCCGAGGTCGACGGCGTAGCCGATCACGGCCAGTAGAAACTCCATTTTGGTCGCCCAGCGTTCTCGAGCCATTGAACTCCGTCGTCGGAGAGCCGCCACGCGGGACTCCTTCGTCGGCGTCAGGCCGCCCAACGCTGCAATGTTGTCCGAAGTAGCTTTTTCTTGGGTTTTTGTCCAAGTTGATCATAAACTTTTAGGTTGATATCAATCTAACTGTAAACGCTTTTTAGGAACCTTATGCCGTGTTCAAAGTGATTCCGCGAAATGCAACATAGCCGTCAGAGAAAGAGAAAGATAACTAAATTTTGGAGAGTCAGAGATACTTTGAACACGGCATTACAAGTTCACAAACTCAAAAAAAAAAATTTTTTTTTTCTCTGAAAGTCTAGCTGTAAAATTCACAGGTATAAAGGAGAAATACGTGAAAGGTTCCATTAGGTTCTTTTTCACAGCTCCGTTCTGACAAAAAAAACATAAAACCTGTGCTAAACCTAGGAAATGAAATATATGTATCAAACTAAACCAAAAAAATTCAAAAATGGGTTTGATGATGGAGAAAGAAACGTTTTTCTTTTCGAGAATGTTCGAAAGTAACTTTACGACGCAATTCTTTCTCAAAATTTCGAGCAATCGCTTGTACGGCTCCTTTTTTTAACACTTATAAGCCAAAAAACGATTTTTGGAGCGAATCCTTTGAATGGATGACGAGCTGTTGCAGATGAGCCTTACTCACAAGCGATGGGTTCGTCGTTCTGCGAGACGCACAAAGTCAGGGGCAGGTCTAGTGGCAGGTAGTCTGGAGTCGCAGGACGACCTGTAAACTTCGCTGATTCTTCAGAAAAAAAATCATCTTCTCCGTTTCGAATTTTCGCAGGATTTCTGAATAATTTTCGTCTTTGAAAAAATTTCTTCCGGAAGTTTTTTGAAAATTAGATCTTTATCGTTAGAGAAAACCCTAAAATTTTCAAACTGTACAGCTTTTTTTTCGCCATGACAACCCTATAGAGGCTGAAAAAGTGGTTCCTATAGGGGTGAAATCAAGGTGACTCTCATAGGGGTTTAGGGTCTGACCCCTGAGCTCCTGAAACTGAAGTGGTCCTTATAGGGGTCTTTCAATTTCATCCAAAAAGCGCTTTTTAATTCAGTTTTTCCCGTGGAACAACTTCTTCGCTTAGAGTTCTTAAGAATTATCGACTAGTATTTCCCCTACAGGGACCACTTTTGCAAGCCCTTGTGGCCCTATAGGGGTTGGTAAAGTGGTCCCTGAAGGGACTCTCAATGGGCCACTAAGGTTATCCCTATAAAGACAACTCTGAGTTCCTAAGAACAGGATTCAAGAAGTTTCATACGCTGATTCGGATATTCTTTTTCAAAAGCTGACTATGAAAAATATCATCACACCTCCAAAACCCATATAGGAACCACTTTTGCAAGCTTCAGTGGCCCCTCGAGAGGGTCCACCAAAAGCCCTCAAGGTGGCCCCTATAGGGTCCACTCTGGAGTTTCTAAGTACATTTAACATTCCAATTTCTCAGGAAGTTATCAAACGACCTCCATTGTGAAGCTTTTTGGTCAATTATCGACGGTTGTTGACAAATTTTAGTGATAGAAACATGACGGATCAAGGGAAAATGTGGCACCAACCTCTGAAGCTCTTGTTGCTGAGCTGACGACTGGCCTTGCGACTGGCGCGACGGGAAAGCGACTCCTCGCAGCCGGAACGCATTTCGATCTTGCCCAACGACTCCTCACCTGAACGTCGGCTCATCGTCGGCTCCTTCTGGAGGAGAAAAAAAAAGGCGGCTCGCTCTTCTGTTTACCTCAGCTCGCCGTTGTTTGTATATCATTTACCTTGGCTTTACTTGGCGCCTGAGCTCCGCTTGGCCACAAAAATTATTGAAAGCTCATGAGACACGAGAGGCAGCGATTCAGAGGGACGGATGGTTACCGAAAAGAGCCCGGCCAGTGATAAATGTGCGGCCAATGGAATCGGCCGCCCAGGAAATGAACCAGCCTCATCAATTACCCACAGCTACCTCTTCATTTATTGCGAATCGTCTTTTTTTTCCCCGCTTCTCGAAATCTCGAGATCTAGGAAGAAGCCGATGGATTTTAATTCGTCGAGTCGCGGAAAAAAAACTGGTTTTCGATCAATTTTCTATTTACAAAAAGTTAGGAGCTCCTTGCTGAAAGAAAGATTTAGATCTCTGGGTTAGGAAAAAACATGGTTTTTCATACAACGATGATAACACTACATATAATTCGAACAAAACACTCTTTTTTTGTCTTTTTTTCGAACCTTCCAGGCAATAATTTTCAACCCGTATTCGTTTCTATAAAAATTATTGAACTACGAAATAATAATCTTTTTTTTTCGCCATCAGAGGAACTCAGTTTCATTTTTTTTTTTCAAAAGAAACAGTCATTCTAAAATAAGAACCATCCAAAAATTCTTTTTCCTAGAAATCCAAAAGGCATGCTTTAAAAATCGGTCGGTTCGGTCGCTTTTTGATAACGACTATTTTTTCAAGTTTTTAAAATTCGAGAGTTTTTCGGCATTTACAAAGGTTTTATCGGTTTTTAGAATACCTATTTCTTCATTATATGACAAGTTTCGAAGTCAGTTTATGAAAAATTCTGGCCATTATATTTACAAAAAAATTTAATTTTTTTCTTAATTTTTCCATTTTCGCCAAAAAAATTCTCTTAAATCTTAATGATCTATTTTTTTTGCACTAGATAAATTTTTGATTCCAGGTCAAATTAAAAAAAGGTTGACATGACATTTATTTTTTTAAAAAAACATAAAAATTCTTATTTTGAGCCGCCAATATTTTGTTTTTTTCGAAATCTAAAACCTGGGCACAATCGAGAATTCTACGCATTTTGAAAACTGAAACCATTTAGAACAGAAAAAAAGGATTAATTTTTTTCAAAAAAAATTGCCTCTTTGAAAAAAAGTGACCAAATTTTCCAGCATGCCAATCCGAAAAATTGAAGATTAATAAATCTGAGTGGAAGTATTAGAGATCCTAGACAGCGAGAGTGATTCTGGTAATTCAAAGAAATTCAGTTTCGCCAAAAAAAATTTTTAGTTCAGTTTTTTTTTGGCCAGATCTTGAAATAGCCACTCTAAACTGTCGCTTTCTTTCACTACTTTGATTTCAGCAGAAATTAAAAACCGTATCAGAATACCCTTGATGTAAAAAGTTCATTTTTCAAGGGTGCTATTATTAAAACAAGTTCATAAGTTTAACTCCGTAAGTCCGCATTTTTCAAAAGAACGATACCTGTCTGGCTTTTTCTTCACTAATTTTTGATCGTCTAAAAACCAATTTTGCTGAGTAGGTCTGCCCTGTCGCTTTTTTAAGTTTTTTAGAATTTAAAATTAATGTCTAGTTTGAAGTACTAGTTCAAAAGAAAGAGAGAAGACCTTTTCATGGACAGTTACTCTTACTCAGGATAATCCGGGGAAGATGATCGGAAGGAAGTTGGAAGGTAAATGAAAACTGGCAGGTTTTCAAAGGTGTTCAAAAGGTAGTTGAAAGCTCCTTGGAAGGTAGAAAATATTATAGAATATTTCGGCCTACTGGAAGGCTTCTGTAGAGTAAGACGACGCTGGAAACTTTCCAAAAGCCTTCCAAGAAAAAAAAAATTCCAAGTCCCTCCCAAGATTTGCCTGAATCACCAATGACCGTAAAAAAATTCAATTTGAAGCGGAAAATTGTCGAAAAAAAAAAGCATTTTGAGGGGAATTCAACAAAAAGAAACGTAAAAAGATCAAAAGTGATGTGAGAAAAAGCGCGACGAAACAAAACAGCGCGTTGTTTTGAGTGAAGAAACATGCTTCAAATACCAAAGGTACAGAAATAGGCACAGAAAAAAGCTGTGCCGACCTCACAAGGGAGATCATTTTACTTTGCGGTTGGGATTTTCCTGAAAGATGGCCAGAAAGCTCCTTGAGGTAACAGAAGAAGATCCTGATAGTCTCATCCTGCAAATTATTCTAGTTTTCGAGAAATAAGGACTCAGAGTAGCCTATTTTTATGGATTTTGAGCGTTTTCTCTGACTTTGAAGTTTATTTTCTTGAAAACTAGGAAGTGGTGCAGATTGCGACTTCTAGAATCCTCTTCTGGTACATCAAGGAGTTTTCTGGCCGATTTTCAGAAAATCGGGCGCCCCTGACAGCCCCGGTAGAGCCTTCCTTCTTACCATATCTCAAGAATAACCGTTTTTCATTTTAGTTGGTCCTCTTTAGCACTGTCTTTACAATAAGTTCAATATTTTAGTGTTGAATTTGAAATCTTTGAGCCTGAGTGTGTCTATGCCTCGATACATGCACTGCCAAAGTCGGAAGTGCGGAAAAGGGTGCAAAATGGCCGCTAACAGGGTTCCGTTTCGCGGCCATTATTGAGCCTTTCTTTCTTTGTGGGCTAAAAAGACTCAAAAAGGATGCTGAAAGTCTCGGCCATGGATTATTTCTGATTTTATTACTGTAGCACATTTTGGTTCATACACAGTAACTGGTAAAGATTATTCTCAATTTAAAAATTTTTTTTCTGAAAAGGGTCCAAAAAGGGTGGGTAAAGGTCGAAGAAAGGACGGAAAAAAGGAGTAAACAGGAAATCGTTGCCATCCGTTTAGAAACAACTTATGAAAACCTTTTGCACCCATAACGGACACTCAAAGGGTTCGTAGGTACAAAATCAGACTTACCTTGCAATCGAATCGGAAAAATATGGAGCATTCGTTCAAAAAAAAGATGATTACTTTAGGATTGAAAAAGGGACCAATTTTTGAAGCGTTCAGGAAGAAAAGACGCTCATTTTGATGTGGTAAATGAAGTGGAAACGAAACCTTGGAGCTGTTTGTGTTGCTTCCGACGAACGGACGTCCAGCGCAGCATTTCGGTTGTCGGAACTCAAAATTCTAATTACTAAATGTAAAATATGAAAAAAAAAACGACCGAGAATGTCAACTTTAATGGAATTGGCTTCTTCAAATGCAAGACAATTTTCTACGGTAAACTATTTTACAAAGGTTAGGGGCAAGATACCCTGAGGAAAAACGATTTTCTACAAAAATCCAACTAGTGATGAAAAGTGATCAAAACCTCTGAATTTGAGAGCGGCATCTCATTGTTTGAATGTATCGAAATTCAGTAGAAAAACTTTTTTCTTCGTTTTTATTTTTTGATTCTTAACAACTCTTATAACAATCTCTAGAGGAAGAAGTTATATATATATCTGCAAATTCGGCTGAAAAATTTTAAATATCGTTTAGGAACTGAATCTAGAACAGAAAATTCTGACAATGAAGGGAAAAATAGATGAAATTTCCCATCAAATTATGGGCAACAACGTGTTCTTACGATACCCTAACATAAAAAAACTATTGTAAGAAAAACCAAGGGACCAAGCTCAAAAAAGCTTTAACACAAGCTACACATGAAATCGAAAAAAACATATTTTTTTGCAAATTTGAAGTTAATCTCGAAAAAAAAAGGCGTGGTCGGTCTATATTTATCTCAGAAGTCTTATATAGATCGGTTGGAGGGAAGAAACTCTGAGAAATGATATTGAACTCATATCCCGAAGTGAGTAGCGTGAATAATTCAGAAAAAGGAGGACCGCCCGCAGCTCCACGCCGAGATTGCGCGTGGGCGAAATTCATCTTCTTGATTTCTCGGGCCGCAACCGTATCTTCGACGAGCCAGCCTTTTGTTACTCGGTGTGCACTTCGGAAATTGCCTTTTTTTCCGCTTCCCACGGTCATTCGCTTAGCGTGTGAACAAAACGTGGATGATTGATCCCTCGGCGGTCGCAAAGTTCTCACGCAACCCCTGTACAAGTGAAAAAAGTCAAAGTTTATCATTGCTCTCGTTAAGATTTTGCGAGAGAGAGCTATGGTCATTCGAATCTGACACGGTGACGTCAGATTTTCAGGGTTGTCATTGCTTAAAAGATATTTGAATGGAACTATAAATACTTAAAATTTGTACATTTAACCAAACGTTTTCTGGGCCTTCGGAAGTCACAAAAAAACTCATCGAAAGTTTCCAAAAATGAATTTTCGTGAAGAAACCAAAAAGGTGCCAAGCACAATCAAAATTTTGCTAAAATTTCTCAGACTTGATTCTAAATTTTGGGTTGGGTAGCTCTAAAGAAGATTTCAAACACCAAATATTTCTGCCAAGCGTCTTACGGGAGGTCAGTTTACTTTCCAGTTGGGATTTTCTTGAAAATCTGCCAGAACACTCCTTGATGTACCAGAAAAAGACTAGAGGTCGTAACCTTCACAAATTTTTTTTTAGTTTTTCAGAAATGAGGGCTCAAAATCCGAAAAACAGGCCATTTTGGTGCACTGAGCCCTCATAATTCAAAAACTAGAACGTTTTGCAAGTTTAGACTTTTGACTATCTTCATCTGGTACATCCAGGAGTGTCCTGGTCAATTTTCAAAAAATCCAACAGAAAAGTAAAATGACTTTCCTTGTTAGGGTAATGAGAAAAATAAGTGCTGTAAAAACGTTCAAAACTATCTTTTCCGGAATTTTCGGTGAATGAATTTTTTCCGTGTTGTTCAGAAATGAAATTTCTCGACGGTTCATTCCGGTTCAAAAAAAATTCCCATGAGGAGTAGTTTTTGAGTTTTTTCAGCACATACTTGACACCAGGCTTTTCTTAGCGCTCAATGTGCTTGACAGAAATTTTTCGTTCCTGGTGATTTAACCTGAACAGAACCTACAAAAAAAGCTCTGCAAAGTACATCTCAAACTGTCTCCTAGACAGCGAGCAAACGGTGATTGAACTATGACATGATTTATTTTTTCCTTTTTTAAATTATCGAGCAAGTTTCATTCCTTAGGGCAAGGTAGCTTGATATTGCCGTCTTCCCGTATTAACGAAATTAATATTTCTTCAAAAAGTGAGTCTTTTTCCCAGTGAAATTTGATGATTTTCTCTCTCCATTCAGAAAAACGTTTTCCTAACCCTGCGGTGTAAAAAAAAATGGCAAACGTTTATTATTCTTCCATTTCAAAAATCGACGAAAAGGACATAGAAATCTGGACCGTCGAAGTGCAGACGAGGAACTTTCAGGAAACACCTCCTGCAAGTCACTTTTCTTCATTTCCAAAAATGTAGATTTTCCGAAGGGATTCCGAAAAAAAAAATCTATTTATCCTACTCTTCACGCATTTATCATCCAAAATAAATTCGGAACGCGGTGCGACTAGTGAATAATTCAAGGAAGAATCTGGGCGACGGTGGAAAATAAATAAAATGAAGTAGGATTTCCTACCGTTGAAAACGACGTTCTCGTTTTCCCGCGCCTGACGGTCTTCTCGTACGTCATCTGAAAGTTGGATTCAGAAGTCTGTGGGGATTCTTCGGGACCTATGACGGAGTTGACGAGTTCCCGGAGTCGTTCTGAGCAGCCGTCGCCCACGGCTTCCAGCCCTATCGGAATGTTTATTCGACCCATCGCTATTTCTCGAGCGTGCACGTTCTGAAAATAGAACAGTCTGGAAAATTATCAGGGGTCTCATAAAACCTAAAAATTTTTCTTGGCGTACTTTTAGAAATTTTTGACAAGGAAAAACTTGCTCAAACGCTCTTTGAATGTCTAGATGACCTCATAGACGCTACCTGCCCGCTTCTAGCTTTTGAAATATTATTTTTTAAGTTGCCAAATATAAATTTTGAGGCTAACTTTTCGAGCGTCAGAATCAATCATCTCAAAAACTAGAAGCTGGCGCGGGTTGCAACTTTGATGGATCTTCAAATAAACCTTCAGAGATTTTTCGAGAAAACTTGTAGAGAATCCAAAGACGCAAAGTAGAATGACCTTTTTCTGGAGTCAATTTTTGCGTTAAAGGCGAAGTTTGAAAAATTAGTATTTAAAAAAATAGAAGTTTTCGCAGAAAGAGACTATGATGGATCTTCATCTAGACATTCAGAGAGCGTTTGAGCAAAAAATTCAGAGAATTCCAAGTCGAAAAGTAAAATGACCTTCTTACTTACTTACTTTGATACTTTGATGGTCCATCTTCGCTTCTCAGCGTGGACCACACATCTTCGCTTCTCAGCGTGGACCACGAATTTTTTGCTCAAACGCTCTCTGAATGTCTAAAAAAAGCTTGGGCAGGTAGCGTCTATGAGGTCATCTAGACATTCAAAAAGCGTTTTAGCAAGTTTTTCCTTGTCAAAAATTTCTAAAAGTACGTCAATAAAAATTTTTAGGTTTTATGAGACCCCTGATAATTTTCCAGACTGTTCTATTTTCAGAACGTGCACGCTCGAGACTCTTTTTGAGAATTACAGAGACAGCGTGTTAATAATTATCTGATAAGAAGTGTACGCTGGCGCGAACTTGCTTCCTCCTACCGTACTCCGCCGTTTGAACTTTTTCATCAGGGCACATTTTATCGCCTACCAGTTTTTCTCTTCACGTCCACCCTTTTTAAAACGCCGTGTTTTATGAATACAAAGACTTTCTTTTCTTCCGTACTTGCAACATCACTCAACTGTTATTGTTGTTCTTTTATCCTTACATTACTCTCGAGGTCGTTAAAAGTTTATTCCTATTTTCTCTCTTATTTCGCGTAAACTCTCCTCTCTCTCTATTCCTCCGTTCATTTCTCTATTCATTTTCTTTCTTCTGTATCTGAATAAACTAATTATTGTTAGAAATGTTTAAGTTTGCTGGCCACCTAAACTACGGTTACTAATGTGAATTAACTGAAAATCTTTACAGGCAACGTCCGGTGTTTGCTCATGGCGCATTTGGCATCGGTAAGTTAAACTATTTTTGTGCCCCTTTTACTATATATGTTTTATTTTTATTTCAGAGCGAGGCACGAGAGATTAGCAGTACTCATAGTACGCTCGTGGGAGTGTTTCAAGAAAAGTGAGAATTGAATTTCCTATCATTTTTGAACTATTTATATGTTTTTGATTTCTCTCAAAAATTACGTTGTGTTATTATCTAATTTTTATGCTTTCAAACTATTTAGATGGCATAGCGAGAGAACGCCAATGAGCAGTGTGATGAACATGTGCGATGGCTTGTTGGTTGTCATCAACAGAATCGATGTTCAACTTGCGCGCGCATCAGGTACGTAGAGAAATTCAGTGTGTTTGATCAATATGAAGGGTGAGAAAATACATATGAGGGAGGACATTACTATGAAAAAGGTTTTAGGATTTCTGAAATTTCTTAGAGGAGAAAGGGTTTAAAGATGATAATATTTTTATGTCGCGCAGCCGTTTCAGGGTCCCAAAAATGGACGGCTTAGAGGGTGACCCATCGTCAGCATTTTACCCTCTTGCTTTAAATCAAAAAAATGTTATAAAAGATTTTTTTAGCTATTATACCTAGGCGCAGTTTTAAATTAATAAAGTTTGGAAAAATTGAAAAGGGAAAAACTGATAAATGAAGGGGGAAGAAAAAAAGGAAAAAGAGAAAAAAAGGGAAATGTAGTCATTCATATCCGATATCGATTGTTGTCGGCAGAGGTCAAAAAGTTACGAAGAGGTAGATTAAATTTATGTTCTTGTGGAAGTCTATATTGAAAGTATAAAGGTAGAAAAATTGAGGTTGAAATTTGGAATGTAGAGTGAAGAAGGGATAGTTATAATGAAATGTGTATTTTTTTGCAAAAACTAAATCCGATTTTTTTCTTTTGAATTTAGTCCTATTTAAAGTTTTTTTGTTTTCAAAATTCTAATTAAGGTGTTTAAATTGTATTGATTCAATATGAAAGTTTTTATGCAATCGATAGTCCTATCTATAAAGTCTTCTATTCTACCGCAGCATTTAGAGAATCTAACAATTTCATTAGTGAATGTGTTGAAACCAATATTTCGAGCTACATAACTGTCGTGATGAGGGTATCTGATTATTTGAAAATTATAGTCATCCGTTTTGTTATATAATTTGCTTAAGATTTTTTGTTCATCGATTGAAATATCTAAGTCCAAAAATTGGGTTTTATATGTTTCCGTATTGGTTTGGTTAAGTTCCAATGAGTTATGGTATAGTGTGTTGGTGATTAGGGATAAGTTTAATTTATTTTTATCGTAAATTATGAATATGTCATCCATGTATCTGGCGGCGTGGAAAAAGCGTCTGTCGAAAAGGATTTTATTGTTAATTATAAAATTGTATTCCATGGCCGTTAAGGTAAGATCTGCTATAAATGGAGAGGCGTTGTTGCCTTGCGGTATTCCGTTTACTTGTCTGAAGGTGAATCCGGCGAAAGAGACGAAACTATTGCTCAGTACGAATTGAACCATGTTTGAAATCTGGGATTTAGTGAAAGTTAAACTATTGGGATAAATTTTATTATTGGGATAAGAGTAAAAAGGTTTTTTTCCTGTTTTTGGTCAAAGTCACTCCAGTAACATCAATTCCTGCGTTCCTAAAACAAATATCTAAGATGTTATTGATGGAATTAAGTATTTCAGAGTGGGGGTAGGTTAGTAAAGAGTGAGCTGAAATCGCCGGAGTATAAACAAGTGTTATTTCTGATTTTGAATTTATCAAAATGATGAATTAGTTTAAGACTATTATCTATTGACCAGTTGATACAGATATTATTTCTATTTTCAATGACGTTATTAATGTTACGAAAGTGGTTTTTTTGAGATGAGAAAGTAAATGTTTCAGGACGACTGAAATAGGTTTGATGGAGCTGTTGTATGCTCCACAGATGAATCTAATCTTGGTTGGGTTTTTTTGTGTAATTTAGAATTCCGTAAATTTTTAGGAAGAACATATTTTTTTCATTTTGATTCATAATTCTAAAAATTGCCTAAAAGATCATTGATTTCTTTTTTGTGGCGTTCGAGTATAACAGTCGAGTTTTGTCCGAAATTTTCATATGTTTTGTTGCTATTGTCGAGCTCAAGAGATTTATTGGCATAGTTAATTGTAACACCCATCTCTTTACATAGAAGTTGGCAATATAGTTTTTTGCAAGTGAAGCTGTAGTTAGCTGAAGCTTTATCAGTATTAGTGATAATAAAATGTTCTTGGAGTTTTTTTTGATTGAAGTGTAAGGAAGTTTGCAATCAGAATTATTTCTGGTTTTTTTCTAATGATTATGTTTCTTTGATTGTCAAATAGAAAGGTAAGATCGGAGTTGATTTTTTTGTGGTGATTAAAGGATAAAGTTTAAATTTGTTGTCTAACTTTTTTTAATGATAGATCTAATGTTAGAAAGACATTCGGCGTTGTATACATTGATATCAGTATGTGCGTAGGAGCGAAATTTGGTACCAGCGGAAATGATTCTATTAAGTTTAGGGCATTGAATTAAATCTTTATCACCAGATATGACGTGTCCGGAATGTTGAGAATCGCGATGAAATGGAAATTGATGGCATGAGCAATCAGATGAGAGTATATCAATAAGTTTGTGAGAGTCCAAGTTGTTCAGGAAGTAATTGTAGTTAAAGATTCTCGAGCTAACTGGATTGTGATACTTATATCTCATATTGATTTTTGATGATGTTATCCCCGAGCATATTGTATTGTTTCAAGTTATCGTTTAAGAGTTTTTTTAAAAAAATATGACTAAGGTTGGATTTTTTTCCAGTGCATCAGAATAAGTAAAGTTTAAATTGATTTCAAAGTTGTTTGGCGTATTTTGGAGTTTTCTTGTAAACTTTTGTTGAAATCTAATGGAGCAGGCATTTATAAAAATATTTGGTTTCTTCTGTGCAAGCGTTTTTAAAGTTAGTGTCACTTTTAATTGTTTCTATAAGAGATCTGAATCTTCTATGTTTAGTAATTTCAAAAATACAAGTGTGAAGATCTTTAGTGTTACAACTATTGGTTATGTTTATTATGTCTGAATGGTTGATTAATTTAGAGATATTTTTATCTTTTGATGAGGACTTGTGTCTTTTATGGTTAGGTTTTTTTAAAATTTTGATTTGGAAGTAAGGAGATTTGTTTTGTTTACTAGAATTAGAATTAGACATTATATCAGTTATATTAGAAATGTTGCCAAATTTGCTTATTTGATCATTAAACCCGAAAGGAAAGGCCGTATGTAAAGTTTGAATCCAGTGAGTTTCTTTATCTAGGCGTATTCTATTATTTTCATTGTTGATGTTATCTAATATATATACTTTTATGCGGGGGTTAAGTCTGTCATGGGATATGTTGTCGAAATGTGAACAGAAAAAGGTGTGAAGTTTGTTGTTTCTTATGCTATAAAGATGTTGGTATATCCTTGATTTAAGCTTTTGTTTGGTTTCTCCAACATATTGCTTATTACAATCTAGGCATTCGAGACAGTAAATCAAGTTTTTGGAATTGCAATTAACATTTGCTGATTTAACAGTGTTGATGCGATATCCTGTGCTTGTGCTATAAATAAAGTGAGAGAAATATATTAAATCGCAGTATGAGCAAGATTTTGAACTACATCTAATTCCTTTTTTTCGTAAGTGAATTCTTGAAGTAATTTTTCTATTGTTGTTACTTATATTTTTTTGTTTTTTTATATCTTTTTTTGGTGAAGTAGCTTAAAGCTTTACGAGTATCAGAGAAGTCAAAGAGGTAGGGATTATCTTTTTGGTTGGTTGGTTGGGCTGTTTGTTCTGTTTCTGTGAGTGTGCTGCCTTTAAATCAAAATAGCCTGGGGGCATTTCCAGACTACAGTGCCGAAGTATTTTCGCCGTGAACCATAATGGCGCCCGGCTTTTCGGGGGAATAGGACTGTCTTCCACCATCATTTATAGAGTTCGCTCGGTGGCGAATAACTGTACTCCGGCTGTCCACAGTTATCCTTGTATAAACCACATCGAGGAGAGTGCTCTTTTATTGAAAAGATATGTATTAATTGAGAAATAGATTAAACAACCCGTTTTGTTTGGAGAGGTTTGGACCCGAAGTCCACAGAATTTGGAGAGGTTTGGATCCGAAATCCACAGAATTTTGGAGAGGTTTGGACCCGAAGTCCACAGAATTTGGAGAGGTTTGGACCCGAAATCCACAGAATTTGGAGAGGTTTGGACCCGAAAATCCACAGAATTTGGAGAGGTTTGGACCCGAAATCCACAGAATTTGGAAAAGGTTTGGACCCGAAGTCCACAGAGTTTGGCGAGGTTTGGACCCGAAGTCCATAGAATTTGGAAAAGAATGTATGGAAGGGTTATGTATATGAAAAAAATGTAAAATTACGATGTTTGAATTGGTATATATTTGATATGTATGAATGGAAGAAGGTTACTGTATTAATTGTGGTGTATGCAGATATTGTGTGAGTGGTGAGTTTTAGAAATATTATTATAAATGGTTTTTTTGGGATTATTTGTTGTTTGAGAGGAATTTTCTAATTATTTAAGCTAATACATTTTTTTATATTCATTTGTATTTGTATTAAATAATAGTATTATAGAGAAATGGAGCTGGAGGATCAGCTTGTGGTGCTCGAAGGCACGCCAAATGTGTCGCAGGTAAACTCTCGAGATAAGGATATCGGCGAAGAGTTGGGAGAAATTCGTATGCAATTGTCTTCTCTGGAGAGGGATGAGATGGCTAATACGGTAAGCGAGATCTTATTTAGAATTAAATGATTGAAAAAGGAATTATTTCGTGAATAGTTAAGATAAAAAGTAAAAAAATTTTTATTTGCTAGAGTTATATATTTTACTTTTTTTATTTTACAACTTGTTATTAAAAAAATTTACGTGTTCCTAAAGGGGAGCCGACTTCAGTCTGTGTTTTTGAATTTATGCATGACCTAAAGTAAGTTATTAGAAAATTATAGAGAATTTGATTTTATTATGGTTCAGAGTTTCGATAGATAGAGGAAGTTTGTTACGTGTTGTGTTGGGGAAGCCTAATAAGGCTTTCCCAATACCAATTATAACAATGAAGCTGTCGCAAATGGCATATGAGGATGTTATCCAAAAACCAGAGGTGATGGAAACAATCTGTCTAGACTGAATGAGAAAAAGATTTGGAGTTAGTGTAAGTTAAGTTTGCTAATGAAGTTAATTAAATTTTTGAATAATCTTAGGATAAACGAAAAATGGATACGGATTGAGATTGCGAAGTCATTCGTGGAAAGAATGCATGAAAGCATATTCATGGGAGTTTACATGTAATAGGATTCTAATGAGAAATATGAGAAAAATTTTTTTAAATTTATAGGGATGTACAACGTAAGTTTGGGATTGCGGATGATTTGACTGTGAGGCGTCATCAGTTAAATAAAGGGATCGATTTCGTATTCGTTACCAAGGAAGGTAGACGAATAACGGTGAGTATGAATTGTCACGAGTTAATTAAATTTTTAGAGTAATATGAAGACTGTACCATATGCTGATTTACCTAAATTTTTCCCAGATGAATATCAAAACTCGTTAGAGGTAAGTAGAAATTAATTAAATCAATAAAAATTACATAAACTATTAAGTAAGAGTTATTTAGAAGCAAGCTAGCAATGCTCGGAGAATTCGTACAATGAATCGAATTTTTATGCAATGGGGATTTACGGTTGAATTCAACGGTCAAAAGCTCGGATTTGCGGGAAAGGCCGACGAGGAAATTGCCAAGTTTGGAAAACCACCGGTGGGAGGTATATAGTTAAAGAAGTTAATTATTAATTATATATATAAATTAATTATAGGAAAGGAAATTTTTGAAACGTTGGATTGAAAAAGTTTTCGACTCCGGAAAAGTGTTGTGAAGGAAAGAAACACAGGGGATAAGGAGAGAGAAGGCAGTGGAGGTGTGTTAAATGAATTATGATAGTAAAAATAAATATTAATTCCTTTAGGAAAGAAGCGGCGTCGTTGGTCAGATGGAAATCAAAGTTTGGCGGTCAAAAACGGAAAGAGGAGGTCCGATGAACGTCGTGGTAATTCGCGGGATGAACGTCGTGACGAAGTTTCCGTAAGAGGCCATCGAAGCTCCTTTGGAAGAGGTGTGAGAAATTAAAAGTATAATGTTTGTTTTGATTTTTGTTTTATTCTATAGGTGTGAATGTTAAATGTTCATTATACAGTTGTCGTTGGATGAGTAAAGTAAAGTAAAAGTATAATGCATGTTTTAATTTTGTTATATTTTATGGGTATAAATACCGATGGTTTAAAGATAATAATATTTTATGTCGCGCAGCCGTTTCGGGTCCCAAAAATGGACGGCTTAGAGGGTGACCCATCGTCAGCATTTTACCCTCTTGCTTTAAATCAAAAAAATGTTATAAAAGATTTTTAGCTATTATACCTAAATTTTTATACAATTTTGAAAAATACATACGGATTTTAATCCTGCCCAAGAGCATTTCAAATTCCTAAAAATTATGTAGAATAATTTGTAAAAAAATTTAGTGCGAATTCATCGCAATGTCAACCTTCGACGTCCTGATGTCGATAAGGTATGATTTTTCTAAAAAGCCTTCCGACATAACACGTGCTATTTAGCACTCTTCGAGACACGACGTTATGAAGCGTTTGAGGAATCAGATCGGCTCTGCGTGTCAATTGGCCGACTTGACTGACATCGGTATTTTAAATTTAAATATTTTTTTAAAAATATTTTTTTCAATTCACTTAGATGTACTTATTTTTTTAATTGTAGGGCCCGCTGCCAACGCCGACGAGCGCACTGCTTTGGATACAATCAAGTTGGAGCTTACTCAGCTACTTGATGAGATATCGCCTTCGCATTCTCCTCAGGGGTCCGCCACCGAGTCGGACTGAGCAACCGGTTGACTGTTCTTGGTTTCGGTCCATAACTTATTGCACCTGTTTATGTGAACCCTCATAATGTCGCCGATGGCGAGAGAAACACATTTCTTTTATGTTTTTTCTTATGAATCATCATCGCCTTTATCCTTTTTCCCCTTTTCATTTCTCTTCTTCCACACACTGTACAATACGTGTCTTATTTTTGCGCTTGTATTATTCTTATCGTGTTAGATAAAGGTTTAATTACCCAAGTTTGAGGTACAGGGTGACAAATAAATATTCAAACGCGTTTGAAACGTTATAACTTTCTCAAAAGTCAACCAAACACCACCAAACTTGGAACAAATTTTATTCATACAATATAGAAACAAAATTCGAGAATAGTTTTCAAAACGTCTTCCTTTAGCTTTGATAACGGCCTTCAGTCTCTTCGGATACGCATCGATCACGGCACGAAGGTAGTCGTCGTCGATTTCGTCCCATTTCTTGATGAGGGCGGTCTTCAGAGCTTTGATACTTGGGTAATTCTTAGAAGAGACCTTCTCGGTCAGATATATCCACACGGCATAGTCCATCGGGTTGAGGTCGGGCGAGGAAGCAGGCCAATCAGCATCCGAGATGAACTCGGAAAATTGGCGCGAGGCCACTCTAGAGTCCCTTTGGCACGATGAGCGGGGGCGCCGTCTTGCTGGAAGGTCCATGGTCGGTTTCCGTAGTGAGAATTGGCTCAGGGCAACACCCCCAACTTTAAAATCTACTCCCAGTAGTATACTTGGTTCACTTTGACTCCAGAATCCACAAAATTCAGCGGAGTTTTGTCGTCAGCGGTAATTCCGGCAAAAACCATCACGGAAGCCAGATGCGAAGTTTTATTCAGAATTTTTTCTTTTTCACAGGCACTCTGATAGTCAGTAACGATGATCCAATGATTTTGGCCGTTCTTGTTCGCCTCCACAGTGAAGATTTTCTCGTCGGTAAATAGCGTCGTCAGATGCGAGCCATCTTTCGTGCCAGCGAGCAGCTTTCGAGTCTTTTTCATGCGCAATGTCTTGTTTTTTTGATTGAGGAAGGCTCCTTTCTGCATACGGTAGGGAATCATCTTCAGCTTGTCCTTGACAATAGTTCTCATCGATTCTCGACTCATTTCGTATTCTTTTGCCATCTTTCTCATGCTTCTTCCGGAGTGCGTCTGATTTTCTCTCGAACGGCTTTGAGTGCTTCTGGGGTCGTGACGGTGACTGGAAATCCCCTTCTTTGGATGTCATCTGAAGTACCGAGATGCCGATAGCGTTGTGCAGTTCGAAAAACGAGAACACGAGACACTTTCACCTTTTTACCGATCTCTGAGTTCGTCATTCAGCTTTTGACACAATCAATGATTGCGGTAGGGTACAGAGATGGGGCCACCATTACCTGAAAACTGAAAAGTATGAGCTGTAACTTCAAACACATGATAAGTGAGCCTGAATGAACGAAATAAACAAAAAAATTCAAAGGCCAGTCCTTTGTGCAAAAAGCAGCGATCAAACAAAAAACGGTTTGAATATTTATTTGTCACCCTGTACATTTGGCGACAGATAAAATTGCATAATTATCTTCTTCATCACATTTGCAGCTCTGCAAATAAGAACTAGAGGTGAAGGAGTTAAATTCTACTTCCTGGGAACTTATCTTATCCGGCAAATCTCGCATTGAATCTCCTCTGAAGTTATTTATTTTCAGCTTTTTAGCGAGCTCCATGAGATCTAGATTCGTTAGTGGTTTCAAATTTTTAAAAAATTTCATTTATTGAGCATTATTTTTATTCAAAATGTTAACGCAATATTTCGACCATTTCGACCACTGGATTTCGACCACATTTTTTTAAGGTAGCGCATTTCGACCTTTTTTTACCATTTTTTTGAAAAATTGTTGAAAATGACACATTTTTAAAGAGTTAAGACTTGTTTATGTTAAAAAAATAAGTCTTAAAAATGGCTTAAAAAAATGAGAAAAATTGAGGATGGTCGAAAAAGGTGCGCTAGAACGGCAAAAATACATATTATTAAAAAAATAGGCAACTTTGATACTTTTTGAATATTTGAATATTTATTTTACTCTGGTACATAAAAACAAAAATGAACTACAAATAAAGATACATAGCTTGAGCAAGAATTATATTAGAGTGAAATTAGGACCGGTTTTAATACGCCCTCACGAGCGAATTTACCGGTATAGAGAATAGGACACGTAGTAGGATTTTTGATCACAGTAGACGTAAGGGAATGTTGGAAAAGAGTTCTTCGTTGCTTAGCGAGTCGAGAAACTTTCTGAAACGGGTGGTAGACGTGTTAGGGTTGAATCTTGAGCAGAGTCTATTCCAAAGAGGAATGACAGTGCTAAAAAAACTATTAAATCTGGGACCAGTCTGAATCAAACGAAAAGGATACCGAGGTGAACGACTTCTACTGAAAAACTTTTCTGCGCTAGGAAAGTGGTAAATGCCCAGGACGATTTTTTGAAGAGTTACTAGAGCAATAGAAGTTCTCCTACGGAAAACGTGAGTAGAACCGAGTACATCAAGGCGATGGGAGTATGTGTCAAAGGATTTATTACGTATCATGAAAACTTGCCTAGTAAAATGACGGTAAGGTTTTTCAAGTAGCACGGACAGTTCTGAATTTATAGGCGGTGAGAAGATTTCAGAGCAATAGTCAAGATAGGGTCTAGCGTACATGTTGAATAGTAAATTATACTGCTGGATGTTCAAGTGAGCAAAAGCTTTGAGCAGCTGTTTAGATTTGAGAGTGGCAATGTTGACTACATGATTAATGTGAGGGCTGAAACACAAATTTTTATCGATAAGGAGACCGAGGTCTCTGACAACAGTTTCAGATCGAATAGGTGAGCCATTAACATTGTAAACATGTTCAGGATTGTTCCTGCCTAGATGAAGAACAACAGTTTTATTGGCCGCAACTGGGAGGCCCCAAGTTTTAGACCAATCGAGCAATCTATTTATACTGTCTTGGATAGCATCAGGGTTATCGGAAGAAATTTTCAAGTCATCGGCGAACAAATATGAAGTAACGGAAGAGTCGAAGATATCTGGTAGGTCGTTGACAAAAATCAGGAAAAGAAGAGGGCCAGTGACAGTGCCTTGCAAGACTCCTGAGACCACGTTGAAGCTATCAGCAGAAGCTAGGCCATCAATTAAAACTCTAGATGTGCGGCCAGAGAGCAAAGTTTTAAACCATTTGACCATGGTAGTATGGAATCCGAAAGTTTCTAGTTTGGCAATAAGAAGGTTGTGTGGGACATAATCAAAAGCTTTCATGAAATCAAAATAAACGACATCGATTGGTAATCCCCTACTAATAGAAAGTTTCCAGTTTGTAACAGAGTCGAGGAGAGCAAGAGTACAACTTCGATTGTTGAGGAAGCCAAACTGACGAGGAGAAAATTTGAGTTTGAAGCTAGATTTAATGTGGGTGGCAATTGTTCGCTCCATGAGTCTTGCGAGAAGATGAGTGAGACTTATGGGTCTATAATTTTCGGGATCAGACTTTTTGCCTTTTTTATGAATTGGAACAATGTGAGAAAGTTTCCAGGATTGAGGAACAACACAAGAGAAGTATGAATCTGTGAAGAGAATTGACAGCGGAACAGAAAGGGTATCTCTACACTGTTTAAAAACATAGAAATTCATGAGATCAGATGAGATCAGATGAGAAGCCAGTTTTGGGAGCCAATTTAGAAATGAATTTATGAATGTTGAGAGGAGAAAAGTCGGGATGAACAGAAAATGGTTTGCCGGTTGGAAAAATACAAGGAATTTCGAAATTTTTTGAGTTGCGGTTAGTAGAAAAAACGTCAAGAAAGGCAGATGACTTATCAATGTTGGATATACAATAAGCGCCTTTGTGCTCTAAATGAGGTATGGTTGGTTTCAGTTTAAGTTTTTTAGAAACATTTAATTACAGATGAAGGATTTCCAGAACGAACAACATCAAGTTCATTGCGTTTGAGCAGGAGCTTAACCCTATTTTTGAGACGAGAAAGCGAGGAGTTGAACCTAGATCTCTGGGTGAAAGTAAGCAGCCCTTGTCTTCTCAGGCCAGCTTTGTTTCTAATGAGACTTCTTATACTACAACGAGAGCGATTAGGTCGGAAAGGAGGATTGGAAGGACAAAATTGATCAATTAGTTCATTGAAAGTATTACAGAAATGCTGGTATTTGTTTTCAAAGGAAGAAAAGAAAGAAAATTGTCTGGGCCAATTGTAGGAGAATAAAGCATTATTGATAGCAATATAATTACCTTTGCGGTAATTTTTTCTAGGTCTGACTGTGTTAATAGAACGATGAGGGTCACTTTTCAAAAGAAAGGAAACTCCTATGTGATCGGTAGCGGAGGGTTTACAGGTAAGATTGAGGACAAAAAGGGATTGCAATCCGTGAGTAAGACATCAAGGATGGTGTTAGTACCACTCGAAGAAAATCTAGTTGGGAAATCGATTAATTGCTCTAGGTTGAAGCTTGAAGCAAACTGAAACATTTGGTTAGTATGACTAGCATTATCATATTCCAGGAGATGTTAGGAAGATTAAGGTCACCAAGAACAATGTTTTTAGAAGATCCAAGAAGAAGAGACAAACTTTCTATAAGAATTTTTGTGTACTCGCTGCTACTGTCCGGTGCTCTACAGATTAGATTGAAACGAAATTTATATCCTGGGCAAATTAGGTCAAAAGAAATTATTTCGCAGTAATGTTTCAAGTAAAAATCGTCCAACCTGGCATCCAGCTCGATGATTTTCAAACTTTTCCTGTAGAGAACCAACACGCCTCCTCCCGATTTCTTGTCGTGCTCAGGACGTTGATCACATCGAATATGGAAGTAAAAATCATTGGTTAGCAAAGAATCGACGAACGAGTTGTTCAAAAACGATTCAGAGACGAAATAAAGGTCAAAATTCTCAAGATCCAAGTAAGTTATCAAAATTTTAAACTTAGAAAGAGATCTAATTGATCGAGCATTAATAAGAAGCCATTTGAGGTTGTTGAAGTTATTCTGATCAGATGTTAGTGAATCAAATGGTTTAGACGTTTTTTTACAAAAAGAGTTAGTCAATTTGACATAAGTATTAGGGATATTTACATTAGGAATAACATTGAAATTAGAGTCATTAGTATTTACAGGAATTTGAGGCAAAATAGCAAGAGGAAAACGTTCGGGCCGCGAAATCGACGGAGTCACCATGAAGGACTCAGACTCACCGTAACCAACCGTGTGTGGGGTAGAAAAATAAAGAAAAAAAGGAGGAGGATCACAAACGGGTCCACGGCTGGTGGGTAGGTGAGTGTGGGGGGAGGACTGGTAGGGCAAAACGGCATCGGAAAGCGCGGTAGTGACGAGATCCTATTGTTCCATGTCATTTGCCTCAGGCACGGAAGAAGGCGCCGCGGGCTGGGTTTCGACAATGGTCGGATCTTTGATCTTCGTTGAAACTACAAACTTTCTAGGTTTGTCAGTTTCGACGATTTCCAGGGTACTTTGTGTCCTCATCATTCAAAAACTAGAGTGTTTTGCAGGTTTAGGCTTTTCATTACCTTCATCTGGTACATCCAGGAGTGTCCTGGTCAATTTTCAAGCAAATCCCAAAAAAAAAAAGTGAAACGACGTTTTTCGTTAGGGAAATGGGAAAAATGAGTGCTGCAAAAACGTTGAAAACTATCTTTTCCGAAATTTTTTTCGTGTTGTTCAGAAATGAAATTCGTCTGATAAGTAATAGTTTTCGAGTTTTTCCAGCACATGTTTGACACCAGGTTTTTCTCAAAGCTCAATCGTGTTTGACAGATATTTTTCTTTCTGACGACTTTCAGAACAGAACCTACGAAAAAAGCTCTGCGAAGTACATCTCAACCTGTCTCCTAGTCAGCGAGCACACGGTGAATAAACTTTGAGATCATTCATTATTTTCTTTTTCGAATCATCGAGCAAGTTTCCATTGCCCAGGAAAAGGAAGCTCAAGATTGCAGTCTTCCAGTGCGATTTAATGAAATCGAAGTTTCTTTAAAAAGGGATCTTTTTCCCAGTGAAATTTGATGATTTTCTTTCTCTGCATTCAGAAAAACCTCTGCCTAAACATGTAGTGTAAAAAGAATGGCAAACGTTTATTATTTTTCCATTTCAGAAATCGATGAAAAGGACATAGAAATCTGGACCGTTCAAGTGTAGACGACGCGGGGAAATTTCAGGAAACACCTCCTGCAAGTCAATTTTCATCATCATTTCCAAAAAAAAAAACCAAAATTTTCTAAAGGGATTCCGAATCGAAAAAAAAAATCTATTTATCCTACTCTTCACGCATTTATCATCCAAAATAAATTCGGAACGCGGTGCGACTAGTGAATAATTCAAGAAAGAATCTGGGCGACGGTGGAAAATAAATAAAATGAAGTAGGATTTCCTACCGTTGAAGACGACGTTCTCGTTTTCCCGCGCCTGACGGTCTTCTCGTACATCATCTGAAAGTTGGATTCGGAAGTCTGTGGGGATTCTTCGGGACCTATGACGGAGTTGACGAGCTCACGGAGGCGGTCTGAGCAGCCGTCGCCCACGGCTTCCAGCCCTATCGGAATGTTTATTCGACCTATCGCTATTTCTCGAGCGTGCACGTTCTGAAAATAGAACAGTCTGGAAAATTATAAGAAGAAATCTTCTCAAAATTGACAAAAAACATTGATCTTAACGTGCTTGAAGAACTTTCTTCATGTTTTTGGCTATTAAAAAATATGTTTTCTAAAAAGATATAAACTTCAAAGACCCAGTTTTTTTTTTTCAAACTTGGTCATGTTCATATTGATACATCAAGAAAATAGTTTCTCTAAAATGAAAGTTAATTCATCAGCCAATTTAGAGACATTCCACTCTTATGAAACAGAAAACCTCTTCTGTAAGGCATCACTGAATTGACAAAAAAACTTTTTTATATTCCGGCAAGTCAGAAAACGAGCGAAAAATGTAGAAACTCGGAAATACAAAAAAGACATCCTCTGAACGTTTTTTACAAGCTTTTCAACTTTTTGAACGTATCTGAAATTTCTATGAACTTCAAAGAACCTGAGCTAGAAAAGCTGGCAAAAACTGATTTTTCCTTGAAAGTGGAGCCTCTGATATTCGAAAACTCCGCTTGACTTTGCATAGGAATAAAAGCTCACTAAAAAGATACTTTATAATAAGTCTTGAGCCAAGTCTATCTAGTTTAAAAACATTTTTCTTTCCAAAAAAATCATCTCAAGAAGTAAAGGATGATACGAACCTTGAGATGCCGATTGCAGTGAGAATTTTTTTCGTGAAAGCTTTCCCGCATAAAAACGCACATGAAAGACCGTTCGCCACTGAAAAGGAAAAAGAGAAAAAAATTTTTCAAAAAAATAACCTGTGCGTTTTTTCGTGTAAAGCTCGCGCAGAAGAGGAAGCAAATGACTTTCCACACTCCCATGTGCATGGGTAAGGTCGCTCGCCTTGAAATATCACAGAAATCGGGGCGATGTGAGATGAATATATGGATATAAGTTGAAAAAGAATGTACCGGTATGTAATCGAATATGACATTTTAGAGCGCCGTTCTGAGTGAATCTAGCAGGACAGTACATGCAAGCGAAAGGGCGCTCGCCGTCGTGAGACCGTTTGTGTTCAATCAGTTTCGAATAGTACTGAAAAAAGGCTTGATAGTGTTCGCAAGGCTTTTCTTTTTTCAAATCAGTCGCTTTTCTTCTTAGTTCTCTCAAAAACTGGAAGATGTTTGGTCAGAAGTACTACGATTTTTCCTCGCCATAGATTGGTTTTTGATTTGAGACGCTTCAAAGCTTAAAATAGTAAAAACTTTCTCTAGTAAACACAGACGGACGCCGTCTTTTCGCGCTACAGAGTTTTCTCATAGATTATTATATTTTCTTTTGTTTTCATGCATGTTTTTTAAAAATGACGCGACCAAAAATGGAAAAGATCTCTTCGACAAGTTTGCAAAAATGGTTGAAAAAGCAAAAGCTGTAATGTGCGAACGCAGTTCCAATTTTTGCGTGAAATCGGAAAGAAAACCTTGATCATTTTGCCGCAAACGTCGCAGGCGAAGCTGTAACGTTCATCTCGTTTCTTCGACTTCGCATCCGTATCGTCAAGGGATAAATACAATGTATTTTTGGAGGTCCCAGGAACGTCTCCAAGGGCCACGTTGTTTATCGTCTTCTGTAGCCGACGGTTCCGTAGTACTCGCACCTGATGATTCGACTGAAAAATTCTTCACCATCTTATTTCTTAATAGATTCTGACATAGTCTTCGTCGCAAAGGTCATGCTCAATGTACACGGGATTGCCTTCTTCGTCGACGTATTCTATGCTTTCATCCTGCTCAATATCTTCTTCCTCTTCCTCTTCTTCTTCCTGTTCCTCTTCGAGTAGATCATCTTCTATTAGCGAAAACTGATTAACATGTTCCTCAGCCTCAACGATTTCCTAAAAAGAACAACAAAAACTAAATTGATTTCATGATTTCCTGGTTCTCTCCCTACACGCCAGAGTTGAACGGAAGAATATTGCGGAATTTTTCAAAATTTTTGAAAAAGAAGTTTTTTTTTTTCAAGGACGGGCAAGGTCTAAAAGGTCTATTAAAGGCCTCAAAATCCCTTTTTTTGAAAAAGGACCTTTTAAGGAGGTTGAAAAAAAGGAGGAGGAAAAAAAAAGATTCCGAGACACTCCTTTTCAGGAATCCAAAAAGAGCTTTAGGCTCTACTTTTTGAGGCCTTTTTGAGGTCGTTTGGACTTTATCTGTTAAAAAAGTTTACGGAAAAAACTGCTATTTTTTTAGTGTTTTCAAAACTTAATCAAGGTATTTTTATAATTTTCCATACACTCCTAGATACTCTACCATTAAAAAAAAGTTGTACCTTCCAAAAAATTCCACTTGATTTTTCTTATGCAAATCTCTTGAGTGCAACTCTTCTACACGCCACAGAACCTGTCCGTGAGCGAAAAATAAAAATGCCTTCATTCATGATTTCACAGCAATAATCGTTTTTGATATTTTATGTTTGATAGAGAAAACTTTCGAAAAAAGAGAAACTCAACTTGTACTGGCCACAGTCCGTCGGCATCATTACTATAGGCGAAAAATTCCTGGGAGACATTCCGACATCCTAAACCAGAAAAAAATTAATTTAGAAAAAAATTAACTTCAATGAATACTTACGTTCGGGGCGTCAATGTGGATTGCACATTCACTTGCAACATTGTCTTCTCCTGTCTGAAAAAATTTTACAGTACATTTTTTCAAACATATAAACGTTTTGATTAATTTTAACTGATGAATTTGGAGATCCTACAGTTTCAGAGGCTAAAATTTTCGATCTTAATGTCGCAACTTACATCTGGATAGAACGGTGGCTCTTCGGAATGAACATCTTCTCCTTCGAAAATTTGCACGGTAATCGATTCGGCAATCATCTCTCGTAACCTTTTCTCGTCTTCTATTCTCCGTTTGAACTCGATGTTCTGCAAATGTTATTTTGATACATAGAGAATTTAACTTTGAAGTTTTGAAAATTAATTTTAAAAAAAAATTAGTTAACCACGTTGAACGGATGTTGAGTTGCGAAGTGATGTGCGAGAGAGTCGTAGTTCATGGCCGGATAATCACACAATGCGCAATTGAACGGGAATTTTTTCACATGTCGGCTCCAAATGTGACTTTCAAGATGTTCCAAATTCGCTGAAAACCATTCCAATTTCCGAATTTTTTCGAAAAGGAAACTCACGTTCTTCTACAGTGCACTCGCAACAACGGAACACGATAGGATATCCTATCATTCCTCCAGAATGAAAAATATATTTGCCAATAGAGGTTCCTAGTAAAGTTCGCTGAAAACGAAACGACATTAACAAGTGATTTTGCGATAGTTCCACATTTTTACAAAAAAAAGAATATTCAGAACACGAATTTTTCAACGGGATAGTTTGCTAATGTTTTTCAAAGTCGTATAATCTGAGCGGGACACTTCATAACTTCAGTAGATGACGTAAAAATTTTGCTAGTTCTTTTTTTTTCGAAAATCACAGCAAGATATATAAAAAAATATTTATGTAATGTTATCTTTAATTGAATACTGGATTTATGTTTCTTTCTCGCAAAACTTTTACGCGTATAGCAAAGCTTGCTCCATTGAGAACTGTCTGACTCGGACCTCGGTCAGGCTTGTACGAGGGTCGGCCCGCCAGCCTATCGGGCTCCGACCCTTTTTTAAGTCCTGCCCGGCCTAAAGGAGGCCTCAAGCATAAATGGCTCTGACCAAAAAGCTCAACCTTCGTTCAAGTCGAATATCAAGAATTTTTACGGCAAAAGTCATAATTTTGTTCATTTTTTCCCTCGCAGTTCAACAGAATCTATGATTTTACAAGTGAAAATTATTTTTAGTTAAAAAATTTTTGATCAAAATTAATTTTTTTTTTTTATTCAAAGCCTGGCCTGGCTCAAGCCTGCGCAGGCTCTTTCTCAGAAATGACGCCCAAAGCACGGTCAACCGCACAGACCTGACCGCGGATGTTTCTGAGCGTTTCTAGTGATCCCTTCAGCGAGTTCAGCGCTTTGTGACACCTCGAAATGCTGAGAAACGTCCGGAGCGCGTCAGGTTCACCGAGAGCCGAGCCCTTTACGAAAAAGAAAGTTCTAATTTTGCGTGTGAAAAATGCATCATCTGACGCACATACCCAAATTAAATGACTATATCGCAGCATGCCGCAAGCGATATGGTCAAGGCTTCTTGCTGCGACCTCGTCAACATGTCGCTGCGGAATCGTCAAGCTCTCGCTGCCATATCGCTTCCTCTATTAAATTAAGAATTCAAAAATTTTTTCTCGCTTTATTTTAGACTTTAATGATGAGATAAATAAAAATTAAAGAGTTGATGAATTTTTTTGAAGAAAAAAATATTTTTAAAAAGAATGTTTTTTTAAGTAGGGATAAAGTTCTGACATATGTATGACTAATCCATAATATTAAGTGTTCATGAAAAAAACAGAAGAATGTAAAAAATATCCGAAAACTTTCAAAGCGAAATTCGTCACAAAAGTCAATTACAAGAAAATTATGACAAATTAATTTCCGCGAAATTCAAAATCATCTCTGCCTCTCCAAAACTTGGTTATCTTTTTTTCCAATGAGTGCTTGAATTTAGCGGAATCACTTCGAACACGGCATAATTCTCATAAAAAAAAATGCGTACCCAGAAAAAACAATCACTTTTTTGAATCAAGGCAAATGGGTCAAATGCGCTTCATCGCACGTTTTAATTTCACGCGCAGCTCAGACCACCCACGTTGATTGGCATGCTAGAATAGTATTATAATGCCGTTAACGCCGTGTTCAATTTGATTCCGCGAAATGCAAAATTATCCCTGACTCTCCAAAATTTAGTGATCTTTTCCTTTCTCTAACGGGTATTTTGCATTTCGCGGAATCAAATTGAACACGGCATAAGATTTATCAGGTTTAACTTTTTTTTTTCAATTTGCAGGTCCGAAATGTATACAGAGGTTAAAGAGATAGTAAACTTCATTTCGAAGTACTTGCTTGGAAGAGTGCCAAGAAGACCGGTATGTGAGCTTCTGCTTATCTCAATATCGTTCTATAGACTGGCATTTTTGCCGCTGAACTTGGAAACTTTCTCATCAGAAAGTTTGGTGAGTCGCATTGGGATGTCAACAACCCGAAACTCGGTTTACTTAGTTTAGCTTTCGCTTTTTTATCGCAGTATTAAGATGAAAACGTACGTATGATTGAAATAAAATGCAGCAATGAAACCTCCAAAGTCATAATCACAGCTGCCGAAGAAGCCGGCATTGATGTCAACGAAATGCTTCATCTTCTACCTGGTTAATTAACTCTTTTGATCCTAAGTAATGATCAAACATGCAGCCAACTTGCGACTCTTTGGCAATCCAGGTAATGTTTACTACCGTGCAGCGGAATCCGCAGTCGCGGTCCCTATATGGAGCGGTCGCGTCGATGCTGACAAGGAGTGCGCTTTCCGCCTTGAGAGTTTTTTGAACGTTGTTCCATTCAGTTACCAACCAATGCCTGAATGGGCGATCAACTGCGTGGTTAGAGACGCCGAAAGGAGCTTGAGCAATCTGGGAGCCGCCGGAAAGACTGTTTATGTTGGCCAACTCAAATCGCCAATCGTTGACAAGGGTTTCAATTCTTCAATAACGCTTAATTGTATCCTTCCAGCTGTCAACGAACTGATCAGCGGTTGGTATGTTCCCCTTGGACTTGAGGACAACGTGGAACTCAATTCGAATCTACACGCTTCGCGAACGGTAAAAAAATTGAATAATTTTATTTTTACTACATTCTTAAATTATTGGAACAATAATTGCAGTTATCGAATAATTTTTTTCACTATTCTTAAAAAAATGAAAAAGCTTTCGAAAAAAAGGAAAAAAATAACTGAAAAAAATTTGATGTTTTTGAATTTTTTTCTAATGTTGGTCGTGACGCCTCAAAGAGCAAAATCCTATTTTGTGCAATTCTCGCCGCTTGTCACGTTTTTTCTACAAGCTAAAGAACACCTAACGTTTTGTCGCCTTTAATAAAACGGGATTTTTTTTTGGCTATATCAAAGAAGTCATGCTCAGAAAAAGGCCCGTTATAGCCGATTCCGCGCCAGCTTGTCACGTTTTTCTTTCCACCGAAAATACCGTATACCAAAGAAGGTCGAAATTGAGCATCTTCGCTTCAAATTATTTGTTTTTTGCTCTTTTTTTTTAACAGTTTTATAGAGCGAAAGTTTGAATTTGCGGTGTTTTTTCTTTTCTGTTCTTTTAAAATGTGACTACCTTGCGCGGAACGCACTACAGTGTTGAAATTTGCTTTATTTGTGTACGGCACTCAAACAATTTTTGGATAGAAAAGTCATTTTTATTTGAATCACAAATGAACAACACCGAATTTCGGTTAGGCCTGGGCACACCGAATCGAATGAATCCAAAAAATACGCTCTACAGAACAAATTGTTTAAGGAACTCCGCAAGCGTTTCGTGTTCAAGCCTCATTCCAGTCAAACGTACACGGCCAGAGAATTCTCACAGACGAGATTCGGCAGCAGCAAGTGCCTTCGATCGCAAGAGATTGACTCATTCTTTGCTTCAGAATCCGACCTGACGTCGATGCGATGATGAGCTTGAAGCAGATGGCGGCAGCTAGGAACATGACGTCACACGAGTCGGACTCCCGTTCCCATGCCGATGGTTTGTTTCTTTTGGAGCTCGTTCCTAGCCGGTTTCAGCTTCTTCGCTGTCTTCTTCTCCTATCGATGAAGACAAAGTTATTTATGAAGACGAGAGAAGTTAGTTTTTTTTTATTGTGGCTGAACTTATAGTGCGTTTAATATGAATGTACGCAAGCAAATTTCTGAAACCGCTTTCTTACTCGGACATTGGTAACGCGAAATGGAAGTGCTCTGGGCATTTCTAGTGACCACTTTAGTAACGTCAGCGCTCTTAATTGATCCCTAGGATCACCCAGAAACGTCCGTTTTGCGTTACCTATGTTCAAGTACTTTGATTTTGACATTCTTTTTTTTTCCTCTGTAATTCCCAAGGACTTCGCTTGGTACTACCTTCCTAAAAAAAAACTTTCAGACGACACCGATTATGATCAAGCCAACCAAGACATTTTTGTAAGTTGATAATTTTTTTTTCTATTTTCAAACAAGAAGTAACTTTTCTAGATGGGAAAAGACGAGAAGCGTCGTTTTTGGGCTGACAATTGGAATGCCGGTTGCTGATTTGAAGTGGATCTTAAGTTTTCTGTTATGTTCTGTTTGTTCTCGTTGTTATAAACTTTGCATCAAAAAACAATTTTTTTTGTTCGACTGGTCATGGGGAGTGATAAAGTGATGTATCGTATCAAAACATAGATCAAGTCTAAAAATATAAAATTTATAAAAAAGTCTGTCAGACTAGTCGATTTTCTTGCTCAAAAATTTAATTTTGAAGTTTTTCCTGTTAGTTTTTTTTTATAGAAACGATACATTTTCATTATATTGAATGGGTAGATTTATTCCTCGAGTTAGTGTAATATAAAATTTCTATTCTTAGAAGTTCAGGTTATGACCTGAAAACGAGTTTCTTTCAGGCAACTTTTGAGAATTGTAGATTATTTTTGCATGGGGTAGACTGATAACAGTTTCCGGGAAGTCACGATGAGCTCCAATATTTTTTTCTATTTCTTTTCTTGTTGTGTTAGAATAGGTGTTAGACTCGTTGAAATCATGTGGAACCGGGTTCCTCTTGCTGTTTCGACACAAGCAGTCAACGAAAGGTGAACCGAAAGAAAGAGACGAATTCATAGGTTGTTTTGTTTCAGAGGGCACTGTCACTGTCGACTTGCGGTGTCGCGCATGTTTTTCTTTTAAACTCTCACTTCTCTCTTCTCCCATCTCCGTCCTTGATTCTCAGTAGGGGCGTGTCACTTGGCACAAAACACGCCTAGATGCTACCACGTCTCCTTGTGCTCCTCTTTCTTTATCGCCAGGTTTTTATTCACCATTTTTTTTTCTGAAATCAAGGTTAGGTCAGGTATCCGTTTGAAAGAAGAAAATTCACGCGAATCGAAAATTTTAATCACACAAAACCGGATGTTTTGAATGGCAGCGCTAACGTGTTCTGCGCTCTTTTCTGTCTTTTGTTGCCCACTGTAAAAACGATGCCAGTACAGTTCGGGATCATATGATAGAAAAAAATAAAAAAATTGTCCTTTTACTTAAGTTTCTGCAATCGGAATTTCTTTTTCACCATTCATTCTTTCAAAAACAATGAAATCTATCTTGTCGGGAAACTTCAAAAATTTTCTTCCGAATCGATAGTAAAAAATATTAGTCTGATTCAACTTTTTGATTGAATCAGACTAATATTTCTCGCAAAAAATTTACAGTAGAAAAAAATAAAGAACTCTGATTTTAACTTCAATTTGACCCAGATTTCTTAATAATTTTTTACTATGTCACAAAAAAACGTTGAGTAGTTACGCGAATCGAGATCCGAATAAATAATTTAGCGTGAAAAAAAAAAAAATAAAATCAAATATCTTTGACCGTTTCAAAGAAAGTTTTTGAAAGATAGTTAACCGATTAGGAAATGAGAGTCAGATAAAGAACATTTCTGATGTGCTTGTGAAATAAAACAACTTGTAGGCTGAAGCGTCCTTGTACTTGAACGAGACGGAGACGTGCCAGCGCGACGAAGGCTATGGCCGACGGTCCGTCGTCTGCGACCTCAACGGAAGACTTGCCGCAACCACGCGTCGCAAGCTCTCCGACATCCTTACGGGTCTGCGCGACCGCATCGGGTGTGCTCTTCTTTCCTAACTGTTGGCAAGGAGTAGAAAAAGTTTATTAATTAATTTTTTGATCGAAAAGAGGGTCTCACAAAGCTGAAGTCTGTTTAAGAAAATGATTGCTCATTTTTTTGAGGGAGCTAGACAAGTATACGGTAGATCATCACTTAAAAATCTGTTCATAATTAATCTTTCACTTTTGGAATAACGATGTAAGTTTTTGCGCTTCTAGAGACATAGCCAGCAGTTATAAACAGATTAGAAAATCTGAAATCATAGTCGATTCATGGCTAGCTTACGCTAAAAGGCGTGCCTGTCTGCGATCTCCATCAGCCAAACACTGTCTCTCTTTTTTTCGTGTCGGGACCCATTTTTCGATGGCTCAAGCCAACCGTGAATAAGCTATAGCTTCGTATTCTTATAATAAAATGAAAATTTTGTTTTGGTTGAGAAAGGTTATTTTTTTTTTGATGCGAAAGAAGGAAAATTATGAAGTTCGTTTTCTTTTTTTCGCTCATTTATACCGCCTAAGGTTTCGAAAAGTTTGCTATTCAAGTGTAAATGGGCATTGAATGACTCGCGTCCTGAACTGAAAAATTTCGTTACTAATGAAGTACACCAATTTATCGATTTTCTCTGGTCTCGAAGTGAAACAGACTAGCCAAAAAGTGTTCCGCTTGTCTCATTCGTACACTTTGCAGCTGCGAATGTGTTGACGGGTGCATGCGCGCCGATGGAACCGACGCCTTCATCGGTCTGCTTCACGTCACCAGTTCACACAATGTATGTGGTGACTATGACTGAAATCACTCTTCTTTGCAATCTTTCCTCAGCTCCTATTTCAGACTGAGGACTTGAAAGATGACATGAGAAAAGAATACGAAAGCTTGACGCTAGGAAACGCGACCTGTGATCACGGACTTATCTTGGTCTACCTGAAAGATACTCAACAGGTGGGCAACAAGCCAATTCGCGCAGCGTTGGCCTTGAAAAACCTAAGCGGTTTTCTGAAATTTTCGGCTGAACGAGGCCAATTGGATCAATGGGGGAAATGGCGGTATGAGGCAATGTACCGCCTTTTTTTTCGTTGGCTGCGCAAAATTCAAATATTATCATTGGCTATTAATAATGAGCTGGCTAGGACATTCCTGAGATGGAAATTAGAGGCGAATCGGGAAGGTACCATAATGTGTCCACAAAGATACCTCTCAAAATCGTGAAGACCCCCAGCATACCTTTTAGCGATATCTGAGCCGTATCGGAGGCCCTTGAGAGTCTACCTCAAATCCCTTTCATTTTGCTCAAAGTCCTCAGAGGTTTACTCGAGGTACCGTCGATAGAGTTCCGACCCTACGGCATAGCTAAGATGGTATTGCGATACCCTTTCTCGATTCGCCTATCACAAAAATTCCCAATCATACCATATGAGATTTTGAAAAAGGGTCGATAAACATTTCTACAAACAAGAAACCTAACTAGAGCCTCAAAATTAACAATTTTGGGACACAGAAAGCCGTTTTCAGCTCGCAACGTACAGAGGAGGAGATTCATTCGTACTTTTGACCGACGACGACATGCAGAAGCTGCACCACGTCGCCTCTCAAGTGATATCAAGCATTACTTCGCTCAAAAATTTTTCAAATTAAGCAAGGGCCGGAGAGCGATACGCTTGCTCTGCAGTACCTCCTCGCCAACTACAAACAAGTCTCTGAGAGCCCGATTCAGAACACTCCGTGGCTGGTGAGACAGAACTAGGCCAGCGCGTCTCGATTCATATCTTCCTTTTTTCGATGAACTAGTGCAATCTAAGTAAAACAGAAAAAAAATGGCGGTGATTTTTATCGAATTGCGTTGAGTTTAGTTTTTCAAGTCTGAAAACTAGCGAACTGCGAAAAGGTGTAACATAGAAAACAAATTATATTAACAGGAAAATGTAATGTAATTTTACGAAAAACCATTCTGAATGAAAAATTACCTCGTTTAACAACACATTTATACTTTCACATAGGCAAAGTCGGAGAGGGTGGAAAAAGGCTTCATAGAAAAGTTCCTTTTGGGGTGACAGAGGTTCCTTTTTTGCACCATTTTGCTGCCTCTCCCTTTTATCCACCATTTCTTGAGCCAAAAACCTAGAAAAAAGGGAAGGCTCGATAAAGGGACTCGTTTTGCTGCCTTTTTTGAGCCTCTCCCTTTTAGCGGACACCATTCCGACTTTGCCCGTGTACTCGTTCTCTGATCGCTTCTCGAATTTTTCACATATTTTCCTTATTTTTTATAAATAATAATATTTAAACCAACGACTTGTCCTAAATAATAAGAAAATGAGCTTCGAAGATATCTGAAAAAGGAACGTTTCTGCTTTCAGCCAGTAGTGGGACTGATTGTGGCCGTCTTGCTGGTCCTTTGCCTGCTCAGCATTCTGCTCTCGCTTCTCTGTGCCAAGTGCTTCTGCTGTTGCCGCAAGAACAAGAAGGAAGTCTATCAAGTCACCAAACCAGCGACATACAAGAACATCGAACCGCTCTACGTTATAACTCCACCATCGTATGGCTTTTTTTTACCTCTCATAAAGGACGAGAACTTGCAGGGCGCACAGTCATCGAATGCAAGACGGGATCTACTCTACGCCATACTCTGGAAGTCCGATTCCGCCGCCGCCAGGTACAACCGTGCCACTGACGCCTTCTTCAATTAACCGCCACAAAATTGACCGGAACTATCGTCCAAAAGACACGGTAGCTAATGGAATCTACTCATTGACGAAGATATCCTTTACAGATTTCGCGAAGCGAGATGGACTCTATTGGTCATGGGGACTTTGAGCAAAGACATATGATGCCGCCATTCCATGGAACGCCCACTCTTCCACACATGGATCCCACTTATGGAACAAGTAATTTTTGCGGAAAATATCAATAAAATAGTTTCTTTGAGTTCCCCGAGTGCGGCTGACAAATCTTCCACCGCCTGGACCGACTTCTCCTACGCCGTCTTCGCCAAGAGACCAAAACGATCTCCAGTTTTTAGACCCCAGAAGAAAACAAGAAATTCAAACGCGTGAAGAATTGATCTATTAATCTGCCATAATCTTTTTTTTCACACCCGAAAAATTTCAAACGCACAATAAAAAAATAATAACTTTTTTTACATGGATATAGCTCATGAAAACTATCTTTTCTAGCAGAATGGGAGGATGTTAAATAACGAATTATTTCATCTCATTTCAATAATTGTTTTGCCTCTTCCTTTGAGTAGTCCTACTTTTTCGTAGGCGTCGGTGATTTCAGAGAAAGGAACAACTCTCTCGACGATTGGAACGACCTGAATTTTTTGATTGAATTTTTTTCATTGGAAAAATCAAGGGCCAAAATATAAGTTTATTGTTTTTTAATTTTTTTAGTTGTTTCATTGCAAATAATACTCTCGAGGCCTATTAGGGTTACAAATTTACAATTTGATAAAATAAACCTTTCCCTCTTCGGCCAAATCAGCCAACTGTCGCATACAATTTTTGCTCGGCATGAAAAAAGCGTAGGTGTACCACCGACCTCGCAGTGAGCTCTTCAATTGAAATGATCAATTTCTATTTTAAGGTTTCAATGAAAAGAGCTATTTAAAATCGAAGTCATCTTTTCTCATTGCAAAATTATAACATTTTTCTTATACAACAACTCGAAACTTGAAAAAATTCTAATTTCCCCTAACCGGCGGATTTGGAAACGAGAGCCTCCCTGAGACAGAAGAGTTCTTGAAAAAGCAGAGTGTTCCAAGTTTTGGAGTAGTGAATTTACTTTTGAAAAATTTGAAGAAGGTAGACAACTCTCATATAACATTATAAAATGTTCTTATGACTTGATTATGGGTTCAAAATGATTTTTTTTTATTTAGAGTTGGAGCGTTCAGATAATGAATACTCATTTTTTTTATAACTTCTTTTATCTTTTAAAACAAAAAGAGACCTGGAAAGAACGATTGAAGTGCTTGAAAGCAGTGGAAAGAAGGCCTTGTGGAGTTCCGTACCGATCGGTGTCATTGAGCAACGGAGAAACGATAGAAGCATGCACACAGTTCCGCCAAACGCCCATCACCTAAGCCTTTCTCGATGATAGGTATACAATTGACCATTTCCAAACGTTGTCACTCCAACGAGACAGTTCGGAATCGACCGTGTCCAGAACCACTTCGAAAGGAGCAAGTGCAGCGAGTTTGTCAGTGGCTTGCGGACACCGATAGTCCACTGGGATCGCTCCCAATTTTTGCACGGCCTCAAAACTACATGAACGATTATTCATAGAGTTTTTAGTGATCTGAAACCTGTCACTCGAACACGTCGCCACAACTTTGTCCACGCCCCATGCTTTCAGCAACTGAATCGCCATGCTTCCAACTCCACCCGCGCCGCCATGGATCAACACCCGCGTTCCTTAAAACAAAGCTAAAAACTAAAAATTTATGAAACATCAGTTTAATTACCAAAAACGAGATCAGGCTTAGAAAAATTTTCCAAAAAAACTATATTTCCCGACTGAGAAACATTTTCTACCCCCCAGATGCAACTTGTCTTAAATTTACTTCAAGACCTTCTGATTGCAAAACAAGAAAAAAAATTCTCGTAATTAGATTCAATACATGAAGCTTTAAAGTTTGCAAAATACGCAAATTATGACAAAAAAGCTATTTGAAGTTTTTGAAGCGGCTTAACTCGGAAATCAGATATTTTGCGAGAAATCTTTTTTTTTTGTTCTGCAATCTTAAAGCGAATTTTAGCAAAGCTTCATGAAAAATTCCTCAATGAGCTAAACTTTTACAGAGTTATACCGTCAAAGAACAAACTTCCAACGTTTTTCGGGTCAACTCGCGCAAAGTTGACCAATGCAGAGTAGGCTGTGCTCGCGACATAAGGTAGGGCAGCGGCTTCCGTGAAGCTCAGGTTTCGGGGCTTCGCAGCACAGTAGTCCGCCTCAGTGACTACGTATTCAGCGTGGGTTCCTTGAAGTATCGCTGGAACCACAGCGATTACCTCAACCGTGCGAGTGAGATAACCACTTTGGCCTTTTTCCTTCTCACTTCATCTCCGGGAACAAAGTCGTGCACGCCACCGCCCACAGCTACCACAGTTCCAGAGCAATCTCGGCCTGGAATCACAGGAAAATGCGATGTGGCCAAGTCGCAACTGTCTGCCTTCTTCCACTTCCCTAGCAAGTCGCGACCGTAGCCCTTGGCCATTTGGACATCGAGTGGATTAACACTGGATGCCTAGGCGATTCTTTTCTTAGAAAGCGATGGACAAAAAAACCTTGACTTTGATGAGAACTTGAGAGGATTTTTTCATAGTTGGCAGAGGGACCGTTTCCAATTTGATACCCGTCGTGTCGGTTGCTTGCCACGCTTGCATAACGTAGGTTCTCGAACTCAAACATCTTCGAAAAACTTTCTCCATCTACAAAAAGAGTTTTTAAAGACAATAAGAATGAAACTTTTGCAACTTTTTTTTTCATCGGAATTCGTACTTAGCGAGAGTTTGAAAATAAATTTTCCTAAAAAGTTTCAAACAGCACCGGGAAATTAACACTTGCATATCAGAAGGCTAGAATTTATGATTTATTAGAGGCGTCATGAAAGGGTCTGTTTGAAATTCTCGGTCTTACTTATAAAAAATTCACTTGCAAATTGGTGCAAACGAAAAATAAAAAAAATTAACTACCTATGAAAGGATCCAAACACAGGTCTGAAAAAAAAATTGATAGTTGTATAAAATGAAACTGTATCACTTCAAATTGTGAAAAAAACTTTTCATTCAATAACTCCAGTTATCTCTTGTAGCAAGAAGATAATGAAAAAAAAAATCCGTGACGTCGTCGAGAGCGTTGGTTTATTATTATAATTTGTAAAGGAATCTTTTCAACTTCTTTTAAAATTTTGTAAAAATAACAAAAAAAAATAGCAAAAAAAGCAAAAAAAAATTATTCTTAAGCTACCCCTTCAGCGTTGCAGACCGACTACTGTAGTCGAAGTTTGTGTACGCACGGAGTTTTTGAGAAAATATCATCTCTTATTTTTTCTCTTCATTTTCTTCCGTATATCTTTCGTTCATCTCACTTTTTAAGGAAAATGTCGACATCTACACCTTCTAAGCAGTCTGAAGCACCTACGAAAGCTGCAGATGCCATGGATGTTGATGAGGTTGGCTTTCTTCTTTTCAGAATCGTTATCGTTTTTTTTTTCAGGGACTAGAAGAAGAAATTCTGCGTATGTCAACGGATGATTTGAAAAGTCGAACTCATTTATTGGAGAATGAAATGAGGTTCCAAGAAAAGTTTTTACTAAGCATTGTTGAATCTCTCAGGATCATGCGCAGCGAAGTCCAACGCATTAATCATTCTACACAGACATTGAAAGACCGTATCAAAGAGAACACTGAAAGAATTAAGGTTTGTAGCTTACGGGAACTGTTTATTTAATTAACCCTTTCATAATTCAATTGGTTTATTTTTTAGGTGAACAAAACTTTGCCGTATTTGGTTTCCAATGTGGTTGAGCTTCTCGATTTGGAGGACACTCAAGAAGAAGAGGGTCAGTTTATCTAGCGTACCGCTGAAAAAAAAATCGGAATTTTTATGAGCTTTTTAACTGTGTGGTAAGGTGTTTTAAAAGGCTTCACGATTTTTTAAGAAATATGAAAACTTCTTTTGCATTGAACATATTCACACATATTATACGACTTTTATATCTTTTATAAGTTTTATTTCTGGCGGTTTAACGTTATTTCCTATAAGAATAGAACTATCAAGATGTTGGTTTTTCGTTCTTTGAAAAAAAAAGAAAGGGAACACTTCAAATTCCAGGAGCCAACGTTGACCTCGACGCGCATAAAACGAAGTGCGCGGTGATCAAGACTTCTACTCGTGCCACTTATTTCTTGCCAGTTGTTGGCCTTGTCGACCCGGACGAGTTGAAGCCTGGAGATCTCGTCGGCGTGAACAAGGTTGGAATCGAACCATTATTAATTGTTCAGAAAATCATTTAAGGATTCTTATCTTATCCTGGAAAAGCTTCCGGCTGAGTACGATTCTCGTGTGAAAGCTATGGAGGTATTACCCGTTCTGATTCAATTTTTATGGAAGTTTTTTGCAGGTCGATGAAAGACCGTCAGAGCAGTACTCAGACATTGGAGGGTGCGACAAGCAGATTCAGGTCTGCCGTTGTATTGAAACAGGAAAGAAAGTTATGGTTTTCAGGAGCTCATCGAGGCCGTCGTGCTGCCCATGACTCACAAAGACCGTTTCGTCAATCTCGGCATCCATCCCCCGAAAGGAGTCTTGATGTACGGTCCCCCAGGTTGGTTCTCATTCCGCAGTTTCATTTTTCTCTTGGTTTTTACTTGACATATTTCGAAAACCGAATTGAATCTCGTGTTTAAAGTTTTTCGGCTATTTCAAATATAACGTGTACATGAAATTAGAATATCATTAGAAGTTAGAAAATTTAAGGGGTAGCGATTTTTAGGCACGAGATCCAAAAAAAATCGCCCGAATTGCTCATAAAGTAGTTGTTTCGCGCGTAAAAGTCGTCACATCGTAGTAGGACCCAATTTTTTTTTCCTTGAGCATTTTGTTATATTCTTTTGAACAAACTATAATATAGCTGATCCACGGCTGGCTTGAGCCATCAAAAAAGGTTCCTGGCACGATAAGAAAAGAGACAGTGCCTGGTTGGTAGAGAGCTCAGAGCGTCCCAAGCTAGCCATGTATCGGCTATATTGGCAATCTGGGGAGTATGAAAAGCGCGCGTTTCTGATACCAACCTTGGCGAAATTTGAAGGAACTGGAAAGACGATGATGGCGCGTGCGGTGGCCGCACAGACCAAGTCGACGTTCCTGAAGTTGGCTGGCCCGCAGCTCGTGCAGATGTTCATCGGAGACGGCGCCAAGTTGGTGCGCGACGCTTTCGCTTTGGCCAAGGAAAAGGCTCCGGCCATCATCTTCATCGATGAACTTGACGCCATCGGTTCGTTGTGTCCACTCCAATTGTGTATATTTTACCTTCTTTCTCATCAGGTACCAAGCGTTTCGACTCGGAAAAAGCCGGAGATCGTGAGGTCCAGCGTACTATGCTTGAACTCCTCAACCAGTTGGACGGCTTCCAGCCCAACGATGAAATTAAGGTCTTTTCCGAGAGAATTCTGTTTTTAATCGAATTAGCCACCTTTTCTCGAGCGTATTTTCTTCGGGTCATTTTATACGAGTTTTCTCATAGTTTCTTAACTAATCGAGCGATTAAAAAAATTTTTGGCGTATTCATCGGAGTAGCGGAACATGCTTTAGAGCGGAAAATCGAGTCGCTCCAAAACAGTACTGATTTTTGTTTTGAAGCAATTTTTTACGTTTCGTAGAAGTTTTCGTTTTGTCCGATGAACAAGCCGTTGGTTATTTATATCTAAGAAAAGTCATTGATGTAACTGCTCTTTCATTGCGTCCAAAAGAAAAATTTTCATTCCATTACCATTTTTTTTCTTCGTTTTCTCTTCAAACACCTTTTTGACCCTCCCTTGCTGTGATTTGGTAATTTTTAGTAAGCTTAGAATGGCTATTTTGAGAGCCTTTTCATTATATTTTTGATAGTTCACTATTACTTTTAAAGGTAATTGCTGCGACTAACCGCATCGACGTTCTCGATCCAGCCTTGCTGCGTTCCGGTCGACTGGACAGGAAAATCGAGTTGCCGCATCCGAACGAAGATGCCCGCGCGCGAATCATGCAAATCCACTCAAGAAAGATGAACGTCAAGTAATTTCTCTTCTTCTTTCCGAAAAACAGTGCTTGTTTGCAGCAAAGACGTCAACTTTGAAGAATTGGCTCGTTGTACGGACGACTTCAACGGGGCTCAGTGCAAAGCCGTCTGTGTTGAGGCTGTAAGTTCTCTCAGAAACCGTTTAAAATATGGGCGTTTTTCTCAGGGTATGATTGCCTTGCGACGCGATGCAACCGAAATTTTCCACGAGGACTTCATGGATGCCATCCTCGAAGTTCAAGCCAAGAAGAAAGCCTCTCTCAATTATTACGCTTGAAAGATCTTTTTCACTTTTACGGTTTGTAATCACCATTGCTCGTGGTTTAATTCATTGTACTTTAATTTATCGTTTCCTATTTCTTTTGATAAATACTAAATTGTACGACAGAGTTGTGATCTGAAAATTTCATTGCCAAGAAGAAACCAGAAGGTTAGGAAATAGAAGAATTACTATGCAAAAAAATGGATCTTTGTTTCACTTTTTGAAGCTTTTTAAGAAAAATGATTCATTGCAGAAAAGCTTGGGACAGAAATTGCAGCTGCTATAACTTTTTCACTCTGTTTATTGATTTTTCACGATTACCGTAGTGCTTATAGGTTCATACAGACTTGATTGATTGTATTCGTCGGTTTCGAATTTACTCTGATTAGCGAAAAAGTACACGTGGGAATTTTTCTCACATTTCTATTCAAATCCCGCTCACGAAGAAGGATGGCTCTATCTGATTTTCGTACTAAATCTTCGAATATCGCTCCTCCAGAAAGTGTTGGAGAACCCTTGAAAGTGATCGAATGGGACCACATGGACTTGCGACTGTTTTATCCATTTGCCTTGACCAGGTGGTCCTTTGCTCTTCCACCAGTTGACCTCGTGTTCAGTACTTGGGCAGTACGAACCGGTCTCTACCCTCTAGCCGTTCTTCGGAGTCGGATGCAGCTTCAGAAGCAGACGACAGTTTACCGAAACACGATGCACGCCTACAGAGATATTTTACAACAAGAAGGGCTCCGAGGACTTTACCGAGTGAGAATTCTTGTATGGGACGCTTCGAATTGCTGCTAGGGCTTCTGGGTGACCGTGCCCCAGATAGGCTGCTCGCTCATCTACTCGACGGTCTACGAGAAGCTCAGGGCGGATCTCCAGAACAATGGCATGACTTCAGTGGCTGGCGTTTCCAGCATCGCTGGGGGAGCGGCAAGCTTCGCTTCGCAGGTTTCCCTTCGATGAGACAAATATTCAACATAGGAACAGGTTATTTTTGTGCCAACTGATATTGTCGCTCAATACATGATGGTTCACAAGAAAGCCGATGAGCTCGTGGGAATGGACAAATCCGTCGTTGACTACGTCCGGTATCACATCCTTTTGACCGATCAACAAGACTTCCAGGAGTGAGAAAGTGCGCCACAAATCCCACAGCAGACGGGTCATCGAGGCCGTCTATCGAATAGACGGACTTTCTGGCTTCTACCGGTTAACATTTTTCTTTTTGAATTCCTTAAATTTCAACGTTTTAGCGGGTTCTGGGCTTCGAGTGCTGTGTATGTGCCCACGTGTCTAGTCTTTTGGCCGGTCTATTATTGGCTCCAAGACTCGTTCAACAAGGTATATTTAATTGTAGCTCCCGAAAGAGTGAATTGTCTGTTACAAATTGAAATTCTTTGCTAAAAAATGAAGGGGAAGTAAAAACCTCGCATATGACGAAAAAAGCTTTAAAAAATGTTTCTATTGCCGTTTCCAAAGTTAATCCGCAAAATTCAAAATAGCCACAGAGTTAAAAATACAACTGAATCTCGGAAATTAAGAGTTGATTTTAAATTTCGCGAAAATTACTTCGAACACTGTATGTGCGCGAGCGGCGCAGTGCATGCACACGAAACACAACAATTTACGGAAAAAATATAGGCGGGCGTCGTTAAAAAAACGCCGTGGCAACGAAGAAGTAAGCTCTTTAAAGAAAGCTTTCAAAAGACACAGAAAGAAAGTCAGAATAGGCCGTAACTGATGAGAGAAAAGGTCGCATTGAACATTTTGAAAGAAATTGTAGCCGATTACCTTTTTTTTTAGGCTTTTTTTTTTGTTTCTAAATCAACGACAAAAAATGTATATTCCACCGCCACTTCTTCTTTTTTTTCAATTATTTTATGTTAGTCATGATCAAGGAAGATCCTTGTAACTCTGATATGAATCGAGCTCATTTTCAAGCTCCGAGTGAGGCAGAAGCAGTCTCTGTTGGTGGACCAGGCGGCGGCAGCGACACTTGGAAGTTTGTGCTCGACAGTGGCCACCAACCCGATGGAGACGTTCCGGATTCGCGTACAGGTTCATCGCACCTCGTACTCGCAGACGCTCTCCAAGATGCTCAGAGAAGAAGGATTTTCCATCTTCACCAAGGGTCTCCCACCGAGGTTTTCTTTTTTGAAACCCTAAGTGCCAGCATTGAATTTTTTGCCTTCGATCGGCTTAACATATTAAGAAGTTGAGAATCCGAGGCTTATGCAATAAGGCTGAGTTATTTTTGATGTTTGATTGTTGGCTCAAAAAAAAAAATCAATTTCAAAATTTCCGCTATCGTGTTTCTGTTTTAAAGTTCATACAGAGTTTTTAGGACACGAACCATAAAAAAGATAATGAAACAAATTTTGATGTTTATTGCTGTTTGAGGCATTCAAAAAATTCCGGTCCAGAAGATTTTGAGTCTATTCTTTATATCGAACTTGGCAGGTTGCTCAGCAACTCGATCTACACTTGCGTGGTGATGGTCGGCTACGAAGTCGTGAAACGGCTGTGCGTCCTTCCCGAGTACCGCCATCTCGTCCGCTGGTGACTTCTCTTCCTGCATTCAGCGTCTTCCTTCGAATTCATAACGAAGTCTTTGCATTCGCTTGCAACCATAAAAATGAGAAGATGATTGGACTAAAACATGTAGAACTGATGTTATTGGCGAAATGAATGAATGGAAAAATCGCTTCGAGAAAAAAATGAGCAGAAGACAGGTGACGAGCTTCTGAAGTCATGTTTTGAAATGCCGCTTCGCTTTGATAAACCAACTTCATTTCAGCTCGACAGTACAAAAACTCAAATTTGCCATAGGTGTCTTCAGTCGTCATGGCGGCGTTACTCACAAAAAGGAGTCCTGCAGACGGATGATTTGCGGCAAGAATTCATGTCTTCCGGTGCAGAGCGTGCGCATTTCCCCCGGGGCCATCGACATTGCCTTTCGACGTCTTTCATTTTCTCCGTTCTTTTCCAAACTTTCTTTTTCTTGCTCTTCACGCTCTTCCTTATTACATTAACTTAGATCTTTGTTTAAAAACTCCGTTTATTTCGTACATTTTTAAGAGGTTCACTTTCGAAACATGTGTTTGAAAAGCAATTATTTCCCAAAAAAAAAAATGCAGAACTAATGGCGTTTATCATAATTAGGCTTATTTCGAGATTTTATTCAGAGTTACAGTGAAACCACAAACATAAAATTGAGTGATTAACACGAAGAAGGTAAACCTTTCAAACGGTAAAGTTTACTTAGATTTTGCATTTCTCGTCGTTGCTCAAGCTCCGCCCCTAATTACGCTATAAACCAATCAGAGAGCGAGCCGTTCACAGAGTGTTTTCGAATAACTTCATTGTCCTTGAAATTCGAGTTCTGACCAAAAAATACTCTACAAGCGAGAAATTCTTTCGCGACTGACTTCTTATTTTCTTATAAGCCTCCGTAAGCGGCTAGGCAATCTATTACCAGTTTTTTTTGTTTTCTATGTTTCACTAGGGCTGTACTTTCATTTTTTTTTTTATTGAAACATTTTTGGAAAGAATTAAAATCGGCAAGCATCAAAATATATTTTTGATAAACTCTTCGATTGAAATTCCTATTACTTTAAACAAATTTAGTTCCAATCATTTCGAACTCAAAATGATTTTAAAGGTCTTTGAACTCCCAGTTTTCAAACTTCCTTCCATTATGTCCCAATTTTTCCTTCCTTTCATGGTAAAATTTTAAAAAAAAACTATCAATTTTTGCGCGTGATTTAAAATGTTGCGCCGTCATCGCGTACAAAACAACAGACCTCACGCGATCAGTCTAAAAATTCATTTCGGTCGTTTTTTTATAGTAGCCGTTTATCGAAATTTCGAAATTTTTGGTTTGTGTCCAAAGCGCGTCGGAGAGAAGTTCGAATTTTGCGAAATTATTTTCAACAATGAAATGGAGGAGCGAGAATTCACATCGATTGCGCGATAAACGAATTTGTTAAGTTTTGAAACGAAAAAGTTTTAAATTCTTTCTTGCAAATTCATTAGTTCTTTTTTTATCAATGCACACATCATATACTATTTTTTTGTGAAAAACCTTTTTCATCCTCCTCTTTTTCTCAGTTTTTGCTTTTGGAATTTTTTACCCACTTTCTCAGAAAATTAGTAACTATGCAGAGATGTTTTCATCTTCGAATATCACTGAAGCATACCCGCGGTGAAGCTTTGAATGTTAGAAACTCATAAATATAAGATGAGGTTTTGGTGGGAAAACCGGATGTGGAGCGACAATAGAGCTAGTGGCAGGTTCAATTCATTGAGGCCTTAAGTCTAACGATTTCAAAAGAGCAGCGCGGTCTTTTCCCTTTTTAGTTTTATCGGCGTTTTCTCGTCAAAGGCTTCCAGGAAGAAAAAAAAAACATTGCCTCTTCCGACATACAACTTGAAAAAAGAAGTGTTTATTTTCTCTTTTTCATGAAGCTGTTAGTTATCGATTCACGCAAACTGAATTACTTTTCGTTTCTTTTGATTCTTGGAACTGAGGAAATTTTCACACAACTTTCCGCTTTTTTATTTTTGCCTTTTTCTTTATAGTTTTATTGAAACCTTCGGAATTGTTTTTTCCTTTTCAGGATCGCCAAAAAAGATGGACGTCGCAACGGCGTGTTCGCCGCTGCGACGTCGCCGCCGTCGAAAAATCATGTTAGTTATTTCAACAATGAATTTGATAGCTAGTGAAAAACTTATCAAAGAGACTTTTTTACCCCCAGGAGAATTTGAAAAATTATAAGATTATGTTTAAATTAATCTTGAATTTAGATGGAGACGTCGCGCAGCTTTACGATCCAGAAGACGTCGACGGAAGAGGTGAATCGCGTGCTGCCATGTAATCGTTCCATCTTTGTTGATTTTCGTCGTGTGTTTCGCATTTATTGTTTTCCCGCCGCCTTCGCCGCCTTTTTTTGACATCGACGTGTTCCCCTCGCCGCAGCAAGTCCATCCCCCGAATATGAGCAGATTTTTCGGTGTGGCCGGACGTCCAGGGCCGTCTTCGGCATCGAATTCACCCCAGTTCGTCCGCCGAAAGCCGACGTCGTCCAAGTCTTCTGTCCTCAGCTTCCGGCGTGTCATTAGCACTATTTTCTACTCCAGGTGGTTTCTAATGGCTGAAAGGGCGCTTGCAGAAAGAGAAGCAAAAAAGTAGCCGCTAGCAGAGAATCTCAGGAAATGAGCTCTCCGATTGAAATTTTCATCTAGGGACAATCTAAAAGGGAAAATTGAAAATATTGTGTTGATAAACAATAAATATCTTTTCGATTTCACTATCAGTTTCTCATCGAACACATTTTTAAGAACAGTCCTTCAAAACTGGAGCAAAGATTTGAAACGTTTCAGAAATTGGAGCATTTACGAAATCGAACCTATTTTTCGTAGAAATTTCGATAATCAACTTTCTTAACAACTATCATTCCCATACATTCGAAAAGAAAAACAGTTTTTTTTTTTCGTATTTTCAGTTCAAAACGCTTTTTAATATATTGGAAATTTTCCACCGCTTTATCTATGATTATCGCCTTTTAAAAAAAAAAACCAAAAATTGATTCAATAATAAAAAATTTCAAAGTTAATCGTGGAGCGAACTTTGACCTGCATATAAGCGCCATTTTTTTTTCTGATTACTCCATTGGATCTTTCTGAGACGAGAGAATAAAATAGTCAGAAAAGTTTCGTATGGTTCTTTTATTTCATCCAATTTTTATGAAAAATAATCAATTTGTTTCAGACAATTGAGACGTGCCAAACAAGCTGAATCGGAGGTTTGACTCATTTTTTTTTTCGTTCGTTTGTCTTCCAAAAAAAAAAATGCTTCTTTGCTCATTTATCAATTTCTTGCCTTGAGAATCTATCACTCGGCTCAATTGAATGTCACGCTTGATTTTTCGTTCTTTGCCGAAAAAAATTATTTGCGTTAGTTGAAATGTTGAAAGAACGAAGAATTTTTCTTCCGGAAATTCAATTTTGAAATAGGCGAGGGAAAAAGTACGTTGGGAGTTTTTTGAATTTATTGATGTTCTCTCGTATCGATATCGTTCGGTTTTTGTTGCGCTGCACTAAAAAATCGCTCGAAATAATAAAAGAATTTCCCGCGGTTCAATAAAAAATCGCATCTGAAGCCCTTTTTGCCACACTTTCCGACGTTTCGATGAGCGTGCGTTCTACTGCCGAGCCTCGTGTTGGTTTTTTGTTTTTTTTTAAAAATCTAATTGCGATTAGAAGATTCTCATAACGCTGAGTTTTTTTTTAACGTATTTTCGAATTTAGGATCCGTGTTATGTCGTTTAAAGGCTTGTGAAAATTTTTTTTTTCTGGTGTCAAAAAAGTGTGTACGGCAAACGATAACATTGGTTAAAAAATTCAAACAGTTTTCTGCGCGAAAAACATTGGTCAAAAAGTTCAAGCAAAGAAACTTTTTAAATTTTTTCAACTCTCCTGTTATGATTCATGGTCTGTGACATTGTGGGTGATGCCACCACAGGCGAATCGAGAACGTACCATAATGTGTCACAAAGGTACCTCTCAAAATGGATCGCGAAAAACCCCTCTCATTTTGCTCAAAAACCTCAGAGGAATCCTCGAGGTACCATCGTGAGACTTCAGACCCTGCGAAATACCTCAGAGGGTCTCGCGATACCCTTTCTCGATTCGCCTATGACCTATGAGCTCATAATTTTCTGAGATTTCACTATTGAACATTTCAAAACTCCAACTTCTCAAAGTGTCGGCTGGCTTCAATGTCCAAATCTTTCTGAATCTTTCGAAAAATTAAGATCTGTATAGGAACCTTCCAAATAGCGTTTGAAGAATGGTTTTGAATATATTCAATTTACGTTTGATCCAAAAATTTTTAAATCATCTGTTTTCACGACGATCGTAGGTAGAAATGTTTTGGTAGCTTGATACTGAAAGTTTGTTCGTTCTGAAAAATGGTAAAGACAGGATTTAGCAGAACGCGCCCCAGCCGACAGAGGAAGTGGTCTCCCTGCTGCTGCAGATCCGACTCCAGAGCGGCCACCAGTTGCCGGTCAAAGATGCCTCGGGCAGCAGCGACCCCTACGTCAAGTTCAAATACCGGGACGCTCTCGTCTACCGGAGCAGCACAATCTTCAAGAACCTCAATCCTGTCTGGGAGGAGGAGTTTCAGATGCTCGTCGAAGATATCATGGATCCTCTTCTAATCGAGGTTTTTCATTCATTTACGATAGACTTAATGAAAGCTTATAGTATTATTTTATTAATGAAATTCAGCTCTTCCAAAAACGGAGAAAAAAAAAAATTTATTTTCTGGTTTTCATTAAAGGAATCTATTAAAGGAGTAAAAAAAAATTGGCTGCGCTTCCTTTCTACAGTTATGACTGATTCACGGCTGGCTTGACCCATCGGGAAGTGGGTCCTGACACGATAAAAAAGAAGATAGTGCTTGGTTGGTGGAGAGCGCAGACAGACCACGCCCCAAGCTAGTCATGAATCGACTATATGATAATGAGGCTTGTATATTCCGTTTTCGCTGCTGCGCTCTCCTTATCTCTCGACGCCCCTCTCATGTTTACATGCTATTTTCATGTTTCTCTGACCTTTCCGGTGAGGAAAAAGAGAGACGCAGACACGCGAAAACTGTCAATTCGTGGCGGACGGACTATAAATTCCTATAAATTTCATTGATATCGCTGATTTACGGCTAGCTCAAGACGCTTAGGGGGCGTGTCCTGTCTGCGCTCTCCACGAGCCAGGCGCTATCTCGTGCATTATTGTGTCAGGACCCTTTTTTCGATGGCTCGAGCCAGCCGTAAATCAGCTATAAACCGCTCTCTGACTATTCTTTCTACGATAATATTATTTTCATTTCCTCTCAGGCTGTAGCAGTTTTTGTTATTTTCTATTTCAGGTCTTCGACTTTGATCGTTTCTGCAGCGACGACTTCATGGGAAACGCAACCCTGGACTTGAGCCAAGTCAAATGGACAGTGTCTGTCATGTCTGCACCTCAATTTCACATACAATCTGACTTCAGACCAACAGAAATGCAAGTCCAATTGAAAGACGAAAACGGACTCGCGGCCGGCAGAATCATTTTGAACGCCTCTGTTTTGGCTCTCACGCAGATTGAAACTCATGAGGTTCAAAGAGAGTTATTTTAACTTTTATGAAGTTTTTCTGCAGTTCAAGCAGAAAGCGAGTCGAACGGGGGTTTTCTCTCCTACGCTTTCAAGGAAAAAAGAAAAACGTGAGTTCGCAGTTTTTCTAACTGTTATTCTGTATGAGAAACTATATAAAAGATTAGTATCACGGCGTCTTTTCGACACCACGCCCACTTTTCCTCCGTAAAGTGTCGTGTGTCGTGTACATGCACTGCGCCGATTTCGCGCAGAAAATTTCGTTCATGTAGAGAAATTTCGATCTGTCTCAAAAGACCTCTGGCAGTACGGCGGCCTGCGCCGGTGAATATTTTGACTCCGCCCACCGTGTTTTTCTTTTTACTTTGTCTTCCACTAACAAAAACACCGTGATTTAAAAAAAAAAGGAAAGTCTCAGATTTGAATATTTACAGCTGTTCAAACATGGACAAAGGTGATAAACGTGGTTCTAGTGGAAGGAAAGAACATCCGCGCGAGCAGCGGAGATCTTCCCGATCCCTTTTTCAAGTTCAAATTAGGACAGGAAAAGTACAAAACAAAGGTTTTTTTCTTTCTCGTTTCGAATAGGAGCGATATGAGTTCTTGAAAGAAGTAGGCTATCCAATGCCCCATTTTTAACTGAGAAAAAGGACGCAGGTGTGTCAGCGGACATCCGAGCCCAAATGGATCGAGCAGTTCGACATGCACGTCTTCGAAAGCGGCGACGAGTTGCTCCAGATGGTCTGCGTTGATCGTGTCTCAAGCGACGTCATTGGAAGGTTCGACCGCGTAGAGACCTGTGGAGAACGAGAAGCGCAGGTTGACAGTCGATGTCGCGCAGCTCGCAGTCGACGACACCGTGCAGCGGTGGTTCCCCTTGGAGACTAGTCAGTTCGGAGCCGAGGTGTTGCTTCTGCTCACCGTCAGCGCCACGCCTCCAGCCGACGCCGTCGTCGACTTTGCCGAGTTCAACTACAATGACGTCCGCAATGCGCTCATCGAGAAATACGTCTGTTTTTTTTTTCTTCGGAGTGGGCCGACTATATCTCATCCGAAGTCTTCATTTTGAAAATGTTAGGAAACTTTGTGAACGGAGTATTTTGATTTCTTTGACATGTGAAGTGCAAAAAGATTCTATTTTAGAACTTACTAGTTAATAAGAGTCTGCTGAGATTTTCTTTGCAAAAGTCTTGTCTGAAGCGTTCTAGACCGACCTAATGATCTTACTCGAGCAAAGTAGGAATGGTGGATAATGGCCACCAAAAGGAAGAGGCTTAAAAAAGGGCGCATAAAGGCAGCAAAAAGAGTCCTTCCATTTTTAATGGGATTTTAAAGGCTCAGGGAATGGTGAAAAAAAGGGAGAAGCAGCAAAAATGGTGCATAATAGCCGATGAAATGGCGCAAAAGGGCAGCAAAAAAGGAACCTTCTGCGGCCTTTTCTGAGCTTCTTCCTTTCAGCGACCATTAACCCCCATTCCTATTTTCCCCGAGTACATGTTTTTTTTTTAAGTTTGATAGCTTATATGTTCAAAAAACTATTTAAACGTTGTAGGATTGGAAAAGAAGCTTTGCGAATTCTGGGGACGTCGGCACTTTGAGTGTGAAAGGCAGGTTTCCGGAAGAAATATTCATCCCTGGTTGATTTTTCAGTTTACGCGGCTACGGATCTGCAAGCGAAGGACATTGGCGGCAAAAGCGATCCCTTCGTTGTCTTGGAACTCGTGAACACGCGTCTGCAGACCCACACCGAGTACAAGACGCTCAATCCAGAGTGGAACAAAATTTTCACTTTGTTTGTTTTTTTTTTCTTTGCTGCAATGTCCTTTTTATTGCCTTTTTCCGTCCTTTCATCGGCCTTTATCCACTCTTTTTGGACCTTTTTGAGAAACAAAACATTTTTTAAATCGAAAATAGTCTTTATCAGTGACTGTGTATGAACCAAAATGTGTTACAATAATAAAATCGGAAATCATCAAAGGTTGAGACTTTCAGCACCCTCACTTTTTTTCACCCTTTTTTGAAGCATTCTAGCCCACCAAAAAAAGGCTCAATAAGGCCGCAAAACGGAACCCTTTTACAGGCCATTTGGCAGTCACTCCTGTTTTCCGCCGACTCTGGCAGTGTGATATCCTTTTTTCAAATCTAGCGTCAAGTTGAAAAAATCTCGCCTTTTTTTTGAACTTATTTTCTTTCTTTTTGTCTTTTTTACGAGTCCTTTCTTATAATCGCTTCTTTGGATACTTTTTCATTACAGCAAAGTGAAAGACGTTCATGTCTGCTTAGAAGTGACCGTCTACGACGAGGATCCCAACAACAAGTTCGAGTTTCTAGGCAAAGTTGCCATCCCTCTTCTCACGGTTCGCCTTTTTTTTTACTTCTTTCATTTTTTTGAAAGGCTTTCTGAGTATGTAAAACGAAAGGCTTACAAAAAATGAAAAATTTTGGTACACTTGAAAAATTGAATGGTTTTGGAGCTCAAAATTGTCCTGAACGCAGTGGCAAAAAGAGATTTTTTCGAAAAAGTTTTCAGATTCGGAACTGTGAAAAGCGATGGTTTGCGCTGAAGGACAGAAAACTGAAATCTCGAGTGAAAGGCGAAATTTTGCTGGAGATGGACCTTATTTGGAATCAAGTTGGTTTTTGAACAAAGTTTAGACTTCAATGAATTTTTCAAAAAAAAAAAAAGATTTTTCCGTTTTGACGTGTGTATAAAACACTGTAAATCGTCTTCATTTTTATTTTTCCTTCAGGCTCTAAACCTTTCTCATTTTTAAAAAAAAGGTCGTTGAGAGTCGGTTTTCCTAGAATCCTGCCGAGTCGAAACTTGATCGGCAGCAAAGTCGCTGACCAAAAAAATCCAACGTTTGAAAAATTTATTTTATTTAGGTACGAGCAGCTTTTCGGACGTTTAAGCCCAAGGAACATAAGTTTGTTCAACAAGAACAGAAGTTCAAAGTATCTTCCCACTTTTGTTTTCCTTCGAATCTCAAGCTTTTCTAGGCGTCGATTCTACGCGCCGCCGTTTCCGAGGTGAAAGAGCTGGTGATGGTTGGAGTGGACCTACGGAACTGGGTGCAAAGCGTCTTCGATTGGGACTCGACGCCAAGGACCGTTATTTCTTTTGTGGTTGGGTGTTTTTATTTTTTGAGGGCATGACGGAAAACCATCAGGTAAAAAAGTTGTTGCAAGCGAATTATCTTCGAGTTTTATACATCCTTTCAAGAGTTTTAAGATTTTTACATTTCATTTTGTAAATTTCATTTTGCAATCCCTATAGTGGTAAATAAAGCTTGCAAAAGTGGTCCCTATAGAAGTTTTAGTAGTGGCCCCTATAGGGGACATGCTAGTCGATAATGTTATGAACTCTGATCCAAGAAACTGAATGAACAACCGTTTTTTTTTTTGAATAGAATTGAGCGACCCTAGGAGCTAGGGAGTCAGACCCTAAACCCCTATAGGGACTACCTTAATTCTACCCCTAGAGGGACCACTTTTCCGCTCCCTTTGAAGGCTGTTATCCCCCTAATCCATACAGGGACCATTCTAAAATTCCTAAGGTCAGTTAGACGAGTAATCGGCTCACGGCGCTTCGCGGAGACAATTTTTCTCAAAATTTTACAAATCCTCTCCCTGGACTTATTGGGCTCTGGACTTGCTCGCGTATGACTCGAGAACAACACGATCGCGTTTTTACATGACAGCGTTCTTTAAGCATTCTACACGACTTTTAACAAGAAGCTTAAAAAAGAACGACTTGAAGATTTTCCACTCTAACTCTTGTATGTCTCTGCAACGCCTCGAAAATTGAAGCTTGCAGGTGTTTCTTATCGCCGTCGTAAAGATGGAAATCTACCATCTACCTTGCCTTCTGCTTTGCTTTCTAGCAAAGAACTATGTCGTGAAAAGAGCGACCATTCCACCTGGCGAATCGTGGAGTACAGTACCTGTGAGAGTAGTCGAAGACGATGATAAGGTTGACATTAGCTCAAAAATCTTCCTTGACCATGTACTTTTTGAGTCGGGGACGTCTTCCCTGCGAGACACGATCTTCTCTATCCAAGACACCCTGACGCTGGTGCAGCAGTCGCTCATTTTTGTCCTGCAGCTGGTCCAACGCATCCGAAGGTGATACGTCTTCGGCTTCTTCTGACGTCTTCATGTTTTCCAGAACCTTTGACTTTTCCAATCCGTGGCTCTCCACTCTTGCCGTTCTAGTTCTCTCTGTTGCTGTACTTTTGTTGTATTGCGTTCCCATCCGATGGGTCATCCTCGTCTGGGGTGTGTTTTTCCGCGTCCCTTTGAATAAAATAATATTTTTCCAGGTGTCAACAAGTTCACTAAAAAACTGCGGAACCCGAACTTTGTCGACAACAATGAGATTTTGGATTTTCTTTCACGGGTGCCCTGTGATAATGATTTGGTCAGTTTGGAGGTTTTTCTCCCATTCATTGCTCGGTTCAGGAAGATTGGGAAAACAAACGATTGGCACGAAATGTAACCAGCCCTTGACGATTCTGTGATCTTTTCACTTTTTTTCTATTTCATCGAAGTTCTCATCATTTTAGTTCTCCTCTTTCTCAATTCATAGGCAAAGTCGGACAGGGTGGAAAAGGCTCCATAGAAATGTTCCTTTTTGCTGCCCTTTTGCGCCATTTCTTCGGCTTTTATGAACCATTTTTGCTGCCTCTTTTCTTTTCCGCCATTCCTTGAGCCTTTAAAGTTCTACGGATGATGGGAGGCTTGATAAAGGGACCCTTTTGTGGCCTTTTTTGAGCCTTTCAGCAGCCATTTTCCACCATTCCGACTTTGCCTGAGCAAACACTAATATTTTAATTTTTCGTCTTTTTCAATGTTTGATCATTTTTCAGTTGGAAGACGTGGAATATTTCATTTTGATACCTTTATAATTATTTTATTTGAAAATGATGAAATTTATTGCTTGATGGGTTTTAATAAACGTTGGAAACTAATCATTTTAAAATGTGGTCGGTCGCTCTATTGTTTATTCCATCTTATGAAGTAAGTTTTGTGTATTAAGTCGATTTTGAGCGGAAAAATGTCTTTGAGGCGGTCAGTGGAACGGCGATTCTGAAGTCTGAGGCGTGGCCTGACGTCGTCGCGCGCCAGTTCTTCTTCGGCTTTCTCGTCGCCTTTTTCACCTTTGTCGGCCTCGCGCATATCTACGCAGCGGTCATTTTTTTAAAAATCTTTTCACGTTTTAACTTTACTGGGAACAGCTCTATGAATTTTCTCAGGACAAATTCTCACATAAGAAAGAGAAAAAAGACAATGTTGCAAAGATTTTTGCGTGTTAATGATTGAAAAAAAGTTCGATGATTGTTGTAGGCTTTGAATACGATAAAGCGAACCCTTCTACTTTCCCACTGAAGTTCTTTAGAAAAAAATACTGTTTTGCATCATAATGTTTTTTCAAAGGATCAATGCATTCTAAGGGTTGGGTTAGCAGTTTTCCGAAACTGTTGCATTCTTCTATTTTTTTTCTCAGTACAAAAGTAAAATGTTTTCTTTTTCGTAATCAAAACATAGCAGCATTGTCGAACTTTTTTCATCCATGCTATCATAGGCAAAGGCGGAAAGGGTTCAAAAAGGCTCGAAATTTTTCTTTTAGGGTTCCTTTTTGCACCATTTCATCGGCTCTTATGCACCATTTTTTCTGCCTCTACCTTTTTCCACCATTTCTTGAGCCTCTGAAATCCCATAAAAAATGGAAGGCTCAATAGAGGGACTCCTTTTGCTGCCGTTCTGCGGCTTTTTTTAGCCTTTTTGCGGCCATTATAAACCCTTCCGACTTTGCCCGAGTACGGACGCTCTAAAATTTCCGTAAATTGCTGCTTCTCCTTTTTCTACCCTTTCTTGAGATTCATGACAAAACGGAAAGGACAAAACGGCGCAAAAAATGAATCTCTTTGAGGACTTTTTTACCTTTTTTCAAAGTAAATGTTTGAAGCTGAAAAAGCTCTGTAAATTAAAGAAAACGTCTCAGAATATCAGTAATCGCTTTGGAAAAAACTGGAATATTTTTGAAATTTTCAAAATGCCTCTATTATGCCGTGTTCAAAGTGATTCCGCGAAATGCAAAATAGCCGTCAGAGAAAGAGAGCATTTTGCATTACTCTGAACACGGCATTAAAACGTTCTTCGAAGAAAAGAAAAAAAATTCCGAAAACCCAGTAGGTTCCGCGATTGATAATCACTCCCTAGTGGAACCACGTTTATTGCTGTTTAAAACAGAAGTTGATCAAAATCATGATTTCTTTGTGGAATAAAAAGAAAAGAGTTTCAGGCGCGACGTCCGCCGACGAGCAGCTTCAGGTACGAGTTGCGACGGAGCGCCGAGACGACGAGAAGCACAGTTCCCTCGTCGAACTTTGAGCGTCCCTTGTAACTCAATCGATTGCGCCGTTTATTACACACCTCACCCACATCTTTTTTCACTGCCTCCCTTTTCTTGAATGTCACCTTTTTTTTTTCTTCCGCTTCGAATAAATTAATTCTGTACTCTTTTACGGAAATTCTTCAGATGGGCAAACTCACCGCTGTATGGACGCTGTTGTTGTGCATATCGGCGGGTTTCGGGCAGAAAATTCCAAGTAACAGCCCTGAGATGGACGTCTGAAGTCTCGGGTTTGTAGAATTCGACGTCTCCGACCAAGAACTGCTCGAGATGGCGCGGCTCCTCAGAGATGTCGACGACAACAAGGCCCGCAGAGGGCAGGTCGTCCTTGACTATCAACAGCACACCAACACTCGCGACAGCTCCGATAATGCTCGAAATAGGTTCACTCTCATCAGCGGCGAGAATTTCCTCAACTAGTTTCAGGCTTTTTTCTACGGTAGACTCTTCCCTGCTGCGGAAGCCGACCTACGAGTTGCTCTTGAAAATGATGGACAACTACAGCCGTCAGACCGGGATAATCGAACCCCGTGTCTCCCTTCAGGAGGTCTTTTTCTCAGCTAACCCCGACCTGAAAAAAAAGAAGTTCCAGAGTGGTCACTATAGGGGTCAGGTGGAAAAACAGTCTCTATAGGGACCGAAAAAGTGTTCACTATAGGAGTAAAATCGAGATGGTGCCTATAGGAATTTAGAGTCTCTCCCCATAGCCTCTAGCTTAAGTGGCCCTGTAGAGGCTAAAGGTAAAAACAGCCCCTAAAGGGACCGAAAAAGTGGTCCTTATGGGGGTTTAGAGTCTGATCCCTTAGCGCCAAAACCTTAAAAGGTCCCTCTAGGGGTCAGGGAAAAAAAAAGCTTTTAAAGGGGCCAAAAAAGTGCTCCTTATAGGAGTAAAATCGGAGTGGTCCCTATAGGGGTTTATAGTCTGCCTCCTTGGCCTCTAACGCTCAAGTGGACCCTATAGGGGTCTTTCAATTTCATTCAAAAAACGATCATTTAGTTTTTCGCATGGGAACGTTCGTCGCATAGAGTTCATAACAAATGTCGACTAGCATGTCGCCTATAGTGACCACTTTCGCAAGCTTTAGTGGCCCCTATATAGGCTAGTAAAAAGGTCCCCATAGAAGACCCTCTAAGGGTCCTTATAGGAATCACTCTGGAGATCCTAGAAAGGGTTGCGTTTTTTCGTTTCGGTTTTTCGAATTCCACTCTATCCAGTAAATATATTTATATTCTCTTCATAGGAAAAAGCCGAAGTCGGAGAGTTTTTGACAGTCGCTCTGAACACGCGGCCGTTCGTGGAGCTTTTCGAGTTTTTCAAAAGAAAAGGTTCGATAGCCCTTTTCAAACCAGTCAAATTTGGTGGTAGGACATCCGATCGCCACAAACGCCAACACATTCCGATTTTGGATCGGCCAGCTATGGTTTTCCCACTATTCGAGAGCCCTGGGAAAAGCCGACACTTCTGGCTTCGAGCACGTTTTCTTAGGCGAAGTAGGAAGTTGACGTTTGGAAGTTCTGACCAGGGATGATTAGGCTAAAAACGGAGAAGTGTCGGGCATGCACAACTGGGTGAGGTTCTACGCCCTGGAACGAAATGCCAGCGAGGGATTCGACTATAAGGGCTTCATAGTCAAGCGATTTGTTAGTACTGATCCTGACGTATTCCAGAAATTCTTTCAGAACGTTATGGCAGCGGTGAAATTCCAATGGAAAGAGGAGCTGAAGAAGTCGGGTTCCTTGCTCATTGGCACGTCTCCGGAATTCGACTTGGCTCTTTACACCATGTGTTTCCTTTCACGGCGTGGTCGCGAAACATGCAATGTTTGCTTTTTTTTTATTTATAATTTTTTTTGGGGGAATAACTAGCAAAATTTTTTAGTGGCCACTGTAGAGGCTCGCCAAGGACTACTTGGAGAGGACACTAAAGTGGTCACTGAACTTACCTCTATAGTGGCCACTATTTTCCGTTTTAGTGGCCAGTTTTTCATCGAGAATCTTTCCAGTAACTCTGATAATTTTGAAACAAACAGATTGGACCAGTTATGAGGATCCATTGACCCCTAAAGTGGTCACTAAAACTGTTATTGGTCTAGTAGTAGCACTTAGACCTCCAAAGTGGCCACTAATTTGTCTACTTCAGTGGCCACTAAAAATTTTCCCAGAATCTGTGATAAAATCGTTAAGGTGGAAGTCGACGGCTGCCCGCTCTCTATCACCAGCTTTGAGTTGTACCAGCGAGACAAGGTCAGAATTCCAAAAAAAAAAAATGGAATCATCAGTTTGGGCATTGGTAACGCGAAACGGACGTGCCCCGGACGTTCTAGGGATCACTCAAGAGGGCTGAAACTACTAAAGTGGACACTAGAAATGCCCCGAAATTCGCGTCATTGTCGCGTTACTAATGTCCGAGAAAGAAAATTGCGTCCAAGCATTTCTTTTTAAATAGCGCTTCTTTAAACATAGGCAGGGTGGGAATGGATGGAAAAAGGCTCAATAGAAGGTCCTTTTACGGTGGCTAAGGGTCTTTTTTGCTGTCATTTTGCGGCACTTCATCGACCCTTATGCACCATTTTTGCTGTCTCTCCTTTTTCCACCATTTTTTGAGCGTTTAAAATTAAAGGAAATATGGAAGGCTCGATATAGGGATTCTTTTTTTCGGCCCTTTTTGCGGCCTTTTTTTGAGCCTTTCTCTTTTACTTTGCCCGAGAAGAAAAAATAAATAGAGAAGCAGACATTTTTGATCCAAAAATAATTATATTGAAAACCCTTCTTCCTTGAAATTCTCCCAGAGACGGCTCTCTCCGTTTTTGAATCCAATTATTTGTACTAATTTGCGTTTAGAAGGCGCTCTGCTATGCATAATATCTTATTGCCTTTGAAAATATAATTTATTTTCCGAGAAGCCTCGCCCCTACAAGACAAGTGTCTCTCACATAGCTTTTTAGGTTTACATCGGAACAATTTTCCCATCAGCCGGAAGGATCACGGAAGAATGTCGTCGCAAGAACAGCTGATCCCCGAGAAAATGTGACTTGAACATAAAATTAATTTATTACTTTCTTCAGCCACACAGATCATGCAATTCTGTTACACAAACCCATCATGAAGTATCTCAAAATCGTAAATTTTGTTTTTCAAAGTTCTGGTGTATTTTTGAAGCCTTCTTAGAAACTCCAGAGTGGTCCCTATAGGGGCATCCTTTAGGGCTACTGGACCCCTCTAGGGGCCACTTTACTAACCCCTATAGGGCCAATAAATTTTGAAAAAGTGGTCCCTATAGGGGTTTTAGTTAGTGGATCCTATAAGCGAAGAAGCATTTGCATGGGAAAAACTGAATAAATAAGCGTATTTTGAATTGAATTGAAAGACCCCTATAGGGTCCACTTGAGCTTTGGGGGCTAAGGGGTCAGACTGTAAACCCCTATAGGGACCACCTTCATTTAACCTCTGAAGGGACCACTAAAGCTTCAGGGTCTAAGGGGTCAGACCGTAAGTCCCTATAGGGACCACCTTAATTGTACCTTTATAGGGACTTTTTTCTCCCCTAACCCCTATAGGGACCACCCTGGAATTTCTAGGTTGGTTCGATTTTTGTGACAAGATTGAAAAAAAAAAGCCTTTTGTTTTAACACGAAAGGGCTAATAAAACGGAATAGACCCTCCCATAAAGTCGTTTGTGCGAAAAGAAAGAGATATTCCTCGAGAAGAGAGGCTTCCGCGCGGAATAATTCTCACACTTACTCTGCTAATTTATACATGTCGCAGAGAGACTCGTCGTCCGAATTAAGGTGTCCCCCTGCTCCTCACACGAGAGTGAATAGACGGATTTGTAAAAGTTTTATCTCTTCATAATTTCTAGTAGCAAGACCCGTGGGGGAGAACAACGGAAAGAAAGTTTGCAAGTTACTGCTAGAAGGCCGAGAAGAACGTGTGGCGCGGCGCCGAGTACATGGAGAAAACGCTCTGGCGGGCCGGCTTCCGCGACGGCGCCGGCGAGAACATCCGCGACGTCGACAGCGCCAGACTCGTCGGCGCTAACGCTGGACTGTGGGCTCGTCTGGTCGTCGTTGCTGAAGACGTCGTCGGAGATGACAGCGATGTCGGTCTGAACGTGCTGCAAAGAACTTTCTTTGTTGTTTTCCGACGTGTTCATTTCCGATTTTATTCAAAACCTAATTTTTCACTACGGTCCATCAGAACGGTGTTAAACCAAAAAAGGATTTTTTTTTTTCTATTTTCTCCTTTCAACTTTTCCCTATAGGCTTTAGGGACCACTTTACCACCCCTACAGGGGTCACTAAAAGCTTGCAAAAAAACTTTATGGTTTTTTTCTATTTTAATTTCGATAATTTTTTTGCGGAGGTCTGTGAAAAAGTTATAGTCATTCAAATTCAAAAAAAGAAAAAAATCCACTTCTCCGACCACAAATATTATTTCGCTTAAAAATTTTGCAGAAAAATAATAAGTTATTTTCGTAATCACAGAGGATAACTCTAACTGGAAATTAAAAATAAGGCGAATCGAAAACACTGATTTTTTTCACCTGGATTGAAAGCTGAAAAAAGCAAAGGAGAATTTTCTGAAAATAAAAGAACAGAGCTTTGTTTTGTAAACATTGTTGAGAAAAAAATTCCTATAATATATTTTTTTCTTCGGAGGAATCTGTTCGATTTCTCTACGTAATTTTGGAAGTTGCAATAAAGCTTGGTTTTTTAGAACGATTCGAAAATTTGGGCTCATGACTTTTTTTGGAGATGGTTTTTCGTGACCAGAGGGACAGGATCTATATAGCCGCCAAAAATGAGCGAGACTATGAAATTTTCGACTTTTGGGATCCATAACTATTTTCATAGACCTCGATGTCAGCTTTCGAGACCGGATTTGGAATCAGCGTGAAAAATTAAACCTAGAAGCATGGTCACATCCAGGAGTCCCACTGTGAGCTGTGACCATTCCCGGGTTAGGAGACTTGTATTCTGAGCCATCTCGCCGCAAAAAATGAGAAAAAGTGCTCGGAGCAAAAAGAGAAGGCGAGTGGGGTGTAACAGCGCCGGCGGGCGAAAAAAGACAAGGTGCAGTCAGTGAGTCGGAAGCAATTGCATTTTTGCGGAGGACGAACCTGGCCGACAGGGTGCGGTACTTGGAGGAGAGCGCAGGCGGGGGCTGTCGCGCAGTTTCTCGCATCTCCCGCATCTCCCGCAGCTGCTGCAAGCGACGTACGTCCTCGCAGTAGACGTCAGGAATCGGCATGTCGCACTCCGTCGTCATGATCATCTTCACGGAAGCGGTTCCTGCAACCGCGGGGGCTGAAGAGGGTAGCGAAGGGTCCAGTTACCGCGAAGGCGCTTCTCGTAGTCCACCATCTGTTTCCAAAAGCCGATGTTGGGACGGACCACGGGTCGGGCCGCCTTGACGTACAGGTAGGCCTGTCGGAGCGTCATGTGCTCATACTTCACCAGGTAGATCATGACGAGGCTGGCGGAGCGCGAGACTCCCGCCATGCAGTGCACCAGCGTCCGACCGCCTTTTTCCTGAAACTCCAGAAATCTTAAAAATGCATCGCTGACACAAGAGTTGAGATAACTAGGCAGAATAAACATCGAAAAATGTAGACGATCGATTTTTGCGCAATATATTCCATTTTCAAGAAAGATTAGTCTTGTTACAAACAAATGAAATTTTTTTAGCTGAAATATTTAGTTTTCTTTTCTAGAACGAATTTGTATTTTCTTCACAACAAAGCGCGGCGTTTTTTGACGACGCTCCGCTCATACTTTTTTTTTCCCGTAAAGTGTAGTGTGTCGTCTGCATACACTGCGGCGCTCTCGCACATACCGTGTTCAAAGTAATTTTCGCGAAATGCAAATTAATTTCTGAATTTCCGAATTGCAGTTATATTTTCACTCCCTGGCGGCTATCATGACCCATTGAAAATGCGCCTTTAATATTCCTTGTTGTTTAGGCTTGTTTCTCAGACGTCATTTGGAAACGGTTTACATTTTCTTCACTGATAAAAAAGAAAGGTGAATTAAAACTTCAGTGAGAATAGTATCTAAAGTCTATTTCTTTCCTCAATTTTTTTTTTATCCTTAAGAGAAAAAAAAAATCATGCCTATCTTTATATATATTTCAGTCTCTTTTCGTGCTAACTTGTTCTTTTTTTCTGCAGTAGCGGTTGGCGAACGCTTTGTCCTCGTAACAAAGAACATCTGTCTTCAATGGAAAACACACTGGGGGAAAGAAAAATACTTTCAGATTCCTTGGTTAGCAAATTCAATATTCACACCATTTCTTCAAATTTGAAAATTAGAGCCCCTTTAATAAATCCGAGTAGGCTAAAGTGTAGAGGATTTATCGCACATTTTTCATCGCAGGGGACTTTTCCATTCAAAATATTACTAAAAAAAGTCTACGAAGCTTCCTAATATGAAATCAAAAAAAAGAAATAATAAAAGAAAGGGGCATAAGGAATAAATATAAAAGCAAACCTTGACAGATTTGATTTTGTCGGCAACCGTGTCGAAATAATCTTGGATTCTCGCGTACGGATGGTCTTCTATCCGAATTTTCAGGTAGTCCACACCTGAAAAGTTGAAGCTTATTCTAGAAATTTTTTATCTTAGAAGCTTGGACAAAAACCAATAGTTGTGCGATCATAGCTGTGAAACAAAACACATGATAACTTTTTCCTCGATTTAGATATTTCATTCTGTCTTCTTTTTTTCGAAGGTATTTCCAGCCACGGCATTGCTAATGGGGTGAGGTAAGGTGAGCCAAAGTTATTGAATTTTCAAAAAAAAAAAGTAAGTGCGCGCTACGGATAAAATTACGTCACGACGCGTCATTCTACGTCACAAATTATACTGAGTATTCAACGTTAATAAGTTGGATATACTGAGTATTCAACGTTAATAAGTACTCCCTTTTTGGCTGCGTACTGAGATCTGAATTTCGCGCCACAATTTTTTTCTCCCCACCCCGTTTGGGAACACCGTGCCAGCGACCCAGAATACCGTTTCGGCATGATTAAAGGGTCTGAATGATGAAAGAAGGCAGCCGCAGTCCTTACAGTTATGAAGCGATCACGTAGTGAATGAAGCGACAAAAAAAAACCTTGAAGGTAGGCGTTGGGTTCTTCTGTGGTAGCGTTGACGACGAAGCTGATGCGACGCTGCTTCATCTTGTCCGGCTTGAGGACTCCAGCGCCGGACAAATAGAGGTGTTCGTTGATCTCCGACATCTGCCCCAGCACGCCGACCCGCGACATGGCTGTAATCACAGAAAACACTCGCATGTTTCTATCCTTGGGGGAAACACGAGCCTTTCGGCTAAGTCGCGTCTTTCGGGATAAAGTCCTGGCAAACAGGGCAGACAGCAAGAAATTTTGAGAAATTTGGCTTGAAACCGACGTGAATCGTCTCTTAAGCGTTTCGAAAGAGAAACGATTACGCAATAACATAAATACCTGGCGAACCTGTTTCAATGGTTCAAAAAAATAATGCTCACAAGGAGGTCATTACACTTGGGAATTTCCTGAAAATTGGCCAGATAACTTCTTGAGACACCAGATGAAGATCCTGAAAGTCTCAACCTGCAAAACTCCCTAGTTTTTGAGAAATGACACCTCAAAGTCGAAGAAAAAGGCTTTGAGCCCATGTTTTTCGAGAACTAGGAAGCTGTGCAGGTTGAAAAATTCAGAATCTCCTTCAGGTACATCAAGAAGTATCCCAGTAAAGTTTCAGGAAACAAAGTGAAATCACGTTCCTTGTCAGGTTCTCAAACAAACTGGTCTGCCAAAATTTTCCTGGAGGAACTACGCAATAAAATTCATCGCTAAGAGGGAAAATATTGCAAGGAAGGAAATCGAAAAAAATAGCAGAGGCGGCTCTAAAACGAATTGGTTTGCCGAAAACGTCAGTTTCTCGGGAAACGACTCCTCTTTGGAAAACCGGTTCGACGAAAATGTATTTCTGAAAAAACATTTTCGAAAGGGAAGAATCATTTGGGAGGACATCAAAGGAATGCGTGTACCGGAGGCGAAACAACGGCTCAGGGAAAGATGTGACAAACGGAGCAGAGAGCGATATGTGCAATCTACCGGAAAGCTGCCGACGCCTGAGCTTTTACCAAAGAGCGCTCACATCAAAGGGGCGGAGTCTCGAGCGTCATTGCTCCGCCTCTCTAATTAACTCTGCCAGTACAACCAGAAAACAGCTAGATATCTAGTGAACATAATTTCCTTACGTTTCCTCGTTTTAGAAAAAGAAATCAGCTACTTTCTTGATTTCACAAAAATTTTTTTGAAATAAGATCTTCAAAAGAAAAAAACTAGTTTACATTTTTCATTCAAATCCCTTATAAAATATCAAATTTTTTTCCCTGGCTGTTACTATTTCTTCTGAAAAAAAGTTATCTTAGAGCTTTCAATTTTTTTGAAAAATAAAAATTTGGATTCAGACAACGACAAAAAGTTTTACCAGAGATATTATTATCCCCCGCAAAAATATGAAAAACTATAAAAAAAGTGCTATTTCGAGCCTTTAAAGTGTCCTTACTCAAAAAAACGAGATCTATTGCGAGAAATTTCCTACTCGTTCTGAAATCAGGGGGTCCTAAAGTACACTTTAGCGAAGTTTCATCAAAAGTTCAACCGAGGGGGAGGGGTTCAAACGTTCCCCAGTTAGTAGGCTTTTTTTATTTGAATGAACTGATTCAAGGAGTTCAAAAAAGCCAGCTCGGAAAAAATGATCGAGTTTCAAAGTGTGTATAGCGAAAAAATGGAAAGAGAAAAAAAAACCCGTGTGGAGGAAAAAATAATCTCGCAAAGCTACCACTGACATCATGTGCAAACGTTTGAACGCCACTGAATCATTCTACAATCTTTGGCGTTTCATTATTCTTGGTTTCGTCCGTGGGCGTCTCATTTCCGAAGAACGACAATTACTTGAAAAAAACGTCCAAAGTGAATATTGCCCTCTCGAATAAGAACACTAAGAATAACTGACGAGATAAAAGCGAGGTCGGTGGCGGTACATTGACGAGCTCGCAAACATCTCGCTTTTTTCAAGGCGCGATCTTGCATTTCTCTCGGCGCGACCTCGCATTTTTCTTGGCGCCATCTCGCATTTATCTCGCACTTCGGAAATTTTCAAATTGCGAGAGAAATGCGAGCTCGCGCCTAGAAAAATGCGAGCTCGCGCCCAGAAAAATGCGAGACCGGCGCGAGAAAAAAAGCGAGATGTTTGCGAGCTCGTCAATGTACCGCCAGTGTCTCGCGTTTATCTCGGCAGTTATTCTTAGTGAATATTTGAGCACGGCTTGTGAAACACGGGAAGCGCACTACTCGCAGAATTGCAAATCATCAGAAGCTCTTACGCGATTTGCTGAAGGGGCAATTGGGACATCGAAAAAAACCAACACTCGGGCAAAGTCGGAATGACTGGGAAAATATTTAGTGGCCACTATAGGGTTTTACGTTTCAGAGACCACTATAGTAGTCAAATTGGTGGCCACTTAAGGGGTTGAAAATTAGTGACCACTATAGAGGTCTAAGTGCTACTACTAGACCACTAAAAATTTTAGTGGCCACTTTAGGGGTCAATGGATCAACATAATTGGTCCGATCTGTTTGTTTTAAAGTTATCAGAGTTACTGGAAGGAATACTGGATGAAAAACTACGAAAGTGGCCACTATAGAGGTGGGTTTAGTGGCCACTTTAGTGTCCTCTCCAAGTAGTCCTTGGCGAGCCTCTATAGTGGCCACTGAAATTTTGTATGGCCGCTAAAAGGGAGAGGCTCAAAATAGGCCGCCAAAAGGAGTCCCTTTTATTGAGCCTCTCATTTTTTCTGGGATTTTAGCAATAAGGGAGCTTTTTTTGGAACCTTTTTTCACCCTTTCCGACTTTGCCTGTGCAGAGTTAGATAACAAATATCTATTCATTTGAAATTTGTTTAGTAAGATTTTTTTTACAGAATTAATCGTATTGCTAGGGTCAACTCTGAAAAGATCATTGGAGAAAAAACTTCAAGAACTTTTCTCGAAACAAATCGAACTCTATCTATTCTCGGACTTCAGCCGATATAAAACCACGTGGAAATCTTGGTCGAGAAGGGGAAAAAAAGAAGTTGCATGAGAGCTTTGGAGGCTGTCGCGACGGAGGGGAAAATTCGAGGCGATTAAAAACAAAGCGGATCCAAGGGGGCGAAATATCAGATGGCACAGGAGTTCTCACACTTTTTATGCCGAGTCCAGTTTTAGAGGGGAATTCGATACTGAAAACAAGTCGGTAGCAAGGATTGCGACACAAAAACACCCACTTCAAATCCCACACATCTCTCTCCGTTGTAACTTTTGGAATCGTTTAGAACGGAATATTCAAACGAAATGAATAGAAAAAAAGCAGTGAACAAAAAAATTGTCGGAAAGCTATTAGGTTACTGACTCTCCAATGAAGCTGAAAAAACACTCTGAATATAAATCATACCATAATTAAACCCCTTTGAAACTTGAGAGGTTACTTTCAGTACAAACTTCCGAGTTTTTCTCAATTTTTTAAAGTTTTAAACAGCTCGGGCAAAGCCGGAGTGGTGGATAATAGCCGCTAAAAGAGATAGGCTCAAAAAAGGCCCTAAAAAGGCCGCAGAAAAGCAGCAAAAAGGGCCCCTTTATGGAGCCTTCCATTTTTCTGGGATTCTAAAGGTTCAAGTAAGTGGAAAAAGGGAGAGACAGCAAAAATGGTGCATAAATGCCGAGAAAATGGCGCAAAAAGGCAGCAAAAAGGGAAGAGAGCCTTTTCCCGACTTTTCCGACTTTGCCTGAGTGGAAAGCCTTAACGATGGGATGAACTTTTAAAAAAAGATTTTCGATTAGTCCGAAAAAAAAAACCTGATCTTCATCATATCTGAAAAAAATTTTAGTGGCCACTATAGTAGTCAAACTAGTGGTCACTTAAGGGGTTGAAAATTAGTGGCCACTATAGAGGTCTAAGTGCTAATACTAGACCACTAAAAATTTTAGTGGCCGCTTTAGGGGTCAATGGGTTAACAAAACTGGTCCAATTTGTTTGTTTTAAAATTATCAGAGTTATTGGAAGGAATACTGGATGAAAAACTACTGAAGTGGCCACTTAAACAGAAAATAGAGGTCCCTATCTATAGAGGTGGGTTTAGTGGCCACTTTAGCGTCCTCTCCAAGTAGTCCTTGGCGAGCCTTTATAGTGACTAAAAATTTTCCCAGTTGCCTTTACGAAATGGTTGACTAAAATAATCAAAGGAAATCGCGATTCGAGGAGAAAAAAAAACCAAAATTTGACTCGGCAGAACGTCGTTTGGGAACAAAGCAAGTTGCCTCCGTCATCTGGTGGCGAGGCCGAAAAGGGAGAAAACAGACGAGGAGAGACAAGGTGACAGGGTCGGTATAACTCATCGAACCGACTGTGTCAACAGAAAGTCGCCCCAAAACAATCGAGAGAAAAATGGCTGTTTGCGGTCTCAACCACAGCCAAACACAACTACAATCGCCCGCCCTACAATACCCAAATCGGAAATTGCGCTCTTCTGACGGGTTAACCGGCGAAATGAGCTACCAGTGAAGAAGAGCCGGAAACCTCGTGTTTGATTTGCTCTTCACGCGTTTCGCTGTGAAAAAAGTTTGAGCTTGTTCACATCACGTTTTCGAATCGAGAAAGTGCCTTCAAGGTACATTCAGAACGAGAAAAAATAAAGATATCTGAACAACTGAATAAGATGCAGTTTTTTTAAACTATATAGTCCGTTCAGATTTTGAATTTCAAGTAGAATGACGTCATTCAAAAACGCTCTTTGGATGGCTCGCTCTGATTGGTTTATCGCGCCATTAGGGGGCGGAGCTTGAGCGAAGACTTGACATTTAAAATCTGAACAGACTATACCCCTTACCACGGCGTTTTTTTGACGACGCCATATGTTTTCCGTAAAGTGTAGTGTGTCGTGTGCATGCACTGCGGCGCTTTCGCACATGACGTGTTCAAAGTAATTTTCGCGAAACTTAAAATAGTCGTCTGAGGAAGAAAAAGATAACTACATTTTGAAGAGGCAGAGATAACTTTGCATTTCGCAAAAATTACTTTGAACACAGCGTTAAACACACTGTCGGAATGAAGAACAAGACACCAAAACCCAAATATTTCATCGCAAGAAGAAGCGGTACTCTCGTTTTTTTTTTTCCAAAAGTATCACCAGCTGTCATATGAAGTGTAATGGAGAGATTAAACTAAAATCGGAGTTCAGTGCAATAGCTTCAAGGAAAAGATCGAGAATTTCTAAGCGTCTGGAAAAAAGCAGAAAACTATAACATTTCACTTATTTCGAGCTTTTTCAGTGGGTAACCGAGTCATTACGAAATATTTTCCTTTCTGTAGAAATCGAAAAAGTTTTTCTTTTTTTTCCGAATTGCAACTTGTAACGTATCACTATGGCTGCGTATATAAGTTGTATGAAAGTTTTCGAATCGATAAAAAACTTCGAAATGTTGATAAAAAGTTGGTAGTTTCGAATGGAGTGTTTGCATTAAGAATCAAAGAAGCTTGGCCAAAGTTCCAAAGTTCAAAAAAGTTTCAGACAAACCAGACAATCTGAAACGGAAAAGTCCGGAGTTCAACCTCAGAAAAGAAGAACCTGGCGCCTGTCGTTGTGAAGAGCGCCAATGAGTGTCTGTGAGTTGGTGAGCGGCCGATTGTCACATGTTAAAACCCTTTTTACAGAGGAACTCTCTTGGGGCCACGCCTGTGGCGGCGATGTCCTTTGAACTTGTCAACTCTGCCGTTTCTGGTCTTTTCGTCCAAATAATGAAAAGAAAAATGCAAAGCTAAAGTTTCCGGATAGAATTCAAGTTTTTCCTGTGTATTTTCGCTCTGACATAATTTTATAGACCAAGCAATGTGCGAAAAGTATATCAAAAAATACACACTGTACTGTGTAAAAAATAATCAGAATCTTAGACAAAATAGCTCTGAAACTGATCAGTAAAAAACTTCGATCAAAAATAAGCTCAATTGGAGACACTGAATTTGCCGTTTTTTGAGGGTCCATAACTTTTTGACAGACGTATTGGGCAACTTTTGAGACCAGATTTAAAATTAACGTGAAAAACTAAATCTGGAATATTTGGTCTGATTCAGAAGTCCCACTGCGTCCAAAGACCATTCCCAGGTAAGTAAATATCAGTAAAAAAATCAGAAAAAAAATTTTTTGAGTCAGTCAATTCAATCACCAATCTTTCAAAAAAATGGGTCAATTTTTTTAGTATTATTTTTCAAAAATTTTAAAAAAATCTGCCTGTACATGGAAATCCGCCCAGCACTTTATTTCAACAAGAAATCTCATAAAATTGTAAACCATCGCAAAGAATTTGCTTTTTATAGGAAAAAGAGGGACTTTTTCCATTCGACAGAAAAATAGTTGAAAAAATGAGAAAAAAGGAAAAGTTGAGGTGAGATTGAAAATAAAATTCAATTTTAGAAAAGTAATCGCGTTGACTGTCACGTTTGAAAATAAGAAAAATGAAAAAGCTACCGTAAATACGAACTTTTCTCTACACAACGGCAAGAAAAAACAGCAAAAAAAACTCTATTCTTATAAAAATCTAAGTTCGTACCACTTGATAGAAAAATTGAAAGTCGTACCATCTAATAGATAAATAATCAGAGAGAAAAGTAGAGCTTCCGATTAAAATTATACCTTTTTTGGTTAAAAACACGATTTTCAAAGCAGAATGACGCAATGTTGCGACCTTTGCTTGCCATTCCGCGCAAAATAAAATCTAAAACTTGATAAATTTTCGCCAACTTTTCGTTATTTTTGAGAACTGCGGGATTTTCCTCAAATGTTCAAGAATATTTATTAAACAATTTTCAAATTTATGTCTGATAAATTTCGCAGTAAGGCTTAGTATCAACGACGAACAAGGAAAGGAGCCAGGAAAGTGTGCGTCATGGAGAGCGGATGCGACGGATGACGTGGCGTTGCCCCAGGCGACGTCTCCTGCTCCTTCTCACGACTACACCTACCGCTGGCTGTATTTGGCAAAACGGGCTGCCGACAAGGTGACTTAGAAGACACGCGACTTGACATGGGGCTGTTTTTCGGGGTTGATTTGATATCGATTGCGTGCACGCCTTCTTCTTTCCAACGGCTACCGCCGCCCAGTCAGTTCAACGTCTTCTGAGAGATGATCAACATCTTCAACTCGCCGATCGATCCGGTGTCACTTGATGAGTTCGCAGAGGGCAACGACCGCGACGAGCAGCCGCTTTTCGATGCGGTCAGTCACTCCAAGTTCAGAATTCTCAGTTTCGCCTTTCCCTGATTGACAATTCTCATTTTTTGGCATTTCATACGTTCCCATCAATTCCTTGATAAGCCTTTTTGTTTCCAGCATTTTCATTTTAAGATAAAACTCCGAAGGTTTTCTTTAAGTTTAGAAAAGGTCTGATCTTTGCCGCAGTTCAATTTAAATTCTACGCCAAATACGCTTTTTTCGATAGTCATCCTTTTCTAATACCACGGCTTTTTTTGACGACATTTCCGTCAAGTGTAGTGTATGATGTGCATGCTCTGCGGCGCTCTCGCACATGCCGCTTTCAAAAAAAAAGCTGTTTTTGGATAATCCTTTTCTGATTTTTGAAAAGAGACCGCCTCACGCGGAGCTCTACAAAACTGCAAAAAAAAAAAGAAAGATCTTGAAGCAAAGTTGGTAAATTTGATATAACGTCTTTTTGGCGAAAAAAAACGTGACAAACTGGCCCAGAATAGGCTATAACTTCCCTTTTATTTCTGAAACGAGGATTTTTTTTATATTGCAAAAGACAGTTTTCAGAAGCGACGGAAACCGCTGATCACATATCACACCGATGGGAGAAAGGTACGCTGTTTTGAAAATTTTCAACTTTTCTCATTATTTTCTGATTTTCATAAAAATTAGAATGGCTGGTTGATGCATTTCAAGCATTTCCTGTCGTTATTCATCATTTCGCACTGTGTTTTTTACAAACAAAAACAAAAAAAAGGAAAAAGTTTGGAGTATGTGATAGTGCGTTTCGGTGTGTTTACACCCTAAGCACCGTAACTTACGCAAATCTAGAAGTTTCGTAAATTATGGTGCTTAGGGTGTAAACACACCGAGACGCACTATCGCATACTCATTCTTTTCAATTTTTTTTCCACTTTTTACTGCATTTTCTTTCACTACCAAGAACGCCGCTTGACATTCAAAATCTGAACAGACTATACATGACCGATTTTTTCCCTTTTTTCTTGAGTTTGAAGTTTTTTTTCCAATTTTATTGGAGATAATCAGGGTCTCCAGAGTGGTCTCTATAGGGGGTAACCATAAGAGAACTTGGAGGGTGTCCTCTAAAGACCACTTTAATAACTTCTATAGACTAAGGCTTGCAAAACTGGTCCTTATAAGGAATTCAGTTAGTGATCCCTATAGGGGACATTCTAGTCGATAATTTTTATGAACTCCATGCGAAAAACTAAAAAATAAGCGTTTTTTGAATAAAATTGAAAGAGCCCTATAGGGACCACTCAAGTGTTAGGGGCTAAGGGATCCGACCCTAAACCTCTATAAGGAAAACCTTGTTTTTACCCCTATAGGGACCACTTTTTCGGCCCCTAACCCCCATATTGATTACTCTAAAATTCATAAATATTTTTACACAAATAAAAATTGATTTAAATATCGAGTTATAAACTGATCTATCTTGACAAGCAGAATCTGAATAAGTCTAAGAATTACAGGTGGTGGACGGAGTGGTGGAGAACGAGAACGGCTCCAACGCGCTGTGGACGACGACCATTACGAGAGGCGTCGCCAACGAGTGGAAGGAGAACGCGACGGGCGGTCGACTGCACCGCGCCAAGAGATACAGTGAGCGAGGTGAAGCTCGTCGAACTCGACGTTGCTTTCAGTCTGGCAAGTGAGTTACGACGCCCGGGTGCTCGCGACGAGGACGACCCGTCAGCACGCGACGGCCATCCTCGGCGGCATCAACCTCGTCTTGTTCCTCGTCTTCCTTTACGTCTTCCGGCTGTTCCCATTCTCCAGGACATCGTCGACCAGTCCCGCAGCGCAATATTGAGAAAGATTACTCATTCAATTTATCTATTGATTCCAGTGTTCATTCCATGAAAATGTGAGAAAGAGAGGAAAAAAAGAAAAAGAAAAATGATCGAAATAAACACGTTGGTGTCTCGTTGAATATGGGGGGAGAAAATATATGTATATAAAAACAGAGTCGACTGAAACGAAATAACACAGAGAAACGTTTACAAGAATCGGCGCACTTTCCATGTTTTGTTGTAAGTCTCGACGAAAAATATGAAAAAAAAACGTGAGAAAACGAATACGTGAATGAATGATTGAATGAATGAATGAAAAAACAAATTAAAAATAAAATAAGAAAGGAGATAAGCGACTGGGAAAAGAAATCGAGCAACACCCGGTTTTTAACAACACTGGTGTGCACGCCGTTCAAATGATATGGGAGGAGAGAGTCAATTGATTCCGTCACATAGTTATTCTTACTCGTTCTGTCGAACAATATTTATTTATAACTTAAATTTCGTAACAACTATTGTTCTAAAAGTCACCGTAAGTAGCTCAACAACGCGATTGAAGGGTGGGGAGAAAAGCTCAGATGTCGGAGAAAACGTAAAGATTGTTAGTGGCGGCGAGTGCGATGATGTTGTCCGAAGGATGCCACGCCGTGTGCAGGATTTTTCGGTTGAAGTCCAGCGCCTCCGCGGGAATCTCTTCTTCGCCACCCTGAAACTCTTTTCAGTTGTTGACCTTTTAGGCTAGAAGTATTTTGCTTTATAATTCGAATAACAGTGACAAGAAGAAGCGTGAAAACCTCTGATTTAAAAAAAAATCATCATGACTTTTTTGTACCAGCAAAAATGAGTACTAACAAAGTACGTATGGAATCAATGAGTTCAATAAGAATATGACTCCATTAGGCGCAGACTTGTTCTGCGCCATTTGGGTTTAGGATGAGTTGGGAAAAAAAGGCGTCATGATAACTTTTTCTATAAATCAAATATGTTGTAAAACACGATTTTTAGGATTCAACTTGACCCTTTCCGAAAAATCTAGAGGGGATACCAAAAACAGTTGACGCCATTCGGTTCAAAATAGGGAACACCCTTTAACAAGGAAGGTAATTTCGCTTTGCGGTTGAAAATTCCTTGAAAACAAGCCAGAATCCTGAAGGTCTCAACCTTCACCACCTCCCACTTTACAAGAAATAAAGGCCTGAAGCCTCACAATAGTCCATTTAAATGGATTTTGAGGGTTTTCTTTGACTTGAGGCGTCTTTTTTTCAAAAACGAGGAAATTATGCAGGTTGAAACTTTCAGAACCGTCTTCTGGTAAATCAAGGAGCGTTCTGACTAATTTGCAGGAAAATCCCAACTGCAAACTAAAATAACCTTCCTAGTAAGACTAAGTGTCCATTGTTTTAAAACTTTCAAATGTGGGCAGATTAACTCTGGCAAGGAGAGTCATTTTACTTTGCGGATTCATTGAAAATTGACCAGGACACTCCTGGGTGTACCAGATGATGATAAGAAGAGTTTATACCTGCACAAAATTCTAGTTTTTGAATTATGAGAACTCGAAGTAGCAAAATGGCCTACTTTTTCGGACTTTGAGCCTTAATTTCTGAAAAACAAAAAGTTTTGCAGGTTAAGATTCTCAGGCATTCCGCTTGTTTAAGAAGTTGTCTGGCCAATTTTCAACAAAATCCCAAACCGCAAAGCAAAGTGACTTCCCTTGTGATAACGGAATTCGCATTGAAAAAACGAGAGAAAAAAGATTAAAAGGAGCTCTTAAGGTCAGCATATTCCACTTTTAAAATTTGAAATTCGCAGCATGCTTAATATAGAACGAAAAAGTCGACGCACGTTGTCGATGGCGTTGCCAGGGACTGTATTGCGTTTCCGCTTGCCGCCGGATCCGACTTTGCGAGTTCTGAGAGGGGCGTGCGGCTCTTGCGGCCGGGCCTCCCAAGTCTTCGCTTCGGCGACGTTGCCTCGAGCGTGTCGGGAATACGTCCGGAACAGGTTGTGGTAGGAGCCGGTGAGAATGTGTCTGAAATCGACGTAATATTCCTTCCGAGGGGATCTGGCCTACTTGTCGTCGCCGCTCCATCCACACTCGAACTTGTCGAAAATAGAGTCGTTCTCGTAGAGCGCACAGAGTTTAGTCCGTAGGTAGTCGTGGACGGGATACGTCTCGACAGGTTGCGACTCCATGTTCAGGTCCCACACCTCAAAATGAATAACTTACAAAAAGCTGCAAAAAGTGAGTTTTATAGTCCGTCCGGCGCGACTTGACAGTTTTCGCGTGTCTGCGTCTCTCTGTTCCCTCACCGGCAAGGTCAGAGAAACATGGAAATAGCAAGTAAACATGAGAGAGACGTCGAGAGATAAGGAGGGCGCAGAGAAGTCTCATCTTTTCAAGTCGCAAAAAACGGACTAATAGACCATACAATAAAGTATTCAGAAAAATGGTCGAAATTATACGGAGCCCAGGAAATGGTTTTGGTATAGACCAATTTTTCGCCTAGAACTTTTTTCAAATCTTCGCCATTTCATCATAAGAACCAATAAAAAGAAGATAAATTATATAATTTTCATATAACCGCATTAATAAGATAGTTTTTTTCGTTGAAAAACAGAATCATAATGCAGAAGATTCTCAAGTCATAGAAAACAACTATTTTTCGGATTAAATGGAAAGGACGGAAAAATAAAATTTGGGCCTTTTCCGACTAATATGATGTCATCGAGAATAAAGAAAAAGCCACACGTAGAAGTAAACTATGAACCTTATTTTCCAGTTTATTTTTCTTCAGAACTTCCAGCTAGCTTCTCATAAATGAAAATTTTATTGGTTTTAACAACTCAAGACCCATCAAATTTTCAAAAACGCGTCAAAAACATACCTTGACGGTGAGATAGTCACGGGTGAGCAAGTAGCGACCACTGTGGGAGAATTTGATGTCGCTGACGGAAGCGATGATTTCAGAGAAGAAGGACCGTGTCTGCGGGTCTTCGGGCTCTTCGTAAACTGCGAATCAAAGGATTACTTCAGCGGAAAAATCGTCACTGACTCTTGGCGTGCGCGTCGCATAGTGCCCGGTCACGCATGTCGCACAGTCGTATTGATCCTTTGGAGGAAGAGTATACGAACCTTCAAAAATCATTCATTTTTGATTGGCCACACTTAAAAATTGAAACAGTGATGTTAATGAAATACAAGACCGTATAGTGATAGAGATAAAAGAAGGTTCGAAGAGACGCCAGAAAAGTGAGACAACCTCTTTTCTCTGGCAGCTCTTCGGCGGTATGAAAAAAAAACAGCGGATTTCTAAATTTTTCCGATTTTCCATACCGCTAGGGAACTTTTCGACTGCAAAGTTTCCAGAAAAAATAACATTTTTCCTTTTTTTTGTGTTTTAATCATGAATCAACTACCTATTTTACATAGGAAAATTCAAAAAGAAGAGTTTATCGAGAAAAAAAAAGTCGGAAAAGGATTAGTCGACAAGTTCCCTAGCGATATGAAAAAATCGGAAAAGTCGCCGTTCGAAATTCCGTTTTTATTTTATTTCATACCACCAAAAAATCATCCTTTTTTCATTGATCAGATTCTACATTTTAAAAAATGAAATAGTGATTTTAATGAAATACAAGACCGTATAGTCAGTGATAGAGATAAAAGGCGCCAGAAAAGTGAGAAAACTTCCTTTACGTGGCAAGCTCTCATTTTTTGTGAAAGTCGCGAACCTAGACATTTTCCCGAAATGGGCCAAACGTATTATTTTTGAAAGCAACCCAAAAAACGTTCAGATTTTGTTGATATAAAATATTAAAGCAATTAACGGAACCAATTGCACTGCTGGGGATGAAATTCGGCCGCCGTGATCACTTCTGTGAGTTCCTCCATGTTTGTTGGCTTGATGTCGACAATATCTGAAACCGAAAAGTTATCGATTAACAAAAATCAGCAGTTTTTTTTAAAATCTGTTTCTATTCAGTTTCAATTGCTCCGCTGAGTCAATCAAACACATTTTTTCAAGCCAGAAATCAGCGAAAATATTTCTTCATGATCCCGTTCATGAACTGGGAAAATTTTTAGCGGCCACTATAGGGTTTTGACGTTTTGTGGCCCCTATAGTAGTCAAAATAGTGGCCACTCAAGGGGTTTAAAATTAGTGGCCACTATAGAGGTCTACGTGCTACTACTAGGCCATTGAAAATTTTAGGTGGCCACTTCAGGGGCCAATGGATCAACATAACTGGTCTAATATGTTTGTTTTAAAGTTATCAGAAATACTTTAAGGAATACTGGATGAAAAACTACTGAAGTGGCCACTAAATAGAGAGCCTTTATAGTGGACACTAAAACGGCAAATAGTGGCCACTATAGAGGTGGGTTCAGTGGCCACTTTAGTGTCCTCTCCAAGTAGTCCTTGGCGAACCTCTATAGTGGCCACTAAAAACTTTCCCAGGAAGATCTCGAAAATCTGTGGAACTTTTTCATTTTCCGAGAATGGAAGCCATGTTCAAAAAAACGAAACAGTTGAGCAAGTTTGATTTTTTGGAAAGTTTCAAAAGTTTTCTGGAGCAAAGTTGAATAGTTCTCAATACTCCCCGTTGGCTTCTTACTGTTCAAAAACTTAGTTTTCTTCCGATATAGATTTATAAGATGTATATGGATGAAGCGTTTTCAGTCGACACATTTAATCCGCAGAAAAAATAACACTGGGGATTATGGGCCAATGTTCAAAATTAGAAGGCGAGTATTGAAAGCCGGCGCCGATTCGGAGATAATCCGGGCGCCACGTCAGAGTCAGAAAAAGAAGGGCATTTGCTGAGAAGTCTCGAAAATTAGCAACTCACTGAAAGACTCATTAGTGATCTCCAAGTGCCACAAGTTCACTCTGAGGTCGTCGGCCGAGAGGAAAGTCTCCTAAAAAGTGGAAAGTTCAAAGAAATGTTACAAGAAAATGAAAAGCGGTTCAAGTTGAACAGCCCATAAAAATCACAAACTTCTCCAATCTCCAATGAAAAAAAGGGATAAAACTGAAAAAAAAAAACCTGATCCGAGTTGACCGAAATACTATTGACGTGGTAAGTGTGGGCATTGCCATAGACGCGTCGGGGACTCGCTTCCACTATCAATTCCATCGGCACAATGTTCGGGATCTGGAGGCGGCCTCGGAACGCAGAGCTGTAAATTAGCAGTGTTCCCAGATGCACAATTTTTTTGTTCTGATAGTGAAATTCTTCTAAAATTTCGCCAGCATCTTTATCAAAAGCAGTGATCAACCATTTTAAAATTAGTTTTTTCTCTAACCTTCCAGAGTGGTCCCTATAGGGCTTAGGGGCGAAAACCATTTCTATAGGGGCCGAAAAAGTAATCTCTATAAAAGTAAAAATAAGGTGGTCCCTCTAGTGGTTTAGGGTCTGACCCCTTAGCCCCTAGAACTCAAGTGGTCCCTATAGTGGTTTTTCAATTTCATTCAGAAAACGCTTATTTCTTTATTTTTTCCAACGGAAATGCTTCTACGCTTGAAGTTCATAACATTTATCGAATAGAATTACCAATATTTTTTTGTATTTGTCGTGCTGATTGCGGAATGGCGAATAAACACTTGAAATGAAATGAATGAAATGAATATAGGCAGCACTTTCGAAAGCTTTAGTTTTCCCTATAGAGGACCCTCCAAGGGCTTTTAAAATTATCCCTGTAGTGACCGCTCTGGAGTTCCTAGGAACTGTCCTAGGATAGAAAAAAAAAAAAGTAGACCGCAGATTCTGGATTTGACTAACTTTATCCTATTCGTCCTGGGAAGGTTCCACGAGTCGTCGGCCATTCTCCGTTCTCTTTCGCTGATTTTCCAAAGCTTGACTGTTTTATCTTCAAGAAAAAGCCGTGAACCACAATTATCAGCAAAGGACGAACCATTCGTCGACAGAATAAAGTTGGCCGCATTTTTCTTTTTCAGCCACCGTATCTGGTTGATTTTCTCTTCTATTTCTAAAGACTTCAAGTAATCGAATTCCGGCTCGTGAGATTGAAACGTCGAATAAACATTGTATTCTCTTGAGCGGGCTCCTTTTATATATTTCCCCTGCAAAAGTTCAATAATTCATCCAGTTTTATGGTTTTTCGCAGTTTTCGATTTGCATTGAAGTTTGTGCCGTGTTCAAAGTGAAATCCAAAATAGTCGTCAGAGAAAGAAAGAGATAACTAAATCTTGGAGAGTCAGAGATAATTTTTCATTTCGCGGAAATTACTTTGAACACGCCATTATCACACAGAAACATTTTTTTCAACGAACTGGAATTTATAAGCTAAACATTGCTGAAAAAGAGTTCCATTGTTGATTTGCATAATCTCTACAGAAAAACGAACGCTCTGGTCGCGCTGGAAAATGACGACTCGGCCACCTTTGTCGCCGGTGGCGAGGTACTCTCCGTCATGGGAAAACTCGACGCAGGAAATAATGTCGGCTGAAAACGGAAATGATAGAGAAGACTTGCAGAACAGAGAGAAACCTTCGGTGTGGCCGTCCTCGACGTCGATGTTGCCCTTCACTTGGCTAAATCTCCACTCTATTTGCTCCGCTGCAACTTACATTGTTATCTTGATCAAATCGATTTGATCCAACCATAAACTTCGTCGGGTTCGATCGGGCCTTCGGATGTGTCCATGGCAACAAGCGCATTCGACGCTGATGACGTCGCAGTCGGCTCATCAACTTCCATAACCATAAATAAACTGAAAAAGAACTACTGAGCAATTCTCAGATAACAGTGACAGCAGAAAAAAAGAAACGATCGACAAAAATTGGAAAAAAAAAGATGAGATTTTGGAATAAAAAGTATACAGGTATAAAAAAATTTAGATTTTTTTGGAAGTAAAACATAACTTTCCATTATCTAAGTACTTCGTGATTTCATGTATTTAAAGTGTATAGAGCTCTTTACAAATGTCGAAAAAAACGAAAAAAACAAAGTTTAAAAATAATATATAATGACTAAAGTGATTTGAATATTTTGGCGTGTTCATCGGACAAAACGAAAAATTGCTTCGAAACACAAGAAAAAAACTGCTCTAAAAACAGAAATTAATACTGTTTTGGAGCAAACTTGCCGCGCCGATGAACACGATTTTTCGTTTTGAAGCATGTTCCGTTTCTCAGATGAACACGCCATTTAAAAAAATTTTTTTCAACCAAGATAATTTTTTTAAAAAAAGTACTTATATTCGCAAAAACAAAACGAACTTTGCAGGGAACAACAGAGGGAAAATGAAGTATTCAGAAGCATATTGTTAAAGAGCGCGAGGCGTGCACAACAACGATCGATGCTGCCATGAACACAACGTCACGCTCACCGGCGCAGGCGTACAAAAATTTGGCGACTTTTTTTTTCCGCGGGAGTGCGAGACCAACACAATATTTCCTATAAAATGATGCCTTCGCCAAGCGCCGGACGTAACAAGTTGCAGCAGGAACGCGGCAGCATAGGAAATCGATTAGCGGCATTCAAGGCTTCTTCTTTCAAATAAAAGATATTCCTCGCATTCTGAAGTGGACACCTAAGCTGAAAGTTTTTGTTCAATGGTCTCAGTTTTTTCAAACAGGAAAAAAAAAATAAAATTTCGTTGCTACGCAAATTCAGAAGGAAGAAGGGAAAATGATGATAATAAAAATGTTTATTCTGGATGTTGGAAACTTCAACATTGACCTGTTTCGCAGTCCAAAAGAAACTAACTCAACATATACCGAAATTTAAAAAAATCTTAAAATAAAATTACAAAACGTTATTAAAAAACTCCGACTCAATTTGATGAAAATCTGAAAAATTATTTCTCTCAAACTTACCAGTTTTTTTCTATTCACTCGAACTGAAATTTTGTTTGGTGGACTATTAAAATTGAAACGCAGCCGTATAATCAGATTATGAGTATAGGAGTGCATGTACACGCGCTTGTTGGAAATGCCCCTTTTTGCGGCTCGTGTACGAAAAAAAAAAACGAAATTAGTATGTTTCTGGCAAAAAAAAGGAGGAGAGGAGCGAAAAGGAAAGAAAAGAGCTCGGCAGAGTGCAGATATCACTGTTCGAGAGCCGGCGCAGGGTTCTCGCGGCGATCGATAGAGCATTCCCTCGGGCTGCGGGCAAAATGAAGAGAGGTGCCATCTCTTCACTGTAGGCTCTTGTCCCACTCAACCCCGATGTACAGATGCAACCCAGCAACTCAAATAAAATCAATACTCTGTCAGCTGGATACATTTTTCCTTATGAAAAGATCGATGTTGTGCAAACTACAAGAAATACAAGATTCTGACATTCACACAATTAAAAAGAATAAGTGAAGTGTTTAACTAGGAGGAGAAACTATTATCAAGGCGAAAAGGTGCTCATTGGCGTGCCATAAACGCTCCAAAGAGCAGGTTTCCAAACTATAAAATTCATAAAAAATACTTTCTGTATTATTATGAAAGTTTCCTTCATACTACTGGACAGCTTTTCAAATGTTTCTCAGATTCATTTCGAAACATAATAACATATCGTGAACTGCAAAAAACGATAACACATTTGAAACGCATTTGACCATTGATTTACTTCTTATTACAAGGTTTGAAAATAGTCTCAATGTACTAAGCTAATTTTAATCTTCATTCGTTATTCGAACCTATTGGAGCTCAATAATAAAGCAGAGTTAATTAAAACACTATCGATTCGGTACATACAGCCTCAGGAGAGCATGATATTTGAATGCAGAGAACGCGCGGGTTCCCAAAACACACAAAGGCAAGCTCGCTCCAAAGCAAACGCGGGTTTCGCACTGACATGTGGCGCCTAGAGATCGCCACAACTATTTCTCTGACTAACACCATTTCGTCGTTTTCTCGCAGCTAGATACTGACGGATATGTCTTTAGGCGCCCCATGTCAGAACGTTTTGAATCTTAAGCACTCTTAACCCTTACCGGCAGATTCGGTGAAATCAAGAGAACGCTAGAGAAAGAGAATAAGAGGCGCGGAAGCCACAAGTGATTGGTTTGTTGCCAAAAAAAAATCTACTTCCCTAGACGAGCGCTTCCGGTAAGCGTTATCAGTGTTTGAGCACAAGCAACATGTAATTAGGCGCCACCGTGATCGATGAATTTTTTTTTTCTCGAACGAAATATAATAATCGAGTTGAATTTTTCGCAGCCTTTCAAATCAAGCAATCATGGTATACAATAAAAAAATTTCTACCGCAAGTTATAGAAGTTAATCTTCTTACAGAAAAAAAAAAACGCAAAAAAAAAAACTATTCTCTTGTTTATCGCATACAACCAGGACAGAAAACCTACGTTAATGATCGTCGAATGAATTGTTTCTAGCGCTCTTTTACACACTGAACATTAAATAATACGACTCATCATTTTTCTTGAGAGCAAAAAAGAGAAAACTTTAAACAAAAAACCTGCAAATCTTCACAGAATTCAAACTGAAACACGCATCGTGTTTAAAGTGGAGATTCAAAAAAGCCGTCAAAGAAAAATACATAACAAAATTTTGGAGAGTTAGAGATAGTTTTCGATTTCGCGAAAATTACTTTGAACACGGTATAAGATTCGATTTTAACATTTTTATCTCGAAATAGTCACCTACCTACAGCTAACTGGTAATTGTATAAACAGACGTTATATTATGAAATTTTTAATTTAACATAACCAAAAGAAACATTTTTACGCGTGAAATGAGTTAACAGAGGCTTCATTCTAATGTAAATTGTGACACCTAAATGGTTTTTGGATTTTGCAAAAAGAAGAAGGCGGACAAGTCGCTCGATGATCTCAAGAAGGATATTGTTATCGTACGTTTTGCCTTTTTTTTCTTTGTCATTGGCGTTAGTCGCTGCGCAGATCTACTGATCAAATTCATTCAGCTCAGAAGATACGGCTCAAAAGTTGAAGCTCAAGTAGCTTGAAAAAGTATGCTCAGATTTTATAGCTCCGAAATCTTGAAAAAAAGAGTTAAAAATAAAAATTTTTCTGTTTTCTATTTAACCGTTTATTCCATATTTTTTTAAAGAAATTTTTTTGATTTTTTTATTTCATATGTCAAATGGTAAAAGTTATAAAAAAATTTTCAAAACAAAGTGAAAAAAATCAAAAATATAAAAAAAAATTTTCGAAAATGTATACTAGTTTTTTTCTCCTCATTGGAAACAGTGATCTGGCCAGATGCACTTCAAATCAAAAAATCAAAATTAGAAGATAACATTTTCTCGGAGGGATTTTGATTGGATATCAAAGATCCAGGTTTTTTTCGGTTTACCGCGTTTGTTCTGAAAAGGTCAATCGAGTTATTCACACAGTTCATCAATAAATAAGACACGCGGTGAGATATCTATCGGTATGGTATCCGGCATTATAACTATCATGAGAACAGGAGCGAAAGAATAATCTCATAAAGAAAAAAAAAATCATAAAGAACCCGAAAAAAAATTGAAATTTCATCACGCCGCAAAATAGCCATGGAGCGCATTTGCTCAAGATTTATCTCATTCGCATTTTGTGCTTCAGGCTGCACCCCCTGGGCCGGGCCGGCTAGGGCTTGGAGCCTCATTCATTTTTGCGTAAAAGCCTGCGAGGGTTCAAGCCAGGCCAATAGGAAAAAAAGAATCGTGATTTTTGTCGTAGAAAAGTCTGATATTTGACTTGTCAAAAATTTGCGCCTTTTGAGCTCGGCCAGACTTTTTTTTTACTTAAGGCCCCGTGGGGCCGGGGACCAATAAGCTTTCGGGCCTGTTCACTGGGATGAGAGTTCGCTGACCTCGACTAGAACTGGAGGCGGTTCTGAGTATTTCTAGGGGCGACTTTAGCGGCGTTAGCACTCTTATGGTCATTAAACCACATTTAAAGGATGACCACTCGATTCCGTTGGAAGAGCTGCTCTCTCGATATTTAACCTCAGCAACTCAAGGGATTTCCGACGACGAGGCCTCTTCTCGGTTAAAACGCGACGGCCCTAACGCCCTCACACCGCCAGTCACAACTCCTGTATGGATGAAACTCGTTAAGTCTGTTTTCGGTGAGTTTGAAGTAATCAGTTTGAGAAGCTCATTGTTTGAATCTCTATCTTTGGTAAGTAATTCAATTTAATTCACGAAAAACTGCTCAAAAAAAATAAGAGAAATTGAAGGAGGATTCAACTTTTTGCTGTGGTGCGCCGCGGTGGCGTCCTTCGCCGGCTACATGATGGAGATATCCTCGACGGACGAGCCAAGCAAAGATAATGTTGATCGGAATTCGCTTCTCTTGCAATCTTTTGCTGTTTCAGCTCTACATGTCGATAATCCTGGCGTGCGTAGTCACCCTCACAGGATGCTTCGACTTTTACCAGGACCGCAAAAGCGGCAATGTCATGGACTCCTTTGCTAACATGATCCCTCCCAAAACATTGGCAAGTTCCGCAGGACTACAGAGGTTCAGCTTTGAGTTCAAAGGTGGTCCGCGGCGGACATACCAAAGAGATTGAAGTGAAGGAGCTTGTCGTCGGGGATCTCGTCCGTTTTCGAGGCGGCGACAAGGTTCCTGCTGACATTCGCGTCACCCTCGCCAGAGGGCTCAAAGTGGATAATTCGTCTCTGACCGGCGAATCCGATCCCCAAACCAGGAATTGCGTCTTCACAAGCAAAAATCCGCTGGAGACAAAAAACTTGTGCTTATTCAGGTGAGACGGATCTTTTGAAATGAATAAGGATTTTAAAAGTTTCATGGATACTAAAACACACATACACAAAGTTTGTCTAAAAAAAGATAACTAGACAAAAAATCGTAGAAGACTGTAAAGAATAGGATCAAATTTAAATTGACAAATTCTTATTGGTTCCCTTTTCTTGTTTCTTTTTCCAAAAAGTTTTTCTTCTGATATAGCTCTCTGAAAAAAATTGGTAAATTGAAGATTTCGAGCAAAGCCGTTGTAATAATTCCTTCAAGTTACACGGCGACACCAAATCGACGCTACACATACCGCAAAGGCGGAAAAATGAAATGTGTAGTACGCAGTGCGCGCGATGAATGGAAAACGACGCGCAAAAAGCGATATTGAAATTTTTATTATAATTAAAAATTAATTTTTCTGGCTGTTATTTATACAGGATCGCCGAAAGCTATACACAAATTTAAGTTCACGAGATACTCTTGAGATTACACCTCGACTCGTTTTTTTGAAATTGAAGTTTTTTTACCTATGCAAATAGCTTTAATAAACAAAACCGTGTTTCAAGATTGATCTGAACAAAACTAAGTAGGTTATTGACAACTGCTACTATCGAATGAAACAACAACCATTTAATATTCTCCTTTACAGTACCAGCGTTCTGGAAGGATCCGGCGAGGGAATCGTTGTCCTGACAGGCGACCGAACTGTTTTCATCTGTCATTTCGAAGAAAGAAAAATATTTCATTTTCCAGGTGGTTGGCCGGATAGCGGCTCTGACGACGCAGGTCGAATCTGGACCAACGCCACTTGCCAAGGAAATCGGACATTTCATCAAAGTGATCTCGGTGGTCGCCTTCTCTGTCGGAATAGCTTTTTTCGTCCTGGCCATTGTCTACGACTATGAAATCCTCAAGGCCATCGTTTTCTTCATGGGAATCGTAGTGGCTAACGTTCCCGAGGGCATCGTTCCTACGGTTACTGTGAGTAAACCTTCCAGTTTGCAAAACGCGAACATGAACATTGCAAATGCTGCGGGGGAAAAATCAGTTGCAACTTGAATAAGGGTCCAATTTTTTGGGTAATGATTCACGGCTTTTTTTGTTAGTCAAAGAAAATGCGAAGCCGACAACGAAGAGGGCGGAGCCAAAACCTCCGCCGTCCCCATGTGACGTCATGAGAAACAAGCGTAAACAACAAATAATATTAAAGGCGCATGTTCAATGGGTCATGAGACGAATCGATTTCTCTTTAAAAAAAACATGCACTTTTTCTGTTGTCGAGTTCAAAGTGATTCCGCGAAATTCAGAATAGCGACCAGAGAGTGACAAATATACGTAAATTCCGGAAATTCAGAGATTTTGAATTTTTCGCGAAAAGCTTTGAACAGGGCATGTGCGAGAGCGCCGCAGTGCATGCACACTATACACTTCACTTTACGGAAAGAATATGTGCGGGACGTTGTCAAAAAAAGCCGTGGATTGACATATCGATGTTTGATTGATCTTCCTTTAAAAACTGTAAATGATAAATAAAAAGAAGGTGAAAAATGAAGAGGTTAACTTTGGTAAGAATCGTTTTGTGGACAGGTGAGCCTGACTCTGACGGCGGTGAAGATGCGGAAAAAGTACTGCCTGGTGAAGAATCTCGAAGCGGTGGAGACCCTCGGCTCGACGTCGACCATCTGCTCCGACAAAACCGGCACTCTGACCCAGAACCGGATGACGGTCACCCATCTCTGGTACAACGGCAAGATCCTCGACGCAGAGTTGCTGCCTCCGAACGAGGCGTTCACCGACAAGAAGCGCTACGTCGGCGATCCTACCTACGAAAAGCTGTTGCGATGTGCGACGCTGTGCAGCCGTGCCCATTTCAGGGTAGAAACCTTTTTTCCGGGGCTTTCATTTTTGTTGTTGCTTTAGAACCCCGAATACAACGTGCCACTGGCCAAGCGAATTGTCAGCGGCGACGCTTCAGAAGTTTGAGTCCAAGGAAGAAATGCAACTTATAAGGATACAGGTGGCCATCATGCGATACTGCGAGATGATCAGAGGCGACGGAAAGGTGGACGAGTATCGCAAAGAGAGGCTCAAACACACGGAGATCCCGTTCAACTCCACCAACAAGTATCAGGTGCTTTTGAAGCTGACGGCAAACTCGTAGTTCAATTCAAGCGCCACCGACTATTTGAATAGCTTTTTTCACCGCTCTTTTCGTATCTATTGTACTATTTTTTGATGCACACATTAAAAAAAATCAATAAACATTGAAAAAGAAATGAAAACAGCGATACCCGCCAAACCTCTCCAAATAGTCGCTGGCGGTTGAACTGAACTCGTGCCAAAAACCGCGTACGCACACGCTACGCGTCCCGCCTCCTTCGCCTTTCAAGTAGGACAAAGTTGACTATGCTCCACTTTCTTTTATGTAATTTACAATCTTGGAACTTCAAAAGTTTATTGAGTTGCATAAGCAAACGGGGTGGGGAGACGTCAAAAAAAAAATTTGGCGCGAAAATTCAAATCTCAAGTACGCAGCCAAATGAGGAGTACGGTATACAAGTTATGTTGAATACTCAGTGTAATTTGTGACGTAGAATGACTCGTTTTTACTTCTGCAGGTGTCGATTCACACGAATGGGGAAGCAAATCTTCTAGTAATGAAAGGAGCTCCAGAAAGAATCCTCAAGATGTGCTCCAAGTACTTCGACAACGGCGAGACCAAAAACATCTCGAAAAAGTTCAGCCGCGATTTCGTCAAGGTCGTCGGTGGCGTGGAATCAGATAACTTCTCTCATTTTAGGCCTTCGAGCAGCTAGGAAGTTACGGCGAGCGCGTTCTTGGCTTCTGTGACCTGGAACTGAGCCGCGCCAAGTACCCCTTGGACTACAAGTTTGACACAGAGAACATCAATTTCCCAACCAAAAGTCGTTTTCGAATTTGATCTCAATAACCAGCACAACTTTGAGATTTGCGCTTCCTCGGTCTCATATCGATGATTGATCCTCCTCGCCCAGGCGTCCCTGAAGCCGTGCGTGTCTGTCAGAACGCTGGAATCAAAGTGAGCTTCTGAAAGCGCTTTATTCATGTCTTTTCCAGGTTGTGATGGTGACTGGTGACCATCCTATCACTGCCAGAGCCATCGCCACTCAGGTGCACATAATCGAAGACGGAGAAAGTGTAGGCGGCCTTCTCTTCATAAAACCTCTCAAACCGATTCTTAGGTTGTCGAAATAACCAAGGAGGACCCAACGGCGCCACCCGACGAAGTTTACGGCGGAAAAGGAAGGTTCGTTCTAGAGTAACGGTCAAATAAAAAAAGGAGATTTCAGACTCCGCAAGACGAACGCAATAGTTGTACACGGCGAGCAGCTCTCCACGATGAGTCCGATTACTTTGAAGTCGATTGTGAGCAACTATCAGCAGGTCTGAGCCTCTCCCTGCTCGTCCCAGACTCGCTTCAGATTGTTTTCGCGCGGACCTCACCAGCCCAGAAGCTGCAGATTGTCGAGGCATTTCAAAGTTCGAACAACGTGGTCGGCGTGACAGGCGACGGCGTCAACGATGCTCCAGCGCTGAGAAAGGCTGATATCGGTATCTATTGGGTCGTTCCGGCGGCAAAATCCTTTTCAGGAATCGCCATGGGGATCGCTGGAACGGACGTCTCTAAACAAGCGGCCGACATGATTCTCCTTAACGATAACTTCGCTTCGATCGTCACCGGAGTGGAGGAGGGCCGACTGATCTTCGACAACCTGAAAAAGTCGATAGCCTACACTCTCACTAGCAACATTCCTGGTACTATCCATTCACGGCTCACTTGTCACAAAAATGCGGTCTTTCAAAAAAGTATGAAATAGGGAAAATTCCAGAATCGCCCCCCCCACACTGTTTTTCAGCCGCCCGCGTTCTAACAAGTCCCCCACCAAGCCAAGTTCCGATCTGCGAGGGGGTAAAACCAGAGAACTTCATGTGGGGGAACGCGGGGGAAGGGGTGAATCTGTATTCAAGAATGGCCCGTCGCAATTCAAGGGGGGGACGACGACGACGATAACGTAATTTAGAATAGCCCTTCGCAGTACAAGGGGCCGATTCTGGAACGTCTATGCAATCTTTCATATTTGCATGAATAAAAATCTCTTCGACAAGCTGAAGATGTTACTGAAAGATCTTCAGAAATCACGCCATTCATGTCCCACGTCCTTTTCGGACTGCCTCTTCCGATGTCCATCGTCGCCATTCTGATGATCGACTTGGGCACTGATTTGGTGAGTCGATTGGCCTCTCCCCGAGATTCGAAGGATGTCCCAGTGGCCCGCCATCTCCTATGCCTACGAGGTTCCCGAGAGCGACATAATGCAAAGGGCGCCGAGGAATCCGATCCACGACAAGCTCGTCAACAAAAGGTGCCAAGAGCGACTCTCCTACGTGAAGCTCATTTCCAGACTCGTCATGTTCTCCTATCTACAAATTGGCGCAATACAGGCGTGTGCTGGGTTCACAACCTATTTCGGTAATCTTGTTTCACGCTGTCTCTTTCAAATGGGTTTTTGAGCCCTGATGATGTACCATGGATGGAAGCCTGAACGACTGTATGACCTGGCCGCAGAGTGGGAGAATCGTCACATCAACGACTTGGAAGACAGCTTTGGCCAGCAATGGGTAGGAGAGCTTGAAAGTCCATTCACCACGACTTGAAATTTCACCGATCGACATTCCGCTGTCGCGAAGCGTCTTGCCTTTGCGAATCTCGGTCGCGCTTCCAATTTTTTTCTTTTAATTGAAATTTTCACTAATTTAGTTATTTTATGAGCCAAAATCGTGACTTTTATTGCTTGTGGATAGGCTGCTCCATGGGGGAACACCTGAAAGTCGATTACTTTTCGAATTTTCAACGGAATTCGCTATAATTTCTTTTTCCTTTTGAGTAGTTTTTCGTTATAATTTTAAAATTACTCGACTTCTAAGTGTTCCCAATGAAACAGTCCAAACGCAATGATAATCACGAGTTTAGCACGAAAAATTGAAACATAATTAAAAATAGAGAAAAATTCCTAATAAAAAAGATATTGAAAGCGTGACCAAGATTCGCAAAGCCAATTACGCTTTCACGACCACGCAGCGGAGTGTCGTTCCGTGAAATGTCAAGACACACACTATAAATACAGTACTGGCCATAAAGGTATTTCAAAGTGGTTTTTCGAGCATAACTTTTCTGAAAATGGTTCAAATGTCCTGAAACTTCGCACAAATTTTGAAAAGCTATGGATTAACTTATTTTCAGAAGCAGAACACATTTGCTCTAGTCAAACCAGATTTGTGATTAAAAAACCAAAATGCGCGTAAACTGAAACGTTTCTGTTGAGAGTAGGACTGCGTCAAGTGGGGGCGAACGGGTTACACGTTTTTCTCAGATATTATAGTCTGTGTGCCACGACTTGAAATTTCATGGAACGACATTCCGCTGTTCCGCTGCGTGCGTTCGCGAAGCGTCTTTCGAATCTAGGTCACGCTTCCAATTGATTGTTATTGCTGTGGGAGCACATGAAAGTAGAGTACCTTAATAAAAGAAAGAAAAATTAAAAGTGCGACCAAGGTTCGCAAAGGCGGGCAGCGGCACAGCGGAATTTCGTTCGGTGAAATTTCAAGTCGTGGCACACATGCTATATTTACTTCAATATTTTTTATCACGTTCGTAGAACTTCGTTTTCTGATCTAAAATTCGGTGTCCCTATTTTTCCCTCTTTTCACCTTTTTTTTTGCGGAGAGATGCTCTTTTCAGAGCTACCACTCTCGGAAATCCCTCGAAGCCTGCGCCTACGGCACCTTTTTCTTCACAATCGTCGTCACTCAGTGGGCCGACCTTTTTGCATCGAAGACGCGCAAGAATTCGTTGATAATGCAGGGACTTGAGTCAGTCGATGAGTCATCGTTCTCCTTGATCTTGCTGTTTCCAGAAATCAAGTTCTGAACACTTCAATCATCTTCACTTGTCTTTTGAGCACTTTTGTGCTGAACACGCCGTACGTCAACCAGTGGCTCGGTGTGAATGGAATTAGGTAATATTCTTTCTTCGATAATAGTGTGTTTTTCGCAACTTGAAAGGACGGGACTTCTCTGCGCGCTCCTTATCTCTCGACGTCCCTCTCATGTTTACGTGATGTTTTCATGTTTCTCTGACCTCGCCGGTGAGGGAACAGAGAGACGCAGACACGCGAAAACTGTCAAGCCGCGGCAGACTATATGAACATTTTACCTTTTTTCGTCGTCTAAATCGCTTGTTTGAGGCTCGAAGTGGCTTTCCTGTCGCTGCCATTTGCGCTGGCCATCGTTTTGTACGACGAACTGCGGCGCTACTTCATCCGCCGCTGGCCCGCGGGATACGTCTACAAGGAGACCTACTACTAGGCTCTCCTTCATTTTCATATCGTCCATTGAATGAATGGTTCATGTTCAGAAGCGACTTTCGGAAAATTTTTATCCTTCTGAAATCTGGATACACGCCTTTTTTGTTAGTGGAAGAAAATGCAAAATCAAAAATGAAGGAGGAGCCAAAATCTCCGCCGTTTAAATGTGACGTCATGGGAAGCAAGCGTAAACAACAGGGAATATTAAAGGCGCATGTTCAATGGGTCATGAGACGAATGAACTCCCGTGTAAAAAAAAGGTAATTTTCTGTTGTCGTTTTCAAAGTGATTTCGCGACAATTAAAAAAAGCTGTCAGAGATTGAGAAATATAACTGAATTTCGGAAATTCAATAATGGTTTCGAATTTCGCGAAAATTAACAAGGCATGTGCGAAAGTGCCGCAGTGCATGCACACAACACACCACACTTTACGGAAAAAATGGGCGGGGCGTCGTAAAAAAACGCCTTGGAAACTCACAGATATTCTTCCCAAATATAAAAAAGATTAAATAAAATTAAACAGATCAAAGCTTTTTTTGGCGGCTTGAAAGGACGGGACTTCTCTGCGCCCTCCTCGTCTCTCGGCGACCCTCTCATGTTTACGTGCTATTTCCATGTTTTTCTGACCTCGCAGGTGAGGGAATAGAGAGATGCAGACACTCGAAAACTGGCAAGTAGCGGCGGATGGACTATATAAAGTTGTTCGTTTGGAAGAAGAATGTAAATTTTGAATTATTTCGGAACAATCTAATTGATCTCTTGAATAGGATTTCGGTTCGGAACTTTTTTCGGATGGTAATTTTGTACCTCGAACTATGACCTCTGTCATAAATCCAAAAATTGGCCAGCCAGGGAAAATGTCTGGAGCTACCGACTAATCAGCTCGACATTGGTAAAGCGAATTCGGACGAGTCGGGGTATTTCTAGTGACCACTTCAGTAGCGTCAGCACCCTTAAGAGAAGCCTAAAATTGTTCAGAAACGTCCGGAGCACGTCCGCTTTGTGTCACCACCGTCCGAGAGGGAAGGCGGTCCTTCGCTTTCGCGATGGCGCGCACTCGTCAGTCGCTTCCGTCCCAATGAAACTGCTCCTTGTGGCTCTCTGCGTCGTTTCCGCCCTCACACGTCCTCCGGTTCTTCACCTCGACGGTCCCTACTGTCACTACTGCGAGGTAAACTCGTTCTTCTCGAAGAATATCTTTCATTTGTGCGATCATCTACAACATTTCAAAAATGTGCTCTAAAACTGACTAAAAGGCAACATTTTATAGCTCCTTGACGAGAAAACTTCATTTATTTGTTCAATAAGCGAGTTTTAAAGTTCGATGATTTCGTGAAAAGTTATACAGGCTTTCACAAAATCCTGATAGACTACCATCCCTAAAATTGGATTCCAAACAGCTTCAGTACTAAAGCCCTTCAATACCATATATTCAGGTGATAATAAACGATATAAAGTACCAGTTCCACAACAACTTCACCGGCGTCAGCGTCAACCAGCTCAGACTGGCTCTCTACAGGTGGGAACTCCGATGGGACCAGTCTTGACCCTTCGACAGGGAGTGCGACGAGAACTTCACCGGCTTCACCGACGTCGAGTGTCACCAGACGGTCGACAAAGACGTCGACAAAACCTTGGCTCTTCTGAAGAACGGAACGTCAGCCTACCGGGTCTGCGAGCAGAACCAGCTCTGCTAGAGATAATACTTCGCTTTGAATAACTAAATTACGGCTTCCGAAAAGAAACTGGTACTTGGAGGTCTGAAATAAGCTCACTGGAAGCATCAATTCCATTCTTCTTCTTTTATAATGTCATATTCTTTCATTTTCATTTCCAGATTACAAATTTATTGACTTCATTATTTTACTAATTTCTTCCGTTTTTCAATTTGATAATCAAGTGTATTTGTAAAAAGTTGATTTTTCATTTCGCCATCCCTTTTTAATGTCTCCCACTCGATTGTTTTCCGTCAGTTGCAGCATGACAGAGCGTGAAGTAAATGCGTCATTCTTATCTCAAAAACCTATAAAAAAGCCATAACTGCTCGTTACACTGCTTTTATGATATGAAATATACTCCTCAAATTGACTGCTTGTTCTGTTTTTCAAATTGACCTTGTGAAGAGCTAATAATTCAATAAAACCGAGTCAGAATGCGCTTACTCGAAAGAAATAAGGCAGATCAGAAAGAAAATAGTGCTTCTTCGGCTACTGAATATATTCACGCATTAGAATTTCTGGAAAAGATTAGAAAACGTTTCGCTCAAAAACTGGTAAAATAGCTCTTCACTCACAAAACTGAGGTGTACTTAGGAGTCCCAGAGTGGTCCCTATAGGGGTTCGGGTGGAAAACAGCCCCTAGAGGGGCCGAAAAAAGGGTCCCTGTAGAGGTAAAGTCAAGGTGGTTTGTATAGGGGTTTAGAGTCTGACCTCTTAGCCCCTCAAGCTCAAGTGGACCCTATAGGGGTCTTTCAATTTCATTCAAAAAACGCTTATTCATTCATTTTTTTTCCCACGGAAATTCTTCCACGCTTGGTTAGAGATCATAATAATTATCGACTAGCACATCCCTATAGGGACTTCTTTTTGTGAGCGTTAGTGGGGGGTTAGAAAGGGGTCCCTAGAACCCCCAAAGGGCCCCTAATATCGCCCCTATAGGTACCACTCTGGAGTTCCTAATTAGGAGTTCCTAATTATTTTCAACTGATCAATATAAATGTCAATATAATGAAAAGCATTTTTTTTTTTGACGAAAATGAATTTTTTCCCAAAAACAGTTTCGCTGTTAATTTTGATTATACATTTTTCAAAAAAGATACAAATCATAATCCGCTGTATTGAATGAACATCAAATTACGTTGTTCTAAGTTCGGGAGAGAAAAAAAAAGACAAGAGGACTCTACAATATCACAAAACGGGCGAGAAGAGGGAGCGATGGCCTGGGAGACGACAGATGACCCACTTACCGGAGACCTAATGGCCAATACAGGTAAGTTGATCACGCTGAGTCTGTTCTGCTGCAAGTTCGCCTCCAAGCCTTGGCTACGACTTCTCTTACTACTCTGTGCTCTCTTTTTTGTGCTGCTGCTTCTCAATTCCAAAACAAAGCCTAATGGTTCGGTAGGACAACGATTCCTGGTCTTCCCACAAGGTGGCGACGAAGTCAGCTTGGAGAACACAAAATGGCCTATTCCAAAGGTCGACGTGGTCTTATTCCCGAACTTTTTCGAAGAGATTTCTTCCCAGCGGTACCTTTTCTCAAACTTCAACTTCAGCCGAGGTATTCATTCTAAGAATTTTGAAACGAATGAATAAGATTCCAGGGATGGGTAACCAGTTATTCCAAGTGGCATCGCTCTTGGAGCTGGCCAAACAGAACGACGCCACTCTCGTCCTTCCAACGACGCTTCTCTTACGGCGCGCTTTCTCTTTCCACGACGTCGTGTACCTGGATGATCAGAACTATCGTCAAGCGATTGATCGGATCAGCCATTCAGAGGAATTGAAGGCAAGTTATCAAGTATAGCCCTTTTTGAACCCTTTTTTCAGAGCTGCTGTGCCTATGAAGAAGTGAAACTCTTCACGAAAAGCAATCTGCAAATTCTGAACGGCTACTTCCAAAATCTGCGCTATTTCCATCCACATTCGCAGAGAGAAACGCGCAGAAGACTGTCATGGCTGGAACCTGTCAAGAACTTAGTTGATTTCTCGAAGAAGCGCAATGAATTTAGTAGAGTCTCAGGCTGTCGAGTTTCTGGAAAACGTGAACCTGCGACAAGTTGTAGACAGTGCCAAGCGCCTCGACGAAGGAATGGACACCGACCAGGCGCTGGAGGCCGACCCGAATGCCGGTGAACAACCATTTCCTAGAGAGCAACGTCAGATGATTCAGAAAGCACAGTGATAGTCGGGATTCATGTTCGTCGCGGCTTCGACGTCGTCTACAACGAACGGAACGTGCGCCATGGACACGCAACTGCTCCGCTCGACTACTATCAGCACGCCATCGACAAGGCCACGGCGGACCACAGCAAAGTTAGATTCCGAATCATTTACAAACATCTTTCGTTTAACACACGTTCTCTGAGATATACGATTTACAGTGGGCACAAAAAATTCATGTTGATTTTTACAGGCTCATACTTATATCACAACAACTAAAGATGTATACAAAACTTTTGAACAAGGTTTTGTAAGGCTTCGCCCCTTTTGAGGATTACTGTAGCCCAAAAAAGAAAAAAAATCTAACTTTTTTCTCCGTCGTCCAAATCGAATGAAACTTTAAAAAAAATATATATTTCAAAAAAAATGTTCATTTAGGCATCATCTTTCGTTTAAAAAAAGTTTCATTCGATTTGGACCACGGAGAAAAAAGTTAGATTTTTTTCGTATTTCGGCTACAGTAATCCTCAAAAAGGGCGGAGCCTTACAAAACCTTGTCCAAAAGTTTTTTATACATCTGTAGTTGTTGTGATATAAGTATGAGCGCTTAAAAAGCAACATGAATTTTTTGTGCCCACTGTTCTGGCCGTTCATCGATTCTCTCGGAGAACGTGTGTTAATCCGTCTCGATAGCGACCTTTTTTTTCTAGCAATCATTAAAAAAATCAATAATGAAGAAGTTTCACTGGAAATTCCAAGTTTTTCAGGTGGCCTTTGTGATTTGTTCCGACAATATGGCTTGGGCGCGTAAAAACCTCAAATTTGTGAAAGGTAAAGCCCGAAAGAATCAATCGACGTGATGAACTTCCAGGTGTCGGCAGTTTCTGGTGTCCAGGGCCACGAGAGGTCGACATGGCTATCCTGGGCATGTGCGACGAACTCGTTCTCTCGACCGGCACGTTCTCCTGGTGGAGCGCCTATCTCAACGTCAATTCCCAGCTCAAAGTTTGCAACTAAGAAAGATCTATTTACTCTACCGTCTGCAGGCACGATACTACGCCGGCTGGCCGAAAAAAGGCTCGATTCTCGACAAAATGATCAACAAAACTGAATTTTTCCTCCCTGATTGGACCGCCATGACTTGAAACAACGTTTTTCTTCTTTTGTAAGAACCTCGCGATAGTAAAATATTAAAATTCATGCAAAACAGACAACGAAGCAATTATGATGAATAGAAATTTCGAAGAAATGTACGCGAGAATGTGTCAGTGCTGGGTCCATTGGATGGTCTTCAAATCGATGCCCTCCTCGACCATCTCCCACAGAGGACTCAGTTCTCGGAGTCTTTGAGTCTCCCGTATGCACAAGTCAATCGTGTGTTGTACCTTGAATTTTGGTTCCGGGATTTGCGAAAGAGAAATGACTAGAATTCGCTTAATCTGATCGAAGAATAACTTTAAGACTCTTCCTAGTTATTCCTCATACTTTTGACAATTAAAAAAAATATCCCCAAAGTATTTTCATTGAGATGAATTTTTAATTCACAATAAAAGCTTGAAATTTTTTTTGGCTTCCCAGAAATTCTGCCCTTGTACACAGAACCCCCCTCAAAAAAACCTCTTTTTCGGTAGTAAAGCGTCCAATTCCAAAACGAATGGATGAATGAGCCAAATCTTCTTCGGAGCCGATGGCTCGGAGGACATACGAAGGCTCCAGGGAGGCCGATGTGCATGCGCTTCCAGAAGACAGCGCCACACTCTTCAGAGCCATCAACAGCGATTCTCCTGACCAGAAAGCTGACTTTACTCGGAAAATCAGAATTTTTTTTCCCTCTTACTGTAGCTGGGTTACGGTAAGCAGGTTTACTAGGCAAAATGATATATCAATCGATAGGCAATCCAATTTTAGCAACTTTCAGAGTGAAATTTTTTCCACCCTTTGTTTTTGAGAGTTACAGAAACAGCGTGTTAAAATCAACAATGCCAAACGACGATCTAACCTTCCACGTAGGCGAAGGAGAGGTTAACGCAGCCGGGATACGAGCTGGTGGCGCTGCCGTTGCGGATGATCATCTTCAGTTTGTCGTTGATGCCGTCGACGAGCATTCTGGAGAGCCGCTCGACGTGTGCCTTATCCATGTCTGAAGACGGAGATGAGGGAGAAAGACGGTCGCCACATACCCATTTCGAGTCTGGCAATGCGGCTCGCCTCGCCAAGACCTACGCAGAGAGGAGTCGCGCCGGTGCCCGAACGGAGACCGCGTTCCTGGCCGCCGCCGCTCATCTGCGCCTCCAGTCGCACCCGCGGTCGTCGTCGCACGTACAATGCTCCCACACCTGGCCAAATTATGTTTTTTGCGGTTCAACGTGCTACATCGGGTTAACTATAGTCGATTCACTCAAAGGGAAAACGGAATGCCATCGCGCATCTGAAAAAGGAAACTGAAAGGCCAGCGCGCATGCATCAGTTAAGTGAACACGGTGAACTCGGAGAGACCAGAATCGTACTCTTCTCGTTCTGCTCGCTATCTAGGACCTGCGCGCTGGTCTGCCGTTTAATTTTAAACTGGGCGTGCGCAAAGACAGTGCGCAGAGCGAGGAGAGTGAGAGCCTGGTCTCTCCAAGTTTACCATGCTCTCTAAACTGATGCGTGCGCGCTGGCATGCCTTTCTCCCCCTGAGCACGGCTAGCTTGGGGCGCAAAAGGCGTGACCTGTCTGCGTCATTAACCAGACACTGTCTCTTTTCTTATCGTGTCAGGACCCAATTTTCGATGGCTCAAGCCAGCCGTGAATCAGCTATAGGATCTTAAGACTTTCAGCCGATTTAGTACAGCGCGTTCACCCTACCAAGCACGGGTTCAAGATTTTTGGTCGCTTGCAAAATTTTACAGTGATAAACTTCGATACTTCAAGGTCAAACAAGTAAATTTGCAGATAAACTTGAGCAAAGTAAACCAAATAACTAAAACTATCGTTTCTTCCATTCATTGTTCAGAAAGGAAAAAAATGTTCAAAGTTAGAAAATATTGATTAAAAGAACCTTTGGGGCCATAGATCTTATGACCGGATATGGACAAAAGATCAATGTTCAGATCGTTGACGTCAATTTTGACCTTGCCGAACGCCTGAGCTGCATCCGTGTGGAAGTATACCTTTTTCGAACGACAAATCTTGCCTAAAAGTTTCAATTCTAGGAAAAAAGACGCAGAAGACCTGCCAATCTCTTTGATAGGCTGGATGACGCCGATTTCGTTGTTGACGAACATAACCGAGACGAGACTCGTTTCGGGCGTTATCGAGCGCTCGAGAAGCTGAAAATATCGCTGGAATTAAATCAAACCGAGTTTTTTATTTATCAACACATTTACTAAAGTTTAAGGAGTAAACGTCCCCTCTCGAATCCTTAATGAGCTCAAATGGATGATGGTCACCCTGCTGCTCTTTGTGATCGCACTATGAAGTTTTTCCGACAAAATAAGAACTGATTTTCCGTTCTGAAGTAGAACCTCATTATAAAAAATAGCCTTAACCTTTTTTCAGCGGTAAAAAAGCAGGGTGAACATGAAAGGCCGAAAATTCGTGATCTCTTTACTCATCAAAGACATAGGAGCTACCAAAAGAGGAAATCTAAAAATCAGTTTCACAGTTTTTTTTTTTCTAACCTTGGTACGCAAAAAGGCGACGCCTGAGTAAGCTTTTTTTTCCTACATTTTTAATCCGTTATAAACTTATTTTACTGATAACTTTATATCTCCAGACGGTCAGAGAAAGGTATAATGAAAAGAAATAATACTATAAATTTGAGGTACCTCGAGGTCAACGATACCGTCTTTGTTGACGGGCAGGTAGGTCACTTTGAACGACTCGTTTTCCAAGTATCTACACGAATCCAAAACGCACTTGTGTTCCTGGAATTTCTTTTTCATTTTTGAACTTTTTTCCAAGATAGGAGTGGCAGTTATGCTTTATTCATTTTTGATTTGAATCGAAAAGAAAATGGTTGATTTTTCAGCTTCAAAAAGTTTTCTTCCTGTCCATTCATCCGTTTTTTTCCCCTATACGGGCCAAAAAAGTGGTCCCTATAGAGGTTTAGGGTCTGACTCCTTAGCCCTAGTAGCTCAAGTGGACCTTATAGGGGTCTCTCAATTTCATTTTAAAAACGCCTATTCGTTCAGTTTTTTTCCATGGAAATGATTCTTCGCTTAGAGTTCTTATCAATTATCGACTAGCATGCCCCCCCATAGCGACCGCTAACTAAAACCCTACAGGGACCTCTTTTGCAAGCTTTAGTGGACTCTAGGAGTTTATAAAGTGGTATCTAGAAGGGACCCTCCAAGCGGCTCGAAAGTTGCCTCTATAGGGACCCCTCTGGAGTTCCTAATATCAACTCGTGCATGAATCACAGAAAACACACTTCGAAATTCCGCGCCAGTTTGTCACGATTTTCATTTCCGCCTGAGCTACAGAACCATTCCCTTCGATGCGCGCGATATTTTCTCTACCTGCGCCTTTAATATAACGGTCAAAAGACGCAGGCAGAGAAACATCCCACGCGCGAATGAAGCTCGGAGGAAACAAAAATCGTGACAAGCTGGCGCGGAATGGGCTATAAGAAACTTGCCGTTTGCAGGGTGATGATGTGATTTTTGCCAGAGTGCTTCTGGAACTTGGCGACGCCCTTGATTGCCATGTTGTTCGACTCGGTGGCGCCGGACGTGAAAATCACTTCGCGATGGTCGGCCTTAACTAATTTCTAGGCGAGAACATGGGGCGATTCAAACGTTGATGAGGCTCGAAACGTGTTTGCGAGCCGTTTCGACAGCTTCTTCGGCCTTCCAGCCGTAGGCGTGCGTCCGCGAATGCGGGTTGCCGAACTCGTTCATCATATAAGGAAGCATGGCGTCAACAACTCGAGGGTCCTGAAACCGTGGAAGTCTTTCTTCTGGCGAACACTGTGGTGACCATTGGCGACGTTGCCTGCACATCCAAATAGATGGGAGCGGGGGCTTCTCCGCGGGCAGCCAATCCGCGAAGTGGCACCCAAAAACGACTGGCTCGTCTGAGGAGCATATCTGAAAAAGGTCAACGCAAATAATCAATCCATGATTTTCTATTCAAAAATACGATGCGAATTTTCAAATAATCCTAGATATTTCACAAAACCAAAAAAAAAGAAAGAGGGATACTGACTACAAAAAAAAAAGACTAACCTACATATTTTTCCTGAACTTAAGTAAATCATAAATCTGTAGTCCACAAAGACACTTTTTCTCTCTTTCAACTCAGAAGTAAACTTCGGCAAAGTTTTCCCAAATTTTCTCACATTTTATAATTAAATCCGTGCGAACTTGTCACGTTTAAAAAAAATGGTGGATTACAGTGTACAGAGGCTTTTTTGCGCTGTTCACTTCGAAACCTGTCCGATTTTGCGCATTTACTTGAAATCTGTAATCTAAAAGTGAAAAATTTCAGTCAAAAAAACGTGACAAGTTGGCGCGGAGTAGGTTATAATAAAGCTTTGGGTACATAACCGTTTAATAATGTAATTACAAATTATAGACTCTTTTATTCACTTTTGCTTCTGATTTTATAAACAAGGAATTGGGAAAAGAAGCTTGAGAAACCATACCTGAACTCTCTTTATATGGGGCATTTAATCAGAAGTCAGAAAAACAATCACGATGAGCGAAACTTGAAGCATTGATATTAAGAATTATCCTTGAAGTGAACCTAATATTGTTGAACAAGTAAGTTTTAATTCGGAAAAAAATAATCTTATTACAAAAAAAAAAATCAAATAAATGAGGCACAATGTGGTACGTTACGTGTAGTTTGATAGCGCATAGCAGTTTAAATCCACAGCTTCAAAAATTCATAAATCACAGTGTTTACAGAACAAAAAAAAAGAGGAAAAAAATAAACCCAAATCCCTGGCAAATAGTTCCAGACAACATCGTTTTTCTAAACAGCCGCTACTCATAATGTCTTAATATCCTACAAATTTTGAGCGGCGAAGATCAACAAAGCTGCGTTATTCACCAGAAATAAAAAGGAATTTTCCCGTTGAGGAACAGGACGAAAGCTACATTACGGGGCATATTGCAGTGGGTCAAGTAGTCAATTCTATGCGTTAATTTCATTGAGATCGCCGGCGTCCAAAACACCGGCGTTCATGGCTTCGCAAGTTCGGCCGTTCGCCGCGGCGAAGACTGGCTTGAAGTACTCGTGTGCCATAGCTTCCTTCGCTGTCAAACGAGTCTGAAGCACCATTTGTAAATGTGTATAAATGATTTATGTATTACTCAAGTATCGCTATAATATTTTTTACTGAATATATCAGAGAAAAAAAAATTATTTGAACTCCTGGGCGTGAAGAAGGCACCCCAAAAATCGAGACTCAAAAGGTTAACGCCTGAATCTTCGAAATCTAGAGAGCCCTGGTCAACAAAAGAGTGTTTGGAACGAACGTCTGCCCTCTTTCAAATGCACTCTAGTTTTCGAGAATTCGAGGCTCAAAGATCCAGACGTAGACTTTTTAGTGGTGCAGCAACGGGCTTAAACATTGTGCTTTTTTTGAACAGTGTTGAGTGAGAAATTATACATACACTAAGAATAACTGCCGAGATAAACGCGAGACACTGGCGGTACATTGACGAGCTCGCAAACATCTCGCTTTTTTTCTCGCGCCGGTCTCGCATTTTTCTGGGCGCCAGCTCGCACTTTTCTAGGCGCGAGCTCGCATTTCTCTCGCAATTTGAAAATTTCCGAAATGCAAGATAAATGCGAGATGGCGCCGAGAAAAATGCGAGGTCGCGCCGAGAGAAATGCTGGATCGCGCCTAGAAAAAAGCGACATTTTTGCGAGTTAGTCAATGTACCGCCACCGAGCTCGCGTTTATCTCGTCAGTTATTCTTAGTGTAGATCAAAAATTATAATTGTTTTTAAAAATGCTTTTGCCCCGCGGCTTGATTCTTAGAAGCAAGATGTTTCAAAAAATTTTGAAGCTGTGCGTGTGACGTCCATGTAGGCCGAAACGGACCACAATGAGTGGCGATCGCCAAATTTTTTTTACACAAAAAGTTCAAAAAGATTTTTTGATACCTTAATGAGCATAATTTGAAAGATTCGAGACAAAAATAGAATAAGGAAGAATTTTCGAAATTTTCAAAGCCTATGGCGAGCTTTTTCTGTCCGCGCAAAGCTTTGCATTTTTAAAAGAAAAGCTTGAAGTTCAATATGCGAACTGTACCGAGATAAAAAACATACTGTTAAGACCACGGAAAAAATAGAGCAAAAATAAAAGTTTTTATGTTACCGATGATGAAGAATACTTACAGCGTGGTCGTAACGTAGAAGTTTATCAAGAAAGTCTAGAGCTTCCTGGGAGACGAGATGCTGGTTCTCCGCGTGGATGAACCTGAAATTGAAATATAAAACTCAGTCTTATCAGAGAGCGGCAGTTTTTATCAAAACTTCCTCCATCAATAAGGTAGCACCAATTTTTGCGCTAAAAAGTCTAGGAATGAAAATGAATTAATGCAATTAGGCAGTGTGAATAAGCGTAACAATATTTTTTACGATATTGAGCTCTCAATTTGCACAAAAAAAAAAAAATTCAGAGTTTTCATTTAGTGATGAGATTTTTTTCTTCTTTGAAAAATTTTCATAGTTCCATTTATGCGGACTGAACACGAGTCAGAGATCTACTGAAGTATTTCAAAAACAAGCTTTTTTTTTTTAGCTTTCCAGCTTTTTCAAGATTTTCTTTTATTTCAATAACAAAGGTGATCAAAAGCATGGAATTTGGAGTTTTATTATAGAAACAATATAAATTACGTTACTAATCCAGTTTTTTTGATAAATTTTTCGGACTAAAAATTTTCGAGTTATAAAAAAAGATTTTTTTACAAAGTTATCCTCTACTTTTTGATGATTTGCATGTTCTCTAATTCTTTTTCGAAGCCAGGCTATGTTTCAGAATAATATTTTTTTTTTCAGATTAGTAAAAAGGTTTTTTTTTTCTCTTTCAAGATCGCTACTCAATTTTGTTATTTAAATTTGACTCCACGAAATATTAATCAAACTGAGAAGATTTCGTACTTTTCATAAAGTTTTATTTCATGATTGCAAACACGGAAATTGAAAAAATACAGTACTCGATAGAGCGACTTGGTGTGTAAGCTTCACAAACACCATATATTTCACACGAACTTTCTGACTGGTGTATTGAAAAAAAGACATGCGAAAAAAATAAAGAAAAAAAGTCATTAAATTTGCTGAGCATATTAGAAGATTTATTTTAGAAAAAAAGTTCTATTTCATATTTAAAAAAATATTTTTTTTATATTTTTTTCAACAAAAAAATCTTAATTAAAAAAATTCTACACAAATTGAAAGTCATAACTTGAACAGTGAACATCATTTTTGTTGAAAAATCCTAGAGAATCCAAAAATTCAAAAATTAATAACCTTTCCCATCGTTTTCTTGAATGTCTTCCCAGAATGTCGTTGAAACGGGGGTCAAGATCGATTTGATATTTGGCAACGTACTCATAGAGTTCATCAGTTCCAAGAACTTTTGCGATTCGTACAAGCTAAAAAGTTTTCGGTGAAAGAAAATGTCTCTAATCAAGAAAAAAAAGTTACTTGATCATAATTGTCATGTCCATGGAAGAAGGGCTCCTTGCGGAAAATCATACTGGCAAGCATGCACCCCAAACTCCACATATCCAGTGAATAGTCGTAGCATTGATAATCGACCAACAGTTCGGGTCCCTACAAATATCAGATTATATTAAAAATTGAAAAAAAACTATTACTTTGAAATAACGAGAAGCAACGCGAACATTGTAGTCCTGTTTTTGGATGGTAGAACTCTGCCAAACCCCAATCAATTAAACGGAGCTGGAAGAAAAATTAGGTAATTTTGTCTTTTAAAATGTAAAACTTCTCTCTTTTCATTGTCGATCATCACATTGTGTGGCTTCACATCTCTGTGCATGATTCCTTGAGAATGACAAAAATCCAATGCCTGAAAATGTTGAGTAACTTGGAAAAAACAATCCAACAAGCAATCAATACAATTTTCGTTCTACTTAAATACCGTACAAAACGTTTTTTTCTGAACTTATAAAAAATTTCGAGCCTCTGCGCTACTTTTTTCAAGAATATTTTTGATTCCACGCGGTTTTCTTGTACAGCAGTCTTTTAAAAACTTCCCTTATTAGGATGGCCTGTAGGAAAATATCTCGCTTGAGTTCAATTTCAAACTCGCTTTTTATCGAAACACTTCCTAACGACAGAGCATCTCGATTTTTTTAAAATAAAACTTCGAGAATTTTTCAAGTCTTCTCGACAAAATGTGTTGAAAAATGATCAGTACTTTTCACAACAACAACAAAAAACCGCTCTTCAAGTATTTAATGTTTTTTATTCGCCATTGCTCGATATATTCCCTTTCCTTTTATCCTTATGGTATTCTGCTTTTCCCCTAATTAACTAACTTTGTTACCGGAAGTACACAATTTCTTCAATAAGGAAAATCTGACCTTAAGTAGTTCAAACAAGTAATATCGAATGTCGAAATCACTCAGAGTCTGGTAAAGCTGCTTGAAGTCAGAGTTGTTCACATACCTTAAAATGTATAATTGAAACACAACGAAATCCTGAGGTAAAAAAATGAATTTTTTAAATGTAAATCACAAGGTTCTTTTTTGAAGTTAAAAATCAATACTTCTAAAGCTTTCTGTCGCTCATTGTATCGTTACTCGTATATACTTCTTACTTTATTCATTAATAAACTCACTCGAAAATGAGCGCTGGTGTTCGTGATATCGGATCCTTGACAACATCCAAAAGAGTGATTATATTCGTTCCGCCTTTCAAATTTTCAAGAATTTTGATCTCTCTCTTTATCTTCTTCTTTTTTACAGGCTGAAAATAATTCAATCACTCGACCATGAAATGAAGATCGTTAAAAAAACGAACCTTTAGAATTTTTCACAACAACTTTTTTTCGTCGCTTGAAGCTTTGACCCCTTCAAATACCTGCAAATTTTAATATGAGTTTTTAAATCCTTTGAAGATCTCAGAATTACAATTACTCTTCTCTTCTAGAAAAATTTTCAAGAAAAAAAAGTTGATACGATAACATGCTGCGCCCACTTCATGAAACAAGTTTATACCTACCTCTGAATATTTACCACGACCAAGTTTTCGAACAAGCTGATAATCGTCAATTTGCCCCCATTCGATAACGTGAGACTCATAGTCCCAGTACTCGCGTGCTCTAGAAGGATTTACCTGGAAGATAATGCTATCAGAGTGGAATATGGGAAACTTTGTGTTAGTATTAGAACAGTGGAAGGTTTTTTTTTCATTGTTCACTGATTAGCTGTCTTTCTTTCTCATACTCTACTACATGTATTAAACATTTGATTTTTTTTTTATAATTTCAAAAAAATTATATAGGAAAGGTGATGTTAAAACCGTTTCTTCTTGAAAAATTTCACTCGATAGAGTGAACCAAGTACTAAGTTTATAAATTCTCTCAAAGTGTCAATGAACCAAAGGCTCGAATGACTTCTTTTTTATGAGAGAAAATTCGGTCTAGCAACTTCTACGAAATAAGGCTTACATCAGCATATACACGTGATCTGCTTGGAATCGGTGCCATATCACGTAAAGTGATATTTTATTCTGAAAAATTTTCCGTCATAAACACAAAGAACGAGACGTGAAACGACAAATTGAAGAAAAAAAAAAGTTGAACAACCTTAATAAATGAATGAATGGAAATGAGAAAAAGAAAATAACCCGTTCACACTTTCAAAACAAAAACAAAAAAGTTTTTGGAAATAAGAGATGGAATCAATGAAAAGAAAATTTCTGTCATTCAATGAGAAAAAAAAACACTAAAAATAAAAGAAAGTGAGCGATGAAAAACGGTGCGATAAATAAAAAAATGTTCATGATTAAAAAAACATTATTTGATTCTTTTAATCTTCATGTCTTTGAAAATTTGAAATACGCTTCGTTTTTTCGTCAAACTTTAATAATTGTATTTCTAGTTCAAACCAATTTCGCGAATTCGAAATAATTTCTCATTCTTCAAAATTTTTTCGTCATCGTTTTCACTCTCTGATGGTGATTGCGAATTTCGCGAAATTACTATGAACGCGGCATTATATAAACTACTTATATACTCTACTCGCGTCCCGTAATCATTAATAGAAGCCCAACAGTGGCCACCGTACGCGTCCTTTCAAGACACCCCGAGTTTAAACCTTCATGTGCCTTTAATAGCAAAGTCATCACATTTATAAATATTTTAAATTTATTTTTTTTATAAAAATTGGTCGTTGCTGAAATCATCTTTTTCACAAAAATTTGCCTTACGCAGCCTTTTTCAAATTATTTATTTTTTTGAATCGGTAACGAATCGCCCAATTTTCTGCGTATTTAAGACTAGGCTCAGCGGTGTTATTTATATTTTAAAAATATATTTTTTTTAGCATTCGAAACCTCATTTATTTCCAATATTTTTGCTTTGATTAGCTCTGTTATAGTATTTTTTTCAGATGTATCGGAGAATAGATGCTTAAAAAGAGAAAAAAGTTGGTAATTAATTTAATTTCTCCTGCGTTTTCATCTAATGACACGAGCTAGGTTTTTTTAAATCAACTAATGGTTCTCTTAAGTTTATGTTATCGGTGGACTCGGCTGCGTTTTTTTGACGATGAGCGCGACTACAGTGAACTCATTTTTGAGGTCTTCAAAGTTGCCCCTTATCTACAACTCTCGGGTATTTTTGAGTATTTTATGAATAACTGTTCTTCTTTTTTTTAGAACACATGGATCCTCAGGCGCGTTTTCACCCCGGAACCAACGTTGGACGGATTTATTCAGAAAAATCCGAATACTTTGCAAGAGTTTCAAAAGTATGAAACAGTTGAGTATAGAACAAACAAGCCTGCCCCTCCCGTTAAAATAATTCTCACTTGTGATGTGGAGGGTCAGTAAACCTTTTTTTTCTTTGACTAACATAATATTTGAAGGCGTTGGTCACCAGTTCGACATTGTTGATGTCTCTAGTAAAGCTGCAAGAACGAATCTATTACTTTCAAAAAAAGCCGTTTACGCATCACCATTCGACTTGAAATATTACTCGGAAATGAAAGAGGTTTTTATTAAACTTTGGAAAACTTTACTCTGGTTTTCGTTTCAGAAAATGGCTGAAGAGTTGTCTTCTCGAATAAGAATACCGTTTGAATTTAAACAAATGGGTAGGGAGCTTCAAAAAACGCTCATTCCCATCAAAGTTAGCCTGAATAATGCGTGGGTCGTCAACAAAACGACAATCAGATCTTCGTTAAGGCAAAAGGTGAGTTTCTTTGCCGTTTAAATCCAAAGTATTTATGTTTTTAGAAAGTCCTTAGATAAAAGAACTTGATATTGAAAGGATAGTAGATCTCGCTTTGAATTGTACGGGCAAAATTTTCAAACTAAGAAAGATTATTAAGACCAAAAGAGAAAGTTTACCGTTCGAGCAAAAAATCGAAGTGAGAATTATGTTTTAAAGAATGGTTCAGAATTAGGAGGTTGGTTTAAAAAAAAGTGCAGAAATATAAAAAAGTCGTAGAGGTTTTAAAAATTTTGAGCAACCTTTGGCGCTAAAACTTTACCAAAATTTAGTTTTTTCACATGAAAAATAATGGAAACTTGAATAAATAAAAAAAATTAGAACAGAGAAATAAATATTTGATTTTATAGACTACTCCTGGATCAAGTATTTTTGGTTGAAATTTTAAAAAATCCTCAATTGTTATAATATAGGCGCCCCGGTGTAAACGAAATATTGCACAGTTTTAGTGATTTGGTGTGGTTTCGAATATTCAGATGTTTTAAAAAATTCTTGAAATGATTGAGTTTTTCAAATTTATTATCATAACGTTTTAAGGGTATTTTCGTCCCCTTGGATTCTCTTCATTTATGTCAACCTGAAATATCCGGTCCAAGTTTTGACCTGGAAGCCAAGATTGTTCGATTTTACATTGTTGTATGTTAGCTCACATTTCTTTTTTCATTTTGTCATATTTTCTAGATTTCGAAGCAGTACATAGTTCCCATGCTTGGGCGAATCACTCACATTTCAGTCGATGAAGCTAAGCAGGTTTTATTTCTTTCAATTTTTCTGAAACTGAAAATTGTTTTAGATAATTTCTCCCGCGTTTTCATCCGTTCCAAGCGATGATGATCTCCGAAAACATGGCTTACGGCCGGAGTTCCCAATTTTCAGCCGCGTTCCGGAGTTCGACGAAAACTATCCTGTGGTCGAATTCATGAAAGACAACGCACCGTCGAAACCGTCATAGTTCTTTATAGATATTTTTGAATTGTTATTGCTAATGTTTTTTTTAGATTGTATTTGCTGTATAAAAAGAAATTTTGACACATTTTAATATATTTACCTGTCAATTCCGTTTCTTCGGTGCTCATCTCTTCTTTGTGTTAACATCATTTTTATTCATAGAATTTTGATTTCAGCCTTCGACAACAAAAATGGTTCAAGAAAGCACAATGATTTGGTCAGTCAAAAATTATTTTTTTGTTTACTTTTGTTTGAATTCAGTGTTGACAACTCGGAATGGATGCGAAATGGAGATTATACTCCAACTCGGCTGCAGTCGCAACAGGACGCCGTCAACCTCATAATGCAATGCAAATTGCGGGCGAATCCTGAAAATGCGGTCGGTCTGCTTTCTATGGCTGAGTATGTTTTAATCAAATATTTTCGTATAAAATTTTTTTTTAGCAATGTTCAAGTTTTATCGAGCATGTCGACGGAAATCAGCCGTTTGCTCATGAAAACGCATCAACTCGAGCCTCATGTCAGTCCATTTTATGATTGAAAGAAAAATCAAAAGAAGTAGCTTCAAACAAAAAAATCGCGGTTTTTAGAAGGAAACCCTCGAAAAGGGAGATTTTACTCGAATTAAAAAAATTTCTTCATGATGATTTCTTAAGATTTTTTTCTTTAGAATTGTATGATTTGTCAAGATTTTGTTTCTTAATCGAGTTTCCGGCTTTTTTTCGGTTATTTCGAAACTATTCTATGAAGAAGACTGTCAAATTTCAAACCTGTACCTTTTTCCTTTTTAAAAATATTTGTGTAGATATTTTTTTAATTTAAGGGAAAAATGTAACTTTCTGTCTTCGATCAAAATAGCGCATCTGGCTTTGAAACATCGTCAAAACCGGAACCACAAGATGAGAATTGTGCTATTCATCGGCAGTCCTGTTGTCAGTATCGACACGGCGGAAGTTAGTTCTTTTTATTTTTGGAAAAAACTCGGTAATTCTTTTTTCAGTTGATAAAGATCGCGAAAAAGCTCAAGAAAGAGAAAGTTCACTGTGATGTGATTATTTTCGGAGAAGGAGAGGAGGAGAACGGTGCAAAGTTCTCCCAGTTTGTGGACACTCTTAATGGAAAGTAAGTTATTTTTCTGTTTTTTTGTTATTGGATTCAATTGGATATTTGAAAAATAGTTTAGAGAGATGGTCTCAAAAAAATTACACTGAGTGCATAATTTTGCTTTTTAAGCAAATCGTGATTTCAAAGAGTTTTTTTATGCTTTTTTTATTCAATTAAGATTTTTTTCCCCCAGACTTTTTTTAAAAATTTTCTCCCGAGTATCAATGGTGTTTTTTTAAATCGTTTTATCGGTTTTTATCTAATTATATATTTAATTGAATTTTTTTCTGACCTCATGACAAGAGACATGAAATTCAGGGAAGGAACTGGTTCGAACTTGCTCGTAATCCCTGCCGGTTCGACTCTGTCCGATGTCTTAGCGTCGTCTGCGGTTTGCCGCAACGAAGATGGTAGCAGCGCCCCTGGCGGTGGGGGATTCGACTTTGGCGTCGACGCCGAAAACGACCCGGATTTGGCTTTGGTAATTTTTTTCTGACCAAGTCAATTGTCGTCAAAAAAATGACTTTTTTTAAACTTGAAATATTTTGAATATTTTTCTTTTGAAGCCAAAACCATGCTGATTTCAAGAAACATTTCGCCGATTCTTTTGCCCTGTTCTAAGTGAGTTTAGATTTCAAATTGGTCGTCAGAAAGTGAATAAGACAACTAAAATTTGGAGAACTAGAGAGAATTTCGATTTTTGTGGCATTTACTTTGTGTCGAACTACGAATTAGATTATTTTAGGTACACTGATGATAGAAAATATAATGCAGAAATGAAAATACGGCCAGGGGTGTGAACATTTCTATTTTGAGGATCTGGCGAAAAATGTATTAGACCAAATTGAGTCAAACAATTCCGACTTAGACTATGGTCGTTTGAATCGTTATTATAGGTTTTAAGAGATTTTGAGAGATCTGTGTATTATGAAAATTGCAAGAAAAAAAAGCAGCAGGCTAAAACTCGGCTCAACATTGTTTCTTTAGGCGCTTCGTGTGAGCATGGAAGAAGAACGGGCTCGTCAGGCGGCCGAAGCGGCTGCAAACGGAGGAACGGCGAACGCGGAGCCCCAAGTGGAGCCCGTAGCACAGGCGATGGACGTAGACATGAGCACGATGACGGAGGAGCAACAACTTGAATGGGCTCTTCGTTTGTCTATGCAAGAAAGTGTTCCGAGAGGTTTCTAATCATTCCCCATCTTTCTACGTTGTCTGTTTAAGCTTCGGAATCTGAAGCAGCTAATTCTGGCAATGACGAAAAGATGGAAGTGGATGTAACGGGCACCACGACTCCAGACAACATCGACGATCTCATGAACAATCCCGACCTTTTGCAGCAAATTGTTGATGATCTTCCGAATGAAGAGGTAAAACGAAAATTCTTACTGGTCTGTAATTTGTTTCAGAAAAATCAGTCGCCGGATGAGAAGGACAAGGGATCCAAGTAATGCACCATCTTCATCCCCAAAAAATACTTGTGTCAATAAATTTATTGTATAAAATACCCTCATATCGCACGTTACACATATATGGAATTTCAAAAGTTACTAGTCCTTTTTGTATTGCTTCAAATAGTTTTCCAGGATTTTTGACAGCTCTGTTGGCGATGGTATTTTGGAAATCTGAAAAGGTCTTTTAAATAATTCAATGATGCCAAAAGTACCTCGTAATTTTGAGCTGCGTATGAACCTGCGTAAGCTCCGATAGCTAACGCAAAAATATGGGAGAGAGCGCCCATGGGACCTGAAAAATGGAAGAGTTATACTGAGATCAGAAAAAGAAGATTTTCGTATTATTTGAAACAAAACTGGATTTCAATTAAATGCAGCAAATCTAAAACGGGAAGTTCATGGTAAAAACGAAAAAAAGTGTATATTTCAGTGATAATGTTTCCAAGTTCTTTCTGCCAAAGTATAATTAGGGGTTGAGCACGCAAAAATATCAACGGCATCAGTATAAAGGGATTTCTCGTCATAGATCTTGTAAATATTTAGATGAATTTGTCTCGATAACACCCAATACGAGATACTTTTGTTAAATTAAATCTGAAAAAATATCGATTTCAAAAAAAAAACAGAAGAAAGAAAAATCAGAAAGGGTTATATAGTCTTTACTTCGGCAAAGGTTTTGAAACCAATTGGCTCGTTCAAACTTATTCAAGGGAGGAAGAAAAATCGCGTGTACCAATAGGAAATTTCGAAACACTCAAAGCGATAACTGCTCGAAAACCTTTTGAACGCGCGAATGAAATATTGCGATTGGAATGATGCAAAAGTTTAGATTTTGAGTATTTCACTAACAGAGACCCTCCTCTTGTACACTGCGACGGAACCGAACGTTTCCCCTCTCGGGCGACCCCCTGGACAAAATTGTCATAATTTTGCATCGCGGATGCTATTTCACGCGGTTTTTTCGACTATAACGCGTGAAACGGGTGAAAAATGCGTGAAACTTATTTGGGTGAAGCCGATGGAGAAAAAAGGATGGAAAATTGTGGCACTCGCCGCTCAACACCGCTTTAAAGTCCTATGCGCATGAGGCGCCTTTTTTCTGCAAGGTGTTCGCAGTTTGCGGTGCTGACCCTTTCTTGGCCGTTGACATTTTTGTTAATATCGCGTTCAAAATTTTGACTTTGAAAGTAAATCATGCGGCTTTCACCATTTATCCTTTGTATTTTTTTTTAGATATTTAATTTTTTCTACTAAAAAGAAATTGAAGGTCTACCAGTGCTAAGAAATGGGCGAACCAACAGCCGAAGAATCTGCGTCTACCAACGATTTGGAAGTTTTGTTTGCTGATAGATATACTATTGTATGTTTCATTTGATTTTTTCAGCCCTATGTTTTATTTTATTATTTTGAAGAGACGAAAAGAGCGAACGAATTATTTTCAGGAGAATCCAACATATGCCAAAATAGCGAAAGGATTCGACAAAGTTGTAATGGTGCAACCTTGGCCGCCTCATCAGCCCAACAACAAAAGAAGATATGACAACAACTTCAGGGGGTACCATTGAAATAAGTTTATTCGAAATTCCATGAGATTTATCCAGACAAAGCCGTCCTTACCAGCACCGGGGTTGGCGGCCTCGTGGCGGTTATCAGCGAAATTATTATAGTAAGTAAATTTTCGAATGGCTTTTTTATTGTAATGTTTTAAAAATTAATTTTCTGTTTTGAGACGGGAAAAATGAATCAATTTTTATCTTCCTATAATGTTCACTGAATTTTTTTTTCTGTAGAGTTCCATGCTACCTTTAAGGATAGAGAATCTTCTATTCCAGAAAAGAAACTTTTTGAATCTATCTGAAACATTTTTTTAAGTCAAAAATTTTAGATGATCGTAGCGGTGAAGATAACTCGCGGAAATACGAGGGTCATATGTCGGCCAATCAACGACAGTGATGAGAAACATCGGTATTCATGATTTTCACAGTGTCTGTGCATAATTTTACTGATTAATAATGAAAAAACGGCCTCAAAGTTTATTTTTATTTTGTGAAATCGGAAAAAGAATCCGAGAAAAATGTCCGCGGAGCAATTTTTTTCAACTATGGGTTGGAACTTGATGCTTAAACTCTGTTATCTTTTTTTTTAACTGCTGTTTTTACCAAAATCTATCTTTGAACTCGTTGACTCATTTTAACAACTATCCCTGCAGTATATACAAAAATTGTCACTTTGATCTTTTCTTGATTGTTTTTACCTAAGACATCGTTTTCCGAAAATGAAGAATATTTTTTCGCATTTAGCGATTCTTCTTTATCTCAGCACAATTTACACTGCCTCCTGCAAAAATTGACGCATACAAAACCAAAGATTTATCAACCAGCGAAAGTTGCGAGACTTTTCAAAGTCGATAGCCCTCGTTGGACCCAAGATCCGGGATCCTAAAGTAGAAATATAAAAGTTAGCAATAAATTTCATCAATTATTAGAAAAACTAACCGTGATATTCCCACCGTTACATCGGTCGCCAGTGTTACAGCAACAGAAAAGAAGAGATTTTCCGGCAAGTGTCTGCGTGAAACATTTGTTCGCGTTGAACTGGAAATAAGCTATGATTCGTGATGATTGGAGTTGAGAGAGGTCGCTGGTGAGATTAACCCGTCTTTAGAAATCAGAAAAAATGCCGAGAAACTACCATTTTGGAAATATCTAAAGTTATGCTTGGTGAAAAAAATCTTCACAGATCAGCTCGCGCATTTATAAACTAACGAAGTTTGAGAAAATGAGCAAGATGTTTTTCTGAAAACTGAAAAATTTGAAAGAAGCGAGACCCTGCAGAGGAGCGAATTGCAACCGGCCTTCTGGACCGTGCTGAGGGCGTGAACATCAGCGGTCGCGTTGTAGCAGAAGTCCGAGTCGCTGCTGCAGTTCTTCGTCTCAGTCCCGATTGTCCGACCTGTGAATCAAACTATTAATAAAAAGTGCTTCAACCGAAATTCGGGCAGAGGGGGGAAGCTTCTTTCAAATCTTCTAAGGGTCCCCAATAGATCTTTTTTTTACTTCACTTTCGCATCTTGTTCACATCCACCAATGAAGAGGCAACTAAAAAGATTGGAGCGATTCAAAAAGGAATTCTGAGGCTATGAAAAATGTGCCCAAAAGATTTGTCCCATAATTTTAGGAGCCTTTAGCGGAACCCGGCTCCTTAAGAAGGCCTTTCAAGGGTCTTCAAAGAAGCTTTTCCTTTTTTACTATGTTGTTTCAATCCCACCAGGGAAGGTAAACTGAAAACGTCCCGTGGCTAACGTCGACCAGTGAAAAATAGTCTCGTAACTATGAGTCATTCATTTTTCAGTTTTATTCTGGATTTTTTTCTTTTATTTGAAAATTGCTTCATTTTTACCGGGATTGGTAAATTGAGAACGCCTGGAGAATCTAGAGAAGGTCAGGAGTCTGTAATAACCTTTAAAAAAAAAAATGAGACCTTTTTATGCCACGTTCCATAGTATTTCACAAAGTTCGGAAACGTCTGAACCTCAAAAATTTCCCATAATCGCTATATTTCAACTTCTCCCGTACAGCAAAACCCTGAGAAATTTGGCTTTTCCTGTTTTGGGGACTTTTTTATGTATTGTTTTAGTGTTTCTCGGCGCCAAAGGAAAACGAGATTTTTTTTTTCGAGCCGTGTGGCAAATGGAAAATTGGAGGATCCTCTCTAGGGACCACCTTACTAACCCCTATAGAGGCCACTAAAGCTCGCAGAAGTGTTCCTTATAGGGGGCATGCTAGTCGATAATTGTTACGAACTCTTTACCCCTATAGGGACCACTCTGGAATTCCTAAGTAACTAACCCTTTATGATAGAATATCCTGTGTAGCACTGGAGCGCCGACGCGGAAGCGACCAGAATCAGCGGAAAGAGAAACATTTTACGCCGAAATTGATCAGTGTACTGACTTCATTTCTTCGATGGAGTCGTCGACGGCAGGCGGCGAAAGGACGGCGGTGAGTGACGTCTTCTGTCTGCTGATCGAGTGGAGAAAGTGACAAAGACCCTACAGACAGTTGTGAAACTACAGAAAGGGAAGGTTCCTCTGCAATCAAATAGTTCCCAGGATGGAGTCTTCCACGATAACTTGGTCGCTGACTTGCTTCTCAGGATTCTAAAGGCTCCTCTGGCAATTGCCGAAGCTGTTGCTGCGGACGACAAAGAGTGGGTGAAATCTGTTTCTCAGTAATAGTTTCTTCACTGCCCAAGTAAAAAATAGTTATTATTATAGTATTTCATAAAAAAAAATAATAAAAAGAGCGATATCAGTTCTCCAAATAGTCGTTGGTGGTTGAATTGAACTGGTGCCAAGAACCGCGTACGCACACGCTACGCGCCCCTCCCACTTCTCCGCCTCCCTCGCCTTTCAAGTCGGGAAAATTTGACTATACTTACTATCTCAAGAATAAAAAATCCTGCTCAGAAATTCAAGCGATTCAAATGATGTTTCAGTGGAGCACCGATTGAGCTGCAAGTCGATTTCTCGGTGCCGGAGGTCGAATTAATTTGCGAAAAGAGCAAACGAGCTTTTCTCCAAGCGGATGCCCTTCTTCGTATCAACTCGTGAGGCTTCAAGTCGCCAGGAAATCTCTTTAATTTTAAGATTTTTTAAGTCTTGTTCTTTTATGCTCTTTTTTCATTGAACGAAACTTTTCTCTTCTTAGTTTTAGTTCTGAAAGCAATTATCTCTTAATTTTAGTTCCAGATGAACTTTTTTTAGAATATGAATATTCTAGAATATTTCTTTCGGCGATACCTCGACAAATATCAGCCAGAAAAATTGATTTTATTTATTATATAACGTTCACGTTCGCTTTTTGCGCGTCGATTTTAATGCATCACGTGCACTGCGTACAACACATTTTATTTTACGCCTTCAAGATGGGTGTGGCGTCGATTTGGTGTCGCCGTGTTAGTCTGAAATTTTCAGTAGTTAGGTCTCGAAAAAGCTGAAAACATTCAATAATAGTCAATTTTTTCCCGAATATGAAGGCGAGTTGGGTAGATTAAAAATAATGAAGCCTTCCGTAGGCGCCGCGGATTTTTTGTCGAGGACCTCCACGTCAAACGCATTCATGGAAAGATGTAGAAAATGATTTTTTTGATCATTTTAATACTTTTCTCAATCATAAAAAATCTTGAAAAATTACCGAAAAGGAGGAACCATGAAAAGAACGTGACTAGCGCTAGATCTAAAGTTTCCCGCCAAAAAGCCGCAACGCGTACGCAACGCATCACCCTAGCCCATCCACCCATCTCGCCTTTCAAGTCGAGAAGGATTGCTGATGCTTGCAGCGAAGGCTCGATAATCGTTGTGGCAGACCTGCACGGCCAGGTCGTGCACTTGCTCAGGATCATCCGCACTTGCGGCTTTCCGCCGAATCAGCGCTACTTGTTCCTCGGAGACTACGTTGACCGTGGAGCGCAGGTTCGCGCCCAAAAGTTTCTCGAATCGTTGGTCGGCTTCACAGGGAGTCGTCGCCATGATACTGCTGCTGTGTCTCCGGTTACGCTACCCTAGGCACGTCTTCCTGCTCCGAGGGAACCACGAAGACGTTAACACTACTCTTAACTATGGATTCTACGATGAATGTCTGAGTCGCTGGAGGGTCGACGGTGACGAAGTAACTCACGGGGAAAAGGTCGGCGACTTTTTCGGGTCGACAAGATTTGCAAAAAGACGCAAAAGTTGAAGCTTCAAAAGCTTGAAATAGCGCTTTTTTTTGTCATAATTTGCGTGTTTTGCGGACTTTGAAGCTTCAAAACTCGGAAACAAGATCTAATGCGAAAAGTTTGGTGAAAAACTATCCTTAGTAAGTTCAAAAAAATCAATTTCCTATCAAGAAAAAGCACTAAAAAAGTTCAAAATTAACGGAAAGGTTGGCAAAAAAAAAACTTTTCGTCACTCAAGAAGGTAGGTCTACGACGCGTCCTTGTTCTAAGAATTTTTTAGCCTTCACTTTTTTGCAGAAATTTAGGAAAAAAAAACCAGAAGAGTGCAAAAAAGCCACCTAGTTTTAGGCAGAAGAGATATAAAATTTAGGCTTGGAGGGCGTTTTTATCAGCTTTTAATAGCATGCCGATAGCCGCAGTTATCGGGTCGCGAATATTCTGTGCACATGGCGGCATTTCTCCGTTCATACGTTCTCTTGAGGACATCAACAAGGTTTGTGACTTTTGAACTTTCGAAAACCCCCAAGACTATACCGAAACTGAAGGTCACACGACCAGCAATAGTGCCTCCCTACGGAATCGCCTGCGATTTGCTCTGGTCAGATCCTTCGCCGCCCGGACAATTTGGCTGGTCACTCAGTCACCGAGGTAAAAAGAAATGATACTGTAAGTGTCAAAAATAAATTTCTGCAGTAGAAAATTTACTTAATTAGAGATTGCACAACTTACACTAGTATTCTGAGAAATTTTTGAAAAATCCCTATAGAGGTTAGGGGCCAAAAAAGTGGTCCCTATAGGGGTAAAATCGATGCGGCCCCTTTGGGGTTCATGGTCTGATCCATTAGTCCCTATATTGAACTACGGCTCAGTATATTTCGAACACAATCGAGAATTTTGCAGAAGATTTTTCAAAAAAATGAATTTTTGCACTTTCGTGTTTTGTTTCTAAAAAAATTGGCAATTTAACCGTTCTCGCGCCCTTTTTTTATAGTTTTTTTTTTTGAAACCAAGCGGATTTTGAGTTTTCCTGTGAGACCTCCTGGGAGCTCTGAAAGGTCATTTTCCTTGGCGTCTGGAAATTCCCAAAAAATTGGTCAGAACGCTTCTTGATGTCCCAGAAAAAAGGTTCTGAAAGTCAGCTCTCAAAAATTAGGAAGCTGTGCAGCTCGAGACTCTTAGAATCTCTTTCTGGTACATCAAGAAGTGTTCTTGCCAACTTCCAGAAAATTTCCAACCGAAAAATAAAGTGACTTTCCTTATCAGGGAGACTAACTTTCCATTTGCAGGTATCTCATTCACTTATGGTTCGAAAGCAGTCGAAGAATTCTGCAACGAGCATTCTTTATCCTGTGTAATTCGTGGACACCAAATATTCAACGAAGTGTTTCTCCGTCTCAAATCGGACACTTTATTTTTCCCAGATGTATCGTTATGGCTACGTTCTCCGGTGCAACGGGCGGCTTGTTTCATTATTTTCGGCTCTCAACTACGAAAATTATAAAAACAATGCATGTGTCGCCAAAGTCACGTTTTCATCTACAGTTACTCACCAGCAAAAAAACGCCAGAAATTTGAAAATTTTCAGTGTTCTATTGAAATGATCATCTTCCGATGCAGACATTACGCTCACCCCAAAAGAGTTTCTTCTTCAATGGAACTTTCGGAAAATAGAATATCTTTCAGAAAGAAACGATGGTCTACAAGGAAAAATCAGCTTATTCTCAAATGCGCACAGAGAGAGAAAAAAATTCCTCTTCTTTGAAACAGTTGAGACTTTTTGCAATGTTTTATGAGACAATGAAATTTGAGGAACCTGGCGACGGCGAAAAGCAAGAAAAGTTTGAGACAAAAACCGTCCACCAGTATTACACGGAAAGGTCGAAAATGATCCGTTCATGTCACTTTATTCTAATATAAAAGAATTCACTCATTAACCAGAATTTTCGAGTTTACTCAAGAAATCATTTATTATAAGTATGAGGCAGCCATAATGGGTTAAAATTCTAAAGATCTTTTTCCGACTTCTATTGCTTTCAACTAAGTTCTTGGTAGTTCAATGTATTAGAGGAAATCTTCTCATCTGCTTTTTTTTTCTGCAATCAAATTTTTTTGAAGAATATTGACCCTTTTATTTGATAGCTTGAATATTAATCAATGTTCTTCTTCCTTGGGAAAGTTGGAATAAATAAATTTTCTCGTAATCCATGGATAGATCAATAAATTTTGATTATCGGAAATCAGATCAGCAATTATCCCCCGCCCAAGGTAAGTCTACTGCCAGCTCTTCACTTTGAAGCTGAGAAAGATCTCGATTCCGTTTCAATAACCAGGGAAAAGCATGGTAATGAAATAATGCCCCCAAATGACAGTAATCCGTGAGAATTATATTAGAAAAATAAATCAAAAACAGTGAAAAACGTGCTTTACTTGATTTGAGAAAAGAAAAACAACAAACAAAAAATACCAGTAAAAAAATTGTTCACTGATCTAGAAACTACGGTATTCATGAAGGTTAACGAAATTGAAGTTCAAAATTGGAAAAAGGATGTGAAAAACTTTGATAATATTCGGTTAATGAGTTTAAAAAACTTTTTCCGTATGTTAGTGAAAGATATGATTAAAAAATCATTTAGATAAATTAGGCGGTGAGTCAAAAAAATGAAGCAAAGACCTCAGCGGGATCATAGACGGATTTTCGCTCTAAGAGATACCTGAAAGGAAGGGAATAAAAGAAAAACGTAGGTAGACCGATCAACCTGTAGAAAGAGCTGAGATTCTCGTCAGAACAAATCGTTTTGACGCTTCCAATCATGACAAACTGTCGCTTGGCCCGTGTTATAGCGACATTCAGTCGCCTCTCTTCGCGCAGAAATCCCAGATAGCCTACAAAACTAACTCCGTGTTTAAAAGTGATTTTGCGGAGTTTATTATGACCGCTAGAAGTCAAAATATATAGCTGATTCACGGCTGTCTTGGGACACTAAGAGGGCAAGGCCTGTCTGTGCTCTCCAAGAGATAGGCACAATCTCGTGCATTATCGTGTCAGGACCCTTTTTCCAATGGCTCTTGCACATGTTGGAATTCATAAATGGACAGTTTTTTGATTGAAAGAATGACGATTCTGATCTGAGACTAGCTGGTCACACCTTGTTTGTTGTCTCTAACAGTACTGAAAATGACGACTTCTCGCTCTTGCCCTTGAAACGCGTCGACGGAATTGACCGCGACGCTTTCGTTCTTGATAGCCTTTCGTAGTTCTTCCACCTTGATTTTTTGAAATTAACTCTCATGATTGTTCATTAACATCGAACCTGCGCAAAGTATGGCGCGATAACAGCAATGTCCTGAGGAGGTACATTGGCCCGAAGCAGCAAATTCACATATTTAACAATGACCTCGACTTCATCTGTAGAAGCCCAGAATTATGATGAGAACAAAACAAAAAATGAAGTTATGACCTCGATTATAGCAAGATCGATGGGAAAACTGTTCCCGACTGCGGTTGCTTTTGAAGTCGGTGTTGATCAGTAAAATGGGCGAGTCCAATATTGAATCTTTATCAACAAAATATCGGTCGCTGTAAGCTAGTGGGTTTGAAAGAAAGTTAAAACTTTCAATAAAAAAAAATTTCAAAAGGGACCTCAGTCTCTGATTAGCCACAGATTCGTGTGAACGTAGTTTAGCGTCATAAAAACTTTCGGATGACCAACGGACGATCGCATCGTTGGAGCTGAATCTGATGTGAAAAACGGACACCTGACGCCAGTGCTACCGGTATTGCTCGTCGAGCATGATCCCGACGTTGCCGTTCGAAAACTCCTTCATCAAACGTTCCATGAGAGAAACTTGTAGCCCGGAAGAAATGGCTCTAAAAACTCAGAAGGAAAGTTTGTAGAGATTCTTCGCAAAAAATTTGTATACGCTTTTCTGATAATGAAAACGAAAAAAAAGTTAGTCACGTTTTAAAAAACAGGAAAGAAAGAGCTACCGTAAACACAATTTCTGCTCTACAAAACTGCTAAAAAGACAGCAGACAACAAAGGTCTTGAAGCGAAGATTCTCAATTTCGATATAATTTGGTATAAGGTTTCGGACAAGCTGACTCGGAATAGGCAATATGTGCTAGAGTTCATCAAACCGATCGTTTCACCGTTTCAATTGAAACTACGTCCCTGTCCAACCAGATTTTAACATGTCCTTTTTCGAGAAATCGTTTATTAGGTCAGTTTTTGATCACCTACATTAATGATTAATTATTGGAATTTAATGTTTTGATGGATCGATATTTCGAGCAAAACTTTTAGAATAACATTTTGTACGCATGGAAATGTATCGTTTTTCGTAACGAAATAAGCTTGAAGCAACATCTCAATTAGGAAGAACAAACTACAAATTAATTTGCACTCGTATGTGAAAAAAAGGTGCAGCTCAAAAAACTTGAAAAATGAAAACCGACTTGTCGGACTTGACGACAGCTGGTAGCTGAGCCGGGTCTCCAACGAGAATGCAGCGTTTGGTCCCAACTATCGCCGCCCAAACTGCCGGCTCGGTACATTGGGCTGCTTCATCTTGGGACAAGATATTCGGAGGCAAAATGAATTTCTTTATTATACCGATTATCAAAACGTCTGCATGCCAGTTTAAACGAGGCAAAAAGCGGATGGCAGAAGATGATAACGTGCAGAAAACGGCTTTTCGTCGAAGATAAACATTCTAAATGGGAAATGAAGAAGTGAAAATTGTTATAATGCACAAACCCGCACTATGTTCATTCGTAGAGCCCTCATCCTTTTTTTATTAGTTCGGCTTTTTTTCTTTAGAAGATGCCGATTTCTTAATGAAAAAAATTTCTGGAAATTCAAAAAAAGGAAATAATAACCAGTTGGTTGGAAAGTTCTTGAAGCGTTCCAAATTCCGGGTCTTCACAAACGGCTTCCCTCTGATTAGCCACGTTGAAAATTTCTACAAAATGGCCATGTCACCTTGAAAACTGTACCCCAGTTATAGACTATGAATTCTGCAAAATATTAACGGAACATTCAGCTGGAGCTTGTTCAAGACTACGGTGGCCGGTCAATATTGCGCCGTCCGTTGCGGGGCCAAGAGATTTTTTTCAAACTTTTTTTTTTGCAATTTGTTGAGGACCTATTTCTCGAGGTTACTAGATCAGCACAAAAAAGCCACAAGCATTTATTTTATCCCCGAAAAACCTATCTAAACTACCGTGATACGACCGCCGTCTTGAACTGGTGTTTCAGCTTCCTTGACTATTTTATGCGTGAAAAAAGACCATTTTTTAGCAAAGATATTTTAACTGACCACTAATTCTTTTTGGCGAACCCTTCGATATAAGTGAAAGTGTCGAATCGTAAACGTTGTCGGTGGCAACGTTAGAAGGCGCGCAAAGTAAAACCTAGAGAGTTATTCAACTTCTACATTTTTTTTTCTTACTTTTTTCCCTTTTTCGATCAACATTTGCGTTATTTTGGAAATAACTTTTGTTTTTCCTGTACCAGGAGGGCCCTGAAAACGAAAAAAAAAAAATGGAAAGTTTATTTTTTTTTAACCTGAATACATAGAAAAGGCCTTTTGCTGTTCATGGAAGCTGAGATCGCTCTGACCTGGCTTTCATTAAAATCCGTATCCAGATTGCTCAAACGCCTTTCTGAGAAACTCCAAAATTTCAACCAATTTTTTTTTTCCAACCGTGAAAAGATGGCATATGGGCTCCCCGAAAAGCATAGTCTATGAGTCTCGATCCAGCGCCCGTATAGACTTCCTTACTTCTGAACACAGGCTAATTTTCAAGCCTATAAGTGACGGATACTCTAGGAAATTCTGAAGAGAATGCAGAGCGCCTTTGGTCTGCGAAGGAGCAAGTACAAGCTGGGTTAACCTTCGAATCTCAGAAAGATCGTCGACGAAGAAGTCACTGTCATCAACTTTAACCTGGAAAATTTAGTTGGAAGTTTGATTTCTCGACTCACTTCAATTTGAGCGGAAGTCGCTTTCCGAATTACACAGTCTACGACTTCGTTCAGAGAAGAACCATTCACTATGTTGAGAACAGCGGGGGAACCTAACAAATATTATTCGAGATTTCGAGAGGGTTTAATTACCCGGCCGCAACCATTTTTGTGGGCTCCAAAACGGAGACTGGCGACTCAGCAACAAAGTCATGCCGTCCATCGGATCATGATTCAACCCCACGACATTTAGGCGAGTCACCCCCAAGCCGCGTTTCTCCAGCATTTGCATTCCAGAATCTTCGGCGCACAGCTGTTTAAGCTAAACCAAGTTTTCGGTTGGAAACAGCAAATAGCCTGGCCATCAGTTTTTCAAAACGAAAAAACCTACTATTTCATTGTCATTTCTTATTTCCTCATCCAACAATTTACACCACTTCTTGATTGAAGCTTTGAAAAGAGCAGGGATAGAGCGAACATCCTTTTTCCTCACTGACTTCGCAGAATGACCAAACTGCAAGGTGGACTATTTTTTCAAGGGAAAAAAAAATCACTTACAGCAATACTGGGGACCAAAAAGTTGTTTTGAAGTCCAGAAAAAAGTTTACGTTCAGCACTGAACAGCACAAAGTTCAAGTATCTCATCGAAAGCCTTCAATAATTAACTGATTTACTTTATATATGAATCCCTTTCATTTGACTTCAAGAATAAAATTTATTTGCATTAATTCAAAAAGGTGATTTTAATTAACTACAAATTCAACATAACTCAAATTTAAATTCTTCGTTTGTTTTTTTATTTTTTTCAATCGGCCAACTTTTGTCGTTCGTCAAGTTCGAACCAATCGTGATCGCTTTTTAAGCTTTTTACCAAAAAAATTCCGCATTGCGAACTTGCTTTACTTTTTTTCATTTTTAATGATCAATTGATATTTTATAGCAATTTATATAAATAAAGAATGAGAAAAAGGTTTTAAACCTCTTCCGTCACTGTAAATTGGATTTTTTTTCACTGAATGAACCCTCCGAAATTTTATTACTCGGATAGAAGCATTTTTTAATGTTTAAAAAAATTAACACAATGTTCAAACTGATTCCGCGGAATCCGAATACCCCTCAGGGAAAGAAGAAGATAACTGAATTTCGGAAAGTCATAAATAGTTTTGCAATTTGCGGAAATAACTTTGAACAAAATTATACCGGTTCGCGAATTGTAAGATTGCCAAAATGTACAAAAATTGGTCCGAGCGCGACAGGAGAAATATTGGACCAGCGCCAACGACCGCGACGCAGGGGAACGCGTGATCGATTATTTGAAAAGACTTTCATTTTGTCTTTTTTTTTCTCTGGGTTCAAATGTATTTCGATATAACTCTCATAACTTCGTTTTTCTCATCATTGAGACCTTCTATTTACGTTTGAAAAGCTTATCTCGTATAAAAAGACAATTTTATTGAAATTTTATTTTTAGGTGATTTATTCTTCTCGTCATCCTAAAATGAGTTTTTTTTTTCGGGTTTCTCCTATTTTTTTTCTCTTATTTTTGAGCTCTTTTTTAAATCTTTTTTCATCGGAATTCGAACAAGGATGATCCTGAAAAACTTTATTTTCCGAAAATAACGATAACCGTTGTTGAAATTTAATTTTTTGCACAAGGTCAAAGCTTTTTCTCAACTAGCGCTTATATGCATCATCTCATGACCAAGTTTCACTGCCGCACTCTAGTTGTAATTTTTTTCAAAGATATCAATTGAATATAAATACATATATAGCCATTCCGCGCCAGATTTTCATTATTTTTATATTCTCAGACCGACAAAATCATTTTCTTGCGCGCGGCCCATCGCAGTGCATGAACCTTTCATAAAACGTTAATATTTTGGCTGACTCAAAGGAACATGCAGAGGGACACGCCGCGCGAATCGAAGAAAGTTTTATTTTTATGAAAAGAAAACCTTGACACGCGGAATAGGCTATAGCACGGGGTAGAAAAGTTTAGTGGGGATGAATTTTGAAGGTTCGGAGTTGAAGCAGATTAAGTATTTTCTCAGTATGCAATCGATATAACTTCCTTCTGTTTCGTTTCAGATAGTTCCTGAATAAGGAACATTTTTTTAATCGAGTATATTTTTCAGGAGTTGAGTCGCCAAGAAAGTTAACAAATTTTGATTTAAATCTTGAGAACTTTATGGTTAGCCATGTCAGTGATTATCCGATTGCAAAATCTTCCACTCACCGCTGGAGCATCGGACGTTCGTGCCTTTTTCTCTGGTCTGAAAATTCCTGATGGCGCCGTGCACATCGTCGGTGGAGCTGAAGGGGACGCTTTCATAGGGTTCGCATCAGATGAAGATGCAAGACAAGCAATGCGTCGTGACAAAGGTCTAATTCACCAAACAGAGGTTCGTGTCTGTTTAAAATGTCATGCAAACTGAAAATGTGCAAAAATTTAAAATGCGAGTGTGGAAAATATTTCTTCAAATGGGGCATCAGAGGATGAATTTAATAGTTTTCATTGAATACTCAACGCGATCATTTCGTGTACTTATAACTCGGAGCACGACATTAACTTGAAATGTGGGAAAAAAATACTTTCATTTTATTTAAAAAAATGAAATTTGAAGTATTTGGGTAAATATTTTAAAACGGAAAAACACTTTTTGCTTTGCTTCTAATACTTCTAATACTCGAAAGCTAGAACAAATATAATTTTAAAACACAAAATTTAGCTGAAATATAAATAGGAAAATCGAACTAGCAATAAAGGGCGTCGAGATGTTTCAAAATCTCCGACTAGCGTCAAATGTGAAGCGTCAGTCTCCAAAGAAACTATTCTCAGCGACACAAAAGCTCGTGGATAACAAGTTCTCGTACATTCCAACTGTATGCTGCCGACAAAGTTGCCTACCAACCAATTGTCGATCGTTCTTCCGACATAAATTGAATGTCTTTGGAAAAACATAAATATCCTAGTGTTGGTTTCAAGACTGACCTATGATTTTGAAGTTCACTTTCTATTGTCTGTAGCATAAAAGCAAAACTCGGCTATGTAAGGCATATTTCGACTTCTCAGCATTTAAAAAAAGGTTTCGTTAATATGAAAAAGGTGTTGGGAATTTCTACCGGTCCGTCGCATCTGCAGTGAAAAGTTCTCGATTGGTTTATCAACTAGAAGGGCTTCAAATATTGTCACGAGATGACACATTTCTGGCTTTTGTTTTTCCATAACAATGGACAATCAAACATTTTTGAACTAAACCGAAAGAAATAGAACTTCGGAAATTCCAAGCTTTTCAAGGATTGTTATTCTTGACTTATTCATTCGGAAACTTTATTTCAAAACTTTCAAAGCTCACATATCGAAACCTTTTCTCGATTATTCATTTCCTGATCCTGAATTAAGATCGAGTACAGACTTTTAGGAAATTTTCTCTGAGAAATTCCCACCGTTGGAGGCTACAGCTCCTTACTGTTTCTCATGGTCGACATTTCCGTGGGTTTTCCCATGGGTATCGGTTACAGTTCATGCCGTCGCGTCCACCCTGAATTATCATTTAATCGAAGCACCCTTGCAAACTTCCTGCAGTATCAAGTAGTGTCCTCAGCTGCATAAACTACTCATCGCTGTGGTTCTCGACCCCGTGTGATAAAGTTCTGCGAAAGAACGACTAGCTATATTTTCAATTTTCACAGCGACTTTTAAACTTCAATTGCAGTAAAAATACATGCTTATATAAATTTGAAAAAAAAATCTTGTTCAGAAAAAAAAGAAAGATACTATCGAAGTTTGCGCGAGACGAAAGTTTCTTATTTGAACGAGAAATACATTCTTACAAAAATCATTGAAAAAATCGAATGAAAAGTTCCTCGACACCTGGTTTCGTAGTTTACGGAGACGGGACGGTTTCTTATCTCTTCCAACTCATCTCTTGCTTCTGGAACTCCAGGGGAATTCTCAACAGTTTTCAAACTGAACTTTTCGAAGAATTTTGGGACGGATGCTGACACCGTTTTTTTTCCTAGGTGGTATTTAAAGAAATTTTTCTGTTCATGGAATAGAAAATAATCTCTTTTACGCATTTCTTTATTCAGTTAGCAAGGATGAATACGTACGCAACGCGAATATTGGCGGGAAACTCAAGTTCAAACGCAATTATGGAATAAATGTAATACCGCGTTCAAAGATAATTTGACGCGCGTAGAAATACAGTTTTTCTGGTTCAAAAGCACGAGCCGGTTCGTAGCGAAACGCGGCTGATTCCCACGACATGATTGGTTGGCCCCGCCCAGCTGGCAAGAAAAAATATATGAGAATTAGTTTATATTGGACATTTACCAAAAAGGCGGGGCCGTCCAATCACGCTGTGGGAACCTGCTTCGTTTCGGCTTGTGTCATTGAACTAGAAAAAAACGTTTCCTCAGCGTGCGTCAAATTAGCTTTGAACGCAGCATAAAAATTTTTTTTATTGTTGTTTTCGCACTATTATTCATTCAACTAAAATTTTTCGAAACGGTAAAAATCAAATAAATTATCGAAAAAAATGTCGAAAATGATAAAAACAGGAAAAAAAGGTTTCTCACGTTTGACCTCGAGTTCCCCGCCAAAAAAGCGCGTCGCGTTCGCAACCCTGCCAATCTACCCATCTCGCCTTCTAAGGCGGAGCTTGTTCACTATAAAAAAATTTTTCAATCCACAAAGTTCATTCAAAAATAAAAATTTCATCATTCTTGAATTTTAACACCTGAAAAATGACTATTTCAAACTCTGAAACTTTCAATAATTTTCAGCTAAACTCAGAAAGATTTTCACGCAGCATTTTTTTTTAAATTTTTCCATCTAATATCGACGTTTTAATAACAGTTCATAAAAAAAAACAGGGATAAAAATTTTTTTCATGGCTGAAAAAGCTGACTTCCCCTACATTCATCTGACTTTCTTCTCACCGAAGTTGTTTCTACGTCCCAAAAAACTACAAATAATTTATTAAATATGGGGACTCTCCATATTCTTCGAATGAGCTCATGCTTAAGAGATCTAAGCCTAACTTACTCATTAGTTTTGTACAGGAAAAAGGCTCTGACAGAGAAAACGCAGATCCAGGCCTTTTCTTTGATTTTCGAGGACCTAGAAGCGTTACTCTTGCTGTGAAATGTTCAGATTCTGAATTTCAAGCGGCCAACTCCGCTCCGTGGCTACAGTATCTTTCGCGCGTGACGATGATCAATTGATAACTCTACATCTTCTGGCTTGAAATAATCAAAAAATGTAGCGTTTTTAAAGGATCACTTTCGCTAGCAATTGTAAATCGCCGCGAAAACCACTGCTTTCGGAGGCGGAGTTAGCTTCTTGATATTCAACATTTAAACAAACAATACTCCAATTTTCGCGATTTGAAACTGCTGTTTATCTCAGCGCACTCCTCATCTCTCCGTGACCCTCTCGTGTTGACGTACTATTTTCATGTTTCTCTGACCTCGCCGGCGAGGGAACAGAGAGACACAGACGCTTGAAAAGTGTCAAGTCGCGGAGTAAGGGAAAAACCACTAATTTTTATTTATTGCAATAATTAGTTATTGCTGTTCATCACTTGATCAACTTGCTATCAATCAAATATTTTTCGAGTTGTGCGGCTCGCACAGTCTGTTCAGATTTTTCTGCTGGACCGTTCAAAGATGATCCTTACTGGATGGCACGCGTAAATTCATACGAATTTCCAGAGAAAAAGGTCCTGTAGGGAAAGCGCCCCTCTTCTTTTGAACGAGCGGATGAAAAGAAGAAGTAGATGGCGCCTCCCCATGTGCCTTTAATAAGAAGCAACAGTAGTCAATGAAGTGCATTTTCTCTCAAAGGTTCACCGAAAGAAAAAATAATGACTGAGACACAAGCTGTTCGAAAGAATGAAACTAACAAGAAGAGTGTTGTTGAATCTATTGATAGATTGCTGGTTCCTACTTGTGATCGGACATCAGCTCAACCTGCTTTTTCTTCTTCTTACTTCTGTACCGGGTCCTATCCTGATATCAGTGATAATCAGTGAACTGGCTCTAGTGCCATATCCGTCCTTGTGTGTGGCAGCTGCGGATATGAAACCGTGGGTTTCCACTACCAGCGTTCTGAACCCCTGCGTTGGATCGCGGCGGTAATTGAACTTGCGACCTTTGGCGCCGTAGACAGGCACACAATCTGTTGCGCTACGGCACGCAGGGATGTCAGCTCAACGTAATAAGATGAAAAAGCTTGGAGACGCAATAAGTGGAAATATTTATGTAAATGAAAGAACGGTTCTGTACGCAGAAAAAATTTGGTTAGTACATGAAAAAATATATTGGAGCTCACACCTCCTGCATTTACTTTTTTTTTTGAGAAGAGTTTACGTAAATCTCAGAGGATCTACAAAGAGTCCGTTCAACTTTACTAGTTTAATAAGATAGACTTTATAATTTTCAAGTTGGCGGATGCTTCATTTTTTTTCCAATGATAAAGTGAGGAATTTTACTATTGGTAGTTTAAAAAAACCAGAAGACAATGGCTCGAGAAAACTCCTTTAAGAACACTGGGGTTACAGTCCGTAGGAGGGATGCACGAGACGAGGTTTTTCATCTCGAGACGTGATCGAGACGAAAAAAAACTATCTCGAGACGAAGAAATATTTGGAAAAAAAAATCTCTAGACGAGATTGAGACTGTCTCGAGACGAGTTCGAGAAAATTCGGAATGAAAAAAAAAATCCTAATTTTTGTTTCGAAAACTTAAAAACGACCAAAATTAAAAATTGTGCGAAAAGTTTTCTTTATTGAGAAAACTAGCGCAAAATCTGAAACTGCCCTGTGGTTTTGATCGCTTTCATATGTTCCGTTACGACCGGAACGTCATGTATGATGCCTTATTTTTAACTTTTAGCCCAAAAAAGAAATTTTTTCATCTCGAAATGTCTCGAGACGAGACGAGATCAATTTTGGACCGAGACGAGTTCAAGACGAGATTTCGTCTTGAACTCAAATAAAAAAAATGACAATTGAAAACTCCAAAAAGGGGAATATATACGTTTAATCTTGAGTACAAAAAAGAAAAACTGTCTGAATTTCGGTTTTAGGTGAGGCTCTACTTGTCTTCTCGAAGTGAGATGGCGTCGATTATCGAGCATGCCAAGTCTGCCGCCTTGATTGATAAATTGGTGCAACCATCCATTTCGCACATTCAGAGTGCGCTGTCCAAACCTGAACCAGGTGCTCTCTTCAGAAAAAGTGAAATAACATTTTCGAAAAATACAGCATCCATTAAAAACGACTGGGACGACTCGTTGAACACCTCCAGTGAGCAGATTTTTCCCCCAGTCATTGGAAATCATGCGCCTTATGTACCAACACCTATTGACCATGACAAGATCAGTTATGGAAGAGGACCTTCAGCTCCGGTGAGAAATTCTTAATTCGAAAGACTCATTTTCTTATTGAAGTCTTCGATGCAGATTCCGAAACATGAGCGCATGGATCTTGACAACTCCAAGGAAAGCTATCATAATTATTCGGTAAAGAGAATCTCAATAATTAAACGAAACCAATCTTTGAAGAACTTTGGCGGTAATGGACCGAAAAGCGGCAACGCCCCAGTTCCTTCGTTACAGTACTTTAGTGGTTCCACTGCACCCTCCAGAAATGACGCCGCCGTTAAGTACGATCAGTTCGCAGAGAAAAATGTACGAGAAAACTTTATAGCAGAGGCATTCATTACTTGAGTTTTAGGTATCGCCTCTACCAGTAGCTGGAGCTGTGGGGGGTCCGAAGAGCATTGCGGACATCTTGGCTTCCATTCCAATGCACCTTAGGTCGCGTCCGACTCGAAAAACCTCCGTTGAAGATACGAGTTCAGACCTCCTCACGGGATTCCTCCGCCGCATCTACGACACTTTTTCACCTCGCCTCCAAAAGAGTCGGTCGCCTCACATCCGATGGCTCCGCCCTCGCTTCCCGTGGAAACTGGCCGCGGGCATACCAATGGAAAAAACGACTTTTTACAGCGATCAGAAAAAGATTATGAAAAGCCAATTGAAAAAAGGCAAGATTATCTTTTGCCTCTTTTTACTCCTTGAAGTTCGCAAGCGTAATGGCGGGTTCTCACAAGGAAGGTCATTTTAATTTGCGGTTGAGATTTTATTGAAAATTGGCCAGAATGTACCAAAATTTTGAGAAGATTTTGAGAAAGGACACCTCAAAGTCGACGAAAATTCCAAAAATAGGCTTGACCTTTGGGTTTTCATTTCTCGAAAACTAGGTAGTTGTGCAAGTTGAGACTTTCCGAATCTTTTTCTGGTAGCTCAACGAGTATTCTGGTCAAATTTCAGGAAATTCCCAACCGCCAGTCAAAATGACCTACCTTATCAGTAATTTTTAGCTACGCTTCAAATTTTTAAGCAATTTGAGCTTTCCTTATATTCAAGTGTTAAGCCGAAGTGACTTACTAGATCGAAAAGTTGAAAAGAACCTTATGTTTCCCGCTAATTTCTGACCGTTACGCTTTTGAACAGCAAATGCTGCATGCGGAAATGCATTGTAACTTGTTGGTTATAGTTGGACAAAGCCGTATGAGCCAATCAGGAAGCCGACTATTCCGCCGCCAACGCGAAACGAATCGTGGCGCGCGCCGGCGCATGAACCGGAAAGGTTGGTACTGGTTCAGCTCCCAAAAATAAAGTTTCAAAAAAGCAGATCTTTCCATGCGGAGCGTCGACAGGACGAACGAAAAGAAGAACACCGCGACCGTCGTCCTCTCGGCGACTCTAAGAACTTCAGAGGAGAACGAGTCAGATCGCCTCCAAGGCGTTATTCTCCGTCACGAGCTCTTAAAAAAGTTGGTTTTCTCTTTTCTTGCAGCTTTCTGCGCATACGTCGGCTGGATCCCACCTCGGAGTGCGGCTTTTTCTTACGGTATATTTTCAAATTTTCTTTTCGCGCGCAAGAGACTGTGGGTGGGATCTAGCCCATTTTCATGATTTTTGCGTTTTTTTTAACGATTTCATGACTCTATTTGGTTTGAAATTTTTTTTCTGAGCTGAATCTGGTTCATTCCCATCTTTAGAACAACTCTGATTACCAACCAAACAGGGGTAAAACAATTTGAGCCACTAATGAATCCCGCGCAGAAAGTACGGTAGCGCGCACAAAGTTGTTTTCATGGCCAACTTGAGACGCTGGGGGGCGTGGCGTGTCTGCGCTCTCCATCAACCAGACACTATATCTCTTTTATTATCGTGTCAAGACCCTTTTTTTTGATGGCTCAAGGGAAATCAGCTATAGATTTACGGGGATTCCGCATTCCACTACAGTGATTCCTTTTGCAGAGTTCATCTGAGCGCTACAACGATCGACGTGTCCACCGTGAGCCGTCTCCCCCCAACTACCTAGAGCATAAACCAACCACAAGAAGGTTCGGGAAAGATTAAATTGCAAACGAAAATCAAGCAGATACTGTAGAAGACTACATATTTCAAAGAGATGTTGCAGTGCGACGGAAGAAGGTTTCAAATATGTGGAACTGTCGCGTTTGACAACGGAGATGCTGCGACCGTCTGCCCTCGAGCAGTTCATCAAGCCGCAGACTCCGCTCTCGCTCTCCTCCGTCAAAGTCGTCTACGGTCCGCAGGGCATACACATGCACACGCTCGTCCGCTTCGAGAACCGCAACGACGCAGATGCGTTGTTGGCGCGAGATGGCGAGATGGGGATCAAGTGAGGTTCTGAGACTGACTCTTCATCTTCTCTATTTATAGAATTCGAAAGACTGACGCCAAAGAGTTCGACTCTGCAATCGATGGACTACCTCCGGCAGTGATTGCGGTGATTATCTTGTTTTTTTTTTTCAGTTATGGTAGTTTGAGTATGTGGTGAAATTTCGATCCCCTACCTCTAAGTCTGAGATTTACCTGGAACTTGGAGTTGCTAATGTGGAAAACTAAGTCTTCGTTTTCAAATAATGACGAGTTTTGTTGACTGCGACTTTTCCTCCGGATACATGAAAAATAGAAGAAGTTTCTTGAAAAATTCCATGCGAATTTTTTTTTAAAGAAAAAAAGAGTATTTTTTCCTCCAGCTTGGATCTCAATGAGAATCACATTTTACTTTCAAGATTATTTGAAAAATTTATTTTTTTTATCATCAACTTTTTTTCTCTGAAAAATTTTGCTAACGAACTCTCTTACTGCGACCGAGACAAATTATCCATTTATTGAAAAAGGAAGAAAGTTTTTTCTTGAGAAGTTGCTATAGCTGATTCACGACTGACTTGGGCCATAAAAAAGGTTCTTGACACGATAAGAAAAGTGATAGGGCCTGGCTCGTGGAGAGCGCAGACAGGCCACGCCCCCTTAGCGTCCCAAACTAGCCGTGAGTCAGCTATACCTTTTATCATCCCTTTGATTGAAATATGATAAGAAAAATTAAACCCGAATGATTTTTAGCAGCCGTTTTTGGAAGTCGATGTGAGCCGCTCTAACCGAGACAGCAAAGAGCGCGAAATCAAAGATCGGGACAGCAAAGATCGGGATGTTAAAGAAAGGGATAATAAGGATAAGGACAGCAAAGATCGCGACCGGCGTGAAAGTGTCAGTCCGAGAACCAGACGAGCCCGAAGAGTCCGCAGAGATAAAAGGTACCTTTTTTTTTGTCAAGGTGATGAAAATAACAACGGTTTGCAGATCAAGGTCGAAATCTCCGGAGAGAAGAAGCAAGAGGAGAAGAACGCGAAGCCCTCCTCCGGTCAAGCCTCAGCAAGACCCCAACAGGTTTGTTGTCCGAATTGGGACCTTCTGACGTCGTCTTTCAGATGGTGTTTGCAAGTCCTGAATGTCCCTTTCAAGTGCAAAGATGAAGAGCTCATGGAGTTTGTTTCCGAAAAGTCGATACAATAAGTTGAGAATGGTTCAGATGGCTATCGGAACGTTCAAAACCTGTCAAGGTCACCAGGACCTTTTACAATGATGGAAATGCGTCGGATCGTTGGATTGCCGAATTCGAGAACGAAGATGAGATGAACCGAGCTGCTTCCATCAGAACTCTGTGCAAAGGCCGAACTTTAAGGTTTCCACCAATCCAAATTTGTTTCTGAGTGGTTATATTTGAGAATGTCGTTCATCGAAAATTCACTTGCCGACGAGCTGATGAAAATCAAAGATACGTATGGAGACCAACAGAAAGCCAAGTGGGAAAAAGAGCACGTGAGTCGTGGTTTTTTACTCAGATTACTTCATTCATGGTAACTCAAGAGTTTCTCACTTCATTTTTAAACATTTTTATCCAGTTGACGAACAAGAAAAGAAAAACCGATTTAGCGTATTTTACTGGGAAAATTTTTAGTGGCCACTATAGAGGCTCGTCATGGATTACTTGGAGAAGGCACTGAAGTGGCCACTAAGTTCACATAGTGGCCACTATTTTCCGTTTTAGTAGAGGTTCTCTATTTAGTAGCCACTTTAGTAGTGTTTCATCCAGTATTCCTTCCAATAACTCTGATAATTTTGAAACAAACGTATTGGACCAGTTATGTTTATCCATTGACCCCCAAAGTTTTAGTGGTTTTGTAGTAGCACTTAGACATCTATAGTGGCCACTAATGTTTAACCCCTTGAGTGGACACTAAAAATATTCCCAGTGCTTTAACGACCGACAGGCACAGAAAAATAAAGCGATTCTATTTTCACTGAAAGAATAATGTAACATTTAGATATAGCTTGACAATAAAAATCTTAAGCAGGATCTGGAGCAGTGAAAAATTTTCAAATTTCAAAAAGAGAACCGATGTCCATACTACAATCAAATTACAGGGACCTACTCCTTCAACATCGACCGGACTCCCGAAACCAGGAGTTCCGAATCGACCTCCTGGGCACTTTACTTCCAATGGACCCATCAGCCTTGCTGGAGCTTTTGGCCATCCGATGCCAGCCTCTGCAACATTAGGCCTTCGACCGGCGATCCCTCCTCTCTTTGGACCAACCAATTTCCCGAGGAACATGAATGGACCTATGAGAGGCGGCCCTCCATTAGGCCTGTGGGGTCGTGGAGGTCCGATGAGACCTTTTGGTGGTAATCCGCAAGGCATGCACTGGCCTCCGCCCCCGGACTTTAGCCGTGGCGGATTCCGAGGTCGCGGTCGCGGACGAGGAGCTCCGTACATGGCAAATGGTAGTGTACTGATCATCTTGAGATTCAATTCTTTTTTTTTCCGTAGGACGCCACCCTCCACACAACAGCAACTCGCACGAGGAGACGGAAGGGATCAATGAGCTTTCGGATCCGAAAACTGCTGAGCTTGTCGCCACTATCGGAGCCAAAGGAGTAGTACTCGCGTGCCACGGCTTCCCCTCGGACATCACTCTCGAAGATATCGTGGGTTTTGTTGAACTTATTGGAAAAGTCCTATAGTTCGTCCGCTCTCTTGTTCCCTCACCGGCAAGGTCGCAGAAACGCGAAAATAGCGCGTCAAAAAGAGAGGGTCTTCGAGAGACGGGGAGGGCGCAGAGAAGTCTCGCAAACGGATTATATACTTTACAAAGTCGAAATAATTTCTGATTGATCTTCTTGTAGATGACTTTTTTCAACGGGTTCAACGCCGACGGCAACACCGTCAGGATGAGAATGGGTGATGATGGAATTCCCACAGGCGAGTGCATGCTTTCTGTCCGGGATAATGAGGTACAGTTATATTTTCTCAAACCAAATGTTTCATTAAACGATTTTTAAGAGTGCGCAAAAAGCTGTCAAATCTCTAAACGGGAGAAGTCTTCGCGGAAAAACAGTCTCGCTCTCTATTGCCAACTGAATCTCATAAATTTTATCGGTTATTGTTTTTTGTTTCCCCTTGCTTTCACCTTGTCCTGTTACATGTATGATCGTTCTGAAAGATGAATGTTTTCTTTTAATCCCGGAAACCTCGCAAAGAAAGGATAATTGAATATCTTCCCCGTGAAAAGTTTTCCAGACAGACTTTTGAAAAGGTTTAGTTTTAGTAGTTTATGTCCGGGAGATCTAGAAGACGTGGTTTTTTTTTACTGTTTCAGTCTGATTATCGAAATACGAATAACGGGTCTTGAAAACGGTGAAAATTTTTCGTTTTTTCACTAAAAACCTTCAAAAAGGGCTTTTTGGACCTTCATATATTACAACAAAAGACTTTCTGGCGAGAATTATCAAAAATTCCGCAGGAATAACCCAGATTTTTTGGAGTTCTGGCTTATGATAGGAAAGTGGCCGCCTTTGAGACACTTTTTAGAAAGTATGGAATCAAATTAATAATTCAATTATTCGAGACTTATTCTATCGTTGCAAAGCTTGAAAAAGCAATTCGTCGGCTGTACACCTTCGGTCCCGGCCACTCCCTGAAAATGACGTATTCTTCCGATTTCAAACAAAATACGTCTGACCCATTTCGACTTTTAACCGTATTGTTGACGAGGGGTTGCTGAAATGCAGAAAACCCATTGGGCATGAAAAAGAGACGCGGCGGGAGAGCCACGTGAATCTCAAAGATCGAAATTGAACTGGGGGTCCTCGGCCTGGTGTTTGGTCTCTTACGCTCCTTTTTTTTTCAGCGACCTTTTTTCTCCGTTAAGCGCTGCGAACCGACCAACTCTCGACGTTTCATCACTTTTTTTTCTCTCTTGCAAATTCGCTATTTCTAAACTTCCTCCATGAAAGAAACGAGAAAAACTGTTTTTGTAGAATGGGAGGCACCTTTTCGCTGGCGCGATATGAAAAAGGAAATTTTTCCGGGTTTCTGTTTTTTTTTATTGAGTTTATAGACTAGAAGTGTGACATTTGACAAAGATCTTCAAGGTTCTTTGTGACTTCAATGGCTGTAATTAATATTATATATTTTCGAACGGTTTTTTGTGTTCCTTAAACAAATGACGCTTTTTTCATACTTTTTCTCATTCTTTTGCTATTAAAAAGCTCCCTAACCTTGATCCATTTCCAAAAGCTAGATACAATTTCAGTTTGTAGGGGATAAAAGAATATTTTTTTTCATAAAAAGTATTCGAATCTCATTTTTTTTTTTGACATTATCTGACCCTCTGAACGCGCAAAATCTTGAAACTGAGTGCATATCAAACCTATTTTATTTATACTGAAAAAAACGAACAATATCATATTCAATTCAAAATGGCCATTCATGAAAACTTTCCAGTCGTTCTATTTTATCTTGATTTATAAAAAAAACGAAACGTTTCTTGGATTGTAATTACAATTTTCAAAAAAGGTTTTGTCAAAAGTCTGGTCTTTGCTGCACGTACGGCGTGAGGGATTGTTTGTCCTTTTGAAATTCCCTCCGCTCTCCTTCCCAGAATTGGTCTCTGATCCCTTATTTCTTTTCCGCAGTTGTCGTCATTTGCGTCTAAGAGGTCACAAGCGCTGAATCGAATTCGAATTTCGGCCCACAGCCATCTTTTGCGCTCAATTCACCATTCCTTGTCGTGAATCTTGATTTCAATTCCATGATCTTCATTTGATACTTTGATTCGTTATTTGTTTTCAATAAAATGCGAATTCGATAGGCTCATACTTCCACTCAAAAACTCGAAAATTCCTTCAAATTAATTTTTAGTAAAGTTGTACGTTGCTCTGTGTTGAAATGGAGCTTTGAGTGGAACAAAATGTTTATTTACATTGGTCCTAGCGAACTTATTTCTGTCGATAAAGTTTTTTTTACGAGATAAGGCATTAAATGTCTTGAGTTGAATTTCAGCATTGCTTCATTAAACGTGTCTTTCTGAATTTCGATATTTTAAATACAATAATAACCTCAATTTTAGCCATAAAACGTTTTTTTTTTTGATTGTGAAAAGGAGTCTTCCGGTCTAACTAAATTGCAACTCTCTCAAGTTTTTTCTGGGTTTTCTAGATGACCATCTTATTTCTGCTCTGAAATTTCGAATGACAGTAAGAAGGAGTCTTACAGAATCAATTCACCAGCCAATTACAGTTGGATTCATATATTTATATTATATAAAAATAAATAAAATCTAACAAAAAAACTGCGCAGTTTTAAATTTTTGCCAAGTTACTGTAATAGAGAGTCCGCAATTTGCCGTCATGTCGTCATGCGAATTTTCTCTATGACGTCACTTTTTTTCTATGACGTCACTTCCGCCTTTGAAAAACCTTCGCGCAATTCATTACAATGTTTCCTCTCACCTGGGAATTTTCCGTTTCTTCTTCTTTGAACGTATTATTTGTAAAAACTTGATTTTTTAAAATGTAATTCGACTTTTTATTTTGTATTGTTTATTTATTTTGATGAATGAATTCGGGTGAAAAAAAAAAACTCTGGTTTCTCTCGACTCCGATATCATGAAAGTTTTGCTTTATATGCAACGTAAAATTGTTCATTTCAGCATGGGAAGAGAGGAAGAATTGAAAGAGTTGGAAGAGCTCGATATATTTTTCTTTCCAGACGACAAGTTGAACTTTTCCTTGTCATCAGCCCACGTAAGAAAAAAATGATTTGCAACGGAAATTTATAAAATTCAGACCTCGACGTCCTCCGCGTCTGTGCTATCGAGTCCTGACGCTTCGTTGCCCTCAATGACGACGCTTAACCAGATGAACTACGTGCCTCTCCCGGATCCTGATGAAAGTCGGTTTCAATTTCGAAATTGAAATCGAAATTTCGAGTCCTGACCTGTTCCCGTAACTGCTAGGGAAATTTGGAAATATATGGTTCAAACTTGAAATCTGAAGAATTTGTATAGAGTTTATGTAAACTTCAGCCGTTAGTGACACTTTGTGATCTTTGAGCATCCACATTAACCCACAATTAAAACTGGTTTGAAAGACATTTTGTGTTTTTCTTTTTAAAAATTAACGGTATTTTTTTTTTTTGAAAACGCCATGAGGAAGTTTTTCAGTGGACGATGACCTGTTTTTCGACTTGTCTCAAAACCCGAAAGTGCGCTCATCCTCGTTTGGCGGCGTGACGCAGTACAGCCAACAGTTTTTGAATGTCCGATCGCAGTTCAAACCGTCGCTCTGTCCCATTTCCAGTCACCCAAGCAGGTTGGGACTTTCTGTTTGCGCAGATTCATGAGTTTCTCGGTGAGCGCAGGGATTCACAAGTTGAAACTTAGAAAGATTTTCTGCCTAGAGAAGAGAATTATTGTGTTTATTGTCCGTAGAAGGTCTATTCTGAGTTTCTTAAAGAAGTACAAACTATTAGTCGTTTTGAATAGTCGTTTTGAGTGCTGTTTTTGGTTATTCAAGTCTTTTCTGCCTTTCAGCTTCTTAGTGAGACTTTCGAGCAGACTTTCTTTCTAACTATTTTTTTTTTGTCGACTTAGTTGGACTGCTGAGAATAAAAAAATCAGAGTAAAAAAGGAAGAAAAGAATAGATTTAAAAAAAAAATGTCAAACCAAAGGGATAACCTGATATTTGGGTGATTTTTAAACTTCCTAAAAGTTTCGATAAATTGTCTTTCTCGCTTTTTTCTTAACAAACTTGAGTTTCAATCAGTTAGAGTTTGAGTTTTGATACATAGTACAATTTTACTGGATAGAAAAAAAAAAAACCAATTTGAGGGCCTTCAATAATAAAGTCGAGGGGTGCTCTCCTGGATTCTCTGGTTGACTCTTTGTCTGGCTTTTTCTCTTAATTAAATTCATTCACAGATCAGGTTGAACCCTAAAAGGTTCACTTGGGTCTGAAATTCAAGAAAAGACAGAGTACAACGTTACATCGAAGAGTCTTGTGGGAATAGATTTTTTGAAAGAGATAACCCAGGAAATTTTTTAAGAACTTGGCGTTGTGGCTAAATTGAAATGTTGAAGCGAGTTCATTCCGAATAGGAATCGTTTTGGGAAAAAAATTATTGGAAAACTGACCTTGAGAAGGCGGTCGAAATGGATTTCGCATTAAATTGGACCTAAGGGCGAAGGACTCGAATTGAGGATAATAATTTATATCAAAACGATTTTTATGAAGAGTTAGGATTTTCAAGTTTCACTCTTTTTTTTTCTGAACTTTTCATCAGGTTTTTTATCCCCCGGTGTGATGGCATTTTCCAGGTTTCCTTGTAAGTACCGTCAAGAGGCCTGAACGAAGAAACAAGCATATTTATTTGGAAGTTAATGCCCTGTTCAAAGTGATTCCGCGAAATTCAAAATGGCTGTCAGAGTGTGAAAAAGATAACGAAACTTTGGAGAGTCAGAGATAATTTTGACGGAAATTACTTTGAAAACGGCATAACGGACGGATTATTCTTGTCTTCAAAGAACAGAACGAAATAAGTCTTTTGAGCAGTTTTCGAAAGTTTTCGATTGAATTGAGTAGGAAAGGAGGGTCCGAACTACAATTTGTATGTTAAGGTGTGAGAATAGAGGAATATCTTTGATATATCTGGCAATGGGGACAATTCGACATGGGAAAATCACGTGAAGCCAAGGGCAAGGCTTGCACTTGGTGTGTACGCCGTCGGTCCGTCGGCGACCGAGGCAGTGGCTTCGCTCTGCTTCGTTTCTTGTGTCAGCCGTCGGTCTCACGGCCACTCAACCTTCTTTTTTCGGCCACCCTCCTGTTCGCCGCCCTAGAAGTTGCCTCTCGAATTATCGATCACTTCGTCAGTCTTCTGTCGTCGTTGCTCCATCGAACGCTCATACCTCACTAAAAGTCTCCGTCAACTACCGTACTCTTCTTCCGTTCATCTCTTTCTCTGACAGTTCCCGAGAATTATTCCTCTAGTAGCACTGCGATAGGTTATTGGAATCTACGATATCAGTCTCGCTGCAGATCTCAATAAATCCGTCACAGTGCTATTCATATAGTTATCGTAAAACCACGTTTAAGAAAAGGAAGAACTATGAATAAACTAGTGAGTCGGTTAGAAAATATGAAATCCATGATTTTTTTTATTCGAAAGTTTTGAGGAACGAGTGCTTTCAAAGCTACTTCGAAATAGGTATGAACAAGTTTATGACGTATTAATTATAAAGTGCTGAAAAAGGTTTAATTGATACTTCTAAACGTAGGATGCATTTTCTTAGGGTGACCACAAAGATTTGAAACATCAGAAAAATTTATAAAATTCGAGAATATGACTATTACTCTTAATTAAAATCAGTTAATTTGATCTATCGCTTCAAACTGGGTGAATTTTTTATCAGAAAAAAAAAATATATAGGGCTCGTAAGACAAAATGTACTGAATGAAAAATGTAATTTCGGATTCATTCGACCATGAATATCAATAGAGCGAAAAAAACGTTAGCGCTAAGTTCGCAGCGATAAAAAATCATGAGAAATTGGTCCAGAAGGATCCTTCAAATATTCACATTCCTCTTGTATAGTTCAGTGAATGAGCTTTTATATGGAAAATGAAGTTCCTTGATAAAAAATGTTAAGAAAGAAGCTTATTATTCAATTTTCATAATATCTTCTCAGTATCTTTGCAAACTGAGTACTTTTTCCCTAATTTTTTTTATTTCGGTTCACTTTTCATGAATGTGATGTTTTTCATCGGTCCGAATCTCCTGTAAGTTGTATATTTTGAGATTTTCGTTTCAAATTTCCACAATTATCGAGTTCTCTTTCTTTAAATAAACCTCTTGGTTTTCTGTTTCAGTTTTTCCAAGGTTAGACTAGCGAAACCAGACGCAATCATTTTCCTTGAACGATTGAAAAGAAAAGATAATGGAGGGCGTTCGATGATAAGCGGTTTCGCCAGGCGCGTCTTTCCATTTATCTTTTTTGTACAAAAATTTTCTGAAACTCGCGCGAGAAAATTTCCTCATTATTTTTGAGTTTGTCGACTTCCCGCTACAATTTCAGAGTGAAACCAAGTTCTGGTAATGTCAAAGAGCACGAAACGGTTTGCATCGAGAATGTTCTTGTCGGTTTTTCGAATAATCTTCCTGCCAGGAATGGAGAATCGACGTGTGTTCAACCAGAGGAGTGTGATCGGTTGCATCGGCAGCAAAAAGAAAAAATCTTTTCGACTTTTGATGTTTCATGTGTGTGTCTTTTTCATCGTCGGTCTCTCACGCTCTTCGTACTTAACGGCAGCCGTCTCGACGCGAGTGCACACACACTTTTTCACTCATTTCCTCTGGCGCTCAGGCACAGGCACAGAAAAAGAAGAGAGAAACGGCGGCCGTTTGGTGGTCGTCCTCAACGTTGTCGGGCGTCCTAGCGGCCGTCTCGCGCCGCGCAACGCGAGTATTTTTTTTTTCTCTTTCTAGTTGGCCTTGCAGCAATGGGCAGCCCTTTCGTTTCGTTCTTCATTGCAGGCGTTTCGTTGCCTCTGCCGCGCTTCTCCCCTTTTTCCATTGCCCACTCTCTCATCGCTCTTTCAAATGAACTGTCAACGCAACCTCTTTTATCATTTTCGCGAATCGATGCTTCGGTGGCGCTGTTTCACTCTCCGATTCTGGCTTTACATCTGTCGTTGCTGATAATTTTTGATGCACTATGAGGTTGTGGTGGCGATCGCTTCGTTTTCCTTTGGGATGTACTTTTGTTCTATTTTGGGACGTTTTTCATAGATAGTTTTTCATCTTTTTTCTATTTTTCCTTTTTTCAACTGATTTCAAAGGGGTTTTGAAGCTTTTTCGTTGTGTTTCTGTTGGGCAGTTGTAGTATGCGTGGTTTTTTTTTTGAGCACGCAAGAGTAAACAAGAGAATCAGACCTTTGATAGAGCTAATAACACATTTTCTCGTTCATTTACGAAGTCTCACGGGGAAAAATTGTGACCAAACTATTTTCAAATGACGAGAGCGATTTCCTACCTGGATTTTTGGGCTTTTTTGAAAGTTTTGGATGATATTTTGAAAGTTTCAATATGCCCTAATTTCACTATCCTTATATTGGACTTATAAAATATCTACTCATTTTTAAAATGCTCGAGCTGACCTTTAAGAGAGTTCTTGTAAACCAGGAAGTTTTGGAAGATGAGACTTTCAGAATCTTCATTTAACGCTTACAACAGTAAAAAAAATTAAAAGTTCCGAGCCGTATGGCCCTTAACTGAGATTCGTTTTTGAAGTCTCACAGTTCTAGATTTATCGTGAGCTTTCATTTCGCGATCTTCGTTTGTGTAGCCTCTTGAAATCTTCCAATTTTTCTTTCAGTGTGTCTCAAGTTTCACAACTCTAAGTTACTTACGAAAAAGCGAGACTTGCAAAAACGATGTCTCAGACGCTTGTCTCGATACTTCTCTCCGACATTAGATTCGCCCGACCAAACTTCTTGGTGTGCAGTACAAGACAAAGAATTAGAGATCTGAAGAATCGGGTCGAAGTGGAAACGGAGATGGCTTAGGCGCGTAGAGAAAGGGGTGAGAGTGCTCACGTGCCCTTGCCGCGGCGCCCGTCCGCCGACGTTAGAGGTTCATAGATTAACATTTTATTTTCCATCGACGTTTCCTCAGCGATGTTTCCACAATCATCCTGCGCTTGTTTACTTGCTGGCTGGTTCGTTCGTACTTTCATGAACTTTCTCGTCCAGCCTGATATCTCGATCTTGATCTTCAAGGCAATGGACGACATTCCCGACTTACTACTGTATCCTACCACGCTTTTTGCATTCGTTGCTCATTTTCTGAGTGCTATGAGATTATCCTCGGATGTCATCTAATCGCCTTTTTCTCCCAAATCTCTTCTTTTTTCTCGTTTTTTTTTTTTTGCGAGCGCTTTGATTTTTGTCGCGTGTTGCCTTAAAGGAGTTTTTTTGAAGAAACGTAGTCTGAAGAGAAAGAGTGGACATCGAGGTGAAAGAAAGTCGAACATGCACAGCTTGTCTGAAATGGCGACAATGCCGGCGACGACGATGAGTGGCAGCGGCGGCCACGAGATGATTTCCGGTGGAACTTTCTCCAACTGCGGCTCCTCGACGTCTTCTGTCGGTCACCTCGGTGCAGACGGCGGCTCGTTCGTCCCGACTTCGTCACAGGACGAGGCGATGGACGAGCTGGGACCAGTGTCGCGAGACCGCTGCAATACCTGGCCGATGCGGAGGCCTAACCTCGACATCAACGCCCAGACGAGCCCTCTAATACACGAGGAAATCCCGGAGGAAGAAAACGAGTTCGTAAAAGAACCTTTTCCTTACCAAGTGCCATCCTTTCAATCTGTATGATAGCTTTTTCTTTTGATGTTTCCATGAACGAGAGTTTATATGGTTGGATAATTGGATGAAGTCATTTAGTGTAGAATTTGAAAATCAAGGGCTTCACGTGAATCAGAAAGTCTCGAGCATGACTTTTTCAAATGACGAATATAATAAAGAAAGAATTGACATTTTTTTTTAGGTGTTTCTTATTTCCTTTTATGGTCAGAGTTCAAGTGTGAAAAAAACTTGTTTCGATCGTATTTTTTGAAACAGTGAATCGAGTGTATACGTATATATGTATATAACTTTAATTGGGTATAATTTATATGTATATAAAAATTAATTCAAAAAACAGAAAATATGGATCTTTGTACTTTGATGTTTTTCCGAGATTACTGATGATTTAACGACCACGCTTGTGGATATATTGTTTTCATGAGCACTTCTGATAAGTTGGGATTTTGAAAGATAAGCACTTAATCAGAGAATAAAGCTTTTGCGCATGTTCATTTCTGAACGTTGCAGCCTCTACGACAGCTCGGAACACATCGGAAGACTCGGCGGATCTTCTACGAATTCCAACGGCGTCCTGCACAGTCCCGATGCCAACAGCACATATTCAGAGTAAGCTCAGAACTATTTTTTTCACTGACTTTTTAAACGATTTTTAAAGTTTTTTTTTTCTCCAAACGATCTTATTTTGAGTTTTAATTGCCGCGTCTCGAAAGGACTTTGCGAAGTTTTGAATATTTTTTTGTCTCACCAAAATATCCGTTATCTTTTTTCACTTTTGGACTGTTTAGCCGTAAATAATTAGAAGTTCAATTGCAGAGTGAATTTTCTTAAAGTTTCAATTTTAGAGTGAATAACTTAAAGTTTCAAAAATCCCATAGTGAGTCGTTTGATGTAGTTCAAAACGGCTTTTTGAGAAAGCGGAAAATTAGACGTGGATATACTCGTCGAACCAGGCGGGGTTTATTTATTTTTTTTTTCAGAGTAGTCTTAAAAACTCCAGCGTAATTTTCAATCATGCGAAAATTTTCATTCACGCTCAAATACAGTTTTTTTTGTTCAGATAATTCACGGACTTGTGATAATGACTTTTTCTGGAAATCTATCAATTCCTCTCAATCCGGGAAAATGCAAAAAGAAATTTTATCTTTGTTTTTCTTTTGAGTTCCTGAAGAAAAAGTTTCAAGATCAGAAAACATGAAAGAAGTTTTAGACGATGGAGGATGAGAAACTTGGAGAATTTTGATAAAAATGTATAATTGCCGGTGGTCATAATCGTGTTAGAAAAAAAGCTTAATCGATGCCGGTTTACCTGAAAAAAAAAAATCATAACTTTGGCTGTAGGTGTCTTAAATTCATGTTTAAGGTAACAAATATTTAGAATTGTATGCTTGATAATCCTAAAGAAACAACACTTTCAAAAAATTTCAAGGAAAAACCTGAAGTTTTACGTCATTTAATAAGTTCCAAAAATCTTAAATAGGGCTTTAGATGTCCTAAATTCATGGTTGAGGTATAGAAATATTCATAACTGTGTGCTTGATAATCCTAAAATAACAGTACCCTAAAAAATGGTCAAAAAAAGAATAAAGTTGTACTTGGTAGGCCTCGCGACCCTTCCATGAACGTGACAGTTTCTTTTGATCCAATTGAAATGAGATAAATGAAGAAAATTACAGGGTCTCGTCTCCTGTTATGAACGGCGTCTCTCCGACTGAAAGCAACGAAGTCTCGAGCAACTCCAAGAAGTCGACGACCCGACGCAACGCCTGGGGCAACATGAGCTACGCGGATCTCATCACGCAGGCCATTCTACAAAGTCCCGACAAACGACTCACGCTTTCACAAGGTCTTTCCCGACTCTTTTTTCGAAGAAATTCAAGAGTTTCGTCGGCATTATCGATGTCGGCTTATGCTGCACTATAATCAGATTTTTTATCAATAGGGCCATAGACTCTCTCGAAACGTTTAGAAAAAAACAATTATAAGAGCTATTCTAACCAGAGCTTCATAATATAGGACTAGTTAGGAACTCCAGAGTGGTCCCTATAGGGGCAACCTTAGTGACCACTTTACCAACCCCTGAAGGAGCCAATAAAACTTGCAAAAGGGGTTCCTATAGGGAACGTGCTAGTCTATAATTGTTATGAACTCTAAGCGAAGAAGCATTCTATGAGAAAAACTGAAGCAACCGTTTTTTGAATGAGTTTGGCGAATCCCGATAAGGTCCACTTAATCTTTAGGGGCTAAGAGGTCAGAACCTTAACCTCCATAGGGATCACCTTAATTTTTCTCTTATAGAAACCACTTTTTTGCCCTCTATAGGACCACACTGAAATTCTATAAAGAAAACTGGTCTCCATGAAAACTCTGATCTAATTTTGCAATATTCGAAAGTAGCCTTGGATTCTAACAATAGGAATCTCGGAAAAGATCCATGGACTTACCTTTGATCCATAAACTTTTGAAATGACCACTAACTCGTTAAAAATAACTCATTACGAGCAAATTCCAACACAGAATTCTTTTAGCCTTCTTTTCTCTGTTTTATTCTCGTTATTTTATCTTTTCTACAGTATTAGTTCGCTTTGCACGAAGCAAAAAGTTGCGCCTGTCTGTGAAGTAGAAATTTGCCTTTTTAACACCTTTCGGTTTAAATCAAGAGGTAGAAAGGCTGGCGGTGGTTCCCTGTCAAGACATCCATTTTTTTGAAACCCGACATGGCCTTGCGATACATATTCTTCAAAAAATTGGTAATTATATCGAAAGAACCAAAGTTTGTAAATGAAATTTTTAACTCATGTTCAGAAATCTGCGAATACTTACTTTTCAATTAATCCAGTATTCGGCTGTTACGGATTCCCATCTTATTTTTTTAAGTCTGGCTATTCCTAGAAATTTACAAACTTTGGTTCTTTCGAATTTTTTTCTGAAGTATTTTATTTTTTTGACTTCCGCATATTTTTTTTGTTGATTTTTTTCCAGCATTTATTCTTTTCTCTTCAAACCAATATTAAGAAAAACAAACAATTTGAAAAAAACAATGGCGAACAAGTCTTTTTTTCAAGAAGACATTTTAATAAAATAAAGAAGTAGCATAAGATTTTCATTATTCTCCGAGTTTCACCGTTTTCAAAAAAAGCCCGTTTATGATTTTAAAAAAATTGAAAATTCGAAATAAAAAAATTCGATTGTGCAAAAAGCGGTGAAAATCGATGAGTTTCGAGTTTCGGTCCCTTTTTCTTTTGATTTGTGTCTTTTCTTGAACATTCACGTTTGCAGTTTACGAGTGGATGGTCCAAAACGTGCCTTATTTCCGAGACAAAGGAGATTCCAACAGTTCGGCTGGATGGAAGGTTTGTGTTGAATTTCTTCTTATTGTTCGAGAAAATATGTTCGGTTTTTCCGTTTTTATTTAAAAAATTGATGTATTCCTCAAAAAATTAAAGATATAACTTTTTTTTTGAAGATTGAGCTTTTTTTGTTGAGTTCGAGGTTCTTTTTCGGGATTTCTCTTCGTGCTGTTTTATATTCCATTGTCCCATTATTATATACCCGGTACCTCGAGTTTGTCACTTTTTACGTTGTCAGACATAAGTTCAAAGCTGGAACCTCATATTCTGCTTTTTGATTTCTAATCGTTGATTCTTCTATGGAACTCTTATTTCAACTTAGCGATCTTTGAATTTTAAAAATGTTCCAAAAGCAATTTCCTTGAATTTGAATATCTTTGACAATCGAAGTAAAGGAAAAATCAGGATTTAGAAAAATTTGCTATATTTCATTGTGAAAAATAATCTTTTTTGAACAAAGTTCTATTTTTTTAGTTGCTTTGCCCACTATGAAACGACTTTAAAAAAACGATTTCATTCATTTTTTTCAATTTTTGACTATTTCACTTCAATTTATTGCGCAGAACGAATAGATTCAGATAGGGCATGTAATAGAATCGGTTGTCATTTTCTGCTCTTTTTTTCATTCAAAAATTGTTTCCAAATGCGTTTTGAATTCTACCAAGTCTGCGAAAAGAATATGCAAGCCAAGCATACTGAAAAAGTTGTTTCTCCTTTTTTATCCTGGCTCAACCAAGAAGAATTGAAAATCGAGAGGAAAAACGAAGATCAAGCCCCTTTTTTGGAAAGACGTTCATGTCTATTAGCAGCTGACAATAACGGATTGGCCGAACGACCCCTGACCCGTTCGCTTCATCTTCCTCGTGTTCCTCCTGCGCACCCTCACTCCACGTTCACCTCCCCTCCGTTTTTATCGATTGTAAAAAACAGCGCTGGTGCACTCCTCTCGGTGGACGCTGTCTCGCCGGTGTCACTCAGGACGTCGAGCCTCTCTGCCAATCATCCACTGTCTCTCGTCGACCCGTCCTCAGCGGCGACGCTTTTTTTTCGTCGCTCTCAACCGTAGTGTTCTCTCGCTTCTCCACCACTACTGCTGGCCGACGTTCCTTCGTTCTTCGTTCGCGCACACCAGTCTGGTGATACGTTCACAGCTGTGCTCAACGTTCTTCCTTGCCGTTTGCTTCAGTCTTCCAATCTTCCTTATTTCGCCTCTTCCTGCTGCTACCATGGAAGCTTCCTCGAGCGTCGACGACGATTTCGTGCCTGAGCCACGTGAACGTTGTTATACATGGCCGATGCAGCAGTTCGTCTACGACCAGCCTCCACCGCAAATGATGACGTCACCTATGATGCGTGAGCCGACTGTTGGTCAGATGCTGACGTCGACCCCGTCTTCATCCAACATGGGAGCTCATCTGATGCCCCTCGGCATGCACATGGTGCCTGGAGGCAGTCACGGCGTCAACATGAACAACCCCATGTCTGGAGGCTCGGCTGGTGGTGGACCTATTCCGAAGAAGAAGCGATGTCGCAAGAAGCCTACCGATCAACTAGCTCAGAAGAAGCCCAATCCGTGGGGCGAAGATTCCTACTCTGATATTATCGCCAAGGCTTTGGAAAGCGCCCCTGATGGCCGGCTTAAGCTCAACGAGATCTACCAATGGTTTTCCGACAATATTCCATATTTCCGTGACCGGTCTAGTCAGGAAGAAGCAGCCGGATGGAAGGTAATCTTCGCCTTTTTACTTAAAAAAATGTCTTCTCAATCAATGGCCCTCCCAACGAGAGCAGTGATTAATGCCTATGAAAGAGTGAGAGAGAGGGAGAGAGTAAGCGACAGAGAGAGTTGTTTTGATGCCATTTTTGCACGTGTGTTTTTCACTTTCGCTTCCCTTTTGCCTCTCTACGTGACTGTCACTTTCTGCAGTTCGCTCTCACAACCTCTTCCAGTTCCTTTGTTCGGGAGCTCCCAGACGTCTGGGACCGCGTCTTGTGTGCCTCCGTTCACATGCCAACTTTACACCGAAAGATTGCGAAAAAATGATTTTTAAAGATGAATGGAAATGTTCGATTAAAGTCCCGCGTTGCGAAATGGAAAGGCCATTTTCAAGCTCAGTAGGAGACCCGTGATCCTGTTTCAGCGTATAGAGAAAGGAAACTCATTCTATTCTATTGTCTTCATGAAGCCTGGAAAACTTTGCTGTTGAAATTATAATCTATTTTTAATGTCACTAGATTTTCAATTATTTGTTAAAGAAAAGTTTGCGTATAGATTTTCCATTCAAAATGCGGAAAAAAAAAAATCAAAAATTGCGTTTTCAGAACTCGATCCGACACAACTTGTCGCTTCACTCCCGATTCATGAGGATCCAGAACGAGGGCGCCGGAAAGTCCTCTTGGTGGGTGATCAACCCCGACGCGAAGCCTGGCCGGAACCCTAGAAGACGCGAACGGGCCACCACCATCGACGTCACCAACAAGGTTCCTTTTTTTTTTCATTTTCCGGAATGTTGAAATATTTGAAAGTGTTGAAACTATTTATGTTACAGGCGGCGCTCGATAAGTCCCGAGGACGCGCCCGCAAGAAGATAAAGGACCTCCGTTGCGGCCAAATCATCGGCAGCGTCAATTGCATGGCTGGCTCACAGGTTTGTCCAATACCATTTAATATATTGATTCTGAAGCAAGTTTTCGTTTAATTTTTGTCTATTTTTCTTTTTCGAAACATTTTGAAATGATTAAATTTTCATCAAAGTAAACATTTCAAATCTAAATATAATTTTCTTTTTTCAGGCCTCGATTGTGTCTCACGACCTTTACGATGAAGAGTCTATGCAAGGAAATTTTGAGCCGGTTTTCAGGTAAATTCTTTTTTTTTTCGCTTATGAAGTTTTTTTGGAAGTTGAGATTTGTCAAGATCATCTAGTTTGGAATAAGTAGTAATATGTATCTTTCGGTCGAGTATATGATTTTTATTATTTTATCCATTTTTTGGAGACTCGCAAAAAACTTGAAACTTTCCAGACCGCGAACGCAGTCCAATCTTTCTGTGCCGGGGTCTTCGGCGCGGGTCTCCCCTTCGATGGAGCAACCTTTCGACGACCTCGACTTCCCGCCCTGGGTGGACACGGCGTCGAACATGGCCATCCCCAACGACATCGTCGACCGCACCGACCAGATGCGGATTGATGCCGCGCGTTGTGGAATCGGCAACAATGGAAACATGAACGCCTACGCCCAACAGCAGCACCAGATGCAGCAGATCAAGCAGGAGCCCAAGATCATCAAGGTCCGTTCTGGTTCTTAATCGCGCCCCTAACTGGTTGATTTGAAGCAGGAGAATGGCGCCCCGCCGTCCTACCACGAACTGAACAGCGTCCGAGGTCCCTGTGCGCAGAATCCGCTGCTCCGAACACAGATGACGCCGCCTGGCAAGTATCAACCGTGAGTTTTATTTCTTCGTTTTTCTATTTTGTTAGTATCTTTAAAAGTGAGGCTTTCGCGCAGTTTGAAGTTTACAACTGTATTTTATTTAAAGATTTTTAATCGATTATATTATTAGTGACAGAAATAGCCTTGATTCCTTATTTGACAAAAAACAAGTGTAAAAGAACGTTTCCTATATTTTTGAAGATTTGTAGTTTTTTTTTCTGATTCTAGAAGGGTAAAGGGCGTAAAGGACTCCTCCTGTCCCTCTCTTTTCATAGAAAATCAATGGATTTTTACGGATTAGCCTCGGTTTTTTTTTAATGTCGATGGTCTTGAAACGATTGGCGGAAAAAAAGTGAAGAATAATAGTTTTTTTCGAGTTTTTTTCAAAAATATATCTGCATTAATGCTCAGAAAAAGGATCGTTTGAATGAAATATGAAAATTTCCCAAAACAAGTTTTCTCGAGTATTATTCTTCACATGAAAAATTTCCACAAGTTGCTTCAACTATACTAGTTATCGAAAATTCTCTACTTTTCATTGCTGTTTCTTTGTGAAAATCTTGTTGAGTAGGGTCAATTCAAGTTTGATTTCTGTTTTTGTCTAGCAAACGAGATTTCGTCATCGCAACTTGATAAGCGAATTTCATGCAAGACTTGCAGGATGAACATGTACCAGGCGTACGGAAACTGGGGAGCAGCTGGCGTGCCGGTCTCGGCTCACGCGTGCGGAGTTCAGCAACAGTCGCAGTCTCTCGGCAGCGCCCTCCCGATTGACCTCGAGAATCTGACCCTGCCGGACCAGCCGTTGATGGACGTCGACATGGACGTTGAGTCATTGCTCCGCCACGAGCTCAGCCAGACCCGCGACCACCAACTCAACTTTGATCTCTGAACCTGCAGCCACCTGTTTCCATCATGCTTGTATGTATTATAACTCCCTGAGGATGCCTCACGCTCCTCGCATTTATTCTCACGTTGCTTTTGATATTTCCCCCCTCATTTCGATCGCATGTAACCTTGGTGTTGAATCGTCGGTTCCTCTTCGTTTCTTTTTCTCCCGTGGTTAAGCAAAGCGAAGCCGATTTCGGCGATCTCGACGGACTGCTCGTTTGTTGATTCCTGTGCTACCTCCTCTTCCTTTCCACTTCCAAAACGAATATGATTCCGTCGTTTGTATGTATTTTTTTCCTTTCAAGCATGCTTTCAGGTTCGCCAGGAGTAGTTTTGCTCTGAGAATTTAGCACCATCAAACGCTTTGTAGACCGTCGGGTCCCCTTTATGTACATTTTCCCTCTTTTTTTTTCCTTATAATAAGTCTTGAACTCGTGTTATTCTTTTATTTTCGGATACTACGGTATAATTCTATTGTTGTGTATGCACCCTTTTCTTCTTCTTTTCCAAAAGTAAAACAACATCAGTGTGATTAAACGGTGAATTTTCCATTAGAATCGAGTCCTTCTTTTTTTTCAAATGACCGCATCGGTCGACTCTCCCGCGACTTTTTGGATGTCTTTACACTCTTCTTTCATATCAATTATACGACCGTTTTTGTTGTTTGTACTTCTATGCAGTTTTCGAGAAATTTTTTTTTATCATTTTCATCTATTTTCCAGCGTTTGTCCTTGAGGAATCGTGCAATGGGAATGATGTCAGCCAGCAGCTTCCCGCATTTCCTCAGGTCGTCCGCTATTCCAGTATATTTATCCTCACTTAACTGTATTAATTTCTCTTCTTGCACTTCTCATGTATCTCTTCTCCGTTTTTTACTGTTCAATTGCAAAAAATCATCGCTCTAATGTACGAAATAATATAATGTGCAACTTTTTTTTTCATTTTTGAATACATTGTTATTGTTTTATTGGTTTTTCAAATCCATGAGAAAGTTCTTGAAAAAAAGAAGTTGGTTGAAAAATCATTATTCTAAAAATTTAAACTGAAGTATTAGTCTTTGCAGTAGTTTGTGTAATTAGCTTACTGCCGAATGTGTAGGCGTGATTCAGGCAATATGTCAAGATTAGCTAGAAAAAAAAGACTGGCCTTTCGAATTCAACTTTCATAATAATTCTGCGAAGTACAAGAGGTGCTGGCTGTGGGCCCGTGCCGAGGTTAGTGCCATCCGACTACTAATATGGCGCGGGAAATGTCGGAATTCGGAGCGGTTGTTGTTGGTTGGGACTGCCTTGGCTCGCACCGAAAAACACGAGCGCCTGGGCCTCTCACCGCCGGCGCTGCTCCTCCGCGATCTCTGCTATTTGTGCAGACGGACCGCATGACTCCGTGGCGGCTTTTGTTCCGGCCCTGAAGACTCAGAGACTAAAGACTGAGAAGAACAGCTGAGGCCCATAAGAAAGCTTTCGCTAATTTGCCATTACTCAATATTACCTTGATAACCTGTGGAAACGGAGGAAGAAACAACTAAATCGGGAACTGACTAGGGAACTACTCCGACTCGGGTACGGGTTCCGAGTTCAACTTTAGTGGTTTTTAGACCCAAGTCAGAATACTTGAAAACAAGAGAGAATATCTGCTAAACCCCATAGAGAGCTGAGAAAAAAACTTAGTAGAAAATGTGAAAATTAGGCCTGAAAATTTTTATAATACTTCTTTTTACCTTATTTTATATTTTAATACAATCGCCTTGGATGATCCGGCTATAATACTCTGAAAAAAACTTTTTTCCAGCCAAAAGAAGGAGGAAAGCAAAAATTTGATAATTTTCAAGCCTAAACTGTTCATTTTCAAAAAGCTTTTTCTCAGAAGCCTGTGGGGTTTAGAAGATAATCTCTCTTGTTTTCAAGTACTCTTACCCGGGTCTATTAGCCACCAAAGTTTCAACTCGAAACGCGTACCCGAGTCCGAGTAGTTCCCTAGTGAGTGATTTTTAAAAAACTGATTATATCTCAAGGATACAAAAAAATTATACTTTTTCCCTAATAGATTTTGAAAAATTATAAAAAAACGTCGAAGTTTTTTTCCCAAAGTCAGTCGTGTAAAACCATAATCACTATTTTTTAAGCCAGCAGTATTGAATTACAGGGAATTGTAAGTTCTATCTTTTTTTACTTTGTGAATCGTCTTCCCTATAAATATAACATCATATTACTGTGTTCTTTTTCCTTCATTTTTTTGTTAAACAGAAAAAAATGTGCGTTCTATGAGTTGAGTGAAAAAAATATCCTAAACTTTTAGATGCCACCAAAAAAGACTAAAACGATGGGGCTGTTGGAGTTCTGGAATAGACAGCAGCAACAAAAAGATGAAACGCCTCCCGCTTTCGGTTGATTTTTGTCTTTGATCAAATCATAACATTTTTTAATTCCTTGCTTTTCGTGTATCTTTTTTGAAAACGAGTATGCATTTGAGTGCCCCCAGTCATTGCGCGCAACGATACGGGATCTTCGACCGGATCAAGACGTTCAAACGGCGCAGAAAAGTCCTATGTGGTGACCGTGAGCAGTGGAAAGACTCAACAAACCGAGTTGGAAATGAGTCTTAACTGTAACCCTTGTCCTGTTCAGCACGGCTGAATTGGCCGCTGGGGGTTTCGACCCCGGCGCAGGTGGCTCGCTTCATATACCTGTCGACGAGTTTCTCCCAAAAAACCAGGTTTTTCACGGTTTTTTTGAAAAATTGTGCACTACACTTTGAAAATCCTATAGTATAAGGGAAATAGAAAATACTTTCGCGCGACAGAGTTTTGCGATAAAAAGAAGTTTCATCATTTCTTCGAAAAGTTTTAGTTCAAAGCAAAATTGAAGCACACTAGGTTTTTGTACTGATCCGGATTATTCTTTAAACGACAAAGCGAGAGAATTATAAAAAAAAGGGAAATTTTTATGGGTTTGCAGTTTGTCACAAAAAGCTTGCGTGTGAAAAAAAAGAAGTTTTAACCGAAAAACTGTATTAAATGTATTGACTCGAAATTGAATTTAGCTGGAATGGATAAAAACGGCAGTCGGAATGAACTGTTGTCTGGCGATGCCGGCTCAAGCTTCTTCGGCGTCTTTTCGAGTAGTCGCCGTGACAGCTCTCAATTATCTCAGGTTGGCAGATTGCCCGAAAAGATTTTTATGGAGCCTTTTTCCACACTTTCCGACCTTGCCTATGGGTCTAAGCCGTCCATTTTCAAACTTTCCACAAAAAAAACTTCTAACAGGAAGGTGCTCAGGTGGTTCCCGCGATGTCGCATCCTCTTCTGTCTCTCCAACATCGAAACAGCCGAGACGTGGGAGGAAGAGCTGCAGCGGACTGGCATCCCTGAGGAAGACGTTCGCTTTTTTCTTCTCTTGGTCCTTGATGCCTTACGCAGGAAAGATCAGAGTTGAAAGCTCAGGCTTCCTCCAATTACTGAAAAATGCTTCGACTCAAGAAACAAATTTTGATATGTATGGGGAGGTTTATTTTTTACAGACTGTTAATAAAAAAAAATTCATAAAAAATCGTTTTCAGATAACGCGTAAATCTGTTTCAGATTCGCTGCATTAGCTCGACGAGCTGTTTGAAGTCTGATAGATCAGCTGACAAACGTGTTCTCATATGCACGTCTTCTGCGGTAATCTTCTACTTCACGTACCTTTTGAAAATAATAGTATTACGAGATTTTCTCATAATTGATACGCCATTTTCGCTTTTCGAAAAATATTAAAAAGATACTGTATTGATAAGTTTCTTGCTGTGAGTATATGTGAAAAACGTGACAGTGTTTTTTCACGTTAAGAATCAAAGTTCAGTGATATAGCTGATCCACGGCTAGCTTGGAACGTTTAGGGGCGTAGCCTGTCTGCGCTCTCCACGAACCAGGCACTCTCTCGTGCATTATCGTGTCAGGATCCTTTTTTCAAAGGCCCAAGCTAGCCATGAATCAGCTATACTATCAAATTTTTGAGAAAACACAAAGTTTGTTGCCCATATTTTCAAAAAACCGTGAAAAATATATCTGAAAATTTATAGCTGAAAATTTTAAATGTATAAACTTCTGAAAAATCTGTTTGCAGTGGACGATGAAAACTCTGGATTCGATGAACGATATGGACTCAGTTCGACTGTGTGTGGTCGAACTGAAGCACAACGAATCGTCGGAAAAGTACAAGACGATCATTTCGAAACTCACTGTTTGCAATGTAATTTATTTTACGAAAACTCTTCATTTTATCTATAATTTGCATATGCCGACTTGAAGCTAACAAAGGAACTTTTTTTAGGCTCGCCTTTGAAGTTTTGATAATACTTGGCTAAAGTGTATTTGAGGGCTTTCATCTGGTTTTTGAGTTAAGATGCTTCAAACGTTGGAAATAACGTTTTTTTTTTTGCAATTCACGTATTTCACAAGCTTTCAAACTTGTTAACTTTAATTAGAAGTTCAACCAGTTGCTGAAAAAGTCCTCTCATAAGTATTGATCAGAAAAATGTTATAATAATGTGATAAGCATAGATGAGAACCCACCGGCCGAAATTTTGAAGCATAGGAAAAATATAGATTAATGTGAGAAATAGTCTGTAAAAATATCCTGCTTCAGTTTTGAGGGAGAAATTCATGTAGATGACCACTTCAAGATGTTCTCTTGAACCCTTGTCGTAAAAAAATGATGAACATCTTTTAAAAGTTTCAGCAAAATTGCCACTTCTGAACGCCATCAAAAAAAATGAAATAATAATGAAACACATTATATTATTTTGCCTACGCAGACCCTTTATCGAGTGCTGGTCTGTACTACGTCGGTTCCTTCGGGCTCGAGAAAAACGAGCGCCATCTCGAAAAGGCAGCAGACCATCACGACACTCCAGATTTCAACGTGGATCGAGCCTTCAGAAGACGACGTCGACTTCAGGTCATCAGTGATAAAAAGTATTTGACCGTAAATCAAGCAACCGAGCACGTTTCTGACAGATAATACTTTTTTCACTACTTTTATTTTTAAAGTTTTATATCTAATAGAACCGCAGATGTTTGAGAAAAGAAGATAGTGATTTGTCCATCTTAGGAAAGATCTTTCGTTTTTTTTTTTGATATTTTTTTTAAAATTTGAATATGCAGTCATTAGAAATGAGTGGAGAAAAGAAAAATTCCAGATTTTCTACTATCCCCGAGAACGTGAAGCCATTGTATTGGACCGAAAGAGAACTTTCCGATCAGAACCAAATCTTGCTGGAGAAGTGGAGAAAGGTTCTTTTTGTCTAAATTTAGAAAACTTCAGACGTTTAAGGGATGCAAAACGGTACTTGGTAAGTTAGTCTCGGAAAGTGTATTGAAGTCAGACGAAATCGAGGACTATATCTGGATGTCATCGGAAAATCTCGTAGTTGAAATAATTCTTACTGGAGTAAAAGTTGGCTTCAGGCAGAAACGATTAGTTCGGCTTCGCGAAGGCGAAATGCAAAGTGTGTCGAGTTTTTAAGGGACGTCTACAAAATCCTTTTGATCGAGGGAATGAAGCCGGCGTTTCTGTTCGTGATGCGTGAGATTCTGACTTACCCCCGTCGAGCTCCTTGTTCTTTTCAGAAACCTTGAAGAGTGACGCCGAGGATTTGGAGATGCTTCTCGTAGCTGACCAAGACCTTGTCTCTGTTTATGAGCATTTGCAAAGTCTCTATGCCCAGGGTATTTCAGTTTGCCCCTTTTTTGGTACAAGGGCTTTTTAAGGAGGAAACGCCGAAGTTCACTACAAATGGAGAAAGCTTCACCAAGTCATCACTGGTTTTCTACGGAACGGTAAATTCGAAGAATTTTTCTTTAAATTGAAACTGCGCTCAAAAGTTGTTTCGCGAAATTACGCAGCCAAAGGCGATCGAACAAACAAGTTATAAACGTTTAATACTCAGTTTGATTATGACATCATTTTATCCGGAGCACGCACTTACTTTTTTTTGGAAAAATTCAGAACTTTGACGCCTCGCTCACCTTCCCTCACCCCATTAGGGATTCCGTGTTACGGTTCGAAGTTTCTCTAAAATTTGCTCAAAAACTCCCTGAAAGTCTAGATGAAGATCTCTCACAGTCGCTACCTGCCGAACTTCTAGTTTTGGAAGTAGGAATTTTCAAAATTGCGAATCATGCGTTTTAAGCCTGACTCTCCGAACTTTGAAAATTATTACCACATAAACTAGAAGTTTGCGCAGGTAGCGACTGTAGGGACCTTCATCTAGACCTTCAGGGAGTACGAATTAATGAAGCGGAAAATTACTGTCAGAAGATATTGAACATTGAATTAACATATTCAATATTGCCTCGCAAGTTTTGGGAAGAAACCATTTTTGAAGGTACTACGACTTACGGACTCGTGGTCACGAAAGACGAAAGAAGTGCCATTGTAGCTCAAAAGGCCCTCGGAGCTCTCATGTGCAAAGTTGTCCGCGCCGTCGCCACTGACCAGCAAAGTCACTTTTTATCACAAACTTTTTGTTTTCGATCCAACATTCAGTGTATTTAGAGCTTTCATTAATAACGGCTCACTTTTTTTTTCATTTTTTAGAACAAGGCGATCACGACATTTGGCCGATGAGTCGTATCTCCACTGTCTTCATGGAGGTGAAAGGGATGACGAATTGAAACTCAATGCATCATTCAGGACAAATCAAAAATTCTAATTTTGGGAATGCATTTGCCGGATTTCTTGACTTCCTTCGAGACACTCACCGCAAACAGAATCACGTTTGTGATTTCGGTTGACCGCAGGTTCGTATTTTTATTGTCTCTTCAGCTCCGCCTCCAACAAAGCTCTCTGATTGGTTTGATCTACGCATAAGGGGCGGAGTTTGAGCGATGACTTGATATTAAAAATTGAATTAACAATAAAAACTTTTCCGTATTTTCCTGTGTTATGGATTCTTCTCCAATCAAAATTTCTTGTTTTGAGGGGAAAAAGATTGGAACTGCGAATAGGCTGGTCAGTAAATCATGCAAGGGTTGGAAATTGAGCAGTTTCTGTGTCTTTCTTATCATTTTCAGTATACCAATCGAAGAGAAAGTAATTAATTTAAAAAATGTAGAATTTAAGGATTTTGGAAAGTTTCAGCTCTCTGTGTACAACCAAAACGCCCCTGGAAAATTATATGGCACTTCTGAACGAAAAAATGGAAAAAATTGTGAGTAATCCCCGCAGAAAAATTTTTCCAATTGACAATTTAGCGAGTTCCGCGCGTGAACACGACGCCTCTGCCCGCGCCGAAAAAAAGGAACGCCAAATCGGCTTCCGGGGCCAAGTGGGGCGCCGTCAATCGGTATGTTGCAAGTCACATACGTAGTCTGTTCGAAAAACTTTGCTGGTCTGTAAAAGGCTTCAGAAAAGTGTCGATACTGTTTTCCGATTTATTTGAGCGAGCTCTGAGAAATAATATTTAAAAAAAAAAGTTCAATTCATCTGGTAAATAAAATTTTATTTCTGAATGCAAAGTTTATCATTTTCAAACACCTCAATAAGATCAGAGTGTAATCTCGAACAAACTCGGACATTGGGGACGCGAATCGGGGCATTTCTAGTGACCAATTTAGTAGCGTCAGCCCTCTAAGGTGATCTCTAGAACTGTCCAGAAACGTCCGAGGACTTTAAGCGGAAACTGACTTCAGCTACGACTTCAAATTCGAGCCGAGCAAACTTTTTTTGGATGCTGCGCGGTTGCGGCTGTTGCCATTTCAACCAGCGACAATCCAGAACGCCACCAACATTCCGAAGTGCGTTTTTTTTGTGTTATGAGATGCAGCCTTTTCGAACAGAAATAACATCCGAAAATTTTCATAAGTGTTAGGTTTTTCAAGAAATGAATCTCGTTCTTCAATGGTACACTTCAAACTACCATAACTCTTTTCAGAATCCATTTTTTGATCGATCTAAAACTTATGAAACATTCGAAAACCCCAACTTTAAGAAAATTTTCATTGTGAAACGAATGTCCGGAATTTTCGCCAGTGAAGTAACGAAAAAAAAAACAACTTTGATCACAAATTTTCTGTTTGAAGCTTTCTGTAGTTTCTATCATTTTCACCATATTGTTAGAAATCCAGTTTGCAAAAAAAGTTCGGTCCATTTCCATGGGCAAAAACCCGATTGTTGAGAAACACGAAAAAGACTAGTTTTTTTCAAAAATCGATTTCAAAGAATGGATCGGGTCAGATATTCCAATCTTTTTCATGAGTTAATGGGACCTATTAAAATATTCTGGCGTGTCTCGACTGACTTTTCAACGTCAGCATCTAGTCTCCTTTCTCTCTTTAAAGACGTTTCGTCACATCAAGTTTATTATTCTCTTGAATTATTGAGAAACTTTTCCGCTCAAAAGAGATAGATCTTCTTGATCTTTTGGTGATTCCACAATCATTTAGGTGATCAAAGCTTTTTCATTAAGAACTGTGAACGAGCTCACGTCAGCGGAACATGCCGAATACCTGCAACGGACAAAAGGCTCCGAGTTCGCCCCTCCGCGGATCAGCAGAAAACGGATACTTTCTCTGGTTTTTTTAGAACTCTAGCAAGAAAAATCCTTTTTGAACCCAAAAGAATACAAACTTCTCTTAGAAAACATGATTTTTAACGACAGAATGAGTTTGAAAAACCAACGAGAGACTTTGCAGGATGAAACTTTGAAGATCGACGTGATGAGTGAAAGAGAAATCTCACAAAATGATATCCTACAGTACTACGGAAAGGTATCAGGACTATCTAGTTTTATTGGTTCAAAAGAGTAGTTTTTGTCAACCTTTACCATTTCTTGGGGAAAAAAAAAGGTTTACAATTAACTTGCATCTGGCCTCAGAAAATATGTTTTCAACTAAGTTGAAAGTTAAAGAAGAGCAGTTTCTCGGGCAAAGTCGGAACGGTGGATAATGGCCGCTTGAAGGGAGAGGCTCAAAAAAAACCGCGAAAAGGCCGCAGAAAAGCAGCAAAAATGGTTTAAAAGTGCCGATGGAATGGCACTAAAGGGCAGGAAAAAAAAGAACCTTCCCACCCTGAAAGGAACTTTACCTTTTTCCAACCTTTCCGACTTTGCCTATGTTTTAAGTTTGCCTGCACGTTTCCGACGGACCTTTTCTCGGTACTTTTAACGTTTTGCGGATCATTTTCATTTGTTTTTGTGTACTCTCCTCTGAGATTTCCAACCACGATAGCTCAGATCAGATCAGCAATACTCATTTTCCACATTTTCTAGGACTTTTTCCAACTATGGAACCTTCTGAAATAATGCTAATGGCTTTTTTTTTAGTGCGAGCCTGGCGTAAACTCTCGAAAGTTTGTCCGTTACCTACAAGAAAAAGAGATCAATCGACGCGACAACATGTTCATTTTCAAGTCAAAGCTGTAAGTGATAGGAAGAAAAAGTTCAAGACTTTCAAGCGATGACCCTTTCAGGTTTGATACCGATAAGTTGAAATTGCTAGACTCCCTCATCAGAAAAATCGAAGAATGCTCGGATCTCTGAACCTTTTTTTCTTCAATTTTCGTAAAAATAAACGGGAAAGTTTGAAAGAATTTCAGTTTCTCCAGGGCGACAGCAAAGATAAAGAGAAAGGCTTTCTTTCGAAGTGCACAAAAAATTCAAACTCCGGAGCTTCGTATTGCAAATTATTTTTAATACTTGGAACGTGGTCTGGACTATTTTGAAATCCTGTGGTGTTTGCGATAGAGAAAGTAGGCGTTAAAGTAGCTTGAACGCGTCAAACTGGAGTAAAAGAAGATTTGGAGCTAGAAGCGCCGATTATCTGACTTGTTCCCCGGGCAACGGACACTCCTTATATCTTCTTCGCCAGCTGCGCCACCGCTCCGATGCAGGGTCTCAACGAGGACGTCGTCTGCGAGTTCCTGGCGGCCCACCCCGACGTCCTCGAGCGGATTGTCACCGGACCCACCGTCACTCGCGAAACCTTCCAGCGATGGTCTCTTCGTCGCGCCTCGCTCACCCGCAAGCATTCCCGCAAAGACTTCGGGGTCAGCAACACTTCCTGCTCAGTAGAACTCCATTTACCGCTATCCCGAAGAAGAGTTATCTCGAAAATGATTTAATTTGGCACCTCAAATAACTGATAAGAAGCATTTTTTGACTAGCTGAAGTCATTACAGAGATCATGTCCGATGTGCTTCCATATTCACAATCTATGAGAAACAAACTAATTTTTTTCAAAGTGAGCTCTTGAATGCTTCATAAGTTCCAATACCTCAATTGTTGTGCATAACCCAGAACCAGCTCAGTCGGATTTACGGAGACAGAACCAGAATAGGTTTAAAAGGGGCTATCCGCGTTCGTCTAGCCTGAACTCCTTGAAAACCCAAGTTAGCTGTTTTTTTCATTAGTTTCTTGAAAAGAAAAAAACCTTTGAAATGAGTTCTTGGGAAAAAAAGATGAGAAATTAATAATAAAATGAGTCATGAGAAACATTAGCGAACTCACTTCAATCTGAAAAAAATGTCCAAAAAAATAATAAAGACATGAAATATGAACAGGAATTCCTTCAATCGAGTTGAGGTAAGCAAGTTGATAATTATTTTACTTTTGAATTTTGAAAATAATTGATTTTGTTTTTGATTTTTCAAAACAGCTTTAATATTTGAAGGCTTCAAGCATACATGGGCGGACCATTTTTTAAGGCTGCCGGCCCCTTCCCCCAAGTTTTAACAATTTAAAGTCAATACTACCTCCAGAAGTTAAAAACCTAAGTCAATTTTTTGTCATTACGCGATGAAACTTATTTTCATACTTTTTTGAAACTTTTTCGCAGGTCAACCGCTCTTCCCTTACGGATTCTTTACCTGCCCATATATGGTTTCAAGAGATTTTTTTCCGAATTGATGAGCATGGCCTTTTCAGGACGCAACTCTGGAGTCACGGCGTCGTGCGATTCTGGACCACGCTGACAATAGAGTGAGTCGAAGAATATTATAGAAAAGTGAACGAGACTCCAGGTTCGTATCCTCTACGAATTGTCTCAGTTCTGTGCGCAACTTGTCGGAACCGAGGCTGTAGAGCTTGTCATTCAGAACAACGAGGGAGCGTTCACCTGCAAGAAAACAAGCGAGGGCGAGCTCAAACTTCGCAAGGCCAGTTTCTTCTCTAACAATGCTCTTTGGTTGACTTGTCTTGAACTTTCTTCCACATTAGTTTTGAAAGTTTCAATAATGACAGTTTGAAAAAAAAATTTCCGGTTTCAATTTTCAGCTCAAGAAACATCGCAAACCGGCTAGTTACGTCCAGAGTATCATCAACTGCGCTCATCAAACAATTGGTACATTTTTCATATTTATTTTTCCAACCAAAGAAGTCAGGTTGAGCGAGCGAAATTCGTTTTTTTTTCTTTAAATCAAGCGCTAATTTCTCGAGTATAATAGAACTTGTACACAGATAATTAAGGACACGCAAAATATCACTATACCAACCGAAATCTGAGCATGATAATTTTTGCCCAGAGTAACATTTCGAGATGAAAATTTGCAATTTTTAATAAATAGAAAGTTTTCATGACGACAAAAACTTAGATGACAACAGAAAAAATTGAAATTAGAAAGAAACGAGAAAAGACTCAGGCACTGGTGCGCGCACGCGCAGGGGGTACTGATTCTTTTTTTCGCCTTTTCCACTGAAATAAGGTTTTTGAAATATTTTTTTTATATTTTTTTGATATTACCCAGTGCCCCTGCTCACGTTTTAAAGTTGTTCCGAGCACTTTCGAACAAATTTATGAAAAAAAGTTGCCAAGTGAAACTTTGATATTTCACATTTTTTTGTGCAATCTAATTGTTATAAACTGGTGCAGAGCAATGTTAAGAGATGAACAGACATAAAAAATATTAAATTTATAACTTTTTCAATTAGTTAAAAAGCTAAAAAACAAAAGAGACACCCCGCGCGTGCGCGCAGCAGGCGGCGCGCATGCGCACTTTTGGCAACAAACACGCGCCGTCAGTGCCTGAGGAAAAGCAAAAATCCGAAAAATGGCGAAGCGTGTTGTCCATAGAGCAACTTTACTGCACAACGCCCTTTGATTCAAACTTTTCTCTCACCGACTTTGAATAATTTTTTTCTCTGAAACTAGGAAATTATGTACGTTTCCAAGTTTACCGTTCGACAGGCAAAAAAAGCTCTACAAAATAGCGTATTTGCCTCGAACCCCATTTTTTGCTCCCCCTGTGCCTTTGATGAAGGAAGAATAAGTGGAAAATAGACTGGAGCATTACGAAGCTGGTTGCAGGAGAACTCCATTTCTTCGTTCCGGTTCCGGAAACAGAAAAGCGATGGCTGAACACGCTGTGCATGTGGGCGTCTTCCGTCAACTATTTCGCCGAGGTCAGCACTGTTAAAGACTCACTGATGACTGCTCTTCTAGCTTCTGTACGATGGAATTTTCGATTACAGTTGTCGACACACGCGTTGGCCTCCAATGGAACAGAAGAGACGCACGACAACGTGGCGAGGCAGCGGAAACTGGCCAACTTTCTTCTCGACGTCGCCAAGTCTATTTTCCACGACATCGTCTCAATGGATTCGGTCATCATCAAGGTTATGGTAAGGTGGTCAGATTTGTGATTTTTTGCAAGGTACTGCAAGCGCTTTTAGAAGCTGAAAATTGTACATTGTTTTAGAGAAAGAAGTTTTGCTCATAAAATTTCAAAAAACCCCAAACCTGATAGATAATCATAGGAGGGTTTTTGAAAAAATAAACGAATAATGTCTCAATAATTTTGGCCAATCATGAATTCGAATCGGCTGGTTTTAAAGTTTTCCATATTTTTTTCTTGCTATAGAAACGTTTCTTAGTCAGTTCTCCAGTTTTCCGGAAGCAAAAGCAAATTTTCTTGTTGTCTGTTGTAGCAATAATTGTAGCAAAATTCTCAGAAAGTACATTTTAAACACTCTTTTCCAGTCCTTGGCTGAAATGAGAAACAATCTAAAAAAAGAAAGAAGCTAAAAAAAACTCAATAGTGTCATATCCAGTTTCGAGTTTTTCACATTGCAAATTACTTCTTATTAGCTGAAAAGAAAATTTTCACATTCAGAACTTCGCTCAAAAACTGGTGGATGCTGATCGGGCATCGCTATTTCTAGTCGACGCGAAAAGCAAAGAAATTTACGCCAGAATATTCGACGTTGGAACCGGGGAAGAAGAACATTCAAGGCTGAGTGATACTCCTCAAAAGGAAATAAGGTAATTCGAAAGCACTCTCCTGTGTAAAACGTTACCAAAAGCCAAGCCTAGAAATTAAATATAGAAAGTTGGCAGTTTTTCATTTTTCACAATTCCATTTGGTAGATTTTTTTTTTTCGCAGGTTTGACATATCCAAAGGAATAGCCGGCTACGTCGCATCGACCGGCGAGGGGCTCAACATCGAAGAAGCCTACGAAGACGAACGCTTCAACGCAGAAGTCGACTCGAAAACAGGCTACGTCACCAAGACCATCCTCTGCATGCCCATTTTCATCCGTGGAGCGTTGGTTCTCGATCTGTTCTCCAGTGGACCGGCGGTTCAGAGTGATCGGCGTGGTGCAGATGGTGAACAAGCACACCGGCGTCTTCACCAAACAAGACGAGGATTCCTTCGAGATCTTCGCCGTTTATTGCGGCCTCGCTCTTCATCACGCCAAACTCTACGATAAGATACGCAGGAGTGAACAAGTCCTCGCCGGGAGTTTTGATAATCTCCAACCGATTTTTCCAGAAGTACCGCGTTGCCCTGGAAGTCTTGGCGTATCACAGCGTCTGCAACAAGGACGAAGTCAACAAACTGAAGAAGATCCAAATCAACGAACGTGTAATGGAGCTGGAGACGTTTTTTCCATCTTCTCGTGTTGTTTTTTAACTCTTGGCTTAAGCTTCGATTTTAACGGCATGAGGCTTTCCGAACTTGAGAAACCGCTGTACGCCGTCTACATGTTCAGAACGTTGTTCTCCGAAACTTTGTAGGGTAGTCAGCACGACAAGGTGAAGGGAGGGAGTTTCAGACGTTTCGACGTGGATGATTTGACCCGCTTTGTGTTGACGGTGCGCAAGAACTACCGTCGCGTCGCCTACCACAACTGGGCTCACGGATGGTCCGTGGCTCACGCCATGTTTGTTCTGCTCATGAAGAACAAAAGTCTCTTCACTCCTAACGAGGTCATCAAAGGCTCCTTTTAAATCATTTTCTTCACTTTGAAAACCCTAGAGGGGTCGAGAATGTGGTCCCTATAGGGGTTAGGATCTGACCCCTTAGCCCCTAAAGCTCAAGTGGACCCTATCGGGGTCTCTCAATTTCGTTCAAAAAGGTTATTGTTTCTATTTTTTCGCATTGAAATGCTTCTTCGCCTAGAGTTCACAAAAATTATCGACTACAATGTCTCCTATAGGGGCCACTTCTGCAAGCTTCAGTGACCCATATAGGGATTGGTAAAGGGGGAGGAGACCCTCCGAGGGTCTCTAATGTCGCCCCTATAGGGATTCCTAAGTACGTAGGGTCTCCAGAATGATACCCTCAACCCCTAACCCCTATAGTGACCACTCTGGAAATCCTAAGTGCAGTTCGTTTCGCTTGACGCACAAACACGACCAGTGACAGGCACGCTTAGAAAAAAAACTTTGTTCCCAGAAAACGGAAAATAGTCAGCGGAAAGTTTGTTGAAAAAAACTTTGATTTGAGGCTCTGGCTCTGTTTGTCTCTTGCCTGTGCCACGACCTGGACCACCGAGGCAAGAACAACGCCTACATGAAGACGATGAGCACTCCGCTGGCGGCCATCTACACGACGTCGGTGATGGAGCACCACCATTTCAACCAGACCGTCACCATCCTCCAGCAGGTTCAGAGCCCCTGCGGCATTCATTCTGAAACGTTTCCAGGACGGCCACAACATTTTGAAGTCCCTCACTTCGGATGAATACAAACAGACTTTAGGCCTCATCAAGGTCTGCTTTTTCCATAACGGAAAAAAAAATTCTTTCTAGCATTGTATACTGGCGACAGATCTAGCTTTATTCTTCGCTAACAAGGCTCGTCTCAACAAGATAGTTGACGCCGGGGACTTCGACATCACCTCCCCAGACCACAGGTTTCTTTTGTTTCGTTTTCCTTCGAACACTGAGTGTATTCGAGGAGCCTGACCCAAGCCGTCCTGATGACTGGATGCGACTTGATCGCCTCGGCCAAGCCCTGGAGCATACAGACAGAGACCGTCAAAGTCATCTTTGAAGAGTTCTACGACCAGGTCTCTTTTCCTAGCAAAAAAAGGACTCTTTCCGTTTCAAAGCTTCAAAAGTTATGACCTTCAACATTTGAGGTTGACGCACTACCTTGTAAAGTTTTTCATTTTGAACCGAACGGTCTACTCGAAAATGCACAGATATTGAAGAAAAACGCGATTTTTTCTCCACTTTTTAATGTTAAAATATGCTTTGGATTGGTGTACAGACAAACGTCTACAGTAACCGTGAACGCGAATTTGCGGACTTGTCGTTAGACTCGCATTTTGTGAGAAAGAACTGGATATCTGCTTCAAAATAAGGGTTTCATTTCTGAAAAAAAAGCCGCGATAATTAAGGGTACACAAAAAATCGCTGAATATGTGTAAATTCGTCAATTTCCATCAGAGAAGCATTTTGGGATCAAAATCCGAAATTATACATAAATAGAAATTTTTCGTGACGAAAAAGCTTTGATGACAACAGAAAAAATTGAAATTGGAAAGAAGCGAAAAAGCGAAAATCCGAAAAATGGCGAAGCGTGTTATTCATAGAGCAACTTTACTGCAAAACGTCCTTTTGGCGGGAACTCAAACTTTTCTCTCTCCGACTTTGAATTATTTTTTCTCCAAAAATAGGTTTTGCTTCACGTTTCCAAGTTCGCCATTTGACCGGCAAGAAAGAGCTTTACAAAATGACGTATTTGCCTCCAACTCCATTTTTTACTGCCCATAGGCCTTTAATCACCAAACGATGGTTGCAGGGCGACGCGGAGCGCCTGAGCGGCAAGCAGCCGATGGCGATGATGGACCGGCAACAGGCGCACCAACTGCCGCAGATGCAGGTCGGCTTCATGCGCGGCATCTGTTTGCCCTGTTACGAACTTATCGGGAAGGTTCTGCCGCGGGCGATTTCTCTCCGCGACCGTTGCGAGTCAGTTTCTCTTCATCCAAAACAGATTTCTCGGAGAAATTGTTTTTGAACATTCTGAAATCAGTCCGAAGTAATTAACGACTGGCTTGAGCCATCGAAAAATGGGTTCTGACACGAAAGAAAAATAGAGCAGAAGAAGCTGAAACTCTCTGAAATTGACGACCCAAAACCAACTCGTTTCGATTATTCAACCAAGTGCATTCCCATAAATCGGATTCTTTCAAACAGGTACAACGCAACCAAATGGGAGGAGCTGGCGACTGAACAGAAAAAATCGGAAGAAAAGCTTTCCACCTAACTTTTGTTAAAAATTCAAACATGTATGTACAACACCTGTTTTATTAGTACTATTCACATTATTACTGTAGATTACTCGTATAAAAGTTGTTCTTTTTTCGGGATGGTTAGAGTTGGAAGGCGGGCATGTCGAAGCCGCCATTGCCGCCAACGAATCTTTTCGTACTTGTCTTCATGCCAAAGCCGATCTCATCCCCTGCATTCCATTCGTTGGGAATCTTGAACGTCGTGTCCCATTCATCTCTGCAACTCTCTTTAATCCGGTAGAAACTGAAAATTCTCACCGCGCTCTTCCCTGCGTCGAAAACGCCGAGTTCAGCGCCGGCATCGTCGGGTCTAGCGAGGGCAGAATGAATCGCGACCCTGATATAGTTGACAAAGTTACTGTATGTGCTCGGAAAGGCGATGGGAGGGAGAAATAAATCAATACAAAGAGAAAAACATGTGGGTCTCGAACAGATGAACTGATATTTTTTTTTTATATTTGAAAAGTTTCACAAGTTACCAAGGCCCGGGATCTCGCGCTCGTTAGCGCCAGTCCAGCGAAGCCGCGTGTGTTTGCCTTTGGGTGTCCAGAAAAGAGGAGGCACCGGACGTTCTTCAATCATCTAAAAATTCTTGGAGAAGGAACTATATCAAAAAAATCCAAGTCTCACTTGAGTGACTTTCGCATCGATCGGCTGATAGGTGTTGCTACCAAAAAGCCTCGGCAACGCGTTCACTCTTTTCAAAATCGTTCTTCCTTTCTGCTCGGGGGTCAGCATTTGTCTGACCACAGCGATAGTCACTAGATTCGGAGACAGTAATTACCTGCCAGAAAGTTTTTGTTGTAATTGTGGGTCCATGAACAGCGGGGCGATGCTCGGATTGTTTTTGAGGTTGGTGATCACCTAAGTATTTCATTGTACTTTGAAGTGAGTTTATGTGAAACCCTAGACTCGGCGGATTCTTCCCATTCTGTCGAAGGCGCTCGTCGTAGCTCCTCAGCTTCATTCGGATCCATTCCAATCAGAAGGGGAATCATTTTGCGAGGCCTGAAAAGGTTTTTGCGTCTTTGATTCTCATGGTCCTTTACCTTGTTGGTATCTTGCGAGGTACAAAGTAACCTGGTTGAGGGCTGGGGTTGACTTCGATCTTTTTCGGTTCCAGATACTTTTCCACGTCATTCAAACGATACTTGATACTTTTCAAAGCGTCTTTCAGTTCCGAGTTTGTCGCGAGTTTCTCGATAAAGTTCGACGACACAGAGTATGGCGCACGACGGACTCCTGTCGCCTGGAGTGAGAATGATGAAAAAAGAATGATAAAATTGAAAAAATACCTGCTGATCATCTTCTACGTCATCGTCTTCGCCCAAGGTTCCATGGTAGAAGTCATGAATTCCGAGAAGAAGTTGAGATTTGCCGTCGAGCTTTGCTTGAGCTTCCATCGCCTTGAATGTTGACTCGTCTTCTTCATCTGTTTGAAAAATAAATTATTTAAAAAAACAAATGAATAAAAAAATTATCATTTTCTGTTTGCAAGAATCTAACAAATTTTGGCGAGCTATCACTGCTGCGTCAGAATGTTCGACAATCTAAAAAACGAATTAAAAGCGAAAACCAAAATAATTGTGATTCATTTTGTCCACAGAGCAACTTTACTGCAAAACGCCCTTTTGACGGGAACTGAAACTTTTTTTCTTTCTGATTTCAAGTAACTTTTTCTCTGATAATATGGACCTCTGTATTCTGAAATCTAACAAGCGCAACTTTTTTTTGTTATGGTTATCCTTCTGTCTATGGAGTACTGTGGCTGATTTACGGCTGGCTTGAGCCATCGAATATAGGGTCCTGACACGATAAGAATCGAGACAGTGCCTGATTGATGGAGAGCGCAGACATACCACGCCCCCTTAGCGTCCCAAGCTAGCCGTGACTCGGCTATATCTGTAATATGTGCAGATTCTACCTAAGGTTGCAAGTCTTCTCAATGGGGCGTCCCTCCGTCTCTGAGTGAACAACGAAGCGACTTGGGCATTCTGAAAAACTGAAATTCATTCACTATAAATATAATGCCTACCTCAAGAAGTTTGCGGAGTCGAGGACTCGCTTTGAGTCGACGAACGAGCTGCCTCGGGTCGTCTTTCGGCTCTTCCTCAGGAATTTCCGGCTCCTCTTCTATATTCTGCGATTCAACACGTTGAACAGGCGGAGGCTGGAAAAATTGAAATAATTTGACACAAGTGATAGTAAGCCTAACCATCATTTTTTGCTGTTGGAAAGCCGGTGGCACATTCATCCTTCTCCCTTGTTGCGGCATCTGCCATTTCATTTTGTAGACTTACAAAGAAAGTACGTTATTTTGAATTTTATATATTTTTCCACACAATTTTAAGCTTAAAAATTTAAAAAGCTTCCTTGGTTTACTAGGGAACGTTTTTTACGCCGTGGTTGAACTTTTGCTGAAACTTTGTTAAGTGTACTTTAGGACCTCCTGACTCCAGAACGAGAAAAAAATTTCTCGCAATAGATCTCGTTTTCGAGTTAGGACACTTCAAAAGCCCGAAATAGCGCTTTTTGGCCTAATTTGGGTATTTTGCACACTTTGAAGCATAGTCTAACTTTGAATGGATTCCTTCCAGCGATCATGTTGGCCACGAGTCCCGGCAGAATCTGAGTTTGGAACTTCTCCATTACAGCCTTGGCAATCTGCAGAAGTTTGTAAAAAAGATGTTTTTCGACTTGAGGAACCTGCTCGGATGGGTCCTGAGTCTCCATGTCGCGTTGCGTGCGAATGGCGTCTTCAATGCCGCGCAAGCTGCTGCCGATCGGGATTCCGTTGCCGTTGAGCATGTCGATGAACGCGTTGCCTGAACTGAATTCTGAGACCGAAGATCAACTCGAATCTCACCTGTCTTCGGCTGAATGCTAGCCATTTGCGCCTGCTGCAGGACCGCGTCCGCCGCCAAGTCTTCCACCTTCAGCTTCTTGTATTTCTCGTACTGAACTTCTGGCGTTGCACAACCCCAACAATCTTCTAACCTGCTCTGGATGAACTTTTTGCAAAACTTCCAACTGTGTTTTGAACGCTCCTTTTGCCATTTCCATTTGCCCTTTTTTGATGAGAGCATCTGGAAAAATATTTTAGCTCGAATTTCAGAGAAAAATTGGACTCAGGAGAGCGTTTTCTGCGGATTAATCTCTTTTTGAGTCAGTATCTGTAACTGTTTTATTGCAGTTTTGCAGCTTTCCATGTTAACGTCGTACATGGGAAAGTACAAAACTGAATAAGTTCCGAAGGAGGGGCTTATTCACTGTAATTTTGAAAAAAATAGGTATAAAAAAAGACCCTAAGTGGGAGTATTGTATTGACAAAAGTGAAAAAAATAATTTTTGTCTGAAGTGACTTCAAACTACGAAAACTCGAGAGGTGTCGGGGATCTTTAGAAGGTTCTGCCCATTGAAATTCAAATTAAAAAATAAACCAATGAACTGGACTCCCACAAGCTCGAGGGCATCGGAACTGGGAAGAAGCAAGTTTTCGAGTTTGTCAGTCGGTTTCGCGGCGTCTGTAAGTCATATGTGCAAGACATGAAGCACTAGAAAATATCTTTCTTTTTCAAAAAATCAAGTGTACTCTCGAATATCGGTAACGGACGTTTTTGGGCGATTCTAGGGATCACTTGAGAGCTCTGACGCTACTAAAGTGGTCACTAGAAATGCGTAGAAAAGAGCACGTTCGCGTTACCAATGTCCGAGGTGTATAAACGATAATTTCTCTAAAAAAACTCATGTAGTATAGCTTCCTGGAGAACAGTAGTTTTTGTAATTGGAAACTCTCAGAAAACCTATTTATTCCTTTATTTTCAAGAAAATTCCCCAGTTTATATTCCAGAAAGACCTAAAAGAATCTTTTTGAAAAAAGGTCTCACAAGCTCCTTTTTTTGACCTTTTTAGAGAAAAAAGAAGAAAGAAATGAGATTCAAAGAATCTTTAGACACCTTTTCAGAAACTTAAAAATGAGTTCTAGATCTTCTTTTTGAGGTCGTATGGGCCTTGCCAGTGTAGTAGAACGAACTCGTGAATCGAAACTTATTTATAGAAGTTTTTACCATGAACTTTGAAATCTTATCTTTTTTTTGTGAAGAAGCTCGTTCTAAAACTAAAACAGTTTTCAATTGAAGATATGAACAAACCTGATAACGGCAGAAAAGCTAGAAATAGCAAAAGCGGCGAGAAGGAGACTATCATCGCGTTGAAGTGACCCCATGGCCGATTTCCTTTCTCTTTGAAAAACCCGCTATGCCGTACAAGAACACGTTAGAATTCTTTATTCTCGAAACAGGATCACAATGAAACTATTAGCGGAACTAGCTAAGAAAAAAAGGACAGACAAAGGTGGAATCGGAACTAATTTCTTGGGTTTTCTTCTCAAAAACTTCTTTTTTTAAATAAAAAAATTAAAAAGTATGTATGAAATAAATTTGTTTTTTTCGATCGACTGGATTTGCCTGGAAAAAGCCCAAAACAAGCTTTTTATATAATTTTTTTGGCTACTTCCGGATTTCCACATAAGCTCGAGTGATACTAAGAATTCGGTGGAAATATGACGCCTTTTTTTCGACTCAATTCTTTGAAAAGTCTGAAATAAGTTGGATAAAATATTTGAATGATATTCTACATAACTGGTAAAAGTTCTCCAAAAGTGAGTCGTAAAAAAATTTCAAGCACTTTACTGCGTATGCCCTCTGTTCTTGCGTTTCATGTAGAGGATTTCGGCCTGTCGGAAGATCCAAGGAAAGAAGTCGTTCTCGAGTTCTGCGGAAAGACTCGATGGAGATCCCGAGGCTGAGGTACCTGAGGCGAAGAGCTGCAGCTGACGTCTCGTGTTCCCGACAGAACGAGTGCCCATACCGATGCTTCTTTTAGGCTGTCCATCCAGCAGACAAACGTTCGCCAAGGAGTTTGTCGTCACCTACATCTTCTTTTTGCTTATTTTCTGCTACCGAAAAAATACTGGCTAGACTCGAAACTCTTTTCAAAGTAGCTTTTCCGGAAACAGTTTCGACACAGTAGAAAGAATATAGTTTGTGTGCCATGACTTGCAATTTCACGGAACGACATTCCGCTGTTCCGCTGGGTGCGTTCGCGAAGCGTCTTTCGAATCCAGGTCACGCTTTCGATTGATTGTTATTGCTGTGGGAGCACATGAAAGTAGAGTACCTTAAAAAAGAATAATAAAATAAAATCGCAATCAAGGTTCGCCAAGGCGCGCAGCGGCACAGCGGAATGTCGTTTGGTGAAATTCCAAGTCGTGGTACACAGGCTATAGCAACTAACTCATTTCGAAAAAAGGTTAACGGCGAGATAAGTTTCAGGAGAAGGCAAATCACCTGCTGACAGGTTTCCTGCACGACTGCTCTCATTTCTTTCATCTCCGTCGCTTCTCTTATCATACCTTCCAGAGCCTTCATCTGAAATTTTCTATCGAAAATGGCATCGCGAACGGTTGAGGAGCTTCCGTCAAAAAATGAGCAATCGGAAAATATGTACAAGTTCTAGGAATAAAAAAACAAACCTTATACAAAATTTTTTCAGCCCATAGATCGTTTTCTTGTATCTGAACCCTTTGTTGGTTGAGAAGATCTTCCAAAACTTCGACTTCGCGAGCGGCGCTTTCCAACTGCAAACACATCTGAAGAGTAGTATGGAAACGGAAGAACTTCACTACCTCAATCTGCGTGAGAGCAATTCTAATCGAAGAGTTGACCAGCTCCCGTACCAAGTTTTCATCGACTTTATCAGGCTCTTGCTGAGTCGAAAAAAAAGTTTGTGTTTCAAGTTTTTTCAATAAAAATTGATACTTGTGTTTGAGTTGAAAAAGTAGTAAGCTTCTTTGGATTGCGTAGCTTTCTAGAAAGAGAAGACGTCGTCGAAAGCGAAACAGAAGGTGATTTCGATGCTTTCTGGAAATCTATTCGCTTCTAAGTCTTCTTGTTAGTGGGAACCTCGTGAGATTTGCGGTAAGTGTTGAAGAACTTGGCAGGTTGCCCGTTGGAAGTCTTGTTCTTGTCGATCGAGTTGACCGCCGGCAGGAAATTTCTATGTAACCGTATACAGAGAAAAAAAGATTGCTCACTTTTCAGTCAACAAGGTTTTCCGCTGACCTCGAGTTGGGTTTCTGAGATAGTTGACTCGCGGAAGAGCTTCGTTCTCTGAACGAGAGCCTCCCATGAAATCATCGGACTTTTTGCTTTTCTGTAAAATTCGAAACTGGAGGAATTAGTTTAAAAAAAGGATCGGTAAGAAGTTTGGATTATTATATAAATTTTCGCAGCACTCCCTAGAGAGGTCGATAGAAATCCTTGATGGCTACGCGCAACCTTTTTAAAAATCGCTTTAGAGATTCTATTTTCTCAGTTTAAAACGAAAACGGGCCTATTTTCTGAAGACCTTATAGAAAAAAATGTCTATGGGCAATATCAATTTTTTTTTCAACTGAACTGAGCCGCGAGTTGACTTAAGAGCATTGCTTTTTCGAGTAAGCCTATTTTTCGGTAAAATTCTGCTTTTTTCGTTTTTACGAAGAATTTTAAAAAACGATGACGTCACTGAATATTTGCGATTTAGAGAAATCTGAAAAGTGAGCATGAAGAAAACTTGAATACCTTTTCTGTAAAGCATCCTTCCGCGTCTCCAGGTAAACGAGCGACGACGTTTTCAAAATATCTTAGAGGTTCGAGTCGCAAGGCACCATTCGTCGGCGGCCCCACCATCGGTGGCACTCGGGCGATGCGACCACGGCTCGCCAGACTGATTCTCTGCTGCGACGTCGCCTTGCAAGTCCTTCAACCACCGTCAAATTGAGCCAACTCTGCGGACCTCCGTGTAGTTTTCATTTCAAAAAGTCAACACGAAACTCACACTTCCACTTTTTATGATTAAAAACCAGGAAACCTTCAAAATCTTCTTGAAAAGGGCAGTCAAAAGAAAAATTTATTATGAGCAAATAGTTCTTCTTTTACTGACGACTATTAAACGTATTTTTTTTTCTAAAATAGAAAATCTAATGGTAGTTATACGAAATGGCGTGGGGAAGGAGCTGTAGTGGCCATGGCTGCGGCTTCTTCTTTTTTTTCCTATCTTTTGCCCATCTTATCAGCATGTGCTGTCTGACCACGTCAATACGTGTGTGACTCGCATACCTGAAACGACTTGGAGCCTCAGGCCTATCGATGCCTTCTTTAGTTGCCGCCCCTTAATAGCAACACTGGTCAATCGGCGTATCCGCATAATTCCTATCTTGATATCTTGATAAACTAAGGAAGCTTTAGAAGCATGATGCCGGATAACACACTTGACGGAATGAACCTCGCACAACCCTGGCTCTGGGTAAAAAGATCTCACCAGGGAATGGTCTCGGGACGCAGTGGGACTTCTGAATGAGACCAAGTTTACTAGATGTAGTTTTTCACGCAGATTCCAAATCTGGTCTCAAAATTTCCCCAATACGTATGTGAAAAAAGTTATGGACCCTTAAAAGTCGAAGTTTCTTGTCAGGCGTGCGCACGTGGCTGAGATCACTTGAATATGAATATAGTTTAAACTCCCGCCTTTCATAGCGATAATGTCCGCGCCACCGCGAATTTTTCAAAAGCTCCGAGGTCGAGGAGTCTCGCATGCTGAGCAGGTGTCTCAACGGGTGTACCCGTATTAAACCCGTGTTTCTGAGGTTATTTTAGTCTCAGTTGGGCTAAAACGGGGGAACAACGGGTGTAAGAAAAAAATAGGTAACCCAGCTGGGCTAAAGCGGGGTCTCAGTTGGGCTAAAAAAGTGCCAAAAAGTTCTATCAGCTGGGCTTATACGGGTTTTAATACAGGGGGCACCCGCGGAGACCCCGTGTTAGCACGGCAGGGGTTACCCTGCTCAGCATGCGAGGTGTTTCCCATTTTTTTTTTTAAATTTTCAAATAATTTTTGAGCATTGGAAGTTATCGAGCTCATTTTCAATCAGATTTTACTTTTTAAATTCTTGGAGAACTCAAAAATTCATGGATTTCCTTGTTCAAAAATGTTTTGTTGTTGTTTCAATTATTCGGTTTATTTTCATTCAATCGAATGTTTTATTTCTCACACATATGTACTAAAATGTATAGGGAAAATGTGGGAAAATATAAGTTTGGAAGTTGTGGTGATGCTAGAAAGAAGAAGAAGATTCGCGGTCGCGAAAATTTCTCTTAGTTTTTCGTTTTCTTTTTTTTTAAAATTTAGTTCTGTTAGAAGGTTCTCGGGCCTTCCATACCATTTTTGTTTCAACAGCTGATAATGATATACAGTTTTGAAACCATGATCTTCTCCTTAAAAAGTCATTTTTTTGTTGTAATTAGTTAATAAACATTTGCGTCAAGTAAAAAAATAATACTCATGCCTGGCTAACAAGAAAAATTTTTTTGTAAGAAGAAAAATTTTTTTAAATTGTGACTTAAAAAAATCCTATGAAATAATATCATGACTCGCATAAAAAAATGGATGAACTCTTTTTTTTTAACTATTCTATTTCAAGATTATATTCTGCGTAAATGTCATCTCGAAAAATTCTAGCCTATTTTTTCAAAAGAGGTTATGTTTCAGAGGCTGATTTTTCCGCAACTATTGATACCAGGAAATATGGCCTTTGTACTTTCGGCTTCAAAGTTTTTTGAGAGACTCAAAAAAAAAACTCTTCGGTTGCCAAAAATGATATAATTTTATGAAGGACTTTTTTTTATTTATTTACAGAAACTAATAATCGCTCTCTAAAAGGAAGAGATAAGAATAATTCAAACACTATGCCGTGTTGCGCGAAATTCGAAATAGCCGTCAGTGAGAGAGAAAAAGATAACTAAATTCTGGAGAGCCAGAGTAAATTTTGAATATCACGAAAATCATTCTGAACACGGCATTAAAATAGTACAAAAAAGGCTCTGCAAGTTCGATTTTTCAGGCGGCCATGGCCAGAGTCTCGTTTTTGCCTGATGTTGCCATGGGAATTCAGCACATCCCCAAAGGCCATCATGAACTTTTTATGTGCGGGTGTTCTGAAAATTTCCTTTTGAAAGTCAAACTCGTTGTCGTTCCTATGAAGTTTTAATTTTTGATTTGAAAGATTTATACTTCTCTGTTCCTTACTTTTTTTCTCGGGTTTTTTTACTAGGGATACGGTGACTCAAGTATTTTATTTCTCGATTTATTTGTATTTATATAGATTTATTCCCATCTATTCATCATATTTGGTTTTCTAAAAATCTGCGTGGTCTGTATTAAATTACTAACAGAAGAACGTAGGACGAATATTTTTTCAGAAAATTGAAGAAATTGTTTGTTTCATGTTAGAGTATTTCAGCATACCACTAAATGTTTCTTCGAAAAAAATAATGTTCACAGGACAAAAAACCAAAGCTTTCCTCGCTTTTAGTTTTTTTTTTTGGGCGGTGAAAAAAAAAGCCAATGTTAAAATGAATTTTTTTTTTGTCGAGTTGTCTTTTTCGACTGATCAATTTTCCATTTCTATTGCGCGCTACGATAATTTGGCAATAAGATGAAGAGTGATAACCCCAGGGAAAAAAATTGCTCTACGGGTGTGTGGAGAAGCGGCTTCTGCTGCATCGAAGACGAGCCTAGTCATTCTGCGAGCGCAGCGCTAAAAGGAAAGAATGAGCTGGGGCGCGTCGCGGCTGGCGGCGCGGTCGCTCGATGGAAGGCCCTTCGAGGCAAACACAACGCAAACAAACACAATTTTGTATTAGTTTCCCCGGCCATCAGCTTCATTTTACTATGAAATGGTCTGCGACTCTTGAATTAATTCTTCGACTACTTTTCGTGCTATCTGAGCAGTATTATCATTTATATATCTCCTAAATTTTTAATATATTGTTTTTCTTTTGTTTCTGTGCGTTGAATTAATTTCGCGTTTTCTTGTGCGACATCATATCTTCTAATGTTTTCTGATAGGTCTAGAGGCAGAAAAAAATCCTCAAAGAGTTATGTTGAATAAATGCGAACAAGGAAGTTTCAGACGTAGAAATATAAATAATGAATCACTCGAGGCTAGGCATGATTCTCATTTTTCATGGCTTATTCGATAAAAAAATTGTTTGAAGCTATTCTATTAGCGAAAAAAATTTGAAAAATAGGGGATATTTTGAAAAATTTAGTCTTTTATCAAACAATCTGATTTATATGAAGTATTTGTCGTACTTCTTATTTTTTTATTTTCTTTTTTTCCGATAAGAATTTTTTTCTAAAAAAATTTTTTTACGCTTGCATTGTATGCAACTTAATCAATTGTAGTTATAATATTTTTATCATGGAATCTTTTTTTATTTATGTTGAGTTTTTTTCTAGCAAATTCCTACATAATAATTGTTAATCTCGTACATTTCAAAAAAATACTGATTATTTTAAAAGAAAAATAGATTTATTTATGTGAAGTATGATATTCAGAGCTTATTTTGACGTGAACTTCATTGACTAAAGAAGTGCATAACAAATCTAGGAACTTCCAATCTCCATTAAAAAAAATCAAAGGGTTCGCAGGTTGAATGTTACATTTCTTTGTTCCACCGATCTTTCGCGATTCATTTTCTCATCAATGTGATCTCTAATGAAGATGTTTATAGGGTTATGGTTCGATAAGTAAGGAAAAAAAGAGTTTGTTAGAAATGCTGCTTTTAAGAATGGAGAAACGTGATTCTTCAGAACGCGATAGGTGCATTTTTGATAGAGCATGTGTCCGTTTTGTGGCCGTCCAATATGTTGGTGAAAAGCTTTACTTGACAATTTGAATAATTATGAGGAGTTTCACGCGCAGTGTGTTGGTTCGAAATGCGTTCTGAGGCTCCTGTGGTTTTTCTCATTCCTGCGCGCAACGTGGTTTGAGGAAAATGTTGTTTGTGCCGAGCGCGCTTTCCATGTACCGTGTAGTTGAAAGTGACGAAACAAAAAAAGAAAACTGGAAAAGGATTCAACTTTAGGCGGGTGTCGACTGCTGTGCGGCCTCGTCAGGCAATTCTATCTGGCCTTTCGCATTGGGCTCCTGCCGCGATGACGAACGCCCGCGGAAGTAATTCAGCCGCTTCTGCAAGCACCACCAACTCGCAAGGAGTCCTCATGGTTGGACCCAACTTCAAGGTGGGTAGCTTCGAACTGACGAAATATCTGCTCCTAATTGGGTCCTTAGATTTGAAAAAGGTGCAACATAGAGCTTGAACTAGAGGATTTGTAAGCTAAGAAGTTCCGCAAAAACGTTTATCTGAAAGTTCGTATCATATTAAATATATATGTTGCCCTTCTTTGATCTTTCTCAATTTCAAATATAAGTTCTCTCCGAAATTTCTTTTTTTAAGGTTGGAAAGAAAATCGGATGCGGAAACTTTGGAGAATTACGATTGGGTAAAAACCTTTACAACAATGAACATGTGGCGATTAAACTGGAACCCATGAAAAGCAAAGCCCCGCAGCTTCATCTCGAATACCGATTCTACAAACTGCTGGGACAGTCCGGTATGCCGTTTTCAGCCGGTAAAACAAAACATGGCCTCATTTTCAGAAGGACTTCCTCAGGTCCACTATTTCGGTCCTTGCGGGAAGTACAATGCGCTAGTTATGGAACTTCTCGGCCACTCTTTAGAAGATCTTTTCGATTTGTGTGATCGTCATTTTTCCTTGAAGACGGTCGCTATGGTCGCCATGCAACTGGTACCGCTCTTATTCGTCGCTGATTCAATCTTTCCCATTGCAGATACGCCGGATAGAATACGTGCACACTAAGCATTTGATATATCGCGACGTTAAGCCGGAGAATTTTCTTATTGGTCGATACTCGACGCGGAAGCAGCACGTCCTGCACATTATCGACTTTGGATTAGCAAAAGAGTATATAGATTGTGATACGGGTGAGTGTAAATCTTAATCTGTTTGATCCCCAATTCGGAGTTGAAAGGAAATATTTCTTTTCCTTCAAAAGGTTTTAAGCTTGATTCGTTTTCGATTTCTGATCAAAAAATCAATTATTGGCCTTTTCTTGACTTTGACTAGGCTTTGAGCTTTATTATTACGTGAAAAAAGGAAAATGAAGCTTTTAAGCTGTGTCTCATTAGAAAAAGATTTAGCTTCAGTTTTTGTTTTATTAAAAACTTGCATTAAAACACCGCAATTTCGGGAAGTGTTGTCATAGAAGGATTCATTAGAGATGATGTAATAATAAGCAGTTTGTAAGGTTTTTAGAGCATAAATAAGCATAAAAGTTCCGAAGCGAAAACCCGTTTTTGTGTTATTTTCTATCATGCAAGCCTTGTTCGCTTTTCAACACTTTAATGGAATTTTTCAACAGAATATTCATGGGGAAAATAATTTTAATACAAGCGTAAAAGTGAAAATAAAAGATTTGAAAAAACAAAGGTTTGCAGGAAAACACATTGCGTACCGGGAACACAAGTCGCTGACGGGTACTGCACGATATATGTCGATAAACACGCATTTGGGGAAAGAACAATCGAGAAGAGACGATTTGGAAGCCCTCGGCCACATGTTCATGTATTTCTTACGCGGAAGCCTACCTTGGCAAGGACTTAAGGTTTCGCTAAAAAATTCGCTCTTTTTTCGAACATTGGGACTTTAGGCCGAAAACCTGAAAGAACGATATCAGAAAATCGGCGATACGAAACGCCAGACGGCAGTCGAAGTCCTTTGCGAGGGATTCCCCGGTAAACTTTTTTATTCATTTTTGGCAGCAACTTGAGCATTTTCTCAAGATGAACGATCCTACATGTCTAGAAACGGCATGCTTTTTGTACTAATCTTAGGACGGTTCCTGTACGTTTCGATCTGAGCTTTTAAAAAGAGATATCATCCAATTTACGTTCATTTCTGTGTCGACTTCCATTCAATTTTTTTTTCAGTTTTTGAATCAATAAACATTCGTTTTTGAGCTTTTCTAATACTAATAGTTTAGTTGCCGTTATTTAACAGATAAAATGATTAAAAAACAAGTGATCAAGGGAGGGGTAGGCAGAGGAATAACAATACACGGGAAAGAGTCAACCCCAACGAGTTGGTACCCGGAAATATGAAAAATTCATAAGAGACTAGAGGGGATGTTATCATGAAAAGCTTTAAAAGGAAGAGCATTCAATTTATTTCGAAGAGTTTCTGGAGTAACGTTAAAATCTATATAAGAAGTTAGTTTATTCCAAAGAGGAATATTTCTAGTAAAAAAGTCATTAAAAAAGGTTCTGCTAGTTCTGTGAAACTTTTTCCTCGTGCTTTTGCTCTGAAGTTTTTTTGATGCGATGGAGAAAGTCGATTCAAGCATTTACTCGTGATTTATCAGTTTAAAAGATTAATAACTCATTATTTTCACAAAGACGTTCAAAAATTGAAATTTTTCGCTGACCATTAAGATTTTTGCTGACTCGTAAACGGTCTGAAAAATGAACTTAATGAAAATAACTGTTTATTTTACTTTGGAGACCTCCGTAATTATTTAAACTTTTTTTGAGAATGGGAATGCCTCTTATGATAAATTACTCTGAAAAATATTCACAACTATTCTTTCCTTTGCCATCCATTGTTTTTTTAATTTTTTTTAAAATTTCATCGATTGATAGTTGGAATTTCAGATGAATTCTCCCAGTATTTGCGCTACGCCCGCCGGCTTGACTTTTTCGAAACTCCTGACTACGATTACTGTTATAATCTGTTCAAAGCGGTCCTCGAACGCCTAGGTGCCACCTACGACTACGAGTTCGACTGGACGCCCAAACTCAACAACGTGGTTCGTTGTTTTTCCTCGAATGCTTACAAATCTTGTTCTCAGAGTACGCCATCCGGTTCCCTCCACACTTCAGAATCGAAAGACGTTAAGAGAGGTCCTTTGTTTTTCAGTTTTTCGTTTCTTTTATCCAAAAGTTTAGTAAAAGTCTAATTAGAAAACTACTCGGGCTCGGGGACGAGTAGCTAGTTGAAACTGTGGTGGCGTGTAGATCTAGGTAAGAGCTCTTGGAAAAAAGGGAGGCTAGTAGCTAAACCCCAAAAGCTTCTGAGAAAAAACTTCCTAGAAAAGTGCTGAACTTTCTTTTCTCAAAGAGGTGTCATTCTCCTTACCGAGTTTTTTTTTGCCTAGGTTTGATTCCTGTCGGGTGCATATTTTTTGCATTTTCCTCAAACACAAGCAAAGTCCAAACTACCTCAAAAGATCCTTAAAAAGAAGAGCCTAAAGCTCCTTTTTGAGTTTCCTAAAGGTGTCAAAAGTTTCTCGGAATATCCTTTTTTCTATCTTTTCTCCTTTTGCGTTCATATTTTACCCCTCCTTGGTCCTTTTCAAAAAAAAAAAAGCCGCCTTTTTTCCGACAGTCCTTTGAGACCTTCGGACTTCGCTCGTGAAAACGAAAATTTATGTAACAGTACTAAATTTGATAATATTCGAAAGGTTTTTTTTTTAATTTCACGAGATTCAGAAAAACTATAAGCTGGAAGACATCGTAGTTATATTGAATCTCTTTTTTTCACTTTTTTTTTGTTTTGAGAAAAAAATGTGTCACAAGAAAAGCGTTTTCATCAATTTTAAGGCTTGTAAAAAGTTTCGCTTTCACGAAAAATTCTAAATTGGTTTGCACTCGATAACCTACCCACTTCGGGGAGAGATGAAGGTCCAGGATCCTTTCTCGATTTGTTTGGGGAGCTTTTTCTCGGAAGCCTCTGGATATCACCATAAGAGGATCTTTCTTGTTTTCTGGTACTGTTTGCCTAGGTCTATAACATTAATTTGCGCCACTGAAATGAAAAAAAAACAGACGAGAAAGCCACAAGCGCTTCTTGTCTAACTGGAATTCTTTTTAATTCAGAAAACTTGTTTCTCCTAACTTCTAACTTCTAATGATTTGTTAAACCGAAAATCCTCTCCTTATGGTGGAATTTTTTTTCTACCAGTTCACTGAACTTTAATTTGTTATGAATAAGGAAAAACATCAAAGAGAATATTGAAAAACACATTTTCATACAATTTTTTTCTGAGTTCTCACCTAGTTTTCACTCGAAACTCTTTGTTTCCCAAAAATTGGAAAAAAGCTTTCTTGCAGATCGAGGCGAACTAAAAGTGAATCAGGCGACGGCTAATACCCAGTTTGGATCAACTCAGGTTGGTAAAATTTTTTTCACTTAGTTTTTTTTTTTCATATTTTTTGAATCGAAATTTTTTTCATTCAGTATTTCTCGCGCTCTCTGATTTGTTGTTTTTCTTGTTTCTCTGACCTTGTTGGGGAGGAAATGACGTTAATTACTTCTTTTTCGAGTAAAATGTTCTTCATTAGCTATAGGCGAATTAATTGTGGTTTTTAGTAGAACCTTGTAGATGACTTGTTAAAAAGGAGAATTACTTGACAGTTTTTTTATCAAAACCTATCTGCGTTTAAAAAAAGGTCCTAGGGTCTTTCTAAAAATAAAAAAATATTACTGCAAATAGGCTTTTTTTCCTCAATAGTTTTTTTTTTTTTCAAACACCCTATTAGGAATTTGCGAGCATATTATAAGTATGAATTACGAAGGTTAGTGATATGATTTTTTCTATAAATCTATTTCAATAAATTTATCGTGTGCGACGCTTTTGCTATGAAAAAAATTAGCTCAAGAAATACGAAAAAAATTGTCTAATTTACGAGGTTTATAATAAATTAAAGATCCTGTCCAAAGTTTTTGCTGCAGAATTTTCTAGAAGAGAATACTCAAGAAATTATCTAAGCGTCATAGACAACTAGTCAAAAAAATATTTCTCACAGCAATCCGATTTTCCAGTAAATATATTGTCAATTTGTGAAAATCGATAGAAAGACTCTTTTTTTCTTTTGCCTATTGAGCCCCGCTGTTTTTTTCGTACATCCATCCAGAATTTTCTCCCACAAAAGCTTTGACCTGATCAGCGACGTCTTTTTCAAATTTTTTTTTGTGAGGAACGAAAAATTAATCCGGTTAGTTGAAATATAAATGCTTGCACTTTTTCAGTTAAATTCATTTATTCTCGCTTACAGAATATCTGTGGCGACCAAATGACAGTATTGGGGCCACATTGTTAACATTTACCTTCCGTTCGTATATTACATCTCGGCGGCCTCAAAAAATGAGTTGCCCATGTATGGTATAAATACAGTAAAAGAAAAAATCTCAAATGGATTATTATGAAACCGCGATCGAAAACTCTGTTTTTGAGGTGATCAACTCCAACACGGGCGACGGCGTGGAGGAGAGTGGCGGACGAGCGGCCGACCGCAACGTCGCCGACAATCAAAGCGGCGAAGTCAAGTGTTGCTGCTTCCGACGCCGGCGGAGAAAGCACAACAACATCGCGCAGAACGCCGCGCAGAAGTAGTCTTCGCTGTCGAATCCGTTTTATGTATTTACTTCTTCCCATCCTTGCTCACTTGAAGTATAGACCCGCCCTACCAGTGTGCTATGACAACGGCCTTAACGCGTTAAACACAATCTTTTTGTCTTCAAAATTATGTATTTCGTAATTTGATCCATAATTTTTCTTCTTTTTTCAAGTTTTTAGCTTTGATTTTCTTGTTGTCGTATTATTACATCATTTCTATTGTGTTTAGTTGAGAATTAGCCTTTTCCGAAACCGTTGATTCTGTTGTTTTGGTTGAATATTTTAAACAAGAAATAGTAGTTAGATCCGGGTAAAATCTTTGAACATGCTCTTACATGTTTTTCTTTAGTACATCCGGCTTGGAAAAATAACTTTACAAAAAGTTTCAAAAAGGATTTTAAATCTTTCAGTAAATAGATATATATGTATGACCACAGTTGGCTTTTTGTGACTTCTGAGCCTATATTCAATATCAAAAAAAGAAAAAGAAAAAACTAATCCTTCCCTACATCTTTTCCCTCCTTTTTTGTGATTTTGCTTGCTCAGTTCTGTTATTCAATTCTAGCTTCTTAGTGCAAACTCCTTCTAAAAGTTCTAAACCTCAAGTTTAAAACTGTTTCAAATTTGAAAATGACGATTATATTATGTTATTGTTTTTTCTTTTCTTTGAACTGGAACAAATCCACTCGCAACGCCTCCCCGTTTTAAAACAAACCTCTTCTACACTTGATTCCCTTCGAAATAATATTTTGAATTTCATATTTTTCATGGCGTGGTGAGAAAAAATTGTGATTTCGCCTCGTCTTTTATACGAGCAGTGTATGTGTAATGCAACTTTTCCATAATTCCCATTTATTTGCTTCTGTGAATTTTTCCTTTCTGTTGCAATGCGTGGAAATGAAAATTGAGCTGACAAAAAAACAAGTTGATATTTTTTCCATTCAGAGGGGTATGACCGAGATCGTCCATTAGTATTTTGGGCTATCAGCTCAAGAAGAGGCGGATTTCAGTTCATATAAAAAATTTCTGAGATTCCGAGAAATTTTCCGTTTCAAACGCTATAAGCCATTCCGCGCCAGCTTGTCGCGATTTTTGTTTCCCTCCGAGCTAGATAATCATTCCGTTCGAAGTGCGCGGGGTGTTTTTCTGCCTGCGCCTTTAATTTGGCTTGAAAATTCGATCATATTAAAGGCGCAGGGAGAGATAATATCGCGCGCATCGAAGAGAATGGTTCTGTAGCTTAGAGAAAAACGAAAATTTCGAAAACGCAGAATGGACTATGAATAATGGAGCTTAAGGACATGGCACACTCTTCAACGATAAAAGCACTCAACCCGATAGACATCAAACTGCCAGATCACATAGTCAAAGTCTTTTTTCCCCATCCAATATTCTTAATTTTCGGCAAATCTTCAGGGCGCCGCTTTAGTCGATCCGAGTTTATCCGAATGGAATCCGGAGATTATGCTCCCCTTCCAACGGGGCTCAACATTTTTGATGATAAACAAGGAGGTTGCCTAAATCAACTAGAGCTGAGAAAAAACTGAACTGCTTGAGACGGAAGACGTGACGAACTTGACAGAGCGAGTCGCGCACCAGCTGGGGCTTCCGGAAGGCAACGTCTACGGACTTCTTCTGGAGAGCCCGCGGCAATTTCTGACGGCGTCCAACATGAACAGCCTGTCGAACGGCTTCTTCCTCATCGTGACCGTGTCGCAGGTGAGACAGTGTCGAGAGAACTTTCCAAAAAGGGCTCTTGAAAAGCCTTCGAATGGTTCTCAAAGTCGTTGCGACTTCTTTCTTGGGATGGATGCAAAAAAAAAACGCTGAAATAAGATACCGATAAAAGGATATAGCCCATTCCGCACCGGTTTGTCACGCTTTTCGTTCTCCTCTGCGCCACAGAACCCTTCCCTTCGATGCGCGCGATGTTATATCTGCCTGCGCCTTTAATATAACGACCAAATGAAAGACGCAGGCTGAGAAAAACCCCGCGCGCTTCGAACGGAATGATTTTCTCGGAGAAAACAAAAGTCGTGACAAGCTGGCGCGGAATGACCTATACAAGAAAGAAAACTGCACAGGAGAATTTTCCGCCTTTTTGAAAACCTTTTAAAGATTTTTGAAGTTTAAAAAAACACTCCATTAAAAGCAGAAGATAAAAATGAATGAAGCATTTCTTAGAGTGTCCCCTTTACTTCCCGTAAAAATCGAGTAAAATTTAATGTTTTCTAAGAACCTTGAAGAGGGCTAAAAAAAGAGATTCAAAAAAAGTAATAATAAAATTTTGTGGAGCGATGAAAAAAATTTTTGCTTCATGCTCCGTGATCAAATAAGATTACCACACTTGATAAACCGCTTCCCGTTATTTTTTTATTCTTCATTAAAGGAAGCTCTGAGAATATTTGAAACTATGATTAGAACTTTTTCAAGCTTAGGATTACCTTTTCAAGCTGCGGATCTAGAATTCAATCAACTATTTGTTTGAAGATCGAGTTGAAATTTGGAGAGATCATCTAAAAAAAAATAACCTCTTTTTGATCGAACAAGTATCCACGCAACTTCTGCGAATGGAAGTTCGAAGCTGACTCTTCTGGATTCAGGGGGTCTTAAAGTACACTTCAGCGAAGTTTCTTCGAAAGTTCAACCGGGGGTAAAAAACGTTCCCTAGTGAGCTTTTCCAAATTGTATCTCATTAATGATTCCCTAATGACTCTCGAGTTCATATAGATCCCTTCAGAGTGAGTTTCTCTCGCGCATCAATGACGCTCTTTCCCTCGACGACCTCAGCAAAGTGGAATGGGCCGCCGCCAAATTCTCCGAATTTCCTATGGTCGGTTCCTAAAAAAAAACAGGAATTCGAGCGATTTTAAGCTCGGCCATCTGACTTTCTAAATGTCTTTATTCTCGTACTTTGATTTAATCCAGCTTGGGTAATGAAACTGCACAAATCGCTGTATTCTTCAGAGTCCATCGTTGGCACAGCAGCTGGACAACGTTCCAATCATCGAGACCGTCTTCAGTTGCCTGCAAAAAGAGGCGGCACTCGCGTAGGACCTCTTCAGTATCAGCAGACTTTCAAGGAGTTTCAGTAGCGCGACGGCGACAACGCGTTGTCTGGAAGCCGTGGGCTCTCTCCTCGACCTGCGACAACAGCATTCGGGTTGGAGGCCGATCCGCGAAGACGCCGTCTCCACCGTCGCTTCCTTCGTCACAGGTCGGAGTCCCCTCGACCTCTTCTTCTAGCGACTTCAGGCCGATCCAAACGCGAAGACACCAACATTGTCATTGCTGCTCTGCAGCTCCTCGAGCAGTTCATCAACTACAACAAGTATTCTGAATTGGTTTATTAAGATTTCCCATTTCTCGTAGTGGTCCACTGAACGAATTCGTTCTCAAAGAAGTTGCTCTCGAGTCGTTGGTCAGACATTTGGAAAAATCGGACGAAAGAGTTGCGGTCGCTTCGCTTTCCTTGATGAACGCCCTGCTCAGAATAAGCAGCGAGGAGCGCCGCGCCGAAGCCTTGGAGGTTCGAAAAGAAGCATCGATATTCTGAATCAGCCTTCAGAATCTTCAAAATGTTCCTTTTCGGAGCGTCGTCAAGCGAATGTTGTGTCGTGAAGGAAAAGCCCGGAATCTTGCCATGATAGAACAGCTCGTTGAATTGCACAAGATGAAAACTAGATATATTGACACCTCGCCGGCTTCGGAGGCGGAAATTCAAAGAATCGTGGTGAGCAAATTCATAGGCAAAGTCGGAAATGGGCGAAAGAGGCTTCATAGAAATCTTCCTTTTAGGGTGAAAAAGACTCCCTTTTTCTTGCGCACTTGCGCCATTTTTTCGGCTCTTACGCACCATTTTTTCTGCCTCTCCCTTTTTCACCATTCTTGGGCTTTTGAAATTCTAGAAAAAATGAAAGGCTCGATGAAGGAACCTTTTTGCTGCCGTTCTGCGACCTTTTTCGAGTTTTTCTCTTTTAGCGGCCATTATCCACCATTCCGACTTTGCCCGAGTTGAAACGTAACAAAAATCCACGGTCCGGGAAAAGTTTTGCAAGCTCAGTCAATTCACTTGCAGATCTTTGACCTCAATCATTTTCCAATGAACCGGAAAAATTTGTAGGAGAACGAGATAATAAAGACGAGTGCCGGACAAGAAAGTGCGGAGGGATCCGAAAAAGCTCTGAGAGAAAACAAATGCGGACGTCTGGCTACCTCAACCATCCTGCAACTCATTGAAAGCAACTCGCAAGACCTCAAACTAGTTTCTCGGCTCTTTTCTGACATTCCAATAATCCCTATTGTCTAGCTCATTTTCGAGAACTTGATGAGGCCTGAAGGCGGTAAATGGAGTCTCATACCGATGTGCATCATCTGTAACTACATCGTCGCCGAACTGTTCGGCATCCTCCCAGGTTTTTTTGGGATCTGTTTTTGAGCACGTATGCAAGTTCAGGGGATGAGGTCATCGAAAAGATGATCGAGCTGATTTTCTCCGAAGAAAACAACTACCAGGAAGTTTTCACGGCCACTGTGTATCTATTCCATCGGACATGGCGAGAAATGGTCGCCTCGGAAGTTGAACTGGAGAAGGTGTTCAAATCTTCTTTTTTTTTATTCATAAAGTGCATTTTTTTCAATCTTAGAGAGTTTTTAGTATCATCCTTCTTTCAGTGTCATTGAAAAACGGAGCTCATGGCTTTCAAAATGTGTTGTTCATCTACTTGTTCTTCTACAGTTCAAGACTCCAACTGTTTCAGGTTCAAAACATAGTCCGCGAGCAAATGCAGAGAGCAATGCTCAACGGACCTTCAAGTATCCAGGAGCTGAACGCGGAGCTGGAGAAGCTCTCGTATTGGAAGATGCAGGAGATTTGGGAGAAGGAGGAGCAAGAGAAGGAGAACAATCAGATGATGACTGGGAGCATGGTGTAGGAGCTTAAAGCAGTCTCTCTTCTCAAAAAAAAGCTTTTCAGGGCTCTCCGTAGCAAGCTGCAGCCGGTGATCGAGGATTTGGTTCGAACCAAGTTCCGATATTACCTGAAAAGCGGCTACAAGTTCAGCAAGACTTTCAAAGGGAAATCTTCGAACAAAGGTAGTACTGTGGTCATTTTCGTGAGAGTTCTTAGAGAGATTTTTTGGGAGTTTCAAAAATATAATCGACGTCTTCCAAAGTTTACATGGAACTAACAGTTCAAAATATCTGTTTTGGATGGTTCTAAAAAAATATTTCGGTAAAAGAAAATCTGGAAACAGATAACTGGGAAACGTTTTTCGCCCCCCTCATACGTCGGCTGCATTCTTCCTCGGGGTGTGGCCTACCCCCCTCAAACTGCGGCCTACTCCTCGAAAAGAGCATCTTAGGAACGTTTTGGCTCTGGAAGCTGGACAACACGGAGAAGTTTTTCACGCTAACGACCTGTGACGAAGATACGATGATCGCGGCGGCGACCGCTGAGAACGACTCTCGACAAGGTTTAATTGCCCCAGCAGAACCCGGGACTTGTTTCTCGTAGTGTGGCTCAGAGACGTGGTCAAAGTGAGTGGCGGCGAGGAACTGGAGAGATCGAACAAGCCCTCGTCGACGCCCTCCAGGTCGCTCACTCAGAACCTCGTGCGGGTGCACCTCAACGACGGTGAGGTCCTCGCCGCTTCGACATTCGACGAACGCGTCGCTGCCATATGGATCGAGGGCCTGACCCAGCTCATCGACAAAAACAAAATGAGGTGGCCAGTTGAAAAAAATATCCTCTATTTTTGACAACTCTTCTTAACTGGGCTCATCAGGGAAGTGGGGGAGGTGAACATGCAGATCTGGTCTGAAACCACGACTTGGAATTTCACCGGACGAAGATCCGCTGTGCCGCTGCGCGCCTTTGCGAATCTTGGTCGCGCACAGACTATAAATAGTCCTAGCTATGAGTGCTAGAAAACAAAAAGAAATATCTGCTAAGCGCCATAGGGTAATGAGAAATAGCTTGTTGAAAATTTACGGGAAACTGATTTCCTTCGGTTTTGTTGTTCTAGTGTTTTTCACTATAACATAAATAACACGTGAAAGAAACTTTTTTCAAAAAAAAAAACCCGGAGAGACTTCGTTTTTGGGCTTTTCCTGTACATTTCCGACAGGCTCTTTCTCAGTACCCTATGGCGTTTAGCAAATAATTCTTCTTGCTTTCGAATACTCACACCTAGGAATACCTACCAAAGAAGTATGAACAATATCTGCGATGGTCACCTCACACACTTTCCTTGTGAGACCTCTCTTATAGTTGATTCACGGCTGGCTTGAGCCATCGAAAAAGGGGTCCTGACACGATAATAAAAGAGACAGTGCCTGTCTGGAGGAGAGCGCAGACAGACCACGCCCTTTTTGAGTTCCAAGCTATCCGTGAATCGGCTGTAAACACAAAATGATCGAATAAGATTTTAGGAAAAAATTATTTGTATATTTTCTACAATCAAAAAAGGAATTCCAGCAAAGACGCGATGAATCGAGTAGACCAATTACTCAACATGGAGATTCGGGTCCGGATGCTCGGCATTTCAAGGCAAAGTGATCAACCTCCGCCAGTTCCTCCCCTCCCAATTAATCTCAAGAAACTCATAATGAATGATTAAAAAACTTCCGGAAATTTTTATGGGTTATGCGATTATGAAAACAAAAATCCACTGTTACGGTTAGCAAACGCGTGGTTGCCACAGTGTACTCTGTCGCCACATTGTTATTTATTTTTGTCGTTGACAGGCTATTTCACTTCCTTCTTGTAATTGATTCCTTTCGTGTGATTCCCTTGTTTGGCTTGAAAATGTTTTATCGAGTTCATGTAGATAAATTTCATGCAGAAATGTCAACAGATATGTTTGCTTTGAAACGTCAATTGCGGGAAAAGATGGCGGGACTTCTAGCTCGAATCCCAGAAGAAGAGGTGGTGTCACAGAGCTCTTCAGTGTGCGAAAAAGTGGGCTTATAGAATATAGTTTCTTAATTATGTTTCAAGGTTTTTGCTGCTGATTGGTATAAGAACAGCAAACGGATATCCGTGTACGTCAATACTTCTGGCGAGGTGATGACCGATCGGATCGTCCTGAACGCTCTCGAGTCCGGCAAGGAAGTCTTCATCCCACAGGTGGCTGATTCAAATTTTCTTCTTCGATCAAAACGTTTGAAAACATCCTCAGCCAATCAGCAGATGGATTCTATAGTTCGTGAGTTGAAACTATCGCAAAGATTTTAATTCCTTTAATCGTCAAAATTTTTCCCTATCACCTTTGAATCAAAGTTTACAGTTCAAAAAAGGGAATCCTGAGATGAAAATGATGAAGCTGAGTAGCCGCGAACAGTTTGAAGCTCTTGACAAAACGTTGTGGAACATTCGGCAGCCGGCGCAAGACGCTGACTGGCCGCTCTACGAAAATTCTGGTAGGTCTTTTCTCATTTCCTCGCATCGAAATGAATTCAGGACCGCTAGATTTAGTTCTCCTTCCTGGTGTCGCCTTTTCGCGTAAAATGCACCGTCTTGGACATGGAAAGGTCTCTTTTTGTGGCTAAATTATCCTTGTTTTTCTACGGCTTAAAATTTTCTTGCACCTCAGTCAACTCTCTTATATAAAATAGCTTGATGAGAGATTTTTACAGGGTTTCTACGATAAAATGTTGCACAACCACGAGAATCAGTTCGGGAAGATGCCTGAACGCGTTGCCCTGGCTCTCACGCAGCAAGTCATCGATGATGTTCCTATCACGGATAACGACGTTCTTCTTACTCATATCGTAACCGCCTGATACTTTTTCGTTTCTTCATTGATTTCGATCACGATGAGGTGGTATGAAATTTCGCTGGCTTTTTTTCGTATTCTCCAAGCTATCTTTACCTTATAATTGTAATAAAATTCAAAATTGAACTGTTGTAATGATCAGAAAATCAGACTTCGATGCATAGAAAGTTTCTTTCCAAAGAGTGTTGAAATTAATATTCGTCTAATAAAACTTCCTAAATACGCAACATGGTCTGTAGCAGTGTAATTAAATCATGTGAACGCTAAAAATTTGGCTATCCCAGTTAAAACTTTACAGACCCCAGCTAGGCAGAGTTAAGAAACAAATTTTCTTGTTAAATATGTTTGTAATTTAGCGAGAAGTTTGAAATGAGCTTTTTTTCCTTTTCGAGAACCGAGCAAACATATGAGCTGCGTGGGTGTAGAGAAAAAGGGAGGGGGGAGGTTATTGATCGCAGCCAAAGGGGAGTAAGGACGTCGAGTCCACCTTCACTAACCCACTCTTCGCAGTCCCTAAAGGAAACCGTCTCCATGTCTCAGGATATGTTCGTCGATCATTGGAACCCCGGCGGCAGGTGATCTCAGCTCAAAAATATTAAATTTCGGTTTTTACAATTCAGTTGTCTTTCTTTCACTTTCTTCCATAAGAATTTCAATAAGTCCAATTTGATTTTTGATTTGGATAATCATTGAAATTTGAAGAAAAGAGGACAGAGGCTGAAAAATGTTACTCTATCTGAAATGTTCAGGTTTTTTGATTGAAATAGTAGGCTGAGAAAAACGAGTTGAAGAAAAAAACTTTTAAAACTAAAAAAATAAGGCTTGTAAAAAAATAAGTCTTATCTTACTTTCTATCATTCGAAGTATTTTTCATGTTTCTTTTTATCATTCTTTTTGGAACAAAAATAAATCAACGAAAATTATGTTTGATTGAAATTTATTTAAGAAGTGTATAAAACAAAAATTTTTCGTTGATAAGTGGTGATTAAAACAGTCAAGAACTATTTATTGAAAGCGGAGTTCTTCTTCAGGCCAGTAATCCATTTTGAATAAAACTGTAAAGTGAAGTACATTTGTCTCTGAAAAAAAAAATACTTTCAGCATGGACGATGACGAACTCGGAGTTTCCTCTGGAAAATATGCAAGGCTGGACGGCGAGGAGATGGGCGAGAACAAGGAACGTTTCGCCCGTGAAAACCACAGCGAAGTGACTTTTTTTTCCTCTATTATAGTGTTAAAATCAGACGTTTATGATGCTCTATGTCGATCGAATCATACCGAATTTTTTTTTCTTTTTTTTTCACTGTAAAATTTTACGTTCTTTTACTAGTCTATGGTCTTCCTCAACTTGAGAATTGAGATTTTGTCGGTAAAGGAAACCCTCCAGGCGACCGAGGGACTAGCGAATCTTTCCCTGAGCTTGAAAATTGATGCGTCCCAGACTTCCGTTTTTAATTGATTACTTTTATTCATAAATCAAACATAGGCAAAGTCGGAAAGGGTGTAAAAAAAAGCACCATGGAAATGTTCCTTTTTGCGCCATTTCACCGTTTTTGTTGCCTCTCCTTTTTTCTACTATTTCTTGAGCTTCTAAAATCCCAGAAAAATTGGAAGACTTACTAAAGGGACTCTTTTTGCTGCTTTTTTTTGAGCTTTTTCCTTTTAGCGGCCATTATCCACGATTCCGACTTTGCCTGACAAGAAAGATTGAGTAGAAAAAATGGTAGAAATATTCCTTTGTAATTCAAGAGAATTAACTTGCAGATCGAAAGAAGGAGACGCAACAAAATGACCCACTACATCAACGAGTTAGCCGAGATGGTCCCGCAATGCGCGGCGCTTGGCCGTAAGCCCGACAAACTCACGATTCTGCGGATGGCTGTTTCGCATATGAAGGCTATTCGCGGCAATTCGGGCCAAGTAGAATTTTATAAAATTCTCGTATAATATTTTGTTATCAAGGACGAGCCCTCGTACAAGCCGTCGTTCCTTACCGACCAAGAACTCAAACATTTGATCCTGGAAGCTGCTAACGGCTTCTTATTTGTCGTCTGTTGCCAGACAGGACGAGTTCTTTACGTTGCCGACTCTATTCTGCCGGTGCTCAACTTAAAGCAGGTTTATTTTCGAACCGAATTTCCAGTTTTAGCCTCATAAAACAAAAAATTCAGGAAGAATGGCTACAAAGAAACTTTAATGAATTGATCCACCCCGAGGACCAAGATAAAGTAAGAGACCAGCTCTCTGGTGGCGAGGTCGCTGTGAATAAAGTCCTCGATTTGAAATCAGGTAACATCTTTCTTTCAATAACGTTTGTAAATAATGGAAGTAGGGGGTGTCAAGAGAGACGGAGTTTCTTCACGTGTGCATATGTCTTGTCGACGTGGATTTATCTGCAGAATGCGTGTCGGCGACTTAGAGCCGTTGCATCGACTTCGGAACAGGCGTCCAATTTTCAATCAAGATGGTTTTTTTCTAAAAGAAGCGTCGGAAATGAAAGAAAGGATAATTTTAGGAAACAATTACGTGGTGATGCACTGCACCGGGTATATCAAAAATACCCCTCCTTCTGGTATAGACGCTGCTGCGTCTTCTTGTCTGATAGCCATCGCTCGATTGCAAGTAAAACACCTTCAGAAGCCAGACACAAAAAATGTATAATTGCAGTTAGCCTCGATGCCTGTCTGTGCAGACCCAGCAACTAGAGACCAGTTCTCTGTCAGAGTAGCTGAGGACGGAAAAATGACATTTATCGACTCGAGAGTAACAGAATTGATAGGTCTCTCTGTTGATCAACTAATTGGGCGATACTGGTGGAGCCTGGCACATCCTAGTGATGAGAAAATGATGAACGACGCATTCTTAGCACTTATGAGGTAATCAGCAAGTTTTTTTCAAAAAAATTATTTTATTGGTATATTTTTTTGAAGGTTTTCTAGCGCAATTTGAAAAAAGAGAAGTTTTTAGGTTGTTAGATAAGCCTGCAAATGAGCTTTCTAAAAAAATTTTACTTCAAGCCGAAATAATGAACCCAGAAAAATAAAAATAAAATTTGAGTGGTAGAACTAGAATTTGTTATATTCTACAGTAGAACTACAGTACCGTAAGAAGGAATACGGAATTACGGAGTTTCGATTTCTTGTAAGGAAATCAACGGTACTGTATATAAAACAGAGAAGACCTCATGAGGAACACAATGAAAATAACCCAATCTTAAGCTTAATCAGCAGACTTTCATCTAATAACTTTTCAGAGACCAGCCTCTCCGGCTAAACTGTCGCATTCGAACCCAAACCGACTACCTTCCCTACATCATCACAGCCTATAAATTCATGAATCCGTACTCGGAGCAGTTCGAGTATGTGGTCGGCACCCATCAGGCCATGTCACCCGAAGAAGGAGCGACGTGGTCGGTCAGCTCCTCCAACAACAACAACTTCCAACCGAACGTCGAGTTCAACCCGCCGCCACAGGTAGCCGCACCCTGGAGAAGCGTCGAAACAAACGCCGACGCTTCTTCTCAATGGCAATGGGACGTCCCCTTTGAACCTCAGTGAAACATTATCCATGTATAATTGTCAATATTTATTGCTAATAATAAATTTCTTGTAAAGTGACTATTTATGTTTTTTCTGAAAAATATTCTGTTGCCGAAACCTCTGTTTTCTTCACAACTGCAATCTTTTGGGGAAGCGGCACGACGTTGCTACTTGTGGGAAGCCACGTTATTGGCGTCCAAGATCCCTAAAAATAAACTATCTTCTGAAGAATTATCGTTCGGAACAAACCTGCACCGAGGGAGTTATCGAGTTCTGCCTGCTTTCCAGCTTGACAACTGGATTTCCTCCTCGGGAAAGCATCTGGACGAAATCCTTGTGTATTTCTTTTTCGCTCATATTTTTGGCATTGTACTGGATAACTTTTCCATTTCCGTATTCTGCTCGGATTGTCGGTATTGAGTTTCTCACTGGCTGAGTGTAAATGACAACTGAGGGGTTTGATTCGCCTGAAAAGTGAGAAAGGCTTGCAGATGAAGAAGAAAAGTAATTTTTTAGGGAATTGCCTATGACCTTACACTTAAGTAAAAAAAAAAACTAGTCTGATCAGATTTTTTTTTCAAGCCCTAGCCAATATGATTTCCTCAAAGAAACTGATTGAATAAAAAGCAAAATTACCTATCCTCCACAGATGGCTTTCAACGAAATTCCTTACTCCGGTACTGCTCTCGCTCTGTTTGCAAAACCGGATAGTTATCCGGTGAACTTGTGGAATATATCGTGAAACTCCGTTGAATGCAGGAATTTTCAAATAATCAGTAAATCTCCATCCATAATTCAACGCTTTCGCAGATGTGAAGATAGGTTTTATACGGTCAACTCGTGGTAATGAAGGCATTATCTGGAAAAAAAAAACGGGATAACCTCATAAAATCTCGAAATTCATCCACGAAAATAATGTGCAAGAGACTCTGAGTGTAATAAGAGTAAAGTTTCTTTGGCAAATCAGAAAACAAAATTACTTGGGCAGCAAGAATTTTCGAAAATAAAAGAGCTATATCATTTTTGAAAAAGAGTCTAATGCGCATAAAAAAAAAGCACTCCAACACACGTTTGTAAACACATTAAAAATTAAAAAAAAAAGAGTTTTAGGAAAAAAATAGGTTCTTTTTATCCAAAAAAATATAAATTTAAAAACAAGTGGTCCGAGAACGCAAAGGTACTAGGCTGAAAAGTAGCTTAAGAGGGCTTGATTATCTTTTAGTGGGAGCTCAAATTTATACTTTGGTGCTTGGAAACCAGTCTTAAACGCGCCAAAATTCATTTTGCAAAATTTTGAAGTTCACGACCCAAGATTGGTCGTCCGATATGACGTCGGCGACGTATGAACTTTCACGCCAATCCGCATACTCTCGCAAATTTTGCATGGCGAAATAATTTGCAGAACATTTTTTTTCATGAACTTTGAGGTCTTCGTTGAAAATGGCTGCGGCGTAAGTGTGTTTCGAGAAACCAGTTTGAAATTTTTTTTTCAGGTCTCCAAATTCAGAAGATGGAAAGTTAGCTTATATTGAAAAACGTATTCTAGAAACACACGGCGTCAAGTACGATTCTACCTTCATACCGGTAATAATCTCTTATTCTATATCTGCAATATATTCAGATACGTTTTAAAAACAGCGAGATTTACACAGTACACGTGAAGCCGGAAGAAGATTTGGTTTCTCCGGAGCCCATAGTGCTCATTCAAGGGTTCGGAGCCGGCGTCGCTTGGTGGTGCGCCAATTTGCAACCATTAGCACGCAATCACACAGTCTATGCTTTTGATCTGTTAGGTTGGAGACTATCAGTTTTTTAGCTTTAAATCTTTTTTAGGCTTCGGGAGATCGTCTAGGCCGAGTTTCAGCTCGGACGCCTCCGTAGCCGAGCTGCAAATGGTGGAATCTATCGAAGACTGGAGGAAAGCGGTTGGAATCGAAAAAATGACGATTGTCGCTCATTCGTTCGGTATGTTCTGTTTAAAAAAAAACTGTTTATTGCATCTTCAATGTAAGAATACATGTGCAATCGACTTTCATTGATTATATCTGTGTGTAAACGGCGGCAGGAGCTGTGGCTTAGGCAGAGAAGTTGTGAATTTCGCTCGTAGAACATCAGGTACAAGAGAGGTCGTAGGAAGAAGTACGGTGCCGGCTTTCCAAAGGCCGATGGCAGAGATTGAGCCCTTTCGCTGCATGCAGCTCCCAATTTTATCTACCCCGGAGGGATGAAAGGCTTGGTCGACCTCGGGGGGACTCGAACTTACGACCTTGCGGACGTTAGAAATGAGTTTTACCAGCTGAGCTATGCCGCCTCGGTATGTTCATTCATCTGCAATGTCACGCATGTTCAGCGCTGTTCGGCGAGCTTACCGTTAAATTTTTTTGCGCATAATTTTTGAGATTAATTCTATCAATTTAAATGTGTAATTTAAACGTTTTCACTCAATCATAATCCTTCCCTAATTATTTTTTCCAGGTGCTTACTTGGCGTCTTCTTACGCTTTGGAGCATCCGACACGTGTCCGCCACCTCGTTTTGGTAGAACCTTGGGGATTTGCAGAAAAAGTGGAACCCACGGAAAAACAAGTTTTTTTTCCACTTGAAAATTAAAAAATATGACCCGTTTGTCTGCAGATAAAGCCTTATGATTGGATGATGTTTCTCGGAGGACTTATCTCTTATTTCAATCCGTTGGCTTCAGTGAGGCTGTTGGGCCCATACGGTATGTATTCTGGACATAGTAAAATATTCGAGATCGTTTTTTTTTGAGTATTTGAAAGGAAACTACGGATTTTTTTTTAGTTTTTTGCAAGGAAATGCTTCTTTGCATAGAGTTCATGAGAATTATCGACAAGCATGTCCCCTATATGGGGCAACTAACTATAACCTCTATCGGGACCACTTTTTAAAGCTCTAGTGGCCCCTATAAGAGTTGGTGAAGTGGTTCCTAGAGGACGCTCTCAGGTTGTCCCTATAGGGACCACTCTGGAGTTCCTAATTGAAAGACAATTTTGAACCTTTTCTAACTGCAAAAAGCTTTTTTCAAGATTTTCATTTAGCCCCATCCATAATGAGGAAAATCCGGCCGGACCTTCTCACACGGTACCCGAGTAAAAACTCGGACGATATTTACAAATACATCTACTTGACGAACAGCTCCGAGCCAACAGGAGAGTCGGCGTTCATGGCGATGTCCATTCCGAGCGGCTGGGCGAAGCGACCTATGATTCGGAGGTTTGCATGAAAATATTTGTCACAATAAACGAAAACGGATAGATTTTTCAAAGATTTTTGTAAGAATAGATTCTTATTCCTAGTGTTTTTTTTTTCAATAAGGAAGCTGCAAATATCACAAAATGATTCAACTCGTTTATAGATTACTTTTCTTTTTGATTTTCTTCGATTTCGACCTAAAATATTTTTAGATTAAAGTGGAACTTGATCGAAGTGGAGGCAAATATAACTTTCATGGTTCTCTTCCTCCACGCCACAGATCTGTCTGTGAGCGAAATAAACATTTCAAGTAGGGAACATGAACGGAAAGTCGCAATGCCTTGTGGTTTTCTTTTAAAAAAAGATAAACGGGTAGATTTATTTCTATTTTTTTGGAACTTTTAATGATGAAGTTTTGTTCCCAAGCTTGGGTTTCTAAATTCGGACGGAGGCTCGAAAAAGGAACTTTTTTGCTGCTTTTCTGCGACCTTTTTTGAGACTCCTCTTTAGAGACCATTATCCACCATTCCGACGAGTTGGGCTGTAGATTTTTCTCCTTTTTTTTTTAGTCGTAATGTCAAATTCGGGGACTGGATTTCTAAACGTAGAAGTTGAAAAAAAAGTTTCGACGCTGTAAAAATTGCAGGTTCAACGGGATCGATCCGACAGTCGACGTGACTTTTGTGTACGGGAGCAAGAGCTTCGTGGAGCCAGGCCCAGCTTTCGACATCCAGTCTCAAAGAAACGGATATGTTGACATTCAGGTGATTTTCCTCCTGAACTTGTTCTCCTCAACCCTGAAGCTTCAGATGATCCGTTGCGGCGGTCATCACGTTTATGCCGATGAAGCTGCAGAGTTCAACAAAGTTGTTCTCGAAGTTATCGACGGCAATCGATGCAATGATACGGATAGTAGTGACACTTATTGCGCCTAGTATTTTCTTTCTACAGGAACATCTCATGATCCTTGATATTCTTGTTGATTTTTATATTTTAACTGTGTAAATAAATTTCTTAACGTGTACTTTATGTTGCTCAAAGATTAATAAAAGTTTAATGAAAGTTACAAGATTTTTCGCAGCGAAGTTGAAATCTTCCATTTATTTGAAGATCGCACCTCGTTTTTTTGTTCTGCCTTTTGTCTTTTTTTTTACCTATTTCTCGAAATTCTTAGTTCGAGTTAATTTCATAGGCAAAGTTGGAAAAGGTCAAAAAAGGTTCCAAAGAAACTTTCCTTCTAGGGTGAAAAAGGTTCCTTTTTTGCTACCTTTTTGCACCATTTCATCGGCTCATATGCACCATTTTTGCTGCCTCTCCTTTTTTTCCACCATTTCTTGAGCCTTTAAAGTTTCAGAAAAAATGGGAGGCTCGATAAAGGGACTCTCTTTTCTGCCTTTCTGTAGCTTTTTTTTGAGTCTCTCCCTTTAAGCGGTCATTATCCACCATTCCGACTTTGCCCTAGTTCAAAGTTTTTGGAAACATATCCAAATAAGTTATTTTTTTGTTTCAATATTGAATTTTTTTGAATTTTTATATTTTGATACAAAAAGCTGACTTTTCGAAGAGTGGAAAATCTTGTTTCTGATTATTTTCTCAGATCCATTGTTGTTGCAGATTAGAAGGCTCTCATGCCGGATGATGGTGCAGTCAACACCATCAACAAGAAGTTGTCAAGTGTGAGTATCAAGATTTCTGACAAAGGAGCTTCTAAAAATTGCTTAAGCTATGCGGAAGTATACCCAGAAGCACGCTGATCCCAACTCAGAAAAATTTTTTTCTAATTTTTTTCTTGTTTTTTTTTTTCGAGTTATAACCGCTAGAAAGGTGAAGTTCCCATATACCGAATTTCACTCATCAATCTAGCTGATTCACGGCTAGCTTATGATGCAAAGAGGCGTGGCCTGTCTGCGCTCTCCACCAACCAGACACTGTCTCCTCATCGTGTCAGGATCCATTTTTCGATGGCTCAAGCTAGCCGTAAATTAGCTATATTACCGTAAAACCCCAGAAAGATCAAATTCTTAAAGGAAGCCGAATGGCTGAGCAACTTCAAGGCGAACGTGGCGAGAAGCAGACAAATCGGAGACGGAGTCGAGAATTTAGTTGAGAAATTCGAGCACCGCATTCAGTCACTCGAAAAAAATGTACTACCCATCCATGTCGTAAATGGGAAGCTTCAAAGGAAACAAAATAGTAATTTCTAATTTTTTTGTGAAAATGAATCCGTTTTTCCTCAGATATTCAAAAGTTGATCTCTACGATTGATGCTACTCTGCAATTCTATGGGAGGACAAATACGGTAGAAAACGCGATTCGGTGAGTTCTAATTTCAAGGAAAGTTTTTGAACTATTTCATGACGTATTTTCGAAGATTCCATGAAAATTGCTTTTTTGATTATTTGTTTTTATTTCGAAGATCTTATTGAATTTCCCGTGGAGCTACTTGAGCTACAAAAAACCTCAAACAGAGAAAATTATAAGTATAAAACGATTTTTTTTACAAGATTTTTTGGCTCGTTTATTCTAGGCTGTTCAGTATTTAAATTTCGTCCTTGCTCAAGCTCCGCCCCTTCATGGCGCGATAAACCCCGGAAAGCGAGCCATCCACAGAGCGTTTTCGAATGACGTCATTCTTGACGTTAAAAATCTGAACGGACTATATTTACTGGGCCTTATTTTCGAGATATTTCTCTTCTTTGACAGAGCTGAATTCTCTCAGACTCGAAGTTTATGCGATTCAAAAAAAAATATTTCGAGCTGGAGAAATTTTAATGACTTTTCAGAAACAACAATCCCCTCACGGATATGCAGTCTTACCTCGGCAACATGGAATGTTTACAACAGGCCATCAATTTTTTCGAGGCCCATCCAAACTACGCAAACCAGACAGAGAATATGGTAGTGGACCGTGGAAAAGCTTTGATAAATTTTCATTCGCAGAAAGTTACTCTGGACATCGGCTTCACCATACTGGAAAAGTCGTTCCGTTCGCTTTTGCAGAGCAACACAGTGGAGATGGACGCCGCAGCTTTCGCCAAATTTGTGTCCGAAAATGGTTAATTTTTGTGTCCTCTATGCTTCCTATAGTCTGTTCGTCGCGACTTTTTCGAGTGTCTGCGTCTCTCTGTTCCCTCACCGGGGAGGTCATAGAAACGCGAAAACAGCGCGTCAACAAGAGAGGGTCGTCGAGAGACGAGGGGGGCGCAGAGAGGTCCCGCCTTTTCAAAACACGAAAAATGGACTAAACGTTTTATGTACTGATTGTTTTCACATTACTTTCGGCACAATTTCGGACTTTGCTGAAAATCTTCTGAAAAGTACTCTGATTCTTAAAATATTTTCGTTCTCGTTTTCCGACTTTATTATGGTAAAATGGATTTTTTGCACGTTTTAGGTTTGAACTTCCGATGAAACTGTGCTTGAATGTATTTTAGGACCTACTGATTCCAGAACAAGAAAAGAGTTTCCCGCAATAGTTCTGGTTTCCGAGTTATGAAGCTTAAAAGTCCGCAAAATACCCTACCCATGCCAAAAAAGCGCTACTTCAAGCTTTTGAATCGTGTTTTGCCACTGTCCTTCGTTTAAAAAAAGTTTCATTCGATTTGGACGACGGAGAAAAAAGTTACATTTTTTTGGTATTTTCCCAACCGTTAAAAAGGGGCGGAGCCAGTAAAAATTCTGTTGGAAATTTTCGGGACTTCGTGTAGTTGTTGTGACCAAATTTTGAGCTCAGAAAAGTCAATTTGAAATTTTGGTATCAACGGTTCATCGCGTTTCTGGGGGAAGGTGTGTTAGCTCGAAAATCAGAACTATTGTGAGGTTTTATCTTCTTTTTCGGCATTCGAAAGGTTCTAAAGTACTCTTCAGCAAAGTTTGATCAAAAGTTCAACCGGAGGTTTTTCAAAAACGTTCCCTAGTCAGAATTTTCCGTAAACTTTCGAATCTAGATCCAATTAGAAAAAAATATTTTTGAAATTTCGTGTCTTTTTTCTCTTTTTTTGTTTGAATTGTCTGAATAGCTTGGTATCTTTCAATTTGTCAGGCATACTTTCCGCTGAACAACGACTCGCCGAGCTGAGAGCTGTGAATAACGAAGAGCCGATTATCAAACTGGCCACATGGTTCCTCAAGCAGAATCGAACACAGTTTTTAGGCCACTACTCTGAATACAGGTTCAACGTAAGATACTTCAGAAGGAAACGTTTTTTGTTTCAGAGGGGGATTTATGCTTAAAACCATACAATCCATCTTACAAAATTATAAGTCATTTGTCAACGGAGCCCGGGTAAAGAGGTTTTTTTTATTTCATGTTGATTTTTGTAAATCCTTGCGTTAAAGCACGAAGAAAAGTGGGACGAGAAACGAGAAGTTGGAAAAGAAAGAGAACGAGATCACAGAAGTCGAGGGCTGTCTGCTCATCTGCATCTCTCTTTTGTCTCTGTTGGAAACTGAGGAAAAGTTTCTGGTGAAGGCGATTCCGGACACCACGCGACGGGCACAGGTTGCTTCTATTTCTGTTTCTTTTGATCTCTTGGGCGAAGTCGGAATGGTGGATAATGAACGCAAAAAGGCAACGAAAAGAGGACCTTTATCGAGCCTTTTTGCGCCATTTCATCGGCTCTTATGCAGCCTTTTTGCTGCCTCTCCCTTTTTCCACCATTTTTTGAGCCTTTGAAATCCCAGAGGAAGGCTCGATGAAGGGACTCTCTTTGCTGCCTTTTTTGAGCCTCTCCCTTCATAATCCACCATTCCGACTTTGCCCGAGACGAGAAGGTTTAACGCGACGTTGAGGTGTTCCGAGAATTGGTGTCGCGTCCGCTGTCGTTTGTGATCGGACTCACGTTTCGTGTGGTACAGGAAAAAGACCCCGGAATCACTCCACTTCTCCCATTGCTCCAGTTCCTCTCGGAAAACCAGGCGCGGTTCCACAATCTGGCGACGGTGCTGCTTCAATCTCCTCTGTCATAAACCGGCCTGTGTTCAGAACAGTTCAGCAGACGTCAACTTTGAGCAAATGATGCGCGTGATGCAAGTCAAGTGCTCGTCCTACCTAACAGAAGCCGTTGTCAACCTCAACGAGGACTCGAACAAGTTCGTTCCTCCAGATGGAAACGTCCATCCCACCACGGCCACGGTGTGTCGATCCCCATGAAATCATTCCTTGGTCTGCTTTCAGACGCTGAACTTCCTGTCCAGCCTGACGGTCCATCGCGTCTCTGTCACCCATCAAGTTTTGGCGATGACTGCACCTCAAGGACATAATCCCTCCTTCCTTCTGCCCAAACTTTTCGGTTCACTACTACAATGGCCACCTATCTAAGTTTTTTTTTCAGCTCGTGTTTTGTCAGCTCTTGGAAGCATGTTGAAGAAAAAGTGCGAGTATTATGACGATCCGACATTAGCCACCATGTTTCTTCTAAATAATTACAATTATATTGCGAAAGTGAGTAGATTTTCATTTGCAGCAGTATAGTTTTTTCTCAGACTTTGGCCGACGAAGAAGATGGACTTTTGCCAGTTATTTCCGAGCAAAATACAAACATTCTCTCTTTTTATCAAACTGAAATCTCCAATTGTCTCAGACAATACATGCAAAGGTTTTTTGTCCTAGAAGTCTTGAACAAAGTTGGATATTTTCAGTTGGAGCGGAGTTATTAACTCGCTCCAGTCGGTTAATCGCATAGGGGATGACAAGAATGCAGCTCGGGACTGCATGATGGTGAGTGATTTCGAGGGTCTTTCAAACGTGTTTTCAAAACAGTTACTTTCATCTGAATTGATCAATTTTCTATCTATTAACAAGACGAGAGCAAGTAGACGCTGAGTTGTACTTTGCGAAAATCCGCCAAGATTGGATAATTTCCAACATGCTCTGGCCAAAATTGGGACATTTTTATATGCCGTCACGGGTATATTACAGTATAACCCCCACATATGGGGGTTATACTGTAATATACCCGTGACGGCATATAAAAATGTAATATACTCGAGGACTATTTCAAAGCAGTGTGGGGGGCGAATATGAAAGATTGCCCAGGAGTTACTGAATCGGCCCCCGTTTTGTACTGCGGAGGAGGCATTCTAGAATACAGATTTGTCCCCATAAGCTGGAAAGGAGGAAAAAGGCTCCTTAGAAATTTTCCTTTTAGGGTGACAAAGGAACCCTTTTTGCTGCCTTTCTGCGGCCTTTTTTGAGCCTCTCCTTTTTAGCGGCCATTCTCAACCATTCCGACTATACCCGAAAAGAAACTCAGCAATCGTTCGTAAAAGCTCAGAGCAATGTCTAATTTTGACCGCCCGTGTTTCAAATTATAATTTCCGTGTTTCCAAGCGGTATTTGCAGGCGTTTGTGAGGGAGTTCGAGCAAGTGCTTGCTCAACAAGCGGACTACTGCGTGTCCGACGTCAAGATGGCTTCGGAGATCCGTTCGAAAGTGAAGCAAAGCGTCTGGAAAGGCTACGCACCTCTTCTCGATGCCTGCCAAAAGCTGCACGCTTTCCCTCAAGGCTTGAAGTACACCGAATCTTCCTTGCAAACTGTCATCGACAATTTGTTCAGTTCTGCTCGTATTACACACTGATATGATTCTCCCTTATTGAACGGTTTTAAATAATGATAATATGTATCTTTTAAGTTTTTTTCCGAACCAAATATCTTCATTAAGTTTTTTTTTTCATTCTACTGTATGCATTTTCTCCCAACCTTCCATTAGCGCATAAAAACTGAGAGCTCTTAGAGTTTAAAAAGTATTAATAATACCAAAAATCGATTAAAAACACTATTCTTCCATTTGTAAAAAAAGCTTTTCACTTTTAAAAATTTTCACTTTCTTGTAAATAAAGATGATTTTTAATTATTTAGGGCTTTGATAATGTTCAAAAAAATGTATTACCGCTCAATATTTTAAGAATTTACATTCTATTATAACAATTTTCCCCGTAAAGGTTATGAACCAAGCCTTCAAAAAACCATGGAGATCTGCGTCATCTATTATATTGCGTTAGTTTTGAGAAAAAAAAGAAGAAGCTTTTGATTTTTTGACAGTTTCAAAGAAGACTAACCGAATATTGATGATGAAACGAGGTTCGACGGCAAAATTCATGCCAAACGCTCTCGTTTTTCCTGGGGGTGTCGTAGACAAAAGCGACCAACTTTCTGGTACTCCCGAGCGGACTTGCGCCTTGCGGGTTCGTTGAGCAGACCCCTGCCAACACCTGCATCTCTGCTTTCAGGAACTCTTCGAGGAGACGGGCATTCTGTTCAAAGCCTCCGGAAAGTTTGAGAGCGCCGAAAAGAATGAAGAGCTTTCGAATTTACAGGACAAGACTTGTTCAGCTCCACATTTTTTTGAAAAAGTTAAGTGATTGGGTCAAAACTAGTCTAAGAAGATAATTTAGGCTGGCGCCAACGGCCAAGAAGATATGATTCACTGGAACACCTGGCTCACACCTACACATCATTCTCAGCGCTTCTTGACCTCATTTTTTCTCGCTCTCGTTGACGGTACTTTATCGGAAATTATCGAAAATCTGGTTCAGATGAACCGAAGGTGCGAATGTGCACTGCTGAGATGTCAGAATATCGTTGGGTGGCTCCTGAGGAACCTCTTCGGCTAGCTGCCAGTTCTAAAATATCTTTACCTCCTCCTCAAGTCTACGAATTGACCAGAATCGCACAGGTTTATTATTATTTTTTGACACGAATAATACGATTTTTTTTTTCGATATCGCCGTTAGATGCAGCGAAATATGCAAATGACAAACATGTAATTTGTCCTCAGGATATAAAATGGAAAGGAGAGGAGAAAATTTCGAACGTACTGCCTGGTGACCATTTATACATAGGTTAAGATAATGATTTATCAAAAGTTTCATTGAAGGACTTGTAGAAGAAGACTGTTATCATCAGGCGAGTCGAACCTTGGAGCCGCAGGAGCTCCAAGTCCAAGCCGAAAAATCGACTCACCGCATTGAGTTCAAAACTAAGCCGCTCTGGTCGGACTGCAAAGTTTACCAGCACAAGTTGCCCACAAAATACGACTTCCACTCGTTTGACTCGCATTCCAGCCAAAAAGTTTAACTGGAACTTCAAAAAGGGTTGTAAAACGTAAAAAAATCGAATATGCAAATTTTTTTGAAATTTCGCTATCAGAGGATAATAAAGAAATGTTTATTAACTTGCAAATATAATACACGATTTCATATCACAATTCTAACGCTCGTAATTGACAAGCTGCGTTCCAACAAGATACCTGAAAGTCATATCCGTTCAATTCACCCCAAGTCGGCTCACTTCTCATTTTTGATGTTTTCCGCCAGCTCGCGGAATTTGACCAGTTGCCATTGGATGAAAGCGACGAGGATCATAACGAAAAGCAGCAGGGGGTAGCTGAACCGGAGGAGTAACATCATCTCCTGTTCTGACCAGCCTATAAACATTCCCTTTGACATATTTAGTGAAGACAGATCCCTACTATGAAAAAGTGCCATAGTTTTCACTAAAACTGCTGGCACCGCTATACAACCACCGAGGTATAAAGAAATGGGCAGCGCCAAACGAAGCAAAACATCCGTCGCATTGAAATTCGCCAAGCCTTGTTGATGTATCTACAATTTGAAATAAGTATAATTTATCGGAGTCAGTTTAATATTGGAAACAAATTTCACATCAAAAACTTAGAATATGTATATCCACTCCGTCAGATCTGAGTGAATGAACTTTTAGAAAATTTTAGACAATGCACGGCGTTGCAAAACGGGCGAGGCGCGTGAAAGTGGGCGTGGCCTATATCGCGTAAATCTACGCGAGTCTCGCAGCTCCGGCTGTGGATTTACATTGTGAATTTGATAAATGAACGTTTTTTTAAAGTTGTTATTTTGAATCGAGCCACTTTTCGCATTATGAATTTAGCAGCAGAATAGATCCTTCATACGTTTGCACATTTTTAACGCGCAAAAACCTACTTTTTTCGTTAATATATTCGAGTAAGAGAAAGTTTTGATAATAGGGCGAAAAACTAGGTCACAAATAAGACGAACCGTCTCGAGCTGCCGTTTCAACCACCAGTCAGGACCAATCAGAACGGCGACGCCATAAACCTTCATTTGGAGGATTCCCATCGCCCAGTCTTGATATGGGAAGTACAAAGGCGTCTGATTTTTCAGTTGAAAAAAAGACGTGTTGTTTCGTGCCTGCTTAGAGGATAGACGCATCGGAGTCAGAACGACAAGTTGGAAGTAGACGCCAATCAGCCAGGGAATGAGGAAGAGTACCGGCAAAGCCGCCAAGCTCAGTCGCAAACCCTTTAAATGGAAAATATCTTCGGTCAGAGTTATTCAAGATGTTTCAAATTTTTTTTGGCATGACCTACATAGTCTGCCTCTACGAGAATAAGGGTTTAAACTAAAATTTTCAAGAGTTCTGTCGTCTTCTTCTTCCTACCCCCCTTGTATCGCTTGAGGGGCATAGACAGGCAGACAACCTGTTGCTCTACGGCGCGCCCCCAAGAGCTCACTATTGACCTATTTTCCAGTTCGAAGAGTGATTTTTTTGAAAAAGACATCAATTTGAAAAAGAAGTGAACTACTAACTAAAAAAAACTTGTTAGATCTTTCAATGGGGAAAAATCAAAAAATAGCTTCTTTTCGACCTAGCAAAACCATTTTTGTATTGACGAACCAAGTAGGAGTAATATCGGATCGCCTGCCGGAAGTTCTGAGAATCGCGCCGGCGGAAAACAAGCGACAGCACGTAAGCTGCTTTGCCGCTCAACCAGCAGATGTAGAGGCCGAGGCCGACCTGAACTTCTTTTCCTTCTTTTCTCTCGCTTTCCTCGATACTGACACTGTAAATCTCGTGGACGTTGGTGTGGCCCGTCACTAGATGAATCGTCAAGCGGCCAATCGTTGCTGAAAAACGAGGAAAACTAACAATCGAAAAAACTTGTCCTACCAGGTACCACGAAGAAACAAACACTACAGTATGAAGTTGTGGCCGCCATGAAGGCGAGCAAAACGGCGATTCTCAATGGGAAATAAGAGGGTCGCACATACGGCTCGTACGCCTGAGGCTCTCGAAGCAACAGAAGCGCCTACAAAATCGTGGATTTATTGAAAATTTTCAAATTTTTTCCATTAATTCTATGGCTCTAGCCGGCCGTGAATCAGCCTTTATCTTTCAAATTTCAGCCTTTAGCTTTATCGATGGAATGCAAAAGATAATAATTCTGTCAACGGGTGGAAAAATTTTCAGCTCGCTTCTTTTTGGCTTACTTTTGTTGTCTAATTTTTTTTTGCCGCTTTGTCATATTTTCTTTCCCGCTCTACTGTGAGTCACCTGGTGTTCGGCGGCCAATCCACCCCCGGCGGCCGCCGCCGGCTGAGCCTGACGTTCGTTCGCTGCGTTGTCTGACAAGAGGTACCTTCAAGAGCATTTTGAGATCGAACGCCAGTTATTCCGCCGAAACCTGTCAAGTTTCAACACTCGACCAACCAGCCTGCACCACTGTCGAACCGCAATTTTCAGGAAAGTTCGGCCGTGGGCTTGTTCGAGGATAGTGGGAAGCACCACCTTAATCGGAAAAAGCTTTGAAAAATTTTTTAAAAAACGGTGGAGATGAATGAAGCTAAAGGAAAAGGCAGTTGGAGCTGAACAAAAAAAAAAAATGAAATTGCGAATTTTCTAACTCTATCCCAAAAAAGCTCCAAGAAAAAAACCTGAAGTATGAGCAACTCGAGAGAAAGTTCGCTGAGCGGGGTGTCAGCGCTCATCGAGACGTTGTACGGCAGCACAGACGGCAGAACCTTCTGTATCAACTTGAGAGGGACGTAGAAGATCATCAGTATCGTCGTGAAGAACAACGACTTAAACACCAAAATCGTGTTTTTTGATGAGACGACAAACTTACAGTTGATATGATGATCCTTCGGAAGTGCCGTGAGAACGGTTGGTCGATCATCTGAAAACTATTCTAGTCATGAGGAAGAAGGCGAGGGAAACCTCCTGGATGGGGTTGAAATCGGGATCGTTGAGGTTGCGCATGAACCACAGGACTCCCGGACGCAACACTTCGCGCAACAACAAGACGAACGAGGCCGAGTAGAAGACGTAGACCTGGAGAAGACCAGCGTGAATGGTTAAGGCCTCCACAACTCACCATTCCGATCATCCAGTGTATGAAAACAGACATGAAAGGCGAAGCCGCAAAAGTGGCTACCCTCTGGGACAGCGTCGCCGAAAACAGGGGCTGAAAATCGTTTTCTTCTTCTTTTAAAGAAATCATTCTGTAGACGAATTCTCGAAAATTACCAACTTAGGAGTCCCGGAGCGGTCCCTATAGGGTTCAGGGAGGAAAACAACCCTTATAAGGGCCGAAAAAGTGGTCCCTATAGGGGTTTAAGGTCTGATCACATAGCCCCTAAAGCTCAAATGGACCCTATAGGGTTCTTTCAATGTAATTCAAAAAACGCTTATTTATTCAGTTCTTTCCACGAAAATGCTTCTTAGCTTAGAGTTAATAACATTCATCGACTAGCATTTCCCCTATAGGGGCCACTTTCGCAAGCTTTGTAGGTCCCTGTAGAGATTGATGAAGTGGTCCCTAGAGGGGACCCTCTGAGGGCACCAAAAATTTCCCCTATGGGGGCCGCTCTGGAGTTCCTAAGAAATTCCAAGAGAAATAATCTGTTGGATCGGCTTACGTCAAGTATTTTGAATCGGAATTGAAAGAAAGGAAAAACTAACCAACGTACAAATATCCATCCAACAGCCGCACATGACAGGGAAAAAGCCGATCTCCATCAGAACAAGCAAGAAAACCTTTAGTATCAAGAAGGCGATGCCGAAAATTCGATACAGACTGAAAAACTCATGGATCAGAAGAAGCTCAAACTCGACCAACGGCTTGATCTTGAGGAAGCCGACAAATTGATGCATGACGTAGAAAATCATCGCAATGACGACGTAGCCGCAGAGGATGGCTGTGATCGAAGGAAAGTACTGCAGTTTTCCTTGGACGCCGGCCAAGTGGAGCACGTATGAACCGAAGCGATAAGGCAGGTAGGCTGAACGATAGATTCAGCGGTGATTGACGGAGATTCGTACCGAAGGTGACCGTGAACAGGGTATTCAAAGAGATCATCCAGAAGACGTGCTCTAGAAACACCAGAGAGCCGTCGAGGCCCAGGAGTCTTTGCCACGTCATATCTTCTCCGAATCTCAAACGCGTAACGATTTAGATAGGTCTGACAAAGACATCTTCTCTGTTCAAAAACGACTATCTCTCAATTCCAAGCTTCTGGCTCCCATTTTCTCCTGTGTTCATAAAAAAATGCAAAAAAATCAAGTCCACTGATTTTCGGGAAACTCTAATGAATTTGGTCAAGGATTTTCTCCTGATGTAGAAAAATCACCTGTCCCAGTCTCGCCAATTGTCGTCCTGATCCTGGGCGGCGGCACGAGGCTGTCGACCTGAAACAGCGGATCACGACGTCCATCCGTCTCACGGTTACCTCGACGGACTCGCGGCGCTTCTTCCACTCCAGCGTCGGCAACGTTCGCCTGCTGAGCTGCTTCTTCCACCTTAATAAATCTTATTTGATTCGCCAAAGGAGTTTAGTTTTTTTTTAATTTTTTGATCGGAATTGTGATTCGAATGAATGCTATGAACTCGCAAGACGGCCAGGTGCCCTAATGGGTGTACCCCTGTTTTTTAGGCTTTGAGTCTCAGTTGGGCTAAAACGGGGGGACCACGGGTTTGAGAAAAAAGGTGATCCAGCTATTTATTTCGAAAATCGGTGACCCAACTGGGCTAAAACCGCGCCTCAGCTGGCCCAAAAATTGCCAAAACGTTCTACCAGCTTTGCTTATGCGGTTTTAATACAGGCGCACGCGCTGAGCCCCCGTGTTAGCCCGGTTAGGCGACCCTCATCAGTAACAGAGAAGCCAATCTTGAGAGCCACTCGGATTCCAAACTCACAGCAGTCAGATCAATCAGAAAAAGTCTATTTTTTTCATCTTATTATTAAAAAATTCCAGTCTCAGCTGTGGTTATAACAGTCCACTTAACAAGAGAAGTGGTGGTCGGTTGAACTTTTCATGAAATTTTGCTGAAATGTACTATAAGATCGCCTCTTTCCAGAACACGAATACAATTTCTCGTTTTCGAGTTATGAATCTTCAAAGTTTGCACTCTGAACAAGTGCTGTAAGGCAAGAGGGTATGTGACTTCAGTTGGCAGCGTGGTGTAGTGGCTAGCGACCTTGAACTGCGGTGTCTATGACCGGGGTTCAAAACTTTGTAAGAATAGAAGTTTTTCGTTTTCTTTTGATTCTTTTGATAGCGTAGGAATCAATTTTTCTATTTGAAAAAGCGTACTATCTCAGCGCCTTCCTCTTCCTCGTCATTATCGTCTTCGGTATCGACGTCTTCTTCAAGAGCGGCATCATTAGCCGGCGCCTCTTCGGCTCCAACGGCTTCCTCTACCTCTCCCGCATCTCCTTCTACTTCGTCTTCTAAAGCGAAAAAATAGAAGAGAACGCGAATCGAATAAACCAAAAGCTAAGAAATTGGCAGGGCCTCCTAGAACGATCTGTTCACGGAGCCAGACCAACGAAATGAAGATGCAGATGAAAATGGCGAGCAAAACTCCGCCCTGAAGACACAGCGTCTGAGAGAGAGAAGGGTCCAGACAGAACCTTGATGATGTCAGGGAAGATTTGATCGGTCCGGAAGACTTGGAAGGGTAGCGAGAAGAGTTCGTGCAGCGAGACGTGGAAGATGCAGTTGTAGATTCTCGCCGTGGTGAGCGGCACCAGTCCGAGCCACGCCACCATCACCAAAGTGTACAGCAGCCACGTCTTGAACATCTTACCCGTTGAGATCAAAACTCCTGAAAACAGCTTTCTACGAAAAGCTTTTCTATTAATGCTAGCATCTTATTTTTTAGCTAGGACTTCATATTTTTCCGCAAAAAATTAAAAAGAAATAATTAGTATTTCGTAATGATTAATTTCTGTTAGAAAAAGCCCCAAAAAAACATTAAAAATTTGATTTTTTTGACAGCTAAAAAAATATAGATTGAGAAAAAGCTAAAAAAACTAAAAAAAGTTTTTGTTAAGCGTTACTGAAAGCATATTCTTACTCGAGCAAGGTCGGAATGGTGGATAATGGCCGGTAAAAGGGAGAGGCTCAAAAAAGGCCGCAGAAAGGCAGCAAAAAGACTTCCTTAATATTTTTACTAGAACTTGAAAGGCTCAAAAAATAGTGGAAAAGGGTAGAGGCAGCAAAAATAGTGCATAAGGGCCGATGAAATGGCGCAAAAAGGCCGGAAAAAAGGAACACTCTTTGAAGCCTTTCTCCACCCTTTCCACCCTATCGAAAATGATCGACAGCTTTCACGATATTGGCCTGAAGCCTTCAGAAGCAGAGAAATTCCTCAGCACTCTTCTTGAATTCGCTGATTTTTGTAATGAAAGCAAGCGAAAAAAGAACCTTTCGTGATCTCCGCGAGTGGCAAAGCTTTCGGCATGTCGGGACGATATATCGGTTGAAACGAGTATTTGTAGCTGCACAGCTCGCAAACTTCTTTCTTACTGAAATAGAATCCTTCAGAGTTCTCGCCATATGGATATATCTTACCTATACTTGAGCCATTGTATCAAACATTCTTGATGGACGTATTTGATGCTTCCGGTACACAGACAAGGGTAATACAAACTGCCTTCGTTGCCTCGACACACGCGGCACATCACTACAAATCCGTAGTGATCTCTCTAATTTCAACTGATAATTTATAAAATTCGTCTTTAACTCTTCGAAGAAGGGGGATGAATACGGTCCAAAATACGGGGCTTCTTGAAAACCGATTATAGCTGATTAACGGAGGGCTTAAGCTATCGAAAAAAGGGTCTTGACGCGATAAAAAAAAAAGAGACAGTGGGTTCGTGGAGAGCGCAGGCAGGCCACGCCCTCTTAGCGTCTCAAGCTAACCGTAATTCGGCTATATCTACTGAATGAAGACAGATAAGTGAGCATTGCAAAAAAAGTCATTAAAATTTTTTTTCTATTTGCGACGTGCAAAATTCGAACATAAAAACTTATCTTTCCGAATATTTTCAACAATCAGTTTTTTTTCCATCTCAGAACTGACTATTATTCGAAATTTATTTTTCATGGAATTGATAGCGTACTGGGAAAAGCTGGAGCGGGTCCTATAGGGAGGAAAAACACTCTACAAAGGTTACTAAAGGACTCCTAAACCTCAAACTCCTTCTAGGAACCACTTCAGCTTTTCCCAGTATGGCTGAAAGCTTAAGCGAATTCTGTGTAGCAGCTAAATTTTTCTCGCACTTACTTTTCTTTTTACAGCGCCAGCGGTGAGTCGGCTCAAAAAACCCAAAAGTTATAATCAAAACCTTTTTTTAAGGCAGAGAACCAAACGAATAAGGGAATCAAATGTCGAATCCAGAAACTCACAAAGGTCGTCGCCATCACTGGGATCCAAGGTTGGCGTCGCGGATCTCCGTCCCGCGGAAGTCTCCGGCGAAGAGCTCATCTTCAGTGCATGTGCTGCAGCTTCTATTTGATCCCAAGTTTAAATCCTTCATAATTTGCCCAAATTAGGAATTCTCGCCTTTCTTTTGGGAGTGACATCGTTATTTCCTATATCCTGTTTCATTTTATGCGATTTTTGAACGAATAAAATTATTCGAAGAAGTTATAAAACTTTTTTGAACTAAATGAAAGATGTAACAGCTCGAAGGATTTTTGAATATTCAGAGCAGGGTTGTGCGATATATAGCCTATTCCGCGCCAGCTTGTCACGTCTGCTTTTATAATGGCAAGAAACAAAAGTCTTGAAGCGAAAGTTGGTTAAATTTCACCTGGCCTTTTGGCGGAAAGAAAAACGTGACAAGCTGGCGCGGAATGGCCTATAGGACTTTTTGAGTTTGAGACGAAATGATGTGTTGCCTTGATCTTTCGAGACGAGACGAGACATTTTCTAAGACCCGTCTCGAAAAATCGAGACGGAAAATCGAGACGAGATCGAGCGAGAAACTTTTCAAAAGTTTTCAGACAGAAGTTTTTAAAAAATAGTATGATCGTTATCATATTAACGATACAATATATTTCACGAACAAAAATTAAAAAAATGTTTTCTCAGGAAGTATCAAAAATGTTTGGAATAATAGAAAGTTTGCGAAACCACTTTGAACATGTAACTTATTGTGAAAAGGTGTATAGTCAATGTTTCCCGACTTGAAAGGCGTGGCAAGGGGCGGGACGCGTAGCGTGTGCGTACGCGGTTCTTGGCACGTGTTCAATTCAACCGCTAGCGAGCATTCAGAGAGCTTATTTATTGCTCTTTTCACTTGTTTTTTTAATTATTTATTGATTATGTTCATGTGTGCATCAAAAAATAGAAGAAAATACAGAAAAAGAGCGGTGGCCGAGCTTTTTAAACAGTCGGCGGCGACTGAATTGAACTGGCGCCAAGAACCGCGTACGCACACGCTACGCGTCCCGCCCCTTGCCCCGCCTCCCTCGCCTTTCAAGTCAGGAAACATTGACTATAAAAAAATTTTTTAAAGGATTCCGCGAACTAGGCGAAATAGGTATTCCGAGAGTCCTTGGAAAAAAATGGGTCTTATAAAGATTAACCGGAGAATGGACATCTTTAAGTTGACTTTTACGCGTGAGTTCGAAATTTTCGTTGGAAATGCCTAATTACATTCAAAATTTGAAGTTGAGCAGTAAAAGTCACCGTAAAAAAGGTCGTATCTAAGTAAAGTCGTTATAGGATTCATTCTTTCTAAGAGCTCCCGTGTGACAGGACGCCATTTGACTTGACCTCATTGCCATATGCACTATCATGTAGACGTGCCAACGGCACGCCGCCTACTTGTGTTGTCACTCTTGCGCTCAGAACGCATACCAATTGGCGGTGCCGAGTTGCTCTAATAAAGATCCAAGGGCAATGCCGGTTCTACACACATCTAAATAACACGTCAAGGCCCGGTGATTTCTTGCGCGGTTATACCCGGAATAACAATTTAGTATAGTTTCAAACGATGGCGTGTTCATCGGAGAAACGGGACATGCTTCAAAACGAAAAATCGTGTTCATCGGCGCGCCAAATTTGCTCCAAAACAGTACTAATTTTTGTTTTCGAGCAATTTTTTGCGTTTCGAAGCAACTTTCGTTTTTTCCAAAGAACACGCCACGATCAACGAGTCAATTTTGAAAACGCCCAAATAACTTAGGCACTGACGGCGTTTTTGTTGCCGAAAGTGCGCGCGCTGGGTATACCTTCGATCTTTTAGTTTTTTAACTAATTAAAAAGTTATAAATTGGCTATTTTTCGGATCTGTTCCTCTTTCCTCATTGCACTACTCCAGTTTACGACAATTCGAACGTACTTAAATCATTAATACCAAACTTTCCATCGGTAATTCGAGACGAGATCTCGCACAACCCTGATTCAAAGTGTAATCTTCAGCTTACACTTCTCAAAAATGAAAAATCTTTGAATCACTGCCTCGTTATCAGAAAAACTTCTACTGAAATTAACGAATTGCACTAGAATCGAAATGATGCTATTCGATACATAATCGTCACAATTTATAAAGTAAAGGTAAGTAACCTGGAACTTCCACCCTCGCTATTCCAAAAACTTGCGAGAATATTCATTGTCAGTTTTATTCAACAAAATGAGATGAAACGTGAAATATTATCAAGCATACAATCGCGAGCCGGAAAATAGTTAATTTATGGAAAGATAGCGTAAATTATTTGACTTTACACGTCGATGTCCGAGGTTAATGCATGATAGATGAGAGAAAAAATCTGTGGAATCACTGGTTTTTTCGAATATATTTCTTCGCTTTCTGAGCGAGGCATTCAAGTTGATTCACCGAATGTGCGAACCGCCGTAGCCTGTAGCCGGTCTCTAGTTTGCTTACAATTCAAAAGAAGGTCTTGAAGCGAAACGCACGAATATCAACAAAATAACAATTTGAACATTTTTTTTCGCCTTTTTAAAGGAACTATGCAATCGAAATAAAATGCATCGACTGATCAACTATTTTGATAGTTTAAACTGTGACTTCATTCACTAAATGAGGTTTGAACATGCGGTGATTCTACTTGACTTTTTTCAAAAGAAAATGCGTTTTAAATCAGATTCAGCTTTTAAAAGCCATTTTTGACAGACAAATCAGTAGAAAAACGGTTAACAACTGTGAGATTTGGATTCTGAATCGCGATCATGATGATGAAAAAAGATAGGATAATTTAACACAAGGAAGAGATTTTATTTTTTCTTTTTCATAGGCGGACCGCCTTTGCTGCTGACGCCTCCACGCTTCCGATCGCGATCCCTATCCCGATGACGAGGATCGCTGCCTTCCTCAAAATCAATTCGATGACCGTTGGGAAGCCAAAGAGCCGAACCTGCTCCATCCGTTTATCGGCCCGAGCGGCTTCTTCCTCGAGGTCGGACCACTCCTTGCCTTCCGACTCATCAGAATCCAACGACCCCTCCTCGTCTTCGCTCTCCGTCTGCTCACCTTAACCAGCCGCACTTGTTTATGAGCGGTTTCGAAGCAAGGAAACCTTCGCTCTCGTCTTCGTCGCTGTCTTCTTCCGATCCTTCCGAGTCGCTAGGGTCATACGAATCTTCGGATTCACTCTCGTCCTGCAACACTCAGATGAATGAATTTTCTGAATTACGAATCGGTCAAAAATTTGAACTCACTTCAGCCCCTTCGTCGTCAGAGTGAGTATCGAGGAATTTCCAGCCGCCAGTTTCGAAGAAATCCTCGGGATCGTCGACGATAGTCTGATTTTTCATATTGGTAAAAAAAAATATCGATAAAAATAGAGAGCTTGGTTACCTAGAAGTTGATTTTGCTGTTGAAAAAAAAAAACGAAGCCTAATCGCTTAGAGATGCGATTAATAACTTTTTTCAGTGAAAATTCAGGGTTCTAGTCCTAAAGTATATTGTGAAAAAGACTGCAGAAAAAAAAATATATCAAGTTGCTTTTTGTGGACTTTCCTGTATATAAATCACACCAGGAACCAGAGAAGTACCAAAACAAAAAACGTTATCAAAACCTCGCTCCGAATCTAGAGATTAAAAATTATTCTATAAAACAAAAAAAACTCTAAAATGTCCTTATTACGAAGATTTTTCTAAAAAGCAGCATATGAATGCCATTTTTCGACAAAGAACCACGACAGTATTTTTCAAAAGTTCTCTTTTTCGGCAATTATAAAAAACATACTTTCATGATTTTGGGCCAATTCAGAGACTGTATTCCTTCCGTGTAGCGGATGTCACAAGAGTTGAGCCACTCCTGAAAGTTTTCACATAGTCATATGCCTCGATAAAGATCCTCTTTTAACTCTTCAAAAAGAGATTTGACAACAAAAAACGACGTAGAGAGGTGAAATATACACCGACCTTGATGGTATCGAGACTGTTCATTGGGATCTGCTGCACCATTTGGGTTTTGCGAGCGTAATCTTTGAAGACGAAGACCATGTCGAAGTTTTTCAACTGGAACGAAACTCGCTCAAAGTGGACGAGTTCGACTTCAGAGAGGGTCACGATGAAAGGCGGCTGAACATCGAAATGGATACATTTGGAAGATCTGTTATTACCCATTCGGTCAGATTGACAAGGCAGAGAGAAGTTGGCCGGAGAGTGCAAGAAGACCGGTAAGGGACTCCGAAGAAGCCCAGGTCGGTGAAGGGGGAATCGAAGTCGACTTGGTCGTTTGTCAGTCGTCGCACCTTGAATGGGCAGGAATATCATTGGGGGCACCCCAAACAAACCTTGTCCGTGAAACTGGCAAAGGCGGCGTTCAGTTTGCGTCTCATCTCTCGCTCCACCTAAAATCTTTGGTATTCGCGTGATTGGAAGAAAAAGACAGGAAACCTGCTCGCTGTGGACGTCGTCACGGTCTTGCATGTGATGGTACTTGCCCAGATCCGTGGTTATTTCTCCAACTTCTGTGTAGAACTGGACGTCTCTGAAAGTCGAAAGGGGGTTGGAAATGCGTTTGTGCTCTACTTTCTCACTTGTATTTCTTCTTGCCCCACATCACAGGGTTCTTTAGGTGGAAATGGAGCAGGATTATCATTTCGTTGTCACAAGGTTGGAAGAAGGCGTGTTTGATATTGTTGTAGATGACGTCGATGCGGTCGCCTCGCAGAGATGTGTACCTTCAATTTGGCAAGTTGCTTGGAATATTCAAAGTTTCAGGTACCGGAATCCATTGACATGAGCTTCTAGGGAGCCCGTTATACGTTTCTGGATGATGTTCGGTCGGATGAGCCTCAAAACGAGAAAGTAAGAATGTTCGAGTCACGGAAATCTTACAAATCTTTGATCTTCGGATTCACTTTCGACTGACTCAGAACGAGCTTATCTTGCTTCACAGCGCCTTCCTTTTCTCTTTCTTCGGCTTCTTCCGTTCTGTAAAAAAATGATAGAAACAAAAAAAATTGGAGAACTCACTTGAATCTCTTTTGAATCTCCTTGATCAATCTGATCGCCGTGTTCAAATTGAAGCTCGGGGCGTTCATTTCTCCGTGTTCCTTCATGTTACTCGCTCTATATTCAGTAGTATTTAAACTATCTTCGAAACAAACAAAACCTATATGAGAGTTCTTTGAGATAAGTCGCCATGGGGAATGGAAACTGAGCGTTGTCCTTGCCAATTTGCGAGCCCGGATGGTTGAAATTGATTCGAAGATATGTGAAATCCCCTTCCACGGATTGCGAGCAATTCTTCAAATAAATCTTTATATTTTAAACTCTTCCGAAACTCTACCTTGATCATTGAAATGTGAAAGGGTACAGGAACGCCGAAAATGGGGAGAAGAATCGTGTCGTGGCGTCGATCTGAATAAAGAACGGATTTTCTCCTTCTTTTTTTGTTATTCCAAAGATCAGAAAAGCAGAATTCAAATAAAGATATGTCTCACCGACGTGGATCAGGAGTTTTTCGAGCTCTTGATCTTGCGGGAACTTTTCGTAGGATTTGTATGAAATGTTCGATTTTTTGACTCTGTAAATAGGAAGATTGCCCGAATAGCGCAACTTTTGGCAACTTTTTGTCGTCACTGCCGCCAGTCTTCTGGGCGAGACGCGCCTTGGCCGCCTCGTTGACCTTCTCGGCCAGTTCCCGCTGTCGCTCCTTGCGCTTCTCCTCGTTCGTCGTTTTGTTTCTGGTCTGATCGGTCAGGACGACACTCCTCTGGCCACGGCCCAGAAATTCGTTGTTCCCGTTCTCTTTCTCCGCTCCTTTCTCTACACCTGAATAGCATTATACCGAGTGTCATGATAATCCTGTCTTTTTGATACTTTTGAAAAAGCAAATGATGTCTTAATGTTGATTTCAGATTTTCACTCGATTTCAACTGACAAGGGGAAGTTTTTTAATAGATCGTATTCGAGTTTAGATTCGGACCTTGGTAACGCGAACGGGACGCGAATCGGACGTGTCGGGGCATTTTTAGTGACCACTTTAGTAGCCTCAGCACTCTTAAGTGATAACTAGAATCGCACAGTCCGTTTCGCGTTTCCAATGTCCGAGGACGCTTCGAAAGTTTAAAATGGCGTTTTTTTTTTCTAATTTTTGTATTTTACGGAAACATGTTCCCTACTGAGGCGAAAAAGAGGAAAAATGAGAAAATTTTGGGTGAGTGTCCTAAGTTTCTTTTTTTCTTACCGGGAGCATCTTCTTTGAAGCGGACGACATTAGACTTCAGACGCGATTTCGCTTTCTCAGTGAGAATTTCATTCTCTCCTTCCGCTTTCACGAGTACCTAAAAGATGAAACATTAAAAATTAGAAATTTACGTCAAAATGGGGGCTTTCCCCTTTGTATTTCGGTATCACGCAAGTAAACGTTTCGACAGAACTTCCATTCAAAAACAACCAACAGTGTCTGACAAGGCGATCGCGGCCCGTTTTCCATCTTCGCCGCTCGAATTTTTGTTGCGGATGTTTTCTACGCCGATGAAGACGACGAAAATCATGCCAGCTTGAACTTTTTCCTCGCATTTTGGGCTGATTGTGAGACAGCTATCCCGGAACTCGATTCCAGTAACAAATCTGTAAAAATTGCATCAAGTTCAAAACAAACAAAATGAAGTGATTACCCCAGTTCCTTCTTGTGTAGATTTTCGAGAAGTTTAGGGTTTTTCTCTGCAAGCGCCTTCGTGCCGACGTTGTAAACATCACAAAGACGAGTTCCCTCTTTCAAGGCGTTGATAACCGCCGTTTCAGCATACAGAATGGCTTCGTAGGCGTCTTCCAACTCTTTGGATGGAGAAATGAGCATTGTTCGTGTGACATGGGTGCAGTATTCCTAGCAGTTGGAAGTGTTAGGAAATGAAAGGTCAGAGAAAAAACTTCGTATCGTGCGCCGAGTGAAGTGACAATCGATCCATAGCCAGAATGAAGATACGATTCCGTGCTGCAAGTGAAAGTGTACAGTAAATTGTTTACTTCAATAAAAAATATTCTTTTTTATTCGTTCAAATCCTCTTGCTACGGTTATCAAAGTATTTTAAAAGCTTCGTGGCAAAGTTTTTCTCTATTTTTGTGGAAACTACGCATTAGAAAAAGAAAAAATGGGCTGGTTTTCTGTGTAAAATCTCAGTTAGCCTGTTCTTTTAGCAGTTATATCCTTCCTCGCTGTCACCAAAACCATATCATCAAATGATGAATTTTGTTTAGCCCAAAAATGTTTTCAAACGTTAAAACTCCGAAATTCGCATCCGTGTTGACCGATATCTAATGATGGAGGTAGAAAACTTGTTGCTGTTCTAAATCAAAATTTGAAAAACTGTACATTAAGAAAGTTTGAAAGAGATAAATTTATATTAAACAAGAATATAGAGAATTCCTGTCTAGACTGTCGCAAAAAAAAAACTCAAAATTAAGGCTTTTTGAGGCCTTGAAAGTATAGTTTTCCGGCACCAGCAACATGGCTAAAACTAGCTCTTAACTCATCAAGCTTGATATTTTCGATTTTTTTTAGATTCAAAGGAAGGGTTCGAGTATGGGAGATCAAATTTTAATGTGCAAATTTCAATTTTCAAGTTTTTAAGACATTTTCCTTACTTTTAAACAAATTTCTTGAAAAAATCACTGATATTTTGGGCTTTTACAGCATACCGTACCTTTCGTTACTCCACTTGAAGGAATACGTTCCCCCGCTCATCACAATCGGCGCATAACAGGCCTCGATTTTTCCCTTGGCCAACGGCCCTTGGACTTTCGGTTCTTTAACTTGTTTGTCCAATTCTTCCGACAAAGCCGAATGACGCACTTTCTGAAACAAGAAAAGATTACACTAAATGCCAGAAACGGAAAAAAGTAACCCGCTCTTGATCGATTATTTCCACGTATCTCTTGCGTGCATAGCTCCAAATGTTAACAGTAGCCGTAGCGGACTTTTTAACGACTTCCATTTCTTCTTCGTCTTTCATGGAAAAAAGATGGGAAAACGGCAATGATACGTCGACCTGAGAAGAAAATATGACTTTTTTCAACCAAATTGGAAAAAAAAACCTTTTTCATTTCGGCTGACTTCAAAGCTTTCTCCCATAAATTAGAGAATTCCGACTCCGCTTTGTCTTTTGCAAACACACCTATTGTGTTCGAGTCGCTTTTGATGTACTCAAGAAAATTTTCGAAGTTTTTCGCGTCTTTGTTGGACTGAAAAAGAAGCAATGACCAAATTTCGATTCCAAATGCAAACCTTGTCTCTGTGATGAACCTTCACTGGAGGCACGCTACCACGAGGACTTTCACTAACAACCGAAAGGAAAAAGTCTGCTTTTCGATTATTTCCCAGAATATGAACACCCTTTTTAGTCAATAAAATGAGTGTGTCTTTAAGTTCGAAGCCCGTTAACCATGTCTGAACGTAAATATTAAGATATCATTTCAAAGTGAAAAAGAAAACCTGAAAGGATACGGATTTGCTGTACTGAGCCGCATCTTCGTCACTCCCAACGAGAACAAAAATGGAAGAAACGTCTTTCAATATTTTCGCATCATCTTTCTTCAGAAAAAATTAGCTTTTTATCTTGAAATTGGAAAAAATAACTTACCCAGCTTGTGTAAAGCTTTTCGAGGCGCTTCAAAAAGAGTTCTTTGTTGAGTTTAGGCGCACGATCACCCATTTCTACTGAAACCCACCAAACATATTTTTACTTTTCCTGAACGAAGGAGAAGAACAGAAAAAAGACGTGAAATCGTGATATGAAGCAAGCTTTATTTCGCTGCCAGCATGCTGCTTTAATTATATTATATAATGCCGTTTTTTTGCAAAAATCTTAAATAACCGTCAGAGAAAGAAAGAGATAACTAGATTTTTGGAGAATCAGAGATAATTTTGCGTTTCGCGGAAATTACTTTGAACACGGCGTATTGAAAGTTTTTAGAGCATTCAGAAGATGACTGAGAGGAAAATTGAATAAAACGTCTGGAAATTATTGATTTATATGAAACGAAAAGAAAAAAAACATTGTGGAGTTTTTTTTTCATAGCAACATGGAGGCGGGCCGGTTTTATGTATGTATTTATCCGCGCGCGCGCCTTTGCTTCATTTGCAGACAAGCCGAATACCGTACTAGCTGACCGAAAATATTGACCGTGAACGTTTTTAGCCCCCGGTTGAACTTTTGCTGAAACTTTGCTGAAGTGTGATTTAGGCGTTACTGAATTCAGAACGAGAAAAAAAAATTTCTCGCAGACCTGGTTTTAAAGTTGAGACGCTTATAAAGCTTGAAATAGCGCTTTTTGTCGTAGCTTGCGTATTTTGCAAACGCTGAAGGTTCGAAAACAAGATCTATTGAGAGTAATGTTTTACTTGTTTTGGAATCAGAAAGTCCCTGAGTTCACTAAAGATTAGTTTCATCAAAAGTTCAACTGGGGGCCAAAAAAAGTTCCCCAGTCACTCGGGCAGAGGTACCGCGATAGTACCGGCAGTCTTTGGAAGGTCCTGAAGCCTAACAAGGAAACCACGAGTATATCTTGCAAAATTCCAGAAAACTTCAATAGACTTTCGGTAACAACTCTACACTATCGGTAAAACTCCGATAGTTCTGAAGAATATACAGGGTCAATCATGCGCCGTCAGTTTCGGAGCCAGGAAATTTTTTAAATTTTTTTTCGTTTTCGCAATTTGTTATCTCTCGAGGTTACAAGACAAGTTTCTTCACTAAAAGTACACAAATTTTCATTTTATTACCCAAAAACCTAGCTTGATTACCGTAATACGACCGGCCGCCTTGAACATGCGCATGTGCGTGAACCCGCTATAAAATCACATTATCCAACTTTTTCCATTTTTCATGAGGTGAAACTACCTCCCCCTCGTATACGAGGTTCAGATCGAATACAAAAATTTTATCGTGAATAATAATGAATGACTTCGGATAGATTTTCACTTGCCGTAAGAAAATCTTTCTATGAATCAAAAATTTATTATCTAACAAAGTTTAAAAGGAAAAACAGGGAATAAAAACGGTCATATGACAAATAACTGAAGAACTAAAAGGGTGGGGGTCCATTGATAAATTCTAGCGAGGGATCAAAACTTTTGGCAAAGTTGTTAAGTAACTGGCAGCAATACTCGTCATCGCAGTGTGGAACCAAGCAAGCGGCTCCCAAAAGAAGAACCAGCATCGCCTGAAATTAGGTTGGTCGACTGATTTAAAATTTTTAGGTTGGTGAACCGAAAGTTAATGCGTAAAATGATTTAAATAACGGACGTTGGCTGTAAAAAAAATGTCAGACGGGTATAAAAATTTTTAAACTTCTAACAAAGAGAGTGCAAAATGTGGAGAGTTGAGAATTCGGCGAGGGGTACTCCGAAACGTCCTGATTACAGAATAAATTAAATCTACAGAACTGGGTTACAACTTTAGTTTATCTGTAATCAGGAGCTCCCAGCGCTATTTCAATGAAGTTTGATTCAAAATTCTCTTTCCAAGTTTCTGTATATCTGTGATATGTTTCGGGATAGCCAAAAGGAGAATCAATTACCTGAAGAGGCAGAGCTGTTCTGAGGACCCGTCTCCAACGTGTTCGTTGGCGTCTTAAGTGTTCATTATCGACGACTCCATCATCTGGAATCGGGGACAGCATTCCGTCGGAAGTGCTCTCGACCGTGTCGAACTCGCTCTTCGAGTCCGAATCAGAAGGTAGCCCGTCGATGCCATGTTCAGTGAGAACATGGTAGGGGTGTTGATGAGGATAGAGCGCAGAGAGAACTTCCGCTGCGGCGTCGATATCGTAGCCCGGCTTCGGCTCTTCTTCATCTGAAGTGAGCTCTTGTCCAGGTTGTGTCTGTAGTTCCATGAGTAGTCGGCGGGCTTCGGCGAGCAGGCGCTCCAAGTCCATTGAGGTGCTGCTCCCAACGAACTGGCGGCTCTGCTCACTTCGCGCGACGACCACCTTTTGGTTTTCCAAATGCGCCACAACATCACTCAGCAGTGCGAAATAGCTCTGAAAAGGAGTTCTACTGGAGGCATCTCGGATGATTCCAACCTGCTGGTCTGCAACAGATTGAGAGCGTAAATCTTCTTTGAACTGTGAGAGTTCATTAGTTAGAATGTCCAATGTTCGCAGCAGCTCGATCTCCGCGCTCAACTCTGCATTGATCTTGTCCAGCATATTCTGAAAAGCATACCATTTCATATAACTGATAATAAGACCCAAAAAGCTATTTCCAAATTCAAACCTCGAGATGACCTTCTGTTCCTTCAAAATGAACAGATATGAAGCGTGATTCATGGAGCGAACTGGACAAAGGCTCCAAAAGAGAAACCAGGTACTCAACATCCGATTTTCGATCACGCACTTTCTCGACAATACCAATCATTTCCTACAAAACATATGATGAAAACATCCAAACAAGCTTTTTATCACCTTGAGTTCAGTCAAACAACTCTGTCCATCAGTGACGGACATCAGTGGACGGCCTAAAACGCCGTTCACGGCACCATTTATCGTTTCCAGATTTTCGAAAATTTCATCACGAGCGGCGACGAATTCTCTCCAAGCACTGGCTCTTTCTTCGAGACCGTTAACAAGCTGTTGTGCGGCCCCAATAGTGGTTTCCAAAAAATCCAAGATATCAATCTTTCGATCCGCAGCTACTCCGGCGTCGTTGATGACTTTACGCGCGAGTTCCACCTCAGAATTCAACTCTCTGGCCGTTGGTTCATACTGTCCAGGAACCGCGTCGGAGTCGCGCAGAAACTCATCGGCTTCTGTGACGAGTCTTCTCAAACGGTTGAAAATCGG